TTCGGTAACATCGATGTGCTCATTTGAGAACATCAAATAGATTCTCATATGAGCACGTCGATGTTCTCATGAGAACATCAGTTGGGCCGTAGTGATGTATTCCACAACTACTATGTTGAGATGGTATACATACATAAATAGCAGGCCACTAGGGCCTTATTGATTGCTGGTATAGCTTGTTGAGAGGCCACCTAAGTCGATATGTTTCATGTAGTGTAGGTGGATCTCGACATCTTGACATTAGGGAGATTGAATCTATTGTAGTTCCTGAGGCACTCGTGCACACACAATTTACTGGACTTGTAAATATAGATGTGATGTGATACGATAAACATTATCTACGTTGCTATACTGTAAACGTGGCTTGAGGAGAAAGTGAACGTAGCCTAAGATGCATGTCTGTATGCAACATTATGGTTGTTTGGCAAAGGTTTTGAGCCATAATGGGCATCTCACCACGAACGGCGGACAGCGTTTCCACGCCTAGGGTTGATACTACAGATTTCTTAATAATGTACGATGCAGAGCATCTAAGTCAGTAGACAGAGCTATAATTTACTTATTGCACAAAACAAACTACTACGCCTTAGTTTTAGGCCAAATTCTGTGCAAATCTAGACATTTTCAAGCACGAATAACTCATGCCACAAAGCGTTTTGAGCGCTTGGAATAACCCCAAACGACTCTTCTTGGCTAAGCTTTGCATATTGATGTCTTATCTCAATTTTTTTTTGGATCATTGCAAATTCATGAAAATCATCATTTTTCCATGAGTATTAGCAAGGGAAAATTCTTGAAAATCAAACGATCGCGTTTTTCACCTTAAGAATGAAGACTTTTTCTATGATACATACTAGATCAAATTGACCGTAAAGATGATATGCAACATTAGAAGCTCTTTCTATGAGACTTGCAAATGCTATATTTTGACATAATCACTGAAAACCTGTTTTCATATTTTTGGAAATTGCTCACTATTTTCGGTCTGGAAGCTGAACGTAATTAGCACCATTCGATGCGGCTTCTTTAGTCCTCTAGAGTTGTATTAGAAAGTTGGGTGTGAAAACGACAGTTTTCATAGTCAAGTTAAGCAAAAACGTCTAAAGGATGTAAGATCAAGTCAAGTTTGAACACGAAAATACCACTGCACAATTTCAGATTAAACTGCCGCAGTTACGGCTGCTACGGTACAAGACGACTGAGACCAAATCTACTGGTCGTGACGTCGGATAGGGTGCCCTCTCATTTTTCCGTAACCCTGTTTTTTATCCTTTTTGCAAAACGTGTTTTAGTATCAAACCATGGTTGTTTTGGACACCGTTTGATTGATAATAACACTTTAGCTTCCGATAACTCTGTCTTGTACTGTTAGAAGAACTTAATACTGCTTCTTTGAAGTGGGATATATTAGATACCATTCGATAACGAGCACTGGAAGGCGTAAAATTAATACTAATTGAGTTTGTTTATTAGGTTTTGATAATTTTTTTGCCTGTTTGACGTGGGTGCTGCTGCCATTCCTTTTCTGCTGTCTCTGCTGTCTGCGTCTTTGGTTTATCATATCTACTAGTGGTTGCTTCTCCGGTCTTTGTCTGGTCTCTGGTGTCGTTCGTTCTCTGGTTTTTCTATGGAGCTGGTGTTGCTGCCGTTGCTGCTAATATGGTCTTTCCTGCTCTATTTTCTTTGCTGCATACTCATTCTCTGGTTTATATCTGGTGATTGTCTATACTCTTATGGTCTACCTGTGGTGGTGATAAGAGGTAAGTAACTTCTTTTGTCTTTGTCTGGTCTCTGCTGATGGTGTTCATTCTTTAGTTTTTCTATGATGCTGGTGTTGCTGCTGCTGCTTTTGCTGCTAACATGGTCTTTTCTGGTCTACTGTATTTGGTGCATGATTGTCCTCTGGTTTAACTCTGGTGATTGCTTCTTTGGTCTTTCTCTGGTTTCTGGTGTCGTTCGTTCTTCGGTTTTTCTATGGCGCTTCTGCTGCTGCTGCTGCTGCTACTACTAATCTGGTCTTTCCTGATCTACTGTATCTGGTGCATGCTCGTTCTCTGGTTCATACCTGGTGATTGCGTAGTATCTGGTCTATCTGTGGAGGTGACAAGTGGTAAGTATCTTCTTTGGCCTTTGTCTGGTCTCTGCTGATGGCGTTTGTCCTTTAGTTTGTCTATGGTACTGGTGTTGCTGCTGCTAATCTGGTCTTTTCTGGTCTACTGTCTTTGGTTCATGCTAGTTCTCTGGTCTATATTCTGTGATTGCGTATCCTCTGGTCTATCTCTGGTGGTGGTAAGTGGTAAGTATCTTCTTTCTTCTGGTCGCAATGATATAAAACTTCTTTGAACGCTTGTATTATTGCCTCCTTTGTCATGATAATGCATTCATGATGTTTACTTTGTTACGCATTTCTTCTTCTTTTGTTGGTTATTGCAGTGAAATCAGGTTTAAATAGATTTCACAAAAAAAAATAAAGCAATAGTAAAATACAATAGAAATCAACTGTATTTTATTTTGTGTATAAAATGAACTGAAGATCCTGGAATTGAGTAAAAAAAAGAAGAGTATTTATACATTTGCATCTGGCTTGTAGGATTAGTGATGATAGAGAGCAATAGGTGCTGCTATTGCGATATCTGGCAAATGTTGTTGATGTTTGATTTAAAGTGGTAGTCAATGCAGGAGCACTGGCCATAAGGGTCGATTTGAGTAACCTTGATGGGCTTGGGTGAGCTATCGTCATAGCATGATTTAATGTAACCTTGATGGTTTAAAGTGTGATGTTTGTTATTGAAGCATGGAATCCTTTATCTGGGATATTGTGCAACTATGGCAGCAGGGCATAGTTGTCATATTTGAATATGCTTGTTATTGATTTAATTCTATTTGGATAAAGATACCATCACCTATTACGACCATCATGGGTGTGATTGAATACACTGTGATCAGGAGTGATTCATTCACACGATGTGCGATATAAGCGTGTATCTTTACTTTAGTATTTTTAAATGGGTTTTTGATGTACATTTGAGCGCTTTCATTAATAGATCCAAATAGCATGAATTTGAATGAGTGCTATTTGATGAACTTTGGTTTTCAATTAAGTTGCGTTTGGGTGGCTATTTCATTACAGTTATGTTGCTTTACATCCGACTATTGCCATGCATGTTGCTCATGCATTGATTTTTGATGCAACAACAACGAGATGTTCTGAACTTCTCTGATGTTGTGTTTGTTATACTTTTCTTTGATTCACTTTGTGTGAGTATCCCTTTTTTTTGCCTACGTACTACTCTACTCCTATTGTACTATGTTCTTTTCTTTTATTATGTTTATGTTTCTTTGAAGCATACCTTTTTTACGTTGTGTGGATGTGCCTATCCCTGAAGCTCAACAAGACTCTATCCGAGGCTAGGAGGTAGATAGGCTGCCTCCACTTGGTTATCGCTACTTACTTTAGTGATGATTGAGGGTCTCAATGCCTGAATTTAAAGCTAGGTGGTGTAAGTAAGGCATGCTCTAGCACCTGAGGGAAATTTGATGATAGTAACAGCTATATTGCTATATATATAGCGGAGCTTAAAATTTTGCCTCACATCAAAACAGGGGGAAACCCTCGCAAATTTTTTTTAGGTCAGCGGAGTTTTCAAGCAATCTGATTGGCTAAGAGGTTGGAACAACGAAGAGTTACAGCTAGTTGATTTCCTATTGATCTGTTATCTATTATAATTTTGTGTTTGTAATAAAAAATAATGTATCAAAATAGATACAATTTTGTTAAGCACAAAGAATAAAAGGATTATTACTTGTAGCTTATAAAAAATGTTTGATATTATAAAAATAGGAAAAGACTTATTTGAATAAGATCAGACACAAAAACTAAAGATTTATTGATGAAGACAAGAGTTATTCTATTTATACTAAGTTCTGAATGCCAAAGTAGCAATTTATCTTGTACAACGCTTATCACATCTGGTGAACCTCAGTATTTAGATAGCTGAGATGCACTTCACTTATCATAGCTTGTCCATGTTGCTGCACAACACAGACATATCTACCCATCAAGAATACCTTAATCTTTATAGACAGTTGTAGCCCTTCTGGCACAACAAAAGACATCTCCAGCAAACTAAACATGCTTTTATCCAAAGTACCATGGCCTATCCTTCTTATGAGGATTATTGATATCTGATATATCATTTCTAAACTGGGCCTCTAAATGCATAGAAACAATCAGTTCAGGCACAGGTCACATAAGATCTGTATAATATTTGCTCTTCTAGCCATACCACGACTACCCTCCAGCTTTTTTGTACTATGTTGAAAAATGCGAGAAAGTATATCAGCTAGAATATTGTTTATATTTGAGCAGAACGTAACGTTAAAGGTCAATTCAAAGATGATTTCATAAAAATTCCCAATCATTCAAGTAAGCTTTTCTTGCGAAGGGAAACACAAAAGAACTTTGTTATCATATAGAGATGAAAATTGTTACTCAATAACCACTGACGGTGCTTCGCTAGCAGACGAATTTGATGATCAATACGAATTATAGTTAGGAAAATGAGCACATTTTCAACAGAAAACAAAGGTTTGGGCAGACTTAATCACTTTGTCATAATGAAACTCAAACTGGTCAGAAGCTATTCATGAGGATCCTTCAAGATTCTCAGGAACAGCTTCTGATTTGCATTGTTTGATGTCGGGGCGGTCAGTGATGCAGAGATTAGCTGCTGAATGGATGTTTAGTGGACAAATGTGCCCTTTATACAAGCAAACCGCAAAAACAGGTTGTCCTCGATATATATATGTTATAACCTATTTACTTTTAGACTATTAATGTCATTACATGAACGTAGGCTGAAGAACCACAATGCTGTTGGGATTATTCAATGGGATCACTCAGTGGTTGATGCGGTCACACAAAAGTAAATTGAAATGTTTAAGGGGAGGGGTCCAATATCTGAGAGTGTCATTTTACACATCACTCTTTTTTTTTAATCATGTCTCTTCATTTGAGGACCTCTTCTCGACGTTTATTTCTTGGCCCTACTCTATATAGACACCATATCAACAAAGTTGCTCGGTATACTACATCGTCCTCATCGTCCGCTGACAGCAATCCTTCAGATGGCAACAAAAGTAATGTAGATCCAACTTCATCATCAAAGCAAAGCACACCATCCCCACCCACAAAGCAGCAGGAACAGCAAGAGACGCCCGTTCAGAAGAGCATTGTTGCCACAAAGGCCTATCTAGAGAAACTCCAACATGACATGAAACCTCGACTCGAGCCTTACATAATGAAATTGAACCATGCTTCAGAACAACTAAAGCGCCTTACATCTGACGTCAGTGATTCTAAGGAAGCACTTCAAAGGGCAAGCCGTGCCCTGAATGAGTTGACGGGCTATGATCAGATTGATGCTGTCAAACAAAAAGTCAATAATCAAGGTAATGTATTAACCTGGGTGAGTGATTGTATGCTGATAGCTAAAGGATGTGCGCAAACATTGAACAGCGACATTATTCGAAACCACCCGTGATCAAGTGCAAGCAGCCAAGAGAGCCTATGAAGATGCCATCGAGACTCGATCAACAACGCAGCGAGGCATTAACGAACTATTACAACGCAAACATTTATGGACGGGCGATGATGTGACGAAGTTCACAGAGCTGTATCGGTTGGAACATGCACATTCACAAGCAGAGACAATTGCCAAAGAGAAATATCAAGCTTGCGAAAAGCAAATGGATAGAGAATACATGGAATTAGCACGATCCATCATGGAGCGATACCACGAGGAGCAGCTTTGGAGTGACAAGATTCGCAGCGTCAGTACGTATGGTACATGGGCATTGATGGTGGTCAATTTACTGCTGTTTGTAGCTGTGCAAACAGTATTTGAGCCTCGCAAACGAAAGAGATTGACAGATCGATTTGAGGAACTGTTGGTAGCAAAAGTGGACGAAGAAGAGCAGAAGTTCAAGGGTGTCTTTGAAGCCTTGGACGAAAAGGATCGTTTATTGATGCAACAACAAGTAGCTGTCATGGAGACGTTGAATGCTTTGACTGAGCATCCCTTATTTGATGAAGAAACATTAGCTTCGTTAAAGAGAACACAAGAAAAGGAAGAACAGAAAGCAGGCGTGATGCCTGTGCCTATAGCCCCCGTTTTGCCATCTCCTGTGGTGGTAGCAGCAGCGACTGAGGAATCCACAGTGGATACCATTGGCCAAGAACAAGCAACCCCCACCACATCAATACTGACCGAAGAGTCAGCAACACCAGTGGCTATAGAGGAAAACAAGATTCGACTTGAGAATGAAGAATTACGAAGACTATTGCTCCTCTCGCCAGCCAATTTTGACGATGCGCCCTTTTACAAAGAACAGCCTGCCACTGTTGCTTCCACCATACCCACCCTGCTATCTAACACACTAGCCAATGATGGAACCATTGCAATAGGAAAGCGAGATTTTGTATTATATTCCATAGATTGTGCCTTGGTGGGTGGTCTCTTGACAGCCATCACTGTTTATTTTCTTCGATAGCAGAATAAAGAGCATTAGATATCAACAAGGTTGATTGTGTTTGGTGGGTCGATTGGTTGAGTTGCATATGTACACGTGAAAAATAGCAAGTGGAGGGTATATATATATATATACATAGATTGAAATGTCTTGTGTCTCTCTATCACTAGGGAAATATGTCTATAGACAACAGCTGTTACTACTCATGCCAACTATACACCCAAAATACCAAATGTCACTTGCCTTTTAAATCTACAGGTTGCAGACGACCAAAGAAATCATAAAAATTCGTGTTGGCTTGTTTCTCAAGTTGATTGCGCAAATTGTCGCCTTCTCCCCATGCTGGTATAACGAATGCTGCTGCGTTCTCTTGTGAGCTATGATCCTCGTTCTGGCCTTGAGTCTCTTGTTGGCCCTGCTGATATTCCTGTTGGCCCTGCTGATTCTCCTGTTGAAGTTGACTCTGACTTTTACTTGATTCATCCACTTCTTCAACAGTGCTCAGATCATGCGTTACTTGCTCAACAGCAGCAGCAGCAGCAGCAGCAGCAGCAACAGCAGCAGGTGGGTTCTGATTCAGCTTTTGTAATGCCTTGAATCGTTTGAATCTTGGTTCTGGCATGATATCGCTCGCCTCAATTGGAGTCGAGTGTATACTGGAGCTAATTGATCTGACGCTGGCGGTACTGCTTCGTTTTGTGATGATGGTGGGATGATAGGAGTAGGAGTCCCTCTTGTTGTCAGGGCTGGCGGTGTCCGTTGCTTTATTACCTGTTGCTGCTGCGTTGCTAGATGTGGATAAAGACGCTGATGGTAAAGCTGCCTTTTTCAGAGAAGGTCTTGATGTTTTAAAGAGTCTATTCATAAAGGCACTACGGTACGTGGATGCATTGGTGGTGGGTGTAGTGGTGGTAGAAGATGGTTTGGCATTCGTTGTGAGGGAGATTGTCTTTGTAGGTGTTGATCTCGAAAGTTGAGGTTCTGGTCTCGATGGAAAGACACTAGGGCGTGGAGGTTTCACTTTGGGCACTGTACTTGATTTTCGAGCAGACACTACAATTTGAACTTGATCATCTTCCTCGTCGTAATCATCTAAAAAGGAGCGACTTTTTGGTTTCTCTGGCTGTGCTTTCGGTGCTGTATATGGCTTTATGATGGCTGTTGGTTTTACTTTGGATGGTGGTATGGTGATGGTGTTGGTTTTATGTACAGTCTCTGCTTGGCTCTCAGTAGCGTCAACTTTGCGGGTGGTTGTTTGATGGGCAGAATCGTCATTCATTTGCCTCTTCATCACCGCTTTATCTACTGCTCGTTTATGAGCATCTAATGACTGAATATCCACTTGTTTCACAATATCCTCTGTGCGCTTGTCATTCATAGACTCTGCGTCCATCAACTCGCTGGATTCTTTTGCAACATCTTCACTAGGTACAATTTGACTCGTTGCTACTATTGTAGTTGTTGGTATGGCATCACGCTTCCGCTTTAAATCTGGTCGTCTCAATGCCAATAGCTCACTAGTCAATTTTCTTGTTAGTATGCCAGTCTATTCACTTTAACACTAAGGCATATTACTTCACAGTGCTGTGCTTATCAAACCAATCAAGGTGAGCAGCCTGTGCTTCTTCCAATTGACTAATCTTACTCGAGGCTACTTCATCCCATTTGTCTTGTTGATCGAAAATCCAAAGATAGCCCTTCTTTGTCTTTTTTTCCATGTGGCTGTTTGATGAAATGAAAGGAGAGAAAAAGAGAATGGTGGTTGCCTCAAAATGCGAATTTATTTATAAGGGGACGTGTTTCCTATTGCTCGACTCAATTTTCGCGTAGCGATGCCTTCACCTTGACTAGCAGAGCATTGGATCTGAATACCAGTGAATCGTATTGCTTCAGGATAGATTCAGCTTGCAAGATACGAGCTTCCAACCGCTCCTTTTCTTGTTCCTTTTCCTCTATTAATTGCTGGATACGAGATGTGATTTCGGTTTGCTTAGACTCTAATAGATTCTGCACACCATGTGTGATGCGATAGGTTGTGCTTTCTTGCAATTTCTCGTTCTCCACTGCTCTCTGGAACTTGGTCTTTAGATTAGCCCTCAAGGCAGCAGGGATAGAAGAGGCAAATGAGAAGGCGGTCCATCCAATGCTGAGCAGACCGACAGCTGTGATGCAATTGACTATCATACGACGAGATGGCATGTTGGCAGTAGGATCATCCAGCAAGGGGTTCAAGTAGCGATGTAAAAAGCTGAGTGCCATGTCTTTAATACTGACACACTTGAACAGCACGACAGTAGCACCCGCTGTTCCCAAGCCAACCAAAGCTACCTTCTTGTCATTCACAAATCGTCTTTCTACCAAAAAGTCTCTGGCCTGTACATTGATGTGAATGCGCTGATGCTTTGGGGTTGCAGGGCTGTGAAGGACGTCTGTGATGATGTTAGCATTCCATTTGCCGAGTCGATCTACGACCATTTGATTCATGTCTTTCATGCATTCTGTTGTATGTTGGCTCGCATGTTCCTCTATTTGATCCACTTGAGATTCCACATGAGAGGCAAGAGCGCCTGCGATGTTTTGTGCGTATTGCCAAGACAGATGAATGCCAGGGAAAGTGACAGATGCAATGCACTGATCAAGCGCCTCGTCTGATGTTGCGCTGGCGATGGCTTTGGATGTGTTGCTTTCAATGCTCTCCAACGAGCTGATTGCCAGTTGCTGAATTGACTCCTGGAGTAAATCTGCTGTCTTTTGCAAATCTCTCATGTCAGGCAAGAACGTGTCCTCTAAATTCGTCACAGCATCGTCCAACTGAGCCTTTGACTTGTCTTGGTTTGCAGTAGCGAGGATATGCACATCTTGCAGCACATTTTGGAGGTAGTGTTTGGCAGGCACAAGTTTAGAGACACTACGGTTGAACAGCACAAACGATCGCAAGCTTTGTTCCAGATTGGCAAAGTCGGGGTCATTGGTGTGATGAGCAGCACTGACGAAATGCACCAACTCCTTGGCTTGAGCAAAAGTGGATGGTGATACAAGCTCAATCTGTTGCAGGATCAGGCGTTTGCAGCGTTCCTTGTCACGGATATTGTCGAATCGATTGACCACAATAAAGATGTGCTTCTTTTCTTGTGCTGCATTCATCAAAAACTCCTTGCCAGACAGTGTAAAGTGATTTTCAGCGCTGACGACAAACACCACCACATCGATTTCCTCTTGACGTGCAAAGATGGATGTTGTTTTCAATGAGTCTGTATTCAAACCAGGCGAGTCGATCAATGCCACATTGACAAGATCGTTGTGTAGCAAGCTTTGTTGTGTCAATGCCTGTTGGTTGCGAGCCGTGTAAATGTTGAGCATCTTGTAAGGTATGTCCTCATCAATGAGGGTTTTGTAAAGATGACGAGATTCAATGGGGTGGTATGTTTCCTGGTTGGATGGGTCGTATGTGGCAGTGTCTATGACGGCATGGATTATGTCGTCTTGTTCCGTGGTGTAGTCATTGGAGGAGGAATAGACTTGACAAAAGATGGATGTACAGGGTTGTTGATCCACTGGCAACATGTCCTTGTTCAATAAGGCATTGACCAATGTAGATTTACCAGAATTCAAATCACCCGTAATCAGCACTTTGGATAAAGGGTCTAATACTCTAGCCTTCAAATGGCTCAGATGCTGCAAGCATGCCTGCCATGTCGATGTTGTCTGTGCTGCACCATGTGGTGTTTGTTGCTGCTGCTGCAAGACATGGAGATCCGAGCTAGACATGTCAGTCTCCATCTGCTCCATCTCATTCAGGATATCGCTGGTCTCAGCAATATGGCTCAATACATTTTGGCAATTGGCCTTGTAGTCTTGATCCGTTTGTTGATATGTCAAAGTCATGATGTTGTCTTTTTTTTTTTTTAAAAGAAAAAATGAAATAAAATTGAAACAAAAAAAAAAAAGAAGAAAAAAGGGTTGTAATGCAATCGAGTGGAGTTTACCAGGTGCCTGGGACCATTTTTCAAATCGCAAGAACCATCGAAATTATGTCATGTATGTACAAGTGCCAAGATCACTTTCTAGAACTCTGCTTTGGTCCAGAGTGCCATGCAAACGATGTTGTGAATGACAACAAAGACAGCTAATGTACAATAACCTGCGAGTAGTTTGAATCGCATTCGAACGGTCAACAGCCACGCAATCATGACCCGATCTTATACTGGAGTGTGGCTTCCTGGCTGTCAAATGCATTGTGCAAGTCAGTCTGTGGTTCAGAGCAATTGCTTGGTGTATGGAAAGCCATGCAAGTGCAAAAATACAGGCCTGGTATTGTGATTTGCTCGATGTTTGTGTGTTTGGCATAAAGTCGAGAAGCAGCAAATAGCCTCTATAGAGCCCTACTTATCCAAGTTGGAATCTCGCTTTATAAGCGGCTGTCATTACTTTGATACCCTCTATGAACAATCTATAAGCATGAATTTAGGTGTTGTGCGATTCTCCACGCCTGCACCTATAAAAACAATTCATATATGGGCAAACAGCATCCCTGCATTCACTCTTATTACCCCAGATTATGCAAAATATAACAAAACCTCTGTGTACTTGAACCGCGTTTTCTCGTGATAGAAGCTGTTTTAAGCTGCCAGAGTAACGCTAAACGATTGCTTTCACCCAACACTTACTTGCTAATACAATTACTCAACTATTTTCAGACCAAAAAAAAAAATATCGCCAAAAATCGACCTCAAACCATGAGGGGTGTGCCTCATGGAAAACATCAAGAAATCAATCGATCGCATTTTTCATGCCAAAAACGAAGACTTTTATTATGGCATACATTGAATCAAAATGTTTCTCTCAAGTCAATGCAGCCCCTGAAATCACTTTTGTAAAACTTTCATATGTAAATTCTCGACATTTTTATCAAAAACCTCATTCCATATTTTCCAAATTTGCTCGACGAGTTTGTTCAAAACACCTTTTATACTTAACACCATCAGATGCGCCTTGTAAAGTACTCTTGAAAAGCATAAGGGAGTATGGGATGATCATTTCATTTTATATAGTCGAATGTTGCAAAATAGCTCTTTTTTTTTTTTTTATTTTTAAATTGTGTTTATTGATTGAGCCGCGTACACTAAGAGTAATAGGTCAGAGTGAAGAGGCGGGTGCAATTGAGAAATGAAAAAAATATAAATATAAATGGAAACTAAACTAAACTAACAAAAGGAACTATCTAACTATCTAAATTACAAGAGGGAATGGATTTGATCTTCATCCACTGTCTGTCGGACAGTGGAGTGGATATGTACCAGAATCGCCTCAGGGACAAAGATAGTGCCGTCAAAAACAAAGCGCATATGGGCTAGCCATATTTGAGACAGGGTGATGAGTAGGATTCTGTATGGATGCCTTTGACTTGGGAGTACCAGATATCTGAAAAGTCCAGGGACAGAAGAGCCTCTTTGATGTCAGTGATGGACGTGGTGGGCCATAGGAACTCAAAAATGACGCCTTGCCATACCTTTTCTTTGGATGGACAGTCAAAGAGCAGGTGGCTGGCAGTTTCATTGGGAGACAAGCAGACAGGACAATTGTGGGACTCGAAAAATGCAGGCATCATGTAGTGTAATCTGCTTCTAGAAGGGATACAGCCTGCGATGAATCGGTATATCACATTACGTTGAATGTAGGTAAGAGACAGAGACCAAAAGAATTTCCAATTAGCAGCAGAGACATTTTGCAAGACCAAGGGCTGTTCCACCGACGACAGTACAGACAGACGAAATGTTTTGGCGGAAGCCTGAGCGTTTCTAAGAGATTGGCCATCGTGCAGACAAAATTGATCCACCAGCGGCGCAAAAGAGACTCCAGGATCTACTACAGGGGCTGGATTACACACTGGGAGGAAGTAGGGCTGGAATTTAAGAGTGCCAGATGCGAGGCCTCTGAACACTGTTGAAGGAGCTCTCTTCCACCTGAGGAGGGAAGGGTCACGAGTGTCTCTCCAATGTACAAAGTTAAGCCGGGCATCGTACTGAAATACATCAGAAACCATCATCTCTTTGACTTTAAGAGGAACAACCAGTGAGGAGGATGGAGGAACATAGAAAGCCGCCTGTAATGGAAGAGCCATGGCAGTTGCAGAATTGATCGGTGCCGCATCAAACAACTTAGGAAGATAGTCAACTGTACGATATAACATATCGACAGTTCCCGTGCGTTGCTTTTTCAACCCCTTAGTACGACGAGCAGAGGGAAATAGCAGCGGGATTTGATGGTGGGGGTAACCATTAACATTGCGAATGTGGTAGCTTAAGAGGTACGACACAGGATGGGAATCTATGACATCTTGATCTTGAACCAGTAATGGGTGGAGCCAACGAAAATACAAAGCTGAAGCTTGTATTTGGATGTCTACAACACCGAGACCACCTTTGTCCTTTGGTAGAGTCCACACCTTCCAAGGGATGACGGGGAAGATGTTTCTTCTCAAGAACTGAATAGCCAGAGAACGCAGCTGCTTGAAGTCAGCTTGAGTCAAAGGCGTAACACGCAGGATGTACCATAGCTTGGAGAGCAAAAGAGAGTTCAGCACTGTAGCCTTTCCAACGACCGACAGGGAGCGACCAGAATGAATCTGGATGGCAGTTTTGATCTTTGTTACCAAAGCACCCATAAAGTGAACTCGCTGAATCCTACTTTGGACGAGAGGAAATCCCAGATAGGTCAACGGTTCATCGTCCTCAACAGAATGGAGATGTGTGATACCCATTTGTGATAATGGACCATCCCACATATCCCATGTATCCCGACCAGACACTGAAAAGGCTTCCACCTTGGCATTATTGAACTTGGCGTTGGAGGCAGCACAGTAACGAGCCATATGGAGCTGTAACCGAGTCAAATCATTGGAGTCATGGATAAACACCAAAGCGTCATCAGCATAGCACAGGAGTTTTGTTCGTGCAGTACCCATCAAGTAGCCTTGAAATTGGCGATCATGCAGGATTGCAAGCAGAAAAGGTTCAAATGCCAAGTTGTACAGTACAGGAGAGAGAGGATCCCCCTGCTTCAAGCCTCGAAGTTTCGCCACTTCAGTTGACAGATGGCCATTGATGTTGATACGTATGAGGTTGTCACCCATCAACTTGGAGATACACTTGATAATAGGGCGAGGAAACCCAAATTTCCCCAATACCTTCCTCAAATATTCCAAGTTCACCCGATCGTATGCCTTTTCTTGATCCAGAAGAAGACCGATGTCATAATCCAAAGTGTTAAAGGAAGGATCATTTTCCTGTTGTTCAGCGATGGACCATTTCCGTTGAGCATCTTCCATTAGGAGCTGGCAGATCATTCCATTTTCAGCAATGAATCGACCAGGAATAAACCCAAGCTGATGTCGGCTGATCAAGTTGGAAGAGACTTCCATGATTCGACGGTTGATATTGCGAGTGAAGAGCTTGTAGTCTGAATTAGCCAGAGACAGAGGACGGTAGTTCTTCATTTCAGCTGGATCGCCTTTCTTGTAAAGCAGACACATGACGGATTCGTTCCAAGATGGCGGGAACTTACCCTTCTTTAAAGCTTCATTGTAGACTAATTGGATGAGATCATGGAACGGTGGAAATTTCATTACCAAGTACAGGATTTCATAAGGTAATCCATCAGGTCCAGGACTACTCAAACGACGAGTCTGCTTGCTATCGGTCAAGAGTTCCTCCACATCAATCGGCATCATCAATGATTCCTGCTGCTCGCTGTTGAGCTTCAAATGACCTGGGATGTTGCGAATTATAACACTGAGGGAGGTTGAATCCAGAGCCTCCGGTGTGAACAGTGAGGTGTAAAAGTTGGTAGCAATGTTGGAGATGCTAGGTTGATCTTGACATAGATCGCCAGTTGTAGGGTTCCTGAGTTCCACAATTGAACGACGATTTTCTCGAGACACCACAGAGCGCTTCAGGAAGCCTGGAGATTTCTCACCATGTTCCCGCCAAAATTTTCCTGCCTTCAAGATCTCTATTTCTGCAAGAGAGTGCTGGAGAGATTGAATCTGTTGATTAACCGTGTCCAAGCCTTGAAACACCAAGCCTCTTGTCTTCTTATGCCGCATCATCTTGTTTCTCTTTGATAGCAGTCGGTGTAGCTGTTGTTTCCGCCAGTTCAAATCCTCCATTTGATACTGTTTGATAAACATCTTTACTTCGGCTTTGATCCAATCCCATTGTTGTTGGGGAGTGGAGAAACGCTTGATTTCTGCCAGACGCGCCTCACTATCAATGAGGAATTCTGCCAATGCCTTCCTAAATGTTTTGTTGCAAGCCAAGAACGGATTTGCCTTCCAGTTACCAGGGCCACGGCCATTCGCATCTTGATATCGAAAAGAGAATCCCAAGAGTTCATGGTCGGTCCAGGCAGGAGACAGATACTGCTGGTTGGTGCTAGTGACTAGATGATGGGCGTTTGAACTACAAAAGATGTAATCCAGAATCCCTGAATTGCTTCCACTATGCCATGTGTTGTGTTTGTCTTCCCCAAAAACGTCAATAAAGTAATCATCGAGTAGATCGGTCCATTCTACTGGTGCACTGGTGAGGGTGCCATCGACTCGACGATCCTTGTACTGGTAGTTGAAGTCTCCCATGATAAAGACGGTGTTTGTTGTAGTAGTAATAGTTTCTTTGACAATTTGTGTGCCAATGAGTTCTGAATAGAACGCTGATCGGTCGGTGTGAGCGGACGCACGACCGTAAATATTAAGTATTGTTGCTATTGGTGGTGAATTGGGTGAATTTTCCAGGTCTCGAGTAAGATGAAGGGAAGCCAAGATAAATCGACCCCCATCAATGCCTTCTGAGATGTGTTTGAGTGAGTAATGAGTGTTGAGGGAAATGATGCCGCAATGTTGAGTCCAAAGACTCGACTTGCAAGTAAATTGAGTGTTGAGTATGTCTATAAATGTGTTGTCTGTTGCATGTGTTTCTTGAAGCACTAAGATGTCATATCCTAATGTTCGAAGATATCTAATAAATTGTTGTCTTTTTTTGGTGTTATCTGTTTTTTTTAGGCCACGGCAATTGAGGGTGGCTATTTTCACTGTATTTTGCTGATTAATCATATTAATGTTGGGGAGGTGAAGGAGGGCCTGTCAAGCCGAGTTGATGTCCAGTCTCTACTTCATTAGATGCAGCTTGTTGTTTGGCAGAACTAACATCATCCGCGCCATTAAATTTACCGATCTTCTTCGCAGGGCGTTCAGGGCGCTCCTCTCGTTCATTAGCAGAATGGGTAGAAGAGTCGTACATGATAATATCATTGGAAGCCCCTTTCCCATCGACTTCTTTAACTTGGAGTTTTGGAAGATCATCCATTTGAACATCTCTATCAACTACCTGCTTTCTAGCACCTGTTTGACTATCAGCGTCACCTTGAGTGCTACCTTGCTGGGTAGCAGTAGTTCGATTATCGGAATCACCTTGGGAACCACCAGATGCAACATCCTGGCCTTTTCCTTGGGCATTACCTTTGTTTCCAACTGGAGCACCACCAGGAGTTACTTTGGAGCCACCCTGAGTACCCTTTTTACCCTCTTTGGCCACCTGAGAGCCCTTTCGGGGTTTGGCAGGAGTGTTTTCCACCGCACGGACCTTGTTTGGGCTGTCATTGCGACTGCAGTTCTTCACCACATGTCCAGTTTCATTGCAATGATGGCAGCGGACCCACTTCTTGTAGTCAGGACAATCAGCCCGACAGTGTTCAGAGCTCTGACAATTACGACAGAAAGCCGGCATTTGATCCCATTGGAGTAAAACTTTTCTTTGATCCGAAGCTGTCAAATCCCAGACAATGACACGACTGAGTTTCTCCAAATGGCGATGACCAGGGCAAGATTTCCCAACGGGATGTAACTCTTGACATTCATAACCAGGGCTGGAAGGAACCGTTAGATTAAGTGTAGCATAACCTTCTCCTTGATAGATCCCATCAGTTCTCGAGATGCCGTGATCCAAGACATCCCCGAACGCAGAAAGTCGGGCAGCCATTTCCTCCTTCAACTGAAGGGCCGGCAAGAAAGGAAGATTCTCCAGGGTCAGTTTCACAATCGTAGCATCAGCATGGTACGAGGCAAACCCTTTCACAAAGGTGCCATCCTCTAGAGTGATACCTTCTTCAATGAGAGTCTTACGACCTTCGCTGTTGGGCAGCCACATGGTTTCCAAGAAGGCATGGTTGAGGTAGTGTCGAGGTTGTTTCCGGTATCCAAGAAATTCTTCATACATGTCTTCAGCATTAGAGGCTTCGTTGAATTGAAGAAGAGCCTTGTTCAAGAGATTGCGATCCTTGATAGGTGTCAGATCGATGAAGACGGAATCCTGTTCCACGCCTTTGAGGAATGGACGGATAACCGCCTGAGGAGGTGGCGAAGTATCCCCATTGATGGCCTGTTGCGAGGCCTCTGCTTCCGTTACAGGTCGTTTGACGATAGTGGGATTGAAAGAGACGATGGATTGTTGTTGTCTGTTGTTCCCTTTGCGGCGTGAGTTAACCACATGAGTCCACAACAGTGGAGCCGCAGTGTCAGCTTGCGAGGAACGTTGATGTACTTGACTAGTGTCTGACATGCGAAAAGGGATGACAAAGTAAAATAGATTGACAAAATAGTTGATAAAATAGATTGGCAAAATAGCTCAATCAAGTCGAGACTGATTAAGATCTGGCTAATCTGAATCAGTTGGAAAGCGAGAATTTAATGATCGTTAACTGGCAATGCCAATGCCCTTCTCTATCATGAAATCAATCGATGTGTGCGATGCTAACAAGAAAGGGGTTGCGAATTGAAAAGTAGTAGAGACTGATATGACTCTATTCAGTTGCTTTCAAGAATCATTTCTGTTTTTGGTACATTATTGGTTGCAAATTGCTCGTCCCAATGCATATAATTGTGGGATCTGTGAAACTATTGCCCTATTCTACTGCGCAAATGTCGTATAGGATGATGACATTTGTATCAAGTAACAGTATATTGTAGTTATGGATGGACACGCTGCAATACAACGAGTTCACACCTGGCTCGTAGCCAATGCAATAGCATACGATGATGGAGAGCTTAGGTGCAGACACACTCAATGTTGGGAAAGTAAGAATCTTTACAAGATGGTCAAGACTGTAGCTGGTAGAGTCTCTGATATTCTGCAAATCAGATGTTCAAAGCATTACGTAGACTGCTTCTCGTTGAAAATGATCCATTTTAAACGATTCTGCATCTGCATTGGAATAAATAGACATGAGCAAATGCATGTACAAAATGCAATCATTGGCATGTTCCTTTGAAACTCTTCCATTATATCATTCGTACATGTTTCCATAATGGAAGGCTACACAAGAAGAAAAAAAAAAAAGTTTCTGATTTGCGGGCAAATCAAATGGCGATTGTTCTGATCGCAGTAAAACTAGAAAGTGGAGTGTAGATCATTGTCTGGATCATTTTCTTTCATCATGATATCATCCTTGTCATTATCAGATTTCTCCTGGATCAAAGCTAAAAGCGCTCAGTAACCAAACTTTCTGATCAATGCTAACTGCAACATATTCTTGACATTGGATATACAAATGGAACATATGAAATCATGCATAATGAATTTTAAATAGCCGTTTCCATTTTGTTTCTTGAAATATTAATAGAATCACAAAAGAACACAAGAATACAAGCATTTCGTCATTTTGACATACGGACAATATAAATTGCTTCAACACATAATTTCTTTCTTTTTTTTTTTTCTTGTTTCCTTTTTCCCTCCTTCCTCTGCTTTCTTTTCAAATCAGTTTTTATTGAAATGTCCACTGCTTCAACTAGGCAAAAGAATTTAATGGATCAGCATCAACAAAGGGATATTACCATTCCAACAGTCAATGATCCACAAACCAACATGCATGATAGACAACAGCAACATCTACTGAAGCCTGTGTTGGATTTACATGAAAATGCAGCCCCTCCACGCATGATGCCTAAAAGTGCATCCAACCAAGCACTGCCCACCAAGAAACGAGGCGTGCTGAATCGATTTGAATCCGCTCCTCAGGATGGTTGGAAAATGATCAAAAAATGGGTAGGAAATTATAGACAACAATCCAAGAAACAACAATTGCAGTCCATTGCAAGCATCGAGCGACAAGCAGAGTACAACACGCTGGGCCCTCTGTTGATGGCAATGCATTTCTCAAGAGACGAAGACGGCAAGAAGCGCATTCCTGTGTTGCTCGACAACTTGACCGTCAAAGTGACCAAATTAGAGACCAAGAAGAAAGGCACCGTGTTTAATATCAGAGTGCAATACGGCACTGGAGCCAACAAGGTGACATGGTCTGTGTATCGTCGTTACTGGGATTTTGTCAAGTTGCATTATCGATACAAGAAAAAATACAATACCACCAGCAACAATCGAAGAGCAGCAGCGGGAGAAGGCTACATTGCTTCCAGACAACGCACAAAATTACCCAAATTCCCTAGTCTCCCAAGGAACCATTTTCGTAAGCAACGCAAACGGGATTTTGAACGAGGACCCATCAGTCGACAGGAAACCAGCATATCCCTCGATACGTCAGAATATGCAACCAATCCAGCCTCCTTAATGGACGAAGATGCCGTCATGGCCATCGCAGCGCCTATTGCCGAAGAGGATGAGTTTGTAGTCGTTAGCAGAAACAGTGCATCTCAACGACCTTCAGCAGCACACATACCAGGGCCGTTAGCAGGAGAGAGCACCACTAGCATGTCACAGATCATGGACGTTGTCAAGGCAGATCGCAATGTACTGCAAGCTTTCGAGACTTATTTGAACCAGTTTATTGCTTCCATCGGGCCACTGGGCTATGTGAATCGACTATGCAAATTTTTGGAAATTTCGGCACTGGGGTTGGCATTGGCAGCGAAATACCCTTCCTCATATCATCATGGAAAAGAGGGCTTTGTGGTCTTTCAGAGTAGAACAGATCGTGATCCAAAGCAATCACGCAAACTTTTGCAAGATGGGCTTGTGTGCTCTGTGCCGACTACAGGTGGAAGAAGACGAAGAAAGCCGAAATGGTTTGTTGTGCGAGAGAGTTATGTGGCGTGTGTGGATGATCCTAGTGAGGTATGTGTGTGTGTGTGTGTGTGTGTGTATGTGTGTGTGTTGTGTGTGTGTGTGTGTGTTGTTGCATTATGACTGCAGACAAGTATTAAACGCGCTTGATGTCCTATAGTGTACCGTCTACGACGTCTTTTTGTTTGACCAGCTATTTGACATTCATCGACTGGCCATCTTTGGCGATAAATCAACACATCATCTCTCAAAAGGCGGCAGAAAGAAGTTTAGTAACGCGTTGGCCAACGCATCTCACTGGGCCTCTGGCAAATCCACGCTCTGTTTGAAGAACATGCAAGGCATCTATCACTTTAGAGCAAAGAACGAGCAACAAGCAAAGCAGTTTGAAGCTTCCATCAATCTCATGGCGGAAAACTCCATTTGGTGCAAAGAGAATCGATTCAAGAGCTTTGCCCCTGTGCGTGATAATACAGCTGTTACTTGGTTTGTGGACGGAAGAGATTACTTTTGGGACGTCTCCGTGGCGTTGGAGAATGCAAAGGAGTCGATATACATTCATGATTGGTGGTTATCTCCTGAACTGGCAAGTTGTTGATAGCTGTATATATAGTATATTGATCTAACATAGCATTACCATCACAGTTCCTGAGAAGACCAGCAGCCAACAACCTGGAATGGCGATTGGATCGTCTTTTGAGAAGAAAAGCGGACCAAGGCGTTAAAGTCTATATTGTCATGTACAAGGAGGTGGCCATGGCGCTGCCCTTATTCTCTCATCAAGCAAAACGGCACTTGCTGTCCCTCTCACCCAACATCTTCGTGCAACGACATCCTTCTCGCGCTTTGGACATTTTCAACAAAAACAGCATCTTCTTTTGGGCTCATCACGAAAAGATTTGTGTGGTTGATAACGAAGTAGCTTTCATCGGTGGTCTGGATAAATGCTTTGGACGCTACGATACACCGGGCCACATTTTGGTAGATGACCTCAAGCCTGAACTAGATCCTACCAACAATCACCCGCAAGTCTGGCCTGGTAAAGACTACTCCAATCCTCGTATCATTGATTTCCACACTTTGGACAAACCCTTTGAAGACAACCAAGACAGAACCAAGCTACCCAGAATGCCGTGGCATGATGTTTCTATGCGTCTTGTGGGGCCTGCTGCTAGAGATGTGTCGCGTCATTTCGTGCAGCGCTGGAATTTCCTGCGTAGAAAGAAGCCCAGTGCGCCCAAACGTCCCACGCCCATGTTGCTGCCTGTGCCTGATGACTATACCAACAGCTTGACCATTGATGATCCTCGTATCTGCCACCCACACACATCAGAAAAGTGCAAGGTGCAAATTTTACGCAGTGTGTCGTCTTGGAGTATAGGCTCTATTAATGATCATGTGGAACACAGCATTCAGACAGCCTACTGCGAATCCATCAAGCACTCCAAGCACTTGATCTACATTGAAAACCAATTCTTTGTAACCTCAACCAAGAGCGGCAACACGGTGATAGCGAACAGCATTGGCGAAGCCATTTATCAACGTGTGTTGCGTGCGCACAACGAGGGCACCAAATGGAGAGCTATTATCATTGTCCCCTTGGTTCCTGGTTTCCCTGCCAATATTGATGAAACAGAAGCAAGTACAGTGCGTCTTATCATGCAGTGCCAATACCTGTCGATCGCACGAGGCCCTGACTCTATTCTGGCTCGATTGCATGCAGCCGGTGTGACCAATACTCATGAATACATCAACTTTTATGGTCTTCGTAACTGGGCCGAGCTAAATGGACAGTATGTCACTGAACAAGTGTATATTCATGCAAAGACTATGATCGTTGACGACATGGCCGTCATCATTGGATCCGCCAACATCAATGAACGTTCCCAGTTGGGCGCGCGTGATTCTGAAATTGCAGCCTATATTCAAGACGACAAGGATCTGATCGACTCTTACTTTGGTGGAAAGAAGGTCAAAGTGGGTCGCTATGCTCATTCGCTTCGTATGCGTCTCATGTGTGAACACGTTGGTTTGGATGTAGATCAAATTGACAGAGAAAAGTACGAGCCGAAGAAGAAGAAGACATCCAAGAGCTATATGAAGCAACGATTATGGGCAGATCGTCACTTGCATGATGAAGACAAGAATGATGCCGTCAACTGCCTGCCACCCTTCATTCAGGTCAACAAGAATTTGGACAAAAACACTAGAGAAAAGGACCAGATTCAGCAGGAAGAGAAAAGTGAACCTCCCATGAGCGAGATAGAAAGAACTAGTACGCGCTTGTCTTCAGATAGTTCAGCTACTTCAAGCAGCAACAACTCGGATGTCGCAGAGCAGAAAAAGTATGGCAGACGAATGAAGAGACGTCTATTGCGTAGAAAGAGCAGTGGGCAACACATCAAGCAAGAAAAGGCTGGTCAAGCGGCTGCTGCTGCCAATGCTATAGCTGGATCAAAACGACTATCCCCAGGCCCTACGCCTCTTGAGCCCGTGCAATCCACCAAAACTCAAGACAGCGCCAACACAACATCTTCTTCCACCGGTGGAAACACTTCCATCTTGTCGCCCACCAAGTCCATTTTCAACAAACACAAGAGCACCAAAGAAGACTATCTTGATTTCTGGATTTCTCTGGACCCTGATACCGACAACAATGGCGATCGCAAAGCTTGGGACGAGAAGCGCAACACGGGAGAACCAAAATCAGATGCACGTGCTGCCAAAGACTTGCCCTATGAACCTGAGTCCAACTATTACAGTAGCGTCAAACTAGAGCCCTTGGATACCGGCAAAAAGACCGTGGGCGATATCTACAGATTGTTGCAAGATCCTCTCACAGACGAGTTCCAGGACTTTTGGCACATGTTGGCGCGTATCAATACAGATCTGTTCCGCCGATCCTTCTTGGTGACACCTGACAACAATGTGCGTACCTGGGATCAGTATCATCACTTTATCAAGATGGCCAAGATGTTCTTGGGCCGAACCGATGCCAAACATGGAGGCACCAAGACAACTGCTGCTGCTGCCAATGTCACAACATTGCCTCTCAATGAAGCCAATGGTGGACAAGATACCATCCGTGAAATCATTCGTCATATTCGTGGACATCTTGTTATTTGGCCGAATCATTTTATGGAGGATGATGATGGTCAAAATGAGTTCTTGTTCAATGTGGATAAAATTGCTCCTTTGGAGATTTTTGATTAAATGTAATATATTATGTATGTTTAATAAAGGTTACTAGAGACCAAATTCTTGAGCATTGAATGTTGATTCTATGTAATTCATGGAGAGTAACATTATGGAATGTATTAAAGCACGCAAGTATTTTTTTTTTTGCCTTGGGCATCTCCGTGGCGGCATCAGATGAATCTGACCAGTGAAAGCTTCCAAGGCATAATTGAGCATTCAAAGCACATTTTGAGCTTCTCGTTCAAAGCTTCAGAGCGATGTGACTCTACAAAACCATGTCCCAGAACGAATTTTTTTACATTTTGAATATTTTTTCTGACAACTTCTCATTACTGTCTTGAAAAGCGCTAACAACCGCTTTCTCTCTTTCTATACACAATGCCCAAGAACACAATTGATCAATTTATATCCAACGTGGTAGATAAACCACATGTTTTCTTTGGCTCCAATCAAAAAATTGTGGATAATGCTCTACAAGTAGCCAAGCATTTCTACGACAATGGTAAGTTTTTTCAAGTGTAATTTCATGGCAATGAACTGACCATTAGTTATACAGTCAAGAAAGTGGAACAAGTTCAGTTCTCTCCCTTTACCGAATTATTAACAGAAGGCTTCGATAATGATCAGATTTGGGAAGAAATTGCATCTCAAAATGAACCCTTTTTGGACTTTGCAAAGACAGCTCTGAAAGAATTCTCAAAAAATCCTTCCTCTACTACACGAAAGCAATCATTTACTGACGACGATGACGAAGAGAGCTTATCAGGACATTCCATGGATTTGGATCAAGCAGAGGATGACGATGAGGAAGCAGATCATGGCTTGGATTTCATGGATCAAGATATGGAAACAGATCAAGATGAGGAAGAGAATGATGAAGAGATGCAAGAGGATAGCAATGACGAAGATGACGATAAGGATGCCGTTGAGCCCGAAGTTGTGGACGCACCAAAGAGGTAATTTAGATGTGATGACCATGGCAACCTGTACTAGACACTCATGCCCTATTATTGAAGCTCTTCTAAAAAGACATCTGAAGTGGATGATGAATTCTTCAATCTGGATGAATTTAACAAATGGACCGATAAACAAGAAGAATTAGACATGATGTCGGATCGTGAGGATCAAGATGACGAATTCGATTTTGATAAAGATTTAGACGAACAAGAAGATTCTGATGAGGAGGAAGATGATACAGAAGCTGCCACAGGTAACTATTTGTGATAATGCACATCAAGGAATCGATCACATCTAACGTTCCATGCATAGAAATGTTGTATGAAGACTTTTTCGGAGAAAAGCCCAAAATGAATGCCAAGCCCTATACACCCAAGAAGAAGCAGATTGAATATGAAGAAGAATTAGTGAATTCAGAGGAAGAGGATGAAGAAGAAGCAGAGGAGGAGGAAGAGGAAGAGCAAGAAGATGGACCTGTGCGTGATCTTTTTGGTGCCGACGACTCTGATGCCGAGGAAGGAGAGAGCGAAGAACAATCAGCATTCCAAAAGCAACAAGCCAGACTCCAAGCGCAAATTGAAGAGTTTGAAGATGAGAATATCCAAGACAAGCACTGGACATTGCGTGGTGAAGCTACAGCCAAAGCCAGACCTGTCAATAGTTTATTAGAAGAAAACCTTGAGTTTGAGCATGCCAACAAACCCGTCCCTGTCATTACACAAGAATCCACAAACACATTGGAAGACATGATCAAGAAGCGTATCTTGGATAACATGTTTGACGACGTGGAGCGTAAAGTGGACCCCACATTACGGCCCTTTATCCCATCAAAGCGAGTGGAGATCAGTGATGAAAAGGCCAAGCAATCGTTGGCTGACATGTATGAAGATGACTTTGTCCGCAAACAAGCTGGTGAAGAAAAGAAGGATGCTCGTGATGAGGCATTAGAAAAGGAGCATGATGAAATCAGCGACATGTTCAAGACGTTGTGTCACAAATTAGATGCACTCTCCAACTTCCACTACACACCCAAGGCAGCCAAACCAGAGATGACCATTGTCAGCAATTCTGCAGCCATCAGTATGGAGGAGGTCACACCTGTAAATGTGTCTGATGCAACATTACTAGCACCTGAGGAAGTCTATGATAAGAAACGTGGTGATGTCAAGGCTGCAACTGAGATGGATCAAGATGAACGTAAGCGCTTGAGAGCTCAAAAGAAGAAGCTCAAGAGAAAGGAGCGCGACATGAAGGAGAGAGAGCAAAAGATCATGCAGAAATACAATCCTCAAATGGGTTCCAGACAAGCAAAGACCAAGGCTGTCAAGGAGCTATTGGGACAAAAGAATGTTACAGTCATTGGCAAAGATGGTCAAAAGAAGACTACAACAAAGCAAGTTACCTCTGCTTCACTGTTTTAGTTGTATTATTGTATAGATTTATAAATATAAAGATTTTTTTTTTATTTCCAAGTAGGGTTGTTTTATATGTATTTACATCAATAAGTTAGACATAAGAGAGATATATGTCAAAGAAACGTGTAGAGATCCAAGAGAGTTAAATGTGCATCATAATGTAGTTGTTCTATAGGAATCATAAAGTATTTACATAAAAGCATGTTGGTATATAGGTATATAAAATCATATCATAGGGTAGAAAGAGAGTAGCGTACAAAACGATATGTAATGGGGTATAATAAAATACTAGTATATAAAATTAGTTTGAATGAATGATGTTGGATCGACGAGGTGGAAATTACTGCTGAATGGGATTACTGCTGGCTCTCTTTCGCTTCCATTCAACACATTGGACTTGTGGTTTGATTTCAACGGTATCTTCTTGGCCCCATACAATTTTAAATCGACCTTTCTGAACGCAACTACTTTTTGCAGGCTCTGATTTGTTGCGTACCAATGGTTGACATGTCAAGTGGACGCTTTTGGTTGCAGTTGCAGCCGTGGTTACTTGATTCAATGACGTTGATTTTGTCAGTGGCGTAGTGATGATGGGCGTTGGTAAGCTCTTTCTGCCATCTTGCCAGAAATGCGAATCCCAAATCTTCATGGCCGGAGTCGCACCGCTACCGCTTTTGGTTGAGGTGGCCATGGTAGAATAGTAATCGTCTTCAGAATCATCCTCGGAATCCGAGTAAATGTCATCGCTCGAATAGATGGAGTGTGTGGTGCTGTTGCGCTTGGTTTTTATGCCTGTCAAATTGGCAAATTGACTTGCAGTTAAATCCTCAGAATGAATTGCAATTTCAGTCGATTCGGTGCGAATGTATTTCTCTGTTGCTGCAGCTAAAGCAGTGGCTGATTTGGACGATTTCACATTCCAAAGAGAACTGTTATGTGAACGATGGAGTTTATCCGATATTTTGTGTAGTCTCTTCTTCCATTTGATTGAATCAAAGTAATGTAAGCTGGATGTTGATGTAGAGTGCATCATTGTGTGTCGTTGCCAAGAGAAGAGAGAGAGAGAGAGAGAGAGAGAGATGGGAATGAAAGAAAAAGAAAGTGCAAGTGAGTATTGGTTTTAAAGGAAATATGAAATTGGGCAAGATAGCATGCAGTTGAGTGGTTTATGCCCACAGGCCAAATTACCTCAAGCTATTTAACAAGAAGCTCCCTGATATTAAGGATATTCTATCGAGAGACAAGACAAAACTTTTGATTTTGACCTCCCCATTTGTTGCTATATCAATTTCCATCATGCGAATTGATTATGTAAGCATACACACATTTACACAACATTGAGTTGTATCTATATATCATGTACATTGCTTTTCTGTTTATTTCAAACGTATGCTTTCGTAATTTCATGGAGTCTTCTCCATCAGCAATTGCGCTACTGCTCAAGCTAATTTATTTTCTGTACTAATACACCTAATTTCATTAAGCTGACCCCTCGAACTTTCTGTGATCCTCATGTCTCGTGTCACCTACTAGTCGAACTTTATTTTGTAGTGCTTCACATTGCTTCAGGCATTTAATCTCGTTGCATATAACCTGGAAAAAATCACAATAATGTCATCATCATCGCTGCTGGAGAATGTTTATATATATATACATACTAAGCGTAAAAACTAAACATTTTTGGGCCTTGTCTATGGATCAAAATCCACTCCTTTTTCTAAGAGTGCGCGGGTAATTTACATATATTTATTGTAGTCAAATTAATGTCGACTGATTACACTTCAATGCCATCTGTCCACGTGGCAACATTCTATCCATATCTGCGTGTATGTGTGTGATGATACACATATGTTTAGTCTTTTAATTACGCTTGATTAAAATGACGAGATAATACACATTCATCAAGAGAATGAGTGGCCGTCAGTAAATTCAGGAACGGCATTTCATGTTGAACAAGAATATATTCACTAAATTTGACTACAATGACTAAAGCTCCTCATCGAGAGAGGTTTATCAAGAATATGGTGTGATCAGGCTCTTGACAAGTTTTCTCAGGTTACTCTTGCTATAAGAAATCGTTCGATGCGTTCTTGGTGTAGTAATTGTAGTCAAATGATGATGATATACTCTTTCAACTGGATAAGCACAAATTTCATATACACATGTGTTTATTTTTTTTATCTATTGCATTCATTGTTTTCTTACAGAGATGTAAAGTGATCCTGGATGTACAATGGCATCATAGATCACGTTGGTGCACCTTTTCTCTCGAGAGACTGCGGGCTCGGATCCAATGCGAGGCTTCTCTGAAGCTCACCCTGATGATTACAAAGTGATGGTCTATTTCGCCAAATGCGAACGCATAATATCAATGAATCAACCAGTAGCTTTCAGCCAACATTTGTAATCCACAGCTTGGAGAAAAAGTATAAAAGAAATAGCTTTTGATAGGCATTATGGCATGATCCTAATGCTGATCTGATTTACGCACAACGCTTCTTTATGAGAAGCTTGTTTGTAACAGGTTTATCATCGCAAGAAAAAGATGTATCACAACTTTTTTTTTTTCCATCAAGCATCTCTCTTTTCGTTTGTCTTCATTCCTCAACTAGGTGATGCCAAATGAGAACCCAAACCTGTATTTACTGTGGTATCACTGAACCGAGCAAGAAGCCACTTGATCAACATCAGAAAAGGTGCTATTTCAAATTCAAAGAGAGGCGTATCAAGAAGCTACATCGATGTGTTAACATGCCTCTTCTCAAAACCATTCTGTGCGATGCAGAGAAACCAAAAACTGTCAAAACAAAGCAGCACCATGGGGTCCACAACAAGAACCATCAAAGAATGTCGAGTAACTTAACATCAGGCTAAATATACTCAACATCTACGAATGGACATATGCTAATAAAGACAGGGTTTGTTTAGTATACCACACTGGTAGAACTTGATTGTTTGTGAAACAGGCGGATTTAACTTTTTGGCCCATATAATAGGATTGGGGTAATAGCAGAATGGTTTTCTCTGTCTCTCCTCTCTTTTCTCTGTATCTATTAAAAATTTGCGAATATGGTACAAGCACCTCCTCAAAAAAATGCCATTTCATCACCTTTGGAGGTAGGCAACATGCGCTTGAAGCATCGTATTGTATTGGCACCCTTAACAAGACTACGTGCTGATCAAGATGGTGTCCCTACCGATTTACAAGTCGAATATTACAGCCAACGGGCCTCTGAAGGGGGTTTATTACTGACAGAATGTACAGCAATCAGTCCCACAGCTCGAGGCTATCCACAAGGACCTGGCATATATAGTCAAGCGCAAATCGAAGGCTGGAAGAAAGTGACAGATGCAGTGCACAAGAAGGGAGGCTTTATTTATCTTCAATTGTGGCATAGTGGTCGTACCGGTAAAAAAGCACTTCATCCCAACCAGGAACAAGTGGTATCAGCTTCCGCTATTACAGCGACAGGCACAGACATTCTTGGAGAAACATTTGAAACACCAAGGGCACTGGAGATCAGTGAGATTGAGGAGATCATCCTAGATTTTCGTCAAGCTGCCGTAAATGCAGTAGAGAAGGCTGGATTTGATGGTGTGGAGATTCATACAGCATTTGGGTACTTGTTGGATCAGTTTATCAACACATCCAGCAACCAACGTACTGATTTATATGGAGGATCTATGGAGAATAGATGTCGATTTACATTGCAAGTGACAAAGGCGATTGTAGAAGCCATCGGTGCAGAGCGAACGGGCATAAGAGTTTCGCCAGGTGGCGGTGCATTTCATAGTGCCACTGAGGAGTTTCCCATCGAGACATGTAGCTATCTTTTATCTCAGTTGCAAGCGCACTGGCCCTTTATGGCCTATGTTCATTTCATGCAGATCAGAACTGTAGATGACTTGGATGTGGATGATGCCGCAGTTTATAGAGCCATCTGGAAGGGCCGTGTTATCTCCAGTGGGTTCTCCACTTCACTAGACATGAGGCATGCTATTCAACATGCAGAAAAGACAGGAGACATGATTGCCTTTGGAAGAGTTTTTGTATCCAACCCAGATCTCCCTTATAGAATTGAGCATGGATATCCTCTCAGCCCTTTTGATTACAAGACATTTTATACACATGAACCACAAGGATACACAGATTACTCTGTTTACAACTAAACACTTTAATAATAAACCTGTTGCGTTACTCTTCCTCTGATCCTGAAGGAGAGCGTTGGTTGTGTAAGGCCGAGTACGTGGTGCGGCTTTGTCTTGTCAGTGCCCAGAAATCAGGTACCATTAAAAAGTATCGTTCCATGGCCTCTCTGAATCGAATTCTGTATTGACGTGGTGATACAATGGTGGGTCCCTTTCCTCCTCCACCTAGAATACCAGATTCCTTGACCCAGCTTTCTAATTTCTTGTCCCAAGTGAATGTTCGGATGAAGTCTGCATATAATAAACCGAATGAGTTCACAAAGTGCATTCACTAATAGAGCACGCTTCTTACCAACAATGCCCACCACCAGTTCCTGGCGCTCCTCATCTATGCCTACAAGCAACGAATAATCCATGACATTTCTATTTGACAAGAACAGTGTATCGTTGTGCAATGAGCTGCGAAGTATTTCTTTTGAGTGAGCGCGTATAAACAGTGGTGATTGATAGATCACTAAGCAACCACATTAATTAATGAGGTGGACACGAACATTACATCAACAAACTTACACTCGACAAGATTCTCGTCTAGCAAGACCTCATCCTGCTTTCCAGTAGATTGAACATGTCTATTTCTCATGGATCCTTTCAAATCGAAAATCTATAGCACAACCATTGAGTATATAAATACTGGGACAACCCGCTTTTGCTTACCTTCTTGACATTTCTTTGATAAAACAAATTCTCCATGACAAGTACATCCATTCTCATGGATTTACCAGTAGCTGAATTCTTGTACCCAATACTATAAAAGCCAAATATCTTTGCCAACACGGTAGGTAATTCACTAAAGAAAGCTTCCGACATGTATTGGAAATAAGCAGGCGCAAATCCTAAAAAGGCATCCAACTCGTATCTGGACATTTGCTTCATTAATAGGCGATCATCCTTGGTCTTGAGAAACGCAGAACCTGACTTGCCACCCGAGGAGTCCCATTTGATACAACTGGCCAACGACATGATGTAACTCTCATCGCATCCACAGTTGCGTCTCAAAGCGTCAAATTGCTCAGAAAAGAAAATTTTGCAGAAAAATTTGGTGGAGCCAGTAGAGAAATTGTATCGCATGTGTGTGCCTGATTCTCTCAGTAAGGTTTCTTGAATATCATCGGCATTGGTGGTGCTGTTGGGTGCTTGTGAGTTGATGAGGGTGTTGTCCAGCGTAGTGACTTCAGAGGGTGCTCTAATGGAAGCATTGCCTGGCTTGATAGTGTCTTCGTTGGATCCTTGATCACCACCACTACTGCAATCCTGAATATCGTGCATTTTGTCAATGTAATCTTCCGAGCTCAGTGTGTATGCAATGATGGAGCTAGGTTCGTCTTCACGTACAATGACATAAGAATCAGGAAACAAGTATTCCGTGGGTTGCCTAGGCGCTCGCAGTGTGAGTTCCCATAGTTATTCTCATTTCATCAAGCATACTTACAAGGGCGATTCCAATGGCAGTAAATTGCCAACACCACTGTCCGTCAAGAAATTGGTCAATGTCTTCATAAATGATATCTTTTCTGCCGAGTGTCGCAACTCATCCAAATTTTCTGTCAATGTCTTGCCACTGACCACACCTTCTGCTACACTGTCCAACAAGATGTCTGGATGCAAATTGTGCAACCCACTCAATACATTGGCGTCTTCTGTAGAGGGCTGCTGAATCTTGAGTAGTTCGGATGCGCTGGGTAAATCTCGGTCAGTGTCATCGTCCCCTGACACGCCAGACGACAAGTCTATTGGCCCATCACTGAAAGGAAAATAGGGTTTGGCAAGCGAGTGATATGAGGCAATGGCTAAGGGCATGGGCCGTTGTGGCGATGGGGGTGATAATGGGTCAGCAGGTAAGTTGGACTTTTCCTGATCAATCTCCTCTACAGGCGCTCCTTCCGGTAATCCGTGTTGTACCACTTCTGAAGCATAGGGTGCTAATGATGAGAAGTAATCAATACTAGGCACGTTGTCGTTGTCAGATGAACCGCTGCTACTAGAGCTATCGTCAGACATGTCATCATCATCATTATCTGCCTCCATGCCGTTATCTTGATAGAATCGAGTAGGTGCATAAGTATCTCGTCTTGCTCCACCAAAGTAACCCTGTCGCTGTTTACGATGGTGCTGTCTTTTTGCATTGTAACTGCCAGTGATGGCGTGAGCTGCTGCTGCTGCTGCTGTTCCTCCTCCTCCTCCTCCAAATTCATCCTCCATGTCTTCTTTTACCAGATCATTGGCTTGTGTATAGACTTGAATGTATGTCTTCTTTCTTGGTAAACGAGATCTGAAACGACGATCTGGAGTAGTATTGCTTGTACCTGAGGCTCTTGTGGTTGCACTGCGACGTAGGAACGACACTTCTGATAATCCAACGTCCTCATCCTCATCCTCGTAATCTGTTGGGAGGTGTTGACTGTGGCCAATGGAATGATGTCTACGATGTCGATTCCTATCTGGCACTATTCCACTAGTACTGCTACTGCCTTTTCTATCCAATATTTGCTTTCCCTTGCTACTATTGCTAGTACGCTTACTATTACTGCTTCGATGATGATACTGTAGATAACTGGAGTTTAGACGAGGCGGATCGAGATTGTTGAAATGGTTGAAACGATGGAAGTTTTCGTACATGGGAGATGCAACCACATTATTCTGTTGTTGTTGTTGTTGCTGACGGAATTGTCGAGGTATAGGAATACGAGAGGGTGTGAATGCAGCTGAAAGTGCACCAGGGCTCTTGACTCGCAAATACTTGTTGGAAGCCATGCGATTCAAGGAGAGCATGCCTGCAGGACGGTGCTGTTGATCGTCCTCGTTCGATTTGAACTTTTCATTCAGTTCATGCATAAGCTCCAACGATAATCGGCGACGCAGTTCAGGTTCTAAAAAGGAATGCTTGTGATCCGGGTCGATGCTTTGTTGCTTTGGTTGGGCAGTGTCTGTTTCCGTCGTTTCCATGGTAACCAGCAGAGAAGGCGATTCGATAGACGGTGTGCCAGACAACGCAGGCATTATGACTTGATTGGGCTGAACGGCTATTCGACCATGTTTGAGAATATGTCCAATCAAGGCATCATCGTCTTCTCCATCAAGGCCGATACCTAGCAAAGGCAGATCAGTGACTTCAGTAGCTCGTTTTGTCCGCTCGTTGTCCATGTTGTGAATCACACTGGCATCGTCTGTAGGAAACATCTTTCTGAACTGGGCTGTAGTGATTTTTTTGAGCTCACGTTCAGGCTGCAGGTAGAATTGGACAAAATCCGCATACACGGCATCCCAATGCGCCACGACTTGAAACAGGTTGCGGCGCACAATGTTGATGGTCAATGTGTCAATGGGATCTGACGTGGCATACACATTCTGCACCAACTGCAGTGCATCCTTCTTTTCGCCCTGTGCCTCCAGTGACATGTCTTGCAACTCTGCTTTGCACGTTTCTAACTTGCGTGGATCCACCAGGTCAAATGGAAACGCCTTGTTTCGCTCAATGATGGACTGGTAAAACTTGTTGATTTTGGATCGCAATGACTTGAGTTCGCCTTCCTTGATGTCCATCTGCACTTGGTTTTTGATGAACAGTTTCATGGGAGGTGCAGCTACTTCCAACAAATCAATGGGATCATACTGGAATCGCACCGTCAGATCATTGTAGCCAAAGTAACGCACATGGTGACGAGCCATGTCATGCGGACAGATATCAGCACGACAATGCACGCCTTGCTGGTAGAGGAATATCTCGAGGAATTTGCCAAACGAATAGTTCCACGTATTGTCAGACATGGGCATCACGGGTGTTGGCTTGTTGCATTCCTTGCAGTAGTTCCACATCAGCAACTTGTCTGACATGCCAGGTAGAGGACAAGGGAACTGCTCAATCATGACATTGACGCGTGCATTGCCGTGCGCATAAGAGCGGTAATGCTGCAACATGGGGTGATCACACATGAACGACGAACAGGGCTGACGAGCATCGTTGCAGAGATCAATCAAATACTGTCCCAGTGTCTTGTCTGACGGATAGCGATAAAAGCCAAAGATACGGATTTCAGGGCCCTGACAAGGCACAGTGGTGACGGTACAGACACTGGAATACAATACAACAATGTTCTGATGGTAAAAGGGAGAAATGGACTCGGGGTTCTCGCCAATGTAGGCATCCCAGGCACGCGATATTTGGTGGTTTTTGGCAATCAAGTCGTACTCGTCATCATATGCATTGATATGTTGCTTTTCAAATGTGGATTTGGTAGGCGATGCAGAGAGAGGAGGTTGAGTAGGAGGCACAGCGTCTCGAATAGTGACAGTAGTGGCATTGGTCAACACAGAAGAACCAGACACCGACTTGCGTCTCTTTTGCTGATGAATCAAGGCCAGTTTGTCTTCGGTTTCCTTGAGCGCCAACAGCAAATAAGGTGGAGGAAAAATGACGAATTGAGATACGGACAAGATTGTGTTTTGGTACAAATTTAGCAGATCATTGATGTAGTGCGCATTGACCGTCTGTCCATCTTCCTCGTCCATGGAAGCCACACTTTCGCCGCAATGCTTGCCAGAAGCTGCTATGGACATCAAAGGGGATCGATGTCTATTGCTGTCATCACACGAAGCAGCACCACGGCTCTTGGCAAATGAATCCAAAAGCAACGATGTCTCCAACTTCAAGTTATTGACCACAAACACCATAAAATCAATCAACCGCTTGATGATACGCAACGTCTCTACCTTTTCACCTCTCAGTACAATGGTGCCGCCCAATTCAGGTGCGCAATCATCAAAGATTAGGAACGTCTTGCGTCGGTTAGGCAGCCATTCATGTATCACGGTACGAATTTCGAACGAACCACAGCGTCCAAACGACAAGCCATGCTGCAATTTGTCCACTGAGGTCACGATACTAGCCTGTGTGCATCTGGCAATGGCTTCCAACACGCTGTGCTTGACGTTATGAACGACTGGGATATTGGCCTCCAAGAGAAACTCAAGCGCGAGTCGAGATACGGTGGATTTCACCAACAACAAGGAGGGCTTCAAGGCAACAATGCGACCCACTAATTTTCGAATGTGCTCTCGTTCTTGTGATATGACAGGTGCAATGGACAAGAGCTGGTTCTCCATCTCCACACGCGAGTAGTCTAAGGAGAACATCAATATCAAGATTCTAGGATGCGACATGTTCTTTAGCATGCGTTTGTGAGCTACATTCTTTGTGCACACGACGCCCTTGACATAGAAGCTGTCGCTGGGCAAGCCACCTGGGATCTTTTTGATCTTGACATAGTGTCTAACATCCATATCGTCGCCGGCACGGATATCCGGCTGAACATGGTTGGTAACTTTGAGCAAGATGTTCATAATGACCTCTTCCCATGCTTCTTTGGTGGTGTAGGTCAGGGTGATGTCTTGCATGAGTTGGCGCAGGATGGTGCGAGCATGGGTGCGTGCACTGAGGCTCAGTTCAACCGTTTGTGGGGGTCCAGATAATCTGCGTTGTCGAGGAGGGAATCGCAATCGATTCATGGTCCATAGGGAGGCTGTAGATTCATTGTTGTTGGCAGCATTAGTGTTGTTGAAATCAAACATGTAGGGTGATCCCAAGGGCGATCCTTCTTCTCCTCCTCCTTTTGGCAGATTCATGGTGTTGATGCGGATCTTGCTACTACCATGACGCATGAGTTTCTTACTGCCAGTACCATTGCCAGTGCCAGCGCCTCCTCCTCCTGCACCACCTGAACTACTGCTTCCAGTCAAACTCAAACGTCGTATGGTTTGAAAGGATGACCTGCCAGATGACATGCCACGTAATTCTTCGGTGCGTTTCATGCGTAATCGATGGTCATACGATTCATCATCACTGCCAATTGCTGCTGAGATGGCGCTAGAAGGTGTCATTCCCAGTAGTCCATCATTTGGTAGTCTCGATACATGTGGTGTTTGCAACAATGCACTGCTTTTACTCATCATCAAGGGTGATGGTGGTGCCATGGGAGAGCTATTGGCAGCAGCAGAAATGCTGTGCACTAATTGGCTTGGTGGATGAGGGTGATAGTGGGCATGGTGATAGCTATGACTACCCGTGGGTAGATAAGGATGATGATGCAACTGATCTTGGTATACATCAAATCCATTAGTATGATGGTTGCCTGGAAATGGACTGAGTTCCGATTCTGCCAGCACTGTACCACCACCACGATCCAAATAAGGCGAAAATGGACCCCATGGTGATGGTTGCATTGGTGTTTGAGGAAACGGCAGTGTGCGTGTGTCTTCCATTGGTGCTGAAGATGACGTATTGGAGCGTGGTCGTGAGGAAGAAGAGGATGAGGTGGTGGTGGATTTGAGTAGCATGGTACCTGCATCAAACAAGCGTTTCAAGCCACCTGCGTCTGTTGTTGTTTGGCTGGTGTTGGTGGTGGTAATTGTAGGTATGGTAGATGCGGTGGTGGAGGTATGGTGTGGGAGAACATCTGTAGTAGAGAAGGCATCTACTGCTGAATTGATCCAAGGTCTATTGTCGATGGGCGATGCTGCAGCAGCCACTGCATTGGCAATGTAGGATTCGCTTCCACGTGCAGGTATCTCTAATGCAAAAGTCGTTGTATTATCGTTGCCGTAAGTGCTTCTTGCTTGTTTCAATGCAGTGGTGGGTATTTGCATTTGTGGGACAGCTAATGGCGGTTTTTGGGATGGTATAATCGACGTCGATGTCGATGAAGGCTGTTCTATCAGAGGTTGTTGTTGTTTATCTACAAGGATGGTCGGTGAGGGTGGCAGCGGCGGTTGAGGAGGAGGCGGTGGAATCAGGAGGGTTTCCATCGATGTGTTTTCGTGCTCCAGTTGCAGTAACTGTTCTGCATAGCAGAAATTGCACACTCGCACTTGACCCTTTTGTTTGAACAGTTTGCCAGAAATAACATGCGATGCACATCTACCACAAAAGATTTGACCTACATTGAGGTTGTGTGTCAGTCTATAGATCCACACACACACACACACACACTACCAACGTACCACATGTTCGACAATGATGCTTTCTTCTCAATAACGTAAACGGTTTTCGGCACTTGTAGCACTCATTGCACTGCTCATCCGGCATCCAAAACTCTTTATCGTTCTTTTGTCTTCTCAATCTCGCTAAAATCTTGGACAGTGAATTGGAATTGCTGATGGAGAAGTTGGTAACAACCGATTGTGTGTCACTGTCGATGGATTGTCGTTTGACAATGATGGGTGACGACTGTATCAAGTCATCCAATGTGTCATGGTGGCTACTACTGCTGGCATCATGCGACGACGATGACGGTGGGACAATGAATTGAACTGTATTTGTGGTAGGAGATGCATGCTGGTTGGGTTCCATCAAGGCGGTAGGTGGTGTGGGCTCCAACTTTTGATTGCCTACAGTGACAGTGGTCGTTGTCGTTGCTGTGGTGGTGGATCGGCTGGATCTTGGTACAGCCACTGCATCGAGGACAGGGAAATTCTCCTTGTTGGTTGTGGTGGTGGTAGAAGGAGAAGAGAGGGTGGTGGAGGAAGAAGCAGTAGTTAAATGCTTACTGAGGCTTGAATTGGCACTAATGGAATGGGGCAAGCGTTGCTGTGGATCGCGTTCACCATCATGTCCATGTTCTGCTAATGCTACTGAATAACCTCCTCCTCCTCCTGCTACTGCATGTAGTACCTTGTCGAATATCTTTGACAGCACGCCTTCTTCATTCACTGTGTCCTCTGGTGTTTGTAGATTGAAACTTGTTAAACTGGACTTGCGTTGTTTGTCCATGTTGAACTGTTGCAAGTCAATGAGTATTTGAATGTGTGTGTGTGGTGCCTGGCGTAAATCTTACTTTTGTATTAATGATCAATAATCATTGAAATGTTGAATAGGGTCTACTCGAAGTTATCTGAATTGTTACAACAGCCAACAAGAGGAAAAGAGAGAGAGAAACAAATCACTAGTCACTGGGATAAAACGCACAGCATTAAAATGATATTCAGGAGGTCTTTGTGTAATGGTTTATTGCATCATTGAAACATCAATATAAATTTCACAGGCTGGTAGATGGATTGCCTTGATCATTTGCTCATGCAATTTCTTAATTGCTAGTTTTCTGTGGCGTCTGTCGCTTCTTGCAACATGTGTAGATGTGGTATATGCCCTCCCTCAAAGGTAGTGAGCCTCTGCCAATTGGATTGTGTTCCATACAACAGCATGAAACTGACACATTGACCCTGTCATACCATACTTTTTTGGATCTTGCGTAAATAGACACAATAGAGCTTATGCTGGCACCCAGAACACAAGTTTCCTAACAGAAAGACTTTCCTTGCCTTGTTGGGATCCATTTTGTATATCCCTCCCACGTTAAATGGTCTTTTGGCATTAAAACTAGTAACAACAAAACCTGGATCGATTTTCATTTCATGTTTAGGTGGCTTTTGCAATCAAAAGATGGATTGATTGAGCAGCCCTATGGACCGCCAATAGACGTCGCTACCTAATACGAAAAGCAAAACATGCAAACCTTGTCAGAAAGTTTGGCTCCTTCAATGCTAGCTCAGCTTTGACTGACTGTGTTCAGACTGACTACAGGTTTTGATACCCATTCAGGTACTTGTATAGAAGCACTCGGATAGGTAAAGAATGCGCTAATATTTCTTTTATGGGTGCATTTGGAGCCTAAGGACCGCTATGATATGGCCCATTTGTGTTCTTATGCTGGTTTGAACTGTCTGAATTGTGGATGGTGGTGCTACAGTTAGTTGCATTACGGATGAGTTTATTCGATCCTTTAGGAGGAGTAGGCCGTCCTGGGTTTACCGTGGCTACTGACGACAGTGTCGTTCCATTAGCGCACGAGGTTTCTACCATTCTCCTGTTGATTTCAGAGAACTTGTGTTAGAATATAATAAAATAGTCAATTCACATCCATCTGAAGTAATTCCATTTTATTCTGAGGAAAATGTGTACGGTTTATTGGGAATGAATGCTCTTTCTACGATTGGTGTTGGCTTTAATGTTAGTAAGTCATCATTTCAGTCTGGTCTTGGGTTGTCAGATCCCATTGATGACTCGATAAAACCTAATGACCATGTTCTTTTGGTATTGACGAAAAAAATGTTTCTCATAAATGCCCTTTCTTGGATACACAATGTGCAACGATTGCATCTATATTGTAGGTATAAATAAAACCACAACCAGAGCAGAATAGTATGATTAGTTTAAGCAACAATGCCTTCTATTCGCAATGCCCTTCTTGCAACCCTCCAAAAGCATTGATTACCTTCACAATAATAAAGGCATTGATGTTGCCAGCAGCAGCAGCAGCAATGCAGTCGGACCTTTAAATTCAGTAAAAAAAATATCGTTCCAGATTGGTAAATTTTGATCAATTTCCACTTGATTGATCTATTTTACAATCTATTTTACTTTGTCATCCCTTTTCGCATGTCAGACACTAGTCAAGTACATCAACGTTCCTCGCAAGCTGACACTGCGGCTCCACTGTTGTGGACTCATGTGGTTAACTCACGCCGCAAAGGGAACAACAGACAACAACAATCCATCGTCTCTTTCAATCCCACTATCGTCAAACGACCTGTAACGGAAGCAGAGGCCTCGCAACAGGCCATCAATGGGGATACTTCGCCACCTCCTCAGGCGGTTATCCGTCCATTCCTCAAAGGCGTGGAACAGGATTCCGTCTTCATCGATCTGACACCTATCAAGGATCGCAATCTCTTGAACAAGGCTCTTCTTCAATTCAACGAAGCCTCTAATGCTGAAGACATGTATGAAGAATTTCTTGGATACCGGAAACAACCTCGACACTACCTCAACCATGCCTTCTTGGAAACCATGTGGCTGCCCAACAGCGAAGGTCGTAAGACTCTCATTGAAGAAGGTATCACTCTAGAGGATGGCACCTTTGTGAAAGGGTTTGCCTCGTACCATGCTGATGCTACGATTGTGAAACTGACCCTGGAGAATCTTCCTTTCTTGCCGGCCCTTCAGTTGAAGGAGGAAATGGCTGCCCGACTTTCTGCGTTCGGGGATGTCTTGGATCACGGCATCTCGAGAACTGATGGGATCTATCAAGGAGAAGGTTATGCTACACTTAATCTAACGGTTCCTTCCAGCCCTGGTTATGAATGTCAAGAGTTACATCCCGTTGGGAAATCTTGCCCTGGTCATCGCCATTTGGAGAAACTCAGTCGTGTCATTGTCTGGGATTTGACAGCTTCGGATCAAAGAAAAGTTTTACTCCAATGGGATCAAATGCCGGCTTTCTGTCGTAATTGTCAGAGCTCTGAACACTGTCGGGCTGATTGTCCTGACTACAAGAAGTGGGTCCGCTGCCATCATTGCAATGAAACTGGACATGTGGTGAAGAACTGCAGTCGCAATGACAGCCCAAACAAGGTCCGTGCGGTGGAAAACACTCCTGCCAAACCCCGAAAGGGCTCTCAGGTGGCCAAAGAGGGTAAAAAGGGTACTCAGGGTGGCTCCAAAGTAACTCCTGGTGGTGCTCCAGTTGGAAACAAAGGTAATGCCCAAGGAAAAGGCCAGGATGTTGCATCTGGTGGTTCCCAAGGTGATTCCGATAATCGAACTACTGCTACCCAGCAAGGTAGCACTCAAGGTGACGCTGATAGTCAAACAGGTGCTAGAAAGCAGGTAGTTGATAGAGATGTTCAAATGGATGATCTTCCAAAACTCCAAGTTAAAGAAGTCGATGGGAAAGGGGCTTCCAATGATATTATCATGTACGACTCTTCTACCCATTCTGCTAATGAACGAGAGGAGCGCCCTGAACGCCCTGCGAAGAAGATCGGTAAATTTAATGGCGCGGATGATGTTAGTTCTGCCAAACAACAAGCTGCATCTAATGAAGTAGAGACTGGACATCAACTCGGCTTGACAGGCCCTCCTTCACCTCCCCAACATTAATATGATTAATCAGCAAAATACAGTGAAAATAGCCACCCTCAATTGCCGTGGCCTAAAAAAAACAGATAACACCAAAAAAAGACAACAATTTATTAGATATCTTCGAACATTAGGATATGACATCTTAGTGCTTCAAGAAACACATGCAACAGACAACACATTTATAGACATACTCAACACTCAATTTACTTGCAAGTCGAGTCTTTGGACTCAACATTGCGGCATCATTTCCCTCAACACTCATTACTCACTCAAACACATCTCAGAAGGCATTGATGGGGGTCGATTTATCTTGGCTTCCCTTCATCTTACTCGAGACCTGGAAAATTCACCCAATTCACCACCAATAGCAACAATACTTAATATTTACGGTCGTGCGTCCGCTCACACCGACCGATCAGCGTTCTATTCAGAACTCATTGGCACACAAATTGTCAAAGAAACTATTACTACTACAACAAACACCGTCTTTATCATGGGAGACTTCAACTACCAGTACAAGGATCGTCGAGTCGATGGCACCCTCACCAGTGCACCAGTAGAATGGACCGATCTACTCGATGATTACTTTATTGACGTTTTTGGGGAAGACAAACACAACACATGGCATAGTGGAAGCAATTCAGGGATTCTGGATTACATCTTTTGTAGTTCAAACGCCCATCATCTAGTCACTAGCACCAACCAGCAGTATCTGTCTCCTGCCTGGACCGACCATGAACTCTTGGGATTCTCTTTTCGATATCAAGATGCGAATGGCCGTGGCCCTGGTAACTGGAAGGCAAATCCGTTCTTGGCTTGCAACAAAACATTTAGGAAGGCATTGGCAGAATTCCTCATTGATAGTGAGGCGCGTCTGGCAGAAATCAAGCGTTTCTCCACTCCCCAACAACAATGGGATTGGATCAAAGCCGAAGTAAAGATGTTTATCAAACAGTATCAAATGGAGGATTTGAACTGGCGGAAACAACAGCTACACCGACTGCTATCAAAGAGAAACAAGATGATGCGGCATAAGAAGACAAGAGGCTTGGTGTTTCAAGGCTTGGACACGGTTAATCAACAGATTCAATCTCTCCAGCACTCTCTTGCAGAAATAGAGATCTTGAAGGCAGGAAAATTTTGGCGGGAACATGGTGAGAAATCTCCAGGCTTCCTGAAGCGCTCTGTGGTGTCTCGAGAAAATCGTCGTTCAATTGTGGAACTCAGGAACCCTACAACTGGCGATCTATGTCAAGATCAACCTAGCATCTCCAACATTGCTACCAACTTTTACACCTCACTGTTCACACCGGAGGCTCTGGATTCAACCTCCCTCAGTGTTATAATTCGCAACATCCCAGGTCATTTGAAGCTCAACAGCGAGCAGCAGGAATCATTGATGATGCCGATTGATGTGGAGGAACTCTTGACCGATAGCAAGCAGACTCGTCGTTTGAGTAGTCCTGGACCTGATGGATTACCTTATGAAATCCTGTACTTGGTAATGAAATTTCCACCGTTCCATGATCTCATCCAATTAGTCTACAATGAAGCTTTAAAGAAGGGTAAGTTCCCGCCATCTTGGAACGAATCCGTCATGTGTCTGCTTTACAAGAAAGGCGATCCAGCTGAAATGAAGAACTACCGTCCTCTGTCTCTGGCTAATTCAGACTACAAGCTCTTCACTCGCAATATCAACCGTCGAATCATGGAAGTCTCTTCCAACTTGATCAGCCGACATCAGCTTGGGTTTATTCCTGGTCGATTCATTGCTGAAAATGGAATGATCTGCCAGCTCCTAATGGAAGATGCTCAACGGAAATGGTCCATCGCTGAACAACAGGAAAATGATCCTTCCTTTAACACTTTGGATTATGACATCGGTCTTCTTCTGGATCAAGAAAAGGCATACGATCGGGTGAACTTGGAATATTTGAGGAAGGTATTGGGGAAATTTGGGTTTCCTCGCCCTATTATCAAGTGTATCTCCAAGTTGATGGGTGACAACCTCATACGTATCAACATCAATGGCCATCTGTCAACTGAAGTGGCGAAACTTCGAGGCTTGAAGCAGGGGGATCCTCTCTCTCCTGTACTGTACAACTTGGCATTTGAACCTTTTCTGCTTGCAATCCTGCATGATCGCCAATTTCAAGGCTACTTGATGGGTACTGCACGAACAAAACTCCTGTGCTATGCTGATGACGCTTTGGTGTTTATCCATGACTCCAATGATTTGACTCGGTTACAGCTCCATATGGCTCGTTACTGTGCTGCCTCCAACGCCAAGTTCAATAATGCCAAGGTGGAAGCCTTTTCAGTGTCTGGTCGGGATACATGGGATATGTGGGATGGTCCATTATCACAAATGGGTATCACACATCTCCATTCTGTTGAGGACGATGAACCGTTGACCTATCTGGGATTTCCTCTCGTCCAAAGTAGGATTCAGCGAGTTCACTTTATGGGTGCTTTGGTAACAAAGATCAAAACTGCCATCCAGATTCATTCTGGTCGCTCCCTGTCGGTCGTTGGAAAGGCTACAGTGCTGAACTCTCTTTTGCTCTCCAAGCTATGGTACATCCTGCGTGTTACGCCTTTGACTCAAGCTGACTTCAAGCAGCTGCGTTCTCTGGCTATTCAGTTCTTGAGAAGAAACATCTTCCCCGTCATCCCTTGGAAGGTGTGGACTCTACCAAAGGACAAAGGTGGTCTCGGTGTTGTAGACATCCAAATACAAGCTTCAGCTTTGTATTTTCGTTGGCTCCACCCATTACTGGTTCAAGATCAAGATGTCATAGATTCCCATCCTGTGTCGTACCTCTTAAGCTACCACATTCGCAATGTTAATGGTTACCCCCACCATCAAATCCCGCTGCTATTTCCCTCTGCTCGTCGTACTAAGGGGTTGAAAAAGCAACGCACGGGAACTGTCGATATGTTATATCGTACAGTTGACTATCTTCCTAAGTTGTTTGATGCGGCACCGATCAATTCTGCAACTGCCATGGCTCTTCCATTACAGGCGGCTTTCTATGTTCCTCCATCCTCCTCACTGGTTGTTCCTCTTAAAGTCAAAGAGATGATGGTTTCTGATGTATTTCAGTACGATGCCCGGCTTAACTTTGTACATTGGAGAGACACTCGTGACCCTTCCCTCCTCAGGTGGAAGAGAGCTCCTTCAACAGTGTTCAGAGGCCTCGCATCTGGCACTCTTAAATTCCAGCCCTACTTCCTCCCAGTGTGTAATCCAGCCCCTGTAGTAGATCCTGGAGTCTCTTTTGCGCCGCTGGTGGATCAATTTTGTCTGCACGATGGCCAATCTCTTAGAAACGCTCAGGCTTCCGCCAAAACATTTCGTCTGTCTGTACTGTCGTCGGTGGAACAGCCCTTGGTCTTGCAAAATGTCTCTGCTGCTAATTGGAAATTCTTTTGGTCCCTGTCTCTTACCTACATTCAACGTAATGTGATATACCGATTCATCGCAGGCTGTATCCCTTCTAGAAGCAGATTACACTACATGATGCCTGCATTTTTCGAGTCCCACAATTGTCCTGTCTGCTTGTCTCCCAATGAAACTGCCAGCCACCTGCTCTTTGACTGTCCATCCAAAGAAAAGGTATGGCAAGGCGTCATTTTTGAGTTCCTATGGCCCACCACGTCCATCACTGACATCAAAGAGGCTCTTCTGTCCCTGGACTTTTCAGATATCTGGTACTCCCAAGTCAAAGGCATCCATCCATACAGAATCCTACTCATCACCCTGTCTCAAATATGGCTAGCCCATATGCGCTTTGTTTTTGACGGCACTATCTTTGTCCCTGAGGCGATTCTGGTACATATCCACTCCACTGTCCGACAGACAGTGGATGAAGATCAAATCCATTCCCTCTTGTAATTTAGATAGTTAGATAGTTCCTTTTGTTAGTTTAGTTTAGTTTCCATTTATATTTATATTTTTTTCATTTCTCAATTGCACCCGCCTCTTCACTCTGACCTATTACTCTTAGTGTACGCGGCTCAATCAATAAACACAATTTAAAAAAAAAAAAAAAAAGATCTATTTTACGGTATTCGACTATGAAAACTGTGATAATTATCCCGTGCACCCTTAAGCTTTTTAGAAGTGCTTTTCAAGGCACATCCTATGGTGCTGAAAACAATAGGTACTCTAAACAAATTTAATGAGTAGTATCGTAAAATATGAAATGAGGTTTTTGGCCAAAATGTCTAGATTCTTCGTATGAAGATCTTACAAATGAAGTTTCAGGGGTTGCGTTGGATCCATAGCAACATTTTGATTTAATATATGCCATATTAGAAGTCTTCATTTTGGAGGTAAAAAACGCGATTGTTTGATTTTCGAGAAAAACCATGAGGGGTACCTCATGGTTTTTTTGGCCATGTTTTTGAGATCTCAAAAAAGTTGATCAAAAGCATCTAAAAGTAACTGCTAGATAAAAGCAATAATTAGGTGCTATACTGGCGATCTGAAACGGTGTCCAGCACGAAAAAATCACGCCTCAAATGCATCCCCATCACGCTGTATTTTGCAAATTTTCGAGTTGTAAGAGGCAATGTTAGTATGCCGTCTGCCTCTATATATACTTTTCTAGTTGATGCAAATGTGGATCATCATAAAAGAGTCAAATCCGCCATTACAGGCTGGTTGTAGGAACATTATCTGGTCTCGACTGCAAGTTACTGAATGCAGTAGCAGTAGGTTTGGTGTTGTCAATGAATCATTGCATTGTGGCAGTAAAGGCTAGTGATATCAGCTTAACATAACCAATGGCTTCAAATGAGGCAGCGGTTGTTGGCGTTCGTTGCTGTGTCGCATATTGAGGATGTAAAGGTATACAATCATAAGGCTTGACTAGTTGATAATGGATTCGTTCTTGGAGAGCATTAGAGGCTGGGCAAATTGGCTCTATGCTCTACAGATGAGTCTAAGTCGTGTCATCTAAACAGCAGAGTTCACATGGTTGAATATAACAAACAACGGATTTTGAGGTAGCTCTGTGATGCGTGCCATGGCACGGAGAAGCAAAGGAAAGGGTGGTTCAGCACCAGAATGTGTATAATGTTGCATTCAAAAGATAATGTCCTTGCAAAGACAGCCAATGATGATATTTTCTTCACAATCTATCTTTTGAACAATACTTAAAAGTCAAATCATTGCGTTGAGGTCAATGCTAGAGCTGTCAATACAATGCGTCTGCGAAACACTAGCTAACCATACATGATCTGCACATGATCTGTACATGGCAGATTGTGCCATTATACAGCTACAGTCTCTGATGAGTAATCGCATGCGTTGGCAACATGCCGTGTAAGGACATCTCATTTGAGCGTCAAATTCCTTAGGCAATATTAACCTTTGAATTGCACGCTACCACTGGGATTGCTTAATAGACTCACTCAACATTGATATCTTGACAAAACGAAACCGCGCTCGCGCGACGTATTTGTAGTCTCGAATAAATAATTTTGTTTTTGGATACTTTTTACCTCTTTAATAATTTTATCAAATGCCCGTATCCATCAATTCAACAGATACAGCAATGGAGATAGATTCTGGAACGAATTCTTCAGACATTGCGAGCAATTTGCCCACAACAGCAGTTGTCGCAGCTACAGCAGACGCAGCAGCCTCTACAACAGCGGCAGCTCCAGTGTCAACCCCTATAGTCAGTAAATCGCTATCAGAGCTAGCGCCCACAATACGTATTCATGTGGACACAACTGAATTGCCACGTCCAGTGATTGTCAACTATCGTCAACTATACAAACGTGAGCTCAAAAAGCTGCAAGATAGAGAGCCAGTAAAGGCAGCTGCTCCTCAACCAAATAGTGCTTTGGATTCAGCAGATGACATCTTCTACAGGGAACTACTCAAGAAAGCTGAGGCCTATAATGTAGACGATGACGATGTAGATGACGACGGTTCAGACGATGAAAATATTGGGGTAAGTTAGGTGATAGCATTTGCTGAAAGGACAAGCAGATCTCATATATGCATCATGTAGAACGAATCTAGAAAACGTGGCGAGGACTATGATTTCGACGATCCCTTTATTGATGACAGCGATATGTTGATGGATGAACCAATTGATCACAACCCACCTGAATATGATGGATACTTTGTGTGGCATGGACCATTAGACGGCCATGAAGTGTAAGGGCTTTGTTATTGACAACAGCGAGTATCTGCTAATCATTGAATAGTACGCATGCTGAAAAAAAACAATTATCTGCAACAAGTGCAACATCTACATCAAAACGTAGGGCACCTGCCAAACCAAAAGCTTCAGGCAATGCAACAACAGGAATTAAGAAGGAGGGTGGATCAGGGGCATCAGGTAGTACAGGTGCTGATAAATCACGCAAGAAGACCGTTGTTTCGATCGAGGATAATAGCGATGACAAGAAGAAATCTAGCAACAATGCCGCGACATCTTCATCAAACGCACCAACTGCTACTACATCCAAAACCAAAAAGCCATCCACCCCACTTGCAGCATCTTCAAACAGCACTGTAAAGAAGGCGAGCGCTACACCAGACAAGGCATCCAAGAAGAGAGCAAAATTGGAATACAATCACTTGAAAGATGAGCCGACTCACAAATCTACAATTAATGCGCCAACACCATCCTCAACTGGCTCTGCAGATGGTACAGCAGCTCAGTCTGCACCATTGGCCACTGGCGAAAAGGCCAAGAAGAAAGCTGGAGGAATGCCTGCAACACTGGTGAGTGTGGGAGGGAAGGCATAGGAGCAAGGAGATATATTAACTCGCCTTTAACAGAAACCATTGGATCCGGAAATTGAAGTACTAATGGAAAAACTACGACACGATGTCAAGAATGAAAATTTCAACAACAAGGCCAAATTTCCAGCAGCACTCAAACCCACCGTTCTTGAAGCAGGACTCATCACGCTTCGTAAACACAGAATTATTGATGATAATATCGTCTATCATTTGATGCAAATTTTACCTTACAACAAATTTACATTGAGAAAGTTCCTTACTACCAAATCTGGACAAATGCGAGTGGACGAATTGCAGCAAGAAATCGATGAATTAGCAATCAAACTTAAGCAGACCATTGATCGCATGATGCCAGAGCAACAAAGACTCTTCAACGAAAAGTTAGCACAAGCTCGTAAGTTGGCAAAAGACAGATAAGATTGATAAATGGCTGAGTATTTTTGGATCATTGTAGAAGCTTCATCTGAGCCTTCAAACCCTGATGAGGAACCAACTCCCAAATTTAAATGTAACGATGAAGTGCGAAAGATCCTGTATGATATTATCCAAACAGAGGAGCAATCAATCCACATAGCCAATCAAGTAGCGTAAGTAGCATGAGATTTAGGGGCTATTTGCAATTAGCATTAATCAATAACTTTCTTGTGTAATAGAATACACAAGGATGCTGAAAAGAAAACCGAGAACTTAGCATCTGATGGTAAAGCGAGAAAGCTCATGTATCAAAGAGTAAGTTGTACTATTAATGGAGGGATTGTCCATGTTCTAAATGCAGATTCTAGTTGCTTTCGTGCTGGCCAGAAGGCTGGATTAACTCGTACGAAATGAGCAGACAATACAGTCAATACAAATCCAAGGTTACAGCCATGAGTGAAAAGAAAAACGCAAATGCATCACTTCCAAGTACACCAAAGGCCAACATTTCGACAGTCGAGAACAAGAAGAGAAAGCGCACAACACCCACAACGAACACCAGCAGCACAAACACAAATGTCGGCAATGCCTATAGTAATAGTAGTAGCAACGGTGAAGCCCTCCGTAAAAAACGTAAGCATATAAATCCCATTATAAAGGAGAGCATGATCTAATATTGCCAAATTTGCTAGAATCGGTTGGTACAGACATTGTACATACCCCTACATCTACGGTTACTTCTTCAGCTACTACACCTCTTGCTGCTGCTGCAGAACCTCAACAACAGCAGACAAATATGGCGCCAATGAATGTGATTACCATAGATGACGATAACGAGGATGTTCAGCTTTCATGGAAGCAGCCCAATTCAATGAAGATTGAGGCATTGATCAGTGGACCAAGTACCGAAAAGAAAGACTAAATCAAATTGATATGTTGTAAATACAGCCAATTAAGTAAATTTCATCGTTAAAACAAATAAATGCTGATGCAAAAGGATCATTCTCCTTTTTTTGAGAGAACCTTCTATTGTACATTTTAGCTGGCAGGTGCTTTGGAAGGGGAGTGGCAATGACAATGTAGGGTAGATCATTAAGATTTGAGCTAGTGACCGTTTCTAAGCGATCCCCATGATTTTTGTTTGAGATGGGTCCCCTTCACACTCACTCCACCCCCACCTCATGTGCGCAAGTGTGTACATTTTTAAGTTTTTTTTTTATTTCATCTTTTTCGTGTCATTCAACATAAAAAATCACAGAATGTCATACTTTGGTAACGGAGCTCAACAGCAAACCATCAACCCTCAGAACATTGCATTGGCCGAGCAAGAGCTGGAGATGGTGACCGATTTGTTCAACAGGTAAATATATCCCATAAATGCAATATGCAAGATAGACGCAAAAATATTCATTAAAAATCTCTCGAAATGAAGAATTGTCGATTCCTGTCACTCCAAATGTGTGAAATTAGATACTGGTTCAGGAGATTTATCTCAACAAGATCAAACTTGCATTGATAATTGCGTTGCTAAATTCTTTGAAACTAACAGCAAAGTGGGTGAAAAGATGCAAAAGATGAGTCAACAATAAATCATCAGCAGAATCCAATAGAACATTGCTAAAAAGACCATGTACATTTTAACTGAAATAAAAAAGAAAAGATGCAAAACCCTTGTTTCTGAAATTATTTTCTCTCAAACGATGTGATAGTACATTTGATGTTCGTATTGTATGTTTGTGAAATGCTTTCTCTTTCCCAACGTGATGATATGCGTTCGTAGATGCCTATGTCATGTTATAGGCTTTTTCCTTTTTTGTTATAATACAGTTTTGTATATATTTTTAGTGAGTATTTCGTGCAATCTCAGAAACACAAGGTATGTAACAATTAAATCGTGTATTTTCCTTTTTAGAAACATATCGGTTTTTCGGAGATTAGAAAATCTAGGTTCAGGGGGGATTACAATCTGGAATTGAAACCATTAATGCCATTCAAGAGACCACAATGTTTTACTGCTCCTCAAAACTGCTGATAATCCAAGCAAGTTTCTTTCCTACATACGACAATAATAGAGAGGGATTCAAATGAGGAAACATGCAACGAGATGTATTTGTATGAGTACCCTACTTTATTGACATCATCATTTATCCAAAATAGTCATGATGATGCATTTTTAGTACTACATCACTATAGAAGAAGCGAGATTTATCTTTTCGTGCAATCCCCCCAATATGAACATGGAAACAGGAAGAAGATTACGGAAACAGCTTCAAACCGGACATTTAACCACTTCAATACGTTTATGACCTTTGCCATTTTAAATCAAAAAACTTCTGAAAACTTCTATCCTTTGATCGGGAAAGTGAAAGGGGATTCTTTTGAATATGGTTAAAATTGGATTTTTTTTTTTATCATTCTTTTGATTCGTGTAAATCTGAGGAAGCATTTTTAAATCGCTAAAAAAATAATTCATTTACTTTTTTTTTTTCCTCTCTTTTTTTAATCCAACTTTTCTCAATCGAGAAATCCATCCCTTTCTCACATTTTGCACAATTTTTCACATATATCAGTTTTATTTATTTTTTCCTTTGCATATATATATATATATATAAAAATATGAAAGTGTCTAAATCAACACCGAATTCCAATTCTGGGTCCATTTCTACTCCCACTACTACTACTCTTCCCAATAACAAAGTAAGCAAGCCTTTGGTCACTACAAACAACATCTCAACCACGGATAAAGCTTTAGTGGATTTCTGTCGGTGTTTATACCAAGCCAAGGCAGTGGTAAGAGAACTAGAGTCTTTCAGTAATTCTGTGTGTCCAGCCTTAAAACGATACCATCCCGAATTATTACAAAATGAAGATACCACAGGCGGCATCTCTCGCTATGGCAATGGCTTATTGCTGAAACAAGTAGATCAGTATTTGAACACAACATTTCGTAAATTCACTCGTCTCTGTAATATCTTAATGGTGGTTTTGACTCAAATGGAAGCAAAAGGAGCTGGTCAAATCAAGAGGGAACGAATTGACTCTTTTAGATTCGAGGTTTGGGAAGAATGGAAAACTGCTACCAGTATAAAGCAAAGGTTGATATACTTCACTCAACAATGCGATATCAAGGAAAAGAATGTATATACCTCAATCACAACCACAACTACCACAACCACCACCACAACTCTGAAAGACAAATCCTCGTCGTCAACGACAATCACTTCTACTTCAACTACTTTACCTTGATTATTTACATATTAGCTTGTCGCATCAATCACACTCTCAATTATATATAACACATTTCCACCCCATCCCCTTGATTTTTATTATTATCATAATCATTCACCCTTTTTCTCGCTCCCTATTTTGTTTGCTATTACTATTTTCTTTCGTTATCCTTTTCTTTTTATTGCCTCTTTTCATTCTGTATTTTACGTGAAAGTCTTGCAGTATTGAAATCAAACCACTTCTCAGCTTATTACATCCGTTTTGATTCATCTTCATCGTTTCTTAATTCGTTTTTTTAACATTTTACCCAATATTCATATTTTTATATACAAGTAAATCAAACAAACAAAAATATTATAGACACTGTGTTAAACGCTCCTTTTCTTTATGTTTAGGCCTTAATTTTGATTCATTTTATTCATTCAATAAAAAACAATACTACATACACATTAATGAGAGAAAAATTTACAGTGAAATGTACAAATTGAAAATCGAGTTTCAAGCAAAATTCACGTTTTTTCCATATACATATTTCGCGATATTTTTAGACCATCAGAATACGAAATCCTATCAGCTTTTACATTGATAATCACCACACAAGATATTCGACCAAAAGAAGGGTTAAAATTTTCTCGCTAAATTATTTTGCTTCTATCCCATGCGCAATGGAACAAACTACAAAATGTCTTCCGTTCAAGAAAATTAGAACACTGCATCTATTGGTTTTATGAATTTCTCGGGAATGTTCAGATTTGGCTAAGCTTCTTCATCATTTGGTCACTTCATTACATATAAAATGTAATTGGCTATGAAAGGAAAAAAAGTGTAAAAAATTTTTCGAGATGAAAGGTGCATCCACTCTGTTGGTTTAGTGACTCTCACATTCTGTTGGTTTTACTCGTTGCACAGCATCAATTTGTTATGAGATGAACAAGCCGGGTCTCCCTTAATTCCGCATAGAAAGAAACAGATTAAGAAAAATCTCCCCTTAAGAAGATAAATCAGTAGAAGGAAATCACTACATGTATTGCGCAAAAAAAAAGCATGTATCTTTCACCTTTGTATTATGAAACAAGAAAAAAAATGGTTCTATTTACATCTATCTGAGTTTCCATTGCATCATTAGCTGTAATACTTGAACACCTTATTATATTGTGTGCGTGTAATTTATACAGTTGTCTTGATAAAGAAAGAAGAGTAGAATACTTCAAATAATCGTCATTGTCAATGATATGAATGTCATTATTCTTGGGTATTTATCTTCAGTTCAATTGCTTTCAGCCTTACATCTCAAGCAATGTGGGACTTTCCCGATTCGTGTAAACCCGAAAAGCATTCTGTTTTGTTCTATTAAAGGCTCTTTTTTTTTCTACAGAATACAAATTAGGAATGTGCACGTATTCTCAATAATATATCCGACAGGCATGTGTTCCTCTGGACTCAGCCATCAGATTATTGGTGGCTAAGATCCTCGAACATCACTGTTACTAGTTTTGTAGGGACAAGTAACTCAGATATCTCAATCAATATGCTGCATGAACCTCTTTTTTTTTTCCAGCCCTATCCTTTTTCAATATTGACAAAGGAATGACGGATACAGAAAAAAAAAAGTTGATGATAATTAGATTATTTGGAAACTAGATTGATTTTATTTTGCGATATTGCCATCAAGTAAAGAATGACAAGCCAAGATGCCTGTACATTTATATAAAAATGAAATGTTGCAAAATGCGAAACTAATTAATGATGATATATTTAGGCTGTAGCTCAGAGATCTTCAGTTTAGCTTGAGCATATTTGTCTTGAATGTGAATGAGAAAGGTATGGCAACGAAAGGTCGCTTTAATTACTAGACAAACACCCCGATGTGATTTTCAGAAACGTTTGCATAGTATTTATACATTGGCATCGATTGGTAGATCCCAGAGAGGTTCTGACATTTTAGAAGATTTTTATTACTTCTAAAATATCGAGTGCACTCAACTCAAGGCTTTTCAGCCTAAGGCAAGTAACTCAAGTTGGACCTTCTGGATTACAGCCCTACTTTGTGACTAAACGTTGTTGGCCTACAGCTTTACAGCCGAAGCCGCAACCCAGATCAAAAAATAATTAGAACATTTCAATCGGGGATCAAATATTTTCAGGGGTAACATTTGATTGGCTGAATAATCACGTGACTATAAGCTCAATGTGTACATACCATATAGAATGTATTCATGAAACGGTGGGGGAGTATATACTATCAAATGGGCTATAATTGGTGAAGATAGAGAAACATTCTATTTCTATCAATAGCAAATAAGTAAAGTTGTTAGGTGATATAGGGGCAGCAGTTGGAGATTGTATCATGAATAGCTCATCTATTCCCCCCGTTTGTTTATAACAACACAAGAGGCTTTCATCATCTCAGGGGAACAACTGGGCGTATTTTTTTCGGGGTTTCTTTTGAAATAATGAACAAAAATGCGAAAAAACCCAACCAAAGCCGCAGAGATACAGTAGCGGATGTTCGCGTCAAACGAGAGAGATTGTTCATGCAATTGCCAATTGATTCTTATTTCATCAAGCCTATCAAACTAGAAGATTTCACCAACGCATCTTCTCTAAAAAGCACAGACCAAGAATCAATCAACATTACCAAAAAAGAGGCGATCAGTGCAGTTATCAAAAAAGAACCTGCTGATATTCACGTCAAAACAGAAGAAATTGTGTCGAATCTGTTGAAAACCCTATGAATTAAAGACGAAAAGATGGGTGTCAGTGTACCGAGAACGAAAAGAAAGAGGTCCTCACAATGTGATAATGACTTTGATGGTGATGACACCACAGAATCAAAGGATGACAGTGGTAGTATCTATAGCGAAAGTGATGCTGATGAAAGTGATGATGGTGAGGATGACAGCTGCTCTGACAGTGCTCCAGTTAGCGCTAGTACCATCAAGACAGAAGTATCACAAAAACCTGAAAATGTGCTTGGTATGACTTCAAGTGAAGATTCTATCATGGGGAGCTCAACAATTAGAGTTTTTAATCAGAGCGAAAATGGTAAGTTCATACATCTTTTGATCACAAGTAAGTGTTCGAGCATTAACATGCATTCACAATAATAAATATATAGATGAACGGGTGGCAGTGAATGCTGCCTATATTGACTATTACTGTCGTGCTTGTGACGTATACAACTATACATTCGAAGAATTCACTCATCATCTACAGCAAGCTCACAATTTGAAGACTACAAGAAAGCCAAGCACATTGATCAAACATGATGATTTGGAGCCAGATGTACATGATCCCAATAACTACTTCAGATCCTGTGAACGCACTTACCCAATCAGAGGGAGATATAGAGTTCACTTGAGATCTGTCCATCGCATGGTACTCAAACCGCTTCTTGGAAAGGACAAACAGCTACCAGATATCTTGCCCAATGCAACTGACACAAACAACTACTGCCGTGCCTGTAACATCAAGAAAAAAACCAAAGGAGCTTACCGAATGCACTTGAGGCATTATCATCGAATGAAGCTTCTGCCTCATAATGGAAGAGCACCTGACGATCCCAGCATTAAACCAAATCCAGATGATCCCAACTTTTATTGCTGTGTCTGCGATATCACTAAAAGATCAATTGAAGAATACCATTCGCATTTGTACAAGAAGCATAATATGATGATGAAGCGTCCGTTCAAAGAGGGACCAAACGCAAATCCCAATCTAGAGCCGGAAGTAGAGAGCCTGGACTTTTATTGTAATACATGTGATCGAAAGTTTGCAGACAGAAATACGTATCGCTTACATCTCAAAAACACACACAAGATGACATTGAATCCCCCGCGATCTAGAAAAAGTCCCAACGTTCTTCCAGATTGGTACGATCCAAACAATTACTGCAGGTATTGTGAATACAGGTATTGCTCATCAAGTAAATATCATGCGTATTGCAAAAAGGTGCATGGAATGGCAAACAGGAATTCAAGACGGCCTTTGAAGAAACCAAAAACAGAGCTGCCTGATGAAGATGATCCTAATTTTTACTGCAGTGTGTGTCAAACTACCAAATCTCCCAAGCAAAAATACCGCCAGTATTGCAGAGAAGTTCACCATATGACGCTTCGAGCATTCAATCTTGGCCCTCGGGCCAATCCTGATATTTTGCCTGACCTTACTGATGCAAACAATTATTGCCGAGCTTGCGATAAGACTGTAATTAGCGCGAAAGCATATAGAAGGCATATACTATCTGTCCATAAATGGAATGAAAAGCTGCCACCATTGACAAACGTCAAACGTCGACGAGATATAACCTCTAAACTTGATGATCCAAATTACCGCTGCCGTGCCTATGACAAATTGTACGATGCACGAGGAGCGTATCGAGCACATTTAAAATACTCGCATGGTATGGAGTTTCCATCAGAATCACAGAAGTGTCAGCAAATCCCTGGTGTCGAACCTGAGCTGGATGATCCCAATTTTTTTCTGTCGTACATACCAACGAACATATGCAAACTTGACCGTCTACAGAAAGCATCTACGAAGTACACATAAAATGATGTTGGGGCCTCTACGCAACAAGCACTTCCTTAACCCCAGCTTCCTTCCTGACCTTCTGGATCCAGCTTTTTATTGTCGAGTATGCAAGACGTCAGCGTTCTATGAAGCGACATCGTAAGCATTGCAGGGACGTTCATTACATGGATTTGGAGAGGTTGAAGAAGCCATTTGCTCATCCTGATGCTGTCATTGATCTAAGTCTGCCTACGCCTTACTGTCCTAAATGCGATAGAACCTTTGCCAAAAGAAGAAACTTTCTCGTACATGTATCGCATGTTCATAAGATGATAATCGCAAGCGAAGCCTAGTTGCAAAACTGGAGTTACCTAATGATTCATAAAGGAAGCGCATTATATATACAAGTTTAATCATAATTGTTAGATTAAAAGTGAAAAGGAATCATCTAATATATACACTGTAAAACATTCAAAAAAAAAAGTAGATAAACATATCATATCCTTTCAAAATTTAAAAGAATTGTATGCCGTACAAGGTGAATAAAACCACCGGCAAAGGTGCAAACCATAGTATTCAAGCAGCAAATTCGGTTTTTCATTTCCATTGTTAATAAGCTTACCAGGAACATATCGCATCAAAATTTGCATAAACCAGCTTTACCAAAATCAATATGCCTCCTATTCTGATTAGAAGCTGCACAGGCTGCAGAACTGCCCTTCCAGAAGACTTAGCTACCAAAGATGTGGTTTATGCCGTATAAATAAACGCTAGAAAGCAAAAACATGACCAAATTTGACAGCTTTCAAGCCTTCATATCTTGGCTTGTAGGCCTTTTTGAGCCGTTGGAATGACGCTAAACAATTGTACTTGAGTAGTAGTAACTTCCTGACACCTTTGCTCAACTTTTTGGGGATCAAAAAAACATGAACAAAAATCGACCAAAAAGCATGAGGTACCCCTCATGGTTTCCATCAAAAATCAAACGATCGCGTTTTTCACCTCCAAAATGAAGACTTTTACTATGGTATATATCAAATCAAAATGTTTCTCTCGATCCAAAGCAACCTCTGAATCTACTTTTATGAGACTTTCGTATGCAAAATTTGGATATTTTGGCCAAAAACCTCATTTCATATTTTACCAAACTTCTCAAAAACTTCACTTAAAACATCTACTATAATTGGCACCATTGTAAGCGCCTTGAAATGTACTCCAAGAATGTATTAGGAAGCATTTTTTTTTGTTTTTTTTTTTGTAGGGGAGTCGAGCTCCAGGTTTTATTTAAAGTCCTTTAAATGTCATGCTGAGGGATAGAAAAGACTGTTGGTGGACCCAATGTCTGCAAAGAAGGGGAATAAGATATTTTTTGAATTAAGTTGGGAAAGAAATCTACTACTAATAAGGTGCGACACCTAGAGCCAATACAGTCTTGCGGAAGTTGTCAAAATATAGATAATGGATAAGAGCACAAAACACCAAACGAGGACATCAGTACTACGCCAAAAAAATCAAACAACTTGCGTTTACCAGGATTTGAACCGGGATCCTCCCGTTGGCATACGGGAGTTTCTACCACTTCGCCCTACCACCAGGGACACGTATTAGGAAGCATAGGGTGATCATTACAATTCATATAGTCGGATACCACAGAATAGATTAAAGAAGTCGAAGAAAGACAAAACTATCCAATCTTGAACGAAGAAAACAAGCTGAGCTTGAATCAATTTTGGCAGCGGCGGCGGGCGGCGCTGCTGCTGGCTGGCCCAAATGCCTTTTTGATGCTGACAATGATGATGACAAGGATGATTGCGATACAGATTAAATAGGGGCCATGGAATTTAAATGACAATTGCTTAGCCCGAATATATTCTTTTCTTGGGAGTTTTTCCTTATAATTATAAAGATGTCTTTTGCAATGACAATACCTCAAAAAAAGTCGTTGTAGATCTTACACAAGTATTGCATTTACACATGGCCAGCTTTATGCCGCCATCTCAAGAGCAAAATCAGCGAATGGATACCTCCCCCTTCTGACTCTGATATAGCCTTTTTTTTTTTTTACTATTAATTGATTGTTTAAAATCTACTTTTATGTCAGATTTTTATTATTGCTGATTTGAAATGTCTTCGGCGATAGCCTCGCAGGGCGACGCCGTATCGAGTGTAGCGAGATTGATCGGCTAGTAGTTCTATATGTTTATTTATTTCTAGTCTGAAGCGGCAACAATTTTTGGAAATAGTCCTGAGAATATGTTCCAAAATACCTCTGCTCTGGCCTCTTCAAAGACCTTTAATGTGATTGTGGGTGCATCTACTAGTCGAGTTGATGCTACTGATAAGGAGCTTTCTGTAAACAGTCTTGATGGCTTTGAGTATGGTAATGTACTTGAGATAAGTCCCAAAGGAAAATGCTCATAAGAGTCATCACCAGATGTTGAGAGTGGAAGGTCGTATTTGAACGAAGTGTGCTTGATGCGCTTTTGATAGACAAACGGCTCCATGATAGCATCAATTGCACTTCGAGCTTTGTGAGATATATTGACTTGCAGCGGCGAGTTTTCTACAATGAATGTGTTGTATAAATCAACCACTTCAGGTATTTGATCTGCTCCCAACGGGGTATCTAGAATGTTATTGTTGGGTTGTACGCCTTGCAGGAGATGCAAATACCGATCGTAAAATAGAATGTTTTCCACGCTGAAATCCTTGACAGCCCAGGTTTGTAAGACGCGAAGCATATGAGGATCGGCCAGAGCATGATGCAGAGATTCGGTGGTTAATTCAAGTTTTTGAGCAGATATAGTAGGTGTTGAGGAATACCCATCGTCTGAAACAGTTGAATTGAGAGAATCTTTGTTGCTGGATACTCGTCTAGCTTGATTATCAATCGACAGTGTCTTGAAGAGAGGCAATATAACCGACATGACATGGCTTGTCATGGTAAGAATAATAATCCAGTTGGAAGGACCAAAGATACCTCGAACACCAGCAAGATTAAATTTTGAAGGATACTTGAACAGGATTTGCCAGATGATACACATGATGAAGCAAGGAACACCAACACTCACGGTCGCCCATAGCTCTCTCCGAATACCATGGGCATCTGCATCATTGCGCAAATACCAGACAATAAACGGCACCACAGCAAGAAAGAAAAAGATGACCATGCCCATGATAACATAGTTGCCCCAGTAGAATTGGCATCGAGATGAACCATGTGCTCTGATGCTAGTAACTTCACTGATGACAATGACGATGGCGAGGATGGTGACGCTTAGCAAAAACATGCAAAGATGATATTTTGTTGCTCTTTGTCGATGTTGTATGAACCATTGATACTCTTTGTCTTCCGAGATGGTGTGGTCAGTGAATCGTTGTTGCAGTTGATTCAAGCGAAATAAGAGATGGAGACGAAGTGTGCGCCAAATGATGGCATACATCCATATATAAAATCCAATCAGAGGGCCCCAGAGATAGATCTCGCATGTGAATGAGACAGCAACGACTTGGTAGAGTAGTACCGATGTTGAGAATACCAAATGTCCAAGTGCACCAAGCACAGTGCCAAATAGGCCTCGTTTTTTCAAGGAATAGGTCTGCCATTGCTTGGAGATAATCTGATCCGTGAGATGGATGGTCGGTTCCGATGTTTGTGTCCACTTTGCCGAGATATTTCTGTAAATGTAGTAGCCTGTTGTTGTAATGATGAATATTGAATTGAGGATAATGAGTGCCAAATAGACTCGCAATACAATGATTTTTCGGTGTATATCATTGCAGAAGGCAGTCTCTAAATCATTAGCATTGTCTATGCTGTTTGCACAGTCTGGTAAAGGCAAAAATGGATTCAATAGGTCTGTTGACATTCCCATAACGCCATTTTCAGATGGTAGCTTCTTTAATGTAAATGATTGTATAAAGGAAAAAGAAAGAGATATATATGATAGAAAACGCCATGCTATGTAGCAATCCATATTTTTTTTTTTTATTCAACATTAGAATGGTTTCAAAACATGAAACCAGCCAAAGAGAAAACGAGAGAGAGAGAAAAAGAGAAAATGAAACCATTATTTACGATTCCACTTGATCCTTTGATAGTAGTTGATTCAACGCATCGATGGTAAGAGGTAATTCTGCTTGTAGTACAGGTATTTGGATTTGCAGTACCCAAAATTGATCCAGGACATTTGTTGGAAATGTCAAGATAGAGCTGTCAGTTGAATAGTGCTTCAAGTAATGTAACAACTGATTGCTGATCTCAGATATGTTCTGTGTGTGTGAAACCCAATTTCTTCTTTTTTCCTCATCCAGCACATCCAACTGTCTATCAAACTCAATTTGTCTCTTTACAATGTCAGATTGCCTCGTCTTTTTTTGATCTTGCTGATAGGATTGCCAGTCTAGCATCAATGAGTTACATTGATCTAGTCTCTTACGAGCTAGTCTTTCATATTCTTGGTTCAATTCGATCAATCTAGAAAGTTCAGCTGAGCAATTTCATATTAGGATGCTGAAACAGCCTTACAATTGGTCCTAGTCATAGGTTTAGCCATTGGTTTTCAAATGGTAAGCATTTTCATTAGCATTTGAAGTACCTTTCTTTGAGATGTAGCTAGTCTGTTCTTTGCATTCTGTAAAAGATGGCCTGTTAATCGCTCATCGCACTCAAACAAGCCCATCCGTATATACAAACGTGCCATGTTGGTCTCCAGTTGTTTGATTTTGGCTAATATCTTTGCTGTAGATGTATCATCTTGTAATGTGGGTTGAATAGTGGTATTTGCCATGATAAAAACTATGGAGAAGCTAGAAAGGGAGTACAAATGTAAAGATTGAAATTTTTATGTTGAAATGTGTGGGCCCCTCTCCCTATTTGCATTGTGCCCAGGCAGTGTATTTTGGTCGATGGCTATGCTTAGTTGCTCAACCTCGACCCCTTGTTTTACAGCGGACACTTGACATTCATATGCGCTGAAACCCCAACTGTACCTTATTGCTGGTACTTTTTTTCCCTGCTCTCTATAGACAGATAGCGATAAACATTGTCGAGATCTCTTTGCATCTGTGCATGTACAAAGCACATGGATAATGTGATACTAAATGCGGTTATTCAAACAGAAGAGAGTCAACAAAACACAAGCTGCGGACTTGCACAGGGATTGCCAAACACAACAAGATTGTCCATATAAAATTATTTTGCTCGTTTCTCTTTTCTCTCTATTTGCACACTAATTTAACCTTCTTGAATGGATGTTTATTCACTGACTCGCAAAAAGAGGCCTTCTCATCTCACATTAGGACAATCCTCTCGAACAGAATCCGACAATGACTCTGGACTAGATGTTTCAGTATCATCCACCAAGCCCAAATTGAACAGCAACAGTAGTTTTACATTTGATCAAGTTACAGGGTCGCCCACCAGAGAACATTGGAAGGTAAACTTGCTCTATTGCACCCTGTGGAATTGAATGACTCAACTCTCTAAAATAGAGAGACTCTGATTCCACTGCGTGCGAGTACATTGGATGTCTGACCAAGTTTGGATTGTTTGAAAGAAGACATCACTGCCGAAAATGTGGAGACATCTTTTGCTCACTTCATTGCTCCAACTACTTTCGATTGGATCAGTATGCTCAGTTTCATCCAAAAGGGGTGCTATCAAGGGGATGTGATAAATGTGCGCTCGACTATATCCAGTGGCAAGACCAAGTGCGGCGAGGTGGTGATACGAAAAGGCAACCAGTCGATAAACCTGCATCCAAAAAAAGACAGGACAGTAATATCATGACGCCGAAACCACAGGCAATGGAAGGGGTAACTGAATTAGGAAGAGATGGTAAGTTGTGTGTGTGTGTGTGTGTGTGTGTGTGTGTGTGTTGGTCTTGAGGTGGAAGATGCTTTTTTATTCTAAAACATCTTCTAGACATTGTTGCACCACAAAAATCTATGCAGTCGTCAAAAGGGGTGACTATAAGCAACAAAAAGGATAACCAAGGTAAAAATAAACGACTATTTATAAATGTGGATGTATGTGTAGTTTGTGTACGAGAGAGACTGATGTGATCATTAGGTACATTTAATCCTATTCCATCTGTTCCTGCTGATTGGCAATGGTCTACATTCTAGGATTTATCGGCAATGGGATTAGCATGAATTGTAATAGATTTAATCTTGATCTCCTGCAGTGGCCTGTTCTTTTCATCAATTGGGATCTTCTCCATGGCATCCAGCGTCGAATCTGCGCCATCAATAACTCTACATTAAAAAATATACAGATGTGAGTGATAATTTGCTTTTTTCATCAGCAGCATGAATGGCATATAAAAAGCTGTAATAACTATTCGATATTAAACATGTACTACTTACTTTCCAAACACTGTGTATTTCGTATCTAAATGAGGATGCTTTGCATAGGTGATGAAGAATTGAGATCCATTTGTGTTTGGGCCTGAGTTAGCCATGGAGAGTATGCCTCGTGCATTGTGCTAATGTTGCATACGTGTTTAGCATATCTCCAAGTTGCCCATTGTGCGGTACTGTTACCTTGAGTGTGGATCTGATCTCATCATTGAACTTTCTACCCCAAATAGAATTGCCACCTTTTCCAGTGCCAGTGGGATCACCAGTCTAATAAAAAAAAATACTGAGTGTTAACCGACTTAAACATGCCATGTCCAGTGAAAACCCACATACTTGGATCATAAATCCAGGGATGTTTCTATGGAATGTGTTGTTATCGTAATATCCGCTAGCACATAATGCAAGGAAATTCTATTGCAAGCTTGAGTACACACATCCTGCTACTGCGGAAAAGCTATTGCTTGCTTTTGAAGTCTCATACCTCTGCGGTTTTTGGCACAGATTCACAAAAGATTTCGACTTTGAGATCTCCAAGATCAGTATGTAAAGTGACAGACTAATTGCTGGTGGTTAATATAGAGCGTCAATGCAGCAAGATTGGTAGTATACCATTGTATATTAGAGGGTTTGTAGCGTGTTGAGTAAACAAGTAGGAAAGTAAAAGATTTTTTAGCGCTCGTCTAATAAAGCAATCGAGTTCAATTATGCTTAAACAGTCATTCAGCAGCGATATCTGATTACCATTTTAGATTTGATTAGAAAATCACTCTATTATATACGAGTGTTTATGCTTCGGATGGCTCTCTACCTTCGCTTCGCTTCGATGAGAATCAACCTGCGCAGCGGCAGCTCGCGCTAGCGATTGCCCTTGCGTATCCCATCAAAATACTGCTACTTTCATTTTGACTCACCACTTACACATGAAAAACATTCATATTATCTGTGGATCTGATTCTTATGTGATGCTCTACATCCATATGCATATAGCTACTTCATATACAGACAAGTAGCTTACTGGTATTTCCCCTTTTAGTTTTTAGTGTCTCTGATACAGCAAAACTTGAGTGCATTTGAGCTACGTTTTCTTGCGTTCAAGACCGTTTTGGATCGTCAGAATAGCACCAAACCATTGCTTTCATATGGCAGTTGCTTCCTGACACCTTTGCTCAACTTTTTGGGGACCAAAAAAACATGGCCAAAATTCGACCAAAAAGCATGAGGTACCCCTCATGCTTTTCATCGAAAATCAAACTATCGTGTTTTTGACATCATAAACGAGCACTTTTACTATGGCATATATTATATCAAATTGTTGCTATGGATCCAAAGTAACCCCTGAAATCACTTTTGTGAAACCCTAATATATAAAATTTTGACATTTTCGCCAAAAGCCTTATTTCACATTATCTGAAATTACTCGACAAGTTTACTAAAAAAAACGCCTCTATTATTTAGCACTATTGGATGCGCCTTAAAAAGTACTCCAAGAATGCCTAAGGTTGTATTTTTTTTTTTGTAAGGGAGTCGAGCTCCAGGTTTTATTTAAAGTCCTTTAAATGTCATACTGAGGGATAGAAAAGATTGTTGGTGGACCCAATGTCTGCAATGAAGGGGAATAAGATATTTTTGAACTAAGTTGGGAAAGAAATCTACTACTAATAAGGTGCGACTCCTAGAGCCAATACAGTCTTGCGGAAATCGTCAAAATATAGATCATGGATAAGAGTACAAAACACCAAACGAGGACATCAGTACTACGTCAAAAAATCAAACAACTTGCGTTCACCAGGATTTGAACCGGGGATCCTTCCGTTGGCATACGGGAGTTCTACCACTTCGCCCTACCACCAGGGGCATTTGCCTAAGGTTGTATGGGGTAGTCATCAACAGTCATATAGTCGAATCTTGCAAAATAGATCAATTGAGTCGAAACTGAGAGAGATTTGGCCAATCTGAAGCAAAACTGTTAAACTGAGTTTAAATAATTTTGGCTGGCAAAATCAGTCATGGAGGTAAAAATCAGTGCTTTTGAGAAGGAAGACGGATCAAAAGGTGCTACTGCTTGGTCTGGAGATTTTTTGATGATCCTGTAAGCATCTTGTCAAAACTTGCGTTTGAAATCATTGCTATGGAATTTTTCATCATTGCAAGCTACGATGAAATGCTTCCCAAATCAGGAGCTTTGCCCGTCTTGCTTTCTGATAGTAAATAATAGCGTTTATTTTGTATGCATTTGCCGATATTGCGTGTTGTCCAGTTCTTTCAATCATCACTCCAAGTGATCGTAAGCCTGAATCTTTAGTCTCGCGTCGTCATGGCAACGTAAATCTATGAGCTTCTCAATTGTAAATCTAACAAATGGATTATGAGTATTGTAACTACACGTTCACACACACACACATCAACACTTACGGTTCCCTGACTTGTCTTGTATGTGTTTCCCAAAACTTTCCTCTTCGTTTGGGATCATCGTTAAACAAAAGACATGTACTGTCTTCATCGTATCTCAGATGAATGTTCTTGAGATGCTTTGTATACTTCTTGAGATCCAAAATCAGGCAAGTGAAAGTGTCTGCAACCTTCAGCGAAAATCTAACATCAAATGACTCCAACAAAGGGCATGCCTTGAACAAATTCTCAAAAAACGCGTTGGTAGCTTCCAAATTACCTCTAGCTCTAAAGAGATTCACTTCGAAATGTTTGAGTCCACTTTGGACCTTAAAAAGTGACAGAACTTCGTCATTAATTTCCATGTAATCCAGTGAGAATGACTCCAGAGCAGGTACATAACGCAATATATATACAGGCAGCGCATATGGTAACGACATGTGTTGCTCTAGTTCAATCTTAATATCCAGTCTCCTCAAGTGTTTCATCTTATAGTCAGCCAGAAGTCGTTTGAATGCATTAGGGCGTGTGTAATGGTCATCTTTGGAAAGCACCAAATGTAAAGCCTTGATGGTATCCGCCTGTTTGGATGCATGCAAGTTCTTGAGTTGCTGTTCAATGCTGACATGCATGTCCCATAATTTGGCAGCTTGCAGCTGAAATCCGTTGCACAGGGCTACATTTTCACGAGTAAAAGGAAAAAATTGGGACTCTATTCTCTCCATGTTTTCCAACTTTTGGACAATGCGCTTCATCATATTCATGGACTGCAGCGTCTTTGAGAAGCCAAAACGATCCAAATGAATTTCGCTTTCATGAGGGTCCATGATTTCCAGACGAAGGTTGGTGAGTCCAATGTATTTGTGGTGCACATACTCTAGCCACTTGATCACATTTTCGTTCAGCTCATCCACCTCATGGTCATTCAGCACAATGGCAAGATTTAGCGTCTTGAGCTTGATTAGCGGTTTGATGTGGCTGCCGATAGTGAGTTTCTGTTCAGCAAAGGGGACGCCTTTGGTAGCTACTGTCAGTTCCTGCAAACCAGGTGCGTAATTGTGCATATCTTCCACATCGCATACATAGAGTGTGGCATTTTTGATGTCGAGCTGCTTGAGATTGGGTGCATTCTTGAGACATTTGATGAACATCTTGTTCACGTCAGGCTCGTGCATGGAACGAAGCCTATGTAATGTCGATGGGTTTGCATGTGAATTGTGGAATGAGACGCGAATCGACTGTAGTGCTCTAAAAGTGGTTTCCTGGAGCATTTTTACGGCATAGGCAGCGCCATAACCATGCATAGATATCTCCTTAAGCGTACGTTGGCACTTGCTGGTGACAGTAATACCAGAGATATCGTAATATTGCAGTCTTGAATAGAGACGTAGGCTGTGTAAGTTGGGAAGAATGGATGGAATCATTTGAAGAAGCTTGAGATCACGAAAGTCTCTTTCTATGCGTAAGTCTGCGTAGTGCACTTGCTGTGCCATCAAATAGTTGACACGAAAAAAGTCGAGGCCTGCATAGATGTTTGATGTGAAGTAGAGTGATACGTTGTTCACCATGACAGATTGTGCCAATGATGTGAGAGATCGACATACAAGCATACATTGCAAGAGATCTGGTGTCAAAAGATAGGAGAAGATCTCACTGGTGATTTCAGCTGGTATTTTGTCTAGCATGAATTGAATGTTGAAGAAGCGCGTAAAAAAAAAAGAGAGGGAGAAAGAGAGAACGGCAACTACGCATCTTTTACGTAAGCTAGAAAGAGATGAGTTCAAACTGAAGCATTGGGCACTACGACAGATTCAAGATTATACACACTGATTTATTTAGCTAAATCACACAACTTGGCAATCATGCCAGACAACTGAATGATGCTCTGATGCCCTTCCAAGATACGCATATGAGTAAAACCAATTTCCTTCAAGTAATCCAATCTAATTTGTTCACTCATTTCGTTGTAGTTTCTTGTCACTCGAAAGATGGTGGTAATAATATCCAACGAGGAGTAGCCTTGATCGTACAATTGCTCCACCAAGGTAACAGCATCATCTACTTTTCCCTTTCCGCAGTGCTCCAACATGTGCTGGACTACAACAGGGTGAGGTTGATCACAAATCTTGAACACATTCTCTGCATTGACATATCCAAAACCGTAGTGAGTGGATTGTAAATTGTTGATGGCTTGGCGCATATCTCCATCAGCTGTAAAGATCAACGCCTCTAAACCCTCGTCGTTCGATTGAACCTAGCATCCCATCATGTCAGTGCATGTTCTCCATCAGACATACACTTTGATACTCACATTTTCCATACGACAAATCTCCTCTAATCTACTCAGTACTTGAGCGTCTGTTAATTTGGTATAACGCAATACTGCACAACGGGACTGGATGGGTTCAATGATTTTGTTGGATTGATTACAAGCTAATGCAAATCTAGTTGTATTGGAATAGATTTCCATGGTTCTACGAAGGGCTTGTTGAGCTCCACCTGTCATACTATCAGCTTCATCTAGAATAACAATCTTGTGTTTGCCAGGTGGTAAAGTCACTTTCTTTTGAGCAAATGCCTTGATTCTACTTCTGACCACTTCGATACCTCTGTGGTAATGGGGTTGGTGAGTATTTGTCCAATGCAAGCATATATACTATTTACCTGTCATCAGATGCGTTTAGCTCAAGCACGGCATCTTTGTAAGAAGGACCAAGCAAATCATGAGCCAGACACAATATACTTGTAGTTTTACCAATACCAGGCATGCCCTATATATCAAAGGCTGTCAATCTTACATCTCCATCCCACTTTCCAACCACTACATACAGTCAGGATAACATTGGGTAGATTGCCATCTCTCGCAATGGTTTCTAAACGAGACACAGCATCTTCATTGCCAACAATGTCCTTTAGATACTCTGGTCTGTACTTTTCGACCCTAAAATTTTGTTAGTCTTTTTCATCATGCATTCATCTTAGGCATTGCCATTACCAAGGTAGAATGTAACCATCTTCTTCATTTGAAGCTGAAGTGGTAGCTACTTTCACAGGCTTAGAGTCGATTTCCATGGCTGATGAAGACATTTTTAAATGTTGCAATAGAGTAAAGAAATGGAATGAAATCAAGAATAGGTGTTTTCGTTCAAATACGCGACCGCGCTCCTCTTTTTTCGGTTTGACAAGTGTGCTCACAGTTCAAAACACAGTGCTCGGTTGACTGACTGCTTTTCACCAGTTGGATCCATGGTTCATGATGGAGAACTTGAACGAAACGGTCAACAAAGACTGCCTCCAAGCTAAATGTAACGCTTTCAAATCAAGGCAAATGCCTATAGACTTTAATATTGCAGAAATATAGATTTTACTACATTTAAACCAGCTGAATAGGTGCTGAAAATGTTGATAGCATTAGTGTCTTTATCCCATCAAATGTTCCATGGGATCCTTGATGGCCCGACGTTGTAGCTCATGATGTACTATTTTTCAACCTCAAGAAAGCTGCATAGACCAGATAGGAAAGCCTGGTTTGCTCCAAAAGACATTCTTTGAGCGTAAAAAGCATATCGGGATTGGCATCCCGAGATCAACATCATCCTTCTCATTTGCAACAATTCCGCCTGACGATGGGTCATCGATGAAACTAGAATTGCAGTTATGAGCAAACAAAAATATACAGCAACTGTCGATGTTGTGCCTCTGAAATAGCTTATACGAATCATCTCTCTTGAAGAGAAGGGTGCAGCAATGAGGCTTGAACAAAATGATCCTCTCATTAACATACAAGCATCATCATGTTTCGATAAATCTTTCAATTTAAAGTAATTTCACTAAAGATACTGATACGGATCACCTCTAAAGCACCCTGCCCTGAGCATTTTGATTGTAAGCGACACAAATCAGCCATGATATATCGTATCACTACTGCTTTGCCCAATATCACTGGGCTTTAAATTAAAGCAAGATGACTTTTTATACTCTTGTACTCTTTTGCCTCGATTTTTTTTTTCTTTTCTTTTTTTTTTTTTTTTTCTTTTCGCTTTTGGTTTTTGCAATAACAGAAAAACTGAAATCATGGCTGATTCGAGTATTGCAAAGGCATATCCTTATGCAAACACCAACAAGCCCAAGGAGTATTATGACTACGAACAACTTCAAGTGACTTGGGGGTAAGAACAAGTTTGCGGGTTTCGGGTCATGTAAGAATAGATCATTGATACACACAATCTCAACCAGATCGCAGGACGTCTATGAAATTAGCAGAAAAATTGGCAGAGGAAAATATTCAGAAGTATTCTCTGGTGTGAATGCTCTGAACCAGCAGCAATGTGTCATCAAAGTATTGAAACCTGTCAAGAAGAAGAAGATCAAGAGAGAAATCAAGATTCTACAAAACCTGACAGGAGGACCTAACATCATTGGTTTATTAGATGTAGTGCGTGATCCAGAGGTAAGTGCTTGTCGAGTATCTCTAGGTCATGGGCTAACATAACACAAAGTCTCGAGTGCCTTGCTTGATTTTCGAAAGCATCAACAATATCGACTTTAGAACATTGTATCCTCGATTCACCGACATGGACATCCGCTTCTACATGTACGAATTGTTAAAAGCTCTCGACTACTCTCACTCAATGGGTATCATGCATCGAGATGTCAAACCTCACAATGTCATGATTGACCATGAAAAGCGACAATTGCGACTCATTGATTGGGGATTAGCTGATTTCTACCATCCTCAAGAGAAATACAATGTACGAGTTGCATCCCGTTGTTTCAAGGGACCCGAGTTATTGGTTGATTTCCACTTCTACGACTACAGCTTGGATTTATGGAGTTTTGGTTGTATGTTGGCTGGTATGATCTTTAGAAAGGAACCCTTCTTTAGTGGTGCAGACAACTATGATCAATTGGTCAAGATTGCTCGTGTCATTGGTACTGACAAGTTGTATGAATATCTCAAGAAGTACGATTTGAAATTACACCCTCATATTACAAAAGTGATGGGAAAATACCCTGTAAAGCCTTGGAGCAAATTCGTTACAAGTGAAAACCAAAAGTACATGTCAAATGAAGTGTTTGATTTATTGGATCAATTGCTACAATATGATCATCAAGATAGACCTACCGCCAAAGAAGCTATGAATCATCCTTATTTCGGTAAATATTCTGTTTAATCATGATAGCGTAAGATAATAATATATGTATATAATATAGCTCCCATCCGTCAGCAACAATAAGTGGTAACAGTAAAGCATCAAGATGGCAAGGGAAAAAACAATAGTTAATAGTTAATAGGTGTAGTAATAAAGTGTGTGTGTTTTTTTCGTTTCTTTTTCTCTAGTCATGACGATTGAGTAAAAGTATTTAGATATGATGATTGCTTGAGCTCTTACCTTTATGCGCGCTTCTTCTTCCTTCTTCCTGGATGTGGCGCACCTTCTACAATCTTTCTTTCCAACACAAAAGCGCCTTCAGACGAGACAACGATACCTGCAAATATATACATGATGCACACCATTTTAAAATAGGTATTCATCACACTAACACACAATTTTGTTTTACCTTGCACCATGTCTGCCATACAATAACCTCCAAGATTGGCCTGCCAAAAATAAAAGTCTGCAATGGCTGCTCCTGTCGTATATAAATTTTCTAAATCTCGTTGGTGCTTCAAGGTCAATGGGTGAAAATCTTGGTCCTTGATAACACCCCATTCAGGATGATATTGCTTTGAAGGATCCAGCATGGGAGGGGGAGGAGCCAAGGCAGGATTCGTCGTGTTGGTCGTAGGTAATGGTGTAGCAACTGTACTCGCAGTAGGCGCTGATGATGGCACAATAGCTGTAGCTGGCGATGGTGTTGTAGGCGTATTACCGTTTGATGATACAACTGCCTGCAGTGACATATCCAACGGTGTCTGTGATGGTGGTGGAGGTGGTTGATTATAAGGTGATTGTTGAGATGACCAACTTAGCATGTCATTATTAAACATTAAATGCTCATCATGCTCTTCACCTGGTGGTCGTTGGTCAAAAGTCATTTATGCAAAATCTTATACACGAGAAAGAAAAAAAAAAAGGGCATTGTGATTTCAAATTTATACAAGCTCTGTGAGGATCTTTGTTTTTTAAGGGGCTATTATTATTATGATTGATAGCCATCTTCTTCCGAGCATCTTTTACAAGATTTAGGAGCTATTTTACAACAATAAACTGTTTTATACTGACGAAGACATGCCCCCCTCCCCTTTTTAGTTGATGATAATTAATACAATATACAGCAGCCCCTTCCATGGTCTTCTTTTAGAGCCCCTTTTTTTTGCATGGACTTGTGTATCTATACTTTAGAGTGCTATCCAGTGAAGATACGAGCAATACAACGGGTTCTGCTCAAGAGATGAGGCTTCAATGGCAAACAAAAGAAGGCCCTCAAATGTTTCAACAGCAGTGTCCATTTTAAAGGCAATATTGTGGCCCGTGTTTTTGAATAAGGGATCATCCTTTTTGTAAAGCTGTATTCTATGAGATTTCACCCCCTTTATTTTCAGGTCGATGTCATTTTCCGCCCACTATTTTGCAAATAAAAACAAATACATTCGTGGTTCCAGACCATGGAGACTATGTAATATGAAGAAGCCACATATCATTCAAAAAAGCGCACTTTAGGGTTGATGTAAGTGATGTTTAGTAGAGCCTACAGTTGTAGCACGTTATACATGGGAGGGGAGTTTTGTAATTGCAGAGCAAGGAGAGAGAGAGTGAGTGAATGAAGCTTACACAAAGATCGATATAAATTACTATAGCTGAGAATGTGGCCACCCCATGTCTCTCTGTCCCTCGCTCGCTCTCTCTTTTTTGCTCTAATTCGATCCCACAAAATATCAAGTTGTGCTACAATGCGCTCAAAGTATATACCCAAACCTTGATTTTGATTCTTTTTCAGGGAAATCATCAAAATCTCCATTCCGTTTTCCGAGGTTTGTTATTCTGCGTACATTCACTCTGGTTTCTTTTTCTTTCTTCCCCGAATACTAAATGAGGATTATACAGTTGGAGATGTTGTTTGTTTGAGCATTGTATCAAATCGTCATTCAAACGAAGATGGATAGAAAAAAAAAGATGAACGGATTTCCTATAAATGGATTGTTCTAAAAACCAATGTTCTTCTTGCAGACGAAAAAACTCATGGGACCATTTTGTGCAGCATAACCTATCTTCTTGTTATACACACAAAAGAAACTTGACATTTATTTGTAACCGATCTGCCTGCCAACCAACATCACGATTCAATGAGAAAGCGCACAGCCCATCAAAATAGAGAATGGTGAAAAATTTTACTGTTTTTTGCTTTTATTATTTGAAAAATGGGTCATATATCATGTAGCTAATGAAAGATAATGATAAAAATGAAAGCATGTGAATATGTACATATTTTTTTTGTTAAATAGAACGCGCAAGTTTAAAGAAAACGAACATAATGAATGAAATTTTGCTTTTGAATTGGTATAAATGGGACGGAGAAGCTTTTTTAGAGTGGGATATGCATTGTATAGTGGTTGTTGAATGTTGAATGTTGGAGTTGCTAGGATATTACTTGAGCAGAGGGCATGTGGGTCTTTTATGGCCATACTTTCCGCACCATGAGCTAATGACAATTGAATTAATACCATGATTTTGACAGCATGCATTTTTCAGGTACTTACCATTGGCCGCCTTGTAAATTCAAAGGTTTAATATATTGAGACATGTTGTTATAATTGATTTGAATTTGCTTTGTTTTGATTTAGCAAAAGAGAAATAAAGAGGGAAATGTCAATGAAGGGGTACCTTTTTATACCTTTTTTTTTTTTTTTTTTTTTGCAAGACAGATATAAACTTTGGGCAACAACAGGCTTTCGGATTGCCTTATAATCTTTAGATTTTGTTCTTGGGTCTCTTATCATGAAACAATCTCTAATACGATTGATAATTCCAGATCATGAAATACCTAGACAGTGGCGTATTTGTATATTGTTGTTGTTGTCAAATCATTACATCTTATATCCTTTTTATCTGATACATTGATGAATCAACTGCATCTTTCTTTTGATAATTTGTTAGAATAGGTTTCTAATTAAAGCTATTGCTCCTCGACCACCATCCTAATAATATATCTGCTATCGATCTTCCACCTTGACAAAAAAAAAAAAAAAAAAAAAAAAAAAACCTTGTAATACATTTGATGACAATTTGTACCCAATCTTGTCTAGTCTGTCTCTTGTTTTTTTGACCCCTCTCCAAGTTTGATGCGACTGACAGGATAGTCGCTAGTGCTAAAATAGAATCACACGCACACGCACATATCACACATGTCATATGGCTGTATACTTGACATTTACACCAAATAGAAGGAAAAAGAAATTGGGCGGAAATGTTTACTAAAATAATAATAAAATGGTCCTACCTTATTGTATCCACACTTTACAAACAATAATAACAACAAACGGATGGGCTAAATTGCTATTGCAGGTCTACAGCTACATGGGAAAAACGTGGTTGCACTTTCTGAATAGCAAAAAAAAAAAAGAACGCTTTGACACTACATTGAATAAGCATCAATGATATAACCATCACATCACTTGCTATGGAAGTATATACTCTTGCTCCTGGTCCATGTTTGATGCCGATTTTTCAATGTAAATAAATAAACATGTAAACATCATCTCAATCTAAAAAAGACCACTTGCGACTAACTGATGATACTGATGCTGTTGCTGCGAGAAGTGATCAAGACATCGAATGACGGCCGGTATACTAAAAAGGTATGTATTTGTGATTGTCCGGGATAACAATCGTATAAGGCATTGCGGTGGATATTATAGTGTGCCATTTGTGTTGATAGAAAAGTATTAGAATGCAAATCAAAAAAAGTGTCCGTGCCTGAAAAAATCGTAAAAAAGTTCAAAGCGCACACATTGTGATGTTATCAGAAGGAGCGACAAAAATTATGATGCAAAATGGTTCCAAATGTATCATCAACATCAAAACCATTCTAGTTGGGTTTTTGTTTATCCTATTTCAAGATGTGTTCTTAGTAGTTTACTATATCACATCTCAAGCGAGGGCCATACATCCTTGATTTGTACCAATCAGATCAGCACTAGGTACGATAGTCAAACAGCAGGTCTCTATTTTTATTAGGTTTCGTTCCTGTGATCTCCTCTGTTAGTATCCAAACTTTGTGCCACTTTACATCAATCAATCCTCTACGAAAAAAAAAAAGGGGGGGGGGAGGCATTTATTTAGCTCGTCAAATGTGTCAATACAAATTTTCATATTCATCATGAAGTCATTTTGTATATGGACTAAATTATCATGCAATTACCACGATGGTGATTTTCATGTCATTTGAGTGCTGCTTAGCTTTTTATTGACAAATAATAGAAAGGAGGAAGTGGACAAGGAGCCTCCGAATCTCCTAAATTGCTTTATTTCTACTGAACACAAAAGTCAATATTCCTTTCTGTTGTGTCTGACAACAAAACGAAAGAACGAGAACAAAGTTTACGCCTTGTGTTCTTGTGCTTGTATGTATAAATATATATCTCGATTACTTTAGCTTACAAAACTACCAGGAAATAAAGTTTATTTGTCTATTCAGTTCTCACCGCTACGCCCAAAATTATTCGGATACGGCTCGTGTCCACAAAATGTATATGTTTTTTGAAGCAAATGATCAAAAAGTACTGATGCATCCTCTGGAAGTACAGCCCATTTACATTGATCTTTAGCAGATGAGCATCAAAAAAGACTTGACATAAATTTAGGTTTGCTTGAAACTTTAACCATAATTAAATATAATTTTAGACATGAAACGAATCTCTCTATACTGCATTTTATTGTCAATCCAATGCTACGCAAATCTTGTTCATACATATACGTTGTTTATGAGCAGTTGTTTTTGAGCACAAGGAAGCACTATTACGGAATTCGCTCATTTATGGAACATGTTTCTTAAGTTGGCTCAATTTCTATCCTAATGGATTGGCTGATGATGATGTTGTTGTTGGAAAATATACCAACAATGCTATATAAGCAAATAGCTTGAGCAATTAGTGTGATACCAATGTTTCCAAGCTATAAATAATTGAAATTTCATTATGGTATGATTTGTCTGTTGCATTTGAAATTTCAGATCAACAGAAAAAGCTCGAGGGGCTAGATTTTTAGTTCTCTCTGATGCCACAGCTCTCTTGAAAGCATTCTTTGTGGTTACTTTTAAAGAAGATAGTCTAGAATTAATGTTTTTTTTTGTTGTTTTGTTTTGCTATTGTTATACGATTACACAGTTGGATCATCATAAAATATCTTGCAAACTACTGAAATGGTGCTAAATGGCGAGCAAACTTTTTTCTGCATCAAACTTTACTTGATTTGTGAGTACGTTATCCTCACAAATTATCATATGTAACAGTATTGAATTGCTAATCATCATGATCTACTTTTGGCTTAAATGGCTCAAGGTTCATCATTGAACGACAAACAATTTATGCTTTAGAGCTTTGTCTTGGCGAAGCTATAATGGCGCTGCTGATGTCTCAATAAATTGTGATTTCTACTAGCCATCTAAGCTCAATAATGGTCAGTGAGCAACTACCAGTATGTATCTAGTAGGGTCTACATTCAAAATATGAAGTGTAATTCTGATAGGATGACAATTTTGCACTTTACATTTACATAAGCCATCCATATTACATGAATCGAGTTACGATAATATGTAAGTGAAGTAATGAATAGTATTACGGCTAAGCTATAACATCTTTTGATCCGTCTTCCTTCTCAAAAGCACTGCTTTCTACCTCCATGACTGATTTTGCCAGCCAAAATTATTTAAACTCAGTTTAACAGTTTTGCTTCAGATTGGCCAAATCTCTCTCAGTTTCGACTCAATTGATCTATTTTGCAAAATTCGACTATATGACTATTGATGACTACCCCATACAACCTTAGGCATTCTTGGAGTACTTTTTAAGGCGCATCCAATAGTGCTAAATAATAGAGGCGTTTTTTTTAGTAAACTTGTCGAGTAATTTCAGATAATGTGAAATAAGGTTTTTGGCGAAAATGTCAAAATTTTATATATTAGGGTTTCACAAAAGTGATTTCAGGGGTTACTTTGGATCCATAGCAACAATTTGATATAATATATGCCATAGTAAAAGTGCTTGTTTTTGATGTCAAAAACACGATAGTTTGATTTTCGATGAAAAGCATGAGGGGTACCTCATGCTTTTTGGTCGAATTTTGGCCATGTTTTTTTGGTCCCCAAAAAGTTGAGCAAAGGTGTCAGGAAGCAACTGCCATATGAAAGCAATGGTTTGGTGCTATTCAAGCGGCCTGAAATGGCTTCTAACTCGAGAAAACACAGCTCAAATAGACCCAAAATATGCTGTGTTTTGCATATGTTTGAGTAGTAAGAGGCGCTGCTAGTATGCTGTTCGCTGATATACAAATTATTTTATTGATATTAACGTGGAGTATTATATAGAAGAGTTATTATTACCATTACAATGGGTTCTTGATAGCAAAGACTATAAGATTATATTTTAGTGAAGTTTCAGTAAGAATGAATATGGCAGTGGTTATCAGGGCATTAAATGTAGGCTCGCTTGAAATTTCTCGAAACTAACATGCCATGCATACTGTATGCAAGTATTCTTAAGACTAGTTCTGCATCCGTATTAAACATTATGTTATATCTCTATATTCTCAAATTTTTCTGGTTTAATTTGGTCAGTTATAAAGGGATACATCCTCTTGAGGGCAACTCATGCAACGATTAGGAGAGTGATCACGACGCATAATACAGCCCAGGCTATTTGATTATAGAACTGAAGCAACATTGCATTGATTTGAAAAGGAATCATACTTTGAAATTAGCAATGTAAAGATGTTATTCATTACGTTTACTCCATTCTGTAATGCCCAAGTCATCTAGCAATACCATGAATGTATAATTTATTGAGCTTCTTGCACTTGATCCAAATCAGAAAATTATCAACAACCGTCTTCCAGTATTTTGCCTGCTTGGCCTAGGTAGATGTATATATATATATATATATATATGTTTTGTCCTCGGTTTAAGCCTTTAAAATGCAAACTACGGTTTTCATACAGTGCGATATTTGTTGCTTTGACATCCTTTTCCTGGTAGCTTTTACAATACAAGCAACCCATCTTCTCTGAATACGATGTTGATGAATTCATCCGGTACACCAATGCTGGTAGTACATTAGGAGTTGAGATATCGTACAGTGGCAGCGTGATTTCCATCTGCTACGAACATGCTGTCTTTGTCATAAATATATTACGGACGGTATCATCATGAGTATCTCAGTTGGGAAGACGAGGTGCAGTAGACGTCGTGAAGAATATAGATGCTGGTATGTAGCAAGAAAGAGTTGGATAGAAAGATCTTTAGGCATTGTCTAAATCCATTGAATTGTACTATTAAAAAAAATCATCCTTTTGAAAACTAGACATGGCATACTGAACGCTCTTCAAATAAAAAGGATGCTTGATCGTCCAAACATAAACATTGCTTTCATGCACAACACTGAAGATGAGCTCGTAACACAGGGCACAATTACTATCTATCAAATCAACTGCAACCAACAAAAAGAACCAATAATGAGCGGTTTATTCATAACAAAGCAAAAGAATTGTATGTGTAATCAAAAAAAAAAAAAGTAATAAAATGGGGGGGGGGGGGTAAATACGATGTTATTTACATAGAGGTAAGGTTGCTTTTCATATCTTAATCGGAATCCTCGTCTTCGCTGCTCTCATTTTCTCTCAACCAAACAACAAAAGGTTCCAGTTGCTTCAAAAAGATGGTTTTACCTTGGGGAAGATGAGCCTTGTCATTCCAATAGAGAATAGCGTTATCAGACAAGACGTCGTTCTTGTACAATGTTTGGATGATACGACGGAAGTACTTGGCCAATCGAACATCATCGTAACAAGTGGATTGAACCTTTTGCAAGAGGACAATTTCAGTCTTGGGGGAACCACAGAAGAATTCCAAAACCTTGCTCCATTCAGCAATAGCACGCAAAACTTGAGCTTCGATTTGGTCAGCACGACCCATCAAATCCACCGTGTTCATCATGGATTGCCAGATGATGGGAATCACATCAGCTTCCGTCAAGCTGGCTTCCTTCATGTTGCTCTTGATGAAACTGGTGACTTCGGCATCAGAGGAATCGCCTTGCAAGAGCTCGGTCAAGTCAGCCAAAAGAGAACCCTTCATGGAGTTCTTCTTGTTTCTACGGTAATAGTCGACCAACTCCTTCATGTCCTCGGCTTCAAAGTGACGGACAAGGCAGTCTTCATCACGCTTGTTGGGGGGGAAGAATTCGATGATACGAGAGTTCAAACCTTCGCTAGCCAAGATACGGCCAAGTTGTTCAATGTTTTGTTCATCCAAGACGGTGCGGAAGACAGTAGTGGTGAAGTTGAGAGCATGACCATCCTTGACAAGGTAGTCTTGCAAAAGAACCTTCAACACAGACGAGGGGACAAGTTGGTTGCAGATAAAGAAACCAGTGGATTTGGCCAGTTTGGAGTTCTCCTCGGGTTGCCACTTGTTGATGAATTGCAAGATGTTTTGAAGTGTCTCTCCAAAGATTCTTTGCAAGTATTTGTAACGACGGATCAGTTTGTTAAAGACCTCGACATACTTTTTAATCACGGCGGCATCATCTTCTGCTGCAAAAAGGCAGAAAGGGCTTCGCTCAGCATCATCATCAATAATTCCTCCAGGTTCTGTATTCAGGAAATAAGGTCAATATACAGCCTTTCTTTCTCTTTCTCTCTCTCTCTCTCTCTCTCTCTCGCTTCTTTTCATCGCCAAAACTTACCTAAGATACCACCAGTAATAAGGATTTCGAAAAGAGAATCACCGTATTTACGATATTCAAGCGTATTACCAAGTATATCCAGCTTTGAAGAGATAGCTTCAAGATCACCTTCCTTAATAGTTTTTAATTGTGCGAGCAATTGATCTCTGAAAACTAGAAAAGGCATCTGTAAATAACGTCTGTGCCAAGATACCTCTCATAGATACTTACTCTCAGGCTCGTGTTTAGCGTTGGCTTTTTGGACACCCTATTATCCAAACGATTAACCAAGTTATTCTTTAGCTAAATGTCGTCTTTACTTACTTTTCTTTGTTTAATTCTTACACCATGCAAGACGGGTTTGGGGTTAGTAGAGGCCTGGGATTGGGTAGAATTCATGTATATGCTAAAAACGATCTCTTTTATCTTCTTGGTGCGTTTAAAGCAAAAAAAAATTAATCTAAATGAGAAATTAGGAAACAAAAAGAAACGAGTTGAAGCTAACGAAGAATTTTTATAGCTAAAACGCTTCGTGACGTATCAAAACAAGGAGTAGGAGAGACTGTTGTAGTAAGTACAGAGCCAGATATAAACAGCACCAACAGGAAAGCCTTGATCTCTTCCAATCAGAGCAGGCAGGTGTCAGATAAAATAAAGGGACGAGAGAGAGAGAGAGAGAGAGAGACGCGATAAAATAAAGCGCGCAGTAAAGTTAAATCTTTTTTTATTACATAAAAATGGACATTGACATTTTCAAGTACAATAAGCAAGCAAGCAAGCAGCGCCTGATTGAGTACCTGAATGATCAGACAGAAGAAGATGTAAGCTAAACCGGATGGAATGTGGCTCTGATGGACTGACATGAGCAATGGATTAGTTGGAGGATGTGATTACAAGAAAATTAAACGACTACCACGCAGCACATGACATTGATACAGTGTTATTGCTTCGAGCCATTCTTCAAGGTATGTTGATCAATGTAGAGCATGGCGTGGTCTCAGAGATTGAGACTTATTCATGAAAGGATCTCCCATTGAGAGTGATGAAAATCAAAGCTTACAGCGTCGATTCTTGGTGGTCAAATGTGTGATCCAATGGTAAGCTACGGATGCTTCCTGATCTACTGTCAGAAACTGATTGCATGAAATGATACAGGCTTAGCAAAGAGGAGAAGCATGTACCTGAGAAATCAAAGCAAGCATCTTCTGTAGTGAATTTGATCTTGCCTCAAGTACGAGAGATTTGACTTGATGTACATGTTGACAACTAGCATCTGACCTTACTGATACCTCTAGATTGAAATGTTTCCCACCGAACTGCTCAGAATAGCTGGAAAACTAGTGACAGATATCATCAACGAAGAGAGACCTATTCAACTACGATTATTAGACGTCTTATCCAAGATCTGGAATGTATTGGTTGCCGCAGATCAAGTGGATGAAGCCGATGACATTTTTCAAAATTTAATGCAGGCAAAATGGCATCATCAACTGGTGGTTGGAATGGCTTCTACTCTGAATGATATTGAATTGACAAATAAGCAATTAGAAACAGCACTGACTTGCATGATAAAGTAAGCTTGATGTACTTGACATTCCATGCCAAACCATCTCATGCCATTCTGGTGCAGGAAACTAGCGGATATCGAAATGGAAGAGGTACCTCCTTACACATGGCAGTTGTTATTGATCTCTCGAAAGGTAGGGCTATTGCTACTTGACGACAGCATGGCCATGACTGAACCGGTTGTTTTGATAGGGGTTCAAAAAGCTGGTTCTGACGGGTATCCTCAACTTTTTTAATCAAACAACGAAAGAAAATCTCAGGTACTTTTGGGAAGAGATCCTACGACGACGGCATCTGACTGATGATTGTGTATGTATAGTCGAGTGGAGGGCACTGTTATGCTCCACATTTCATTCGCATTGAAGCAAGATCAAGAATTAGGCACTGAGCTGGTGAAAATGATCAAGAGCGATAAGGCCAATCAGCTGGAGCTGTTCAATGTTGCTTGTTTGCTGACAGCAGCTAGAATACATCGGCTCCAGGATTCGATTTTCGACCTCTTTAAAGCATCGATTGTATCCATCTACAAGGACAGTGACAGACTCGATAAATGCTACTGGATATCCGAGTTTTCTCCATTGGATGCCGCCGAATATGGCCAAGTGTTCCTCGATGTGGTGGAGACATCAGCCACGGCGGGTTGGGACCAGGTGATTCAAAGTTTAACGCAGCTAGCTATGATCTTCATTGATACTGCTGCTAATGCAAATGCCTTTTTTGCTGTTGCTGCAAGCACAAGTAAGTTGGGATATGTGTGCGTTGTGTGCGTTGTGTGCTTATGCTTTTTTTTTTATCTATACAGATGGCATCAAAACGAGAAGCAGTGGTACAAAAGAGGATGGACCTATGGAAAGAGTAGCGGATCTGGGTGTAGACATTCTGTTAAGGCTCTTCAAGTACCATGATGTTGTTCGAAGTGAAATTTTGGAGCAAATTACATCGCGTATTGTATCCAGATCAGCCAGTGTCATGGACTTTCTCAAGCTGCTGGCATGCATTATTAGAGAGTACCCTGAATCTGTGGAGAAATACATGGGCAATGTAAGTTTTTCTCTTTGCTGAAAGTATGGTAGAATATCATGTGAACCAATTTGATTTTGAAATAGATCAAAGACACACTGGATATTCTATCCTTCTTGCCGCTCTCTACTGCTGAACGTTTACTGCACGCAATTCAGCCCCTATCAAAAACAAATGATCAATTTAGAGATGGCTTGATTTTGATTCTTCGAAAGAGTTTGTTTGCAAAGTAAGTTTCTAAAGAGCCTTTTTAATAGGATAACATGATTGATAACACCATGGGGCTTTTTAGAGATTTGGATGGCCGTGAAATGGCGGTGAGAGGCTTCTTGAACATCTTGAAGGAGCAATTGACTGAAATTGAAGAGAATGGAGGCTCTGCACAAGCACTAGCTGCACAAGGAGTGGCCTTTGAGATTCTAGGTCTTTTGAGAAGATGCTTCAGTCAACAATGCGAGATCAGAACATGCGTCTACAATGGCCTTGGCTCTCTTTGCCAAGAATTTCCGGCCTTTGCTGGAGACATTTTTGATCTACTCAACACACAGTTTCTGAGAACCTTTGAAAGGGATTCCACGATACTCAACCCCATCAAATTAGAAATCTGTGTCGAAAACGCAACCAACGGTGGCTATCCCAAGATTGCTGAACCTATTCATATACTTTTATCTAATCTAGTGAAATCGCTTCGCGTGGCAGCTACCGTGGATGTCACATCTGTTACTGCCGAGACCATGTCGAAATGTCGAGACACGTTACTGTCGTTTATCAATCGATTGTCCAAAGCAAGTTTAGAAGACTTTGGGCTTGACAAGACAGCAAGCTTTGATATGGCCACGCACGTTGGTTTGAGAAACAATCAGTATGCTACTTTGCTTTTAGGTGTCTATGAAGTATGGAAAATATTTGGGTGTAGAAGAATGGGACGGAAGCTGACAGCCATATCAACAGGTCTCTTTGGAGCATGTCTTTCTTACCAACGATATCACGGTACAATCAAGCGAGGTCCTATTGACATTGTTCAAAAAACGCATGGGGCTTGTTGGCATACTCAAGGAGGCATCAACAACGGAAAAGGGAAGAAAATTGACCCACGCCAACCACACTTCATGTGTCGGTCTGGAATTCACTAGTAAGATGTTCCAATCCATCTTTTCTACCAAGGACACCAAGGACGAGAATGAGGGCTCCAAACGCGATATCCGCTCCAATCTTGACTTTGCCAACTTTTTAGTATCAAGCACTTACGAGAGTTTAAAGCAGGTACGTTTGGAAGGGAATGCTTTGTATCTTTATCTCATCAACGGGACGCATGCATAGGCAGTGGATGATATATACTGTCAGCAGGATGACGAGTACTTTAAATACTGTGTCATTGTTTGCAAAATCTATATGTCTATCCTTGAGAAAGAGGATTCCAATAGCACGTATGCTAATCAGCAATCCACAAAAAAGCAACCGTCTGTACTGGGAGCCATTGCTGCATCGCTTCTCAAAGTGTTTATACTTGTCAGCCATGTTTGGCCTGACCGTCTTGTGCAGTTACTGAATGCATTGACTGAAGAATACCAAGAAGAAGAGGACGAACAAGTAGAAGAGGAAGAGGAAGAAGGTCGAGCACCCTCTCGAGTCAACAGATCCACCAACTTTATTATTCTAGAGCTGATCCTCGACATCAAGCGCATTGTCAGCAAGTATTTGACCGGTCCAACGCCAATTTACAAGGAGGCCATCCAAATCATGCAAGTGGCTGCCTTTCTGTGCAAAAAGCTAGAAAAGAAGGATAAGGATTATTTGGTGCGAACAAGACATATTGTGTCCTGGTTGAATGATCTGACACAAATGGAATTCATTGAAGATGTGTCCTTAGCCAGAGATGTTATAGCGCTATTCTTGAGATTGTGCTCTAACGTCGGTGAGTTTGATGTGATTCAAAAGATCTGTGAAGATGTGCATTTGATGTCGGGTGATTTGGAGGTGGCAACGCACGAAAGCAGTGAGATGGACACATCTGTTACATATCAAATCATCAATACCAAAACGGTGACAATTGCTACATCTAAGCTATTTGAATTCATTGATGCGTCGTATGATGATTTGACTTGGGGCATTGGACGACTCAAACTGTGTGGTAAGTTTGCACAAATGGATAGTGATCATCTAGTTTCTTACATGGTTGGAGTAGCTGCCGATCTCGACGCAATAGACAACATGCGAGAGTTTGAGATCAAGATCTGCAAGCGTTTGACATCGCTTCAGTTCATTCTTAGCGAATTGGTCAAATCAAATCTCCAAGATATACATGCTGAAAGCTTGTTCAAGACCTTGGCCAAAGCTTACAAGACGCTTCATACACTTGTTAAATATGTAAGTTGAGATGTTCTACATGAGGTGGGGATTGCCCAGCAACTCACCCCATTCAACTGGTAGAAAATTGCTTATCCCACAGACATCTCGGAGGACTTTATCAACGTGATCAGTAAATCAGGCACAGAAATCACAGATAAAATGTACAAATTTCTGACAGTCTACGGCCAGCAACAACAATCACAAACACATCAAGCATCACGCAGCAAGAAAAAGGGTAAAAAGAAGGAAGTGAATCAAAAGCAGAAACTCAAGATCCAACGAGAGTCGAAAATGATTCCCAACCTGATCTTTGCTGTCGAGCAATTTGAACGCTATCTGATCCAATTGAGCCGAAAGTCCAAATTTGATTTCATGCAATACATGAAGCGTAGTACGTCAAGGGATTTCAGAATTCAACTCAACTTGGCACAGCAAGCGTCAAGTTCGGATGAAGAGGACGACGAGGATGAAGACAATGGCAAAAAGAGACTAGCAGCATCAAGTTCTCGTGGTGCGTCTTCTTCAAAGAGAGCTCGTGCAAACTAATTTGCAATGTAAATAGTGATAATAATAAACTGCCTACTACTATGATTCTTTATTGTAGTATAAGCTAAACGCATCTAATGAAGTGGTAATAACAGCTACCAAAATTTCCATGGCAATGAGCCAAATCACAATCCATTCCAAATACTCGCCTACATTATATTAGTTTGTACACATGTGTGGTAGAAGCTTACTTACCATGAGAGCTATTTAAATGGTCCTTTAGCATTTCCAACAGATCACTGATGACCTCTACTCTCTGGTTCAGTAATTCCACACGCTGTGAAATCTCCAAATAACTACGGATGGCGCTATACAATGGCTCTAGGGTGGGTTCTGACCAAAAGATTTCTGGTGTATCTAAAATATTGGACACTAGATTCACATTGATTCGCATGATGAACAGTTGGCCCATTTTTTTGGTAATGGCAGTTCTACATCAAGAGTTGTCAATACACACGGCTTGGTCTGGTACTACATGCACCAACACACACACACGCACGACTGTACCTTGACATGTGAATATTCCCACTTTCTGCCATGACCTGAGGTATATATTTCGTATCGTTAATGGTATCATCAATCAGTCTTTCAAAAAGGGTCATCTTGACGCTTTGTGCAATGGCGTGAGAGATGGTCAGTTTGGCTAAATAGTTGGAGGGGTGTCTGAGAGTGATAATATCGTTGTATATACGGGGCTGATAATAATCGTTGTAATAATAATGGAATTCCTCTGTTTCAACATCATCCGCTTCAAGTTTCTCTTCTTCAAACGGCTCTAGGTGCTTCAAAACCGTCAATTCTTCTTCCAATGTCATTCCCCATATCACAATGACACCATAATCAAACAAAAACATCTCAGGTAATACAGTCGAACTTGTCAAATTGTTTTGGTTTCTATTGGATGGTGGTAATGGATTCAGCGTGAAAGGGGTGTACACACTACGTAATTGATATCAGCAAATCTTATCCATCATTTATCTCCGTGTGCACATATAAACCATTCATCAAATCGTTTAGGCATCGTGCTGTTTGTTCTTCTTCTCGATCGTAGATGCTTATAGAGGGAATCCATGTGGTAGGCTCTATATACTCGGCAAATTAGATACAGAAGCTGTTGGTTGTTTGTACGAAAAAAAAAAAAAAGTAAAATACTTTACGATGCAGTGCAGTATGCAGTTGCACGAGATAGTTCATTACGATCTAATTTGTTTAATCTCTCTGCTTCAACTCGAGCAGAATTATGAGGTATCTGAGCAAGTTGTGTATAGACATCTGCATCGAAAAGGTTTTCCTCCACTGTTCTAGCGTCGTCGTTGTCAGGAAACAATTTGAGCTTCTGAGATATTTTGGTTGTTCGCTGAGGTTGTTTGGGTTTTGTATTTCTTTGATGGGTTGGTTGGAAGGTGGCATACTCGCCTTCATGTGAGCTTAATAATAGTGAACTTTGCTCTTGTTGTTGTTGCGGATAGTATCGCTTTTGAGACATGCTGTATTGAATCGAGTATAAAGTGGAGCGAGACAGAAAATAGAACAGAAGAGAAAGAGAAAGAAAACGTGTACAACTTGAATTGCCAATAATGAATCTAAATAAAGAACCATGCAGTAATAGAAGATGCGGAAGATGTCATGGCTTTTACATGACAGTTGCCACCTTTATTTTCAAAGGCACACTTGAATTCCATACATCTAATTTCATGTATGTTTTCAGGAACAAGATGTTTTTTTTTACAGTATATGGAGAAAACTAAAATAGGCTTGAGTTGGATCAACCTAAACTGTATTTCTAAATAGCACGCATATTCAGGTACAGCCATCTCGTCCAATATATTGCCAAACTTTGATCACTCATAAGGCAGTCCATGGCAATTGAATGGTTCAAGCCAAATGGAACCCCCCAGTATTAGTTTGGAAGTTACAGCGAAAGGCATCCCATGATGCTTGACAATGTCGCCCATGGCCATGAAATCCAGCAGTAATAAGGCAGCGATAATATTCCAATGTGAAAGTAGTGGCATTTCTGTTCAAGACGTCATTACTACAGATCAATGGCCTGGATACCATACAAAAAGCAGCTTGCTATTATCAATCATACGTAAAGCTCTACTGTTGATAGAATAAGCCGTGCTCACTGAAAATCTGCTTAATCTTAAATAAGCCCCTCAGCATATCGGTTTGGAAAGGATTTTGAAGCAATGGAAACAGGGTTTATGCGACTACCTATAACCAGTAAAATAAAGAGAATCTCATTCAGTTGTACGCATACTGGAGGCTGCATACTCAAGTTATCATATTCCTTTTTGAGAATGTGGATGAAGATTTTGCATTTTGCATCAAAATTCTACATTTAAATGAACATTTTGAAAAAATGAAACTTATCAGATACAAAAATGCACATCAAACTTGAAAAAAAAAATAGTGATAATTATTTTCGCTACGTTTAGATTCGCAATTTCCTTTTTATTAGCCTCTAATAGCTTGATTGCCATCGTAATATACGCATGGCATCGCATTTGCCAGTAACCGCCGCCGCCGCCGCCAAAACATTTACATCCCCGAACCTTCATTCTACTAGAAATAGAAATTTCTGGTCGTTTTTTCGACTTCATCGAACTATTTTGCGATATTTGACTATATAAAATGAGATGATTACCCCATACTCTCTTATACTCCCTGGTGGTAGGGCGAAGTGGTAAAACTCCCGTATGCCAACGGGAGGATCCCGGTTCAAATCCTGGTGAACGCAAGTTGTTTGATTTTTTTGACGTAGTACTGATGTCCTCGTTTGGTGTTTTGTGCTCTTATCCATGATCTATATTTTGACGATTTCCGCAAGACTGTACTGGCTCTAGGAGTCGCACCTTATTAGTAGTAGATTTCTTTCCCAACTTAGTTCAAAAAATATCTTATTCCCCTTCATTGCAGACATTGGGTCCACCAACAGTCTTGTCTATCACTCATAGCGACATTTACAGGACTTTAAATAAAACCTGGAGCTCGTCTCCCCTACAAAAAAAAAAAAAAAAAAAAAAAAATACTCTCTTATACTTTCTTGGAGTGCTTTCCAAGGCGCATCCAGCGGTTCTAATTAACAGAGGGGTCTATAACATGCTTAAAGAGCTATGCTGGAAAATATGAAATGACGTTTATGGCCGAACTAGCGAGATTTTACAAATGAGAATCTCACAAACGAGGTTTTAGGGATTGCATTGGATCGAGAGAAACATTTTGATCTGATATATACTATAATAGAAGTCTTTACTTTGGAGATCAAAAACGCGATCGTTTGATTTTCGATGAAAAGCATGAGGTACCCCTTATGCTTTTGAGTCGAATTTTTGGCCATGATTTTCTGGTCCCAAAAAAAAGTTGAGCAGAGGTGTCAGGAAGTAACTGATAGATGAAAGCAACTGTTTGACGCTATTTTGACAGCCTACTACAGCTTCTAGTATAAAAAAAATAGGGCTCAAAGGTACCGAAAGTTCGAATAATTTTGACTATTAAGAGGTAATGCAAGTATACTTCTTATCTGTATAGGAACTTTTTTTTTTTTTGCTGATACAGACAAGGGGTCTTGTAAAAGAGTCAGATCTACAGCTGTAGATTGTATATAAAGACTTCCCGTATGACGAAGAAAAGGCTTACAAGTGAAAGAATGTTGGGTTAAATAGTGTGTCAGTAAAATTCGATAGGTTCCTCATAGCCTGCAGTGTATAATAGACTATCAAGTTTTTCTCGCAACCTGAAACTGAGATTTGCATGTTTCTGGTAATTAAAAATGAAATGTCTTGAATATAATTCAGATCAGGAACCATCCAATGTTGTAGAATATTCAAAGATGTGATCCAGAGAAACCCACATGCAAAATATAGCCTAATGACTACAACTCCTTGATTCTTTTTCGTGAAATACCGTAATTGATTGTCGAATGCTTGTTCCGAAATCCATAAGCGGTATAATTTAAGGGTTTTTTTTTCTGAAGTTTTTTATTTGACGAAAAAATTGAATAGAAAAAGAAAATGTATATGTAAATATGAGAGAACATAAATCAAATGCATAAATCAAAGTAAGATGTGAATAATATCATCCCCGTTTCTGTTGTTGTATTTGATTTAAAAAAAAAAAGAATTTATCTATATGATTTTTGCGACATGGGGGGTTGGTTGGCTTGAAAGTGTGAATATAATATTAAATATATATATATGGTGTTGCTTAATAGTAGTAAAGCTCGTTGGGTTCACGACCACGAACGACCTTGGAGGGTTCACTACCAGCTTGATAAATATGAGTGTGGAAAGATGAGAGAGGAGGCTCAGGGGCAGCTTCAGCCTTCTTGAGAGCTTCATCAACAACCTTGCGGGCTTCCTTGTCAATAGCCTTAAGATCGGCCTCAGTAGCAACACCATTCTCAATCAAAATGTGCTTCATACCAGTGATGGGATCAGAGGTAGAACGCATGTGTTGAATTTCCTCACGAGTACGGTAAGTGGTTCCGGGATCAGACATGGAGTGACCACCATAACGATAAGTAGCTAATTCCATGACAAGAGGACCCTTACCAGAGGTAGTCCACTCTTTGGCCCATTGACAAGCCTTGTAAACGGAAAGAGCATCCATACCATTTACCTTGATACCAGGAATGTAATCGCCGCGCTTGAAGTATTCGGTGTTGGCAGAAGAACGCTTATCGGAGGTACCCATACCGTATTTGTTGTTCTCACAGACAAAGACACAAGGAAGATCCCAAAGCTTGGCCATGTTGAAAGCTTCAAATACTTGACCTTGGTTAGAAGCACCATCACCATAGAGAGCAAAAGTGACAGAGGGGTTTCCGAGGTACTTTTGAGAGAAAGCAACACCGGCACCAAGAGGCACTTGGGCACCAACAATGCCGTTACCACCGTAGAAGGATTCAGCAAACATGTGCATGGAACCACCCTTACCCTTAGAAATACCAGTGCTACGACCCATCAATTCAGCCAAAATGCTCTCAATGGTGCCACCACGAAGGTAGGTGAAACCGTGACATCTGTAAGCAGTGATAACATGATCAGTGTTTGTGATGGCAGCTTCCATACCAACAGAGACGGCTTCCTATTTGATCCATGATATAAAATTTTTTTGTTAGTATACATTCGTATTACTTCTCCGAATCCCACAAAATATAGCTATTTAGTTGTGACATCAAATGCGGGGTTCATTTACCCATCATCCCCCGCGTTTGCCCGTTGCAACCCAAGATTGCAAAAAGCAAATAGAACCCCAACCATTCAATCATAACAATAAACAAGAAAAAAAAAAAAAAAAAAAAAAAAAAAGTAAAATGATGAAGCTTACCTGACCGTTACATAAGTGACAGAAACCACGAATCTTCTTGGCCTTGTAGAGACCATCAGCAGTCATTTCCATACGTCTCATGGTGGTCATCTTGGTGTACATGTCGAGCAATTCTTCCTTGGAGACTTCAACATCCAAGCTAGGCTTCTCACAGTTGTACATCTCGAAAGAGGTTTCAGGCAAAGTGATAGTCAACTTTTCTGAGGAGAAGCGAGGCATGCTAGTAGACAAAGCACGCTAAAGAATCAAAAGAGCAAATTAGTATGCATTGTTTACACATACATTGAGGGGTAGTCAATCTATCCCGCTTTTCTCTCTAGTCTATTTTTGCTAATCTATGATTGTAGATTTAATTTACCATGGGAGTGAAAGCGGCAACGCGCTTAGTAGCGAACAAACGAGAAGCTTGACGAAGCATGTTTTTTCAAAAAAAAAATGGTAAAGAAAAACAAAAAAGAAAAGGAAACGAAATAAAAATATTGATTTTATAAAATAAAGTGTTTTTTTTTTTTCAAGGTCCCGGAAATATCTTAAGTGTTTTGGGGACAATTTGGAATGGATCCAGTCAAATGATTGGCCCATCTAGACAAGCTACTCGTATTTCCATGGAGCGTGAAATAAACCCTATATTAAAGTAGATGATTATCGTTGAATCAGCTCAAATGAAGCATTGCATGTTCATGCCGTGATGAAAAAAAAAACAGATAGTTTTTTGCATTCTGTCTAGATATTCTTTGTTTCATCCTATTGTCTTTTCATTGGAGACATGTAGCTCTCTGTACACAATACAATTTCTCTTTCAAGTAGATGCTTGAAATCCATCTCCATGCCGAAGCAGCTTGAAGAAACGATAGACATGAAGCATGAAAAATGGCATCTACTTGCCGAAAATTCAAGTCTTAATTCTAGTTTTATCATTGGCGGGCCAATGCAATTATAAGACGGATACCTTTCTATACTTCAAAGGGCATCCTCTTATGCTACTGGATGAACTATACAAACATGTTGTCTAAGAGAATGGCATGATGTGCAATAACGAAGATCCACTGTGATTGATGTATCATTGGCCAATGTAATGTGGCAACGGACAAAGCTATACGGCCAATTATCATGGAAGCCGAGCTGTTTGATGCATAAATCAAGAGTCGTTCGCAAACATACTAGAGCGCCTCAAAGTTTAAATCGCCCTGTTTGGTTGCATACATACATTTTGGCCATGTATCCACCTTCCACATTCTTATATAAAAACAAGCTTTGAACAGGTTCAGTTGACATATTATAGGCCAAGATATCGCTACATAAGTCATCTCTGAGATGGTGATTGCGACGATGCCGTAATGAATCATGTAATACCAGTTTCACATGCTTGATGCACATAAATAATGTTGACGCTCAAAACTTGTGTATGCTTGTTCCAAATAGATCATAATTTACAAATAGGTAGTGTTATCTTTTTTTATATATATATATATATTCATTTGAGCAAGAAATATTCACACTTTCATTAAGCAAATATTAGAGAATAACCATTTTGTTAATAGAAAAGGGGCAATTATTTGGATTTTGGCTTGCTTAACGCTGTTCCAGTATAAATCAATCTCTATATGTTTACTCTATGTTCTGTGTATGTATATGAGTATTTCATTACTAGTCGATTTATCTCGCTACGCTCGATGTTGGCGTCGCCTTGCGGGCTCCCACAGAAAGCATTTTAAATTAGAAATATCAAGTAGATTTTAAACAATCAATTAATGGTACAAGAAAGAATATATCAGAGACAAGAGGGAGAGGTGTCCATTCGCTGATGTTGCTCTTGGGATGGCGACATGAGGGCTGATCATGCGTAAATACAGGACTTGTGTAAGATCTACAGCGACTTTTTTAAGATATTATCATTGCAAAGCACACCTTATAGGAAAAACCTCCCAAGAAGAAAAATATTTGAGCTAAGCAGTTTTCCTTTTAGCTCCATGATCTCCATTTGATTAGCATCGCAACCATCATTATCATCATCAGAAAGGCATTTGGGCCACTCGCTAAAATCGGTTGAAACTCAGCTTATTTTTTCTGCTCAAGATTGAACAAATTCTGTCTTTATAGTCAAGCGACTCACAACTCTCCTTTGATACTATCATTTAAGCTTCCCTTTATATCCCACAGTCTTTACCTCCTCTCCCTTCTATCTAATGACGATTTAAGGGCTTTAAATAAAAACAGAAGAGATTTCTTCCTTACAAATATATATATATATATTAGAGATGATGATGGTTGGCAGACGTCAGACATTATGTTCGCAAGATTCAAGGCATGCACCCAAATGCCTTTCTAACGATGTCAATGATGATTGCGATGCTGATTAAGTGGGGATGATGAATTTGAAAGGACAACCGCTTAGCCCGAATACTTTTTTGAAGGATTTTGCCTCATAAACGTGTCTTTTCCAATGACAATTTCTCAAAAGAGTCGCTGTAAAACTTACACAAGTCCTGTATTTGTGCATAACCAGCTGTATGCGCCATCTTAAGAGCATCAGCAGCAGCAAATGGTATAACAATTCTACTATCAGAATATGGAGATTGTGGTGTATAAATGATGCATAAAATTTGAATTCTCTTTCACATCGTCTCAATAATAGGCTTCGTTTAATATCAGTGTATAAGCAAAAAGATGCTAAGGGAGATATCTTCTCCTCTCCTCCTGGCTCTTATATAACCTTTTACTAATAATGGATTGTTTATAATCTACTTGATATATCAAAATTTTATTATATCTGATATAAAATGTCTTTGGCGAGAGCCCGCAGGGCGACATCGTCATCGAGTGTAGCGAGATTGATCGGCTAGTCTATAACAGTATATACTGAATATCAAACGTACACACAGCTTAGCTTACAGAGCTCTGGCACAATTAAATACTTGATTCACAGGCAGATGCTCGGTGTCAGTTGTAGAGCAGTTGTAAAGCAAGTGTACGCTTTTCCAATATTTCAATGTAATGTTAGCGGATGTATTTGTACTTATTGAATTGCACAACATTTTGTTTGCTTTTTATACAACTTTTTATTGATCAAGCTTGTGTGTCTTCTCTTCAGGACATGATAAGTAACATTTGAATAATGTAAAGATAACTGCTGTCTAATATGTGGCGGTATATCTCTTCATCTGTCAAACAGTTATTGACAACATTATTTAAGGCACCCCAAACTTGTTCTAGATCTGATATATTGATGCCTGGCTTGTAAAACCGCTTGAAGTATTCCTTCATGAAAGCTGCAGCCATTCTCAGTATGTATTTCTCTTCTCTCCACTCTCTCTCGTTCCTTTACACTCTTTGTTTGCGTAGCATCAACACTATCTAAAACCATTTCTTAGTTCTCGTCATATTTTTGTGTCTAGACAGCCCTTATTTATAATCAAATCTATAAAGCGCTACTCTTGTTATAGTATGTATTGATCTGGTCAATCGATATACCATTACAAATGCTCACATTTTTCTTGTCTTAGTTATTTTTTCTATGTCAAATGTCTAGTGTGCGAACAAAAGTAGAGCAAAAAGATCCGTTTACTGGCACTCAAACCAGTCGTCCTCCCCAAAGAAGGGTCGTTGCTAAAGGGAAAAAAAAAGAGAATATGAAGCTGTAACATCCACAAGTGCCATGTCCACATCAAGTTATCAGCTTGTTTAAGCTTCATCAATCCCACCTTTGTGTCATCATCCATTGACTTTATTCAATGCAAAAAACCTTTACTCTAAAGACAACCTCTCCAATTCCGCTCGTAGCGATTTTCCCTTCTTGACCTTTTCGTGCTGCTCCTCATTCAATTTCTCGCCCTTGATCAACTTTTGCTCCAATTCTGTAATTTGTCTTATTTTCTTGTTGAGTGCTTTGATCTTTTTTTCCTTGGTTTGGTCTGCAGCAGGTGGTGTTGGAGCCATTGTAGGTTTGGCAGCAGCGGGTTTTAGTTTCTCTGCTGGCTTCTTTTTAGCACCTGGTATGGATGAAGTGGCTGTCTTGGCACCAGGAGGCAAGGAAGCTTCTCGACTCGCTTCGATACGAGCATTTGAATACCGTTTTACATCTTCCAGTGGGACAAATCCAGGTCTCACTTTACGTTCTTTGCGATAAGAGCCATCTGCGCGTTGTGATCCTGGAATCCAACGCTCCTCTCCTACCTGGATAATACCAGCATTTGAAGGATCTGCCATTTTTTATAATTACAAGTTGAACAGAGATATATAAAAAAAAATGCGAATCTGTTTATCCGCAAAATAACATGCTCAAATTTTTCCTGTCGTGTACTGATTGAAACCCCCCCCCCTCCTCCTCCTCTTCTTCTCCTACTCTATTGATGTCTCTCTTCTCCTTCATCTCCTATATTTTTTGCATGGCTCACCGCCCTTATCACGATATACAAACAAATGGCGAAGCATCACGCGATCGACTTGATCTAATAACAGCATACAATCAGGATTTTCCATCACCAATTGTCTAGGAATCGACAGTTCCACTCGGATGGGGTTTTACCGAACCTTGTCGGATAGTTGTGGTCTGGCAAAGGTCAAATAAAATGGACCCAATTTAGGTTTTTCCTGTTTATCCTCTTTTTATTACACTTTTGGCATTCCTCTCTCGTTCAATGATCCCACAAAGAATGAAAAAGATGGCCAATGTGGCTGAACATCATGTTGTCGATGCCAAAAAGTTTGTCTTTTCAATGGGCCGTCGAACCATGTCTACAGCGTCGATGAATTCAAATACCACCACCAGCACGACCGCACAATCCAGCGATGAAGATCCCAAGTCCAACAAGCCCACCAAAGCCAAAACCACTCTGGGCCATTTCACCCGCAGCAACAGTGATAGCTCCATCATGGCTAATACCCTCCTCTGGACACATTTGATTCCTCCCATGCCCGTCATTGCATCGACCGTGTATCGTCATTATGCGAAAGGTAACATGCTTTAGGTCAAAAGCTAGGTGACACCAAATGTTAATCCAAGCAATTGATAGGCCCACCTGCTAAATCATGGTCGCTTTCAACCGATATCACGATTGCCGTGATTCGTGATTTCCTGGATCGTTCCAGTAAAATCACAGTAGAAGAAGTACAAAAGATTAGCACAACCAAAAAGCTGCCCATTCCATCCAACATCAAACGTAGAAAATTTGTGGTGCCTAATGAGTATCGAAAGAGAGCAGGTGATTTGATCAAGCCGCTATTGACGAAAAAAGATCAGCAACGCATAGGCTGGGATTGGGAGAAGGATCGCGATACGGCTCCTCCGATTAAAGGCGAGTGGCTGCAGACAAAAGGAAACCCGTTGGATCCTTGCAAAGAAAGCACTGTGCTCTATTTACATGGCGGTGCCTACTATCTTGGTTGCTATGGCATATATAGACAGTTTCTGGCTAGATTGGTCAAGGTAGAGAGAGAGAGAGAGAGAGAGAGAGAGAGAGAGAGAGAGAGAGAGAGAGAGAGAGAGAGAGATCAGAGGCAATGGCATGATAGTGTATATAGAGTGGGATGTACTGACATTTAATCTATATAGTATTCCAAAGGTAGAACATGTGCCATTGACTACAGATTGGCGCCACAACACCCATTCCCTGCTGCCGTAGAGGACGCATTAGCCACATACTTGTATCTGATTGACCCACCCAAAGAAGAAGACACGCAGCCTATTGATCCCAACAAGATTGTCATTGCAGGTGACAGTGCTGGTGGCGGTTTGACATTTGCTACCTTGATGGCAATCCGTGATTCAGGTCTTCCTGCGCCAGGCGGCGCCATGACATTGTCTCCATGGTAAGAACGACATGTGTGTGTGTGTGTGTGTGTGTGTGTGCTGCTTGATAGACGTGGGCTGATTGACAACATTTGATTTGACATATAGGATGGATTTAACACACTCACTACCATCCATCTTGAGCAACATCATGACGGATTATCTTCCTCCCACTGGCTTCAAGCATGCGCCATCGCCAGCGCTGGACTATGCTCGACTACCTCACAAAAAAGAAGACGCTGAAATGCTAGCACAGGTGCAAGCAGAAGCAGAGGCACCCATAGACGCGCATGGTAACTTGGCGGTACCCACTACCGACAGTGAACTCGCTGAAGTTGCTCGTAGAGCTTCCATTGGACCATTTGGTGAATGTGTTCCAGTTCAAAGCATTAATGGTTCCGATATTTATCGGGTACAGTTTTATGCTGATAATGATGCACTCAAGCTCCCCATGGTGAGCCCCATTTTTGATAGAGGACACTTACGTGGACTTCCGCGTCTATTGGTGGTATGATCATCTACATGCAATCAACGAGCGATAGCTTGACTAACACCCATTCATAGCAATGCGGAACTGCAGAGAGATTGCGCGATGAATCAGTATACACAGCATTACAAGCATCCAACAGGTTTCCTGGCGCCAACAAGGACACAGAAGCACTTGGAACACCCACCAACGTTACATTGGAAATGTATACAGATCAACCTCATGTGTTTCAGCTCTTGTTTTCCAACAAATCTGTTTCGCGCGCAATTAAGAACCTAGCAGCCTTTGTCAGAGATGTTACGCATTCACCTGCTGCCATTGACAATCTCAAGGATAAAGAAAACAAATCGAGTTATGTCACTGACAACATCTTGACGATCCGTAATGTGAATCCACATGGCAAAATGACAGATATCAAGGACCAAGTGCTTGATGATTTCTCAAAGGAGGAATGGAAGGATTGGGAATCAAGACTGAAGCAACCTAGCATCAAACAACGTATGAACGATGTCACTGCAGCCTACAAGAATCTCTTGGAAGCAGAGCATACCAAACATGATGTGAAGCATGTCTAATTGGGTAGGTGGTATCATTTTTCCATTTTAATAAAGCCTCACTCAACGATTTCATCTCACACAGGTCTGCAGTAGCAGTGCTCTATGCACAACAAAATCAAATAATAAAGACTTTGTTGGTTTGAGATTAGGTTTAATATGTAGCATGAAGCATTTTGCGTATCATGATCATTATACTACTGTCAGTTGGCAAAGGGTTTGCTGCGTTTGGTTTACAACATGGATAATGGAAGATACAATGCGCTATAGTGTCGGCATACGAAAGATGGATAGAGTTGACGTTTGGTGCTAGTGAATGCACAAATGCCATAAATCTCTCATTCCACACACACTCGAGTAAAGGTCATAGCGTACTCGCGCTACGGTGAAAACCCTGACAAAGCTTAATTTGAATTCAGTTGCTGTTGTATACTCCATAATGATGATGATAATCCCGAAATTCAAATGTAGCACATTTCCGTGGCATTAGTAATGCTTACCAAAACGCACGTTGACATGTTGACATTTATCCTAATCTGACATTGATGGTTTAAATCAAACAATGGTCTATTGCAAGTGCTAAAGTTTTATTTTGCATGATATTTAGCATGTTGCTTCGGTTTCTCTTGACAGTGCACTAGCCAATGAAACCTGCGAGGAGCACGAGGTGCATCGGTTGCTTTAGCAAGAAAAAAAGTGGAGGAGCATATTGAGAAATCAGCCAAGAGATCAAACAAATTGAATTTATATTTAGCTCCAATGTCCAAATTCAAATGTATGTTCAATCAACCTCGGTAATGAACCTGCTTCTCCTGGCTTACATACAAACAAAAACTCATGATAATTATGAAATCAGGAAACGCAAGTAGAGAATTCCGCTCAGTTTGAATGCTATTTTTGAATGGTTTCAAAGCGAATAATTATAAATCATCATGGATTATTTCTTAAGTGTCAATAGCTATATCGCATATGACATATGAAAACGAATTTGTATTACATAAATGTCAGTATATACGAAAATCATCGGCTGAATCGAAACCGATAAGACAAACTCAACGTGGAACTAATGGCCCGAGAATTCTGAAAAACGCGACATTTCAACCGGAGTATGGCGTTAGGAATAGATCAGGTATGAAACTTATGGTTACCAGAAGACCTTAAATACATGCTCTCTATAGAATGTCGGTAAATTCGATACAGTTTTATATAATCAAAATAGACCTTTTCCAGGGAGGAAGGAAAAAATCAGGACCCGGCTGATGCAAATGATATGATAATGAAATACGTTTTTATCCATTTATAGTCTGCGCATAATTTTATCTCCTTTATAATATGGCGCACATTAGTATATCATTGCAGAAATACAGGTACAAAGGGTTTGAGTGTGTAGCAAACCATGAAACACGTACCTTTTTACCCAACAAATCCAACGGGAAATATTCTCAATATTCTTCGCTTGGAATGGGGCCTCTCAATTGATGCGTACTTGTACGTGTGTCAAGAAGGGAGTCCAAGAAAATGAAATGGCTGTACTACTGTCAATAATGTCACACCAAACGATTTGAATCTATATAATTATAGATTACAACAGTAGTGTAGAATCGTTTGAAACACAGGAAGCGAGTAAGAGTAATACAATGTTGTCATGTTGAGGAAATAGTTTTTTTTTTTATTATTATTTCGCAGATATATAATATATACAAAGGGTAGGTCTATCAACACTATAGGGAGAATCTTTTGATATGGGTTATATTAATGAAGGTAGGGAGTGATGCCGTGAAGAGTGCAATGAATTGAGTAAGAAATGATTAAGAGATATGATAATGATAATGAGATGATTTAAATAGAGAAACGACGGGATAAACTGACATCCTCTTCATCGTAGTAGTTTGGATCTTCCACCTGGAATTGTTCCATCTTTTGACCACCATTGAGTGTAGCATTGTAAGCTAATTGGAAAGCAGTAGATACAGGTTCAAGATACAAGAAGCCACGCACCTCTTCCTTTAATTCACGTTGCTTGGGAGCCTCCAAGACGACAGTAAATGGTACATTGAACGCATCATCGGTCAAGACCAACCTTGTGCGACCCTCAGATAAAGCTTCTAATCTGACTTGGTTTCGATAGTCAAATCTACACATACCCTTTGAGCCATCAGCAGAATCTTGTTCATACCACCAGACAGGAGAGATAGTACGACGAACAGTTTTGTTAAGTTCTAGTGTCAAGCCACTACCAGTAGCAGCATTGGGAGGAGAGGGACGAAGTGAAGGCATAGAGGCATGTTGGGAGCTCATGACCATCATACTGTGTCTTGTCTTTGGGGTTGCCGATTTGAGAGGAAGAGGTTTAAACAAGACGGTACAGGGACCCAATTGTGAGTGAGAGAGAATACATTCAGATTTTGATTGAATGGCATTTTCAAGGCTGAATTGAGATTGATCATCAAATCTGATCCATTCTTGCTGTTGTTCAGGTTGTTGATTTGGCATTAATTTGGAGGAGAAGTACCAAACAGGTTCTAATGTACGAAAGATACCACGGTTGTCTTGCATTGACATGCTTGTAGGCGTCTGAGGTTGGGATGAATCACTAGAGGCATCTGAGGAGAATGACGATACAGATGAGCTGGGTGAATACACTTGGTTCAATGCATTGACATTTTGGTTTTTAGTAGACTTTTTCTTCAAGCCAAATAATGTGCGAATGGTGTTTTTCATTATATAGATGTCAGAGAAGAGTTGTGTTTATGTAAAGAAGGAGAGAGCAAAAGCTTCATTGATCTTACAAACCCTTTTTATAGCTTTTTTTTTTTTTTCACGGAGCCCATAAAATTTTACAACATCTTGGTGCATTCGCCCCGAAAATGCTTCACTCTTTGTGCCCCGTTTTTTCTGCTCACGACATTACAAATAAAGATGCCATGCAAAGCTGCGAAATGAATTTTTTTTATATATCATAATTCTATATTTATCCTTTAAAAGACTTTTCTATTCTCGTGCAACTTCAAGTTGGTTAAAAAAAGGGGCAAGCACAGCGCTTAAGAAAAGAGGGGGCCCTTGATGTACACTCGCCATTCCAACTGTAATGTAACAAATATAGATCTGAGTAACAACGAAATCTAAAACTGTAAAAGGGTTTTTCCCCATCAAAATGATGTCAAACCAGAGCTTCCACTCATCATTGTAGCAAGTTGGCTTTATATGTACCACTCTAATAGGCGTATAAATATAAATTTATACAACAGGATTCGCATGCATATATATATATATATATATATATATAACGCAAAAAAAGCACAGCCTCAAAAGCACAAGAAAAAAAGTTAAAATTACATGCTCTCCTTGGAGATTCCCTTTAATATTTTAATGAATGTATTCCTAATGTTGAGATTGATGTAATGACAAGTATTCTTTAGCTTCAACTGAACCTGTAGAACAAGGATGTTAGTAACCTAGGTCAATATGACATAACTGCGGATGCTGTATCCTACCTCGCTCAGCAGCAATCTTATAGAGAGTATCGGCTTTCTCGGTATCCATGGCAACCACGGCTCCTTGACGATAAAATTCAGCCAAATGATAGTAAGCATGTGATAGATCTTCAAGATCATCTTCATCCATGGTCGTGTCTTGATCCCCTGTAGCAGGATTATGTACTAACAGAACATACCATTCTAGTGCCTTCAAAAGATTCTTTGTGGTCCCAATCCCATTTTCATAACATTGTGCAACAGGAAAAAAAGCTTTCAAGTAACCTTGCTCAGCCAAATGAACGAGTTGATTAAATGCATTGTCGGCTTGAATAGGAATACCACCTAGGCCTTCCAATTGATACAGAGCCAGCATAAATTCTAGATAAGCTACATGTTGCTCTGGTCGATGTGTATGATATATTGTCATGAAAAGTTGATATGCCTCGCCTTGTGTTTCCTCATTTTGATGTAAAACACGAGCCAAACACAACTGAGCAGGCCACCATCCAGAGGGGTCATGCAATGGCAAAGTCATTGTAGATGTAGTACTACTGCCAAGCTCTACTGCGACAGTATACCAGCTCTGAGCCAGTTCAACATTGGGCGCAACGCCAATACCGTGCTCGTAGTAGGTGCCGAGAAACAGAGCAGATGTCTTGTCACCCAAATGAGCTGCCAAGCTAAAATAATCGTATGCCTTTTCAAAGTCTTGTTGAATCACCAGTGTATTGTCTTGGCCCTCTTCACCGCGTCCTGTATGATACAGATTGCCTAGCTCTCTTTGTGCATCACGAGAACCTCTATCAGCAGCGATTTCGAACCAACCGAGACCTTCCAACTGTTGGTCTACAGAGAAATCCTCGCGCAAAAGCAGTTGACCTAGCTCAAACATGGCGTCCTGGTCATTTTGTTTTGCTGCAGTGCGTAAATGATAAACAGCAATATCCAAATCTGGTTCAAGGAGTGATTGTTCTTGATCTGCGCTTTGTATACCATGGATATAATAGAAGGCAATGCGGAAATTTGCACGTGGATGATTGTCTTTGCTAATTGCACGTTGATACCAGTACATGGCGTCCATGTCTCCTTCCTTGTTTTCCAGAGCGGCGGCAGCGTGAATTTGGCCCACACGAAACATGGCTTCGGAATCGTCCTTTTCATCAATAGACAGGTGATACCACTGCAATGCTTTGGCCATGTCCTGCGACGTACCTAGGCCACGTTCACAGCATCTTCCTAGATGCAAAAAGGCGTCGGGATCATGTTGCGCGCAGTCGAGCAATTCCTAAATATAATGTTATTATACGAATATAGGTAGATTTGTTTCGCTAGCACTTACATGAAAGCCTGCATGTGCATTCGTTTCTTTACCACCTAAACCATATATTTGGTATGTAGCGCACATAATGCGAGAAGGAACATGACCCTGAGATGCAGCTTTTTCATAATTCTCTAATGCAACTGGGTAATCCTTGTCTTTATGCCATGCTTGTGCAGTCAAGTACATGCCTTCCACGTTACCCATCAATGCAGCTTGACCAAAGCAGCGTAGCGCTAGGCCATGATTTTCTTGCTGAGCCCGGGAGAATGATTCTGCCTCATCTCTGGAAGAAGTATCACTGGCCAACGAGACGGAGCTGGACTGTGTGTACAGGACAGATTCTTGTTGGTTTTGAATGATTTTACCTAGTATCACCAACGCATCCGAATCGCAGGTCGTGGTCAAGAGTTGATCGACATTGATGGTGGAAGTATCATTAGTATTGAGCTTCATGGCTGTTTCCCACCATGCAATAGCAATGTGCAAATCACCGTTTTCTAATGCAATCTGACCTAGGGCCCAATGACTGGGAGCATAGCCTTGACGAGCAGATCGGGTGAACCAGATGACAGCCATACCGAGATTGATGGGGATGATTTCTTTGCCACGCCAAAACGTCATGCCTTTAAGCACATTAAGTAGAGAGCGGTTTAATTATATTGTTTATTGGGAGAGAGCGCAAAATTTTGCATAAAAAAAGAGAAAAGAAGAGAGATATTTAGTAAATTGTTTATAATAAGATGAGAGGGGGGAGGGGGGATAAAGCATAGTGATAAAAGGTGTATTTGCACAGTGGATATATATATATATGAAGAAAGAAGAAAAAAAGCAAAACTTAAATTAATAGTATAATACATAGGAGAGAGAGAGAGAGAGAGAGATGGTGGTATATATATATGAATAGGGATTTTTGAAACTAACCTAGTTTATGTTGACTGAGAACATTGTTCTTTTCTCCACATAGTTGATATAGTTGATGAGAATAGATGAGGTTCTTTTCAACGCCACCAGTGCCATGCTCATACATGGAGGCAAGTTTGAGTGTCGCTTGGATGTCGTTGGCTTCTTGAGATGCTTTGATGCGCCAGTGAATAGAGGATGTGTTGTTTTGTGCAATGCCATTACCATCTTGATAGCATTCAGCTGTTGTTAGAGATGGAAGGTGTTAGTCAATATACAGTGCAAAAGTAGACGCCACTTACCAATCCAATTGTATGCATCAGTGAAATGCTCTTCATGAGCAAGATTGTGCAACAGTTGAAATGCTTCAGACTTTGGTAACAGTAGATTGGATGGGATATGAATGCTGGATTTGGTGTTGTTGGATTTTTCAGAAAGGAGCGTATTTGGGTCATAGTTTAAGCTATACAGAGCCATCTTGAGACGAGACACTTTGCTTGATCTATAGTTTTTGGAGATTCTAGAGTCAAAAGAGACGCGTTTGTAATAGGTGTATGCTTTTTCATAGTCTTGTAGTTTTTCATAGAGCTCTGCAATAGCAAATAAAGCTCTGTATGCGTAAAAGCTTGACGTGAGTTACATGTTCTAATAGCAATGCTGTAATAAAAAGGACTTACGTAGGTTGGCCAAGTTCAATGGCTTTTGTATAGTATTTAAGTGCAGTTTGCTTGTTTTGAACAACACCTTGTCCATTTTCATAGTAACCACCCAAAAAGAGCGTCGATAAGGCATCATTGAGATTGGAAGCCTTGAGGTAACATTCAGAAGAAGTCTTGTCATCACCCTTGGCACCATACAGTCGACCCAATTCACGTAACGCGGTAGTATGATCTTGCTTGGCAGCCTTAGTATACCATCTGAAGGATTCGGCTTGAAGCGATTCGATTTCAGAACTGGAGAGTGAAGCACCTTGTTCCTTGAGCTTTTCTTGACAGATTTGAGCAAAAGAGACCATGGATTCCACATGACCAAGTTCAGCAGATCGTTTAAAGTAGATGCGAGCTTGCTGATGGTCTTTTTGGATGGAGCCACTGCCGTTGTAATAATAGATACCAATATAGTAGAGGGCTTTGGCATTGTTCTTATCAGCTGCCTTTTGGAACCACTTGAATGCCTCAAGACGATCTTCTGTTACACCTATACCTTTGCAAAGCATGTGTCCGACCTATCGAATATACATATAGTGAGTAAAACAAGAAATGGCTACAGCTATTATGATATGTACCTGAAATTGTGAATCACTGGAACCAAGGTTAGCAGCGGTAACATAATGTTCAAAGGCCTTGGAGAGATCACTTTCAACGACACCAGGCACACCTTCTTCATGACATACAGCAATCCAATAATGAGCATCAGGATCGCCTTCAGAAGCAGAGGCCAACTCAGTCAAGAGATCAAATGCTTTCTTGGGCTTATATGGAGTTGTTGTGTCTTTTTCGTCCAAGTACAATAGAGCCACCATGCGTTTGGCAGTACGAGCAATCACAGCATTAGGTGGATGTGTATTGAGAGGAGAGCGTTCCAGACCAGAAGCATAAAGGTACATTTGAAGGGCCTTTTCGTATTTGCCATTTTTGTGCAAGAAACGGGCATACGTCTGTTGAGCGCTTGGGAGGTACTTTCCAGGAATATGAGTGGCAATCTCGTAATATTCAGTAGCAGAGGCGTAATTGACAGGCGTACCTACACCATCTTCATAGCAACTAGCAATTTGAGTAATAGCCGTGTGCATGCGTTGATTGGCAGCCTTTCGTATCCAACGGAAAGCCTCCTTCTTGTTCCTGGACAGTTCAGCAGATGTTTGACGCACACTTCCACGTAGGGGCACCTTGTTGTCACGATACATCATACCAAGCAGGTACTGAGCATCTGGGTAACCACCTTTAGCAGCACGTTCGAGATATATGAAGGCTTTGACGGCATCTTTTTCAAGACCAAGACCACCATGGAGGTAGTGCATTCCAAGACGGAATTCAGACATACGATGATTGTACCTATCAGCGGCTGTTTGGTAGTTGTAAGCAGCAATGACCGGATCAGATTTCACACCCTTGCCGAACTCGTAGCTTTCACCAAGATGATAGAATGCTCGGGGATCACCCTGTTGTAGAACGTATATAAGTCAGATGTTCTGCTTTGTGTGTACCTGTCATACAATGTGTCTTACCAATCGAGCTGCTTTACTAAGCCAGGAAATGCCTTCAGGAGAATTATTACGCAATAAAATAGTAGCTAATTGAATCTGGGCAGGAGCATAGCCTTTATTAGCACTTTTAGTGTAGTAGTCTTTGGCGCTAAGGGTAGCATCTTGGATAGCACCTGTTTCTAGCAGTAAACCAAGGGAGAACTCGGATTTTCTATTCAGATTATGGGTGTCAGTTGGCGCTTTCAAACAAAATTCACTAGAAACCTTACCTATTGCCAGCAGCGACGCTCTGTTTGAGATAGTCAACGTTTTCATCTACGTTGTCAAGATTGATTTTACCAGAGGCAAAATTGATAGCAGCAATTCTGAACTGAGCTTCAGCAACATAGAATTGAACGCGTTCACTAGCAGCTAAATCTTGCGTATCTACCACTTTTTGATACCAAGCAATAGCCTGATCTCTATCAATGGGTTGAATCACATGGGCGGAGAGAGGACGACCCGAGAGATTGTAGCCTTCAGAAGCTTGTTCCACGCCGTAATGGTAGCATTGACCCAGATAGTAGAAAGCCTCCCAGACGCCTTTTTTAGCCAAGGCTTGAATTTCCTGGAACCCCTTTTTAGAGTTTTTGCTAGTTCCCCAGCCACAGAGTTTACAGCAGGCAACAATAATCTTTGCAGATACATCGGTAGGGCGCAGACTCCATGTTTCAGCAGCTTGAAACGCTTCTCTTTGTAACTCGGGGTTGGAGCGCATTCTTTCAGAGCCAAATATGCTGGTTAAGATATCGTAGGTAGCATCTGGATTGGCCACCAGTAGATCAAGCACGTCTTGCGTCGTGGATACGAGTTCTATAGAGTACGTCTTGGTGGTGCTGGTATTAGAGGAGAAATCAGAGTCAGGGATAGACATAATGTAATTGTTGTCTTCGCCGACTTTATCCAGAAACGAATTGACTGAAAAACTAGACACATTGGTGATATCCGTAATGGTGGAATCTCCCACCATGGAGAAATGCAATGGATCGCCGATGGTGCTACTAAAACCACTGGCTGAAATGGTGGAACTGTATCGTTCTCGCATCTTACTGGATCGACGATTTTGTGGTGTATATTGCTGTTGTGATTTCATGCGTTTGTGATGGGGTGACGATGATGCCGAAGGAGGTAATTTATCGAGATGATGCACAGTTTCAATGCCATTCATAGCAGTAGCAGGCAGCTTTCTGCGTTGTTTCTCTGAAATAGCAGATAACATGGCGGGCGTGTCTATCGTGTTGTTGTGTTTTAAAGGTCGCTTTTGTCTGCCTTGTGGTGGTTGTGCATGAATTGTTGAATGAGCGGCGCTGAAATTGACATTCTCTTGCTCCTGAAGTTCCTGTTGCAGCTCTTTAGGCTGATCTAACAAGGTGGTGCTATTGATAGGCGGCGAAGGGGAGCGTATAGATGAGACGGATAATGAGGATGACGATCGGGCTCTTTGGCCTTGCACATATCTAGATCTTTTGAATGATGCTGCGTCACTTTTATTTGAACTGATGTTGTTTCCCATGTTGTTGTGTTATTAAGGTTAAGGATAGAATATATATATAGTTGATTGAATTGAAGAAAGAAAAGAAAAAGAGGGTATTGGTGTATATAATGGTTTTTTTATAAGAAAAAAAAAGGGTATGTATTGATACAAAAGAGATTCAAAAGGTTGTGGATTTATAGCCAGAAGGCAAAAGAAAAATGTTGGATATTTATACATGATATTGTAACAAAATGATGGTTGTACCACCATTTTAATCCATTTAAGTACATGAAAACATTGACTTTTGCAGAAGAAGCAGTTACAAAAAACCAAGGGCATTTCTCGTCTCCTGAATTTTTCAGTTTCGTGTGTAGATGATGTTGATGCACTGTAAATAAATCAACATTGGGATTTTGCCATGTACTTCATTTGAATACATTCTTTGTTGCTGTTGTCATCTTCTACTATTGGAATCCATCAAAACGCAAGAGTGCTCGGGCAATCATCCGCAAAGAATGAATCTACAAGTAACATTAGTGCTACGTTATCTCGGTATCATCATTCCGATTTTTTGTTGTTGTATTCTTTCTTGTGGTCAGTTCCCCATTTCAATATTTTTTTTTTGGTACCTGAATCAAATTTATAAGTCTACTTGAAAGATGTGGAATTGCATGAAATGATAATTGAATGGTGTCAATATGCATTTCGTATTATTATTTGTGCATTCACCCTGACTGATTTAATGTAGACCGATTAAATATACACAAATAATATAAAAAGATATCAAAAAGTGTACACAATAACAAAGTACTTGATGTAGTACCACTTCATGATATTATGCCCACTATTGCCCATTACTACTATTTGGCCCTTTCCTTTATCACCGCACAGCACATATACACACACACACACACACACACACACACACACACACACACACACACACACACACACACACACACACACGCACGCACACATGCTACCATGAAAAAGCTAGACTTTTGAATTATATGAGAAAAAGACAGCAGCAGTAGGTGTCATCATCGGAACGCGAGAGTATACAAACAACATACCCTCATTGAATGTGTTCTACAATCAATTCACCTTGTATTCATCCTCTCTATTCTATCGATCGACAAACAAATCAAAATCTACTCCACAGATAGTCGTCTGTATGTCAAAATGTAAAAAGAGATGGCGAGATGAGAAACAACTAGAAGCAGCAGCATTATTCTTTTTGTAACGTGTTTCTTGGTTGACAACAAAATGTAAAATGTGTATCATTTTTTTTTTTTTTTTTGAATGGAGATACGATGAGTAGACTCATGTTCTTAAAAATGAACATCTTCATTACGAATCTTGTGGAAATGTTTGTTGTTGTTTTTTGTTATTTTCCCATGATTTATATATATAGTAAAAAAACTCGAACGCACGTATTGGCTTATTATCCAGACACACCAACATAGGCATCCATACTCCCATACAAACACTTTCAATCAACATAATCACAATTGAACGCATTGCCTGTCATAAACAGCCATGCAACTGATCAACACATTGGAGCAAGCTTACATCTAAAACTGGATAATTGATTATTTATGTGATACGCACACGGTTCGCTTGAAAAAAAAAAGATGTGCTGTAGCATGGGTTACATTTTGCTGTAACACGCTCTTTTTATGTGCTAATCTACCATCCTTCAGGCACTATTCAAACTCCATGGTATCATGTTGGAAGCACTTTTTCTCGACACAACAGTTTAGTATCTAGTGTGTTGCACATTGAGAATGAATGCGTGTTTGCGTGCAAGTCAGTGCTTTCTCGAAAATGTCTAACCGTCCAAACGCATGCAATCGACATACAAGCATATGGTGGATCTTCCATCATTTACCTGTTCCGAAAATCGAATGCGAGTAGGACAAAGAGATTGGATGTAGAGAGTGACATGCCATTCTTTGTTATTGTGTAGACACCACACTTACCTCACAGGCACACGCACGCACATTTCATCATCCTCTCAAAGCAAGGCACAAGGGATGATCTGTTTAAAGACGTGTGCTACTACTACCGTTATCAAACGCCCTCGGTATTTTGTTGTTTTCATGGAGATTGAATCCCATCTGCATGATTTGACATGATGTTGTTTAGATCGAATGCCGTTTGGTTTGTTTGTATCTTGTAATATGCATGTTGATTGCTGCTACTATTATATCGTCATTTTGACAGCCCCATTTTCCCTCTCGCTTTCCTCCCTGGGAAATGTGTGCGTCCGTATGTGTGTAACAGTTTGGCTCAATTCGTTTCGAGAAGTTGTTGTCTCGAATCTCTGTTGTAAGGGTTTAAGTTTTACATGTAATTGATGTATTCAAGCGCCATATAAATCTTGAATCACCAACTATCGAGGCTTGCTGAAATCGATGCGCATTCCTTCCTTTCGGGAAAGATGCGACATTTGAGCTTGATATTACTATAGACTCAAGATACCCTCATGTTTGATATCCAGCATGTCATTTTGAGATAACGTACGTACTATCTCTATCTGGATCAATTGCTAACGTGCCATTGCATGGTATGCACATCATCATAAAAATGCTTTCGGCTGACGGCGTGTGAACATTACTGAACTGTATTTCTGTGCAATAAAATGAGACAATCATTACATTCAAGGGCCCGCAGGTCTAAATGTAGGATAAAAATGAAGGTCTCTCGATGTATGAACTACTTCTTTACAGAACAATTGCAATTGCTATATAAAAAACAAACTATCATCTTTACTGAATGGTACCGCTATAAGTTGTACCATGCTCTAAGAGTTTCAAGGATCGAGCATTGTCTCAAAAAAACAACAACATCCAGCTAATAAAAACTGGCATTTCACTTTTCAGCGTCTAATTATCGCGAGAAAACCCTCCGTAACTGTGGATTATGTCCTTCTACTATGCTCCATGACTACATCAATAGAGATAATGCTTATACGGCATACAGCATACTTTCATTGCCTCTTGTTAGTCAAAAGTATGCAAATACTGCCGTATTTTAGATGCATTTAAGCCGTGATTACTTGTGTTCAAGGCCGTTTTAGATCTTCAGAATAGTATCAAACCATTGCTTTCATCTGGCAGTTACTTCCTGACACCCTCGCTCAACTTTTTGTGGACCAAAAAAACATGGTCAAAAATCGACCAAAAAGCATGAGGTATCCCTCATGGTTTTCATTAAAAATCAAACAATCGCGTTTTTGACCACCAAAATGAAGACTTTTACTATGGTATATATTGAGTCAAAATGTTTCTATCGATCCAACGTAGCCCCTGAAATCATCTTTATGGGACTTTGATATGTAAAATTTCGACTTTTTGGCCAGAAACCTCTTTTCATATTTTCGTAATTTACTTAATAATTTTATTAAAAACATCTGTCTTACTTGGTACCATTAGAAGCGCCTTGAAAAGTACTTCAGGGATGTATTAGGAAACGTAGGGTGATCATCACAGTTTATATAGTCGAATATCAAAAAATAGATTAAAGAAGTCGCAAAAAGACAATATCTGTCCAATCTTGAGCAGAAAAAAATAAACTGAGTTTAAAATAGTTTAGGCGGGTGGCGCTGCTGCTGGCTGGCCCAAATGCCTTTCTGATGATGATAATGATGATGACAATGATGGTTGCGATGCTAATCAAATGGAGATCATAGAGTTAAAAGGGAAATTGCTTAGCTCAAACAATTGTTTTTTCTTGGGTGTTTTTCCCTATAAAGATGTGATTTGTAATGACAATATCTCAAAAAAGTCGCTGTAGATCCTACACAAGTCCCGTATTTACGCATGACCAGCTTTATGTCGCCATCCCAAGAGCAACACCAGCGAATGGACACCTTTCCCCTCTTGACTCTGATATATTCTTTTTTTTTTTTTTACTATTAATTGATTGTTTAAAATCTACTTTTATGCCAGGTTTTTATTATCTCTGATTTGGAATGTCTTCGGCGAGAGCCCACAGGGCGACGCCGTCATTGAGCGTAGCGAAATTGATCTGCTAGTAAATGAATACGCTATATCCCAAGTATGATGCATAGTAAAGCCCGAGAAGACCAAGCTATATACCAGTTGGAATCGATATCAGTATCAGCAGTTATCGTGGTTGCAACCGAGCAGCTCAAAAAAATTCGTGGTTTATAATTGAATTGAAGCTGTCAATGACATGCAATGACAAAATCAAAATTTATACCCTAGCCTTCCCAGTTTATATAAACAAACTGCGTACTACCTCGATAAACTTTGATGAATCTGTTCAGAAACACAATTATTCAACAGCATCTTGACCCATCTGATGCACGCTGTATCTGATCCAGATACGCTCCTTTATGTATCTTGCCATCCAAAGGCAATATCAACAGTGAGATCCTCGCTATGACAGAAAGAGAAAGGGAGCTTATCAGAGCTGACAATCTCTCAAAGATCTATACTTTTTGGAAAATCTACTATTATCCGAATTAAGCATCTTTGTAAAACCTCAAATTTAGATGGTGAATAGATGTGTAAGTGGGCCATGAAAAAAGACACAAGAGATAAGATATGAAATAATCTCTTGATATAGTGATTGGGCTTGGAATCCAAGATCCGCTTTTAATCAGTTGAGAAATGCAGCGAGAGTGGGGGGAGTGGAGAGGCGGGGGGAGGGGGGGAGGGGGTGGGATTATGACTCAATGTTATAAACCAACTTTGAGCAGGAATTTGTAATATCCGTCCATTTTCTTTTTCTCTCTTCCTTTTTTACGCTAGAAGAAAACTAAAACATGCTCGCTCTCCAATCTGCTGTCCGTAAGTCTGCTGTCAAAGTGGCTGCTGCTACTGCCACTTTAGCCCGTCCTGCTGCTACTGCCACCATGGCCAAGGCCAACTATACCAGCAACTCGAGAATCACAGTTGAGAACCCAGTTGTTGACTTGGATGGTGATGAAATGACTCGTATTATTTGGGCTGATATCAAGGATAAGCTTATTTTGCCTTACTTGAACCTGGATATCAAGTACTATGATCTTGGTATGGAATACCGTGACCAGGTAAGCTTCGAAGAATGGGTATGGAAAGACTGGACAGTGGTGTTGATAACGGGTGCTTTGCTCTAGACTGATGATCAAGTCACCATTGATGCTGCTGAAGCCATCAAAAAGTACAATGTTGGTATCAAGTGTGCTACTATCACTCCTGATGAGGCTCGTGTTGAAGGTAAGTGAATCTACATAGCATACGCCAAAAATAGCATGAAATTAACGAGGCAAACATGCAGAATTCAAATTGAAAAAGATGTGGAAATCACCCAATGGTACCATCCGTAATATTTTGAACGGTACAGTTTTCCGCGAGCCTATTATTTTGGACAATATCCCTCGTATTGTCCCTGGCTGGACTGAGCCTATTGTCATTGGTCGTCATGCATTTGGTGATCAAGTAAGTCATTTCCCCGTGGCATTTTTTGACAGCTGCCTTACCAGCACCTCACACTAACCTCCATTGTATAGTATCGCTCAACTGACTTTGTAACCGATAAAGCAGGAAAGTTTGAAATGTCATTCACTCCTGCTGATGGATCAGAGCCTAAAAAGTGGACTGTCTTTGATTTCCCTCAAAATGGTGGTGTTGGTATGGCCATGTACAATACCAATGACTCTATCTCTGGCTTTGCTCATAGTTGTTTCCAAATGGCTCTTACCAAGAAGATGCCTCTCTACCTCAGCACCAAAAACACCATCTTGAAGGCCTATGATGGTCGTTTCAAGGACATTTTCGAAGAGATCTATCAAAAAGACTATCGCAAAGACTTTGAGAAGGCTGATTTATGGTACGAACATCGCTTGATCGACGACATGGTCGCTCAAGCCCTCAAATCAAAGGGCGGTTTTGTTTGGGCATGCAAGAACTACGATGGTGATGTTCAATCTGACATTTTGGCCCAAGGCTATGGATCTCTTGGTTTGATGACCTCTGTTTTAATCACACCCGATGGTAAGACCATGGAAGCCGAGGCTGCTCATGGTACTGTTACAAGACATTATCGTGAATACCAAAAGGTGGGGTAACACACCATTTCAAAACAAAACAATTAGCTAACATTTATGTTTGCTTGTGTATAGGGTAATCCTACATCTACTAACCCTATCGCTTCCATTTTTGCCTGGTCCAGAGGTTTGAACCACCGCGCCAACTTGGATAACAATGGCGCCTTGAAGAAGTTCACCTTTGATCTCGAGCAAGCCTGTATTGATGCTGTCCAAAGAGACAATGTCATGACTAAGGATTTAGCTTTGGCTATTCATGGTAAAAAGTAAGTACACAAATTGCGCAATATTCGTATTGTATTTCGATATCCGAAAGGTAACCTTAAATTGATTTATTATTACATTATAGTCTTAAGCCCGAGCATTACGTTACTACTGCCGAATACATGAAGCGTGTCAAGGAAAATCTCGACAGCTCTCTGTCTGCTTAAAGAACGCATTGTATTAATGTTAAAACATATAAAGTATAGAAATCAAGGGGATAGGAGGGGCGTGCACCAATAAATTGCATTTGACTGATATCTGAAATGTTACACGGATATTTTGATTTAACACCACTGAAAACTAAAAGTTACCAATGTAGCATGCTAAACAAAGAAATTTTTCAAATAGACTATAAATATGTCCCTAATTTTGTGCTTCCTGTTTTTTTTCTTTTTGCTCTTCCTTTTCATTCTTTCTGTGGAGATCTTTCTACTACCGTTATACATATGCTTACAGAGGAAAACCTCCAACATCATCGTCAATACCACCAAGAAGAAGAACAAGACGGAGAGCACAAACCACTCGTATCAACAGCCACAACCACAGTAACCAATTATTCGTCTATCCATCATCATGCAGCCAAAAATTGCAAAAAGGCAAATTCCACCACTTCATCACAGGGAACCCAAGTAGAGTCTACACATGATAAAAAAGTGATTAGCAAGGCTTACTGGCAATCCGTGTTCAATCGCTACTCGACATCCGTCTATCTAGAAAACAAAGGCAGCGTCGCAAGAGACCATTTAGGTAATTTCCTGGGTAGAGAGGGATTAGATCATTTCATTAACATATTTCACCATTTTTGTTTGTTTCGATATTAAAGCAAACGAACGTACATACTTAGCTTGGCTTCGAACTAGCCTATCTACCATTTCTGTTGGTATTGGTATCACACAGCTGTTTCGCCTTGATAGATCAATGACGCATAATCCAAACATGATGGATCAGAAACCAGCACCACTATTCAACGGTCAAATGATAGGTCTACTCTTTATATTTATCAGTATGCTGTTCCTACTTTTCGCATTTATACGTTATTTCCATACGCAAGTTGCCTTAGTCAATGGCTACTTTCCTGCAAGTAGGTCTACGGTTGCAATTGCATCTTGTACATTATTTTTTACCATGGTTTTGATCTTGATTTCCATCTCCAAACAATAATTTTCCTTCATACCCCTCTTCTTTTGTTTATATACACTGCCAACCATACAATATCCTTACTCCCTCCCTTATACACACATGGCCACCCGCTAACTTGTAATGTAATTTTATTATATGATGTTTGAGAATTTTTTAGTTGAAAAAAAAGCTTAATGTCACATGTAACATCATGTATCACAACGAAAGTTTAATAAAGAAAAATTCGTTGTAATATTTCAGGGGCAATCGTCGTATGGATGTAAGGTTTGTGGGCGTAAAAATAGAGAAAGCATCTTGTGGCCATTCTGTCTCTCGAGAATCATCAGGCTGAAATAAGATATGGAGGCTTCTCACATGATGACGAACCTGATGCACTTTGCATATTGTAATGTAGCTATGGATGACGAGAAAACCATGCATATTTTGAAAGTGTACATGATTTACATAATGCCTGAGCAGACGAAATGTATCAAAACCCCGGATTTTTCATATATTTGTTTAGTACTGCATGTCAAACGATTCGTGTGAATGGATGTGGTGTCATGCCTATTCCTTGTGTTTATTGCACATATTACAGATAAATATGGTTAACTCGTTGATGCACAATAGGCTTTCAGTGTATAAAATTATGTGTCTGAAAAGCAGATAAATATTAAGGCACAGTACGCGAAGAGCTGCGATTGTGCCTGAAGCAGTATTAGCAACAGCAAACCAAATGATTTTTAACCATCTTGCATTTTTCATTATAGGTACTCATAGATCTTCGCTTGAACAATGGGTATGTCAAGCAAATCCCAATATCATGCTTTGTTTTATTGTTTACATTGTGGAACAATTCAACTACCAAAGCTATAAAAGTTATAATCAGCCCATCTTACTGGGGTTTCTAGTAGTTCTGCTGGAACAGGTGTGGCCAACGCCTCAAAATTTTCATCAGGAACCACATGACCCACAGGACCAGAAGCTTCAGGCACCAGCTTAAAAACGTCATGATATTCAGCAGGCATCACTAAGGTTTGCTTTTCTTCAGATGCTCTCCTTGTCAGGCCTTTGATCACAAATTGATCAGACTTCTCCGTGTGAAGTCGAGGACGGTCATAGGTAGAGGTGTCGTTCATATTGAAATGGTTGCCAATCTGTGGGGATTCGTTTTGAGCCAGCAAATAATTAAGACATTCCTTGTATTCGACCTTTTTAAATTGTGCGTAGTGGGAATCAAACTAATTGGTATGAGTATACTGCTTAGCATCGAATTACAATGAATCCTACCTTTTCATGCAAAGCATCTTCCAGTGTCTTTACGGAGCCGTCCTCAGGATGAAGCGTTCTCCATGGATCACGGCATGATTCAGCTTTACATTCTTTGAGAACCACCAAGAGCGCATCCAGTCTGTTTGTAAGTTGAACATGGGCATTGTCGTCGTACAAGTTGTTCAATTCATAAGGGTCCTCTTTCAAGTTGTATAGTTCATGTTCCCCAGTACACCAAACAGCATACATGTCTTTTCAATACAACGTGTGAGTAAAGCTCTTATGGGTATGTCTATATTATACAACTTACAATCGTAGTCTTGAGCAATGACTCGCACTGTCTTATATGTATTAGGTCCAGATCCAGCACCGATAGGGAAGTAGTTTTCCGCATAGTTCTCCTTGGACCAGAATTCAACAGCAAAGCTTTCCTTGGAAACAGGTTTAGGATGATTCTCAAGGCTTTTAGTCAGTGGGATGACACCACCATCAACCCAAGAAGGCACATGTTCATCACCTCGAGCTAGGGCTAAAAATGTAGGCGCTAAATCATGATGAGAACTGACGATATGGCTTTCCTTTCCCTTGGCAATTCCTGGTCCGAAAACGATGAATGGAACACTAAAGTTTTAATCAGTATTCTGAAAGACGATAATATGGCCAGACTTTACTTGATATCTTCCTCCATGTTTGTACATTTGCCTGGATAAGCTCTGTGCTGGCCGAGATGATAGCTGCAATTGCATTGTATATATGAGCTTATTGTGCCATATACAACAAAATGCTTTGACCAGCATACTTACCCATTGTCTGCGCTGTATACGACATATGTATTATCTAGCTCTCCAGACTTTTCCAACTCTTCAAACACGGTGCCAACCAGCTCATCCACTGCCTGCAAAGCGCGAAGACGATTTCTATAGGCTTCATCAAACTCCTCTACCAACGTAGCATTCAGTTTCTCCAAATCCTTCCAATACGAAGCAGTTTTTGCTTGCTTGTCCGGGTTAAAATGAGGTGTACGAGGGATCTTTACATCCTTGAAATGATTCGCATGGCGAGCTGCAGGAACAGGTGATCGAGATGTAATGGTGCCATTTGAAAAGATTTCAAATTGGCCATGAGGCGCCATTGGTGCAACTATATTACAGTGAGTGGACAGGAAACGAGTGAAATGTCTACCGCATTACCCCATAAAAAGAAAGGATCATCTTGCTTTTGCACTCTCTTGAGAGCAGCGCGAGTTTTGGCGTGTATAATGTCGGTTTGATAAACATCCTTGTAATATACAGGAGTTTCGCCGTTGACTGAAAATACAGCAGTGTTGTAGATGTAGGTATAAGGATCTACTAATTGCTCTATTTGTGCGGATTATACATGTTAGTCATGGTATGACTCTGGATGCTTTTGGGTATTTGAACGAACCTTGGTAATTAAAGCTATTGTAGCACTTGATGATTAGTTCAAGTAGCTCTCAATAAAAGTAAACACCTTACCCCTTGGGTGTAGGCTTGTTGTAGTTCAAGACGTCGTACTCGTTCATTAATTTACCAATGTAGTTGGTGTTATAGCCAGCCTATGCCAATTTTTGATTTTAATAATTGCATTTTGCAATAGAACGTTCTGATGTACCTTTTGCAACCAGATAGGCAAGTAGTCCTCACCAAGCCTCAATCTGTTAAAGCGCTCATAACCACCAAAAGGTGGGAGCACATCTGTAATGCTACATAATCATGTCAACTGAAATGTGATTGCCTGAATTAAATCCAACTCACTTTGTGTTGTGGGCATACTGGCCTCTCAAGAGCCCTACTCGACTAGGACAACAAACAGCAATCGTGGCGTAATGGTTCTTATATGTAGTGCCTTGTTCAACGAGATATTTTTGGACATTGGGCATATAATCCAACGAGTTCATTCTATAGTCTTGATCGTCTGTAAAGATAAAGACAATATTTGGCTTCTTGTTATCTGTGGCGCCCTGGACAGCATTCAACGTTAACAAGGCAGCAGCGCCGAGTAGCAGAGTTAATGCTTTCATTTTGATAACCTGCTTCTTCACTTTTTCATGTAACATTTCCAATCGATATTTATATAATACTTTGATATCATATTTTGAATTTATAAGTAATATGTCGCAATCGCTCATTGTGTAGAGATCTTTTCCAGAGATTTGAACAATTTTTGAGCAGAAATTGCGTGCCAGAACCTTAATTCAGTAACACACCTTGAATAGGTAAGTGATCAGTGTACAACCTCCATAATACGGGATTATGTGTTACCTGACAGAATCAATAGGATGTTGTGGTCAATCAAAACTGGAGCCAAACGATTTTCCACAATGGTTCCATTTTATAATGCTTAATTTCCACAAAATTTTTTTAAACAACTATTTACTATACATCCTTGCAAACTATAAGCAACATCCTATCTCATATTTCTACAATTATAAACACGGTGCTATATCGCATGTAGATGTTTAATGAAATAGACAGTGATGAAAGAACAGAAAGTGTAAAATACGGATATCGCGAATTTGTCATTTCCATAATGCAACTTTAAAAACAAATCTTAGATATGTTCTTCTACTGCATAGAGAGAAAGCTACTTTGCGTATGATGTATGAACAAAGGTTCTCGGTGTTCAACGGGCCAGATAATGTTTGTATACAAAACACTAGTGATCAAAATAGAGTCGTGATTGATTTGTTTACAATGAGGCGTTACGTATGGCTCATGGCTAATTAGCTTCTAATTACTGCCATATCGATTTACTGTTTGGTGCAAGGCATACAATTCATGCAAAGGTGCCAAATTTCTCCCACAAGAAGGCTGGCCTTTACCGCTCAAAAGTTAAAAGCGTATTGGTTTAAGATAACTAAATATACATGAGCGAATAGTTTCTGCATAAATAAAAAACGTCTTCTACTAGCAGACGGATGTATCTTTGATTGTCTTTATAACCAACCAAAGGCCCAACCCCATATCTATACGCAAATTTGTCTAATCAGCTTCAGTGATACAACATTGGCATTCAAAGGTATAAAACGAGAAGGTGATTTCCATGGTGCTTTTATTATAAAAGAGAAATAAATAAGAGCTACTTTTTGGCGTTTTGCATCTCATTGAATTTGTTTACGAATTGCTTCTTTTTGAGTTTTCTGCGCTGAATCGTGTTGTTTTTTTGATGATTCTTGAGCTGTTGTAGTTTCATATCTGCGAGTTGAGTGTACACAACTTGTAGAGCTGCAATATGTGTCAAGAGCAAGTCTTGGAGGTCCAGCAGGCTCTCATTTCTGGCAAGAGCAGTGCTTTGTAGAACGCTTAGAGCTTTCAGTAGCTCATTATAACAGTCCTTTTTTGTTTTGTTGGTGTTGTTCATCATATAGGAAAGAAAGAAGGCAAAAAGGAGGAACACGATGTAAAAAAAGTCCCTACCTGTTTATACGAATGTCTCATCATCTTACTGAATTCATTTGCATATGACACTACTATCACCAAATGTTTAGTTTATCCATAATGAGCAGATGAAACATGTTTACATGGGGTAAAATAATGAAAATAATGAAACTGTTGCGGTTGCCAAAGATGCTACAGAGCATGATATGCGTATGTACACAATCAATTCTTTCCAGATTGCATGAATTTTCTTATCTTCGCCACAGTACTACTCGATATAGGGCAATGGTTTGGAAAGAACAATGTAGGTGCCCTCGCAAAGAGCTGAATATGTCAATGTTGATTATGGTAGGCTACCTTGATGTTCATCGCTAAGAGATTTTAGTACCGAAGTATCTTTGACAGCACCACCTCCTTTGCCAAAGAAAAGTATTTCTTTGAGAGATGCATTCAAAAGAAGATAGCATAACGATCTTTAAGTTAGTGATGTCGGAACAAATTGAAGCCAAGCACCAGATATCATGAAAGACTTCCTCAGCTTAATTTCGTTCAGGACAAACGTACTAGTCGGTGTACCCCATGCTGTTGATCGAGAAGTTTCATATGTATTGCTGCTTTTAATGTACATATGCATTAGCAAAATCAAGCTTTCTATCAAAATTCAATCCTGTTCTCTTGGACACAATAATGTGCAATCATTTCAGCTCACCGCTGCCAAATTTCACTGGATAAAAAGAAGAATGAGAATTATTTGTTAAAAGCTATTAATTGTTTGTAATCACTTGTAATAGATTGATAGACAAGGTATTGCAAAACGTTGCGTCTAAAAGCGCTTGACGGTAATTTGCTTCATTGTTGTGTGGTTAAGTTTTAAAGCTGTGCTGCACATTGTACGAAAAAAAAGGGAGGGGATCAGCTATTCCAGTCCTATTATGTTAAGATTAGAGCTTTTATATCAGAACCATTAGATGGCCATGTTGAGGGGCTGCTAAGCATATAAACGAGCCTTCAGTCGCTACGCTAACTGTCAAAGAATTAAGCAAGGAATGTGTAAAGTAACCAATATTTTCTAAAACAGTATTTTTTTTTTGCTCTACAAAATGAACCTCATTTGGGCACCTACTACGGTACTTCCTTTCAGGAGCTGGTTTTTAAACACCCAGGCTGGAGTTTATAGTGTAATGAAATTGCCACTTAAACGCAACTTGATTGAAAACTGGAATTCATCAACTATCACTCATTCAAATTCATGCTATTCGAATTTACCAATAAAGCGCTCAAATGTGCATCAACAACCATTTAAACATACTACAGTAAAGATGCACGCTTATCGCACATCGTGTGAATGAATCACTCCTGATCACATTGTATTCCATCACACCCATGATGGTCGTAATAAGAGATGTTATCTTTATCCAAATAAAATCAAATCAATAACAAGCATATTCAAATATGACATCTATGCCCTGCTGCCGTAGTTGCACAATACCCTAGATAAAAGGTTCTACATTTCAATAACAAACATCACACCTTAAACTCTCAAGGTTGCATTAAATCATGCTACGGCGATAGCTTCCCCAAGTCCATCAAGGTTGCTCAAATCAATCCTTACGGTCAGGCTCTCGCATTGATTACCACTTTAAATCAAGCATCAACAACATTTGCCAGCTATTGCAATAGCAGCACCTATTGCTCTCTATTATCACTAATCCTACAAACTATTTGCAAATATATAAATGCTCTTCTTTTTACTCAGTTCCAGGAGCTTCAGTTCGTTTTACAAACAAATAAAATAGATTTGATTTCTATTGTATTTTACTATTGCTTATTCTTTTCGTAATATCCATTAGACCTGATCTCACTGCACCTAATATACTGCTGTACAAATATGACTTTCTTCACGTAGTGGCTATATTAAAGAATATCCCTCACATAAAACTGTGTGATGAATAATTGCATCTTATCTTACTTTTGAATAAAGAAAAACTTAAATTGTATCTATTTAGATACCTCTTTTATTACAAACACAAACTATTATAAGTGACAGACCAATAGGAATTCGACTAGTTGTGACCCTTTGCTACTTTAACCTCTCCGCCAATCAAATCGCTTAAAAACTCCGCTGACCTAAAAAAAATTTTGCGAGGGTTTCCCCCTGTTTGGATGTGAGGCAAAAATTTAAGCTCCGCTATATATAGCAATATAGCTGTTACTATCATCAAATTTCCCTCAGGTGCTAGAGCATGCCTTACTTACACCACCTAGCTTTAAATTCAGGCATTGAGACCCTCAATCATCACTAAAGTAAGTAGCGATAACCAAGTGGAGGCAGCCTATCTACCTCCTAACCTCGGATAAGTTCTTGTTGAGCTTCAGTGATAGGCACATCCACCACAACGTAAAAAAGTATGCTTCAAAGAAACATAAAAATAATAAAAGAAAGAAGAAAAGAACATACTACTATAAGAATATAGTAGTACATAGGCAAAAAAGGGATACTCACACAAAGTGAATCAAAGAAAAGTATAACAAACACAACATCAGAGAAGTTCAGAACATCTCGTTGTTGTTGCAACAAAAACGCATACATGAGCAATATGCATGGCAATAGTCGGATGTAAAGCAACATAACCAACAAAAGAAGAAGAAAAGCGTAACAAAGTAAACATCATGAATGCATTATCATGACAAAGGAAGCAATAATACAAGCGTTCAAAGAAGTTTTATATCATTGCGACTAGAAGAAAGAAGATACTTACCACTTACCACCACCAGAGATAGACCAGAGGATACGCAATCACAGAATATAGACCAGAGAACTAGCATGAACCAAAGACAGTAGACCAGAAAAGACCAGATTAGCAGCAGCAACACCAGTACCATAGACAAACTAAAGGACAAACGCCATCAGCAGAGACCAGACAAAGGCCAAAGAAGATACTTACCACTTGTCACCTCCACAGATAGACCAGATACTACGCAATCACCAGGTATGAACCAGAGAGCGAGCATGCACCAGATACAGTAGATCAGGAAAGACCAGATTAGTAGTAGCAGCAGCAGCAGCAGCAGAAGCGCCATAGAAAAACCGAAGAACGAACGACACCAGAAACCAGAGAAAGACCAAAGAAGCAATCACCAGAGTTAAACCAGAGGACAATCATGCACCAAATACAGTAGACCAGAAAAGACCATGTTAGCAGCAAAAGCAGCAGCAGCAACACCAGCATCATAGAAAAACTAAAGAATGAACGCCGTCAGCAGAGACCAGACAAAGACAAAAGAAGTTACTTACCTCTTATCACCACCACAGGTAGACCATAAGAGTATAGGCAATCACCAGATATAAACCAGAGAATGAGTATGCAGCAAAGAAAATAGAGCAGGAAAGACCATATTAGCAGCAACGGCAGCAACACCAGCTCCATAGAAAAACCAGAGAACGAACGACACCAGAGACCAGACAAAAACCGGAGAAGCAACCACTAGATATGATAAACCAAAGATGCAGACAGCAGAGAGAGCAGAAAAGGAATGGCAGCAGCACCCACGTCAAACAGGCAAAAAAAATTATCAAAACCTAATAAACAAACTCAATTAATGTTAATTCTACGCCTTCCAGTGCTCGTTATCGAATGGTACCTAATATATTCCACTTCAAAGAAGCAGTATTAAGTTCTTCCAACAGTGCAAGACAGAGTTATCGGGAGCTAGAGTGTTATTATCAATCAAACGGTGTCCAAAACCACCATGGTTTGATACTAAAACACGTTTTGCAAAAAGGGTAAAAAAACGGGGTTACGGAAAAATGAGAGGGCACCCTATCCGACGTCACGACCAGTAGATTTGGTCTCAGTCGTCTTGTACCGTAGCAGCCGTAACTGCGGCAGTTTAATCTGAAATTGTGCAGTGGTATTTTCGTGTTCAAACTTGACTTGATCTCACATCCTTTAAACGTTTTTGCTTAACTTGACTATGAAAACTGTCGTTGTCACACCCAACCTTCTAATACAACTCTAGAAAACTAAAGAAGCCGCATCGAATGGTGCTAATTACGTTCAGCTTCCAGACCGAAAATAGTGAGCAATCTCCAAAAATATGAAAACAGGTTTTCTGATAATATGTCTAACTTTAGCATACGAAAGTCTCATAGAAAGTGATTTTAATGTTGCATTTCATCTTTACGGCCAATTTGATCTAATATGTATCTTAGAAAAAGTTTTCATTTTTAAGGTGAAAAACGCGATCGTTTGATTTTCAAGAATCTTCCCTTGCTAATACTCATTGTGGAATACATCCACTATGATCTGCATTCCGACAGTTCATCCAGTTACCAGATTTAGATATAAACTGTATGTACACTGGATTAGATGTACGATATCGATTTATACTATGATCATGAGAAGATATGGACTTCAGATACGCTAGTACTATAAGATTCATACTATATAAGATATAGGCTATAGATGGCACCACGGACATGGATGGCACTATAGACTTATACTTGTATTCCGACATTGACTACGGATGTTTACCATATCTGGATAGGCACCAAGATTAATGCAATATGAGCTTGTTGCTTCAGATGTGCACTTCATGATCCACGCTATAAGACACATGCTTATATCCGTGATACTAGCTACAGATACTTTATGTACTACAGACTTGTACTATATATGAGACATGCTATAGACATGCATACGATATGCTATAGACATGCCATATATCCAGATACATGCTAAAGATGTATGCTTAGCGATATACACTCAGATATGTACTATTAATATAGACTAAGAAGACTGTACCTATCGGATACATGCTGCTAGATCGATATTAATTATCCTTATGGAAAGGATAGATCAGGGTACTTCGGATGAGAGTCTAATTATTCATCCAGACAGAGCTAAATCATGATTAGCTTGCTGGAGTTGTCTTTTAGCATGATTAGACATTAGTTGATCTGAGTTGACTTATTTGTCAATCTAATTAATAGAACTTTTATCCATTGTTATAGTATATAAGAAGGATCATCTACCTGGCCAGTAGAGAGACTTCAGTTTACTTTACACCTGTCAGTTTGATAATAAAATATACCTTTATCAAGTTGACATTACTGTTTTTTTATTCTTTTTTTTTTCCGTGAATTTTAGTCTGTAAAGCCTCAAATTCCACATTTTTTTCAACTCAAAGGTTATCACTTTTACACTTTATCTTATACTCTACATTTTATTATTCTACTTTAAAAACTATTTTTATCATGTCTCACAACCAATACAACGCTACTGAAAACACTCAAGAGGATATTGCTCAAGACTCTATCCGTGTTTCTTCTCCTTATGACTCATCTATGCAAGTGGATGAGCACGCTCAACTTTCTGCAGTTGATCATCTTCTCAAGAAGATTGACACTGCTCAGGCTCGCTTGGATCAGATCCATCGTAACGCTGGTGATACTTACACTGAGGAAGAACGCTTGGCGGCTGATGAAGCATCTGCGTCTATCGAATGGCTCAGCAAGCAAGTCAGTGCAATTACTAAAAGGGCTGATTCCAAAGCAAGACCTGTCAATCTCAATGAGATCCCCCGTTTCCAGGTGGTAGGACAAGCTAAGCATTGGCCTGACCATCCTCGATTCACCACAGTCGATCATTTCTTCAGTGCGTTTGAGAACGTCATCAGAGCATCCGGTAATGAAGTAAATTTGGTTTGGAAACGCTACGTGCCTGTTTCACTGCCATTTGACTTCGAATCATGGACCAAGAATGATCTTCTGGCATGTAATGATTGGGATCAAGCCAAGGCATTGTTCCGCAAACATTTTGGTGCTCCCATCAACTCTGAGGAATCCATGGCCAAACTCTTCAGCATGCGCATGAAGAACAATGATACTCTACAGGACTATACGAATAAGTTCATGAAGTACGTCAAGGATTGTGGCTTCCCTCCTAACAGCAACATGTTAGCCAAGTTCTATCAGTTCACGCTGTTACGCAAGAATCAGCAAATGATGGTCAACCAAATGTCCGTCAAGCATGGTTCCAGCCACAAATGGACTATCAACGAGATCTATGAGTGTGTGCTGCCTTTGTTCCTTGTTGACGAGCAAAATCGTGGTGATGGCGATGTTGAGGATGACATCAGAGGTAAGCGTAAGGGTGGTTCAGGTGGTTCTGGTTCGAGAACAAAGATGGCAAGGGTATCTGCCACTGGGTATTTCTGTGCGAAGCATGGCGGGAGCAATGCCAACCACAACACCATTGACTGTAAGTCAAGATTGAAGCACTTTGGCTCTGACAACAAGCCTAACCGGGCTACTACTGCTGCTCCGTATTCTATGAATTCCTCATCCTCTGATCCCAAAACCTGCAACTTTTGTGGTAAGCCCCGTGCTTACGGTCATCGTTGTCAAGAGTTCTACGACTGGAAGAAGGAGAGAGAATCAAGGAAGAACATTGGTGTGCATACTGTACAAACAACCACTGTTCGCAAGGACAACAAGTCTGGTTCTGGTTCTGAGACCAACGATGTTACCATGGAAAGTAGCACTGATTCTGACATTGGTGATGCTGTTGGAGATGTCACCATGGAGGAAATAGATGCTTGCTTGGACGAGATTGAAGCAGAGGATGCCTCGCTCAACTGTAAGTCTAATGTGAAAAATGTACCTGAAAGTTTCAATCCATTTCAGTTACTGACTCCTATTATTTTAGAGAGCAAAGAAGGAAAACCAGTCCGTTTGATCGCGAAAGTAGATACGGGATCAGATTCCACCTTCTTAAATAAAAACATTTTTCACAATAAACTACTATTCACTTCCCAAGATATTATTTCTGTTGAAGGCAATTTGAACTTTCTGAGTCATTCAGTAAAGAGATTGGGTAAAACACCAGCTATCAAGATAAGATATCTTAATGACATTGCATTTGATCACTCGTTTGAGCTATCCAATTTTATTCAGGACCTAGGCGATTTTGATGTGCTACTTGGTGTAGACACATTAAGTCGACTTAGAATTGGGCTAACTGGCGTTGCTCACAAGTTTGCTGATATTGGACATCTTACAGAGGAAGAGAAATCAGAGCTTCTTGAAAGCATCGATTTCGAAAATGTCAATTTTGATACTAAACATTCTATTGATCCAGAAACCGCATCAATCTTTGAATCCCAAGCTGAGGAGAATAAGTATATGAGCAACATCCAAGATGCTATTGATGAGAATCAGAGAATCAAGCCTGGAACGTTTTGTAACGTGCCTGAATCTGAGATCACTATACCAATCAAGGAGAATGTTGATTACTACGTCAAGCAATATCCGATCGCACATCATGCAATGCCCGAAATCGAAAAGCAATTGAATGAATGGCTGGATGCAGGAATTGTAGAACAGTGTAGACCTAACGGCTTATTCAACAGCCCTCTCATTGCAGTATCAAAGAAGGACAATGATGGCAAACCCACCAAAACTCGAGTTTGTATGGATGTGCGGAGGATCAACCAGCATATGCCCAACAATACAAACCAATTTGAGATACCAAATATACAGGATATCTTCATCCGGATCAAGCAGAAGGGGACAATATTTTCGAAAGTCGATCTGAAAAATGCATATTTTTCATTTAGAATTTCTGACATATCAAGAAATGTGCTTTTGTTCAATTTTAGAGGGAAATCGTATAGATGGTTAGGCTGCTGTTTCGGGTTGCGCCCAATCACATCTGTCTTTAGCTCTGTCATGAACATTTTGTTTTCTGATATGCCCAACGTGGAGGTCTATGTGGACGACCTATGCCTCGTATCTTCATCCTTATCCAGTCATTGCGAATTGATTAAGGAGGTGCTGAGACGCTTGACACATGCCAACTTAAAGATTGGTGTTGAAAAGTGCTCCTGGTTTCGATCTAGTATCTACTTGCTAGGCTTTGTAGTTGGTCCTCATGTTTCCAAGGTTGACATGCGACGTCTCTCTGACATTGATCATTGGGGTCCATGCAAATCTGCCAAACAGGTTAAACAACTAGCTGGTGTTATTTCATATTTGAGACCACACTGTAATGAAATAGCCACCCAAACGCAACTTAATTGAAAACCAAAGTTCATCAAATAGCACTCATTCAAATTCATGCTATTTGGATCTATTAATGAAAGCGCTCAAATGTACATCAAAAACCCATTTAAAAATACTAAAGTAAAGATACACGCTTATATCGCACATCGTGTGAATGAATCACTCCTGATCACAGTGTATTCAATCACACCCATGATGGTCGTAATAGGTGATGGTATCTTTATCCAAATAGAATTAAATCAATAACAAGCATATTCAAATATGACAACTATGCCCTGCTGCCATAGTTGCACAATATCCCAGATAAAGGATTCCATGCTTCAATAACAAACATCACACTTTAAACCATCAAGGTTACATTAAATCATGCTATGACGATAGCTCACCCAAGCCCATCAAGGTTACTCAAATCGACCCTTATGGCCAGTGCTCCTGCATTGACTACCACTTTAAATCAAACATCAACAACATTTGCCAGATATCGCAATAGCAGCACCTATTGCTCTCTATCATCACTAATCCTACAAGCTAGTTGCAAATGTATAAATACTCTTCTTTTTTTTTACTCAATTCCAGGATCTTCAGTTCATTTTATACACAAAATAAAATACAGTTGATTTCTATTGTATTTTACCTTTGCTTTATTTTTTTTGTGAAATCTATTTAAACCTGATTTCACTGCATTTTTTACAATATTCAAACTATATTTTATTAAACAAACCTTATCACAATGTCTGACAATACCAACAACTCTGGCTCTCCTTCTGTCCCCTCTGCTCAAGGTTCTCCTGCTCAACGTCAACCTGGTGACGATACCATTGAGCACACTAGGCAGCAAGTCCAGGCCATCCACTTGGATCAAGGTACTGATGTCGGACAACAACCTCAACCTTCAAACCATCAAGAGGATATTGCCATGATGGATGCTATGCCATTGCGATCCTCTCCTGTTCCTGCTTTGGCTAACCATGCTCCCAATGATGGTGGTGAATCCTCATCTCAAGTTACTTCTCATTTGTCTGCGTCGACATCATGTTCATCAGGTAATGCATCCTCCTCTGCTGCTGGTTCTAGCACGTTGAATTCCATCAAGAAATTGGTCTGGCGTCGGGATTCGTTTGTACGTCTGTTGCTGGACATGGTCGAGGGAACTGATATGAACAATGAGCACGGTCAAAAGCATATTGAAGATATGCGATCCAAGATTGAGGACCTGAATCGTCTGATCTCCACTGTCAAACACTCAGCCAAGCTATCCGAATCTAATGTCACCGCATCACTCACTGGTGACAATGAGGGCATCTCATTGTCCAAGCAAGACCTACCTAAATTCCAACTTCGTTCGCATGCCACCAAGTACTTTCCCAACGAAATCTCCTATGATTCGATTCATCATTTTCTGCGCTCCTTTGAGAAGGTAATTTCGTCTTCCGGAAAGGCAATCGAGGATGTCTGGCGCCGGTATATCCCTCTCACGATACCTTACGACTTGGATCTTTGGTTAAATCAAGAATTACTGAATGCTGAAACATGGGTTGCCGCCAAGGAAAAGTTCACATCAAAATTCAGTAATGCTGCTCTGCGTCTAGATGCTCGCCGGGAGGTACAAACGGCTACTATGAGACATGGTGAAACTACGGAGGAGTACTACAACCGTTTCGCTCGGGCTATGATGGAGGCAGGCTACTCATCTGAAGATACCACTCTTGGCGATACATTCTTGCTCGGCTTCCCCAATGAATGGCAGATCCAAATCAACGCTGTTCTCGGTGTTCACTTCCCTGGGTGTTCTAACTTCACCGCCAGTCAGATTGTCACCTGTGCCATGAACGTCCTCAACAGTCAAAAGTGTCCTGTTTCGTTTGTCAACGCAAAGCGACATGGTGGTTCTCGTGCTTCGTCCTCTTCATCCGGTTCATCTGGATTCTCTTCCTCTGCTGCTGCTTCTTCTTCTGCTCCTCGTTACTACTGCTCAAACCATGGAGGCTCTCAGGCCAGACATCACGAGAAGGACTGTCGTCTGAACAAAGGTGGTTCTTCATCAAGACGTGTAGTTGAAAAGGCAAACGTACCCAAGAAGGCCAGCGGAAACACTTTCTGCAAGTGGTGTGGCAAAACTTGGTTCCACGGTCACTCTTGCCCTGAATACCAAGCTATGAAGGGTTCGTTCAAGGTGTTGAGCGTGAGAAGAGAAAATAGTGGTCATCGACCCTATACAACTGGCTCCAGTAGTCAGAAACAAAAGCGTCATTCCCGTAATGGCAAAGGAAAGCAAAAGGACTCCGGGTCCAGCGAAAGTGACCTCTTCCGCGAGGCTATGGAAGACAAAGAATGTAAGTCTTCCACATCAAACAAAAACACTTTCAATTTAATAACACCATTGCTTCTCAATGACATTAGAATCATCGGAAAGGTGGATCCTGGTTCAGATGTTAGCATCATTAACAAATCCGTTTTGAATAAAAAATTCTCTACTATCAAAAATATCAAAGCATTGGGTGGTTATTTAACCTTTTTGAGCATGAACAAAGATGGTAGTGCATCTAAAGCTGAACGCATTGGAAGCACCGAACCCATCAAAGTAACTTATATGAATGGAATCACATTTGAACATTCCTTTGAAATCATTGACTTCAATGATTCCATGGCTGAAGAGTTTGATGTACTCCTAGGAGTCGACATCTTGCCTCGCCTCAACATCTATCTTAGTGGAGTAGCTCATTGCTTTCCTGACACCGAAAACGAAATTGCTCAATTCAAGAATATAAACTATGACACTGAAAACGTCTATAATCCAGAAAATGCTGATTATGGTACTTCTCAGGAACGTCACATCCTTCTACAACAGATCGAACAATCTCTGAATGCCAACAAGAACATCCCTGCTGACGCAGTATGTTCCATGCCTGAAAGTGTAGTGCATGTTCCTATATCCAATCCCAAGGATTGCTTCATTCGCCAGTATCCATTATCCATCAACTCGCATGCCGAGATTGACAAACAAATCAAAGAATGGCTTCAAAATAAGATTGTTGAACGCTGCAAACCCTCATCAGTGTTCCATTCACCTCTGATTACGGCGACAAAGAAGGATGAGAACGATCAACCCACCAAATTGAGAGTGTGTTGTGATCTCCGTCGCATCAATGCGTCCATTGATGACAATTACCATGAAAATTATGCGGTTCCCAAGATTCACGAAATCTTTGAACGAGTGTCCTCTAGCGCACGCATAATAAGTAAAATTGACTTACACCAAGCATACTATTCGTATGGTGTGCATGAAGCATCTCGCAACGCCCTTATATTCTCGCATAATGGCATTTTTTACAGATGGTGTAGGGCCCCTTTTGGCCTAAAATTTATGAGCTCTCTGTTCGTAAAATGCATGTCAATTTTATTCACTGGTTTATCCGACGAACTGAAATTCGAAATGGAAAAGAACATGGATCCTTCCCAAGTTGATCCAACCAAAGTATGGGGTGGCATCGAACACTACATAGATGACTGTGTCCTGCATAGTATCTGTGAGAAAAGCCACATCAAGCTTATCAATCTTGCCATTAATCGCTTGACATCCGTCAACCTGCGCATCAATGTGAAAAAATGTTCATGGTTCCAGACATCAGTCTTTTTACTAGGCTTTGTGGTTGGACCTGGCATACAAAAGATTGATATGCGTCGTTTATCTGACATAGACGAATGGCCCATTCCCAAAACTGCAAAACAAGTTCGCTCGCTTATGGGTGTCGTTTCCCATCTGCGAAACTTTTGTCCCATGCTGTCCAAGGTTGCTGAGCCCATCGATAGTCTTCGAAATGACAGTGACGTAAAAAAGAATTGGACACAATTGCATACTGATCGGTTCAATACCATCAAGCAAATACTGCTCTCAAACCAAATACTGCATGCTCCAGTGTTGGACGACAAAATGTTCCTCCAATGCGATGCTAGCCTCTATGGCATCGCTGCCTGTCTTTATCAAAAGGATAAACTGGGTAGAATCAAGCATATTGCATTTGTTAGCAGATCTCTCAACTCAGCTGAGCGCAACTGGTCTACAAACCGTAGAGAGTGTGCCGCTGTTGTCTTTGGATTCATCAAATTTAGATCGCTACTGTGGGGTCATAATGATATCGAGGTCCTGACCGATCATTTGGCATTGACCTACATGTTCACATCTACTTCACTAAACAGTACGCTCCAGAGCTACTTGGAAATCTTGGGAGAATTTCACTTCACAATTTCACATGTGAAAGGCATTGAAAATGTTCTCTGTGATGCTCTCTCAAGGGTATATCCAATAATTGATGAAGACAAATGGCTGGAAGATGAAAATGATCGACAGATGAGAAAACTGCATAAGCTCATTCTGATCAAAAGGGACACCAACAAAAAGATTGAAGTAAACCGTCAACGCACAGTCTATTCTCAGGACCGCAATCTCAACGTACTTGCTGTGAAACTAAATAGCAAAGAATTCCAGAATTCTACAACGGATTACATTGCTCCTCCAGAAGCAGATCGGGCTCAAATCATCAAAGATGCACATAAAATAGGCCATTTTGGCATTGAGTCTGTGGTTCAACATATCCACACGTATTTGGGTTTACATTGGAACACCATCTACGCTGATTGCAAGGAAATACTTAAAGCATGTCCTGAATGTGCAAAGCACAACGTCGCTCGTCGAGGTTTCAACCCTGCTAAAAGCATCGTCAGCTTTGACGCCTTTGATCACATTGCTATGGATATCTTAGGTCCTATGTCGATCACCGATAAGGGAAATGTTTATGTGCTGGTTGTGATTGATCTCTGTACTCGCTACATTATAGCTCGTCCAATTCCTAACAAAAATGGCGCTACAGTCGCTCAAGCCATACTATCCATCTATGGTGACTATGGTGTTGCTGTTAGCATCCAACAAGCTGACAACGGCAAGGAATTTAAATCCAATCTCATAGATCACTTCACAAAAACGCTCGGCATCAAGCAGCGACATTCTCTTCCTTACTACAAACAATCCAATGGTAGTGCTGAGAACGCTATCAAACAATTCGAGCATACGCTACGCAAAATGTGTGGTAATGACACGCATAACTGGGATGATCGCGTACCCATCGTCCAACTTGCACTCAACATGAAAGTCAAAGAGCGTACTGCCAGTACCCCATTCAGTCTCATGTTTGCTCGTCAAGTTAACGTCAATCCCAATCCAAATAAACTCAACCTCAATGGACGTCCTGCACTATCCATTCAAGAGCTCCAACAGCGTATCGAACACATGAATACCATCGTGTTTCCTGCTCTCCAAGAGCGTACACAACGGCTTGCTGAGGAATACAATAAGCGTATGGATAAACGTCGATACATCCTACCTGAACTAGCCTTTGACTCTCCTGTCATGGTCCGCCTTGAAGAAGGTCGTTCATCCAAACTCGCGCCTCTCTATGCTGGCCCATATTTCGTTGTCAAGCGTACCCAAGCTGGCAATTACATTCTAAAAGACGAAACCAATTCTCTCATGCATCGTGAATATACTCCTTCTGAACTCAAACCTGTCAACATTGATGAAACTACCATTGAAGACGAAATCTTTGAAGTTGAGGACATTCGCGATCATCGCTACCGCGATGATGATGAGATCGAATACCTAGTTAAATGGGCTGGTTATTCTGAACGTGAAAATGAATACATTACAGCTGATCTGTTCTCCTCTCCCATTCCAATCAAAAAATACTGGGAAAAGGTCAAGCTCAACAAGGAACTGCAACATCAAAGACATGCACCACTACCTACAAACAAACGCCCCTCAAAACAGGCTGGTAACAAGCGAAAAGCAGGCACTGATCACACAAGCCGCGAAAACACTCGCCGCAAACATTAGTAGCTTCCAGCTTTCCTTCCTCCACTGCCTTCGGCACTTGTTTCTCTGCTCTTGCTTATATCTATGTCTTCCTTCCTTCTACATGTTCCAATCAAATCACGTTTGGTCGTCTAAATTCATATCTCTGTCAACTTTTTCCCCACAAAAAGTTTGGCTGGGGGCAATGTAATGAAATAGCCACCCAAACGCAACTTAATTGAAAACCAAAGTTCATCAAATAGCACTCATTCAAATTCATGCTATTTGGATCTATTAATGAAAGCGCTCAAATGTACATCAAAAACCCATTTAAAAATACTAAAGTAAAGATACACGCTTATATCGCACATCGTGTGAATGAATCACTCCTGATCACAGTGTATTCAATCACACCCATGATGGTCGTAATAGGTGATGGTATCTTTATCCAAATAGAATTAAATCAATAACAAGCATATTCAAATATGACAACTATGCCCTGCTGCCATAGTTGCACAATATCCCAGATAAAGGATTCCATGCTTCAATAACAAACATCACACTTTAAACCATCAAGGTTACATTAAATCATGCTATGACGATAGCTCACCCAAGCCCATCAAGGTTACTCAAATCGACCCTTATGGCCAGTGCTCCTGCATTGACTACCACTTTAAATCAAACATCAACAACATTTGCCAGATATCGCAATAGCAGCACCTATTGCTCTCTATCATCACTAATCCTACAAGCTAGTTGCAAATGTATAAATACTCTTCTTTTTTTTTACTCAATTCCAGGATCTTCAGTTCATTTTATACACAAAATAAAATACAGTTGATTTCTATTGTATTTTACCTTTGCTTTATTTTTTTTGTGAAATCTATTTAAACCTGATTTCACTGCACACACATCCCAAATCTGTCAAAACTGATGGCGCCTATTGATGCTCTACGAAATGATCCAGATGCTGGTAGCAAATGGACTGAGGAGCACACCAAACGACTTGAGATTATCAAGAAGGTCTTGTTATCTGAAGCTTTACTGACTGCACCAGACATGAATAAGAAATTTTATCTTGAATGTGATGCTAGCTTATATGCAGTTGCAGTCATTTTGACGCAGCGCGACGATCAAGGACGCACAGTCTATGTGGCGATGTTGAGCAAATCTCTGACCAAATCCCAACAGAACTGGCCTGTCCTGAGACGAGAACTGTATGCCGTGTTATTCGGTTTAGTTCGTTTACGACCCTTATTGTACGGGCACCCTGAGATTGAGGTTATGACAGATCATCGAGCTCTGATTTATATCTACACATGTAAATGTCCTACTAGAGTCATTCAAAATTACATGGAGATTTTAAACGAGTATCCCCAACTGCAATTCACTCATATCAAGGGCTTAGACAACATCTTACCTGACAAACTTAGTCGCTTGTATGAACCTTTAGAAGATCATACAGAGCTGGCGGGAGACAGTGATAAGAAAATTGCTAAATTACAAAAGAATATCATGAGAAGCAAAGGCTCCAAGAAACGATTCATTGGCAACAATAAGCAAACAAAGCATTATCTAACCAAGAACAAAGTAGTCTATAATAAAGACAAGCACTTGAATGTACTTGCTATGAAGATCAAGGAGGGCAATTATGAAAGCGTTGCTTACATTGCACCACCTGACAATGAGAGAGACCAACTGCTTCGTGAAACTCATGAATTTGGACACTTTGGTGCCGCTAGTATTGTCAAGAAACTACATGAAGAAGGTATTCATTGGACAGGTCTATATGATGATGCAAAGGCAATTTGTCAATCATGTATGGAATGTGCAAGACACAATGTAGTTCAAAAGGGTTATCATGAACTGAGAAACGTTGTAGCGTATGGTCCATTTGATCACATAGGCATTGACTTTCTTGGTCCGTTAACTCCAACCAACAATGGCAATATATATATATTAGTTGTATACGACATTTGCACCAGATTTATTATAACTCGTGCATTGCCCAACAAACAAACCGATACTGTCGCTAGAGCTCTGACTACCATCTTTGGAGACTTTGGCGTAGTACAAATACTACAATCTGATAATGGACGTGAATTCAAGAGTGCTTTGATGAGCGAGATCGGTAAAGCACTTGGCATCAATCAAAGATACTCTACGGCTTTCCACGCTAGGGGCAATGGTGCATCCGAATCAGGTGTTAAAAATATTCTTAATGCACTTCGTAAGATGGTCAGTGAACACATCTATGACTGGGACTCGGTTCTACCTGGAACTCAACTGGCTATAAACACAAAAATTAGGTATCGCACTGAGAGTGCACCTTTTCAATTGATGTTTGCTAGACCATTGAATAGATTCGTAGACTACGATGATCCTAAGATCAAGGACAACTTACCAAAGAAACCTATGACTCTCGGTGAGCTACGCAAGAAGGCAGAGATTATGAACCAGGTTGTCTTTCCAGCTATTAACCAAAGAACACAACGCATTATTGAAGAGCAAGCAACGCGATTCAATAAGCATCACAAGATTACACACTTCAAAGTTGGTGATTGGGTTATGGTAAGACTTCCGCATAGAGAAAGCAAACTTGAGGCCGCTTATGATGGACCTTATCAAGTTGTTCAAAAGAAAAGATCTACATATGTGTTGAAAGACGATATGAATGAACTACTACATCGCGACTATGTGCCATCTGAATTGAAGCTGGTAGCAATCGACGAGTCTATCATCGAACAAGAAGTATATGAGGTTGACGAGATCAGAGCGCATCGTGGTCCTGAACACAATAGAGAGTATTTGGTAAAATGGAAGACATTTGGAGAAGCTGCCAACTCCTGGGAAACTGCTGCATCGTTCAACAACCCTCAAACCATTCGTAAGTACTGGGCAAAGATCAAGGAATATGAGCTGCTTGAGAAGAGAAGACAGGCACTAAATAGTGACACTGCTTCCTCCAAATCAAAGCGTAAGCGTGATAATTCTGACAAGCGTTTGAGAGGCTCTAAGAGACTCAACGTTGCAGAACAGTAAAGTGATGTTTGTCATGGGATATATCAGGGCAACATGCAAATTGCAGTAGCACCTTTAGACTATCACATTGCGTTATATCTTTGTCAGCGAATGCGAAATACAGATCATTGATCGTTTACATAATTCTTTGAATTAGTCAACATGCGTTGAAACTGGTGGGGGCAAATGTGGAATACATCCACTATGATCTGCATTCCGACAGTTCATCCAGTTACCAGATTTAGATATAAACTGTATGTACACTGGATTAGATGTACGATATCGATTTATACTATGATCATGAGAAGATATGGACTTCAGATACGCTAGTACTATAAGATTCATACTATATAAGATATAGGCTATAGATGGCACCACGGACATGGATGGCGCTATAGACTTATACTTGTATTCCGACATTGACTACGGATGTTTACCATATCTGGATAGGCACCACCGAGATTGATGCAATATGAGGAGCTTGTTGCTTCAGATGTGCACTTCATGATCCACGCTATAAGACACATGCTTATATCCGTGATACTAGCTACAGATACTTTATGTACTACAGACTTGTACTATATATGAGACATGCTATAGACATGCATACGATATGCTATAGACATGCCATATATCCAGATACATGCTAAAGATGTATGCTTAGCGATATACACTCAGATATGTACTATTAATATAGACTAAGAAGACTGTACCTATCGGATACATGCTGCTAGATCGATATTAATTATCCTTATGGAAAGGATAGATCAGGGTACTTCGGATGAGAGTCTAATTATTCATCCAGACAGAGCTAAATCATGATTAGCTTGCTGGAGTTGTCTTTTAGCATGATTAGACATTAGTTGATCTGAGTTGACTTATTTGTCAATCTAATTAATAGAACTTTTATCCATTGTTATAGTATATAAGAAGGATCATCTACCTGGCCAGTAGAGAGACTTCAGTTTACTTTACACCTGTCAGTTTGATAATAAAATATACCTTTATCAAGTTGACTTTACTGTTTTTTTATTCTTTTTTTTTCGTGAATTTTAGTCTGTAAAGCCTCAAATTCCACACTCATAGAAAAACGATGATTTTCATGAATTTGCAGCGACCCAAAAAGAATTGAGATAATGCATCAGGAAGTAAAGCGTGGCCAAGGCGAGGCGTGTAGTGCTATTCCAAGCGTCCAAAACGCTATGTGGCATCAGTTATTCGTGCTTGAAAACGGCTAGATCTGAACAGGATTCGACCTAAAACGACGGCGTAGTAGGTTGTATTGTCGGAGAAATAAGTAAATTACAGTTCTGTCTGATGTCCCTGAAGTTCTGCATTGTATGGAACCTAGTTTTTATGTGATATATGCTTTTATGCGTGTTGTGCCAGAAGGGCTACAACTGTATATAAAGATTAAGGTATTCTTGATGGGTAGATATGTCTGTGTTGTGCAGCATCATGGACAAGCTATGATAATTGAGGTGCATCTCAGCAATCTATATACTGAGGTTCACCAGATGTGATAAGCGTTGTACAAGATAAATTGCTACTTTAGCATTCAGAACTTAGTATAAATAGAGTAACTCTTGTCTTCATCAATAAATCTTTAGTTTTTGTGTCTGATCTTATTCAAATAAGTCTTTTCTTATTTTTATAATATCGAACATTTTTTATAAGCTACAAATAATAATCTTTTTATTCTTTGTGCTTAACAGTATGTTTTATGATCAAACTGACAGGTGTAAAGTAAACTGAAGTGTCTCTACTGGCCAGGTAGATGATCCTTCCTATATACTATAACAATGGATAAAAGTTCTATTAGTTAGATTGACAAATAAGTCAACTCAGATCAACTAATGTCTAATCATGATTCAGCTTTGCCTGGATAAATATATAGACTCTCATCCAAAGCACCCTGATCTATCCTTTCTATAAGAATAATTAATATCGATCTAGTAGCATGTATGCTGTATCCACACATATAACTGTTCCTGAATCATAATGTCGTAGATTGAATTCAGTAATAAACTATGCACATATGGAGCATATGTAAATAAGCTGTATTAACTTGCAAACGATAACCTTGATATTCACATAAGCTAATAAGTTTCAGTAAGCTATTCTCTATATGTCAAAAGATAGCAGATAAGGAATGTATGTAATTAACGTTGCCAAGAGCAACTAAAGATATTTAGACTGATCATCTATATCTGAAATAATTACCATTTAGCATAAGTGAGGATTGACACTAAAACTTAGCATGAGAACACCATTCTAGACGGGTGTGTAAGCAATCCATAAATCATACATATAAATAGCAGTAGACATTCACTCTTCCCTCTCCTCTTCATCTGATTTTACGAAAACAAACTTATATCCATTCTCACGTACTTTCAGATTTACAACAATGTATCCGATAGGTACAGTCTTCTTATTAATCTATATTAATAGTACATATCTGAGTTTATATCGCCGAGCATACATCGTTAGCATGTATCTGGATATATGGCATGTCTATAGCATGTCTCATATATAGTACAAGTCTGCAGTACATAAAGTATCTGTAGCTAGTATCACGGATATAAGCATGTGTCTTATAGCGTGGATCATGAAGTGCACATCTGAAGCAACAAGCTCCTCATATTGCATCAATCTCGGTGGTGCCTATCCAGATATGGTAAACATCCGTAGTCAATGTCGGAATACAAGTATAAGTCTATAGCGCCATCCATGTCCGTGGTGCCATCTATAGCCTATATCTTATATAGTATGAATCTTATAGTACTAGCGTATCTGAAGTCCATATCTTCTTATAGTATAAATCGATATCGTACATCTAATCCAGCGTACATACAGTTTATATCTAAATCTAGTAACTGGATGAACTGTCGGAATGCAGATCATAGTGGATGTATTCCACAAGAATAAACCTTTGGGGCTCAGATGGTAATTCTTTTTACTGGACGAATGGTGGCCGAATCATGCAGTCGTATCAAGTCAAGTCTCAGTTGCAGGGAAATGACGGTGGGGTCATGTTCTGGAGTTGCATAACAGCGGAGGGGCCTGGTTATGGTACTACCATTATTGAAGACGCAATAAACTCGGGCTTGTATGTCGATATTTCGAAGACATCATTGAACGACACTCTTGAGCACTTTGGGAAGACACCATCTGATGTGCGATTTCAACAAGACAGAGCAACACCGCATACATCGGGCATTACTAAACAATGGTTCACCAACAATGGGTTTAACCTAGACGAAATCATGGATTGGCCACCTCAAAGTCCCAATCTTAATCCCATTGAACATGTCTGGCATCTCCTAAAGCTTCGTCTTAATAAGTATCCCACTAGGCCCTCTACAAAAGAAGAATTAGAGCGGCGTATTAACATTCAGTGGTACAAAATAACAGAAAAAGAGTGCCAGAAATATATTGATAGTATGCCTGCCAGAATCAAGGCTGTCATCAAGAGCAAAGGTGGTTCAACTCACTATTAATGATTTTATAATAAAATGTACATGTTTCTATATTTATTTTTTAACCAATAAAATCATTGGATTTTAGTTTTTGAAAAAGTTATAATTATGTATAGATATCACTAATTTCTCTCATTCAAACGATATATATTTCGACTTTGTATACAAAGAAATGACCAAAAACTTGTGCAAAAAGACAAAATTTTAAACGAACGGGACAGTTTTTCCCCCTACAGTAGTATAAATCGATATCGTACATCTAATCCAGTGTACATACAGTTTATATCTAAATCAGGTAACTGGATGATCTGTCAGAATGCAGATCAGAGCGGATGTATTCCACAACTACTATGTTGAGATGGTATACATACATAAATAGCAGGCCACTAAGGCCTTATTGATTGCTGGTATAGCTTGTTGAGAGGCCACCTAAGTCGATATGTTTCATGTAGTGTAGGTGGATCTCGACATCTTGACATTAGGGAGATTGAATCTATTGTAGTTCCTGAGGCACTCGTGCACACACAATTTACTGGACTTGTAAATATAGATGTGATGTGATACGATAAACATTATCTACGTTGCTATACTGTAAACGTGGCTTGAGGAGAAAGTGAACGTAGCCTAAGATGCATGTTTGTATGCAACATTATGGTTGTTTGGCAAAGGTTTTGAGCCATAATGGGCATCTCACCACGAACGGCGGACAGCGTTTCCACGCCTAGGGTTGATACTACAGATTTCTTAATAATGTACGATACAGAGCAGCTAAGTCAGTAGACAGAGCTATAATTTACTTACTTCACAAAACAAACTACTACGCCTTAGTTTTAGGCCAAATTCTGTGCAAATCTAGACATTTTCAAGCACGAATTACTCATGCCACAAAGCGTTTTGAGCGCTTGGAATGGCCCCAAACGACTCTTCTTGGCTAAGCTTTGCATACTGATGTCTTATCCCAATTTTTTTTTGGATCATTGCAAATTCATGAAAATCATCGTTTTTCTATGAGTATTAGCAAGGGAAGATTCTTGAAAATCAAACGATCGCGTTTTTCACCTTAAAAATGAAAACTTTTTCTAAGATACATATTAGATCAAATTGGCCGTAAAGATGAAATGCAACATTAAAATCACTTTCTATGAGACTTTCGTATGCTAAAGTTAGACATATTATCAGAAAACCTGTTTTCATATTTTTGGAGATTGCTCACTATTTTCGGTCTGGAAGCTGAACGTAATTAGCACCATTCGATGCGGCTTCTTTAGTTTTCTAGAGTTGTATTAGAAGGTTGGGTGTGACAACGACAGTTTTCATAGTCAAGTTAAGCAAAAACGTTTAAAGGATGTGAGATCAAGTCAAGTTTGAACACGAAAATACCACTGCACAATTTCAGATTAAACTGCCGCAGTTACGGCTGCTACGGTACAAGACGACTGAGACCAAATCTACTGGTCGTGACGTCGGATAGGGTGCCCTCTCATTTTTCCGTAACCCCGTTTTTTTACCCTTTTTGCAAAACGTGTTTTAGTATCAAACCATGGTGGTTTTGGACACCGTTTGATTGATAATAACACTCTAGCTCCCGATAACTCTGTCTTGCACTGTTGGAAGAACTTAATACTGCTTCTTTGAAGTGGAATATATTAGGTACCATTCGATAACGAGCACTGGAAGGCGTAGAATTAACATTAATTGAGTTTGTTTATTAGGTTTTGATAATTTTTTTTGCCTGTTTGACGTGGGTGCTGCTGCCATTCCTTTTCTGCTCTCTCTGCTGTCTGCATCTTTGGTTTATCATATCTAGTGGTTGCTTCTCCGGTTTTTGTCTGGTCTCTGGTGTCGTTCGTTCTCTGGTTTTTCTATGGAGCTGGTGTTGCTGCCGTTGCTGCTAATATGGTCTTTCCTGCTCTATTTTCTTTGCTGCATACTCATTCTCTGGTTTATATCTGGTGATTGCCTATACTCTTATGGTCTACCTGTGGTGGTGATAAGAGGTAAGTAACTTCTTTTGTCTTTGTCTGGTCTCTGCTGACGGCGTTCATTCTTTAGTTTTTCTATGATGCTGGTGTTGCTGCTGCTGCTTTTGCTGCTAACATGGTCTTTTCTGGTCTACTGTATTTGGTGCATGATTGTCCTCTGGTTTAACTCTGGTGATTGCTTCTTTGGTCTTTCTCTGGTTTCTGGTGTCGTTCGTTCTTCGGTTTTTCTATGGCGCTTCTGCTGCTGCTGCTGCTGCTACTACTAATCTGGTCTTTCCTGATCTACTGTATCTGGTGCATGCTCGTTCTCTGGTTCATACCTGGTGATTGCGTAGTATCTGGTCTATCTGTGGAGGTGACAAGTGGTAAGTATCTTCTTTGGCCTTTGTCTGGTCTCTGCTGATGGCGTTTGTCCTTTAGTTTGTCTATGGTACTGGTGTTGCTGCTGCTAATCTGGTCTTTTCTGGTCTACTGTCTTTGGTTCATGCTAGTTCTCTGGTCTATATTCTGTGATTGCGTATCCTCTGGTCTATCTCTGGTGGTGGTGGTAAGTGGTAAGTATCTTCTTTCTTCTAGTCGCAATGATATAAAACTTCTTTGAACGCTTGTATTATTGCTTCCTTTGTCATGATAATGCATTCATGATGTTTACTTTGTTACGCTTTTCTTCTTCTTTTGTTGGTTATGTTGCTTTACATCCGACTATTGCCATGCATATTGCTCATGTATGCGTTTTTGTTGCAACAACAACGAGATGTTCTGAACTTCTCTGATGTTGTGTTTGTTATACTTTTCTTTGATTCACTTTGTGTGAGTATCCCTTTTTTGCCTATGTACTACTATATTCTTATAGTAGTATGTTCTTTTCTTCTTTCTTTTATTATTATCATGTTTCTTTGAAGCATACCTTTTTTTACGTTGTGTGGATGTGCCTATCACTGAAGCTCAACAAGACATTATCCGAGGCAAGGAGGTAGATAGGCTGCCTCCACTTGGTTATCGCTACTTACTTTAGTGATGATTGAGGGTCTCAATGCCTGAATTTAAAGCTAGGTGGTGTAAGTAAGGCATGCTCTAGCACCTGAGGGAAATTTGATGATAGTAACAGCTATATTGCTATATATAGCGGAGCTTAAATTTTTGCCTCACATCCAAACAGGGGGAAACCCTCGCAAATTTTTTTTAGGTCAGCGGAGTTTTTTTAAACGATTTGATTGGCGGAGAGGTTAAAGTAGCAAAGAGTAATGCCTATAACTGTTTCTCTTATTTTATTTAACAACATAGAATGGCTTTATTTAACAAAGACAACAACAACAGCGTGGTGTACATGATTCAAAATGATAAGATCACTTTTGAGCGTTATATATATTATGCTTTGTTATAGTTTACTCTTCTATTTATTTCAAATAAAGCAAGGTCTCATGCCTCCCTCCGTTTTAATTTTGAATTGATAGTCTTCATTCAGACATGCTCAAGCAGCAGCAAAAAAGCGTATGTTACAGACATTCAAGAATACGTTCTTGAATTTATCCATCCTATATTATGGCTGGCATGAACACAAGAGTTAGTATACTTTGAAGAAGTATTGGACATAATGCCCGATGTAAAGAAGTGCATACCTTGCATCATGAATTAAATCACCTTCATCGACTCTGACACCTTTAGATTATTTTTACAAAACATGCTATAGAGTAAACCTCCAGAATTTAATGTATAAAGCTGGTCCATGACGACAAATTGTATCTATCATTGCTTTTGACAATGACTAATTTATTCGACTACAAAATCATGGTATTCTGCACATTCTACGGCTACTGCATGCTAAAGCTGTCTCTCTTCTTGCAAGATAATTCATCAATAATAGTAATGACGTTAGTTAACGCTGAATTACGATTTTCTCTCCAGCGCTTTGAGGAGGTATATTGAGTAACGATTTAATTTATACTCAATGCAACAAAATGTGCTGCTGAATATAGACCACCCAAAAATGTAGCTGCCGTGAGCCACTGCGTCATTTGCTGATGGTATTCTCCTCTACATTAGTTTCATTTGTTGTCCATGACGGATACAAGTCTCTTAAGCCAACAGCTGTTTGAATATTGCCGCCAGGAAGAAATGCCATAGTTTAGCGGGTCTTTGCAAGAAAAGTAATATTGGTGGATCCTTGTCATGTACGCCCTGAATGGCAATATAGCTTAACGACGGTGGCAGAGTCATACAGCAGATAGCATGAAATTTCAGCAAAGAAGCCATAAGTCCTTTCGCGGATCAGCAAATAAAGAGGATATTATCTCTTGCTGTTCAGAGGAAACTTCTATACGGATGGAGTAGGTCGCAGCACTGGAGAACTAACTTGAATGCAACGGCAATAAGGAAACGAAAGAAGCAATAACAGTAAACCAGTTGATGACCTTACAGGAGCGTATATTTCAAATAACATCCTGGTTGCTATTCAACATGTCCGGCTACAACGCCATTATGGGTACATGCTAACGCCATTAAACTTGATCCTGGAAGAAGGGGCTTTTCTTCCATTGCATTTGCATAAATACGATAGTCAAGGGAACTACAATTGATACTACAAATACCACCAGCAGCTGGATCATTTTTTTTAACGCTTTGGTATATGTATACTTCTTGTTACGGTTGTATGATAACACAGAAAGGCGTTAGTAACGTCTGAAATATAGCATACTCTGCGTGCTCTTGTGTATCCATTTGAATGAGAATCGAGTTACAATGTGGCGCTGTTTAAGCATTTGTAATTAGAGAGCATTACCAAATGTAAGATAGAAGAATGGGCTTATTATGTAGTTCTCAATACGTGGCGTTGGTAGTGCATTTTCAATTCACTGCGATGGACGAAAGACTGATTACTCAAATCACGACCCAAAGTGCTGTCATTTGTATTTTAAGTAAAGCTTTTGCAGTATACTTGGAATACTATTGCCAGCACCAATTTACTCAGCATGCAAATGTGTGCTACATACTGTATACATTGTGCTGAAGTATATGCGTAAGTGAACTATAGAAGAGGTGCTACACAAAGAAAAGCAGTAGTAAGAAGGACACTTCTAGTGATGCTATTATTAGCAAAGAGATCTATTTGTGATTTTTGATAATCTTTTTTATCATGTTTAGTAGATCAGGATGAACTTGTAAGGTGTTGCCTGGTTTGGTGCTTCAGACAGTATTAAATGATGCAAGATACCTCGACTGGCATTTTATGCTACAAGATATCCTCAATGCCACTGGATTCATTTTCAGCATCAACAATCATGAATATGTTCATTTAGATATGCTGATTATGTACTACTACTGCATACAGTTGTCATGCTGATAAAGTGAAAGCTAGGCTGTACATGTACGATTCGGAACAACTCCAGGTCTGGCTGGCCAGCTTTAAATGCCACAAATTTACGACTGATGAATCCCGATTTTCATGATACCAGCAGCTGGTTTTTTGAGCGAATGTTACCAGTACAAAGTAGACACTTCATAAACTGACAAGTTGTAGTACAAGTGCAGAGGCTCCCCTCAGATCAACGAAATGGCACCTTACCTCACGCACCACTCGTGACTGTACCGAAACGCCTATCATCATGGAGGCAGTGTGGACAGGGCAATGTTACTTCTCCCTCATCTAGACACACCCAGATTGAAAGAAAAATAAGCACAAGAAAGTATATCAAACACTTTCTTTCTTTCATACAACAATCACAAAACAAGAAGAAAACGAAGAGGAACATGTCGACAGATACTGAGCTGGAGAAGCATCTTGAGCACGAATCTATTGACCTTGAACTCAAGGATCTGAACATTGACGCTATGTTGAGGGCCAACAAGTCGTTTATGAGGCTCGCTGCAACCATCTTTTATTACGGCAATCAATCATTGAGCGCTGCACAGCTTGTGAATTGTGTGAGATCATTAGAATTGCTACCATTGAGGTGAGTTGTCAAGACAAAAAAAAAAAAAATGTGCGCGTGTGCGTGTAGATTATCCATCGGTTTGATTCATGCTACATTTTGTGTCTAGAGGCGAAACACCAAAAAGCACAATTCAAGGCATCGTCTCTTCATCCAGGTCCGCATCTAGAAAGGCAAACTTGCTGGATCCATTTACTATCGATAAGTATGGGCCTCAGAGACAAACCAAATATAGACTCTCAGACGCATGTGTCGGTAATGCAGTGCCACCAAAGATAAAAGCAGTTCCCGAAGATGATACTGTCGAAATTGTGCCCGTAGTGCCAATGACTCAGATTACTTCGCCTGGGAAACGACAACGCAAGGCACCTGAATTATACACACCAACCACTAAAATCAGACAATCAGCGCAGAGAAGCAGAAAGAAATCACGAGCCAAGAAGCCCAAACACAAAGCAGTCGAAGATGTAGCGAATAATACGACACCAGCAGAGGAGAGTCAATCAGACATTGAGGTAGACGACGACTTGACACTGGAAGAGAGGATGCAGATACCCATCTACAGCGACGATAGTGATGCTGATCATAACAAGGGCGATGAGGAGGAGGATGCAGCGTAAGTTGACAGCCTAAAACAAAACGAGCCTTTTTTTTATCTGATGGAATCTCTATTTAGGAGCTTTGATTCAATGGGATTGGGATCAGACTATGAGGAACTGTTGGGCAAAAGAAAGGAAACTAAAGCGCCACCGCCACCACCACCACCACCACCACCACCACCACCCCAAGTCGTTGAAGAGGACACGATAGCCAACTACTCGTTAATATACACACCACCTAATACAGCCGAAATAGATTACATTGATGCCATCAACTTTTCAGAATACAACATAGCAAGTAACTTTGCCATTGTGCAACAAAAAGGCTACTCATACCCTCGTTTTCGCTCCCAAGAAAAGATCAAGATTCCCAAAGTGCATTGTGAAGATAAATTCAGAGTCAGTGATATATACAAGAACAAGCGAGTGGTAGGACGTCTGTTTGTGCTAGCAGATGGACATGGTGGTCCTGGTTGCTCAGAGTACTTTGTCAGAAACACACCTGAAGCAGTGCAAGCTGTGTGTTCCAAGTATCTTCCCTCCAAATTAGGCGAGGCCTCAGTCAGAGCCAAATTGGAGAAAGACATCAAAGCCATGATTCAGCAATTGGACGACAGTTATTTGGATCTGAAGCGACAACAGATTGTGTCGGCAGTAGAGAACTCGAGCAAAACCGTGGACAATGACGGATGTACACTTATTCTCAACTTGTTTTTGGGTGAGTGGCTCATCAATGTCAATGTGGGAGATTCGCGCACGGTCTTGATTACTGCCCCTGAACCCAGCACGCCGTTACCCGTCACTACACCTTACACTGTTGGCATTGATAAAGACTACAACTTTGAAGTTGAATTCGCCTCACAAGACCACAAGCCGTATTTGGAACATCTGGCCCGTCATATATTGGAGAATGGAGGCGAGTTTGTAGATTCTGTTCAAAACCGGGTGATCAAACTGGATGTGGATAAACTGAAAGAAGATGATCGTTATGCGAAGCGTTCCTCTTTGAAAAATGCAAGAATTAGGCCCAAAGACTATCTATCATCCAACAGCCATGACCAGGCTGCACCTTCCTCCTTACCAAAGTCAACGGGAAACAATGCAATAGAGGAATACCGCGATCGCGATAGAGTCCCATCACTCAACGTAGCACGCTCTTGCGGTGATTTAGACTTCAAGATGGATCCAGATCACAAAATCATCTCATGCGAACCTGATGTGACATTCATCCGTATTTCAGACACACATAGAGGATCTCGAACCACCATTAGAAATGGCCCCAACAAGGAGAAGCGAAGGCACTTTCTGTTTATGAGTACGGATGGTACGTTTGATTACATGTATGAGGAGACAGCAGACCGACAAAACAAAGCCATTGCCAAGGAGCTGGGGCCCATGATTGAAGACGGCGAAAAGATTGGGCCTTACTTGCTGGATGAAGAAGACAAGCTGCGAGAGGAAGCGTTGGCACGAGAAAGAGAGGCGATTCGATCAAAAACGGGAGCAGATGCTCCAGCTGCTGCTATCAAGCACGATCAGCAGGAGAATGTGACAATGACGGGAAAAGAAGAGGAAGAAGGAGAGGATCCGATTGATATTATGGATAATAATACTCCAGCAGCATCAACAGAAGCTATAGCAGCCAACGGTGATGATGAGGTAGCGCAACCAGGCTCTCCCATGAGCATTGATCCATCTTCGCCAATGTCAGCGGAGCAAACTGACCCACCACAAACTGAGACAGCAGTGCCGGATTCAGCCTTACTGAAGCCAAAGCCTTTATTACACAAAGAAATAGATGATGAGGATCTTAGGACACGACGCATCAAAGAGCGCACACTTGTCCACTCTGCAAGACAGTTTGCGAATCGAGAAGGTGCTCATGGCGTGTTTGCTTCCAAGTTACAGGATTACGACGATTGTACAATTATACTAGTTGAAATTTAAACTGGCATTTGTATTGCTTAATAAATGAATAAAAAGAAAGTGTAAATGCAGCTTTTTGATATGGCTTCTCTTGGCATGTGCTTGGAGTAAATGCTGGCAACGTGTGTGTCAAAGTGCATCAAGACATTGGCCTCATCACTTTGATGCAGAAGTAGTGTACGAGGCTTTTATTTCAACAACAGCTATAAATGAGACCAGCATGATTCAGAAAACACTTTTTTTTTTTTTATATACAATTTTATATTAGCAACATGCATGTGGAATACCCGGCAACATTAGCCATCCTTGCCTCGTACTTTGTGCTCATCTTTGCTTTGTTATGGAGAGTCAAGGATCAACTTGCAAAGACGCTGTCTGATAGCAACCCGGGCATCCTGCTGTTTGTTCTCTTGTCTGCCGTGTCATTGCTATCCACTTGGACGTATATGTTTAAATTCTTTGCTCATAGTTATCGAGAATGGAAATACATCACTGGATTTGAGTTGCCCTTGTCGTTGAATTCCATGTCGTATTGGCTCAAGGACGTCTCTTTGTTTGACAGTGCCTGGAGACAAGTGTGCGTTGGTGTCTGGCAGTGGCTATGGAGTCATCAAATTTGCACATTGACAGTATCCGTGTGGACTCCCATTTTAGCCATTGAAGGTATGTCTATCTATGAGCGTTGTGTTTATAGCAGCACTAAGCCCATCATTGCACATTCACACGCAGGTACAAGACGTCGCATCCCATACATTTGGGCCTACATGCTGATCGGTCAGGTTGTCGCCATCTCGTTTGCCTCATCCCTGTTCTTTGCAGTTTTGTTGGCCTACGCACCCATCACACACAAAGAGCCTTCTGCTAGATTATTAAAGACGCTTACACTGACATCTGTGGGCGGTATCCTGACCGTGGTACTGTCTCCCTTTGTTGCTGACACGGATGCATTCATGGTCAACTTGCTGATCATGCACATCTTACTCATCTTCCCTCTGGTCTATGTGGAATCATCATCCACACTGTCAACCAAGAGTGCCTCCCTCTATGCCATCCTGCTGTATAGTCTCGCGGCTGGCGCCAATCTCTCGATTTATGCGCACCAGTGGTTCCAATGCTTGGCCACGCTGGCGCCTTTTGGTCAGCACACATGGTATCAGATCTACCACACAGTTCTCGCTACATTTTTTGGACACCCAGCACAATCCAGTGTTAGCTCTGATATTGTATGCATGCAATTCATCTCTGTCGCTTGGATGTTTACTGCCAGTAAAAGAGACTACCGACAAGTGCCATTCTGGGTGTGGATCTTGATTGGCACAACACCCTTATTTTCTGCTTCCTTTACATTGCCCCTCTTCTTTGCCGGCTATGAATACGACAGAGCAACTCAACCCAACATGGCAAAGAAGATCAATTAGAGAATCTAAACAAGAGTATAATAAAGCTTTATAATGTAATCAAAAATGAGATGGAATGCGTTGAATAGTACATGTTTTTAAATGGTAGTGAATAATCTCCAAACGCCTTGAGCATACTGAACGATTTCGGACATGCCCATCTTACTCTCACCGTAAACACGATCGACAAAGGTAATGGGAACTTCGCCGACAGAGTAATTGAATTGTCTGGCTCTTACAATCATCTCCATTTGAAAGACGTAGCCCTTGGCTACAGTGGCATTGATCAATTGATAGAGCACATCCTTCTTGTATAAACGAAAACTACCAGTAAGATCAGATGCATTGGGGCGAAGCATAATAGTAGCTAAAAAGTTGGCACCACGACTATCATATTTCCCCCCCATAATGAGTTGTCAGATCATGCAAATCACAATGCAATGCCCAATTCTTACCTGACAAGCTTACGCTTTAAATCCCAGCCATAAACACCACCACCTGTCCTGTAGCGAGTGCCACTGACAATGTCATAGTTCTTTTCTTGCTGTAATCTAGAATGGCAAAAGGGAATGAACAACATGTGGCTCGGATGTGGGTGGGTTGTACGTTACTTGATCATTTGAGGAATGAATTTGGGCTACAAGGAGAAAACAGCGTGGTTAGACATTGCTTTGCTAGATCATATCCACCCATCCAGGACTTTACATGATGGGAGAAGTCAGCATCCATAATGACAATATGTGTGCCAGTGGCAAATTGAAGGCCATGAACATAGGCAGTACCTAAACCAAGCTTGCCAGCACGAGGCTTCAATTGCTATCATGGTGTGTAGTCAAGTCATTCATGTCAATATCGAATCCACATGTGCCCACTCTACCAACTTACAATACGATCCTCGCCATAGATCTTTTGAAGTTCCTTTGCAACCTCTTGCGTACCGTCAGGACTATTGTCATCTACAATAATGATCTCCCAATCAATGGCATGCTCCTTGAATGTCTTTGCAAGCAGCCAAGTGATGATTGGCAAGTTCTCGCGTTCGTTGTAGGTGGGAAGGATCACTGTGTACTTGTTTTGAGTCATGGTGCTGTGATGGTTGTCTTGTACGTTTAATACTGCGTGATTGATAGTGTCTATTGTCATGGATAAAACAAAAGAGACAGAAGAAAGAAGGAAAAAGAGAGGTGTTTGTTGGGTTTATAGCTGAAAATTCTTTTGCCACAGCCAATAAAATGTATAGGCGTTGCACATACTTCTTGTTTCTTAAAATGGGGGGGGGGGAAAGCATTTATTGCATTTATGTGTGTGGTATCATTATTTACATTGCTATTTCTTATATGAGTGTATGTATAGTGTGTGTGTGTGTGTGTGTGTGTGTGTGTGTGTGTGTGTGTGTGTGTGTGTGTGTGTGTGTGTGTGTGTGTGTGTACGGTTTAATAGTAGGCTAAATCTTCATCTTCATGATCTTGCTTGGGATCGACAAATATACTTGCAATGGGCGTGTTGATGGCTGCTGTTGATTTGATAAAGACATGATTTGAGAGAGGTGCTGCTATCGGTGACATTTTCCTCTTTTTTATGATGGTTGTATGCTGCAACATGGCTTCTATATGTCCTCGCTTTTGTTCCGTCCTCAAGAGAATGTCTCGTTTGGTGTCGTCCATCTTTTCCTTGTTCTTCGGTGTGAATTGCTCTTTAGAGTACAATGGTGCAAATTGCTCCTCTGTAGCGTCTTTGCCGAAAACATCAAACTCGTTGCCTTGATAGATCGTGTTGCCATTTCTGGGATAATGTGGGTTGGTCAATTTCACAACTTTGTGCTCCTCCAGTGCTTCTAGTTCGTCGTTCTTGTAAACATCCAAAATGTGGATTTCTCTTTTCTTCCACATGTTGACAGAGTGAAAGAAGATGGAAAGATGGAAAAATTGCAAAGCAAGAAAAATATTTTCTTTTTTCTTGTGATATCATTGGACATGTTCGCTACGATAGGATCATCTTAAAATCTCTCATGTTGCTACATGATGACAGACACTGCTATCTTTGATGTCATCTACTGCAATCTAGAGCAAATCCAAGTGATTGGCATGTATGCTCGCTAGATCACGAACTTAATGCAATACCATCTATAAAATGAGCAGATCAGCTAAATATAGATGAATGCTAACGTTTGGACTCGCGATCAGCTTCTGGATCACTGAAACACAGCAGCTGATCCATCATCCTAATCCGACTTGGCCTTTAGACCTCATTGGCACCAAGAATGCTTGTTGGCCATGTAAAACCTCTCATTGTAACGGTATTGTGTATATTGCACAAGCGGTCAGTTTCCTTTTTTAATTGTAGAGTGCATCTGTTGTCTGTGTATACATGATTCGAATCTCATTATCTTTGACCAGTGTATACTGTCTTGACGGCAGAATGCGATCAGAGCTCGTTAAATCCTTGCAATCACTGTAAAAGATATACTCTCTGAAAGATGGTTCTGATATAATGCCGTCTACACGTTGTTTAAGTTAGCCAAAAAAGCCAATTACCTTTGTAGTCGTTACTTACGCTCGTTTCTGAATAACTGGAACACGGCTGATCTCTCGTCTCCTTCTTTGACAATGGCCTGATCATGGAACAAAAGTTGATCAACTAGATCATATTGCTTCGGTAACTAGAAGATACTGTCAGGCACAAAGAAAGCGCTTCTGCCAGCAAGGCACTGTACCTTTCTCAGTAGTGATATAGCGTGGCACATGGTTGATTCTTGTTGTCGTAGCATTGAGATCATGCTGCCAAATGTGCGCTTTCCATGACTATAAGACAAGCTGTGAGTTATTCCCATATCACCATCCATCTGCTCAATGATTCTCACCGAAGATCTTCCCATGAGAAATCAACCAGTTCATTTGACAGACGGACCAAACCATCCGATACACGCTTACTATACTGTGTGACGGGATGAACAGAGAGTGTATCATAGGCAATCAAGCTCAGCGTAGGCAGCATGATGGAGAAGAACTCATGAACGGATGTTGTTTCTAAAAAATACAGTGCTTTCTCTGCTTCTACGGATATATTAAATAAGGGCTTTTGTCGCACGCAGGGAATTCTCTTTGACCATTTCCACAGCTCTTGCCATATATTGTTTGGCTCTGACATGCGCGCACTGAGCTTGCCTCCTTCTTCATCTGCATCTGCATCTGCAATCCAATCACGAGGCGAATGCCATCGCACAAAATCCTCTAGACAAGCATGTGGGTTGGCTGCTTTGAATGCTTGCATGTCCGAGTAAAGTTGTGCTGATTGCAGTTTGGCTCTTTGCTGTGTTGCATTGGTGGATGTGCCTAATTTTTCAAATAAATCTGCTTGCTGCGTAATCATGTCTTCTGTCATAAAGCCTGGATCTTGTGTGATGGGAATATGCATGGGCTGTCCTGTCTTGAGTAGCTTCAATGTACTGTGGATCTTGGATTCGCCTTCGATGGCTTCCGGGTCTTTGACGGCGTTGGCCTCATCCGCCTCCAGTTCCTCTACTGTGATGGGCATATTGGGCACCATCACTTCCTCCCCTTCCTCTTCTTCACCTTCGTGCTGTGATGGACGGCGACCGGTATTATCACTGCTGCTACTGCTGTTGTTGGACGCATCATCAACAGCATCCACAAAGATATCACTTCCATCAGACACAGGGCCATCCTCACTCAAGTCGGACGGTGCGATAGAGATGGAATCCTGCAGTAATGGTTTTGTCAGCAAATAGCATCAAAAGGCCATGTCCCCTTCCCAGCCTACCTCTATAGCCTCACTGCTGTTGCTATCCGCTCCTCCTTCTACAAATCGCTCCAGCAGGGTTTGAAATTTGGATGTTCTAGGCGTTTTCTCCTCAGAGACTTGGTCAAACAAACGACCAACACGCTGAACAGGTTTTTTGGTATGATCGCCTACGTTTCCATTTTGCGGTGCATTCTGTTTTCGACGAAGAATACAGCAATTGATCATGGAAATCTTTTGATGCAGCTGGGATGATGAATGTCAGTACCATTGTCTAGATCCACAACCCTGCATTCTTACAATATTGTAGCGAAGGTCGATGCCTAATGTTTTGCTGTCCTTGTCGGCTTCTTCCCCATTAGAGTCGTCGTAGAGATAGGGGTTCAATCCTGGAATTGGTTCCGAATTCTCCCAATGCCAACGTATCTGCTTTAGAACTTCCACCCATACCACTCGCAGAAATCCCATGAAATTCGTCGCGTTCTTCTTTGATCCTGCTCCATTGGCGGGCGAATGAGAAACAGCCTCTAAACTATACAACAACACATTCCACAAAAAGGATCGATAGGGCACAGATGATCCTGATTTCAGTTTCAAGCCGAGCTTCTGGGTGCTGTCAAATTTGCAGTGTGCGGTGGTTTTTTTGGTGTCGTTGTCTTTGCTGGTAGCCATAGGATAGAACAGAGCTGTCAGCACATCGTCCACTGCATCCGACTTGGTTACAGTGACCGAGTCCGCAAGTCCACTGGTGCTGTTGCTGGCGGTGCTTGTGCCTGTAGATGCTCCCATCTGAGACGAGAACTTGTGTCGATTGCCGGCAGCAAACAAATTATGCATCAATCCAGCACTATCACTGGTAGATTCATCGTTGTTGTCGTCGTACGGTGCTAAATACTCTCTGTTGGTAGGATCCTTCACCCATGATTCCACCACTTGCTCCATAAGCGTAGCGAGATAGGCTCTTTGTTGGTTCACTGGGGCAAATTCTCTGGATACCTGCCACTGCTTTGCTGTCAATGCATCCATGTTCCTGTCATACGCTTCGTGGAATTCATTTTCTTGAATCAAAGGAAACAGCGCACTCAATGTCAATGTACGGAGTGGGTCGTTGAAGGAGCCGAATGACAGTTGATGCTGGCTCATCTCTTCCAATTTTCGTTTATGCGTCAATCCCGATCTCTGTTCTGCTTCTGGCTCTGACAGATCGACCTCATCATCGTCGTTTCCCCATGCCTCAAATTCATCATCAAAGCTGCTTCTGCGCTTGGTCTCCTGCTCTACCACCTCTTCCCATTCTTTCCAGTGCTCGTCGAACCAGTTTTTGAGGTTGTACGTGTAGACAGCTGAAATGTAGATGGACGATTCCGGTGCGTCTCCCGCCTTGCCTAAGTATTCACAGTATCAGTGCCTGCAGTCTAAATAGGTGCTACCCAGAGCGACATACCGTAATCCTCTCGATGCATGCTCAATCTCTGCAAGAACAAGGTCTTGAGGCCGTCCAAGTACGACAAGTGCGAAACAGGAGGTGTTGTCAGCGTCATGCTATATCGCGCTTCTGTCTCATTGATGGCGCTCTGTGGCCGCTGGCTTGTAACGCCATATCCCATGTATAATTCATGGCGACTCTGTCCAACTGGAACAAACACAGGCACTTGACAACCGGCGTTCTGGAATGCAATAGCACACGCTGATATCAATAGTTTGGCTTGTGAAATGTCCACGGACGATTTACTCGAATTGAATATCTTGTTTTTGATAGAGTCCTGCATTGGTTTGACAATCATCAGACGATCCAGGCCAGTCCATCGATGCAGAGGATGGTATTGTGCTGTACTGAACTGGTAAAAATGCTGCTGCTGGGTGTCGTCTATCTCGTTTATGGATGCAGTGGGATGGTAATGGTAAGTGAGCTGAAATACATCGTCGCCCATGGCCAGTGTCTCTCTTCTCGTGAATTCCGTGGCTGAAGGATGCGCAATAGCTGCTCTGGCTCTTGCTAGCTGCTCTTGGGAGAATAGGCCATAAGAGCCGTCCTTGACACCCCACGAATACAGTGTTTCTTCAATGTGTGTGACGAATTTCTCGAAATGCGATACAGAAGTATAATCAACAAACTCGTAGCGCGATAGATCATCACTGTAGGCAGAGCTTTGGCGTCGTTTACTGCCGCTCATGGTGCGTTGTGTATGATATATAAAAGAAAAAGAATGGGTGTGTGTCTCATGCTGTTGTTGTATTTCAAAAAGGGCAAATGGAACGTTTTCATTGGCGTAACAGCGTGTAACAGATGATTGCATCAAAAGGATGTTGGGTTTATAGATCAAGGATTTCTTGGTGGAAAGTGTGTGTATGCCAGAATGCGCCATATACCAGCAAGTATGGTATCCAGGCAGACCACAACTGCTGTTATTAAACAAAATTACATTTTTTTTACATCAGGTCAAAAATTGCATAAGATTACATGTCTTTCCAAATGCTTAAATGCAAGCAGGGCGTAGATTAAGTATGTTGTGGATGAGGACATGCGCTCATTTGCATTACTCGATGGTGTATATCTACAAACGTTGGTGGATGTGTCTTGATAGACCATTGTGTATATATATCTGAATTTTACAGGTCTATTGGAGTAGCCTGCTCATATAGGATCTCGTTTAAATCAGAACCTGAAATCTACCAAGCTTCATCAAATTCTCAAATGACGCATTTTAGACACATTTGAGTCATTTCATTTCACAGTTCTATGACACTATCTCTATGGATTCAGAGCTACGCTGTAACCATGATGATTGCAGGTAAGATTTCCAAGATATTTAAGGGTGCATTTGATCTCAATGTGCACTACAGTTGTAGACAATTTTGTACACTTTATCTTGTAATGTGTAACAATCTATGCAATAGGATGATAGATTGCATGTGCACCTACTAGACTCGTAGGATGAATGATATCTGCTGTAGGTTGCGTGCTTATCGATGGCAAACTGGGTATCCTCATGGATAGAAACCTCCCTATGCATCAAATGAACTTTAAGTTGTGTGCGCAATGTGTGTACGCCCACACGGTCAAAATGGATATGTATGCCACACTCATACACACACATACACATACACACACACACACACACACACACACACACAAACATTCAATACAAATACAACATCTTATCATCACATGAAATGTATATATATATATTAAGGTTTCAATGATTTGTTCCAGTACACGTGCCATCAGCCTTCTACAGAACACGGGGAGAGCTGCTGCCTTGCTCTGATGTGTATATCTCCAACATTGCTCAAGGCGAGGAATTATTTCATGTCTGTTGCATTTAGAATTGCATATACGCCCAGCATCGAGCAGCTCATCAGGGCTATTTGCAGTAACATGTTGTGGAATCAAACAAGAAGAGCATATACACAAGACTACGTCGTTGTGCTTATTGATTTGGGAATCGTGATAAATACAGAACCTATGACATGCAAGTGGAACGGTGCCTTATTTTGCAAGAAAAAAAAAAGACCTTTGGACCATCTTTCAGCGCACGGCACATGATCGTCCGCATGATGCTGCATTCCCTGAAATAGGGTACATCTTCCGTCGAGAGTGTATTCTACCTGTTGTTCAGATTGGAGCAGGCTTGTATATTCATAACGGGAGATGTGCAGCATCTGTTGTATGTCCCATGCATATACAGGTCTATATGAAATTCATAGTTACATGTTTAGGCAGTCAAGATACAGACGATACATGCAACAATTATTGTAATATCACCTGCTACCCCCCATATATATCATAACATGAAAAAAAAGGACGTCAATGCAATGCCATATAATAAGCCCACTCGTTTTTGCCTCATTTTCCTTGCTCTTTCTCCTCTCTTTCCTTTCTTCTCAACGATATCCCACTTATTCTTGGTTCAACACCGGAATGTCCACAAATTCATCATCTCAGCAAACCACCACGCAATTGGAAACCACGCCGCGAGTATATTATGAACATTATATGACGGCACAACCCAACTATGATCTTTACCCGAGTCTTTCTCGTAGATTAGGGAATGGTTATGTCCACCGTCCTATTCGAAGACCCAAGAAGCAACAACAAACAAACTTCATCTCAATACATGGTACAACATCTCGACGTTCGTATAATGTAGATCAAGATCCCTTATGGCAGCCAATACCGCAAATGCCACAAGAAACCCCTTCCTGGGATCTCTATCCTGCTATACTACGTAATGTATGTGCATATAACTATTCCAATATTACCAAAAATGATGGGTGAATTTATGCTAACTTTTTGTGTCGTACAAATAGGTTGAAAACTATGGCACAGACCAAATGAGACAAAGACTTCGTGCTATGGAAGCTACGGTTAATCTTTGATTGCATTTCCCAAATATTCCCCCCCATCACCATCATCTATTATTACTCATATCACCTTCATCGCTCAGTAGTATTGTTTTATTCAAGCATTAAAAATACATGAAATAAATTTATTGGAAATATACAACGAGTTTTAAGCGTGGATGGATATGTTACAATGTGTGCTGCTTGGTTTGCTTCTTTTTCGGCTTCTTTAGGCTCGACCTAATGTATAAGTTTCTGAAGTCTTCATCTGGCTCTTGGATACCAGGGATTTTCTATTCGATTTTTTCAGTAAATCTGGTAGAACCCATCCTTTCTGCTTGTAACTTAGATGAGATGTCGTTGCGGTTGTGTCGCAATAGCTGGTTTCATCAGGACTCAAGTAGGCGCCATCACGGTAGATGCTTTCGTAGTAGCGACGATCATGCGATTCGAATTGAGACTGTGATACACGTCGTCTTGTGTATTTGTCAACTTTGTAGTAGTCGTAACTGCTTTTGATTTTGTCGAGTAATCCCATCAAATATTATAATTCAAGGAAAAAAAACGAGAAATTGAAGGATAAAAATTGTTCATGTCATTTTATGTGAAGGGTTGAAGCGGAATACGGAAAAACGATTGTCGATCTTTACTATGGATTTAGGATAAATGTATATTTCAATCCTTGACACAGTCGCCAAACTTGTCCAATCATATTGGTAGAGTCGTGTTTGTTTCTGCCTCTTTATAGCACAACTACGTATCATCGAAAGAAATGAGCAATGTTTATTGTTTCCTTTTATATAGATCCAAATCCTACTGATCCGTAATAAAATTTCGTTTTTCCAGGTTTGTAATCAGGCAAAACCTACCGTAAACAGCCTGCAACTGTGCATTTGGCTCTTCTACAAAATCTCATGTTGGCATTGGCGGTAACAACTCATACGAGTGAGTAGCATACTTGTATTGCTTCTTACTGCTCAAAACTATGCGAAGCGCAGCGAAATCTGGACATATTTGGGCCGTATTTTCTCATGTTAGAGGCTGTTCCAGAGTGCCAGAATAGTATCAAACCATTGCTTTCATCTAGCACTAACTTCCTGCCACCCTTGCTCAACTTTTTGGGGACCAAAAAAAAATATGGCCAAAAATTGACCAAAAAGCATGAGGTATCCCTCATGGTTTTCATCGAAAATCAAACAATCGCATTTTTTTTTTTTTTTTTTACCTTGAAGATGATGACTTTTACTATGGTATGTATTACATCAAAATGTTGCTATCGATCCAAAGCAACCCTTGAAACGTCGTTTGTGTATCTTTTATATGTAAGTTTTTGACATTTTTGCTAGAAACCTCATTTCATATTTTTTGATATTGCTCGATGCGTTTATTATAAACATCTGCCATAAGCACCATCATTCGATGCGCCTTGAAAAGCACTCCAGAAATGCATTAGAAAGTATAAGATGATCATCGCATCTAATATAGTCCAATTCTGCAAAATAGATGAATCAAGTCGTTTTTGGATCAAAATCTGTCCAATCTGGAATAGACGTTAAGCGAGAATTCAATTGATTTTGAGTGCTTCTGATATCAATGTAATCTACGATCTTGAAGCTAATATAAAGAGGATTGCAATTTGAAAAAAAGTATTATAGTAGCTTATTCTCTCTACTTTTGCCTGATTCTGAAGCACATTTTGTTTCTGACACTCGGATTAATCATTGTTTATTACATATTCAAATAAATGGCCTAATATGAAACGCAAACTTTCTTGCTATTCAAAATTGCAAATGGCACTTGAGGTTTGATGTACTGTACACTGAGATACCACTACTAGGCTATACTATAGCAGCCACTAAGGCAATGCTATAATACCATATACGCTTGGGAACCTAATGCCAAATGTCCATTTTATTAAAGTGTAAGGGCCATCACATCTCCTGTTACTAGGAATTTTTAGCAAATAGATGGCAATACTAATTATGAAATACATGTGAGGTTTCTACTGAGCACTAACGAAGACAGACAACTGGTTTATACATACACACTTTTTTAAAAATCATGCAAATACTGTATTTTGAGGCGGCGTCATGTCACCCAAGTGTTCTACAGGCCCAAAAGCAGCGGATCAAGATTGCCTTTTACTTGGATACACATTGTAAAATATAGCTTCAAATGGGTTTGCTTGCACTACTACCAATATGCTCACTCTAATTGAACGATGACTTTTTGTTTGTTTGTTTTCCGTGCAACTTGCCTACATTCTTTTCAAAGAAGTAAGAGCATATCCTGTTGGTGACAGTAGCACCAGAACTTTGACAGCTCTGCTTGTACATATAAAATAGTGAATACATGTAATTTATATACTGCAATCACTGCAAAACTATACTGATAAAGAACCCGTTATTGTTTACATTTTGCTCGAACTTTTCAAATCCAAAGCGAATCAAATTGTTCACTTTCCGTTATCAACCGAATACAAGATGTAAATGTAAACAAGCTGACTGTGTTTAATCAATAAACGAAATAAACCATATGAGTTTATATCATATCTTGTGTGTATACAGTAGTAATAATGCATATCATATTGTAGGGCAGTTGAAGGCGATTCCAATGGTATTAGTTGCATTGTCTCTGGATGCCAGTAGCGTTCAGAATTGCGTTTGAAGTGTTTTTTGCGTGTCTCCTTAAATTGTTGCTACTGTAATCAAGGTATAAAAGGTAGAAGATTTCTCTCTTTATCTCACGTCCTTTCTTTATCTTTTTCTTCATCTTTTTTTTTTTTTTCTCTCAAAAACAATAGACGCTACTAGAAGACTGGTGATCATGTAAGTATATTTGTCTTGTCTGCACATAACGGATGGTAACATGCTCTGAATCAGGGTGGTTCACAATACAAGGCTTATGGTATTTCAAGACTGGTTCTATTCTACTTGACGGCTTTCTTTGGATACTTTTGGTTCTCTCTGGTTCTCTTTGGATACTTTTGGTTCTCTCTGGTTCTCTCTGGTTCTCTCTGGTTCTCTCTGGTTCTCTCTGGTCCTAGTATATAGATATTTATATTTATTTGGTCATATTCTTTCGCATGGGGGATTTTTAAGGGCACACTCTGAGGTTTTCAAGTCTTTGGTACTTTGTCTTTTGAGAGTTTCGTGTCTTTGGTGTGAGGGTTTCTGTAGTAAGTCTTCTGTAATAAGTTTTCTGTAGTAAGTCTTCTGTAATAAGTCTTCTGTAGTAAGTCTTCTGTAATAAGTCTTCTGTAATAAGTCTTCTGTGTTGTCATGTGTTTCCCTTCCCCCATGCCTACTTTCAATTTTTGGGTTGAGATTGGTCTCCACCTTCTCGTGGTTCAACCTGTAAGCTTTTTGTAAAAGCAACCAAGAGAGACCATTATTTTTACAATAAATAAAATGAAAAACTATACAATACACATTAAATGCGTGTGCCTGATATGAGTACACATTAAACATTGCTTATTTTATATCAATAAAATCTTGTATTTGTCCAGGAAATTATAAATGTCGATATGAGATGCAAAGGGTATAAGTTTACTGCTATGGAAATCAATAATTCGGATTGGATGTATTAGCTGCTTTTGATAAGCTCTTTGGATCCGAAGGAGGCAGCTTATCTTGCCATGCAGATATAAGTACATCAAAGCCTAAGCTCGCATATGTAGGTGTTGGGGACTATGCACGCTGTAGTTTTGCCTCATGTCAAACATGAGTCTTTGCGTCTATGTTGGCTGGGCTTGTTCTGGTACGCTGAATGATGCTACAGCCAAGGATGACCTGGCTAAATGGCTGTATCTTTGTATATTTCGTTGTCATATATTTCATTTCAACAAAATCCTGGTTACCATGGACGGATGGAGACGGCGAGCATATTGATATGTCAGACAATGATTACATGGCTCGCTTGACTCCATTTTACTTTGGATGGAAGTGGCCTTCAACGATCTGATACACGCATTACCCTTTATTACTCGATTGTGCGCAAAACACAGCGTATTTTAGATGCATTTGAGCCGTGATTTCTTGTGTTAAAGGCCGTTTTAGGCCGTCAGAATAGTATCAAACCATTGCTTTCATCTAGCACTAACTTCCTGCCACCCTTGCTCAACTTTTTGGGGACCAAAAAGCAAGAGGTATCCCTCATGGTTTTCATCGAAAATCAAACAATCGCATTTTTTTTTTTTTTACCTGAAGATGATGACTTTTACTATGGTATGTATTACATCAAAATGTTGCTATCGATCCAAAGCAACCCTTGAAACGTCGTTTGTGTATCTTTTATATGTTAAATTTCGACTTTTTGGCTAGAAACCTCATTTCATATTTTCATAAATTGTTCAATAAGTTTGTTCAAAACATCTATCTTACTTAGCATCATTGGATACGCCTTAAAAAACACTCCAAGAAAGCTTAAAGAAGCATTTTTTTTTTGTAGGGGAGACGAGCTCCAGGTTTTATTTAAAGTCCTTTAAATGTCATACTGAGGGATAGAAAAGACTGTTGGTGGGCCCAATGTCTGCAATGAAGGGGATTAAGATATTTTTGAACTAAGTTGGGAAAGAAATCTACTACTAATAAGGTGCGACACCTAGAGCCAATACAGTCTTGCGGAAATCGTCAAAATATAGATAATGGATAAGAATACAAAACACCAAACGAGGACATCAGTACTAGGTCAAAAAATCAGACAACTTGCGTTCATCAGGATTTGAGCCGGGGATCCTCCCGTTGGCATACGGGAGTTCTACCACTTCGCCCTACCACCAGGGACAGCTTAAAGAAGCATTTTTTTTTTGTAGGGGAGTCGAGCTCCAGGTTTTATTTAAAGTCCTTAAAATGTCATGCTGAGGGAAAGAAAAGACTGTTGGTGGGCCCAATGTCTGCAATGAAGGGGAATAAGATATTTTGAACTAAGTTGGGAAAGAAATCTACTACTAATAAGGTGCGAAAACCTAGAGCCAATGCAATCTTGCGGAAATCGTCAAAAATAGATAATGGATAAGAATACAAAACACCAAACGAGGACATCAGTACTAGGTCAAAAAATCAAACAACTTGCGTTCACCAGGATTTGAACCGGGATCCTCCCGTTGGCATACGGGAGTTCTACCACTTCGCCCTACCACCAGGGGCACTAAAAGAAGCATGGCGTGATCAGTATATTTTATATAGTCGAATCTGCCAAAATAGTTCGATTGAGTCGTAAAACGGCAAAGTTTGACCAATCTTGGACAATACTTTTTATCTGAGTTTCAATGTATTTTGGCGACTGGCAACAATCAATGCCATGCTTATCATGATGATTCAAGATACTTTCGAGGGCTCATGAGAAGCGAATTGCGAACTAAACAGCATTGTAAATTTGCCTTATTACCCTGTTTCAATGTCTTTTCGAATTTGTTGAGCCAAAGCGTCCATTCAAATGTCGCGAATTGCTCATTCAAATGCGAAATGCAAAATCGTCACCTATCTTTATAAAAAAGTGCATTTTGACACTTACTACAATTGTAGTATTATTATACAGAAACATGTTTCTGTTTGAGTGGATGTAAATTCGAAACGCAATTGCATTCCATTAATCTAGTCAACTGACGAATATTGAAATGGATCCAAAGTTCTAGCCATTTGCTTGTTTAAAACAATGAAACTGGAAATGTAAAGAAGGAATAATGAAATGTATTCTGAAGAAGATTATCATCATATCATCAGGTAGAAAATCTTTCCAAAATAGGTTATAACACTTACCTTGGAAGCGGGGAAATACAGCCGTTTCTGGTTTTTCGATTTTTCTAATTACTTCGCCTTGCATTGTATGTCAAAGTGGTTTTTGCCCTATGGTAGTTTTATTGCAGCTACTACCTGAATTCAGATATTTATACTCTAATCATGGAACATACGGGAGGTATATCCAGGACAGGAGATTAGTGACATTTTTTTTAGATGGGTACAAATTAGTTGTGCTATCAGTGCTTCCACTTGAAAGAAGCTTGAGAATGCAATCGAACGCTCGTGAAAATGCACACATTGGCACCTTTCAGGTAGTTGTATACTTGATTAATAGCCATCCCATTGGAGAGATTTGCTGAGCGGAAGAGGAAAGACCCAGAGTTACACTCATTGAGGCACAATTCGACCTAATCAAGATAATGATATTATATAATAAAAGAAGTACTCGAACCATCGTCGCACCAGTGTTGGCATTACTTGTCTGAAGAGGGCATTTGGCAATTTACAAAATAAACATTATTGGATCTTGTTTTCATTTCAATTGATGATAGGTCCTCCTAAGTTTCCAAATGTTCGTACAGTAAGGTCAATGCTACATATGCCTGTAGATATTCATTACAGAATTATTTCTTATAAAAAGACAATAAATCTGCGCCAGTGTTTTCTTCATTATTATTTATCAAATATTGATCGCAACTCACTCTCACAACAAGATTCACATATACTGTACGATGACACACCATTTTATCTCTCGCATCTCTTTTATCGTAGCTTTGGCTGCTATGATCTGTAACATGGTATTTGTTGCTCCTATTGACAAGCGCAGCATCTCCTCCTGCTACAAGTCGGCTAAACTGACTCAATATTGGATTCCCAAAGAAGGTGATGCCGACATGAGTAACAATGGTCAAAGCGTCACTCTAGATGGCTCTAAATCAAAAACTCTCCAAACAAAAGATGGCATTACAATTGCCAAGGTATCTGAAACTACCTATGACAAATTTCAGATGGAAGGTACTGGCTTGCTTCAATCTGGAAAGATGGTCAACTTGGGTGAGAGCACCAGCGTATTCATGGAATTGGATCGCTCTTCTACTCCATACGGTATTGGTCACACAGGTGAGGGCTTAAATCCTTGGGTCAGTGTTGCTTCCAATGACATTGCTACTGGTACCACGTTGTATGTCAAGGAAATGGACGGCTTGGTGTTGCCCGGTGGAAAAACTCATAATGGTTGCGTCCGTGTTGATGACCAAGGATGGGGTTTGGGTAATTGCCATATCGACTTTTTCGTGCTCCAATTCAGTGCCTACCAAGAGTTGGTCAAAGAGCTCCCCTCTACTGTAACGGTAACTGAAACGTCCTGTACAATCAAGGATTATGTTACCACTGGCGTCAAGAAGTGGGCTGTGCTCTAACTTGTATATACTTTCAATTGAACAATGTTAGCGTTGATCGCTATGCTGATTCTTCTATATAAAAGCTTTTCATTATTTACTTTGTTCATTGATTGAACAACTTATTTATCTTGTCTATTTATTTTATTCAATAAACTAATACTTCTATGCAAAGCCTACAGTTCAGTCTAAATAATGATTCCTGTAATTTAGTTGCTATGTTACAGTACTTGTTTGCAGTATGGACCTATTCTGCCCCTTGGCAGAAGTAAAACCTTGTCTTGAATGTCGATATGACAGTTCAAAGCGCAATCGGTGCCTTATTTAGTAAAAATAAGCTTACGAAATGAACAATTTACATCCCAAACACAGTTGTGGAGGCATTCTATTTGCTTCCAGAATATACCATTTGTCTGTAATGCACTCTATCTAAAAGAACTCATCAGCATTACTGTATTTCCGTCGTCAATCAATTTCTATTTGAATAGTTTTGTTTTATTGAATAGTTTGTTATCTGAATAGTTTTTTTTATCTAATTAGTTTATTGTTTGAATAGTTTTATATGAATATTGTTATGTGGTTGTTGTGATTTGGATATTTTATATGAATATTGTTATATGCCCTAATTATTGTGATTTCGATGTTTTATATTATTTTTAACAGGCAAAATTTTAACTTACCTTAGTTGGGCATCTATTCATTGCCCATCTAGTTCAACACAAATCAATGAGTAGTTAGAATGAGCTGTTATAGCTAATATTTTTTCTATTACAGTATCATCAAAAGCGCCATTATTCATTGGTAAAAGCTTGTAATCCTCTTGGATTAAGCAAAATGCGACATCAGGAAGCACTGTTTGACGCAAGAAATCAAAATGGCAAGTGGTGTTCTTTATGCTAGAAGTCCAAGGAGTTGCTACTAGTCTGGCAATGCTTAGTCGTCGAGTACCTACCTTGACAATGGTTTCCGCGCCATCTCCTTCATAGCAACCCGGCTAGAGTTCAATATACAATCATTAGATAATTGTTAGATGGCTCTACAGTATTCAAACTTACAATGTACAAGTCAGTGCGTCTTGTTGCAAGGGCCATACGAGCAAATGTGGGCTGGAAACCGTCTTCCCTTAAGTCATCCAAAAATGCCTGGAGCAATACCCTTGAATCTAAAAGAGCCAGGATCTACATTTCTTGAACGTCTTTGAAAGCAATAATATCTCTGACATTATTTTCAAAAGCGTTAAGCTTCATCTTCCTTAGTAAGCTAGATGAAAGTGCAGGACAGCCATTGTTTTTCAATCCAACATCTAATTCAAATCGAACATGGAGACGACAGAACTCTTGGTTTGCCAATGCTTCCAGTTCTCTAAGCCTCTTCTTTGTCTGCTTGCCCTATGTCAATAAACGTTATTGCTTTCATGAATATCGAAAGTTTGTAGTGGCATTTTATTGAGCGTGCTATGAGAGAGAAAACGCGTGGAGAGCAACGCGTCAGAAATCTAATTCGATATGACTTTCAAATTAACCATCCGTCTTATTTCATCCGTCTTATTTCATTCGTCTTATTTCATCCGTCTTATTTCATCCGTCTTATTTCATCCGTCTTATTTCATCCGTCTTACCATCCGTCTTATTTTTAAATGAACATTACAAGGGATGCAGCCCTCTGCATGTATTTTGATGAGGAACACACGAACGAGAATATCAAAAAATGCAAAGAACGTATTGAAAAGTGGGGCAATGTCGAGATATGCTACAATACCTCCCCAAAGGAACCAATTGTTGTTTTGAAACAACGAATTCTTGGTGATCCCTTTACATACAGAAAATACCGAGAATCTCAGCAATTAAGCTTAGTTGAACAAGTCGAAAAAAGAAAGAGATTTGAATTAGGTACGTTGAGTACGTTGAAAAGAATAACTTACTTTTGATTTTTAACTTTTAATTTTCTTTTAGAAACAGATGCACAACTAAAGCTTTTTTTAAATGAAGTGTTTTGCTATGAAGATCCTAATAATTCCAAGGCCTACAAAATTAAATCGGTTGCAACAAAGGAAATATTTGAAACTATCCAACTATATACATCTCTCTTCAATCAACGAACTGCGCAGGCTTTTGCAAAGTGGTGCTCAATCCACAGCGTATCATTTATAAAAGCAAAGCCAGACAGAAATTCAAATAGTAGAAAAAGACAGCTTTATATATTAGATGACACTTATTATGGTAAGCCTAAGCAATAGTATAAGCGAAATACATAACTAACATGCTTCTCCATAGACAATTTGTTGGAAGAAATATGCAGTTATTTGCCAAGATACAAAGCATCCATTTTAAATTTGAAAAAAAACGATTACGAAATCATCGGCTATGTACGCAAGTCCCCATCTGACGTGGATCCAGAAACAAGGCTGAAACTCTTACAAAAAATGGTTGACAATCTGCTTGACCGCTCCCTTGTTGATAAAGTTTACGTTTCAGTATCTAGTCTTGCATCTTCGCCGTTTAACGAAAGGGACTTGAATACATCTGACGAAATTATGAAAAAACTCAAACATGTAACTGGAAATACTCCAGGTAAAGCAATACTACAACATATAGACTGAAAACCCCACCACTAACTTTCTATTTGATTCACGGTAGATATGTTAGAGTATCTTCAATCTATTGATCATAATATTTGCTTGGCTTCGATCGACTTTGCTGGGATTTCTTCACGTTCCCATCTCGTAAAAGATTTGCTGGAAGAGTGCCCTGTTATAAAGAAAATAGCTATTGAAACTTTTATTTCTGATAACGAAATCCTTCTTCTGGACTCTCAACGTCTGTTGTCAGATAATCAACTACTTGAAAAATTTGATTGTAGAAAAAAGCTAATTCAACGATCAAAATAATGGAATAATATAATACATGATTTTAATAAAAACAGTTAGGAGACTTTGTGATGCTATTAAATAGTAAAAAAAAAAAAAAAAAAAAAAAAAAAAAAAAAACGTTCTGATTGTTTTAAAGACGTTCATTATACATATGGTGATCTAGCTTTGTTATAGCCATACAGTCCGTTCTTGATATAGTCGAACCGTGGGGGATTGCCACAATTGTTGACTAAGGCTGTTCCTATGAAAAAGAGGTCTGTATTAAATTGAGCTACGCTCATATTTATTTCAACTTAGTGAGTAACCTAGAACAATCCCTGATGCTTCGTGAAACTAGAACACTGCTATCTGTAACTATTAAACTAAATTTTAGTAGGCCTCCTGACTCTAAAGAGTAGATTATAGCTAAGACTTAGAGAGGATGACATATGTCAATATTGTATTAGTCAAGTAGTAGTCTATTTCTAGTATCTAAATATGATAAAGAACATTTACTTCCAGAAATCAAGGACGTAATAGCAATAGGAAATTGTATTTTTATAAATAGTGGTAGTTTTTATATCATAATAAAGACAAACTATAAACAATCTCAAAGCAAATCACTTATCTTTATTGCTATTATTATTTTGTTTCTCTTTCTTGTCGTAAAATACAAGATAAATTCAGACGATAAAGAATCGAAAGTAGTTCTATAACAAAATTAAGGAATGGGAATATTAGCTGGATACAAACAATATAAATGAGGGCATTCACGAATCTTCCTTTTTGCCACTAAGATTGGTTGCCTTGGATCTGTGTTATAGCAAATGTCTACAACACCGTAATCTTCGACTACTTTTTTGTATTTCATAGCATTTTCTTCAGTGAATTCGACATAGAAAAACATACAAATTGCTTGGTCTTTCGATATTTCCATTTTGGTGAAACAAAGTGATGATAGTTGATATAGCAATTAAAATATATAAAAAAAATAGATGGTATGGCTAAAAACTAGACGGATGAAATAAGACGGATGAAATAAGACGGATGAAGAAATGGATGAAATAAGACGGATGAAAAAATGGATGAAATAAGACGGATGGTAAGACGGATGGTAAGACGGATGGCAAGACGGATGGCAAGACGGATGAAATAAGACGGATAGTAAGACGGATGGTAAGACGGATGAAATAAGACGGTTAGTAAGACGGATAATAAGACGGGTGGTAAGACGGATGAAATAAGACGGATAGTAAGACGGATGAAATAAGACGGATAGTAAGACGGATGGCAAGACGGATAGTAAGACGGATGGTAAGACGGATGGTAAGACGGATGGTAAGACGGATGGCAAGACGGATGGTAAGACGGATGGTAAGACGGATGAAATAAGACGGATGGTAAGACGGATGGTAAGACGGATGGCAAGACGGATGGCAAGACGGATGAAATAAGACGGATAGTAAGACGGATAGTAAGACGGATAATAAGACGGATGAAATAAGACGGATAGTAAGACGGATGAAATAAGACGGATAGTAAGACGGATGAAATAAGACGGTTAGTAAGACGGATGGCAAGACGGATGAAATAAGACGGTTAGTAAGACGGATGGCAAGACGGATGAAATAAGACGGATGGTAAGACGGATGGTAAGACGGATGGCAAGACGGATGGTAAGACGGATGGTAAGACGGATGAAATAAGACGGATGGTAAGACGGATGGCAAGACGGATGGCAAGACGGATGAAATAAGACGGATAGTAAGACGGATAGTAAGACGGATAGTAAGACGGGTGGTAAGACGGATGGCAAGACGGATAGTAAGACGGATGAAATAAGACGGATAGTAAGACGGATGAAATAAGACGGATAGTAAGACGGATGAAATAAGACGGATAGTAAGACGGATGAAATAAGACGGATAGTAAGACGGATGGTAAGACGGATGGCAAGACGGATGAAATAAGACGGATGGTAAGACGGATGGTAAGACGGATAGTAAGACGGATGAAATAAGACGGATAGTAAGACGGATGAAATAAGACGGATGAAATAAGACGGATAATAAGACGGATGAAATAAGACGGATAGTAAGACGGATGAAATAAGACGGATAGTAAGACGGATGAAATAAGACGGATAATAAGACGGATGAAATAAGACGGATAGTAAGACGGATGAAATAAGACGGATAGTAAGACGGATGAAATAAGACGGATGAAATAAGACGGATGAAATAAGACGGATAGTAAGACGGATGAAATAAGACGGATAGTAAGACGGATGAAATAAGACGGATGAAATAAGACGGATGAAATAAGACGGATAGTAAGACGGATGGCAAGACGGATAGTAAGACGGATAGTAAGACGGATAGTAAGACGGATAGTAAGACGGATAGTAAGACGGATAGTAAGACGGATGAAATAAGACGGTTACACTGTGACTAAAAAAGATTCAAATTTATCTGAATATATTGAAATATCCTAAAAATGTCTTAATCACTCTGAATTTGTCCAAATCCCTTTGGAAATATTCAGATAAATTCATGCAGATGAAAATTAATAAATTAAGCTTAGAGAAATTTGGAGAAATTTAGAAAAATTTAGATATTATTCAGCGATTTTTTTTACCACGGAACGATCTTCATCAGAAAAGCGAGTAGTCATCGCTACGCCGTTTTTATTTCTTATTTGTCAACTGCTTGAGATTTTTTCTTGTAAGGGAGTCGTGCTCCATTTTTTATTTAGAGGTCTCTGAATGTCATAATAGGATAGGAAGAAGAAAGAAAGAAGATATATTATTACAGAGCAACAATAGAAAGGAAACAATATTAACTAGATATTATTATTAGGAATGGATTTTCAGCTTTGCATGCGACCGGGCAAAAGAATGAGCATTAAGATATAGAACAGTGGGATGGCTAGTAATTTGGAAGGATGTACGAACATCAGTAAGTTTGAGAGAAAGGGGACCATGATGTTGGCGTATATTTATTTTATGCAAAGTCAAATATAGAATCATCATTGTATACTTTCAAACCAATTCTTTTCATATCAGGCCAAACAAAGAAGAGCTTCCCAGATATGGCAGACTTCAGAACTGCAACTGAAGACAAAATATCATCGACAGCTATTATATCCAGATCCCATGCACCATTAGAAGTATCCGAGTTGGCATTGTCAAGGAAACATTCAGGGATGCCGGACGTTGATACCGTTACGTTCTGATAGACTTGGCAAACGGCTAGAGCATGTGTTGCACCAGAGAAGTTGTGCTCAAAAATGAGCAACACCTTTACCAGCAATGGTACCCAACTGCGGCGAGCACCATTGACCAGGGCATGGTCTGACAGCTTCTTCTTTCTACTTGGTGGATCGAAAGTAGAGTCGATCGTGATGTTGTTGCCAAGTCGTAGTGAGGTAGCGCACTTGATCTGCGGTTTGACACGAGCAGTGTTGTAATATTTGCACAACATAGAAGTAATAGACGGTGACAGCTTGATGTCGCCCATATTCAATGATTTTGAGAAGGTGATGGCAGTATCCGTCGAACTGTCAAATGCAATTGTCCTTCTTTTTTCATAGCTGTTACATGCAATATCCAGCATGATATTTTCCGCTTGTTTTGCGACTTGACTACAGCCATGGATCCTCTTCTTGATCATTTGGATCCTTCTCTCCAAAACACGGCAACTGTACTGAGGCATGGGGCCTATCTTTCGAATCACCATCGTGATATGCTCCAAATAATGTTCGCTGATTGGAAAGAATTTTGCTGAGATGTGAAGACGAAGAAATTGGTGCCACTTGGTGACTAGTTCCTCCAATTTTTGTATCTCGCTCTCAGATATATCCTGCTGCAAGCATACTAAGCAAATCAGAGATATTGTACGTAGGGCTTCCTTGGCAGCTTCAGAGACAGTAGGATCCAAATGGCATAAATCAAGGTGGTCGATAAGAACTGTGGGCACAAAGTACTTCAGGAACACCAACCAATCTACTCCTCGAGCTGTCCCTCCCTTGCTGAAGACATCCATGAAATTGCCTTCGAAGATCAAAGGTGATGTGCTTGCAAGTTGGTTCAAGCAAATGCTGATCTTCTCTATTTGTCGCGGCTTCAAGCGAAGAATCGATTCCTTGTCCGTAACCATTTTCTTGATTCTTGGTCCCATGTTTTGTCCAAACAAATGAAATTCATCCAAGCCCACAAACGTTGGATCAATGAATGATGGCAGGTTTCGAAACAAAGAAGGCCTCTCGATACCAAGTTCTAGTGCACTGGATTTGTATTCTTCAATTGTTAGCAATCGTAGTGGTCGATCTTCATCATTAGCTGCTAGTTGAAAAGAAATAACACCATTTTTGCTGATGCCAATGATCGTACAAAAACGGCAGCCTTGAAGCGACGTATGGGATGCGAGGAAATTGAGTTCGCTGACGCTGGGGATATCACCAAAGGATCCCATGAGGTGAATTTTGAGCGAGATACTTGTTGAGTTGTTTCTCTGCACTTGTAGTCCATCACGAGCCAATTTTTCCAATTCGTTGACAAGGTATTGAAGGTAACTGTCTAATCTCTTGGTGTTTGGGTTAATGGCGAAATCAATCAGGAACTCCATTTTGTATCTATAGGCAGAAGGAAGGTTCAAGATTTGTAGCATGACCAAGTTCAACTTTGCACCGCCTTTTTTGTGTGATTGGAATCCATCTACGTACAGGGACAGACCAATGTCGTATCTGTTGTCGAATAGATGCTTGTTGTTCACTAAATTTTGCATTGTATCGCCCTTGAACCTTGCTCTGATGGATGAATCCTCGTCATCAAGCACTCTGATGAAGTTTGGATTTTCGAACAACGTGGCAAGTTGTGGACCGATTGGTAGCATCTTGATGGTTCTTCTGGGGCTACCATCAATATCGAATCTCTTTTCAAAGCACACTGGACATTCGTCCCCATCCTCTGGTTGAAAGGCATAGCAATACCTGATGCACACATCGACTGTATAAGGTGCAAAAGAAGTAGCCCTTTTCCTAGCAGAGCTGGCCTTGAATGTTGAGACTATAGGCGTTGCAACTTATCATAGTAGATGTTAGCGCTTTGAAACAACCAACTTTGTTATGGTTACTTACAAGGATACGTTTGGTTGTGCCATTGAACAAGCCTTCGGATGCTTGAGTTTGTCAAGCTCTCTTCCCTGAAGATCTTGTGGATTTCAGTATTTTTAGCATCCAGTGGTGGTAATGCCTCGCAACTGTCAGACATCTGATTGTCACTATAGTTAGCGCCGAGTCCATCAGAGTCTCCAAAGTCATATCCGCCATCGCTACCAGGTTCACCATCGCTGTTTTCTTGCTGACTATTTCTTTCAATGTAAGATCCAGCCTGAGTATCATGTTCAGTTCTTGCTTTCTTTCTTGACACTGATTAGTCTCCAGGTTGTGCAAGTCTACAGTTGTTGTGTCATTTGAAGAGTGCCAAAGTTTATGCTGTTTTTCATGTCTATTGCGAATTCTTCGACAACACTGGGCACAAAAAAATGGCATCGTAAATAATATTAGAAATGAAGGTTAAACACAAATCTGTCTGGATTGTCTTTTATGCTCCTTATATTGCATGCGTTTCAATCATACAGATTGAAACGCATCCAATATTGAACATAGAATACACTTTGATTGGTATTGAATAGCCATGTGAATATCTATAGTGAAATCTAATAGTTCACATTGCATGCGTTTCAATCTGCATGATTGAAACATCAATGTCTGTGATAGCGGGTGCTATTAATTATTGGAAACATTACTAGACCAGTTTTTCTCTGTCTTTCATAGATTGTTACGCATTTATCGCAATTGATACAACCATATCAAAGCACTGCTCTATTTTACACTTTACACTAATCACTTATTCAAAAATGGATCAAGCACAACAACTATTCTTACAAAGATTGGAGAACATTGAACAGGAGTTGTCCAATCTTAGCAAACAGGTCAAGGAATGTAATGACAACCAGACCGAAGTAAAAGCTATGCTGCAGCATATTGTTCAACAATCTACCTCTTCGAGCACGGCCAATGTTGCGAGACTAGATGGAGTGATATGCCGTCCAAGCAAAGCAGACAACAAACATCTGGAGGAGCTTTCTGTTGAGCTATGCATCAACGTCCTTGAGGAGCATTGATTAGGTGGGGAAAACCTTGATGGCAAGAAGGTCTGGGAGCTTGTCAAAGATGCAGCATACAACCAGGCAAAGAAAGCTGATAGGCAGTTCCCAAATATCACTTTTAGCAAGCTGGACAACAGGTTTCAAGCCTTGTTAATCAAGACCGTCATTAACGATGTAGCCAAAAAGGGCGTTGACATCTCTGGGCTCTTCAAAGATTGGTTGCCGCAGTTTGCTGTCTCCAAATCATTGTCTGGCATAATCGATTACAAATACAATGCCAGGCCAAGCAATGACACCGCAACTCACGAAACCCAATTCGATGATGATCTGGTATTTTCTGAGGGATGATCCCAAGCGCAATCCGAAGAAGATTCTGTCGACGATGACGAAAATTCGATTGTAGACAAGATCAATTTTCATGTTTCTCGAAATACTGGATCACAAAAGTAAATGCTGCATAGAGAAAAGTACTCTTTGATACTAATCGTAGTATTATAGAAGAATCAGCACGCAACATATGCCTCTAGTAGAACAAGTAATTAAGTTTTCATAGATATAGCGCAGTAACTCACATTTCTTTTCCATTTTATAATGTGCACTATCACTATAGCCAATGCTGCCATCTCCAGTATCAAACAAATCAAAGGCAAAGGAATATGAACAGCACAGAAGATATTCATCACCAGAAACGCAAGATTTGCAAAGACAGTAAGTTTCTCATCATCACCGGGAGTTAGCCATTTTATGCTGATATTCTCTCTATCTCTTATATTGTAGAAACATAAAGGTAATCGTAAGGCATTGATATCATAGATGGAGCTACTTATCTTTGTGTATTAGGGACCCAACAATAAGAGAGTGCGCAAGTCGTAAGGAATTCTGATCTCTATGCTTATTCTGATTAGGCTACGCTTTGTTGTTACTGCCCGTAATGTAATATCATCATGTTTCTCTGTAGTAGTAGCGCAATTATTATATGTCAAGAAATAAACAATGGTTTCTATTATAATAGCACTAAATGCTATTATATTTCTGATTTATTTTTTTATGAATATTTTGCAAACCACCCTAAACTGCATGAATTTTTCTGAATTTTCCAGAATGAATTTCTCTGAATTTCTCTGAATTTTTCTGAATTAAGTGAGCACTTTTCCGAATTTCTCTGAATGCCATTCAGAAATATTTCGACAAATTTTTCGTAAAGTGGTAGTTTTCCGAAAAATGGATTCAGAAATATTCAGCAATATTCAGATCTTTTTTAGTCACAGTGTTAGTAAGACGGATAGTAAGACGGATAGTAAGACGGATGAAATAAGACGGATAGTAAGACGGATAGTAAGACGGATAGTAAGACGGATAGTAAGACGGATAGTAAGACGGATAGTAAGACGGATAGTAAGACGGATAGTAAGACGGATAGTAAGACGGATAGTAAGACGGATGAAATAAGACGGATAGTAAGACGGATAGTAAGACGGATAGTAAGACGGATAGTAAGACGGATGAAATAAGACGGATAGTAAGACGGATGGTAAGACGGATAGTAAGACGGATGAAATAAGACGGATAGTAAGACGGATGGCAAGACGGATGAAATAAGACGGATAGTAAGACGGATAGTAAGACGGATAGTAAGACGGATAGTAAGACGGATGAAATAAGACGGATAGTAAGACGGATAGTAAGACGGATGGTAAGACGGATAGTAAGACGGATAGTAAGACGGATGAAATAAGACGGATAGTAAGACGGATGGCAAGACGGATGGTAAGACGGATGGCAAGACGGATGGTAAGACGGATAGTAAGACGGATGAAATAAGACGGATGGTAAGACGGATGAAATAAGACGGATAGTAAGACGGATGAAATAAGACGGATAGTAAGACGGATGGTAAGACGGATGAAATAAGACGGATAGTAAGACGGATGAAATAAGACGGATAGTAAGACGGATAGTAAGACGGATAGTAAGACGGATGAAATAAGACGGATAGTAAGACGGATAGTAAGACGGATAGTAAGACGGATGAAATAAGACGGATAGTAAGACGGATGGTAAGACGGATAGTAAGACGGATGAAATAAGACGGATAGTAAGACGGATAGTAAGACGGATAGTAAGACGGATGAAATAAGACGGATAGTAAGACGGATAGTAAGACGGATAGTAAGACGGATGAAATAAGACGGATAGTAAGACGGATAGTAAGACGGATGGTAAGACGGATAGTAAGACGGATGACATGGCAAATTATAGACCTATCTCCTTCTGCAACACTGACTACAAACTCTTGACACGTTTGCTTAATCATCGAATGATGGAAGTCGCTAAGCAACTGATCAACGAGAACCAAGCGGGCTTCGTACCTGGGCGGTTCATTGCCCAAAACGCTCTGCGGTGTCAGGTCATAATGGAAGATGCTGAACGAACCATGAACTTGGCCAAGAAGAACAATGTGATACACCAAATGCCCAAAGTAATTGACCTTAGTCTTGATCAGGAAAAAGCGTACGATCGAGTTAACCTCTCGTACCTTCAAACTGCACTCATTACTTACGGCTTCCCTGCTAATCTTGTCCGCTGCATCATCAACATGATGGGCCAAAATCTCTTGCGCATCAATGTGAATGGTTACTTTACCGAAGATGTTCCCAAGCTGCGAGGCTTAAAGCAAGGTGACCCCATTTCCTCTATTTTGTACAATTTGGCTATTGAACCCTTTCTGCGGTCTATTCTCAATGATCCATTATACCACGGCTATCAAATGCAGTATGCAACTGACTATCCCAACTATAATGCTAATGACCCTTTAGTTCATGTGTCAAAAATCCTATGTTACGCTGACGATGCTTTTGTATTTGTTCAAGACCTTCCTGATCTGGCAAGACTCGAGTACCACTTAGATGTCTATTGCAATGCAACCAATGCCAAGATTAACTACAACAAGGTCGAAGCTATCTCGCTCTCTGGTCAAAACACATGGTCATATTGGCAAGCACGACTCTCAGAAATGAATATCACAAAATTCACATCCAACAAGGATTCCAATCCAGTGATCTATCTCGGGTTTCCTCTGCTGCAATCGGTTCAACAACGTGAAGTATTTATCGGTGGTCTTGTCGACAATCTCCGGACAGCTACCAAAATCCACAGTGTAAGAAGTCTCTCCGTCGTTGGCAAAGCTACAGTGCTCAACAGTTTGATTTTGTCCAAATGCTGGTATGTACTACGAGTAACTCCGTTTGCTCAAAGTAATGTTCAAGCTATTCAGTCCATTTGCACCAAGTTTCTACGAAAAGGCATCTTTCCTGTTATCCCCTGGGCCACATGGACCAAGCCGAAGCCATTAGGTGGATTAGGTGTTCTGGATGTTGCTCTGCAACAATCAGCCCTATACTTTCGTTGGGTTCAACCGCTCCTCCATCCCTCTGACTCGCCCCACATCCTAGATCTCATGCTGGTCATGCTAGTGAATAAGCAAAATCAGAGTGCGCATGTGCAGGTTCCGTTGCTCTTTCCCCTCACACGAGCCACTGGTCTCACTAAACAACGCACCAACACGGTAACAATGATCTACAAATCAGTTGACCGCCTCAAACGCATCAATGAACCAGTTCACCTCAATATTGCTACCGTCTCAATCCTACCTGTCAAAGCCATTCTGCAGCCGTCTGCCACTGTCTCCAAAATGCCGATTAGGGCCACTCAGTTGCAAGTAAAGGATCTCTATCAACCCAATCCTGACCAACCTCTGCAACTAGAAGCACGAAAAGCACCAACCATCCCAGCTGACATTCGACGCGCTTGCAAGAAAATCCTGAAGCAAATCAACGAGAACAAAGTACATATCCAACCGTACTTTCACCTCATGCTACAACCCCCTCAGGATGGCACCAATCGCACAACCGACATCTCCTTTAAGCCGTTCATTGACTCCTATGACTTCAACAGCCAGCAAGGACTCACACGACAGATTTCAACCAGAACATTCCGCACAGCATGCATCGAGGCTCACACCTTCAGCATCGCCAGGTCCAACTGGAATTTCTTCTGGTCTCTGTCCCTGAACCTTGTCCACCGTAATGTCATCTATCGCTTCCTCACCCACACCATCCCGACCAAACGCCTGCTACACTACTTTGAGATAGCTGAGTCACCTCTCTGCCCGATCTGTGGTAACGAAGAAAATGTTGTACACTTGCTTTTCCTCTGTTCCAGTAAGGTATCCATCTGGAAAGCTATCATCTTTGAATTCCTGTGGCCAACCGTTTCGATTGGTGATGTTATCCAAGCCTGTTCCTCTCTTGACTTTGTAAACATCAAATATGTCTCCAAATCGTACACCACTGCTCACACGGTCGTACTGGTAACACTTGGCAACATTTGGCGAGCTCAAGTTCGTATGATCTTTCATTCGACTCCATTTATATGGATCGATGTGGTCCAGCAGATCAAGAACGAGCTTCTTCAACTAGATGCCCAAACTGAAATTCACAAACAATTGTAATTCTCTAATCACAATTGTCATCTATCATCTGTTCCTGTCATCTATCGCTTTATCCTAAATATAACTGAATCTCATATCAATTGCGCCCGCCTCTTGGTAGTGCCCTAGAGACCTACTTACACGGAGCAATCAATAAAAACAATTAAAAAAAAAAAAAAAAGTAAGACGGATAGTAAGACGGATGGCAAGACGGATAGTAAGACGGATAGTAAGACGGATGAAATAAGACGGTTGAAATAAGACGGATAGTAAGACGGATAGTAAGACGGATGAAATAAGACGGATAGTAAGACGGATAGTAAGACGGATGAAATAAGACGGATAGTAAGACGGATAGTAAGACGGATAGTAAGACGGATAGTAAGACGGATGAAATAAGACGGATAGTAAGACGGATAGTAAGACGGATGGTAAGACGGATAGTAAGACGGATAGTAAGACGGATGAAATAAGACGGTTAGTAAGACGGATAGTAAGACGGATGGTAAGACGGATAGTAAGACGGATAGTAAGACGGATGAAATAAGACGGTTAGTAAGACGGATAGTAAGACGGATGGCAAGACGGATGGTAAGACGGATGGCAAGACGGATGGTAAGACGGATAGTAAGACGGATGAAATAAGACGGATGGTAAGACGGATGAAATAAGAGGGATGGTAAGACGGATGAAATAAGACGGATAGTAAGACGGATGAAATAAGACGGATAGTAAGACGGATGAAATAAGACGGATAGTAAGACGGATAATAAGACGGATAGTAAGACGGATGAAATAAGACGGATAGTAAGACGGATAGTAAGACGGATGAAATAAGACGGTTGAAATAAGACGGATAGTAAGACGGATGGCAAGACGGATAGTAAGACGGATAGTAAGACGGATGAAATAAGACGGATAGTAAGACGGATGGTAAGACGGATGGTAAGACGGATGGCAAGACGGATGGTAAGACGGATAGTAAGACGGATGAAATAAGACGGATGGTAAGACGGATGAAATAAGACGGATGGTAAGACGGATGAAATAAGACGGATAGTAAGACGGATAGTAAGACGGATGAAATAAGACGGATAGTAAGACGGATAGTAAGACGGATAGTAAGACGGATGAAATAAGACGGATAGTAAGACGGATGAAATAAGACGGATGGTAAGACGGATGAAATAAGACGGATAGTAAGACGGATGAAATAAGACGGATGGTAAGACGGATGAAATAAGACGGATAGTAAGACGGATGGCAAGACGGATAGTAAGACGGATAGTAAGACGGATGAAATAAGACGGATAGTAAGACGGATGGTAAGACGGATAGTAAGACGGATGAAATAAGACGGATGGTAAGACGGATGAAATAAGACGGATGGTAAGACGGATGAAATAAGACGGATAGTAAGACGGATAGTAAGACGGATGAAATAAGACGGATAGTAAGACGGATAGTAAGACGGATGGTAAGACGGATAGTAAGACGGATAGTAAGACGGATAGTAAGACGGATGAAATAAGACGGATAGTAAGACGGATGGCAAGACGGATGGTAAGACGGATGGTAAGACGGATGAAATAAGACGGATAGTAAGACGGATAGTAAGACGGATGAAATAAGACGGATGAAATAAGACGGATGGTAAGACGGATAGTAAGACGGATGGCAAGACGGATAGTAAGACGGATGGCAAGACGGATGGTAAGACGGATAGTAAGAAGGATGGTAAGACTGAATGTTGAACACAATCTTGAAGATGCTGAAGAGGAACTTCTTCACAAGACTCAATTATTCTACTAATCAGAGTTTCTGTGTCTTTCAATGCATGCCGTTTAACGTTTGATTTAACAATAGCCCAAGGATCTTCAATAGGATTGAGCTCAGGCGAATAAGGGGAAGTTAAACCGGAACATAACCGCGTTTTGCGATTAATGGATCAATCAAAGCAGGAACATGTATAGGAGCGTTGTCCATAACAATATGATACCGTTGCATATCTGGAAATGTGTCCGTAATATCCATTGTGTCAACAATGAAGTACATATAGTGAGCACCAGTAGTTCCGTTAGGCACTGACACTTTATCACCCAGTGCCTTACGCTTAGTCGCTCCGACTACCTTTTGTATTGTTCATGAATAAAGGGACCACTATAATATGTAGGAAGAAGAAAAACTGACGTTTATTGATGTGGATGCTTGGATCTTTATACCATTGATATGGTGTTACACAACACTTTCTTCTCTCTACGTTGCCCGGTTCTCTCATGGACATATTTACTACGCCTGCGGAAGAGATAGCTCCCAATACTGTGAGATACAGCTCTCTCTGAGGGCATTTCTACGACAGTAGGCTTACCAACAGCTGACCAAGCTCTTCCACGGGTCATGTTTATGTCGAATCCTGACTCATCTAAAAACACACAGTTTTGAGGGTAAATCATCCCCTTCTCTAGCCACTCCTTCACCCAAACAGCCCGTTTTTCGATGACAGCAGGACTATTTCTTTTTATCGGATGTCTAGAGATTACTTTGATGGAGAGATTGCATTCATCTCTCATGAACTCGGCTATCCTTTTTTTTTTTTTTTTTTTTTTTTTTTTAATTTGAAGATCTGCGAAGCTTTGTGTCAGGCTGTTGACAGCATCTTCAATAGTTGCTCTTTTGTTCTCATAAAAAAAAAACTGGTCAAGTGATCTTTGTGTCTGTCGTCTAATTGACTCACAGGGCGAGAAGAAACGAGGTTCGCTAACTTGTGAGGCATATATTCGTCAGGATTTTGTAGATACTTCTGCTTCCATTTTCGTGCAGTATGCTGATTGACGTTGGCAGCCTCCGCAGCTTTCTTATGTTTCATGCCCTTTTGAAAAACGAAATAGAGATACAGTAGCCGATCCTTTTCTGTATATACATTGTACTCGTTTTCCCTTTCTTTTTTGGCTGCTGCTTCTTTCATGTCAACATCAGCCTCTTCGATTGAGTGCAATTCCGAATAAGTGTTGTTTTTGACAAGCTTTTTGAGATCAGTTAATTTTTTTGAGACGAAAGGAAGGGTCTTCGTCATACGCTGGTTGCGTTATTGCCCTTATCGTCAAATATACTTCATCTTCCATCTTCGCAATAAAAGGCTATGTTAGAATCCATATTCGTTAAAAAAACAACATAAAGAGTTGCGATAAGACAGTTAATACGATAAATTTATTAGGTGACCAATTGAGGCTAAAAAAAAAAAAAAAAAAAAAAAAAAAAAAAAAAAAAGTGGCCAATTGATGGTGGAAATACAGTACAAACACAAAGTTCCCAATAAGGTAATCCACGTATTATTAGAGTTGCTTAATAGCGGGTTTATGATTTAACCGAGGATGGAAGGTATAATCAGCGCAACCATAGGTGAGACGGATATGGAAGCTGTGCCTGAGACCCCTCGTATAATTGAATGTGCGTAACAATGCTGCGCTTGATTCCAGCATCTACCGCTTCAAAGAACAATTGAATGTCGTTTAGCATGGTCGAGATGTTGACAGGGTAAACATTGAACGGAGACTTACATGTAAATGTAAGTTTATTTTCCTTGGGAAACAAGCTGATTAATTGAAATGCATTTATGCCTTTGCACAAATATGGTCGTGATCACCTTTGTCAAAACTTGGCTCCAAATGGTAGTATACGCTCCACAGGCAACTCCGGTATAAATTGCTCACTGCACAATGGTAAGTTTCAGAGCCTTTGTTCATCTCCCTCTGAAAAAAAAAAAGCTTTTTTCACCTCTTTTTATTTATACAACACAATCATGTCTGCTGCCTCTTCTTCTTCGAGCGAACCACCACAACCACCACAGAGTCGATTTTCATTCCAACATTTCGACCAAGAATGTGATTTCGGTGTAGAAAATGCAAATGGCGAGAGAGTTAGAAAAAGAAAGAAGCCTGGAAGAAAGCCTAACCCACCTACGATTCAAGAGAGAAGAGCTCAAAACAGAGCTGCTCAGAAAGCATTTCGGGAGCGAGAACAGCAAAGAAGAGAAGAGAAAGAAAAGCAGTGGAGAGATTACAGCGAGGAAATCAAGAGCCTGAAGAAGCAATTAGCATCTGTTCAGTACGAAGCGAAATACTTGAAAGCATGTGTGCTTCATTTGACCTTGGCATGTCTCATTCATCGCGGATCGGTTCCCCACATTTGGACTGAATCTCGCATCATCCCCAGCAACAGCCATGGTGAATACAAAAAGCCAGTGTATGAGCCTTATGGACAACACATTGTGAATGAAGCCTATCAGACACCTGCACTTCTGGATATGATTCTCGAAAATCAATGTATTGTGGATTTTAACAAGGCTCTTTTCAATACATCGCAACTCAATGCCTTTGAAAATCAAAAGAAGAAGACAGACAACAACAACAGCACGGATGTCAGCTCAACATCGTATCAAAGTTACGTATCTCAAGACATCATTACTATCAACAAGAATTCCCAGGAACCTAAAAAGAGCTTCCCTAGAGCCAAAAAGCAGAAATTTAACCCAAACCGATCGCCATCGCCATTGGAACCACCAGCAGCAACGCCTCAAACATCACTGCCATCACCACCTACAAAACACGCAAGACGGGATAGATATTTTTCATCACCGACTTTTTCAGCAATGGATGAGCATGCAAGTTCATCACCTACCAATAGTACAGCGAACGAGGAAAGCAACAGCATTTCCTCACAAAGCAATCAAGTATTGGCGGTCAATCGTAAGCCTGTGGTAGGCGTATTGCTTGAACCACCTGTGCTTAGAACTTCTGAGGATATCATCAATATGCCAACATTGCAAGCTCTACACATTTTGCGACTTCAATTGAAACTTGGCAGTATTCTTGGCAGTATGACACCAGCTGCTTTATTACCGAGTAAGTTAATTCATGTGTGTGTGTGTGTGTGTGTGTGTGTGTGTGTGTGTGTGCACAAAAATCGAAGCGGCACTCATTCTGTAAAATCTATACAGCTGCATTACAAAGAGTGATTCCTCATGATATTCGCATCGACTATGTGCCAGGAGCCTCCATCAGAGACCGAATGATTATATTCCAGGACTACTACAATATGGACGATTGCTTTCAATTTCTAACACAAAATACTGTATTTATGGGCGGCGATGTGCGAGATACCAGAAATTGGGTGATTGATCCAGAATACTCGCTGAAATTTTGGTTTTTATCTCATCAATTGGTGGATCAAAGCTATAATGAGTGCCTTGACATTACTACAAGCGGTATACTGCATGAGGAATTGTGCAAGGACGATGATTCTTCAAGCGAAGCGGAAGACATGGAGGCGATCATCACCTCATCAACCACAATGGATCCTACAGCCAGGGAAACTTATCAACAAACCGCAAATATACCTATAATGAGTAATGGCAACAACGCAATTGATCCCAAGCAGCATCAAAATGTGTATTTTCGAGAAATGTAATATCTTTCACCATTATGAATAAAAAAAAAAAAAAAGCAGGTTCAATCAGAATACTTGGGTAGTACTATGTAGTCAAATGTCGATGGCTACGTAGACTCCTACTACATTTGCTCTTACACATGAAGAAAAATTCATCCAGCATATGTTGAGCATGCACTCCGTTGGGAGAGAGATGTTCAATCTATACCAGAGGCCATTATGCTACATAGCAGTACTCCCGACCTGAGTGAATCATGACGGCTTTTGCACTTATATTGTACACATCTCTTTCAGAACTGACCACAGATTTTATATACTCTTTTGCCATTTTGCAACCTAACAACCACCACCATCATCAACACACAAAAGCCAACATGAAGCGAACGGTATCACGAAGAGAGGCTGACAAAAGACGCAGCAGAGAAGACGAAGCCGTTGATACACCACATCTAGCCAAACCAGAGAACCAAGTCGTCCAGAACCCTGCGCCTTCTGAAAGGCTTGCCTTGATTGACAAACTTCAAGAAGAAGTGGACGAAACAACCAGAATTAGTGAACTCAGTGAAAAGCTGTCAGCGTATCTACGACATTTGGCAAAGTCGATTGAAACGGCATCAGAGAGTGCAGAAGCAGCTGAACATACAATGCAAAATTGGGAGAGAACATTCTCCATCATGGGAGAGATGAACAAGGGCCGAGAAAAAGAAAGCCAAACATGGGTCAGACTCAAGGATACGGATAACGGACGGTAATCAAGATGACATGATATACCAACGCTTGTGGATGTTGATCATCTCCCACTACACATATTCACTTTAAAAATCAAGGTGCGCGACATGATGCGTATGCTGGACCGGTGAACACACTAAATTATATATAATGTATCTAACACCATGTAAATAAAAATAAAAAATAGAAGTGCATTTTGCTCGTTATCATTGAGCGAGATCCAAGTGATGTGATGAAAGGGCCATAGATGCCATACCATAAGCTAATGTAAGCAAATGGATGGCATCGCACACACACACAACTACAAAAAGGGCTTTTGAAACTCAAAATTTTCATGTTTTTCTTTTTCGTTTCTTTTCCTTTACCATCATTTGAAAGAAGAGAAACATGAGTGAACGTAGCTCGTCGTCTGCTTTGAGGTCGCCTTCACCTCGTTCACCAAGACGCGGAAGATCCTATTCACCACGTTCAACTAGAAGTTCAAGCTCTCGTTCCTATTCCCGCTCACGCTCTCGCTCCAGATCTTATTCACGTCGTCGTAGGTCTCGTTCTCGTTCTCGCTCTCCATACGGCAGGAGCACAAGCAGGAGTTACCACCATTACTATTCGAGATCGCCACCACCGCATCATCACTCCCACCATCATAGACGCTCTCCACCACCGCCCCCCCGTGGCGGTAGATACAGGTCAAGATCTCCTCCACCTCCCCCTTTGAGACGCAGACCTGTCAACAAAGACTGCAGAGTGTATGTCAGTAACTTGCCATTCGAAGTGACCTGGCATCAATTGAAGGACTTTATGAGAGAAGGTAATGTCTCTGTCATCGGATGGAATGCCACTGGGTCTAAATCCATTCTCTTTATAGCGGGCCAAGTAGCGCATGTTGATGTTTTGAAAATGGCAAATGGCAGATCGAAAGGCTGTGGGTAAGTGGAGCTGTGGCGAGTAGATGATTCAGGCCCTGATATGTTGTACAACAGCGTAGTGGAATATCGGTATCCTGAAGATGCAAAACGAGCAATTCACACAATGAACAAGGCAGAATTTATGGGCAGACCTGTGTTTGTGAGAGAGGTATGGCGGCTAGTTTTTTATTTCATGCCAAGTGTAATGACAGATGCTTGTTTTTTTTTTTTTTTTTTTTTTTTTTTTTTTTTTTTTTTTTTTTTGCATGATTAGGATCGTGAATATGAACATTCAGGGCCACCTAAAGACCCCCGCGAAGCACCTGATGATTGTAGACTCCATGTCAGCAATGTGAGTGTTGTTGTTGGTATTGACGTGATAATTCATGCAAATTACTAACATGGTTTTGTCATTTAGTTGCCTTTAAACGCAAGCTGGCAGGATATGAAGGATTTGTTTAGAAAGGCAGGCCGAGTGTTACATACGGATATTCATACGGATCCAGGCTCTCGAAGACCCAATGGTCATGGCACCGTTATTTTTGATGATGCAAGATTTGCTCGTATTGCAATTGGTATGTGTCTTGATGAGCAGAGTGAAGGTGTAAGCTTATTGTAGTATATGTAGAAATCTTGAATGGATACGAATGGCAGGGTCACAGATTGGAAGTGAGGGAAGGCAGATATGAAGATAGACTTGCTTCCACGACAACAAGCAATCCTAGACCTCTACCTCAAGCCAGTAGTAGTAGTAGTAGTAGTAGTAGTAGTAGACCACCACCTCCCATTACACGACAAGTGAATTTGGAACCAATGAGTAGCAGAGAACCATTATACAGAGCACCACCACCACCACCACTGCCCATGGTAGATGGCGGTCTTCACTACAATCAGGATCCCTCCACGCCTTCCACTACAATGACATCTACTATCTCACCACCACCACCACCTCCTCCTCCTATATCTGCCATGTCACTACAACACCACCCACAATTACCACCTCCACCGCAGCCCCTCGTAGACACAATTCCACCACCATACCAAAATGCGTATAGATATGGAGATGCAGCAACAACTACAACTGCAGCAGTAATAGCGCCACCACCACCTCCACCACCACCCATGTATTCTTCCATGAGTCTAGTGGGCGGCCCTGCTGCTCATTTACCAACGCATGGCCATAACCAAATTTTCGTAAATAACGTAAGTAGATATTGATGTGATTGTACGGTGTCGTTGCAATGTATTGATTTTCTCTCAGTTGCCGTTCTCCACCACCTGGCAGGATTTGATAGATTTGTTTAGACATGTAGGACCCGTGATTCGATCCGAAATTGTGGCAGTAAACGGACATCCCAAAGGGTCAGGTTTTGTTCGATTTGACGATGCGGTGACATGCGAGAAAGCGATAGGTAAAGTAATTGAACATCCCCTCAGACTTGGCTATGTGTATATTGATCCTCACTATGACAGAGAAATTTCATGGCTACATGTACGGTGGACGTCATTTGGATATTCGACTCGACAAATACTCAACTACCATCTAAAAAAAATCATCAAAAAATAAATGCGATCCAGTGTTTCGTGTAGAGATTGTGTTTATTGAATGCGTAGAATGGCAGTGATATGATCTATAGAGATGAGAGCGAGGAATATTATACATCGGTTGGCAGAGGAATGGGTTCATGGATCTAGTAGTGGCGACATGTCAGCTAACCCATCAGACGGCAGTTTTCAGCCTACTTACAGCCTTTGATATGTCTATCCATTTGTCGAGGGCACTGATGCGTGGATCTTGGGCATTCGGTGCTGTATCCTTCTTCCACAGTATGAACTCTTGAATGGATTTATCCGTCCTTGTCCAAGAAGGCATCTTTTCTTGCGCTTCTTCGTCATCTGTCTCTTCCATCTCTTCATCCTCCTCATCTTGGTATCTGTCAGAGGACATCTTTTCATAGACTAGGCCTATAGAGATCTATCAGCAACTGTGATCCCATCAGCAGAAAGACACGCCTTACATTGTGTCTTGTCATTCAAAGCAACTGAACGGCCCACTAACTTTCTGCCCATCATGATGGTTTCGTACTGCTCATCTGCTTCATTCTTTTCGTACTTAAAGTACTGCTTGGTGTTGATGGTTCCTTCTTTATCCACAGAAAAGGGGAGCAAATGTGCCTTGATGTCAGCCATTTTTACTATACAAATCAGATAAAACACGTATGGCGCGGGTAGTTGGTGTTCTTTTTTCGATGAAAACCTGGATTCCAATGTGACGGTAGAACACAGTTTTTGGGACAAACAGGATGCGGACTTGATGGTAATGGAGAGTCTATTTTGCGGAAATCCATCCCGGGACGCTTGAACCTCACACAAAAAGGAAGCAAATTCCAATATTAAAAAAAAAAAAAAAAAGTGAGACTCTCAACCCCAAACTCCCTTTTTGTTCATGTATTTGAACCAACTTATTCTTTTCTTATTCCAACCAAGAAACACCACAGCAAACCGATCATATTGAATGCAATGGAAGAAGGTACATACAATGCTTCACCGTCTAGCACACATACGCATACATATTGACACAATTCATGCATCGCTGTAGAGGAAATATGCAGAGTGTGTCGAGGTGAAGGCACAGTGGAAGAACCCTTATACTACCCGTGCAAATGCTCGGGCAGCATTCGCTTTGTTCACCAGGAATGGTATGTATCACACTGTATAGTCATGGACATGCTCATCTCATTCACACGTTCATGCAGTTTAATGGATTGGCTATCACACAGCAAGAAAAAGTAAGGCACCCTTTTATATCACAGTCTAGCCAGCAGCACTCATATCAATGTATCGCCTAGATATTGCGAGCTATGCAACTACTACTACAAGTTCACACCCATTTACAAGAACGACATGCCAGCATCTATACCCAAGAGAATCTTTATAGGCCATTTTAAGAGCATGCTGTGTGTGGTGACCAAATGGACGCTGCGCGCATCTCTGGTTGCCTTTATCTGGCTGGGTGTAGTGCCATATTTCGCAGTGTGGATCTGGAGGTTCTACTTTTGGAATACTGATGCTACCAGCTATTTGTTTAGCAAGTTGTTTTCTCCATCAATACTGCAAAATACCACCTTGTCGACCAGCAGCCACCAGAGTCGAGAGCAGGAGAATGTATGGAAAAACGTCATGTTGGATTGCTTGCAGGGATGGCTGATTTCGACTGTGGTTACCACTGTATTCATCGCTGGATTTCTCTTGAGAGAATGGGTGCTTCAAAACGTGCCTACAGAACTACATGAAATGGACGAGGAGGAAGAACAAGCAGAAGAAGAGGCAGTGGTGGAACCGATAGATAGACCAGAATTACCAGAAGCAGCAGTTGTTCCAGAAGAAGTGCTACTACAACAACAGGAACATGTGCCGAGAGTACGCAGAGGCAGAATCAACAATGCGAGGCGGCCACCCTTGGTTCAAGAGCCTTCCGACTATGAGAATTTGGAAGCCATGTGGTTGATGGATGAAGCTCAAGCATCACCGCCATTACACAGGCGAGGAAACAGAGCAGGAAGAGATCCATTTGATTTAGACCAAGATTCGGAACAAGACGACGACGGTGGTGAAGACGATGATGGCTATTTTGATGAATCAGAGGAAGATGAGCCAGTGCATCCTGAAAGAGTGCGTGAAATATTGGATACCATCCAAAGACATCAGCAACAACAACAGCAACAAGAGCAACAGCAACAACAACAGCAACAAGAGCAAGCCAATATACCCAACGATCAAGTAGTAATGGATGCAGTGGACGTTCATGTGGCTCCTGTAGATGGCAATGTACATCAAAATCAAGCAAATGGAGTAGCTGGAGGACCTGAAGATATAGACGGTCTTTTGGAGATCATTGGCATGAAGGGAAGCATTTACATGCTGTTTCAAAACTCTGGGCTCATGACACTGTTGATGAGTCTCTGTCTGGGTGCCGGTGTATGGGTTCCTTACACCATGGGGGTAGTTTTTATCACAGTAAGTGCATTCTGTACTACTTGGTAGATTCATGGCTAACTCATCATTTAGATACGTCCCTGGGAAGGTGTGCTCTTACTGACTGATCTCGTGCGTAGCCTGTCAGATCCCATTTTGGATGGCATGTATGATCTCTGGCTGGACTTTTACACTCAGTTGGGCCCTGTAGCGCAATGGATACCATCATGGACACCTACTGTGATCAAGTCTATTATGCTCACTGCTATACAAATTGGACAAACACTGATCACCTTCTTTTCAACCGGCATGTCGCATACAAATGTTCCTATTGCGTCCAACGACAACATGTTACTAATGGATCCAGCAACCGTGCAGTCGTACAGTGTGTCATTATGGTATGATATCATCTCTTTCTGGAACTACATCAAGCCCTTGTATCAATCCTCGTTTGCCTACTTTGTCCAGATGCCCACAGGTGATACAGCCATGGATCGAGCAGGCTGTATCGCTACTGGCTACATTGTCCTTGTTGTCATTGGCTCCATGTACCTGTCCAAAACTCGTAGCATGTATGCCCGCATTGGCCGTACAGCAAGCCGTCAAATCATTCGTCAGCTTGGTATCCTGCTCAAGGTAGCCTTTTTTGTTTTTATGGAGCTTACGGTGTTTCCTCTGGGATGCGGTCTCTTGCTGGATTGTGTAGCACTTTCGTTATTCTACAAGATTGGCGGAGGAGGAGGAGCTGCTGGCCATCTGTTGGCTATCCACAAACGTATGACATTTCTCAAGGAAAACGTAGCAAGCTCCATCTTTATGCACTGGGTGATAGGCACAGGGTTCATGTTCCTGTTCACTACCATGGTTACATTTTGCCGTGACATTGTAAGACCTGGCGTTATTTGGTTCATTCGAGACCCCAATGACCCTCAGTTCAGCCCTATCAAAGAGTTGGTGAAACGGCCAGTGTTTGCACAGTTACAAAAGATATGCCTAAGTGCTCTCATCTATGGCTTTGTCATCGAATTCGGTGTAGGTGGCCTGGTCGCTGCGATCGGTGCCATATTTGACGGTATCTTACCACTGAAATGGAGTTATACGTAAGTTACATTCTGTGGACTCTACTTTCTTCTTTACTCATTCAATATGGCATTACAGACAACCTCTGACTACCATTCCAATTGACTTGCTTGTCGTCATGCTGGTGGTGCCTGCCATGGTTGACTATTTCGACCCAAAACAAGCACTGGAGAAAACAATGACTCGATTGACTACATGGCTGTGCCACCAGCTCCGTCTGACATCTTTTCTATTGGGTGGAAGGCCAATTAACGAGGAGGGTTACATTTATTACAAAACCTGGAGGGCCTGGATTCAACGCCCCGAGTTGAAGATTGCTACGCTCTACCATCAAGATGCTGCTGATGACAGTAACAACGACAACAACGATGATGCTGATTTGACCACATTCATCAGAAATGGAATACTTGTCCGTGCGCCGAAACATGATGGTGCCCGATACGTCCCTGGACGTCGCATGCTGGTTCCCGTTGACCCGATCACATTAGAAGCGCTAGATCCAACTGAAAGAAGTTTAGGCCATCCTGCAGTCGCTGCAGTAGGAACAGATTCCGATCAACAACAACAACCCCAAGATGAAGAAGAGCATACAACCATTGTGTATTTACCACCTCAATTCAAGTTACGCATGGCCATCTTCATGTCTGTCATGTGGATCTCATGGAGCGCACTTTTGTGCTATGTGTTTGTGGGCCCAATTGCTGTTGGTAGATGGCTGTTTGAATATGTGGGTATTGTCGCTGAACCTGGAAAGAAGATTCATGATATTTACGCTTACTTTATCGGTGGATCTGCTATGATCTTGGTCGGAGTCTTGGTCAAAAGGGTCAAATCGAGCGTTTCAAATTTCTCGACATTTGACATGAGCCATGTCCTCAAAATGATCAGTTGGGTAGGTATAGTCAATCGGAAGCACACATTGTTATTAAACCATCCCATTAGGTATTTAATTTTACAGTAATTAGTATTTCATTTGGCTTGATCATCCCTCTCATTTTGGGTCTCATGCTGCAATTCTACTTGATTATACCATGTCAGCATTGGGGTTCCAGGGCGCCAGTCATCGATGTGTTTTCTATTTATACAAACGGCCTCGTCTGTTTGACACTAGCACACGGCATCGTATCTGTATTACCGAATCAAACACTTACACAATCGCTCAACAGGGTAAGAATTGACTTTTTGAAAAAGCAAATAGACATCCATTTTTTTTAAAAAAAAAAAAAATTCTTCCATTAGCTCAAGGCAAATGGCATCCGTCGCTTTGACTTGAGTAGGGAAATGAAGGATGTCATTGGCCCCATAGTGCTCAATGGCTTGAAAGCGATTTTGCTTCCATTTTCCATTGCCCTGGTTCAAAACTGTCTTGGTAAGTAAATGACATGGCATTTTAGAAAAAAAAAAAAAAAAAAAATGACAAACCATCTTGTCTCTCTTTCATTAGATCATGATATGACAAACCAAGTTAGATTTCTTCAAATGATATATCCAACTGTACTTATTGGCTTGGTTTTGTATTACTTTAGTAACGCATTTACCAAGTTCGGACAACGATGGAGTCAATCGGTTCGGGAAGACCATTACTTGGTTGGCAGAGTGCTACACAATAATGAGGATCCTGCAGCTTCTACTACCACACCAGGTCCTTCTTGATTGCAATCATTTGCATCTCCTTCTTTTGTACATATTAAAATTGATTTGTTTTTGTAATTGCAATAAATTTGAGACTTGGCCTCATGGATAGCAAAGAGATGTCTTTGCTTTCCATTGGGTATTATCTTGACATGTTTGACAAAAAGAGGCTCTGTTTTTCTAATTGAAGTTTTCCCAAGTCAAGCTCGACTGTTATTCTAACATGCTGTAATTTCCAAAAGTTTGTCTTTGTAGCGAAATTGAAAGAACTGAGTTGAAGAATATCCAATAATGCATGAGGTCCCATCAAATTTCTTCTTTATATAGTACGACATTGGGTCATCGCAATATACGTAAATGGGGGGTCCTGTATAAATGCTCTGTTTCATACTCCTCAAAGATGTGGACCTCAATGTTTCACCATAATCATGTCCCCCTCTTGCCAGTTACTGTACCTTGCACACAATCATGATAGGAGTTCAATGTTGACACCCATCGATAAAGAACGAGACCATCTACCACGCGAGCGGGAATAAGGTTTTGATTTTCTTATAAAAGGAAGACATCTTTGATCTGCAATTTGATTTTTCCTCATTCAATTCATTGCATTCCTCTTTATATACACACATCAAACATGTCTTCTACTACTACTTCCACCCGCATTGTTCTCTTCCTTGCTGTTGCATTGATTGCCTGCATGTGTTTAGTTTCTGCTGCTCCTGTTACCAGAGATCTTGAATTGCAAGCTGGTGCTTCTCGTCGTATCAACATCTTCAAGAAGCATGATGATGAAGAAGATCAACAGGTTGATGAAGAATCCACTACTACTACTACTACTACTACTACCACTACCACTTCCACCAAGACCAAGCAACCCAAGACCAAGACTTCCACCACCACTACCGCCACTGCTACTGCTACTATCAAGAAGAGCAAGTCATCCTCCTCTTCCTCTGGTGATTACTCTGGTGATGCCACTTACTACAACACTGGTCTCGGATCTTGTGGTTGGGAAAGCGCCGAATCTGAAATGATTGTTGCTCTTAACCATGGTCAAATGGAAAATGGTGCCAACTCCAACAAGAACCCCAACTGTGGTCGTCATATCACTGCTACTGGTCCCAAGGGTTCTGTCACTGTCAAGGTTGTTGATACATGTCCTGGCTGTGCCAATGGTGATTTGGATTTGAGTCCTGCTGCTTTTGCCAAGATTGCTGATATGGATGCTGGCCGTGTTCCCGTTACCTGGTCTTGGGCTTAATTGACCTCAATTCGTTGTATATTCACGCCTATTCTCTCTTTTCTCTGGTAGACTAGAAGAGATTTAATTGTCTCAGCTTGATGTTGTGATAATTTCATCAATTCAATTCAATTATACATAGTTTTCTCTATTCGACATTTGATCTCTTTTTGATAAAGAGTGGACTGGTTCCAATATCTCTATAATAAAAAACAGACTTTGCCATATCTTTTGAAAAGATACAAACTATACTTTTGATCATTGACCGATTTTGGCTTTCATTTGATTTATTTTTGTATTGTGCCTTGATTGTTGTCCATCTCCGTTCAAATCGGTGCTGTCTCATAGCGCAGAAATTCAGGGGCCCGAATGAGTGGCCTTCTTTGCCCAAATCACCGTTCCCAGTTAATTAGTACGCGCGCGCGCGCGGATATGACCTATTTTAAGGTAGTTTTATTATATAATGGTTTACAGTGCATGCTGGCGATAGCTTGATTTATACTCTGCCAATCTCTCATGTCTCAACATTGAAGGTTTCATGATGATCTGGCCCCCACTTTTTCTTACCAGATGTTGATGGTAGTAAAGATCTACATTTACGTCATGCTCATGTATCAAGTATCCAATGCTCAAATGGAGCCTCAGTAAGAACCGCACAGCGCAATGTAACAGACTCAATTAAAAGGATGGCATGCGTTCATGTTGAATTGCTTGTGATGAATGAATAAAGATGAGATAATCACCCTATCAAATGGAATAATCTAGTGAGACTTCATCTTGACAAGCATCAGAACGAGTCTCCCTAGAATTATCATGTGTATTTTCACGGTGCTTTTTTTGAATAAGGAAGGAATCCGAGCGGGACATTTCATGCGGGTACTTTCCAGCATTGAGCCATTTTGATGAATTGTACTGTACATCCATCAGCAACAGTAAGTCAATTAGTCAGTGATGAGTGTTCCCCGGCCTACTCTCTGAAAACGGCATGAGGTTCATCTAGCTGTTGTAGGCTAATTGACAACACAACCACATGCTCACCATCACTGTAACATAGGTTGCGTGTAAAACGTCATATGGCTAGAGATTGTATGGATTTAACACGCAGTTTCAATCATGCTTCTACCATCCTCATCAAGGGCGAAACAGCATTTGTTAAAAATAGCTGTAGTGCTTCCTTTATTCAACATGCTGATGGGTATATACATTACAAATAATTATGTTTACAATCGAACAGAGAGCAACTCATCAATGCATCGATTGATAAATTCCTTTTTACATGTCATATCCACACCAAATATGTCAGAGAGGGTGTCACGAATGCGTTTTTTGGAGAGCTGCATTAAATCATGATGGTCCAGTAGGTTCTCAATCTCTTGAATAATGGCTGCATCACTTGGTATGGCAAAGAAAGAGTTGGATCCCATCATGGAAGGTGCCCTCGAAAAGTTCGGACCATGAAAGAAGGATGAGGAGGACGAGAGATGATGCGCCATCACAGCATTGTTACTACTACCATCACCCCCGCTGTAGTTGCCGCCGCTGTTGCTATTTGCAACGCTCAGGCCCCCTCCGCCACCAGCACCAGCACCAACGCTATAATGATGCGGTAATGTACCACCATGGCTGCTGTATAACCATTCCATTTGCTTATCGTTATCTTGATGATCCTCGTCTTGGTGGTCCTCTTGTTCCGTTGTGAGATGCGAGTGCATGAAAGTAGATGCGGATGAACAATGTGAGTGGTGGTGGCGATCAAGCGTGCTTGCTGATGGATGCTGCTGTGTGTGGTTCTCACAAGAGCAATCTGATTCTCTGCTATGCTTGGAACAGACAGAGTGTCGCTCCCATTCTTCCATCATCTCTTGTTCGTGTTGAGACCATGATTTGGTCGGAATAGTGTCTGGATCAAACGTGCCTTCTTCTGGACCCACAGCCTTCTTTTGACCCTTCTCACCGACAACAATACGTGTATTACCCCAGGAGAAATCGTCAAAATGCCAGAACGCATAGATCGGAATAAGGAAAGAAAAGACAGGAATAGCAAGTATATAAACAATCATCCAGCCGACGTGCTCCCACTAATGATTGTCGTGTTAGTAAACAATCCTCTGCATTGGGTTTCAATCATTCACCCATCAGCACACCCGATCCATCCTCTCTGTATACACACACACACACACACACGCGCGCACACACGCACAAAATCCTCATTTTTTTTTTACCTTGCGTCTCAAGATGAAAATGACAGCTTGTAGGCCATACACACCTGCCAATGTAATGATCGACATGAGAGGCACCTGATTGGTATTGGTACACAACTGATACACTAAATAGCCCAAATAACACACAACGGCTGGCATCACCAGCGTACTGAGTAGATCCAGCATGACTACAAATCGCATCGAGAAACAGCAGAAACCACACAACTGAGGCAGAAACATGAGTTCGCCCAAATTGTGCACCGTAGAGTTGATCCATCTTCGACGTTGAGAGAGTAGCACTGGCCATTGGTCTGGGGCGTTTGTCATACAAGCGGCATCTGGAGTGAACTTGGTCTTGTAGTTTGGAAAGTGCTTTAAGATTAGGGTTGTCAGATAGCGATCTTCGCCTAGATGCAGCAGGTTCTTTTTGTGTAAAGTGTCGACATGGTTCTCGGCGTAGTCTTCGATGACCTGATTGGATGCTAGCAAGGGCTGATTGCGTGTGGTAGAGCGAATGCGGTACATGCAAAAGCAGCCAGGCAAGCAAGTAACGGATCCAAAAAGCGACTCAAATGCCTTGGCCAAGTGGTGCGAAATGTAATACTCGTATACTTGAATCATGGTCACCCACGTATCCTTCTCGTTGGAGAGCATGGTCTCGCCGCAGAGTCCCACAATCTTGGCGTCGTTGACAAAGCAGGATACCATGCGGTTCAAGGAATCAGGTAGTACCTCTGTATCGGCATCGACCATGAGCACAAACTCATAGAAACCAGGGTTCACACCAATGACATTCTTGAGTTGGTGATGGATTTCGAGTTCCATTGGTGTCATGGGAGCATCGAAATGGACCTTGTTGAGGAAGCGCATCAGCACCATTTGAGAGTCCCGTTTACCACGATTGCCCGGCTTCTGTCTCTCTTCAGGCGTGCCTACTTTGACCACCACGACAAAAGGCACTACATGTCCACAACACTCGTATAAGCCAGAATAGACTTTACCCATGTTGTGCTGTTTTCTGCCTTCGCCCAATGCCAAAAAGGACATGGGCTCTGGATCTGTGTTGGGATCCACACCGAGTATATCCAGCACGATGCGAGGCGTTGATTTGTCGTTGCCACTGCCAACAATCATGCCATCCGCAATCAAGAACAGTAGCTTGCGTTTGTCGTCGTATCGTAGCACAGCCAGTGAATTGATGGTCTTTCTCAATGACTCTTCTCCTTCTGTGTAGCAAGGTACTTGGCAGATGATGAACTTGTCGTATTCCTCAGGTATGCGTTGTGTTCCCAGCCGAAGTGCAGCCAGGAACTTGAACAAGATAATGCTGCACAAGAAGCCAGTGATCAGCAATAAGAGGTATTCCGAGAACAAGCACTGCAACGAGTTGCGTGTATCCACCTTGCCCACCAAAAACAAGTTTCGCATGCAGATCAATTGGCGCTCTCTTACAGTCTTGTCCAGTGGTAAAGCATCAAAATGAGCAGAAATGTCGGTTCCTGCTAATTGGCGAAACAGTTCAGTAATCGAGTTGTCAATAAAGTCCAGGTTGATGTTGGAGGGAAGCTCTTGGCCTTTTGCTGTACGAGGCACACGGCCGCCCATCATGTAAGAAGTGAGATCAAAAACATTGCTGTGCAGGATGGCCCATTGACGCTGTGTATTAATACCGCCAATTTGAACTGGATACGCTGCTTGGTTCTTGATGTCCACCGGGTCATAGCCCATAAAGCCGATGCGGTAGTTTCTGCGCAGATACACCATTTGCTCAAAGTACCAGTCAGGACGGTAGTCGTCGCGGAAGCTTCTAAAGTCGTGATACGCTGCATTTGAATCCGTGATATTGATATGGACATCTAGGGTGACCTCCTTGGGCACAGTGCCATCAATGCCATCACAGACAGCTGAAACCTGCACAGGAAAGAGATCACTGGCATCCTGTCCAGCGTACTGAAACAAGGCGTTGGTCGGAATTACTTCCGAAGCCCAATGTCGTGGAGCAAACGAGGTGAGATCAAAGACCTCTCCGCGAATAGCTACAAATGCATTGTCTCGGTCGGATTTCGCTTGCAGTTCTGATTGAGTAAACAAGTCTTGATGCGGACACACGAGTCTACCGAAGAAGGCAATGAACCAAATCATGACAGCACATAGCAGAAAGATGAGGCCACATAGGGTGACCTTTTCGCGCCAGGCCATACGGATATCGGATCGACGCATCCCACAGAGACGGTTCATGATGATGCTGGGAATCCACCATGTCGTCAGCCATGTCAACACCACCCAGCAGCCTCTTGAGCGGCTTGTACGCGGATTCTTGTTCTTTTTATCCTTGTCGTCAGTTTTGGTTATGGGCTGCTTGACACCCACGTCGTCGTCTTCAGCGCCAAATAGATGGTGATGGTGTTGCTTTTCGTCATCTGTGCCACTCATGGCAATGGTTTGTACTATACTGTCGCATTGGTGTGAACACACTGAATTGGATTCTTCTTCGAAACAAGCGTCAAAGCATTCTTCAGAGTAGACGGAACCAGACTCAGCCATTGATCTGCATGAGGGTGGCATCAACTGAGAGCATACTTGACTCATGGTATCAAACGCGTCCTCTTCTTCTTCCACTATAAAAGGCATGTGTGTTGGTAGATATAGACAACGTATATTGCTACGACAGCCTTACCAAATGGAATGCCTTTGGCTATGCATCTTGCTCTTCGCTGCTCTCGTTTTTCGATAGCACGCAGCTTGTTTTCCAGCAAAGTCCATGCAGACTCTGTTAAATAGACCTACAGTTTTGTCAGTTTGATCACGAAGCTCTCTCCCCAAAAAAAAGCTCACCTTTTCGTTTTCTTGTATCATCATCTTTTCATTCCAGTGAAACGCATCTTGTAAAGCGAGCCACTTGTCTCTTGGTTCAGCATCCAATTCGACTGACGTCGCGTGAATCAGGTCCATGTATCGATCGCAAAACTCTTGCAGTTCCATTTGAATTGTGTACTCTCGCTTGGCTCGGATGGCAAGTGCCAGTAATTGGAACATTTTGGCTTGTGCTATCAATTTCTTGGAATCGCATGAATGTGGTAGTAACAAGTCGTTGGAGCGAAGGCAGAGGACAAACCACGTTTTTGTACAAGTCAATGTGTCAATAATGTCCTGCACACCTTCTCTCAATTGTCCAGCTCGACTGGCGTTGTTGTTGGCTGTGTCTGCTATTGGCATGGTGTCTGATTTGCGCTTCACAGAGGGTGATCGATGTGGTTTTCCAGACTGCTGTCCAGATACAATATGAGTACTTTTGGGGTGCTTTTCAGTGGTGATGGATTTTTGAGAGAATAGTTTTGTTACAAGGCTGTTGGTAGGTGCTTCATTAACACTGGTGCCATCTGCGCCGAATAATGACATGAAGTCAGCGCAAAGGGTTTCAGTCGTTCTTACCCCAAATTCAGCAGGAGAGTAAGCAACTGTGCCTGTAAAGTGCTGAATGGTGAACAAGGGCCCTTTCCCTCCTATACTCGATTTGATTCCAAAACAAGGGTGCTTGCGGTGATGTTGTCTAAATGAATCGACACATTTATCAGGGCTGTCTGTGGTTGAGGATTGGTGGCAGAGTGTGGCAATCAAACCGTGTTGAGCGTCGTCGAGCAGTTGTATGCATGGATCGTTGTAGTTGACAGTGGGTTGCATAGTGGCGGGTATATTTAGAATAGAGTACACTTGGCTGTTTCTTTCAAACAGCTGATGCAACATAAAGTGGTGGAGCCTCTCGTTGGCATAGAGCATGCAAAACTGGTCGTAAGAAGCAGTTTGCATAGGAGCAGCACCAGGGAAATCCACAATGCCAATAAAGTTCTGGAACTCTGATTTGCAAAGCTTTTTGTTAAAGCTCTCTACAAGCCAAGAAAACAGTAGCGAGTACATGGCTTCAGCAAGTGCGTCTCGTTGAAGAGCTGCCTGTTCTGCATTGAGAAAGATGGTTGTCAAGTCTCGCTTGATCAGCTTGGTCTGATACGTCAAGCATGTCTCCAGTGCTTTGGTTTCCACGCCCAATAGTTCTGCAGTAATTTCCAGTTCTTGTGTGTTCTTGACAATGGCTGAATCTTGCATGTTGGTTGCATCGTCCATGAACTGCAAATTGCCCAAGTGAAGTATGGCTGCAATGATTTGCGTGATCTGAAGCATTGTGGTTTTGTTGATGCCTAGCGATTTTAGCAGTGCTTTGAGTTCGTTGTATTTCTCGGTATCCTCCATGACAAGTCCACTGGCGAGCCTTGCTGCCTCTTTGGTTTTGAACAAGTAAGCATAGGACGATGCATCGTTGAGCTGGAGCATAGATTTCTCTTCTGGCGAAGAACCGTGCAACACATAGTAGAATATATGGAAATTACGCTCGTCGCCAGAGGTGTGCGCCACTCGAGACTTTTCCAACATGTAATCCAAGAATTTGGCGCCGATCATGCGACCTCGCTCGTTGAACTGCAATTCCAGGTACTTTCCAAAGCGAGATGCGTTTTCGTTGACTGTAGTTTTTGCGTGTCCAAAGGCCTCTAATGCACCATAGGCCTTTTGGATCATCTGCTGTATTTTGGATGGCTTTTTTGGGTTGCTGAGTGTCACCAAGTGGTACAGTGTCCATTGATGCATTTCGGATTTTCCACTACCGCATAATCCACTATTTAGGGGCAAAAGGAGAGACAGACAGAGGGGAATATATGAGTGATTAAGGAGTGAGCCGTGTATTCACAAAGCTAGATGTTACCTCATTACGATGGATTGATCACTGCCCGTACGTCGCATGTGGAAATAAGCTTGATTGATGTGCTGAAATATGTGCACTGGTCGTTTCTCTCTGCCATCCGTGGTCTTGTATTCTGCTAGATACTGCTCGCTTGTCTCCTGGATGTCAGCACGAGAGTCCTTGTATGGATTGATGACTACAAGCAGTGAGTTTCTGACACGGGTGTATATTTGATCTTGAAGAAACCTGTCTCTCAGTGTGTTGACAATGCTTTCTTCTGTGATGTTCTCAATGTCGGCGATGTCATCGTATGAGGATGGCTGTCTACTGCTGCTGGATGGTGGTAGTAAAGAATTGGAGATCATGGTTGCATCGAGAAGCAGAAAGAAAGAGAGAAAAAATAAAGAAAGAAGAGGGGAATCCTTATATTCAAAAACAAATTATATGCATTATTATGATTCAAACCAAAATGATCCAGGCACGTTTATTATCCTCAATGTATGTGTGTGTTATTTGTCCATCTTTTACAAATACACATAATAAGGCACTCCTTGTCAATATTTTGTATGCCTTCTATTGACCCCTTTAATTGAATATAAAGAAAACCGTTGGGTGCTTGTTTTGGTGAAAATCCCTTGATTCAACCCCCCTCTTGTAGATATATATATATATATATATCAGCATCAAGCACATACATAATATAACCTGCTAGCAAAAGGTCGACTCCTTAATACACAATTTTGCTGCGTAGAATATGTCTGTATACACATGGCTAATCAAGATGATGGTATATGGCTTTCATTTATCAAATGTCTGATGCTAAAAGCTTTGCGTTTCTTTCTACTGTAGTTCGCACGACATCAAATACCAAGGCTTCGCCCGGTAATGGAAAGTTCTTGTACAATTCTGTCACTGGCGGTATCGATCCTTTCGGTGCAACCGTAATCATGCCATAGGGTGATGCTGATGGTGGTACTTGGTGATCGGGCAGAACTTGCTTGGTCAGAGCATGCATGTATTCGGACAGTTTTTGTTGAGCCATCTTTGCCATGGCGTCGTCAGGTACTTGGAGTAAGCCCATAAGCGAGTCAATGGACCGCACAAGCAGCTTAGAGGGAGCTGCGTACTATGTTAGATCACACTCTATAAGGGCCATCTCTATCACGACTTACAGTAACAAAAAGAGTCAATCTTCTCTATTTGCTTCATAAGCAACAAGCTCATGTCTGCTGAATGCATGGCCAAATAAAGAGCTCTGTCCTTGATGATGTTGTATACATTTTCAACGTTGCGTTGAGGTTTCGGTCGTATCAGACAACCTTGTATGCTGAGTGTAATTGTATGTACATAGGAAGCCATCAGAATTTTACGTACATCGGTTTCTCTTTCAACGGCTTCTTTAGTGAGATTGAACGGCTCTGTGCACATCTTGAGTTCCTCTGGTAGATTGTGCCACCACTCAACCACTGTTTCTTCATAGCGAATGATCTCCTCAAAACTGAGTTCTGCGACATCACCTGCTGCCAACTGTCTGGCTTGTGTCACTACTGCGATGAACGAAGGGTGCAAGGATAGACCGAGTATCTGATTGAACATTTTAATTATATTCTTGGTCTTTCTTGTCTCGTCGGGTAGAATGTCAAACTGCACATTGTTGGGCTCAATCTCGTTGCGCTTGTCGCATTTTACAAAATCAATCATGGCCATGGCACATTCGCAGAGCACGCTGTTTCGATGAATAAGCGCATACTTGATTCGAGTCATCCGTGGTAAGCCTGGCCCTCCTTTAGTGCAGCCTGGATTCTCTGTCTGGAGATTCTTGCATAGTAACAGGGCCATGGACACCCATTTATGCGCTTCCGACACCCGCAATGTTTGCATCATAAAGGGCAGCATCAAGTTGATTATCAGCACAGATTCAAGTGCCTTGTCTGGATCGTCAAACATGTCCACCAGCTTGTTGATGGACTGCTCGTAAAAGTACTCGCTAAAGTACCGCTTCTCGAATGAATTCAAAAAGTTGTGCTTGCAGGTCACTATGGCTGCGCTGGTACATACGGCCAATACTACTGGATCCTCCATTGGGTTATCAAGACTCCACACATGATTCATAAAGGTAGGCTCATGCAAAATAGGCACTGTGTCATTGAAGCAGGAAAAGTAGTTGTATATCAGCCGTCGCACCAGCGATTGTGGCTTCAAAAAGGCTGGCACACCTATGGCGAAGCGTCTGGAGATGGCTTTCGGTGAGGATACGGAGTCTGGGTTCGATATATCGTAGGCGATTGTCACTAGCTGCATGGCTGTCTTGACAAAGCTCAGGCTCTTGCGTTCAAAGATCAGTGATTTCGTTTGAAATGTGTTGCCAAAGGGTGATAGATAGCGAATAGCAGATCGTCCATACATCATCAACTCTTCCAAATTCCTAATCTCTGTCTCCAGCCGTAGTTCGCCATTCACAAATCGAATATCCCACCGAGGCTCCTTCTTTATCAGCGCTTTTTCTTGCTGTAGATCCAATTCCAGAGATTGCAGCTGCTTCTCCAAATCCCTTATTTGTCCATACAGTTGATCCAATTCAACATTGCTGGTCTGATTCTCCACATCGCCATCGTCGTATTCTTCAGCAGAGCTCTCCCCTTTGTACTGAAGGTCTTGAGGTATACACTTCTTCTTCATCTTGACACAGCGTTCACAAGAATCATGCTCGTAAAATCGTTCGCATTTTCGTCGTCTCTGTTTACAGTCTGTGGATAATCGATCTTGTTAGTCAGATCCTCCTTTGATAAAGGGGTGTGCCTCTTACATTGACATGGTATTTTTCTAGCCATTTTAGAGTTATATAGCTTGCTAAACAAAAGAGTGGAAAAAAAAAAATAGATGCTCAAGATGATAGAGGATGGGGCTCTAACACTGCCAACACCCGTTGGTCATCCAATCACAAGTTTACTTCTTGGCTGTCCTATGAGAGCTGACTCAAATGTGTCCTTTTTCATTTTTCCAAGATGACTTTGAGTGCATATTTAGGCTTATTATCACTAGGAAGCACAATACAGACCAGGTACAATGCCGAATGCCAAGAAGAGGAGCAGCAAGAACTGGATGCTTTGCGAGCCATGGCGCAACATATATCAGCTGCAGAAATAGACACTGTTTCAGCAGTCAGTATACATCATGCCCCTTCAGAACGTCGAGGTATTCATACAGAGAGGCTCTTGTCGTTAATTTGCACTGACTGGTGTATTCATTAGTGGAAGTGAGAGAAAACATCACGGGCGTCGTGCTTGCCATTGGAACGATGGTTGCCAACTATTCATTGTGTTTCCCCATTGTAGCAGCACGACATCGATTACAGGCCGTACCAACATATCAAAGTTACGAACGAGACACACCATTGTATGGCATCCAGACTATACTGTACACCTACAGACATGGAGGTATTCGACGACTCTATCCTGGCTTTGGTTTGGGTCTGATTGGCCAAACATTGAGTGCGACCTATGAATCAGGGCTGAATCAAGTCATGTCGCCCCTGATTGCCTCTGCAAACAAAACCAATACTTTGCTGGGTAGTTTGACAGCTCTACTGGCAAAAGGGCTCGCATTGTTTGTCAATATCCCCTTGTATCCCTTGTATCGCAACGCATTAATCCTACGAGTACAACAAGTATCGCCATCCAGTCAGATTGTGATAGATAGTCCTCATGATTTCATCAGGCTCTACAAGCTAGATTTACGAGCATTCTGGCCGGGAAACGAACATCATCGGCAGTTGATGAATGGATTTATACCATCTTGTGCGTTGAACCTGATCACCGAGAGGCTGCTCATCTACATTTACCGTCATCTATTCCAATCCTTCTCTAACAACTCCAATTCCACGACAACAACAGGCACTACAGCAGCAACCATTGACCACAGCAGCGAAAATTTGACAACAGCAACCCCTTCTGGTGCTGGACATAGCACAGCATCAGCATCCTCAACGTCGCTGGCTTCGCCTCATTCCAAGAAAAAGCGTGAATCCACCGTGCTGCATACATTCTACCCCGAGATTGCTTGCGGTGTCATCAGTAGCATCCTTACAAGAGCATTGAGCTATCCTGTAGAAACTGTGATTTACAAACTAATGGTGCAAGACACGGGCGTGCTGACTGCGAATACAGACTACAGAGGATTTCTCGATTGCGTCAAGAGAACATGGTACGAGGAAGGTGGGTGGAAGGCCTTCTATCCTGGATGGGGTATTGGCGTGCTGGAGATCGGCATGGGCTATCTTATCCTGGAAGCTTCTTGGTGGGCTTACCGTGCGACGCAATGGAAGTTGCAGGTGCCAGGCACAAGCGATACGCGGGCTGTTAGAAAGGCAAGAAAACTTCGAGAAAGACTTTTGTAAACGTTGTCATCCCAATGAAGTCGTTTTGAAGTCGAGAAAAGTAATAACATGCCTCCTTTTTTTTAAAAAAAATATGGAATTATAGTTGCTGGAACATAGAGTACAACACATTTTCAAAATCCAATTCATAGCGCTTTTAACCATAGCATTTACCTGCATGGCAATGCTTATTAGAAAATAATTCATAAATCTTGTATTCCTAAGCAAATGAAACTATATATATGATATGTGTCTTTTCAGTATGAAAGCACTTGTTTCTCTACAATGCTCTACGTCTTTATCAATGGGGAGAATTCATATACAGGCTTAAAGTATACCTGGATTGCCTTCTACTATTCAAGCGTATGCAAATCACAGCAAAGTTGGATGCATTTAAACCGTGGATTCTCGTGTTAGAAGCCGTTTCAAGATGTCAGAATAGCACCAAACGCTTGCTTTGATCTAACACTTACTTTCTGACACCTTTGCTCAACTTTTTGGGGACCAAAAAAAAACATGGTCAAAAAATAGACCAAAAAGCATGAGGGGTACCTCATGATTTTCATCAAAAATCAAACGATCGCATTTTTCACCTTGAAAATGAAGGCTTTTACTATGGTATATATTGAATCAAAATGTTTCTGTCGATCCAACGTAGCCTTTGAAATCGTCTTTGTGGGACTTTGATCTGTAAAATTTCGACTTTTTGGCCAGAAACCTCTTTTCATATTTTCGTGAATTATTCAATAGATTTATTTAAAACATCTATCTTACCTGGTACCGTTGGATGCGCCTTGAAAAACACTCCAGGAAAGCTTAAAGAAGCATTTTTTTTTTTTTTTTTTTTTTTTTTTGTAGGGGAGTCGAGCTCCAGGTTTTATTTAAAGTCCTTAAAATGTCATGCTTAGGGATAGAAAAGACTGTTGGTGGACCCAATGTCTGCAAAGAAGGGGAATAAGATATTTTTGAATTAAGTTGGGAAAGAAATCTACTGCTAATAAGGTGCGACACCTAGAGCCAAAACAGTCTTGCGGAAATCGTCAAAATATAGATAATGGATAGAGTACAAAACACCAAACGAGGACATCAGTACTACTTCAAAAAATCAAACAACTTGCGTTCACCAGGATTTGAACCGGGATCCTCCCGTTGGCATACGGGAGTTTTACCACTTCGCCCTACCACCAGGGGCTAGCTTAAAGAAGCATAGGATGATCATCATGTCTTACTTAGTCGAATCTGCAAAAATAGTTCAATCGAGTTGAAAAACATCAAGATTTGGCCAATCTGGAAACAAACTATGGTTCTGGGGTTGAATTAATTTTGGCTGGTGAGGCTAGTTAATTATATATGAGCCTGGCCTGATAGATGCCTTGAAACTCAATTTCCATATTATGATGGTTGTAAAAGTGTCTAGAGACTGATAATATGATACTACTTTGCAAAGTTGAATTTTCCAGAAGAGCAACTCTGCAGGTTATACAGTTTCTAGTTTGAGCAGCAGAAGGCATGATGGATTAACTATTGGGTTTTGTTCTTGATTTAAAATTAACTACTGCTCGCAACTAGACTGATGCTACCTGTCAAAATAGCTTAAACATCAAAATGTTATTGTACAGAATGGAATATTGTCATCCTATCCATGATTACGTATGGCGCTTATAATAAGGCTACATAGCGTATCATATAAATCTGTGTTTTTATAGAGTATTTTTTTTTATTTTTATTTACATTGAATGTGAAAGAAAGAGTATATTTATAGCTAGTAAAAATGTGTTTTGGATTGAGTGTTGTGTTGGATTAAAGTGGAATGAAATAAAGGGTTTGAAAATATTACTGATGATCTGAATATGGTATGCTAGAAGCGCCATCATAGTGTTGTTGCTGCTGCTGCTGCTGCTGGTGTTGTTGTTGTTGATAGCCAAAGCCATGTCCTCGTCCGCCATTTCGAATTGGAGAAGCGTCGTAGAACTTGGAGGGGTTTTGATGGTAGCCATCATCATGATAATTGTTGTGCTTGTTGTTGGCTGCAGCAAATCTGCCTCGTTTTCTGCCATGGTTGATTTCTTCAAAATTAACTCCACTACCCATATGATTGCCTTGTTGGCGTTTGAATCCGCGTGGCTGATCATCTCCACCACCACCTCCATTTGCATGCTTCCATTCAGGACGGTATTGAGCCTCTGGTTCCTCAATGACCATCAACTCACGTACAGGTTGGCCATGGAATCCACCCACGGGAGCATTGACCAAATAGTCTTTCTCAACAGAACTCAATTCTGCCAGTGGAATAATGGAGTCTCCACGATCATAGTTAAAGTGCTTCTTTGGCCCAAACCCAAATGCCCAGTTCACTTTAACCGGCACATCTTCCACCACGAGTCCTTCAGATTCATACTTGGCAGCTTCTGTAGAGGCTCTTGTTGTAAATTTGAGGAAAGCGTTATGACGACCTTTCAGCTTTTTAGCGACAATTACACTTGCTAATTCACCGTATTTACTAAATAATTGTGCAACATCGTTCTTTTCATAGTGATCAGGAATAGGACCAACAAAAAGGGTTCTTGTAAGGACTAAGTAGGATGATGATGAGTTGGGAGTAATTTAAACTAATGAGCTCTAAAAACTTACCTTTGATAGTACCAGGAGGCAAAGAGGGATCACGAACAGGATCAGCACCTTCTTGATGGTGTTGTTGTTGGTGCTGCTGTTGCTGAGATGGTGGTGCATGATCATTGTAAAATGGCTGCGATTGCTGCTGATAAGGCTGTTGATTGAAGGACTGAGGCTGTTGCTGGTAAGCGTTTTGAGAGTAAGGTTGGCTCTGCTGCTGGTATGGTGGAACATAAGATTGTTGTGCTTGTGTAGGAGGTACTTGGAAAGGTGGCTGCTGTTGTCTCTGTTGGTAACTGTTGGCTCCCATACGGCTATCTTGCATCGGCTGTCGTTGCTGCCAGGAATCCTGCATAAGTGGTTGAGGCGGGGATACGGCAGCATTGAATTTAGTAGTATCTACATCATTAGGGCTTCCCCATCTAGACTTTCTCTCTGTTGTGCGGGTTGGAGCAGGAATAGAGGGACCTTGAGGTGGAGGCCAGGTAGGCGCAGCCTTAGCAGGTGTCTCTGCTGCCATTCGAGGATCATTACGCATGCGAGGGTCGTTGCGCATGCGAGGATCAGAGGAAGGTGGTGACTGAGGAGTGACATTTGATGCTGGAGGAGGCGAAGTTACTAACCCACCGAGCAATTTGGCCAGAGCAGGAGGCAGCAGAGGGTTGCTGGTTTGCATTGGCGCAGACGTGCTCGCTGGAGCAACAGGAGCAGCAGCGACAGCAGGAGGAGGTGTAGGCGTCATGCCAGGAATATTGAGATTTGCCAATGAGCCATTTCCAATGTTACTAAGGGTAGCCAGCAGAGATGCAGTGTCCACGGGAGGAGCAACTATAACAGAAGAGCAAATCAGTTCACCTGTTGCAATTCAACATTCTCAAATAGAATAGAAATGTGTAGATAGAAGAAACCAAAATTTGATCCAACATTTTCTTTTTCTTTTATATAAGTAAAACAATAATAACCTTTTGCTTGATCCAAACCAGAATTCGTCACGCCGCCAGCTGTCAAAAAGGATCGCTTTATGTGCTGCACTGTTTCCTTGGAGTAGACATTTCCTTGCTCCCAAAAGTCGAGTGTCTTTTTGACCTTATCCTAATAGGTTTTGAAAAAAGAAATCTTCAGCATTCAAATGTCAAAAATTGCATGTAGATCAAATGTGTGTGTAGGTGTGTGTGTATGTGAAGGAGTGATTGAATTGAGAGTGTCATCGAACTTGTGGGTTGTGTGAGTGTGTAAAATCATTTTAATTCATATATAAAAAAAAAGAGATCAAATGTCTTGATACATGTCATTCGTAAGTTTGTGATTTTTAGTTACCCAATCCAGACCATCAAGCGAGAGAAAGAGACCAGACAACAGCAGCAAGAGAGAGAGAGAGAGAGAGAGAGAGAGAGAGAGGAGCACGCATGCACAGATCAAACATCAAGATAATAGAAGATGGCAAGGAACGCAGCGCGCACAAGAGACACAAACAGCATCATAAAGAACAATAGTTGCTTCCAACAGGCGGGGACAATTTATTCAAGTAATTTCTTATTTAACATGACCAAAGTTGTACAAGCACATCCCATTTGGTTAAGCCGACTAGTTTACACGAATCTTTCAAGGAACCGATTTGCTTCTATTATCTCCCTCTGTCTCTCTTTTTGCATGCCTCCCCTTTCTTGTTGTTGGCTGTCATCTTGGGTTTTCATCTGGTATCTCCCCTGTATGATGAATACACGGAATAATGCTGCCAGGTAAGCAGCATCTCGTGTACAAGATGGGTGGAAAGAAAAAAAAAAGGGCAGAGATCAATCACGATAAAGAAGGTCATCCTCTCCGTAATTGATAAATGTAATCAACTAGACTAGGTGTAAAAAAAAAAAAAGAAAAAAAAGGGCAGAATCTCACCTTATCCTTTGTTGAGCAGGGCTCAAAGCATCCATTCATGCTGCTATCCTTGAGCACAACCGCAAATCGCTTGAGATATCCATCCAATTCTGAAGGTCCTTCGCCGGTTTCCTCTCGTTTTCTTTGTTGCTTGTGGCAAGCACGTGAAATAGCGTCGATAACATACAAACCTGCTAAGCGATAATCCGGAGGAGCGCTCTCAATGAAACGAGCAATACATTGTGTGATATAATTGTGATGCTGGCAAATAATAAGAAACAGTATGGTTAGTTTTGATCGATTCACTAGTAGAGTTTTCCCTGTTCAATTTGCTTACCTGTGGATGAGCAGTGGCCAAAGCTTGTAATGAGGTGATTTTGGAAGCTGATACGGGAAGTTTTGTTTCCAATATGGCTTTTAGGTCCTTGTCAAAGAGGGTCCTATCCCAGTTATCTGTCATCTTTTTGGTTCAAGTGGGTAATGTGGAAAAAGAGGGAAAAGTTTGCTAAAGAAAAACTTTTTTTAACTCTCCAGATGACCAGTGGGAGTTGAAGAATTGATGATGAGTGATGTTCGGCGTTAATGGGGTACTACCACATTTTTGAGTGACGTCGATGTGTATATACAATCCAGTCAGTCTGGTTAAGGGATACAAAGAGCTCTTCAATGCCATTCAACATGCCGTTATCTCTAGCTAGAAGGCTCAAAAGAAAGCGTATAATATTGCATTATATGATAACATTGGAAATTGCCAGGCCATCACATCCACTCATGCAATCGTCGCAGTAGAAATCTGCCTGAGCATCCCTGGATTGAATGCTTGATTCTCGCAAGTGCTCTTGGCTCAAACATCTTTACCGGTATTTGAGGCATTTATACGAAGATAGACTTGGCGAGTTGACAATACCGCCGTTATGATATTCTTCATTGCCTACTGATCTTGCATTTTGCTCAACATTTGTGACACCTATCAGCTCAAAAAAACATCTACACTCTAGTTGTGAATGCTGCTATAGGTAAAGCATATTCATAAAAGCATTGTCTACTATAACAATAGCACCTAATGGTTTTAATGGAGGCAGCTCATACTATTTCGAGTGATGTAAGTATACGCTAAGATCAATCAAATGTCAAATCAAGCGGCCGTTCAATCTACTAACCCCTGGTTGCTTGAATCCAGCTGTCAAAGATGGACTTTACATCCATCATAGCACTGATGCCTTGCTTTAGGCGTACTATAACCTCATTTGACATGTCCAGGTAATCACTGATGCTTTGAAACCACTGACCACAATATAGTCAATGTGTTACAAATGATGGATTTGTAGTGTCACTGATGTGCAGCCTGTATTTGACATTGCGCATACATGGACGGTCTCTTTGTTGAAATGTGCAAACAGCCGAAGTGATTTATCTTAAAGATTGGTATTCTGTAACGCATATTTCATAAGAGCATCCCTCAAATCATCTTTCAATTGCCAAAATTGACAGGCAAAGTCCATTTCACTGGCCATCGGAACCCCAATACATTGGCAAACAAGCCTTTGCAACCACCCCCCCCCCTCCTTACCTTCCGCAAATTTTATTCTCTCTTTTTTTTCCCTTCACTATCCAGATACAATAAAATAGACGAGGATGCAAGCATTTCGCTCATTATTAAAGACAGCATGGAAGCCTTTAAACAGCTCGAACAGCTTATTAGCCACTCGTAATTTCATGACACAGCCTGCATATCAAAGCCGTATCCTCAGTCAATTAAAACCTACAACATTTGCACCCATTCAACAACAAAAGGCAGGCATGGCCACCTTGAACCAAGTGATCAAAAAGTGTCGCAAGACCAAGGCCAAGTTGAGTAAGACACCAGCTCTTGAAGGATGTTATCAACGTAAGGGTGTTTGTAACAAAGTGTATACGACCAAGCCCAAGAAACCCAATTCTGCTGTCAGAAAGGTTGCTAGAGTCAAGTTGACCAATGGTAAGGTGGTCACAGCTTATATTCCTGGTGAAGGACACAATTTACAAGAGCACTCTGTTGTTCTGGTTCGTGGTGGTCGTGTTCCTGATCTTCCTGGTGTGCGTTATCATCTTGTGCGTGGCGCTTTGGATCTTCAAGGTGTTGCTACCAGAACTACCAGTAGATCTAAATACGGAAGTAAGTGTTTGACAATGTATATGTTTGCAAGGAGTGATGCTGACCAATGTTTTTGTATTGTTTTAGCCAAGAAGCCTTCCAAAAACTAAGCAGGATGATTTAGAGTCTAGTTTTTCCTCTGTTTTTAGCATCATTTGATGTACATTTTGTAATATTTCCTTGTTCCTATTAAAAACTATTATTTTACTATACATATACAAAAATCACATCTAGTCATACATACGAGAGATCGATCTATTCAGTAGATCCCTTTAAATGTGCTGCTAGAACCATTGATCCGCGCTTTTTTCCTTGATAAAAGAAAATTCGCAAGTATTGCGCCTTATGTGTTCAACCTGACAATTCGGTAATGACCATAAAAGCAAATGCAATTTCGATATTTTGTCTTTTTATTACGCCATTTCACGAAATATTGTTGTATGTACTACCTCAAATTTATATAACCTACTAAGGGTACATCGCATTATGAGTGCTTGATTTGGTAGAGTATATTTGATTTTGATATATATTGTGTCAAAATCTAAAATCTCTGTCAAAATGTATATAAATACAGTGCCAATTGAGACACTCTCTCATCATCATCACCCTTTTTCACATATCTAAAATCCCAGTTGAACCATGAAGACCTCTGCCTTGCTCTTGGGAACCGTTGCTCTATTGGCTTTGTCTGCCAATGCAAAGAAGCCCGAGGCCAAGAAACCAAACATTGTGTTTATCTTTACTGATGACCAAGATTACCGCATGGACTCACTAGATTACATGCCCAATGTTCAAAAGTATTTGGTCAAGGAAGGTACTACTTTCAAGAACCATTATGCTACCATTGCTGTCTGCTGTCCTAGCCGAGTGGGTCTCTTGAGAGGGCAATACGCCCATAATACAAAGTAAGTGTTCCTAAATCTTGCTGCCAAGTTGTCATGACTGACATCAACTAGTATCACTGATGTGTCCCCTCCTTATGGTGGCTATAACCGTTTCAATACTTTAAAATTGGGTGAAGACTATCTTCCTCTTTGGTTGCAAAAGGTAATTTAGAGCATTTCATATTATGTTTGCTGTTTATCAACTAGCTTATATTACCTAGGCTGGTTACAATACCAATTACATTGGTAAACTCATGAACCAATACTCTGTTCAAAATTACAATGCCCCTACTCCCTTAGGGTAAGTTGATGTACACTCATTCGATCGCTGCGTGTGCCTAATATTGCCTTCTTCATGCTCTAGTTTTGACTTCCAAGGTACAGCCAGATGACCTCCAGAGAAAATCTCGCATACATGCTTACATTCCATTTTTTTTTTAGATCAACTAGTTGACCCTTATACTTATGTCTACAACACTGCCGTCTTTTCCACAAATGGTGAATACCCTGTATTCTACAAGGACGTCTATCAAACGGATGTTATCCACGCCAAAACCAAGGCCGCTCTTGACAGAGTCCATGCTCAGGACGACCCTTTCTTCTTATGGGGTAATGTGTGCTTGTGTGCCAGCGACAACAACTTTTGCTTACTAAATACCAACTCATAGTCGCACCCATGGCACCCCACGGCCAGTTTGTCATTGGAAGTGATTACTCGGTTACTACGTCTCCTCCCGTTCCTGCTGCTCGTCATGCCCATCTTTTCAAGGACGTTAAAAGTAAGCAAGCACATGATATGAATCAATACAGGGCTTACATTCTTGCACTACAGTTCCTCGCACTCCCCATTTCAACCCTGACAAGCAAGCCAAGACAGCTTCTTACTGGAAGACGCTTGAAAAGCTGAATGCTACTCTTGTCGAAGAATTTGACGAAGTCTACAGAAACCGTTTGCGTGCTTTGCAATCTGTTGATGAGATTGTCGGTACCATCTTTGAGAGACTTGAAAAATCAGGCGAGTTGGACAACACCTACGTCGTGTATAGTTCAGATAATGGGTAAGGACATAGGCTTGACACACCATTGACATTCACTGGTTGACCTACTTTGTATTAGTTACCATCTTGGACAGCATAGATCTTACCCAGGCAAATGTACAAACATGGAGGAAGACATCAAGTAAGTTGCACACAAGATAAACATGGAATTATACTGACTATAATCAACAGCGTGCCTTTTATAGTTCGAGGACCTGGAATTGCCAAGGGAAAGGAGAGCCATATTGTCAGCTCTCATCATGATTTAGCGCCTACATTTTTAGCTCTAGCTCGTGGCGATGAACATGTTCCATCTTGGGTTGACGGTGGTGTGATTCCTTTGACTAAGGCTCTTCAAAAGCATCCCAAGCCCGTGTCCAAAGAAAGTTTTGCTGTCGAGTTTTGGGGATTGACACAAATGACAGAAAACTACCCTACTGCTGCCCCTGAAGGACCTAATACATACAAGACTCTCCGCGTCATTTCTGAAGATTACGATTGTAAGTGGATGTGAACTGCACTGGCAGTACTATGTCTCATCGCCTTGTTTATACTCTAGATTCTTACGCTGTCTGGTGCACGGGCGAGCATGAGCTTTACGATTTGAAAAGGGACCCCTATGAATTGAAGAACCTCTATAGCAATGCCAACGCACAACTTGTGAATAGATTGGATGCTCTCCTACTTGTGTTGAAGTCTTGTCGTGCTGAGAGCTGTCGTGATCCTTGGAGAGTGCTTCATCCTAATGATAAGTCTGTCAAGACATTACAAGATGCTTTGCATAAGAAGGTTTGTTAAAATCAAGTTGCCACATAATAGATGTACATTTGTAATTAACTTGCATTATCTGTAGTATGATGCCCACTACAAGCAATACAAATCTGTCAAGTTTGAAGAATGTCTTGGTTTCTTGCTAACCTCCAACGAGGTTCCTGAAATTGGATCTCACTTCAAAACCAATGCTACCTTGTCTCGTCGCAAGTTCCATTCTGAAAAAGCAGACCAACTGGTCATTGATAGCCTTATCAAAAGAGCCACCACTGAAGAAAAGAGCAGCAAGGTTTACATCCCAGCCGAGTATCATGATCTTTTCAAGTTGATCCCAGAGGCATCTATGAATGCAGGCCATCAACCTGTAGGAGACGATTTTGAATCCTCTGCACAAAAAGTACCAAAGAAGTTGGTAGAAGCAGATGTCAACTGGGCTGCTTATGGCTTCTATAGCACTGGAAGTTAAATAACATCTACATTCATAATAACAACATGCACATCTACATTCAAAATAAAGCGTTAATTAATCATCATCCTGATATTTCTGTCGATAATTTATTAATTGAATAATTAGAAACGAGATATGGAAAATGTATGTGGTAAATTAAGCCAAAAATTATAAGAGTCTATGCTACATGAGATGGTGGAATAAAAATGATGAAAACGTCTATATACTTTAAATGCGATCTATGAATTTGTCTCCTTCCTCACTTGCCAAAAACCACTTGAAATACTCGTAAACGCTCCAGCTGATGGCTGTGCTGGGCATGTTGGTCAACACACGGGGCCTAAATCCTCTGAAAAATCCCTTGATGCCATGTCGATTGTAAATGATATTGGTAGCCTCTCTAAACCCATTGCAATTCTTGATGTCGGCATCTTTTGATGAGCCCTTGGTCTGCAATAGCGTCTTGACAACATCCAGTGGTGTAGTAACGGATGAAGCAACTGTACCCGCTACAGCGCCTGCTAACATGTGGATCTTTGGATTGTAGGATCCCTCTGGGTCGAATTTGGATCTACAGTACTCATATGTCGCAAATTGAACGGACTGAAATGGAATAGACATGGATACAGTTGTTGGAAACGATATGTAGAATGCTTTCAGTCCTTCGTTGGCGTATACTTTCTTTGCACATTCACGAACAGATCTATAGGTCGAATTTCGTAATTGCATACGCTGCTTCAGCACTACAAACTCATGTCAGTCATATTGTCTGCCTTGGCGATCACTCCCTACTTGCCGTCAAATGGTGTCATGAGTGCATCGTGCGCAAATGTCGCAATAGCGCCAGCTGCACCGGATGCTATCAACTGGTTGGATATCTCAAAAGAGCTACCGGGAGCTCGAATCTTGGTATTCGCTGATAATTGTCGGCTGAAATTCTCTTTGCAGAATTCATAGGTTGCAAAATGTACAGCATGCGCAGGGCCTGCCCCCATGATGACTGAATAAACGCCCTTCCAGAGATTTTTATGATTTCTAAACTGCTTCTTGGACGCGTCCTTGATGGCTGTTCCTAATTCTGGTGTCGATAGTACTTGCATTCGAGTCTAAAATGCAGCGTCAATTGACATGATCCAACTCTAATTGACACCTACACGAAACGCTTTTTTTCGTCCATTTTCTTCGTCCTAATACTGCATCCTCTTCTATCCTCCACCAACAACAGTATCAATCCACCCTTCTCTACTTACTCTTATACTATCCACTGGGTACATGATGCAATGTTCCCCGATACCTGCCATGGCACCAGCAATAGCGTTCTGTGTCATTGTCGAATTCGCTCCTAATGATTCATACTCGTGTCCATCTTCTGCGTCCATGCTGACAATATGTTGTTTGATATGTTGAATTGTAGTGCAAAAAAAAAGAGAGAGAAAGAGAGAAAGAGAGAGAGAGAGAGGCCTAAATTATTCAATGTCAAATGAAATTAAATATTTTTTTCTCGGGATGAATGGTCAAATGGAAAAATGTGTGTGTGTGTGTGCAAGAGAGTGTAGAGTGAGCAATAAGGTCAGTGTGACGTAAATCATGCTACAACAGAGGCTCTTAAGGCTAATGGCCAACATTTCTCGATCTGAATCTCTTTAGGTATTGCTCGCTTCGTCTTGTCATCGCTTTCTTCCTTGCAATTTAGGTTGCTGAATTATACAAACAAACCCCATCACTAAATACAGAATGATGTGAAATGAAAGCGCAATGTGTCAATTAGTGACGAAACGTAACATGGTCAGTATTTGTTGCAATCGACTATATTCTCTAGTAGAAATGTGTAGCTTGCCCAAGCAACGTACAAAATGGACGCCTCATGGTGGCTATTAAAATTCTGTCAAACATCCCGCCATTTACTTAATTAGGAGGACATCTACTCCTTGGTCTCTCACAAGTGATCTATGTCTGTGGTTTCTCGATCTTGCAATGTCGGACATAGCACAGACATGGTGCTTTAAAATCTCGTCTTTAATGCATCTGCAGAGCATTGGTGTTTCCACAAAATCTGTAGGCTTGGATCGACAAGGAGTTTCACAAGTTGTTCTTTATGAAACGATGTCAAATCTCAACTATACTTGGAAATAACCATCAGGCTAGATTGTGCACAAAAATTCATGCAAACATGTACAAGGCTATACTTTAACCTAATCTTTAATAAAATTTAGAATACTATGGGATTTACTTAAGGCGATGAAATTTAGGGCTGACTAGAACTTTCAGGGAAAGAGGGGTATTGAATCAATAGAAAAAGATACGGCGATGCAGGCAGAAATTCGGATATGAATCAATCAAGAAACACGTTATATTAATATACAGAGAGAGAGAGAGAGAGAGAGAGAGAGAGAGAGAGAGAGAGAGAGAGAGAGAGAGAGAGAGAGAGAGAAAGAGAATAATTTGCCTACCAAGTGGGAATTATTGAATAGCACGAGTTGGCTTGTAGTTTCGTTTGAATATGCTGAATGCTACATTTGAGAATACAAGCGTGCCCAATGTCAACAATGAGAAAAAGATCTGCCATTTGGATTAGTCATAGGGCATTCTGGATGAGTGTTGCATCATTTACCAATGTTTTGTAGGAGATGGGCTCAACAAAGCTGTTTATAATCTCTGCAATGGCTTCGGCAGATACCTTGGCCCTAGTTGTTGCGGATCGTTAGTCTGCTTGATTCGAAAGTAGTTGCCAAATGTCTTACTGTGCGACCACTTTGTCTCTGTTCATGCATGCTGCCCATTCGTTGCACATGTCCTCAATAGCTGGGATGCGATCATTCTGGCCACATTGATTGATGATGTAGTTGTTTGTACAAGCCAGTTTTTCCTTGTGCAGGGCTACATGTAAACACTCAAGTGTCAGCTCGAATCGTTTCAACATCTGATCCCATCAATTACCTTCAGTGTATTCTTCTGCTTTCAGTCGGAAATCTTGCCTTATTGTTAAAATGATTTTGCCAAATATATAGAGCAATGTAGTCGATATGATGATGTTGAAAGCCATTTGCATGTAGATGATGACGGTGTATGAGATATCTCGGTGTCTTAGATACATCGGCTCATAAGATGGTTTGATAATTGATACGGAGCTGCTTGTGCTTGTTGGTTTTTTGCTCTCCATCCAAAACTTTTTGGAACGAGCAATGAATCTTTGAGTTAGAGTATTGATGCCAAGGTCAGCGGGTGGCGTAGATGTGTCTCGCTTTGGTAAATCCAAATCAAACATCTTCTGATGGGGTTGTATTATTGGCACAAAATTGAAGTTATAATCCTTGGGTGCGAATCCATGCTTTGTCTTTTCATCATCCAGCGACTGATCATCTAATGCCAACATGTCAATTGGATCGTTATATAGCGTTTTCCTCGAGAGTTACCATCTTCTAATCGATTTCTCTTTGAGCCTGCCATAATAGATGCTGAAAATGCTAAACTACGTAACTAGAAAAAGGGTTCAATTATGCTTCAATGATGCAAAAAGAAAAAGTTTACAGTCCTCGCTTGTTCCTTCTTCTTCAACACACCAAATAAGGCAATGTGACCAGGTTTCGAAGGGAGATCATGGCTGCACAACAATGGCACGATCAAAATGAAATACATCTGTCAAATAGTCCGTTGCTCAAGAAACAGGCGTCTTCAAATGTAAATCATGTTTTGAGACCAAGCAATAATATGATTAGTTTTTTATTATAGTATAAGATTACGTGTAGATTAAGAGAAGTAATACGATTGTTGTGTAATATGTAACGAGATGTGGAATTAAATGATCTGTAAGAGCTTATTTCTTATCAGAAGCAGCAGAAGTCCAGCAGCAAATCCAAGCAAGGCTACCAAAGCATGTTAGAGACATTCTCGATCTGATAGCTCATAGAAACCTACCATCCCCAACAACAGTTTTGCTCAGCAACGTCAGAGCGAGGCTTGATAGAAGGAACGTAGACAGCCTCAGGTTCAGTTCTAGTTCATAAGATTAGAAATGCAACTCTAAAATCGAAAATATGCCTCACTTACTCTGGTTGGAAAACTCTATCTTTGGTTTCCTCCTCCATCTTGGTCTTGAGCCTTCTTTCGTCCTCCAATCTTTGAGCTTCATTTGCTTGTTCATCGCTCAAGGCAACCTTCTCATCCTTGTGTTCTTCCTCACCAATAAGTGTATCTCTTATATTGACAGAACCTTCTTCTTCGCTGGGATAAACGAGATGTTCTTTATTCTCGCCCTCTCCATTAGCTTCGGACAACATAGCAGCACGACTATCATTAACTTGAGCGGATTCAGGAACTTGGACATCATCACTTGCAGCTACGTTGTCCTCAGTATTAGGTGCATAGATAGCGGCATAGGTACTTGCATGGTTATAGTCTTCCTTATCAGTCATGCTCTCTTTTTGATACGACTCATAGACAGTATCTGAAGCAGTAGCATCATTATGATATTTCTCAGACTCCTTCTCGTGGGAGTATGGCATTGGAAAAGCAACCTTGTTTTCGTTATCGTAGTTTTGGAACATTGTTTGGTCAAGATGAGGACTATGAGAAGGCAATTGGGGTTCAGGGCTATATACCAACACTGGATCAATAAAACATGTTTTGAATAAAGCTTGACATCTACTTACAAGGATGGATATTCTACGGCCTTTTCTTCGCCAGCAGAGTAATAGTGTTCTGGGGAGCGAACACCTGAAGATGGCTGACCATGGTACTCTTCGACAGCAGTAGTCTGATGGGCATCGTGAGCATCGTTTTGGTAATCGGACGAAGACATTTTTTTTTAGTAAAATTGATTTGACAGGTGAAGAAACAAAAGAGAAGATCAGCATTGATACTGGCCTTTTATAGCCTTTTTATACACTTTCTTGATTCGTGGAACCTAGTCATCGTTGTATTAAATCTTGAAGAAGGTTCCCGTGTTGTAAAATGCTAAACAAAAGTTTCATTTAAATTGAGTAGTTTTGAGCTTCATTTAAATGAACGCATTTTGAGGTTTTGGCATCTCAATGCCTCATAAAAACGGAAACGTCGGCCCCGACATGTGCCTTCAAGATAGGCTACCACATTCAACTCACTTTCGTGGTAATGTTACTTGGAATCGAAGCGAATTGTACTGAAAAATAGGGTAACATTTAGTACAGAACACCACCAGCCAAAAGAGTTTAAATATAAGCTTTGTTCTCGTATAATTTTTTGAATATCATTCACTATGAAGTTTTTTTTTTTTTTTTTTTTTTTGTCTGTCCAGAAGACAAGGAACTTCTCATCTCCTCCAGCTTCTGCTCATATTTGGGAAACACGTCAACACATGCAAGCATGTACTTGTGGCTATCAAAAGTGCATGTTGGTGATATGAGTGTGTTCAATAGGTTATGATCAATTACTCTTTATGAGATACGGGCGCTTATGCTTCGGATGGCTCTCTACCTTCGCTTCGCTTCGCTTCGGTGAGGACCAACTTGCACAGCGGCAACTCGCGCTACCGATTGCCCTTGCGTATCTACATCCACATACATGTGTTTACTTCATATACGGGCAAGCAGCATACTGGTATTTCCCCTTTTTAGTTTTTAGTGTCCCTGATACAGCAAAACCTTGTTTAGGATATAGATCATCTCTGAGAGGCAAATTTAGTATACGTTGTATAATACATGAGAAGATTTGAGAACGAGCAGAAATGCGTGGCAAATTGAGAGTTCTTTATTCAAGCATTACAAAGGAACATGAGTGGTGCCATCAAATTGCTAATCTATATCCTGGTTCCTAGAGTGTAGTAGCCTATGACCTTTCGTTCCTGAAAGTGGGTTTCAATTCTGACAAATGTTCTTCTGTCAAATCTACTAGGAAGAACATTCTCTCCTGGATCATCTCTATTGTCTGTCCCTGACTGGCGGCCTATGAGTTCTTACGCAGTACATCCTCGTTTACTGGTTCAAAACTTATACAGTTATCCCGCATTCAAGATCAACGTCCTATTGCTGCAGCACTGTCAAATAACTATAAATATCTTCGAAATCTACACTAGTTTCGATCCTCATTCAGTCTTGGAATAACTTAATAAATATATTCAGCTCTATTTGTATTTCCTCTGTCTATATTTCGTTATTCTAAACATCCACTGTCAGGTACACATAGACTTTGTGTGTAACCTTTTAATTTGTATAAATCTCAAATCATTTGGCAAAACAATAAAGATCAAAGTTTATCTCATTTATATTTCTGCATATACGTATATCTAAATACATTATCTGTACTCACGAAACAACATCATAACATCTCACGCTTTTTTTTTGCAAAAAAAACAGTGAAGTTCAGTTGCCCCAAATCGAACATCTGACCCTCGTTATAACAGAAAGATGAAATGACCACTAGCAAAAAGCCATCTGCTGCGAGGAAATACGAAAAAAGCTCTAAAAAGTGGAATCTAGCAGCTCTTTTCAATAGTAACTATTGGTTTCTTCTTTCACAGTGGCTTTGTGAAGAACAAAAATGGGCATCGATTGGTACCCTTCTTGATAGTTGTTGAAGTGAACTAGACTAGATTCCCATCACATAGTACCCAAGATAAATCTCATCTCAATCAAGCTATGCTAACATTAACAGATAGGCGTACATAATAATTAATAGTGTTAGCATAATGATAATAGCAAGAGAAAAAACACTCTGAAAATAAGAGATGACAGATACCAAAGTAAATATCCAGAGTACTGCAATGAGTTGTAACATAAATAAACATCATTAACAGTATTAAATCTGCTTTTTTAACTCCTTTTTGATGCAGGCGATGTCAATGAGTAATGACGGAAAATAGTCAGGATGATGGATTTTCAAAGGGCCATACCACTGGATTTTACTAAGTGAACGAGAGGTTCAAGCTTAGTAGCTTCTGTTTCTTTTTCGATTCTCTATAGGATGGTATAGGTTCTATAGATTAATTCTTGAACTTTTAAAAATCCTCTGCTTGTAGCTCATAAAATATATGATTTTGAGCAAATTTATGAAGGGAACGCACATCTGGTACTTGAAACTCTTACATTATAATAGATATAATGTAGAGCTATCGAAAGGTTTTTGTCTTGTGCAAATCCGGTGAGTATTTGTCGAGATATGGTCGAAAAAGGGTATCATGCAAAATCATGGATTTTTTACCGAAATCTGCCTGTGATGGCAAGGGAAAAATCTGGTGACGATTTTTTTGGTCAGGACAAGATTGTCAATATTTCATGATAGAGTTATGCCAGAGCCTCAAGTAATAGCTCATTCGATAGGAAATTTTTCGGTCTACAATGTTTGGTAATGCTTAACAAAACGTTTTGATAACAGAGACTGATTAATCTTTATAAAACAGTCAAAAAATTGCAAAAACAATCGTACCAAATATCAGGTGAACAATGTACATTAGAGACTTGAAACAAATACCATTGCATTCTCCTTTAAATTCTCTACAAGCTTCATATAAGTTTGAAGAGTGTCTAATGCGAGAAATCACGACCCAAATACGTTCAAATTTTGCTGTATTCTGTACACATTTGAGTTGTAAATGTAATGCAATTAAGCTGCTCGCTCGTAATGGTTTTATTTCCATCGATGCAAATGTGAAGCGTCTCAGAAAAGCCATATTCATAGTTGCAGTTCATTTATGGAGTATTTTTGGATGATATTTGAATGGTTAAAAGTAAGAATTCAGTGTTCATTATATATTGGTTAGAAAGACTGATTCTCCTAGGATATAAGTCCAGAAAGAAGACGATGTTGATTGTATTATAGAGGAATTTATAATTTTGGATTCATTACAAAAACGGTTTGTGACATAAATCAGGCAAAAATGCGTTGCTGGTTCAACATAAATCAACAAGCTCATACTTCTCTTTGTAAGGTCAATACTTGATGGTAGTAGATGTATTATACTCCTAAATGTCACTTAACCAGTGTTATTCGCACAAGTACAAGTATAATTATCAGTTCCAGAGTTTTATTTAAATGACAAGTGCAAACTGATGAAAATACAGTAGTTGGCACAGAGCTCATGGCAAATTGAACGAAGCCTGTTCACAGCGAACTGCCTTCAAACCAGTGCAGAAGAGAACAGTGACCCCATAATCATCTTCCAAGCCCTCAGTATCGTTGTGTTCCTCCAAAGCGAAGTCTCCTGTATCTTCAGAGCGTGTCTTCTTCAATGTTATACAATGAAAATGTGCCCAAACCTCAACGATACAAGAAAGTAGGGAGTGCCCTGTCAGCGAGATAGTGTAAGGCAAACTGCTAATTCTCTTGTTCGCATTTCTGACCAAATGCTCCTCCTGACGGTGTCTATGTAACTGTTATAGTAAGAACCAAGAACGTTGCTGGGTTTGACTGCACAACATTGGAAACGGAGCCCACGTTTTGAAGAGACGTGCTGGTTGATTATTCTTTAAGACTGAAGACTTTCGCAAAGATCCCGTCAAAGAAGTATATGCTGGCTCATCAAACAACATATGCCAACATGTCAGCTTGTGTAATCCAAAGACTGAGATTGCTTGTACTCATCAGTCGTACATTGTTCAATTGCTGCAAGACGGATGTAAAATGCAAATAATAGAGACTATAGTGGTGTATTTCAGAATCCATTGATTTAACTTCCGGATTCTTACTGACAAAAAGTTACACGAGATCTTAGATGAAATGCTGTTTCTCTATAATGCATGCGTAAGATTATCTGCAATGCTCAGTGGGTATAAAAAGCACCCACTAGAAATCTTCAAACGTCCATTGCCTTTAGTAGGAATTCATGATTCTATCTAAAAATTGAGAACATCTAGAAACGCCGTGAATGAATGGATGATGAATATCAAAGATATCTATCTTTAGAAATATATGTATAGCAACATTTGATCCATTGAAACTTGTATAAGGATGAAAAGCCAATGAAAAGTTAGATATTGCATGATATGATGATATAGCATCGTCAAGCAGGTGACTCTATTTATTAGCGCCGCGAGCTATATATGATACAGTATGGTAGGGCCACGCTGCTCTCATGTAGTTTTACTTGCTTTAATTAACTTGTTATACACAGTTTCAGCATACAACAATAAACTCTTTTTTATTCTCTTTTTTTGTTTTACATACTTTGAAAGATGCCCATCAGCACCGAAACTGCCACCAATACCAACAGCAATGCCAAGCCCAACCACCAGCAACAACAATCACATCATAATGCTTCAGACACGGAAAAGAAGCTCCAATCCAAGCTGGAATCTTACAAGCATTTTGCACTGAAAATGTATCATCAAGCACAGTTTTACTGGGACGCGATCAAAGTCAATTTAGTACATCTGTGGCAATAGTAAAGTATAGCCTCAATTGATCACATCCACTTGTATTAATTCCTTTCATTTTCACGTATATAGCGAGGAGTTTAGATTGGGAGTCTACGTTTTTGGGTTGCTCTCGGTTATCCCTACAGCATGCTTCCTGCTGTTTCTAGCCGTTGTTGTCTTGCTCAGCACTGTCGTAGCCAGCTTTATATGGACATTTTTTGTATTTTCAGCACTCACGCTTGGGTTGATGGTCCTGGTGCCCATCTTGATGGCATGCTCGGTTACAGTTGGATTCTTTATCGTTGGATACCATGTTTACTACTACTTGTTAGGATTGAAACACGCAAACAAAAAGGCCGATGAATAAATTAGGAAATCTCTATATGGAGATCGAGATGGAGATGTTGTAAAATTGTATATAAGTCTGTAGGCTGATATGGGCGTTTTTTTTTTTTCATTATCGTGGAACAAAGTGATCGACACACATATTTAAGCATTCTTTGCCATTAAGCGAATCTCCTAATCAAAAGCTTCTCCGATGTTTTCTTCTTCATCAAGGAAATGTTTGTTTAACGGACTAAAACAATGCTGTAGCATAAACTCATCAAAATTGCCCCTTTCAAGGGTTCTGCCTTGCATTTTTCTTTGCTCACTCATTTTCACTCCTCCCCTTTATATAAATTACATCCGTCATTTGTGTTTGGAGATTTCACTCATCTTGCCTCCTTCTATATTGCGATTTGCGCTCTTCTCTTTGCTTCTTTTACCACTTTCTTGGATCTCCCCCCCCCCTTGATTTCTATTTGAGTATTTAACCTGGAACATCTATTCTTTCTGCATCTTTCTTCAGATTTACACATTTACACATTTACACATCATGTCTTCTTCTAAATCTTCTTCTATTCGCGTTCATCGCACAAAGTGGAGCAATACACCTATTCATACAATTGTTTGTACAAATTCAAATACGAATTCCAATAAAAGAAGTTCGTTTGAAGCCATCATCCACCATCCTCGCCGTTTGGGCTCAGGCTCTGCTTGTGAAAGATGCAGAAGCCGAAAAACGAAATGCGATGGCGGGCAGCCATGCTCGTTTTGTGCTTCACATGGCATTCAATGCGTTCATCGTCAAAACAAGAAGAAGCGGAATTCCTACCCGTATACCACTAGCACTGCCACAGCATCCACTACGGCTTCCAGCACAAGGACATCGGTCGTCGCCGCCACATCAGCGCCAATCAATGACACCAGTAGATTAGATGTAAATACCCAACTCCCTTCTCTGTATCGTCAGTATAGAGAGCCAGCAGAGCATTTAAAACAGATAAACAGGCAGCCTTCTTATTTTGATAAGGGAATACAGCAGGATCCCATCAAAATGAGTGATGGTAGTAGTACGGATAGTAGCATTAGCTCAATTTGCAGCATGCATGGTAATACACAGAAAATTTAGGCTTTTCCTAGGATTTGTAATGTTTACATCTCTCTGTTCCTGTAGTGTCTGAAGAAAAGTTTAACAAACAGATCCATGCAACATCTGCTGCACAGTTTGCAAATGATTCTCTTCCAGAATCTTGGTCGCCAAAATCAGCAAATATCAGAATGCCGAGCATAATGGGTAAGGAGAGAAATGGGTCGACCAAATTGACATAATATCCGAAATGAAAATGAAACGCGCACTAGTGTATTTATTAAAGTTTGATTAATAACACCTTCTTTCAATTTGTGTAGATCAGCTGTCATGCCATACATTTACACTAGAAGCTGCCTATTCCTCATGCTACAACACCTGGCAACAACAATGATGAAAAAGGGCAAGAAACTAGGTATCATCTGGACGAATATCAAACATACATGCAAACCCCGGAAGCACACTACACGCTTTTGTTTAATCTATATATGCTTTCTTCTCCTCTAATCGCTATCTCTTTTATTTCAGCATACATATATTCTCCTTTCTTTTAGTCTTTGTAGATCGCAAAATCAAACGGTAATAAAAACAGTTAGACATTGATATATGCGTCTATTTCACGGGCTAAGTAAGAGATTAGCAAGCTATTACAGAATAGTATAGGGGTAGTTCGCACCACATGTTGTTGACGCTTTCGGAATTGTAGGCAAAGCACTTAGTAATGCATATGCATGTCTGCAATTTGAGTGGAGCATCACAGTGACCAAACCGTTGCCTGAGATAGACATCCTAAACTGTGATCAGAAAGAGTAGATTGATATGAAATAACAGAATTTCATAGTGGCGGGTCCTTCATTTCATGCGGCCACAATAGTGAAATAGATCGAATTACAGCTAGGCATGGCGAACAATCGGCGGCCAAACTCCATTTGCTCCTGTTACTCACTCACAGATGTCCATATCCACGCATTTGATAGTTACTAGATGGGACATTGCGCTCTATTTCTTCACCTAAAGATTATGTTTCTCGTCTATATGATGCCTGATCATTTTTTTTTTCAATTTTCTCATATAGATGGCTTTGCATTACACATACTCTTTCCTGTTCAACTGCATGTCAAATGTGATGTTAGATGTTGTTACAATACCCCAGGAAGGTGACTGGTTTGATAGGCGACACACGCTTGTTCCATCATGTTAAAAAGGATGGGGTCTTGTTTTCAAACAAGTTTATTCCAATCTATTTCACAAAATGGCTGCTAAAAATCTCCCCAAGGTCTTCTTTGATGTCGCCGTCAACGGTACTCCCAAGGGTCGTATGACCTTCAAGGTAATCAATGAGGTTGATGAGCAACTCATACAATGTGAATTAACATGAACTTGACATATATGCTAGCTTTTCGCTGATACTGTCCCCAAGACTGCCGAGAACTTCCGTGCTCTCTGTACTGGTGAAAAGGGTATTGGCAAGTCTGGTAAGGCTTTGACCTACAAGAACAGTGCCTTGTAAGTAAACACGATGGAAACTAGACGTGCGCATGTTGATTTAATTGTGCTTCCTTTATGAATAGCCATCGTATCATTCCCGGTTTCATGGCTCAAGGCGGTGGTAAGTTATGTTGAGTGATGCATCGATGAATCATGAAGTTAAAGGCATGGCCGATTAGATTTCACTTTGGGTGATGGTCGTGGTGGTGAATCCATCTATGGCCACAAATTCAACGAGTAAGTGCGCGATTTTGAATGCATTTGAAACATTGGATATTCATGCTCTTTCATTTTCTTTTTTTTTTACAGTGAGAACTTTACCTTGAAGCATCAAGGCAAGGGTATCTTGTCTATGGCTAACGCTGGTCCTGTAAGTCTGGCAAAACGTAGTAGTGTGCGAATAGATAAACTCATGCTTATATTATAGAACACCAACGGCTCTCAATTCTTCATTACCTTTGACAGCACTCCCTGGTTGGATGGTAACCACACCGTCTTTGGTCAAATTACTGACGGCAAGGACGTTTTGGATCTTTTGGAGCAATATGGTACTCAAAGCGGTAGACCCACTGCCAAGATTGAAATTGTTGACTCTGGAGAACTCAAGGAATAAGATAATTTTACTCAATGCACAGTTTATTCGTTTCAATTTCACAAAAATGCAAATTAAATAAAAGAAAAAAAGAGAAATGAGACATTGAGTAGACACTCTGGTAGATAGATCATGGCAAGCTTCGTGAGTAACCAATTGTAGCACTAACTGTATCATACTCAAGTAGCTGCGTCTAGAGTTGCCTCACAATCAAGGCATTGTTGCTTTATTTAGAGGGTAATTTGATTCAAGACGGGTATATACCATTACAGCGTACAGTAAATCTCGATAGAAACGTATGCCGACTTGAGGGCTCATGCGTAGTAAGCAATAAAGTCAAACGCAATGAAAACGATCCATGAAACGGAACGGTTTGACAGATCTTGCAAATCTTTTGATTTCGGAACTATTGAAACCAGCTTCATTAACAAAGGTATGCTGATGTTGTAGTTAATGCAGCTGTTGTGAGCTTGTTGACGCATACTCTTTTCGTATGGTGAGGGCATCTTGATTGTGTCTTTTACCAATCAACAGCTTTGCAGATGTTGTATCTGGATATCGATTTCTTTCTTGATCGGGATGTCTGGGATCAGTGGATGCGACATTGAATGTTTGATTGGTGATTTTAGGCATGCCAATAGTGAGATTTACTGTAGAAAGATGAAATGCCAGTACTATGTGAAAAAAAAAGCTATATATAAGATTTTAAGGATTGACTCTGTGTTCATAATTGATATGGCAGGTGTAAATATTTGTTTATTCCATGAAAATCAACATGTAATTTGACGAAATAATAGTAATAATAAATGATTAAATTAGTAGTAGAAGCTACGCTGTTGTTGCGGTGGTTGCTGTTGCTGCTGTTGGTTGTTGAATACACTGGGTGTGGAGGTATTGACAGTTTTAAACACGGCATACTTGTCAGTGGGATCTATAAAAACAAAGACTATATAAGACATATTTCTTTGACATGTACAAAACATTAAATTTTACCTATTTGAGCATGATTGCCATAGTGTTGTTGTGGCACAAAACCTGTATTCTGTGGAGGAATGCCATAATTTGGTTGCTGCTGTTGTTGTTGCACCATGGCAGGGTTGTTTAGCGCACCACTTCCAAATGGATTATCAGGCGTTGCATTGGCCCAGTTTCTACCTGATGCAGCACCTGTGGTTTGATGTTGGATTTGAGGCGAACCAAAACTACTCACTGTGGATTGATAACTGCTAGCAGTTAATTGTGGTGCAAGTGGCGGTGGTAATACAGATTGTAAAGGAACAACTTGAGGAGAAGGTTGATGATACATGTATTGATTTAGTGAGGATGAACTGTTGTTGTTTGTGAATTGCGGTTGTTGCTGTACAGATGGTGATGCAAAACTATTTCCTGTAGGTTGTTGTTGGAAGACGTTGTTGGCAAAATTAGGTGTCGCGGGTGCTGGTTGCTGCATTTGAGGCAAGGATGTCATACTGGCCTGTGGTTGCAATGTGGGCAGTGATGCAGTGCTTCCGTGATTCAGCATGGTAGGCAATGAAGTCATGCTGCCCTGAGGTTGGAAGCCTGTTGTTTGAGGCTGCATAGTAACACTGCGCTGTAAAGGTGCAAAATTTGTGTTGGGCGTTGTGATGGTGGCTGTGGTTGGTGGAGGTGGTACGGGTCGACTGTTGGCAGCAGCAAGAGCAGGGCTGCCTCCCCATTTAGCTAGTAATTGAGGGTCTACCATGCTCTGCTGAGACAGCTGTGGTGTAGGTCGTTGGCGCGCAGGCGAGGCGATATTGGGTGACACGGTGTTGCTTTGTTGGGCGGAATTCCATGCTGGAGAAGCTGCGTTAGCTGCTTGAACAGATGGAGACGAGCCAGCGCGAGGAGCCCAAGCATCATCTTCGAATGCTGGCTTGGGAGGTGCAGTGTTGTTGTTATGAACGGGTTGCGCAACCAAAGGCGTAATCTCTCTTTGCTGTTGTTGTTGATGTTGCTGTCGCTGAGGAAGAGATTGAACAGGCGACGCTTGGACAGGCTTCAATGGCTCAAACTTTTGTGGTGTCAATACAGATGAACTAACATCGCGAGGTGCAGAGTGTGAAGGTGTAGGTCTTCCAGTACCACGGCGATGCAATGAGCTGCTTCCACCACCACCGCCATTCTGTTCTTGCTCTTGCAATTGTCTTGCCAAAATCTCATCTTGCTCAATCTGCCATTGCACATCGTCTTCATTATCGCTATCACCGTCTTCGTGAATATAACTGACAGCACCAAAGGTCACTGATTTCTTGACCTTCATCTTGGGTCTTGCTAATCCGCCAGATTGTGTGCCTTCATTGTCAGATGGTGGTTCCGCTTGGTTTGTCTCGATAAATCGTTGGATACGCTGAACGTGCTTTTCAGACATTCCCAGCAGCTTCATTTTGCGGTGTGTGAGACGTTCTACATCATGCTCTGTCAATTTGTTGGCGTCAAAGTTGCCTGCGTACTCGACACAAGCACTGTGAGGAAGATTTGCCTTTTTGAAGTAGTCAAACCAAGAGAATTTACTGCTGCTGCTGTTGTTGTTGAGTTGAGCAAGTGGTATATTGTCATTTGTATCTTCGTATTGCTTGATACCCGTCTCTTGCTCAATGTATTTCAGATCCTCGATGCACATCTTTTGTGTGGGCACATCGATCTTGACGCCGTTTGTCTTGAACAGTCTGATTTTACCGTTGGCACATGAGAGGAACTGGGCTTCCACTTTGAAGGCGCCTGTGCGATCTGTCCACATTCTCACCTTGGCGGGATCAGGCTCTAAATGGCATAGTTAGCTCTGACGAGTAAGTGCCTGAAATACAATGGTCTTACTATTCGGATCCGTATGCTTGGGTGCTGGAGGCTGCTGTTGGTTGTCTACATTGGAACAGTATTAATATGCCAGTATATGCGTATATCAGCTATTCATCCTACATGTGGGCAAACTAGGCGATGGTGCTGTATGACTGGGTGGTGGTGGTGCAGGAATCTGACTGCGTCCTATTTCACAAAAAAAACGGTTACACATCAAATAAGACGCAAATCAGAATTACTTACTAGGAGATCCACCGCCCATCTGAGGGGAAGCCATCGCAGTGGCTGCAAGCTATTCAGAAGCTCAGTAAAATGGACTTATTACCGCCATGCACACACTTACATTAGCCTGTCTCTTGGCATCAAGCTCTTTCTGCTTGGCTTCTTCCTGCATTTTGCGTCTTCGGTCTACTTCAGCCTGTCGTGCTCTCTCCTTCTCTTCCAAATCCCTTTGACGATTAAGCTCTGCCATCTCCTTTTGTCTTTGCTGCTCACGTTGGTCCTCCTCTTGTTTGCGTTTCCTCTCCTTTTCCTCCGTTTCTTGTTGTTTTTGTCTGGCAGCCATCTCTGCTTCTTTTGCAGCAGCGGCAGCAGCAGCCTCTAATCTTTTCTTTTCCTCCTCTGCTTCTTCGGCCCGTAAATCTGCTTCGTACTCGTCTTGGAATTTCACATAATTTGCTGGGACGATACCGGCTGTGCCATCTTTGTGCTCTATCGTCCACCAATCCGTGCTGTTGACATAATCAGTGATCAGCACTTGTTCATGTTCTTCCAAATAGGTTTCTTCGCCGGCTTCAGGTTTGAAAGGGAACAGTGCAATAGCCCATTTCGGTTCACATGCTGGAGTAGGATTAGCAGAGGCGGGTTCTTGAATGACTGGCGATACTTGTGTTGCGGGTGCGGGTGCGGGCGAAGGTGTATGAACTGAAACAGGCGATGGACTAGTTGTCATAGCTGCAGGTGATGGTAGAGCCAACCCAACAGCGGCGTTGGAAGCTGTTTTCGAAGACTCGATCTTTGCCAAAATACCTTTAGCCTCTGATTGAGAGGCTGTTTGAAAGTCGAATACAGAGTGTTGAGCATCGTTCATTTCGATATGTACATTCTTCCCATCGATAGAAGCTGTCAGGACTTGATTGACTTGGAATTGACGCACAGGCGATGATTTGTCCGTCTCACTTCCATAGCAAAACATGCCGTTGCCCACCAATAAATTACCTTTGGATTTAGTCTTCTTCTTCTTAATTACATCATATTCATGAACGGACCAAGATAGTGCTGAATCACTGCGATTCAAAACGGGTGATGCTGATGCTGTGTTGGTAGTAGCAGGTGTATTCAGCCAGGGCGAAGCGCTGGCCACTGCTGGTAGAGTTTTCTCGACGTTGTTGATAGTAGCTCCTTGTTGTTCTTGTTGCTCCACATAGTTGCTCGGAGCTAAACCAATATCACCGTTTGATTTCTCGACGACAAACCAATCTGGATCGTCGTTCTCGTACAAGGTCAGTACTTCGTCTTCTTTAAGTTCAACTTCTTCAACGGATTGAGGCTGGTAGTCGTAGATTGCTTTCACAGTGCCAATTGGCTTTGCCTATAAATAGATCTCCAAGTAAGAAACAAAACTCCCTCACCTGATGCACAAGACGACGCTTACCTTTTCAACATAGTTGGAGGGGATGATACCAATAGGACCTCCATCAGGCGCTGAAGGTACTTTTAATTGAGCTTTGTACCAGTCCGGGTCATTGTTCTCGAGAATGTACAGGATATCATCCGCATTGAAGGATAGTTCTTCGTCATCTACTTGCGCTTGATAGTCATAAAGTGCGGAGCAGATGGCAACGTACTTCATGATTTTGGTGAATGTATAAGAAAAAGAAAGGTAAGAAGAAAGAGGAAAAAGAAAGATGTATCGAAATGTAATTTGGTAAACAGGGAAAGAGGGAAGAAGCAGAAGGATTGCTTAAATTGGCACACCACCACGGCGTGATGATTAGAGTCCCGCTTTTTGAATATGCCATTTGGGAAAGGCATCATCTCGCTCCATGTTGAAAGCACGCGCGATCAGACTGTACTAATTAGATTGGGAGGAAGGGGGGGGTTGTCCTTGTTGAATTTGTGGACCCCTCAATCCAGTCAGTCATTCCATTCTAAGAATAAAAACAAAACTTGTATGGTATATACTTCAATGTTGTTCAAATGAATGTCAATGCTGGACCCTTAAATACGATACATTTGAAGCATGGCTTTAGGATCTAATCATGTTTAGATTCCCGCGAGATCGTAGATCTCCTCTCTTTATGTCATTGGATTCAGCGACGATAAGCTATAGTACATGAAGCTGATGGCTCTGTTCTTGCTCCTCAATCCGATGTGCCAACAGCCATAATATATTTGGACCTTACAGCATTTTATAAGCATGATGATTGATACATGGTAAGAAAGCATACTTTCGTAACTGAAATGCAATACCAAGATGTCAGCCATCACTAAGCTCAAAAGAGAGCATCCTTTCACCCACTTTACACACAATAATAGATGAACTCGTGCAAGAGATGGAAATATCATAATCCTTTAATGCACCGCCAGGCACACACAAACACACCTGCAACAACAAACTCGATACAATCGAATAAGGAGGAGACTATGATGTAAACAAGAACAAATATTCGGCAAAATCGTGTAAGCTGATCTGTGCAACAAACCGTCCATTTTCACTCCTTGAAGTGTTTTATATCCATTCTCTCTCTCTCTCTCTTTTGTCTTGTTTTCTTCTTTTTATCTCTTCTCTCTCTCTCTCTTTTTACCTTCTTTCCCTCTTCTTGTGGATCCTTTTAAGTATAAAAGAAAAACGCGAGTGTGCATATACAATAGATCATCATGAGAGAATATAAGCTCGTCGTATTAGGATCTGGTGGTGTAGGCAAGTCAGCATTGGTAGCGTATTTATCAATGTTATCCGCATTCTGCTCTTCTCATTGTTTACTTTGTTTAGACTGTGCAATTTGTTCAATCCATTTTCGTCGAGAAATACGATCCCACCATTGAAGATTCTTATCGTAAACAAGTTGAAGTAGATGGCCAACAATGTATGCTTGAGATCCTTGATACAGCAGGCACTGAGCAATTCACAGCCATGAGAGATCTTTACATGAAGAATGGGCAAGGCTTTCTTTTGGTATTTTCAATTACAAGTTCTGTTACTTTGACGGATCTCATTGAATTGAGAGAACAAATTCTGCGAGTGAAAGATGGAGAGAATGTAAGACATGACAGATCAAGAAAAAATATATGTATGTGTGGGTTACCATGGTTACTCATATAATCTGGTTTCAGGTACCAATGGTGTTGGTAGGTAACAAGTGTGATCTAGAGGAGGAGAGAATGGTTTCAAGAGAGCAAGGCATGGAACTATCTCAACAATGGGGAGGAAAGCCTTTTTATGAGACATCTGCAAGATTCAAGATCAATGTGGATGAAGTATTTTATGATTTAGTCAGGCAAATCAATAGGCAAATGCCCTTCAAAGATAAACAGAAAAAGAGACTCAAATGCATTGTGTTATAAATTCTGTTTCTAGCTTTCTTTTCCACTGTACTAAACTACTATTTATTTGTCTGCGACATCTTTTTCTTGCATATATAAATATCCCTCTTTCACGCCATATAATAAAATATATCTTGCTCATCATGTATCAACCATGGCTCTAAGTATCACATGAGAAAGGGAGAAAGAAAAGGGATCAAGCAAATAGACAGGAGAAAGTGTGTGTTTACGTATGTATCGTGTTGTCAGACAAATGACACATGTGTGTTTACATAAATGAATCAAGATGAATGCTTTTCAGTAATGAGACATGCCCTGACATACCACATTATTGTACATGTTCACGTATGTGGACCTGACATTGCTGTACATATGCCTTATCAGGGAGCAGTATACTACACGTTTTATGCCACAGATCTGAAAGGAGAAATGAGGAGGGACCAGATACAACAAGTTTAAAATATGTTTTCTTGATAGGTTTATAAAAATACAATTTAGATATAAAATAGACTCTTATTAATAGTCGTTGTAGACGGTGAGATTTCCAGCAAGCGTCATTGCCAATCCTACAGTTAACGCAACTGTAGCACCTGCCGCACTTGTAATGACAATGGGCTTCGTTAAACCAGGTAGTCGCTTTACTGCGTATTCTGTCAATCTGCCGACGCCCAATGCAAAATAGACACACAAGTACTCTGAAATGGGGATGAATGTTGCGCGGTAATAGGCCTTGTCTTTATGGAATCCCCAATAAGCCCAGATGAAGAAGGCAGAGTAAATAACACCCATCAAAAGTCTGTTCTGGCTCAATTTGGTTTGGAAAACTTGATTTACCAGGAACATAATCATGAATCCATATGAAAATATCTGCCATCCGATGCCAGGTTGAATCAATGCAGTGAGTGTGCCATGAATAAAAACCCACGTTTCCAGGAGCAAAACCCATGACTTGTTGCGATGACTCTGCCATGGTAGAGGTTAGTATATGACAAAGCATGAGGTTCAAAGCCAATGATTCGTACGTACCTTGTGTAAAAAGTTGGTTGATTGCCAAATCAGCATACACTGATATATAAAGCCAAATGTGTGGCCCATTGTTCCTTCCTAATGGCGTTGGTGGTGAGTTCTGGGTTCAAAGCATTTTACATATACACACAAGCATACCACCGGATGATAATGAAAGTTGAGCACAGTGCCAAAACTCATAGCATAGCCATGATACTTTCGAACAAATTGGATAACTGCATCAGAGGCTGGCCTCTTTCCGTACCCAAAAAGAACTCCTCGGCTGCATAAACGAAAAGAGTATCAGCCATTGCTTCGGTCATACTCATTCGTTGCTACTTACTATGGAATTGCAATGATGATAGCAAATACAAGGATTAATACTACAGACCCTTGAGCAATACCTTCAGCGACATCAATAGCCAAACCGTCGTAGAAGATGTGCCCATGTACCAACTTGTATACTGTCATGAATCCATTCAAATACACCATTTGCCAATTCCACCATTGATAATCATCGCTCCAGCGTGTCTGTTTCTTTTTTGATAGCTGTACCATTGCAAGAATGAACCATTGCCCAAGTTGATGCATTGCATATGTAAACCAAGCGATCGTTTTTCCAGTTTGGCTTGGCTCTATACGTCTCCAGGGGTATGCAAAGGGTGTGTATTTACCTTTTTGCCCATTGTCAGGTTTGGCATATTCTTTGTGCATTGCATTGTGTACCTACCATTGATGTAGCGAGAGCCTCGTATACGGAACCTTCCAAACCCCATATCACCCTTTATCGGCTTGGAATTGTAAAAATCGAGCCATGTGTTTGGTGAGTTCCATAATGCAAGCGCTGTCACCAACAAGCCAAAGCCAAAGGAAGCTACTATGTAGATTGTGAATGGATGCTTGCTGAATATACTCTTTTGCTGCTGCTGTTGTTGTGCAGGCTTAATCTGTCCCATACTTTTGCCAAGAACGACTGAAAGAAGAAAAAAGAAGGATGGAAAAAAGGAACTTGAGTTTCTATACTATCAAATCGACGATTTCAAAGGGAAGACTATTTCCTTACAAGTCCTCCTACTTATTTGCTGGGTTTTGTAACAAGCACAAAGTGGCACGATACACAAAAAAAAAAAAACAAATGATACCACCATCATGCAAAACTGTAGAAAAAAAACACTTTATTCAGTCAACTAAATTATGGCGATTTTACTGGGATCCTGATTAATCTCGAGCAGTACATCCGACTCCAATGATAAACACTCCAAAATCAACGTAGTTTCATCGTCGATCTGGCAATCGATAAGTCTCAATGTAGATAGCTGGACGCAGTTTTTGAATAAATATTGATAGACGCACTTGTCAATAGAGATGTTCTTGACTGTCAGGGCTATTAAGGATTTATGTTTGGCGTTCTTGACTGGACTCGATACTGTAACTTTGACGTCGCTCTGCATGCAGTCACCGCAAAACTCGTACAAATGGGATGAGAGTGTCAATGACTCCAGGTGTGTAAAGTAGCTCAACACTTGATCAAAGCACACGCAACGTTTCTTGGTAATCACAGAAGACCATAAAAAATCACCTCCAATGCCAATATCCAGACTAAGTTCTGTCACGAGCTTGTTGATAGGGCTGATGATAGTATATGCCAATAAGTCCAGCTCACTGACATTGTGCTCATCGTCCTCTTCATCAGATTCTCGAATAAAGCGATACTCTAGCTGATGGTGAGCCCTTTTCTGCTGTTCATGTGTCTCTGATCTTGTCAGTTTTGCCAAGAATTGGTGATGGCAGTCAAAGTCGCCAGGCACGACAAAAGATGCCTTGACGGAAACAGGCATTGCCGTTCCCAGGTCGTTGCATTGGTCGTACAGCAACGTCGCAGTAGCAGCCTGTAAGAATGATATGTCGTCTACAAATTTGAAGTCCATTTCCAGTTCTCTGATTGAGGTGCTCTTTATCAGATCTATCAGTGATCGCACAATTTCGAACTTGGTATGCTGTCTGGCAGTGTAGCCAGCATGTCGTGGGGTAACGTTGCTAATAATCATGGTTAGTTTGTCAATGTCGTAGTAGGTAGCTTTTATGATGGGAAACCATGCTGAATCTGGGTGGTGAATAAGGCATTTCAACTCTTGTACATGGTTCATGTGCCGGTCCACAAGCGAAAGAGGAGGAGGAGGATCACTGATGTTCTCCATGCACACCATCAAGCTTAATTCTCGAAGCAATGGAGCACAGACATGTATTGATTTCAATGCATCTGTTGTCAACAGTAAATGGCATGTCGCAACATCCATCTTCAGTAGTCTGGGACAGTGCGGTGAGGTGGTCATGAAGAATAGTATTGACTGGTCTTGTGCATAGAAGGCCACTTGCTCTAATCTGTCTTTGAGTTTGATGCATACCTCCAAAGAAGCTCTGTTGCGCGAAATGGGTACTTTTCGTAAATGCAGCCAAATGGTGGATAAATCAAGGTCGTTCATGCAACGCCAATATTTATTGTGTGAGAACATCAGCTCGTTTAGATTGGAGCAGTACCGTGATAGTAGCTCGAATTCTGTAAATGTCACTGGCCTTTCGTTGAAATCTTCAATGTAGAGCTCGAGTGTCTTTACAAATTTGCCTGGCGTGAGTTCGTGATGAGCGATAACGTATAAAAATGCTCGAAAGGATCTGCATGTTTTGATGGTAACCAAGTTGAATAAGGACTCGAACATGGGTCGATGCCAGCTTTTGCATACTAAAAGACACTCTAGCATTTCTTTTGTTGATAGGTAGCGAGATATATGTCGAACGACTTCAAAGGGTATAAGCATATTGTGGTTATCAAAAGAGTTTAATAAAAGTAAAAGAGTAGGTGTTGAGGGGAAGCAAGTCGGCATTTATTTTTCACTGGCCACCACTACAGAGACAACATTAATTTGCTGACATAAACTAGTTCCTAATAGCTTGACACCAATATGATGCCTACTTGCACCTTTCTATCGCTCAAAAGTACCGTTTTAACAGTAACTATTGCATCCAGCTTATATTAAGTTTATACAGAATTAAAATGTGCATCGAATGGTTCCTCTATTGAAAGTTAACCGACAGCTTCTTTTCAGACAAGCCTGCTTTTCCCATGTATTTAAAGGCTTTCACAGGAAAGCATGTACTAGACCTGTACCAAATTACATGTAGAAATACTCAGTGCTTAAACATAAGAGTTAGTTATCGTTTAGGGCTCTACTCGAATCTGTAGCATCAGTTCTCATGAATCTACTGCACCCAATAGGTCAGCCCCTGCCAAGTTGCCGAAAAACGATCGCTCAAGGCTAAATTTTGCTACAATGGCGCAAATAAAATTCTTTTTGGTCCCTAGAATCAGAAATTCTACGCCCTAGATTTATTTTATAGACTTGAGCACCACATCGACATTCCCATGGTGTTGATAAAAAAAAAAAACGTGTTTTTGCCACTGTAAACTCCAATTTAAAGGTGGAAAAAAACGATTTTTACAAAGAAGCACCGTAGATGTCCCAACGAGGTCTCATTTTATAGAGCAAACAAAGAGGAACAAAGTTCAACTAATGAAAAAGCCATGTTGAGTTGACAGTTGATCAAGAAACAGCGTCCAAACATTGTTCTTTTATATATTGGCTACTTTACACTTTCCTCGCTTAATTATTTGACAACCAATGTAGCGAGTGAAAATTCGTTCATATGTTTAACAACACCTCCAAACTGGGCATATAACTTTCCTGATATAAAGGCTCTATAGCATCAGTAGTGAGCGTGCAATAGTTGTTTTCCTGTTTTCGTAAAATGCGCAGCACAGCTTTAAACCGTTGCTACACTACAACGAAGCAAGATATCGCCAAGCAGTTTTAAACACAATGCTTTCCAACACCTAGTCTATCGAAATATTACGCATAACCGCTTGTAATTAGCATGTTCTTACATGAAGCTCACTATTCAAAATTGAAATCATCTATTTCTCAGCAGCAGCTCATCCAATCTAAAGTCCACTTGCACCAGCGTTTTTATAGCAAAATTTCATAATAGGAACATGCTACTTCCAAAGCATGAATCAAAGCTGGATGAAAGATAAGGAAAAATAGAAAGGAATAACCCAAACTAAGGAAAGAAGTGGTTGCGATGATGCGTTTTTATAGACATGAAAAAGATTTTAATGCTGAACGAAGCTTCAACGACGGGATAGTCGAGATGATTAAAGTTACCAAGCGTTATTCTTCAAATTTGCAGTAGACTTCTTCAAGCTATCCTCAAGTTGAATAACATCATCATCACAAGTGCGGCTGTAGTGCATGGCATCGAGTATCTCACCAAATACGCATAAATGAATGATTCAAGGCTGCAATCTTAAAGGAAAGAAAAGACCAAAATCTGGTGTGTTTATTCAAACTTTACTTTTTACTTCCAAACCATCCACCTCCACTGGGCTTCTTACTATCATCACCACCTCTTTCAGGAATTTCAATCTTACAAATACGATGCTTTTTATCTAGTGCTTTATCCACGACAATGTGCACTCGTCCACCGTCCAAGACATCATCATTTTCATTTGCTTTGGCAATCAAATTCACCACCTTTCTTTCTACTTCATACTTGATACTTCGAGCACCGTACCGAATATTGTAACCATCTGACAAGACATCAACCACTTCTGGATCCCACGTCATGGTGATACCATGGCGAGCTCTTGCCTTTTCAGCCCATCTGGACAACTCTCTGGATGTAATCTCTCGCAATTCCTCTTCGCTGAACGGTAAGAAGAATAAGACTTCGTTGATACGGCCCAAGAATTCGTCACGACGAAAGTGTTCGTAGAGAATGGGGTAAATAACGTGCTCAATGAATTGACGTGAGAGTGAAATCTGTCGTTTAATCAAGTCGTCTGAAGCTGCTGCTGTGGTATTATCTTGCTCTGCTGATTTGGGCTTCTTGTTGGTGTCTACCACAGTGGCAGTGCCTGTAGTCTGTGCGTCGGATGAGACGGAGGCTTCCAGTCTCAATAATTCTGCTTCATCAGCAATTTCATGTTGTGCCAAGTTGGACGTCATGACAAAAATAGCGTCTTTGCATTCGACTGTGGTGCCCTTGCCATCTGTAATACGGCCTTCGTCAAACAGTTGCAACATGATGGTCAATACATCAGGATGCGCCTTTTCTACTTCATCCAACAATACAACAGCGTTTGGGCCTGAAAGAGAGTGAGATCAGCAATGGATGATCTCGGATAGACTAGCAAGATACTTACACTCTTTCAACTTCTCTGTCAATTGTCCACCTTCATCGTAGCCCTTTTAAGAGACAATCCAACTGAGTCATATCATACAAAGGCAACATCTCCTGACACTACTTACCACATAACCAGGTGGAGAACCAATGAATCGAGACACATCGTGCTTGTGTTGAAACTCGCTCATATCGATTCGAACAAACCCTTTGTCTAATTGCTTGCCATGCAGATGTTGCGCCAAAGCTTATTGGAAAGAGTAATCAGATAAGCGTCTCTCGGAGATACTTGAGTCTTTCTTACCTTTTGCAAGTTCGGTCTTGCCTACACCAGAAGAACCACAGAACAAAAATACGAGAGGGTGTTCTTCATCATGCCATCCGTTTTGTTTGCGTCTAATTGCACTTGCAAGAGCATGAATTGGTCCCAATTGTCCCACAATACGAGCCTTCAAAGCGTCTTCCAATGGGTGCTTTTTGCGATATTCTTTCTCCTTTAAAAGTTGGGCTTTACGTTGACGTTCATCATGCTCTGCCTTGTCTTTTGGATAAGATGTTTCCTTTTCTGCAACAAGTTTGAATTCGCAATGTGAGCTCTTTGCTTTTTATACTGCCCTCACCAACTTACTATGCAACATTTCCTCGATTTCTGTATTTTGCTCGCCTGTAAACCTTTCAACGTAGTACAAATATTCACGAGGTGTCAAACCATGCGAGTTGCGAACCAGAGGATCAGCTAAATGGTCAAGCAACATCTTGACAATCGTGGGATTGCAAATAATCACTGCATAATGAAGAGCGGTATAATCGCGATAGTCTCTGTAGGGCAATAAATCCTCTGAAAAGTCGACTTGACGTACATTGGCAGCTTGATGAGATCGGGGGTAGTATTGATCCTCCAGATTGGGATCTGCAAATTGTGTGTAAATATATAAACTAAGTGGATGATCATCTTGTTGTTGTTGTTGCTGTTATCCAAGTAAACATACCTGCCCCCTTTTCCAACAAGAACTTGACCATAGGCTCGTTGTCTTGAATCACTGCTACTTGCTGTGACATACCATGTCAATGGAAAACGTCAGAATAAAGCGTGTGACAATGACTTACCAATGGAGTCCAGCCGTAGCGATGATAGACATTTGGGCTGAAATTGGGGTCCTCTGCCAATCTTGACATCGAAACAGGTGTGAGCTCATGTCTAGCAATATGGTGGCAGTGCTGTACCTACTTTTTCAAAGCTTTGAGATCATTGTGGACAATGGCTTGACAGATGGAGTCGCCTAACGCTATGTGAAATTCAGTAAAACTGCATAATGCCTATGACCCAAAGCTAATATTACAATCATTTGCCTCCAATGCAAGTACATTGTTGTTCAAAAGTCCATAGGTAATGGCTGAAGTGGCGAGGACAGCAAACGTTTTTCCTAAATTTGAAAGATAGCGTGTTTTCTGCTGTTGTGTAGCGACTACAATAGCAGTTGTTGACAAGTTCTTGATGGTAACATTGCATGCTGATCTGGGAAAGCGCACTGCAGAGCCAGGTCTTACGAGCGCACGTACAGGCACCGTGGATTGTAATGTCTTGAGTCTCCACATTGTAATGAAAAAGAGAAAAAGAGAAAAAGAGACAAAATCCAAAACGCATGATTTTGCAATGAATTTATATAAAAAAAAAAAAAAAATTCTGAGTTTTATTGATAACACTTGGCCCTTGGAAAAGAAGCTGATCAACAAGATGTATAGATAGAAAGGGAAATTAATTAAGGCATGTACATGGTAGTTGGAAAGAGAAAGAGAGGGGGGGATATGTTACAGTTGCTATTACCAAATGCACAACAGTGAATTACTCGACTGCATCGCTGATACCGTCCTCCATAATGGCAAATGTGCACTCGCTCTCTGCTAATGAAGGCGAATCATAGATTTTACAAATACGATTTTCACCACGTCCTTTACGCAACTGCAATCTGGTACATGATGCATGAGCAATGATGTTACCGCCTGCAGGTTTCTTGGGGTCTGGGTTGAACATGGAAGCTCCACCATCCACCTGCGAAACGACCTGGTTTGTAATGACCACAGCTACACCAAACTCATCTGCTAAACGTTGAAGCTGTCGAAGGAACTGGCCCAAATGGATTTGACGAGCTGCTAATTCGCCACGACCAGCAAAGTCTGTGCGGTACAGCGCCATGGCAGAGTCAACAATCAAGATGGAGAATCGTGCTTCTGACATCATGGCAGCAGCCTGGATCAAGAGTGATGTTTGGTGGTCTGTGTTGTAGGCACGAGCATATGCAATGTTGTCTAATGTCTCCTCGCCGTTCAATGAATATTTGTTTGCAATAGAAAGAATACGACTGGGGCGAAATGTGCCTTCTGTATCGATGAATAAACATTTGCCTTCGCCTCCTCCCATGGACACTGGCAATTGCGCAGTAACTGCTAATGTATGACACAATTGACTCTTTCCTGTTCTGAACTCTCCAAACAACTCTGTGATAGATCCTGTCTCGATGCCACCTAGGCTGTAGTGTCAATACCCTACGCTCCATTCCGCAGTCAAATCAATACCAACCTCCCAGTATGCGGTCCAATTCAGCAGATCCTGTTGTGATGGTAACAATCTCTTGTCGACGTTGATGCACATCCATTGCCGTAGTAAAACCCAAATTGACAATTTTCGCAGCTACCAAGCTTGATAAATACGCAGTGCCATAGAAACAGTAGTTTCCAGCTTACCTTCTCCCAATATTCTATCTGCTTTTGTCTCTGAAATGCCCTTGATAGCAAGCAATGCTTTTTTCGGTGCATAGGCAACCGATTCAACAGTATAGTAACCGCCTTCCTTTAATTTCTTGATGTCCGTTGCTGAAATGCCAGAGGACTGCAAATGCCAATATGTCAATGATCAAATCCTCCACCTTGGTGTCATCTCAACTACTTGCCTCTAGCTTGGAAATCAACAAGAATCCAGTCTCTTCATCATCGCTTTGTGTTTGGGACATTTTTTTCAGTTCAGTGCAAGAGTAAAGATAATGTAATCAAAAAGGGAAGAGAGGAATTGGATTCGAGATGCGAGTGGCGTCCCTTTCTCGTGTTTCTGGATAGCGCGACTGTGATTTTCAATCTGTGCAACAACTGCTACGGAAATCCATGCAATGTGCGATTTGATTCGTTGCGAATAAAGGATAGCATATTTGTTATGATTTGACAGGGCAAACTGCAAGTCTTGCAGTGACTTATGGTATAGCATATAGTACAAGAAGTTTATTTTTACTTCTTTATCGCTTGGATCCAGGGATGGCTTAGCGCTTCATGTGGTTTTAATCTTTCATCAGGTTCCCAAGTGAGACATTTACTGATGAAATCTCCAAAATCTCTATCAAGATTGTCATAGGTGGATCGTCTGAGTGCTTCGGTAAAGGTCAATGAATTAGGTCTTCTTTTCTTGCCTTTGGAGTTGATTGATTTACGAGGCTGATCGTACATGTCTATCAGAGAATGTTTCATAAGTATGTTTTTTCAAGAAATTCCATAGCCAACACATACCAAAAAATTGCTTTTTCCGTGTACAGCGATCCAAATAATCTTTGCTGGGCACACCCAATAGTTGCATGATGCACGCCAGTTGATCGGGCTCATTTTCGCCCGGAAACAATGGTTTCCCAGTATACAGCTCTGCCAATATACAGCCTGTACTCCACATGTCGATCGGTAATCCATAATCCAAACCTAATATCACTTCTGGAGCACGGTAAAATCGACTCTGAATGTAGGTGTAGACTTTTTCGTTGACATAACATGAGCTTCCGTAGTCAATGATTCGAATACCGCTTCGATCTGGCTGCTTCAACAGTATGTTTTCTGGCTTCAAGTCGCAATGAATGACATTGTGTTCACTCAGAAGCTTCAAGGATGTCAATATTTGAAAGGCGAATCTGCCATCTGGTGTAAGTATGCTGTATCTCCCAGCCCGCCATGAATGAGCTTACCTCTTGACCAGTCCCATGCTAAATCCTTGGTATGAGTTTTGCTGTAGAATTTCATACAAATTAAGACTCAAGCACTCAAACACAATGCACAAATGATCCCTAAAGTAGAAGCTATCCATCATTCTGACATTGTAATGCTTATTCTTGGGGTCCTGTATGCTCCAGATATAAGTTAAATAAGCGTCTTTTTTTACAACTTTAAGCTTACCCATTTCATCAGCTTTTCCAATATCCGCACTTCTGTCTGTGCTTGTGCATGAAATCGCTTCTTATTGCGGATAATCTTGACAGCCACAAAACCTTGATCACCTTGTATCTTGTGATCCTTGCATTTCACCACTTGTCCAAACGACCCCTTTCCCAAGCTCTCGACAATTTCGTAGCGATAATTCAAGTGATCTTTCACGGCAATATGATAATCACCCTTGTCGTCATCATAGCCATAGTTATGTGCTGTTTCGTCAGTGGAGGCCTGATGCTTTTTGGCATGTGAGCCAACATAGTAAATAGCTGGGTAGCGCATTATTTCTGTTTTTTCAAATGGCGATAGGAATGGTCTGTACTTGTTCAGCGCAGCTATTCATCAAGTGTTAACTAAGCATACATAGCCAATGTATAGTGTGAACTTACTCTTTGCACTCATGACCTCTGTATTACCATGCTCCTTCTTATACTCATGAATGACTGGTTCATTAATCTGTTGTTGTTGCTGCTGTTGTTCTTCATTTTCTGATGGAATACGGACATCTACCAGGCATTGTAGTCTGTCATGTATCTTGTCCATTCGAGCATCATGCGAGGCAGTGCGGCTGATGCCAACAGACGCAATTCCGTTTGCTGAATGCTCATCTGTAATATCATCCGGTTGGCTGATGAGACCTTGTGCAGATATCAGATTGGCGCTGAGGCGTCTTGAGTTTTCCCTCTCCTTATCTAGCTGGTCTTGCACAATGTCGTTTGTAGGAAATGAGGGTCGTCTAGTGTAGTGTACAGATATCTCCTTTCTGGGATTGGATGGCAGTCTTTTGATGGATTTGGGTACAATCACCTCAGGTTTTCTTAATTTAGTGGCAAGAGTTGTGGTTGTATTTGGTGGTATATTTGGCACCTGATTTATAGCAGCAGCAGATCGGGTGACAACCGCTGGTTCCTGAATCTGGTGTGGTGTTTCATCTTGGCCGTTTTTAATGTTGGATGGCTGCTGTTGTTGAGTGGTAGTTTTAGGCAATGGGATTCTCGTATTGGAGCTACATGGTTTGATGGACGTCTTTTCTAACTGTTGCTGCTTCATCAAATCACCAATTATGCTGGATTGCTCTGGATATGCCTATTAAAAAGTAAAAGTGTGTGAGAAAGTGAAAGAGAGAAAAAGAGAGGGAAAAAAGGAGCATTCATTTCAGTTTTGTCCTTGATCCCACCCCCACCCCCTCTCTCTTTTTTTTTTTCTGCAATATTTACATGATGAGCTCCTTTTTTAGAAGGTATTATCGTCGGTGACAAGGTCAACAGATCGTCTTTGGAATTATCAATGGCAGGCATCATCTTGTTAGTGTCGCGCACGGGTGATATCAGTGGATCAAATTCAGCCAGTTCTCGATTTGCTTTGCCCAGTTCTCGAGGAACAGGTTTAACGAGTCTAGCTATAGATGTATGTCGAACACGTCTACCAGGCGAAGAAGGCGGTGTAGGTCCAAGTTGAATAGCGGGTGCTGAGGCGACAGTAGTAGGAGCAGTATGAGTGGTGATGGCAGTTATAATAGTAGGTTGATTCGTTATGCTTGTATGTATGTTGTCGGTTGAGAGAGGTGTATAGCTCACTGGTCTTCGAGGTGTAGGAAGTCGAGTAGGCATTGCTTTGCCACCACTGGCCTTGGTATCCATGACAGGATTGCTGTTGTCTCCAATGCCTGATGCTACTGATTTTGTTGTCTTTTGCAGTGGATCAAACTTGTGTAATGATGTATTCAGAGGTTTATTGTTACCGTTCTTGTCCAGCAAGTTGACATTGCTCTTGTCATTTTCAATCATTATCGAGTCGCGAGATTGCTTCTCATCAATGACGTTGGGTTGAACAGAAGGGTAATCCGTCATATCTAAAAGATTTACTGAATCACTTCTTCTTTTGTCTGGATCTGATGAGTTGGTTGATGCTTTTTCTCCTTGGTGTGTCGTTCTCCCCCTTCCTTCTTTGTCTGCTTCCTCTTCAGTGGTAGAATCGAGATAGCTGATACGGTGTTGAGCATCAAGTAGATGACTATGATCAGGCATTCTTGTATTGAAGGATGCATGTCAATACAATCACATGGGTACTAATTGTGTGCATGCTTTACCTATAATTATTTACAAATGTGGAATACAGAAAAAGTTAAATGTGGTTATTTAGATAGTGATATAAATGACAATAAATAGCGGGCAAGACTACAGCAACCACGTTAGTAAGCAATTTACCAGAGTGCGATATCATCTTACATACTATTTGCAAGCAGTATAACGCTTTTCCAAGGTAATATGACGAAAAAAATTCAAAGAGCAAGGAACAAGAAGAAAAGAGAAAGAAAAAGGATCCTTGTTTTATGCTGTTTTAAACATTACTCTCAACATGCTCTACACTACATACACCTCCGTTTCATTGACCTTGCTTATCCTCCGTACTCTAATGTGTCAGCTTGCATATATCCTACATTAAATACAAGGCGCAGGAGTATAAGAATAATCAAAATTAATAAAGGGGAGATACCGTGTTAATGAGATGTCTCATCGCTATCAACCAAATAGGTAACATCCATAGGAATCGATCACTTTTGGATCTCATGAGAAAAAAAAAAAAAAAGCAGGGCACAGACATTTCGTATTATATAATTACGGCAATCCTCTGCATTTCCTCAAGAATAATGTGCTTTATGCATAGAGGCGTTGGTGTGCAATGATACTCAAATTGTTCCAAGCGCTGATCCTCTTCATATCCTAAATACCCCAGGTTTTATACACAGTCTTATTAGGCATGTGGTGTAACCATTAAAAATCTCATAAACTCGTCATAGGCGGTTTAAGAGGCTGCATTTGGTATACATCTACCAGTAAAAGTATGAAGCACAACCAAATTTAACAGCCTCCAAGCTCTGATATCTTGACATATAGACTCTTCAGAGCCGCCGTAATGACGCCAAGCAATTTCTCTCGTCACGCAGTAACTGTCTGACACCTTTGCTCGACTTTTTTCTGAATCACCAAAAATCGACTCCAAACCATGAGGGGTACCTCATAGTTTTCATCGAAAATCAAACAATCGCGTTTTTGACTCCAAAACTGAAGACTTTTACTATATTATATATTATAACAAAGTATTGCTATCGATCTAAAGCAACCTCTGAAACCACTTTTGTCAGGCTTTCATATGCAAAATCTGGCTATTTTCGCCAAAAACCTCTTTTCATATTTCCTGATATTGCTCACTGGTTTCATTCAAATCATCTAACATAGGCACCACCACTTGATGCGCCTTGAAAAGCACTCCAGAAGTGCATTAGAAAGTACGAGATGATCATCGCATCTTACATAGTCGAATATCATAGAATAGATGAAAGAAGTCGAGAAAAGACGAAATTTGTCCAATCTCGAACAGAAAAAAATAAACTGAGTTTGAATCAATTTTGGTGGTGGCATTGCTGATGGCTGACCTAAATGCCCCTCTGCTGATGACAATGATGATTGCGATGCTGATTAAATGGGGACAATGAAATTGAAAGGACAATCGCTTAGCCCGTATATTCTCTTTTGCTTTTGTTGAACATTTTAATATCTGAAAACGCCAGTCAACCTGGCTTACCACTAAAATATATGTAATCGCAACTTCCTTGTCATGATTTGCAGTACTTCAACACTAACCAATCTATCTCGCTACGTTCTATGTCGGCATCGCCTTGCGGGCTCTCGCTGAAGACATTTCAAATCAGGTATAATAAAATCCTGGTACATCAAGTAGATTTTAATTAATTAATTATTAGTAAAAGAAATGTTATATCAGAGCCACGAGGAGAGGAGGTATCTCCCTCAGTATCCCTTTAGTTTACACTGATATCAAACGAAGCCTATTATTAAGACAATATGAGAGAAAATTCAAGTTTTATGCAGCATTTTTACATCAAAATAGCCATTTTCTGATAATAGAATTGTCATACCATTCGCTGCTGCTGATGCTCTTAATAAGATGGCGACATAAACCTGGTCATAAGTAAATACAGGACTTGTGCAAGATCTACAGCGATTTTTTTTTGAGATATTGTCATTGCAAAAGACAGCTTTATGAGGCAAAGCTCCCCAAAAAATTATTTGGGCTAATTAATTGTGTTTTCAACTCCATTGTCCCTATTTAATCAGTATCGCAATCATTATTGTCATCAACAGAAAGGTATTTGGGTCAGCCAGCGACAGCGCTATTGCCAAAATCAATTCAAACTCAGTATTATTATTTTTTATGTTCAAGATTGGACAGATCTTGTCTTTTTTCGACTTCTTTAATTTATTTTGTGATATTCGACTATATAAATCGTGATGATCACCCTATGCTGCCTAATACATTCTTGAAGTACTTTTCAAGGCGCTTCCAATGGTGCTAACTGTAATAAGTGTTTTGACTGAAATGATTAAGCAATTTGGTAAAATATGAAATGAGGTTTTCAGCAAAAATAGCCATATTTTGCATATGAAAGCCTCATAAAAGTGGTTTCAGAGGTTGCTTTGGATCGAGAGAAACATTTTGATTCAATATATACCATAGTAAAAGTCTTCGTTTTCAAGGCAAAAAAAGCGATCGTTTGAATTTCGATAAAAACTTTTTTTTTTTTTTGGTGGATAATATTAAAGACTTTATTAGTAATCTGGCGCCCAATAAAGGCTTTAAATGTATCAAAATACGAGACAAGTGTATGTGAACAAAGTGACTTGCAAGAGAAAACTAGAGTGATAATAACTACATAACAACTATAGACGGAGGGAGATGTTTGTCCCAACACAAACTACCAGGCGAAACCAGACCGGATAGACTTCAAGATTGTAACTTCAGCGGAGATAGTTTTAATGGCTATCTCTCCGCGCGGGCACCCTTGTGTCTCGATTGCGCAGCTCACGACTGAAACGCTTCAGGTGCGAAAACCACTCTGACAGCGACCCCGAAGGGCAATTTCGATAAAAACCATGAGGGGTACCTCAAGGTTTTTGGTCGATTTCTGGCCATGTTTTTTGGATCCCCAAAAAGTTGAGCAAAGGTGTCAGGAAGTTATTACTACTCAAGTACAATTGTTTGGCGTTATTCCGGCAGCTCAGAAAGGTCTATATGTCAAGATATGAAGGTTTGAAAGCTGTCAAACTTGGTTATGTTTTTGCTTTATAGCTATTATTTACGCGGCATGAATCACATCTTTGGTAGCTGCTATTTACTGGAAGGGCAGTTCTGCTGCTTGTGCAACTTCCAATTTGAATAGAAGGTATACTGATTTTGGTAAAGCTAATTTATACAAATTTGAAGCGGTATGTTGCTGGTAATAAGCTTATTAACAGTGGAAATGAAAACCCGAATTTGCTGCTTGAATACGATGGTTTTGCACCTTCGCTTCGCTACGGTAAAATCCTAAAGGTTAGTATTGCCAAATGTTGGGTAAGATGCTTAATTATCATGATTTTTCGCCTTCACTTTGCTACGGTAAAACCACCTCATAGATCAATGTTACCAAACGCTAAATTAGATGCGCTATGTTCTTGGTAGATGTGCTTAGTACCTCCTCCAAACCGTCTCCCAATGCCGGTTTTGCCAGTAGTTTATTCATCTTGTACAGTACTCAATTCTTTAAATTTTTGAAATCTTCTCTATTTCTGCTAATTGTGCTTCATTGAAAGCTGCTCTTATAGATATTGTTTGTCTCAAATACAGGTAACAGCTTATATTATAAAGTCCTTCTTTTAACGCAGTAACATCTTTCTCTTTTGTAGTTGCTATTTTGGGTTTGCGAAAAGTGTAAAAGACATTCCAAGTGGATTCTACTGATTTCATTTTTCGAATCGTCAATAGAGGCGAAAGAAAGAAGACAAATGCCAAGGTCTATATTACTGGTATTATCTGTAATGAAGAGGATGGCGATGATGATGAGCAGAAAGACGATATGTTAGAGGCTGGTAGCCTTGAATTTATTAACACATACCAGCATTTAATTAATACCGCAAATGCCACTTCTGGTTCTTCAAAGTCATCAAGTGCTGCTGGTCCTTCAAAGTCGCCGTGAATTCATTGCGGCAGTATTAACACGAGAAGGGGGCTGTGATTGCCAACAAGCAGCGTAATTCATGGCCCTGTCTCGATCTGACAAATAATATAGAGAACACCCTGATTTTATTTTATTGGTTTTTTCCATACGAAAAACGTATCATTAAACTTAGATTTAATATAAGAATTATACATTACTAAGCCTTTTTTCAAAGATCTTCCACCTCGCTTAATCTGATAACGCCGCTGAGTTGAGATGATCGACAACAATGGTCAAATGTTGATAACCTTAATTTTATGAAGGTTAATTTCAGGGTAAAAGGCAATAAAGAGTATTAATTCGCATACCATGGCCTGATATGCTGAAAGTTTATTACTTATATGATACAATACTGTAATATAGGAAAGCCAGATGGCTTCAGTTAAGCGGTAGGGGCGACAGTAAAAGGCTTCTCGACCAAGAAAAAGAACATTGGAGTAAAGATGCCCATTTCACCACCGGCAACTAAATTATCCGCAGCAGCATTCAACAGTTGAGATGTCTCCAAAACACCAGAGGGAACCAGACCAAACTTATCAAGGAACGTCATGAGTGTATTGGTATAGGTGCGACCGATTGAAGAGCGCAGGAAACCGCGAAATCCACCATCAGGAGCCTTCAACGTATTATACCAAGGGTTAGTAGCGCTATCCACCTCGCCCATATCGCCTTGCTCTAAAACCTTGAACCCAACAGTTTCCAATGCTTGTATACATTGCTTTGTAGTATATAATTTCGAGATAGAATTACCCAACTCGATAGCATGTACAATTTTCTTCATTGAGACATCGCTTTCGTCATAGATATCCGTTGTGCACCACTCATAGCAAGCAAATTTACCACCTGGCTTCAATACACGATAGATTTCACCATATACTTGCTCAAGTCGAGGCGCATGCACTGTTGCCTCGACGGAAAAGACACTGTCAAATGTCTCGTCTTCAATGGGCATGTTGGTAAAATCACCTTTGATGAAGCTTGTGTAATTTGACAATCCGTATTTGAAAGAGTATGCTTCACAACGTTGTAATTGATAGGCATTGTTATTGATACCGGTAACATGAGCACCATTGGATGCCTTGACTACTTCCCTGAGGGGACCACCCACGCCGCATCCCGTGTCCTGATAGATTCCATCAGTTCACATAGTACTCGTGGCAGCGTTTATAAGCCATCTACTTACCAGCACTTTCATGCCCTTCTTCAATCCCAATTTTAGGGCTAAATAAGCTTCATGGCGGTTGATGTTCTCTTTAAATGAGTCACCTAAGATAAAATAAATTAGCAAATAATCGTACCGCCATCTTCTGTTAAGACAAACCCTTGTATAATTTTGCAAAATGGAATGATTGACCCCACCCGTACTCATAGAAATCAGTTACCAGATCGTAAAAAGAGTTGGTCATATTCTGGGCTTCATGACGTCTTTGCTCGACATCCTTTTCGTTATCTTGAAGGTTGTCTGTATCTTTCCAGTTTTTATAATAAGCTTCAGCAGTATGTTTATTCAACTGAGAGTCCTTTTGGGTTACTTTTTTAAAGAAGCCAGACTCTTCTAATACAAGGTCGCCATGAAGCTTGCGCATCGTTTTGATTTCTTCTGAATTTTCGTTGTTGTTGACAATAGACATGATGTTGTGTTAAAGAGAGCGAGACATTGACTTTTTATTTCTAGATTGATGGTTTTATATATCCAGGATTCTGGATGATTTAGATAGCCGGCTCAAAAGCTTGCCGTAATTTATGCGCTGCTTTCGATTTAGATCACCTCAAGACAAGCATTTGGTTTTCTACAGATTTGCGCTCCAGTAACACAAGACAATTTAGGAGAATGGAAATAGGGGAGGGGGAAGTCTAATTAAAGTCTCGTTTTCTCTCAAGTCGCTTGCTCCCTTTCCTTACTGCTGCTTGGATTCGTTGCTATCACCTTTGATACTAGTGATGAAGAGCTTACATCTAATACAAGTGATTCATATCTGGAACGCATTGGTCGGCTTGATCTTGTTTGGCTTACTGATTGGGGTGTCGACTCAAATCAGGTCTTTTATTAATAATGGTTCAATTCTCGCAGGTTTTGGTGAGTTTGAACACTTGATACAAAAGGACATCATCGACTGATCATTTGGTATCATGTCGTGTATAGGCAGCTTCACTACATTTGCCTATCCAGCTACGTTTGTGTATATGCTGATACCAGACATCACAGCCACTGTGTATAGCATTCTTCTCGCCTTTGATTCAAGCCCAAGATACAAGGCCTGGTTGCCATCCAAGACGATGCGGAGCACTATTATTTCCTTTACAGCAGCTGTACTTCTAGCCGCATTGCTGCCTGTGTTGCCGGGAGCAGATGTCATGGCGGATGGATCTGCACTGGATTGCTTGTGGACAAACTATATGCAATGGAAGGTCATTTACAATGATCCTGTGGCTTTTCCTTGGGTAACAGGCATGGATAAGGGCTGTACAATGTTCAAAGCTGCTGATGCCTTTTGTTGGATTTTGGCGATTGGTTGGATTGCTCAGTCTATATTATACATGCGCGCTGCTCGTCAAGCTAAATCGTTTGCCAAGGAGTAAATGTAGGAATGGTAGATGATGAAGAGAGAAAAAGAAATAAAAGAAACACGAAGAGGGCATTGTCATTTAGACAATAAGCTCAATAAATCTGCCTGATTTACCCCTGGTATAGTGGAACACTCGCCCTTACCATCACAAAGATCAGCGGACATGCTTTGCTGCTCTGATTGCGCAATGGCATATCAAGTGTGCGATTGCAATCATTTATAGTGATGGCCTCTTGACGAATCTATAATATGGGGTTCAAGCGGTTGCAGTGTCTTTGCTTGACATGTATTCGACACCACACCATGCTGGCCATCAAAGCAACGGTTTACAAATTGACAATGCCTATAATGGTTGGCAGATTTAAATAGCATTCAGTCCGATAGCCGGATAAATCCCCTTTTGTGGGCACTATAAAATGTTTACGGAATACATCGGGCCCTAAACAACCATGTTTACAATACCAAGCGTCATAGCCCCAACTTTCTTTAACTTCTTCATGCTTTTATACAATATATATAGACTATACAGTTAGAATGCCTTCATACGTAACAGACGCCAACCTTTCGAGCTATGAGCTCGCATTCTGTGGAGGCATGGCAGGCGTCGTGTCTAGGTAGTTTAATGAGTACAAGATGCTGATTGAATCTTTACCTAACATGTGTCCACAGAGTTGTTATTGCACCTCTAGACGTCGTCAAAATCCGAATGCAATTGCAAACACATAGAACGCATTTTCGATTTCATCAGAATCGAAAGAGAAATACAGCAATCAAATACAACAAGATAACGCAGGCGTTACGAACTATATTAAAAGAAGAAGGAATCAAGGTAAGTAAAATTGGCACATTTACCCCGCATTTTACCCATACATGCAATGCTTTCCATACACAGGGGCTCTACAAGGGAAATATGCCAGCCGAGTACCTCTATCTATCGTACAGTGCAGTGGAATTTTGGGCGTATAAAGAGCTGGAACAAATCATAGAAAAGATTGATGCCAAACGGACATTGCCGCACACACTCAAGACATTTGGATGCGGTATGATCGCAGGTTGTGCTGCTACAGCAGCAACATATCCGTTTGATTTATTAAGAACGAGGTTTGCTGCTCGAACACCACAAAAGGTTAGTTATATTATGCTCAGCGCCAAATATTTTTGATCTCATTTATTTATACAATTTTAAAGCAGAACACAAGTGTTGCACGAGCTATGGCTGATATTTATAATATGGAAGGTGCAGCTGGTTTCTACAGAGGATTATGGCCTGCCATCATTCAAATTATGCCGTATATGGGTCTGCTGTTCTCGAGCTATGACATTTTTGCAAAGGGGTTCAAGAGTCTACGGGTAAGCGTGTGTAGATGTGCAGGATGTGTCGCCATGACAACCAACATGTTGCTATTTACAGGATCAGCAAATACTATCTGCAAGTTATAAGCCGACACATGACATGATAAGTGGAGCATTATCGGGATTCATTAGTAAAATCGTGGTTTATCCGTTTGATCTCGTCAGAAAGCGACTGCAGATGGAGGGATCTCATGCGACATCAGCGAGATTGCGGTCATCTTGGTGGGGATGTTTGACGAGCATTGTTCGACAAGAAGGTGCTTTGAGTTTATATAAGGGTCTTGCGCCTTCGCTCTTGAAAGTAGCGCCAGCAAATGCAGTTACTTTTATGGTGTTTGAAGAAACAAAAGATGTATTATTATGGTTCAAAGAGCCAAAAGATGACCCTTTATAGTTTATATCCTATGTAGTACCACCTTGATTTGAAATTTTTTTTCGTTTTAAAATGGAGGATACACACACGTTTCCATTTTTTGTTTCCTCTTTCCCCTTCTTTCTTTCTTTTTCAATACTTTTTCTTTTTCTCAACTCGCCTTTGATTTTCTGCTATTAATCTTGTATATTCTACGGTCTGTAGTATATCGATATTTATTGGAAAAAGAGCAAGACCAGAGCATTTCTTTATTGATACCACATAGGCTTGGAAAGGAGCAAATAAGCACTGTAGAAAACGAGCAGGTTAGATAACGGCCCTGAATAAAAAGACACTTTTGTGTAGTTTACCAACTTACCATATTTCCTGAAAGACTATTCAGCCCCCCTAGTTACATTTTCACAAAGCCAAAAAGATAAAACAGAGCGACCAAGGTTCAACTTATTCCCAGGCACTTGAAACAGAAATACCGAGCCATAATTATTTATAAATAAGATGACGGTAATAGAAACCATACACAATGTTGCATGCAGAATCAAAATCTCACTCAAACACTTCAGATTTCAGAATTGGAGGCCAAGATTGAGCATAGCAGAACTATGCGAGACAAGTTCATTCAAATGAGACCCTTATTGAAGGATCGAAATGTGATTTCAGACTGTGAAACTCAGATCAAAGAATACCAAAAGTACATTGATTACTTTACTGAGGAACTGCACCGGCTCGAGGCAAAACAAGACAACGCTTCGGATTCTGGTTCAGAGAGCCCAGTGGCGCTTCAGCAGCAAAATCAGCAACTGCAAGCTCAATCCGAACATCCGCCTCGCACTAGCTCCATGGCAACAAACCCAAACGATGTTACCGTAATTGCCCCTAGAAAGAAGGATGACAAGAAAAAGTACTCCAACTTGGGTAAAACACTAGCAAAAGCACAACGACACTGATCAGACACTAAAACTATAAATTAGACTTATTAATGTCAGAAACTCCCTACAACAAGCCCAAGGTGTCTCTCAAACTACATGAGCTGGAGTACAAGCTGGATGTCGAAAAGACTGTATTGAAGGGTATTCGAGGTATGGTAGATGTGATGGAGCGCAACCCCTCTACAGATCGCAAGAGTCGTACTGAGGTACAAGACAAGATGTCGGAAAGTCAAGAGAAACTTGGTTTGTTGAATTCTGCCTTGAGAAAATACAAGAGTCTATACATTGGCGAAGGTGGCGATGAAGATGACTATGGTAAGGAGAGAAATTGTCTTTGCAGGCAATTATATTCTAAACTAATCTAATGTTGTATTGCGCAGAACTGGAAACACCTCCTTCTGCTCGTTTGCCTCCTGGTTTCCGAAGACCCGTTACTGGTAAACTGCAGCTGGAAATTTTAGAGGCTATGGAATTAGCACATGCTCCTACTCGTATGATTCGTTCACCGGCTACTGTAGTGTTGGTCAAGATCGATAACCAAATTGTATTCCGCTCAAGACCTGCTCGCAATGACAAATGGAATGAACTGTGTGAAACGCATGTCAACAAGGCTTCCGAAATTGAAATTAGTGTCTATGATCAATCGACCGAGAAATCATTGCCTATCGGTTTCTTTTGGCTCAAAATCACGGATATCACCGAAGGTCTTCGTAAGCGTAAGATCCCTCAATGGATGTTGGCTGAAGAGGCTCAAAAGCTGCGTCATGATGCCGATGGCAATTCCATCATGGACAGAGAAGATAGCAGCGCTACTCTTCACCCTGTTCCTCCCGTGCAAGTAACTCAAAATGAAGGTGGTATTGAAGCTTGGTTTGATGTGGAGCCCGTTGGTAAATTGGCGCTTCGACTGAACTTTGTCCGTGCAGATGGCAACCGTCGTCCTATGGATAAATTGGGCCGTGCTGGTGCTGTCCGTCAACGTCGTGAAGAAGTGGTTGAGGTCAATGGCCATCAATTCTTGGAAAAGAGATTCTACAACGTCATGAAGTGTGCGTTGTGTCAAGAATTCTTTGTCAACAGCGGTTATCAGTGTGAGGACTGTGAGTACACCTGTCATAAAAAGTGTTCCAGCAAAGTTGTTACCAAATGTATTGCCAACTCCAAGGATAATGTAAGTATACAATACCACCAGGACGAGGAAGTAGGCTTTTTAATGCGATTGATAGGACTCGGATGAAGACAAGCTTAATCACAAGATTCCTCACCGCTTCGAACCTATTACCAATATTGGTGCCAATTGGTGTTGCCACTGTGGTTACATGCTACCTTTGGGATCTCGTGGATCTAAAAAGTGCTCAGAATGTGGTATCACTGCTCACACTCGTTGCGAGCATTATGTACCTGATTTCTGTGGTCTAAGCATGGAGATGGCCAATCAAATGTTGGCTGAAATCAAGGCAGCTGCTAAGCGCAAAACACTGGAAACCAAAAATAGCAGTAGTCGTATCTCCAAGGACAAGATGGAGATGGCACAGGATGGCCCTCTTCCTGCTCTGCCTCAACAACAGCCATCATCTGTGGACGATGAGCTTAGTTCTCGACTCTCTTCATCGGTCTCATTAGCTCCTCAAACACCTCAAAAGAGCCCTATTGTTGTGCCACAAACTCCACCTGCCATGTATAATCATAATGCACCACTTGCTCAGCAACATCATTCGCAACATTCGCCTCAAACACAGCACCAACCACAACAACCTTACTATTCACCATCGCAATCGCCCATGAGCATGCCCCAACCCTCTAGAATTTACCCTCAACAGCCCATGCCACCTCAACAGCAACAACAGCGCCCTCCACAACCTCCTGCTCATGTTCAACCGCACCATCCCCAGCAACAGCAACCTCCTTATGGCTACAACGGTCCTCCTGTCAATGTTGACCCCAGATACCAACAACATCAACAGCAGCAACAGCAGCAAATGTATTATCAGCAGCAGCAGCAGCAGCAGCAACAACAGCAACAACAGCAACAACAGCAACAACAAAATAGACCCTCTATGCCTTATAGTCCATACCAGAACCAGCACCCTTCCATGATGGGTAGACCTCAACCTAATCCCAACTATTCTCCCGTCTATCAACAGCAACCACCTCAAATGCAACAACAACAATCTTCATATGGTGGCATGGCGCCTCCTCCTAAGCAACAGCAGCAATTACCACCACCACAGCACTTGCAAAAGCAGCCAAGTATGATGCAGCAAAAACGAAAGGTGCAGTTGGACAACTTCAGTTTCTTGGCTGTGCTTGGTAAAGGTAACTTTGGTAAGGTCATGCTGGCCGAAGAGAAGTTTGACAAGAAGCTGTATGCTATCAAGATGCTCAAGAAGCGATTCATTATTGACAATGATGAAATTGAGAGGTGAGTTTTGTGGCCAAGTGATGATACATAGTATGGCGGATATTAATGGTAGTGTATGACAGTGTTCGTTCAGAGAAACGTGTCTTCCAAGCAGCAAATCGCGAACGCCACCCCTTCTTAATCAACCTCCACTCAACTTTCCAAACAGAAACCCGTGTCTACTTTGTCATGGAATACGTGAACGGCGGTGATTTGATGTGGCACATTCAACGAGGCCAATTCTCTGAGAGAAGAGCTAAATTCTACGCTTGTGAAGTCTTGTTGGCATTGGAGTATTTCCATAGTCAAAACATCATTTACCGTGATCTCAAGTTGGATAACATCATGTTGAGTTTGGATGGTCATATCAAGATGGCTGATTACGGTCTATGTAAGGAAAACATGGGCTATGGTAAAACTACGGGTACTTTCTGTGGTACGCCTGAATTTATGGCGCCTGAAATTCTGAGGGAACAAAACTATGGTCGTGCTGTCGATTGGTGGGCCTATGGTGTCTTGATCTATGAAATGTTGTTGGGTCAATCTCCTTTCCGTGGTGAAGATGAAGATGAAATCTTTGACGCTATCTTGGAAGATGATATCTTGTATCCTATCAACATGTCGAGCGATTCTATTTCCATCTGTCAGCAATTATTACAACGTGAACCTACACAAAGATTGGGTGCTGGTCCAGATGATGCTATTCCCATTAAGCGTCATCCCTTCTTCCGTGGCGTCAACTGGGACGATATGTTGGCTAAGCGTGTACCTCCTCCCTTCTATCCTACTATTTCTGGTCGTTTGGATACCTCCAACTTTGATGAAGAATTTACCAACGAAACACCTGCTTTGACTCCCATTGACTCGAATCTCAACCGTGTTGAGCAACAAGAGTTCCAAGCCTTCTCTTATGTTGCTGATTGGGTTACTGGATAAAACAAGTCGTCAGCAAACCACAGCATACTCCCCCCCCCTTTTTTTTTCTTTTATTACTCATGTTATTACTATTCTTTCCAAAACAAATAAAACTATTCTTCACAGCTACTATACTGTATATGTCAACTGACAGCTGCTGATTATAATCTCATAAGTGCATGATTTAGATCATACTAAGAGTGGCCCATCTGAGGATTTTATAGCAGGGTCACTCTGTTCCTGTGTGTATTCACTGGCATTTGATCAATAATGTGAGAAGCTATCTTCAAGATGTATACGTGAATATCCCTTTAATATACTAGATTCAAGCATTTTAGCTGTCGACTGCCACAAGAAATCCTACATAGATAACCTGCAACTGTGGATATAACTCTTCTACGATGCTTTACGTCTGTATCGATGAAAACAACTCATATGTGGGCAGGGAACCTACTAACATAACCTCTTACTGCTCCAAAATACGCAAAACACAGAGTACTTTAGATACACTTGAGCCGTGATTTCTTGTGTTAGAGGCTGTTCCAGAGTGCCAGAATAGTATCAAACGATTGCTTTCATCTAGCACTAACTCCCTGACACCCTTGCTCAGCTTTTTGGGGACCAAAAAAACATGGCCAAAAATCGACCAAAAAGCATGAGGTACCCCTCATGGTTTTCATCGAAAATCAAACGATCGCGTTTTTGGCCTCCAAAACGAAAATTTTTACTATGGTATGTATTACATCAAAATGTTGCTATCGATCCAAAGCAACCCTTGAAACGTCGTTTGTGTAACTTTTATATGTAAGTTTTTGACTTTTTGGCAAGAAACCTCATTTCATATTTTCTGTTATTGCTCGATATATTTATTAAAAACATCTACCATAAGCACCATCATTCGATGCGCCTTGAAAAACACTCCAGAAATGTATTAGAAAGCATTAGATGATCATTGCATCTTACATAGTCGAAATTTGCAAAATAGATCGATTGAATCGATTTTAATCGAGGTTTGGCCAATCTGAAGCAAAAAATGCTGAACGGAAGTTCAATTTTTTTTGGCGGTGGCGGCGGCTGGAACAGTAGCAGATGAAAGTCAGGTATTATCCAAACCAAGGCATAGCCGTAAATTGCCAGGTACTCGAAAGAGAGGTATTATTGAAATCGCCACTACGCAAAAAAAAAAATCGCTTTTATATCTTGATATGCATGAATCAGAAGAATGAGAGCAGCTAATTTTATTTGGATCTATCCAACACTTCTTTTTAATTTTAACTTGCTAGAAGAAAATCCTGGATTAATACTTTGATTATTGACTTGGGCAAACTGATCTGCAGTATCACTATAGCTTCTATTCAAACTTTTAGCGTTGGCTGTTGATTGATGATGTTAGATTTTCAATGAGATGAATTTCTGAATCGTAATGATGTTATAAATCAAAGAATAGAAGCCTTGGATCCAAACAAAGACAAGTTCTATCGTATTTGAAACCGGCTGTCAATACAATGTAAAGCTATTATAATCAATGGACTTGGCTCATAATAACGAGATGCATTTTAATAAGTCTTATACTATGTATATTAAACGAAAGTCTTTGAAAAATTTGATTGTCTGCTTGAACCCTGCTAGGTTATACATTACAAATGGACGACCAAAGCAAAGTAAAGAGAGGAAATCCGAGTCTGCTTATTGCCCCTGACCTTACCGCACTTAAGGCGAGGCACACTGTTCTGGAGGAAAAGAGCAGATTAAACGAGTAACAGTGTCAATCACTGTGCAAGATGTACTCGCAAGCCAAGCAGTATCTGACTGGAGCACGAACAGACATTTAAACAAAATGTGCATTTAGGCATTTCCTGATCTAGTTTCAGAAATCTGGAGCAGGGTGTAAAAGTTTTCATTGGACATGTTCTGCACTAATACCAGTTACACAGTGGCTTGCATGAACCAAAAGCTTAATACGATGGCTGCTTTTCGTGTCAAAACCATAATGCTTATTTTACAATGTCACAGTTTTTTTTTCTGACAATTTTGATTGAAAAAGGGATCAAATTTTTCGATACTGCAAAGGGCTCTTCTTTCCTAATTCACACAACACTCTATTCAGAACTATAAACACAATGGGTTCCTCCAAGATTACCAAGAAGACAACCAAGGTTGACAAGAAGACCAAGGTCTCAAAGAAGGCTGCTCAAAAGGAAGAGTCATCTAGCTCCAGCTCCAGCTCCAGCTCCAGCAGCTCTGAAAGCAGCAGCTCTGATTCTTCATCTTCTGACTCTTCTTCCGATGAAGAGGAGGAAGTTGTCGAAGAAAAGAAGGTTGTCGTTGAGGAAGAAAAGAAGGAAGACTCCTCTGATAGCTCTGACAGCTCATCTGATTCATCATCTTCATCTGATGAGGAAGAAGAAGAGGAGAAGGTTGAGGAAGAGTCCAATGACAAGAAGAGAAAGGCTGATGCCGAAGAAGAACAAGAGGCCTCTCCCGCCAAGGTTGCCAAGACCGAGTCCGAGGGTACTTTTACTGTCTGGTGTGGTGGTATTAGTTGGGAAGCTACCGATGCTGATGTCAAGGAGTTTTTCAGTCAATGTGGTGAGATCTCTGATGTCAGAATCAGATTAGACAATGCCACTGGTAAGAACAAGGGTTTCTGTCATATCGATTTCACTACCAAGGCTGCTCATGATGCCGCCCTTGCTCTCAGCAACTCTGAATTCATGGGTCGTACTATTCGTTTGGACAGTGCTGGCGATGGATCCAACCGTCAAAGAACCAAGGATGAAAACTATGGTCCCAAGTCTACCAAGGTCTTTGTTGCTAACCTCAACCGTGATTATGATGAAGATTCTCACCGTGCTGCCCTCACCGAGGCTTTCAGTAAGTTTGGTACCTTGGTTGGTGATATTAGACTTCCTTTCAACAGAGAAGATGGCTCTCTCAGAGGTATTGGTTATCTTGAATTCGAAACTGCTGAGCAAGCTGATGCTGCTGTCAAGGGTATGAATGGTGTCGAGGTTAACGGCCGTCCTCTCCGTACTGATTTCTCTGGTGCTGATGACCGTGAACGTGTTGGTCGTGGTGGTTTCCGTGGTGGTCGTGGCGGTGGACGTGGTGACTTCCGTGGTGGTCGCGGTGGACGTGGTCGTGGTGGCCGTGGCGACTTCCGTGGTGGCCGTGGTGGTCGTGGTAGATTCTAAATTACATCTGAATCAATAGTGCTATTAGACAACATTTTGCTTTCGTTCCCCTTATTATAATCCTTATAGTTTTTATACATTTTCACGCAATTACGTTCATTTCCAAAATCTTTTTCATATAATATTTAGAGTATTTTATATCAAAAAATAAAATTGTAACATATTAAATCACAACTAATTATGCGAGTGTGTGGATATGGGCATTGTTTGTATCAGCTGTGTATTTTTCACATCCACCTGGTACAAGAAATAATGCTTGAGGGAATACATGAGTTGCTTATGATGATCCTGAGAGATTACTCAAGATGGAGATAGGTAGATACAGCATTAAACCACCAAATGGAAACATAACCACAGTGATAGTCCAACCCAATTTGAAAGCTATGGACCTCGATGATATGATGGCGCTATAGATGATCCACAAATCCAGTAACAGTATGAAGGCGCCTATGATAATTGGCGACTGTCCGGCTACGCCTTTTGCTCTGTTTGTCATTTTTAAAAATGTTGTTGTATATGAAGATAGTTAAAAAGAGAGGGATGGAGAAGAAGAAGAGCAACCAAAAGACGGAATCATGCAATAGCTATTTACATACGATAAAAAAATAGCAGGATTTTTTTTTATTTAAATGGATGCTTTGTACAACATGTGCTAAAAGCCATCATGATAATCGTTTAGTAAGATTCTTAACCCTTTTTGAGGTAACCAAGCTTGCTTTTTTCGATTCAACACCACGGGAGATGAAAATGTAGCTACTTCAGGATTGGATGCTCGCTTTCGTATAATCCGATGCTTGTAGCGATCCTTGATTTCGTCAGCGTTGGATTTGATGTCGAGCGAGTTCAAGACATCCTCTGCTTCTGGTGAAAGCAAGAGTCGTATTCTGTTGCTAGGCTCCTTTAATGATTGTATGGTGCCTTGCGCCTGTTCAAGCATACTGGTATATTCGCGCATTCGTTCTGCCATATGGCTTACATTGCCCTGGTGCTGTTTTTGATAGTTTGCAATGGTGGTGAGCCGACCTCGTAACTGACCTGTCTCATACACAACCTGCAAACAGTAGGCGTGTGTGTGTGAATATTTGCGTTTATGCATAACAAAACACCCCATCTCTCAATACTCACAGTGGCTAAATTTGTGTGGATGTGTCGCATCGCCCGCGTTGCATGCACATCTGATTCTCTTTGGTTATTTACAGCTCTTTCTAGCAAGACTTGGAGGTTGACATTGACTTCCTGCGTTGCTGTCAACCCTTTTTCGATTTCACCTACCCACAAGATTGAGATGGGTGTTACATAATGACATTTGGATGATAAAAAAAACTTACGAACTCTATCTTTTGAATGATTCAGATCAATCTCCATACCATCCATTTGTTTCGCTAGACCGTTCATTTCAGTCCTGAACCGAACAATGTCCTGTCGCACTTGACTGATTTCCTTCAGGAACTGGTTCCTGTCTCTAAACGAATACTCCAGATCTTGCTCTGCATCATCATCATAATCGTCTCGTTGGTGTAGCAGATGGCGGTTGTTGCTGTTGGCAATGGGTGTCGAGTAAGAAGTACATAGCTACATTTAAGGGATTTTATCGCTATAAGTCTCCTAACATGTATTATTCCTCCTTATTCCTCTCAATGGCATACCTTTTCACGATAGTAGTAGCGGTGTTCCAGGTCTGGTTCTGCCAAGTGCAAATGGTTATTATGCGAACTCAGGACACATGTGAATCAAGTGCGTACCTGTTATATGTCGCATTGCCCAGTTATTCTCAATACAATAGGAGGAGGACTTTGAATCACAAATAGACAGCTTTTATGGCTATTAATGTTTTTTGTATGAATTGGGACAAACATGAGTATGTACCTGAGCATTCTCGTCGAAATTCATCTACTTTTTCATGAATAACTACTAGTATAAAATATTCTTTAAATCACCTCAAATTTATATAGTGTATTTTTTTCTAGAATAAAGGAAGGGATTTAATTTAAAAAGAAGGAAGAAAGAGGAAAAAAAGAGATTACAAAGTGCTTTCCTTATTTTTATATGTGCATCTGTACAACCTAATTTGCTGCACTTGACTCTAATGCTACTGCAAATCATAGCATTGTCAAGTCTACGTCACATATCATAGATTAAGGAGATGTGTATTTTCTATTACAATGAATATAATGGCTCCACTGTCAATTGAGCACATTTTCATAAAAATGGCAATTGATCAGCTCCCTTGCATTGTCTATTTTCAGCTTGTATAAGAAGGATTTGCCTGCTAAAATGGAAATATGCTGGGCATTCCAACTTGTGACCTGACCAAGAGGCTACAAGGTGCTTCTTTGGCTCGCATTGAGCAAGACACCTATATTTAGTTATCGCGTGTTCTTTTAGAAATGAGGCCCCCTTTTGATAGAAATACATTGTTATTATCATCGCATCAGCTTGGCCTCTGATAATGATGATACTGAATTGCATCTATCCTGTTTGAATTCTCCGGTGATACCAAGGCTAATGCAACATTAAACAAGGTATAGAGACCAGGTCCGCACATGGCGACCCTTATCGCTACTATATATTTTCCAGCAAAGACTATATAAACAACGTGCACCCTAACTTTCTTTTTAATGACACATGAACATCCTTTAATAGGAGAAATAGAAACAGGATATGCACTAATGGAAACGCTATCTAGAAACCGAACACCAGAAAGATGATGCCATGATTTTCTTCCAATGTCTAGGGTGAAGATGGGTAGAAGTAAAAAGTAGCTTGCAATGGAGATGAAATGGTAATATCAGTCGTGTTGATTATAGTAATAGAATACGGCCGAGGAAGATAATCGGTAGTACTATAATTTTCAACTTTGAATGTTTAATTGACACTCTTAGTGTTTTCCGTTCTGCAGAAGAGTGGATTGCCATGGCGATCCAAGTGATGATGGCTTACTCGAGTTTTAGAGCGATCGATATTGTTTAATTTTTCTAATAAATCAACATACTTACTTCTAGTGTAATGCTTACTTTGACTTAAAACCGTATCTACAAGAGGATGTCCTACAATAATTATGATACTCATATAATGCTTAAGTGGTTTCCCTCAATGAAATCCAAGAGCGCAGCTACATTTTCACCAAGAACGCTGCCTAAGGCTGCTGCCGACATCACCTGAGGTCTAAGTGTCCGATTCCTACATCATCGAAAGACGCCAAGAGGTATTCCATGAAGATACAGACAATAAAGCTCTTTATTTAAGCATCATTTCACTGACAATCAATGTGCTGGTGCATTCCTATCCATCCAAAGGCCAAAAAAAAAAAGATCAGTTGTCCTTATTAAAGAATAAGTCTTTACACCATTCATATCAGCCATATATATATATAATAACATTTGTAAGTATCTGTATCTAATAAAACCAAGACGTTATTGCTATTGCTAACCGCCTAGGCGCGTCTTCCTCTTAATCTACAAACAAGTGTGGTACTAACATGTATGCGTATTCTTGTGTAAGACTGACATTATTTGGTCATACGATTTATGCAGTAAAAAAAAAAAAAATAAAGGTAATTATCAAGAAACATGTGCATTACTAATTTAGATAATTCTTTATTATGGCCTATAACCACGTTTTCCCAAACTATCCATTTCATCTCTTCTCCAACTTGCCCTGATGATTCGTTTGCAAATGTACGCCATATACTTTGCCCTCTTCGAATGTTTCGTTGCAGAACCTACATACAAATCCTTTAGACCTATCAAGATTAGCAGGATTGCATGCTGGTTCCAACGCCATCTTGTGAATTCGGCGTAAATGATCTCTGTATATAGCTCTTATCTCATAGGACCTGTTGCACGCTTTACAGTGATGCAATGGATCGTCCGGATCTGGCTCAATATTGGGGTCTGGAATAGAGGGGCTGCGAGTGAGCTGAATGCCATGGTAGTTTTGACAGTGTCTGCGGTACGAGATGGCATCCTTGTATTTCTTTTTACAGATGCGACAGTAGAAATAAGGGTCATACACATTAGGCAGTACTTCTGGTCGAACATCAGCCGTTTTGACAGTGAATGGCAGCGGTTGGAGTGCTGTCAATTGCATTTTGTGAATATGCTTCAGGTGATATCGGTAACTTGCTCTTGAGTGCTTTTGCACGTTGCAGGCACGACAGTAAAAGCTTTGATCATCGGGATCAGGTACTAAAGAGAAAGAATGAATTCAACTTGTCTTTTACGCATAATACATGAGATACTTGCTTATAGTAGGCATAACCATGTCCGTATCTTCGCTCTTAATATACACCAGCTCATCATCCTCGGTTTGATTTGTGTTCAAGGCCTGAAGCGCAGTCGCTGTCGGTTGAGGAGGCGCCTCTGTAACTGATGATGATTGTCCGTTTGATTTTTGCGCCCTGGATTTGGGTTTAGGTTTGGCCCTAGGTTTACGTTTTGGTAGTTTTCTGACAGAAGCTCCCTCTTCTTTGACTACAACTTCCCTCTCCTTTCCTTTGACTGATGAGCGAGAGGCGTTGTCGCCATCTGAACGTACTCTTGATGGATCCTCTGGTTCAGTGGATTCAGGAGGCATAGTAGGGAATTCCCATTGATCCCTTGGAATCACCGGGAAAGCTAACCGTGTTTGCCAGCCTGTCATCTTCATTTTGAGACGATGTTATTCTTTTGTTTGATGTAAGAAGAGAAGCTAGTGAAAACAACGCGGCGTAAACAAACGATTTAAGGAGACAATTGTGTGTGTTATGATGCTGTGTTTTAATCGACAAGAGCAGCATAATGGCTTGATTGCTTTTACTTTATTGCTTCATTGATGCCTAATTTTTTGACTTTTTCTATTAGCCCATTCACCGAATCCTGAATGATTTTATCGTCTGTTTCTACATCGTTCATGCCTATGGAGGCTAATTTGTCTGTAATGGAAGATATCGTGTCGCTCAACTCCTCGTCGGATTGCTTTGAGAACAAAAAGTCTGATAATCCATGGTAGCCTGATGTGTCGTAGGACGGTAATCCGTAGGTAGTGATGTGCTTGTTTGCTAGATGAGACACCAACACTTGAGTTATCTAGCGGCCATGGTTAATTTCCTTCCTCTCTAACCGCCTCAGACCACGTACCTGTTTCACATCATCATATTGACTTTTCGCACTCTCTGACATCCATTGAATCTGATCATCCTCTATATTGTGAATTGAATGTTGAGCATGTCGGAGGTTATCTAACTTGAGCTTCGCAAGAAGTAAGGGTGTAAGTCGAAAGGGATCTGAAGCTGGTATATTTACACCTATGCCAATGTGAATATGAATCCTTTGAGAGCAGAACACTGTTTTTCAAACATACCAACCTTCGTGTAACAGCATAAGTACGCATTGATGATTTCCAGCAAGCACAGCTAAAGCATAATAGATTGCATTTAGTATTCCTACCTGCCTTGTCTCTCCTCCTGCTTCCCATCTCACTCACCCATATGTATTGGCTGTAAACCATCTACATCCCCCACTCCATTGTTGACATCGGAACCTGCTTTGATCAACAATCTGGCTATCGCTGTTGCATTTTCAAAATCATCCTTTCGCCCGCATGCTATATGTAAAGGTGTCCGTAAATATTTATCTCGAATGGTATCTGGATTGGTTTCTGGCAGTGCTTCTAATAAGGCTTTGACTGTAATAGAGCCATGATTAGCCTCTACTGTTCCACTGTGCAAAAGACACTAACCGTCATTGGGTGGTTTTCTTGCGCAAGCATCAAGTAGAATAGAATCGGATGGTGTTAATTGGAGTAGATCACGTAGTCTATCAGCTCGTTTGTTCTTTCTTATTTGGCATGACTTTGTAATACGATTCTGCATATCGCTCTTGTCTCCCAAATACTATGTTTCTGTGAATAAAGAGAAAAAGGGAAGAGAAAGAAAAAGAAGAATGAGCCCTTTTGCTGAAAGTTTTCCTATGGTCACCCATTGAAAGCCAGATCACAAGAAATCCCATTGTTTCATGATGGAGTGGCAGATTGCTTGCAGTAAGATCCAGTGCTGTCATCACATGCCATCTTTATTACGAGTGAGGCTACTGTTCCCCAAAAGCTGTCAAACTGCCAAGGTACACAGTACACAAAGATAGTTGAGTTATGTTTGATGAACACAGCGGTTGCATCTTCGCTAGCCAAAATGCGAGAGCCTTACATATTTTATCAGTGTATTTGAATCAATCGATTATTGTGAGCTCCTATGATATCTTAATGTCAATACCAAGCGAAAGAATAAATCAGAGAAACGATGAAATAGTGGTCTGGAGGACTTTGCGTTTACTGAATTCGTATAAAAGGGTAGTATCCTGTTATCAATAGCATTCATGCTTCCATGCCTCAAACTATCCTACTGATAGACACTAGCGTTTTGTATCTCAACTCTCTACTATGACGCGAGGCCCCTCCATAGATGGCCTAACGCTACCGATCTGACTCTTTGAGGATGCTCTATGCCTGCATTAATGGAAACAACCTATATACGGGCAGGTGGCATAACTGTATTATTTCTTATTACTCAAGAATCAGCGAAACACAGCGTAGTTTGGGTGTATTTGAGCCGTGTTTTCTCGTGATAGAAGCTGTTCTAAACCTTCGGAATAGTGCCAAATAATTGCTCTCGCCTAGTACTCACTTACTGACACCTTTGCTCAACTTTTTGGGGACCCAAAAAACATTGTCGAAAATCGACCAAAAAGCATGAGGGGTACCTCATGGTTTTCATTGAAAATCAAACGATCGCATTTTTCACCTTGATAATAAAGACTTTTACTATGGTATATCTTGAATCAAAATGTTTCTATCGATCCAAAGCAACCTCTGAAATTATCTTTGTGGGACTTTGATATGTAAAATTTCGACATTTTGGCCAGAAACCTCTTTTCATATTTTTACAAATCATTCAATAAGTGCATTCAAAACATCTATATAACTTGGTACCATTGGAAGCGCCTTGAAAAGTACTCCAGGAAAGCTTAAGGAAGCATGGGTGATTATCATACTTCACTTAGTCGAATCTGCAAAAATAGCTCGGTCGAGTCCAGAATCATCAAAATTTGTCCAATCTGGAACAGACTATGATTCTGGGTTTGAATTAATTTTGGCTGGTGGGGCCAGCTGGAAAACTCATGCCCTTTTCATAAGGCAATACAGTTCGGCATACTCGACGTCAATCTCCAGTATGCTGCATTGTACTTTCGTTGGGTATCTCCCTTACTACAATTGGATTCCTCGTCTTCCACTAATAATCCACTGCTGGCTATTCTCGTATATCATATCAACAACCACAACCGTTCCTCTCATCATCAACTACCGCTGCTCTTTCCAGTCGCACGACGACGGCTCACAACAATACGACGCGCAAACACCATTGATATGATGTACAAATCAATCGACATGTTACCGAGGAACTTTGACGACGTCGTGATCAACTTGCCCACTGCTCTCATGCTACCTCTATCCATCGTCATATTTTCCGACCCTCTACTTGGTGTCAGATTGCCTCGCAAAATCCATTCAATGACTGTCGCCGACGTCTTTGCTGTGCATACAACTGAGCAATTTCTGCATTGGAAACGTTCCTTCGACCCCACACTTGCTGTATGGCAGCGTGCACCTCGACAACTGATTCAGGGCATTGCAAAAGGCACATTTAAGTTGCAACCCTTCTTTCTCCCTCTGTGTGTTCCTTCCTCCGCTGTCTTTCCTTCACCATCCAGTCCTTCATTGCAACCATTTGTTGATCACCTCACAACTGACAACAACCTTGCAATGACTTCCACTGGCTGTAGATCCAAATCGTTTCGGCAAGCATGCTCGTCTGCTTCCGTCGTTCCTCAACGATTGGCTGCCATAGCATCTCCCCAATGGTCGTTTTTCTGGTCTTTGTCCCTGACCATGATCCAAAGAAATGTCGTATATCGATTCATCAACAACTGCATTCCCCATCAGTCTCTATTGAATCTGAGGTTCCCCTCTGTTTACTTGTCCCCCTTGTGCTTTGTCTGTTCCTCAGTTGAAGATTCCACTGACCACTTCCTTTTTGAATGTCCACCCAAGGCAGCGGTCTGGCAGGGTATTATCTCTGAGTTCCTCTGGCCCACGGTAACCATTGATGATATCCGCCATTCCCTCCTCACTCTCGACTTTTACAATATTCGATATAGTCAGCGGCCTCGTGCTTCCTCTCATCATATAGTCATCATTGCGATGTCTAACATTTGGAAAGCTCACTATCGTCTAATCTTCGATCAAACTTCCTTCGCTCCCGCCGCTGTGCTGAATAGTATCCGACTCGACATCCAAAAAATGATCGACGAAGATCTCATTCATGCCAGCCTATAATAGTCCCTCTTTTATATCGTTCTCATATTTTGTCTAAACATATATAATATTATCACAGAAAATTGCGCCCGCCGCTTGATTATAGTCCTGCTACTATTGTCTACGCGGAGCAAGTAATAAAAACCTTTTTAAAAAAAAAAAAAAAAAAAAAAACACAAAAAAACACAAAAGACAGTCCAGTCTATCCAATTTGGGCCTTCTTTACTTTTCTCTTTACATATTCTTATCAAGAGGATAATTTGTTATACAAGTGTAAAGCGTTATAATCCTACGCGCATGTAGCGTTTCTTACGACAAATTATTCTCTTTGTTTTGTTCTTATCAAGGTATTCGCTATTGCAGTGTAAAGCGTTGTTGGTTCACCCGATAATGTAGCGGATAGTAGATTATCTTTGTTTTATTCTTATCAAGAAGATGATCTGTTATACAAGTGTAAAGCGTTATAATCCTACGCGCATGTAACGTTTCTTACGACAGATCTTCCTCTTTGTTTTCTTGTCAAGATGATCCATTTGTTATACAAGTGTAAAGCGTTATAATCCTACGCGCATGTAACGTTTCTTACGACAAATGGATTATCTTGAGATCATTTGATTTGAAACACACCACATCCCCTTTATTACACCCTTTTTCTCACTTTGGGATTACATCTACTTTCACCTGTTCGTGGTTAATCCTACCAAGTTCCAAATGGAAAACAAAGGAAAGTAGCATCATTTATAATATAGCCATAAAACATCGCTAGTTTCATAAAATAGCATATAAGCTTCCAAACTATAATTAAACATCATGCATCTCTGCCTGCCATTGGCAATGCGCAAAATATAGCTGGATATTTATACCTGAGGATTGATTGACATGCAACTCCATTTGATCCAGACAGAGTTGCATCCAAACCATTAAAAGACAAAAGACATTATAATAAAGCCATGATTAAGTTATATTAAAAAATCCCAAACATGCCATTACCATTATCATAAGCCATTTGTCAAGTTATCTTAGAAATCCCACCCACCCATCCCACTTTATTTCAATTCATCCAAGCGATCCAAGCATAGACATGCCATTGTCACTGACACGCAAGGTCTGGCAGAAGTTGATCAGTGCTCTCTTGGTTTTCAAATCTTTGAAGTAGTCTTGAAATCAGCATTTACAATATTTTCGATCGAACAAATCTTGATATGCATGCCCATGGCATAACCACCTGCCACACCAAGCACATCACACAGTTTAACAACTCGAGAAAACTTGCTGTATTGAGGCGCCTTCTTGATTTGTAATCCGTCTTGTAATTGCTGATTCAATATTTTTGTGCTTTACACTTGCGTCTGCTTCCTTCATCAAATGTGATACCTTGAATAAATACACAAACACAGCCACTTGAGCTGTGCACCAAATTCGTGCCATCATCTCGCTGTTTGATCGCCAATGTCCCTGTATTGAATCGATCAATTCGACACTGCATATCCTGAACATCCACATCCACGTTGATACTTGTATCCCTTTGTGTATACAGCTGAATTCCAGCTACCTTTGCAGTGTCCACAATAATCTTCTTGGTCATATCGGCATCAAACTCTTCCTTCAGACCTTCCAATAAATATAATGCCACTCCTTTAGCCTTTTCAATCGATCCAAACAATACATCGCCATCATCGCTGCTTTCAACATGCTCTTGTTTATCTCCTTGACTATCAAAACCGCCCGTTTTATGTTTCAATCCATGTGATCATCATCATCGCAAGACGTTCAGTTCAAAGTTGCTTATGCCTCCATGACAGTAAACTTACGAGCCATACAAGCAGTCTTGTAGCGTTTGTAATTTATTTTGATTTCAAGAGCCTTTCTCTTTCGGTCTGCCTTGGATTGTCATTTCGGTTTTTAACCTTCTTTTGTCCATTGTGTGGATGACTATGCTTTAAATGGTTCAGTGGTTTTTTGTGGCTCAATGCTGATGGCGGCTTTTTGTGGTTCAGTGATGGTGGAGTTTTCTGAGTCAATGGTGGTTTGTGGATCAATGCTGGTTGTGGAGGTTTGTGGTTTAGTGCTGCTGGTTTGTGTTCAATATTAATTTGTCGACCAATCCTTGTCGCGGAGGTTTGTGTATCTATGATGATAGTGGCTCATTGGTGGTTGTTTTCTCTACACTATATCATCAAACACATTTGCATCAAAGCACCCAGTTATCACAACAGCAAGGCGTCATTTGCACTATTGTACGTGCTGTTATCGATGTAAATACTGCTCATGCAGTGCAAGACTAAGACGACCCAAATCTAGTTTTCCATGTGCTTGCTCATTTGCACACGTTAACCAACACTGTTACATTGCCAATACCATTTCGACTCATGCAAGATGCAATGATCCAGTTTTTTTTTTTCAGGATGTGGTCTAGATTACTTTACTCTCACTAGACAAGAAAGAGAAAACTTGAGCAAACAGCACATGCAAATAATAACCATTGGAGAATTGATACCCATCATAGAATACATACCCTTCAAAGTCTTAGCACCATCAAATGAAATAGGTGTGTCTTTTATTGAGTTCTTCATTGACTCTTTGCCATTTGAGAGACGGGGGTGGCTAACATACCAACAAAATGACCTCTTCATGAGGCAAAGCTTTTCAAAAAAAAAAAAAAAGTATTTGGGCTAAGCAATTGCCCTTTCAATTACATGATTCCCATTTAATCAGCATCGCATCATCATTGTCATCAACAGAAAGGTATTTGGGTCAGCCAGCGGCAGCGCCACTGCCGCCGCCAAAATTAATTCAAACTCAGTATTATTTTTTTTTTCTGTTCAAGATTGGACAGATCATGTCTTTTTTCGACTTCTTTAATTTATTTTGTGATATTCGACTATATAAACTGTGATGATCACCCTATGCTGCCTAATACATTCTTGAAGCACTTTTCAAGGCGCTTCCAATGGTGCTAACTGTAATAAGTGTTTTGACTGAAATGATTGAGCAATTTGGTAAAATATGAAATGAGGTTTTCAGCAAAAATAGCCATATTTTGCATATGAAAGCCTCATAAAAGTGGTTTCAGAGGTTGCTTAGGGTCGAGAGAAACATTTTGATTCAATATATACCATAGTAAAAGTCTTCGTTTTCAAGGCAAAAAACGCGGTCGTTTGAATTTCGATAAAAACCATGAGGGGTACCTCAAGGTTTTTGGTCGATTTTTGGCCATGTTTTTTTTGGTCCCCAAAAACTTGAGCAAAGGTGTCAGGAAGTTACTACTACTCAAGTACAATTGTTTGGCGTTATTCTGACAGCTCAGAAAGGTCTATATGTCAAGATATGAAGGTTTGAAAGCTGTCAAACTTGGTTATGTTTTTGCTTTATAGCTATTATTTACACGGCATGAATCACATCTTTGGTAGCTGCAATTTACTGGAAGGGCAGTTCTGCTGCTTGTGCAACTTCCAATTTGAATAGAAGGCATACTGATTTTGGTAAAGCTAATTTATACAAATTTTGATGCGCTATGTTGCTGGTAAGCTTATTAACAATGGAAATGAAGAACCAAATTTGCTGCTTGAATACTATGGTTATGCACTTTTTTTTTCGCTACGGTAAAACCGCCTCATAATTCAATGTCACCAAATGTTGAATTAGATGCTTTATGTTCTCGATGGATGAGCTTAGCACCTTCTCCAAACCTCCTCCCCAATGCCGGCTTTGCCAGTGGTTTTATTCACCTTGTACAGTACTCAATTCTTTAAATTCTTGAAAGAATATGATTTATTTGTCTACTTTTTTTTTGAATGTTTTACAGTATATATAGTAAAGATATAGAGTCCAAAGCTTTACAGTACAATGTATCACTGGGACAATAGATAAATCACAGCATTCCGTACTGACGTTAACGCTTTAGCCTCTTATGCAACACATCTGAAAAAATGGTGATTGACTAGATAATGTCTCTGTACGCAGTGACATAAACCATCACATAGCTATGGCGTCTGATATACAGCATCCTAGGCTCGCATAATTTGCTGCCATGTAGCGCAAGTACATCTCACTTGAACGTCAAAACAGATCTTGCAGATTTCATTCGCTCAATATGAATTGCACGCTGCTGCATTTCAAAGGCACTCGACTTGAATAGGAACAAGAAACGCGCTCCAATCCAGATACTTTTAATCATTTATACATTCACTCCATCATGGTACAACGCGGTTTACTCATTGTAGTGGAAGGTTGTGATCGCTCAGGAAAGTCAACACAATGTGAGAATCTTGTAGGCAGACTCCAGCAAGCTGGCAATGCCACTGAGCTAGTCAAGTTTCCAGGTATGTTTCTTTTTAGTTTATCAGACTCTTCCAACCTCACAGAACAAAAGACAGAACCACACAAACAGGCAAAATGATTGATAATTATCTTCAACAAAAGAGCGATCTAGACGACCATGCTATTCATCTCTTGTTTTCAGCCAACCGATGGGAAGCAATGTAAAGTATCAATCGCAACGAGAGATTGTTGTATTTGCTGATACTGTGCTACATTCGTAGGAAAGCGCTATCAGAGAAATTAAACAACGGCATCACATTGGTTGTAGATAGATATGCTTTCTCAGGCGTCGCGTTTTCGTCAGCCAAAGGATTGGATTTAGAATGGTGCCGCAACCCAGACATTGGATTACTGAGACCAGATATTGTCTTGTTCCTTGATTTGACAATTGACGAAGCAGAGAAAAGAGGCGGGTTTGGACAGGAACGCTATGAAAAGAGAGAGCTGCAGATCAAGGTGCGAGATGAGTTTGCAAAGCTGCAAGACGACTCATGGAAGGTAAGAGGACAAGAGATGCGTTGGGTGCCGAATACCTGATGATTGAGTGCTTGTGCGTAGTTTATCGATGCGAGTCAATCCAAGGACAAGGTTCAGCAAGCTATTTGGGATACCATTGAGCAATTCAAACAAACATCAAAAGATACAATTCAACCATTGCAGTTTAATTTATGGAAATAAATATATGAATTTTTTTTTGGTGTAGAGAATACATGGGCATTGCTCTAAACGTTTGATTTTCAGAGAGAGAGAGGGGGGATATAAGTTATTTGCTTGCGGTATATTGTCTCATCAGGTCCAATTCTTTATGGCTTCTGCCATTAGGTTGACCACCTGGTCCACCGAGGGGCGATGTAGCAGAGGTAGGAGATCCACCACCGCCACCACCTGTGCCTGATGAATTCTTTAAAAGCGATTGGAAGAAATTGGCTAATACTTCATGCGAAGGTGCATTCTGTTGACTGGCGCTGGTTGGCGAAACAGACATAGCCGCAGCATTGGGTATCGCTCCTGTTGCAGTAGGCATGGATCCCTTATTACCACCACCGGGTGATGATAAGGGCGACATATGGCCATTCTTGTTGTTGATGCCTTTCATAAGTAACTTTTCCAAGCTTAGATCCTATGCGGGTTGCATTAGTGTTGTAATGCATGGTGAGTTCACAGTGAGCTTTACCTTCTTTCGGCTGCTTGTTCTATCCAAATGATGGCCATTTTCAGTAGGCGATGATGCTATTGACGATAACGATGACAACGATGCTGGCGGTGATGTCGTTGTTATTGACATTGGGTTGGATGCAGCACTTCCGCCACCTCGCATCATACCTTGTAAGGCTGCAGCTGGTGATTGACTCAGAGGCCCAACAACGCCAGGTCTAGCCATGTCTCCTCCTGATCCATTGCTCATGCCGTTCTGCTTAGATTCTTGGTTCTTTTGTAATTTCTCATAATGGCGGTCATAAAATGACTGCTCGTCTTCACAAATGGTTGTGGTAGGTATATTGTATTGAGGCTATGAAGAGAGTAAGCAACACTGAAACCGCCCAACGCCATCGGATCCCGTACCTGAATCTCTGATTCACCGTTGGGTATAGCTTCTTCATATGTGCCTCTTGCACCTGTATTTCCGGGTTTTTGTCGATCAATGACCGCATCCATATCTGCATCCCAGCCTTCACTTACATGATCGCAATCAAAGCCTTCTCTCAGCACCTTAATTTTGCCCCACGAGTCCCATCCTGAAGGCACAAGTACTGTATCACGTTCAATTACTTGCGCTTTTAGGTGAAATTGGTATGGTTTGGCAAGAGTACTTAATGTGCGATGAAGGATGTATTCACGAAGGTTATGGAATGTGTATGGATGAAGTGTTGATGTGTAGAATAAGGCTGCACCATCTGTTTTGTTGCTATGAGCTGGATGTTCTCGGGTGTGGTGCGTGTATACTTACATTTCATGCAGATGCATCGAAGCGATTGCTGGATATAATCAAATTGATCATCTTTGAAGTCATGTGTTTGCTCTAGCTTATTGATAGCATCGCTCTAACAGTACATTAGTGTCATGCAGAATCGTGTCTGAACCCTGCTTGTTCATACCTTGCAACAGACAACAGTGATTGGCAGCCCTAGATTGTTTGTCAAGCAGCCAGTAGATAACGGTAGCATCACTTGCTGATCCATTGTGGAAGGCAGATTGGCATTGCTCAGTATAGGCGTGCTGCTCGTAGCCATGACAGAGGGCACTGAGCTGGTAGAAGTAGAGGCAGTGATGGTGATGTTGCTGTTTATCATGGACGGTTCTGTATACATCTGTAAATAATGTTCCACTACATATGATGACATTAAGAACGAGATGCAACCATACTTGGATGTGTAGGCTTACATTTCTCCTTGATCTCATCCACAACAGCTCTTCCTTTGCTCCAATTTGTGTCTGCTGCTATCCCTTCCTTGCAAATTTCGTCTATTAAATAATGCAACACATTGATCCAGCGCTCCAATGTCTCCAGGAACTTCCAGGGACGCGTCCAATCCATCAAGATAAGCACACATGAATCAGCAATTGTGTCTGCTCTGATGGCAAATTTCAGCAAAGGCAAGAACTCTGGAGAAGCCAGGCTGAGTTGGTACAAACCAAGTCTTGCCATCGCTGTGTATTGTGTGTGCATGTGTGAGAATAAACGTTGGTTACAAATCACCTTGCCCCTTGTTTTCTCTGTCCCACCATTACCTTCATTTTCTTCATCTTTGACATCTACAAACGAATATCCCAAGGCCAAATCGATTTTCTCTTGGTCTTGAAATTGTCGAGTCATGTTATCGTTGCTGGGCTGGGCATAGTTTTTGGGATTGGCACTAAATGAAGCTGGATGTTCCTCGTTGTGATCGAATTTAGGCAGCTGTTGTGGACTTGGATCATTTTTCAGGAAATGGACTAATGTTGATTTTCCAACACCTGGCTCGCCTAAAATCAGGACGTTTTTGGTTGGCACAATCTTGGACGATGCTACACCTTTCAAGATGCCAGACCAAAGATCATCTTTCTCGGGTATATAGCTTTTCTGATGCTGCTGTGTCAAGTTGGATTGTGTCGAGACACTTTGTGAAGGTGTTACTGAAGATAACATTCCGGAAAGAAGAAATAGAAAAAAAAAAAGAGAGAGAGAGAGAGAGAGAGAGAAAGAGAAAGAAAGGCTCGGAACCCCTTTTTGCTTCGCTTTATAAATAACAAACAAGACACACAATACTTTTGTGTTGTATTTACATAGTCTCGCAGACAGGACAAAACATGCATACACACACGACATGAAAAAATTTTAACCTTCTTTTTTGATCGGGGTCTTGGTGATGCCCTACATTTAATAGTGATTTGGAGCAAACAGACAGATCCATCTTTGCATAGCATCATCAGACTTGGATGATACAACATGCTTTCAACACTCGTGCTCGGCATCCTTTTTCTACAACATTGCAAAAATTCGGACTCCATATCATGCGAAATGAACTTGCAGGTTCCCAACAAGAGAGAAAGCGCTACGCTGCCCTCAATTTAGCACTAATGCCTTTCACTGTTTGTATCATCTGAACTTGAATAAATCCAAATGCACTCTACATATCCACAGAGCTTCAACGGCTCAGATTACCAAACCAAGTTCTAAAGCATGTGCTGGCTGAATGTATTATGAAAATCTACTACATTTGTTTTTTTTTAAAAAAAAAAAAAAAAAAAAAAGAATGCCAAAGGCTCTCAACTACAACCATGCTGTTTGCATCATGTCAGCGTTAGCATAAAAATCCTGCACCAAATCCTGTATTTGATTCATTAATGTGACCCTTCTCATCTTGTATAGCGCCTGTAATACGTTGTAGGTTCGAACTAAAGTATCCTTATCTGTAGGGTCGATTCCTCAAAATGATGCGTTATGGAGATGGCTATAAGAAGAGTAGCAAGATTTGATCATACCGACTATAACAGATAGCACATCTTTGTAGAGGATACCGCTTGATTTATTGGATGAAATGTCTGATCTTGCAAGTTAGCATGAAATAGACATTTGGACATCCGGAAGGAAAAGACGTCGTTTCTTTGTACTCCTTAAAATCAATCAAAAATGACGAGGTTTTTTCGGCTCACACTTTATTTTCTTTATCCTCCTCCAACAACAACATGTATAGAAGAAGAAAGGTCAACGTTGAAGAGAAGCCTCCTATTCCCGATCATCTCGAGGATTTTGGCTACGTTTTGAAAGAGAATGGCGAAGTTCGCAGCATTACCCAAGGTGCGTGTTCGTTGTGTATTGTACTATGGTAGCAAACACGAGAATTTGACACATTTTTGAATGCAGACTTGCCTTATGAGTTTGATTATTTGCCCAAGGATAGATCTTACAATGAAGAGCGTTACGACAAATTCATCAGTAAATAGTCCAAGAGTAGCCCTATAACGAATGTGTATCTCACCCATTCTCAATAGATATTATTGGAGATATTGTCGAAGATCGACTTCAAAAGGCTCCTTACAACTTTCGAAAGGTAATTGTGCCTATTGGAGCTGACCCTGCCAAAGACATCCATTCCTACATCTACATGACGTGAGTAAGCATTACCTATCGCTGCTGCTTTGAAGCTAACACCTAGGCTTGTGTAGTCCCAATGCTCTGACTACAACTGATAAATTAATGATCATGATCCCAGGCAACAATACTAGGTAAGTAGAGCCATTTTACTGATCCAAACACTGTTTGATCTCATGCCATGGATTAGAATTGGGCAATGGAGTAAGCGTGTTATGTGTGACATCAATGTTCAAGTAAGTAGGGAGGAATCCGCTATTTCGATCTGGATGCTTAAACCACAACTACTTAGTCTGGATCCATGATGCAAACCAGTGAAATGGTGCTCGAAAAAGGCTACGAAATCATCATATTGAACTCGAATGCCAATTTCTGGTATAACGGACGTGCTAATCTTACAGCTCAAACACACACAGGCGTTGCGATTACTGTCCCTGGTAACTATACACGGAAGCAGCAGTTTGCATAAAATAGGGAAGCTCATGCGTGCGTGTATTTGAATATAGGCAGCGAGACACCTGAGGAGCATTGCCAGTATGTTTTCCACAACTTTATCAGGTAAGGCTCCACCACTCCTACATATGCCCACCAACTCTATCTAACATGCATTTTATGAATGTATCTAGAAATGCAAAAGCAGACAAGGTAGCAGTTTTGGCTAATTCATGGGGCGGCTACAGTTTTGCGCTTACATTGAATACTGAGTGTAAAGTTGAAATGGCATAGTATGGCAAGAGGTACATGTAATTAAATCATCTTATTCTAGTCGATTATATCAAGGAGCATATCAAGGCAGTCGCAATGACAGATTCTGTACATATCCGCGACATGATCAAAGGTGACAAGCAGCGTACTTTTATGTTTGAGGTAAGTTACAGTACATTTAATCTTACTTGCATACTGAAAAACGATGTGGACATTTATATAGAACTGCTATAATTGGTCTGCTTCTACAGATAAAAAGGGCTCGCTCGTGCCTGATGTACGCTTGGGCTGTCCCAACATCTCTTCTGGCGAGGAAATTGCAGACTACACATTGCCTACCATGCTCAAGTACATTATGAACTTTATCTTTGTCAAGATGGGTGATATTGAATGGGGCTCTGATGATGAGAACGACGACATGGATGGAGGCGTGGAGGTGCTGACAGAAGAGGACATGGCGGAATTGTCTCGTATCGAGATCTTGAGCTCCAATGTATAAGCCAAATAAAATAGTTTCGCTTGATGTGTCTTGGCATTATGATGCAAGTGCTGATTCTCGGAAGAAGAACAAGTACATGGAAAAAACTGAAAATTAAGGGGGGGGGGATGATGAGGATGAGAAGCAACTGATCACTCTATCATTTATTTGGATTTTAGGTTAGTTCTTGATGCACTATTATGTATGCAATTCCGTGATCATCGTTTCTTTATCAATGGAAACACATACACATCAAAGCGTAGCACTTTCTCCATCTCTACAACATTTAATGGACATCAAATCAGAGCACATGTGTGTGTGTGTGTGTGTGTGTGTGTGTGTGTGTGTGTGTATGTGGCAAGCAGAGCACCGGGCAAAAGAGCTATATTTCAGTGTAAATGAAAGGCATGGCTTTGCAGTGCTTTTTGCTGGTTCTGCTGGTTTTGCTGCTGCTGCTGCTGCTGCATTACCTTGCATTGCATCTTTTTCTGAATCATAGTATGTAGAACAGTATCCTACACTCACAATACCCAAATTTTGAGTCTTGTTATTGATAATGATGCTTTGTTGGTTCACAAGGCCATTTCCTTTTTATTTTGCTACACCAAAACAATAAGCCTTGTAAATATCTAGTCATGTCAATATGTATTTATATACCACCACGTATACATTGGTTGTATTTCAATCCTCACTGGATAGATATATAGATGGAAACAATAATAAGGGGGTTCTTATTTTGGGGGAGAATGGGGCGTAAACAGGGATATACACACAGTTGCTTAAAGGAACGGCAAACCCGTTTCTCTCACTGTGCTAATCCGTTTTATACAGAGAGATGAACATTTGGTTGGTTCAGTTATATATAAATAATATGCAGGTAAAGTCAACTGCTTTGCAGCATAAATAATAAACAGACAATCAATCATTGAAGCACTGTGCGTGTGTGTATAACAAAAACCCCCATTCCGCCGCCACTGTATTAGAATATCATCACCACTATCATCCCCCTTCACTAATTTTTTTTGCGTATTAAAAAGGGCCGTTTCCCTTCTTAACTTCTCTCTCTCTTTCTCCTCTCTTTCCTTCATCCTTCTTTACATACACCTGTCATTGCCATTTCAAAAAAGCAAGGAGAGAGTTCCATTACACTGATATATACAAGCAAGGAACCCACATATCATCAAACAGCAGTAAGTAAGCCATATATACATTACATTGCATGTGGAATTAAAATTTTAATATAATAGTGGAAGGCATTTACCCAAACAACTTGTACTCGAATGATAGCTATCCATATCAGCAGCAGTATCGCTCAAGTGCATTTTCAGATGCCAGATCATGCCAACCAACGACTGCATCTACTACTACTACTACTACTACTACTACATCTTTATATCATTCGGCTGGTCTGAATAATACCCATCATAATACCAATGGCTTACATAATCATCACTACCACCACTCGCATCATCACCACCCGCATCCCAATGACTATCACAATAGCTCGGTTGGATGGACCTCTCCACCCAACATGTCCTGGAACACAAACACTTCACCCCCGCTTCCACCCCCTCTCTCGTCTTCCTCTAATTCGTCTCGTCATAACAGTTTCAGTGGGTACAACAACGCACCTGTGCAAAGACCAAAGTTGACTACCACTGTTTGGGAAGATGAAGGCACTTTATGCTACCAAGTAGATGCAAAAAGTGTCTGCGTCGCTCGTCGTCAAGATAATGATATGATCAACGGCACTAAATTGCTCAATGTCGTTGGCATGTCTCGAGGCAAAAGAGACGGTATCCTCAAGAACGAAAAGGGCCGTGTAGTTGTCAAAGTAGGCGCAATGCATCTCAAAGGTGTATGGTAAGTAGAGATACATTTAACTCATTTTGCTGCTCATAGCCTGACCACTGTGTACGTTTATATAGGATCACTTTTACTAGAGCCAAAGATTTAGCTACCAAGTTCAAGATTGTAGACATCCTGTACCCACTATTTGTAGAGGATCCCTCTGTCTTCTTGTCTGTGCCTCCACCTCCTCCCTCCTCATCTTCCGGCACTCTCAATGTGAGTAACTCAAACAGCGGCAGCTTGCCCATCATGCTTCCATCATCCAATCCCACCACGACAGCACCCAAATACACGACAAATTACGGCTCATTCAACATGCAAACCTGGGAAAAGCAATCCTATCAACCTCTTCCTAGTATCACAAATCAACAACAACAGGATCAAAGTACGTTTTCTTTGTTGTTATTTATTTGTTTACATTTTCTTAATCATCATTTGTTGTATAGTGTTGATTCGATCTCAAAACCTCACCAGCGGTAGTTGTAGTCCTGTGCCTGGAAGCATTGCTCCCATCTTGTCCTCCACCGCCACCGCGGAAGAGAATGATCTGTATCTGATGAGCAACCCATATGATTATCGTAGTAGCAGTAACGATAGAGCTTATAGTAACAACACGAGTAACAGCTCCTATCATTTATACGGTAACAATAACAACAACAACAGTGGCGGTGCTACTACAACAGATCATTACTCTTCTTCTCCTTACGACAATGCGCCAACAACAAGTCCTTATGTGCAACAACGCAAATTACATCATTCAGTCATTGATCATATTGCTGACAAGGAACCTTATCATCATCATGGAGAGCAAAGACGTAATAGCATTGATTTGCCTACCAGTCCTCCTCCAGAAGGCTTGAAATATTCATCCACGTCTTCCGCTGTATGGCCTGATGCAGACACCACATCAGCAGCAGCAGCAGCAGCAGCAGCAGCATCAGATCGAAAAGATGCCTCATTAGGTATATTTTAGTTTACACTCTCTCCCTGATAGCACAACTAAAACTCTATATTGTAGGGTCTTCTTCAGGTATTCGAAATGCTACTCATTTGATCCTGTCCGGTAGCAATGGCTCTTGTCATCCTCTTGCAAATGAGTACGATCATAATGGCAATGAGGAACAAGATCAATCAAAGTCCTTGTTTAAAAGTAGAAAGAGAGGCCATCAAGACATGAGCAAAAACAACATCCATCTTCAACGTAAGCGTATGAAGAATGATACGTTGACAGCTACACCTTGAACAGAATACGCCCATCATCATTTCATATCATCTATTTTTTTTTTTTTTTTTTTTGCTATCTATTATATCTTTTTTTTTTCTATTTATTCATCAATCCATCTACATTAGTATACACTCTCACACAATCGCACACACATCATTACACCATAAGCAAACCAATAAAAATATAAACCATAGTATTAATATCCCCTTCAAACAAAGAAAGTAATGACTCCTTTCAACTAGTGATACCATTGCCACCGTCGTGTGAAGGTTAGTGCTGATTTGAATTCATTGCATGACACTCACTCGAGTCATTTGATTCTGTTTGCTCACAATCATATCATGTTGAATCATTTTATTCAATATGAAGATACTTCATGTAAAATGCTTCATCTATACATGACGCTTATACCTTACCTTACATGTACGTACGGATCAGCAATACATTGAATTTGACAAATTGTTTATAATGACTCGACTGCAATCAAGTTTGAAACTGTTTGTTCAGGATATCACAACAATACAGCGGCTTACATTCCGGCTGGTTGGTGTAACACCGTGGTTTTTGTTTGGTAATTCTTATGCAGTTTAAAATACGGGTGCTTTATCAATGATGTGTTTTGTGTGCCTTTTTTTACCCCTGAATTTTCGGAGATGCTGCTGCTTTCAACCCAGACACGGATCACCATTTCTGCAAATCATTCTACACAATGTACAAGATTTGTATCGATCTAGCAAGAGTTGCATCGATATTTGTACATCAAATTCTATTATCTACAAATTGAATCTATCAGAAAGTATTTAATTATAGTCGATAATAAGCCAATGTGCTTGCGGAGGGCAGGTTGAACAGACCAAATTCCGGAGTGGGGTCTTGGGATGGTAATATGGGCGTTTCTTATTTGTTGTGTATGATAAATAACTCAGGGCATATTTTCAAATGAATAAAAAAAATCAGTTATCGTTACTAAAATATCTGTCTATTTGTATTAAATGAGAGACAATTAATATGTAGAGACATTCTCATACTCATTTGACCCAAAAATTTAACAAGGTGTGGCAAGCGCATGTTATAGTTATATAGACCACAACATGTGATGCGGCATTCTATACAAAGATGTTGACTAAATGCGCAGTGCTATCCCGAGTCTTGAGCTTTATAAATTTACCTTTCTTGGACACATTATTAACCTGCATTTTCCAGGTCGGATCAGAAAACCAAATGTGTACATCTAATGAGCATTAAAGTGGGGATGATAATTTGTGCTGTGTTGAAATGAAAAAGAATCAAGTGATTAGTTTATGTTGCTAGAGAAAATTTTGCCTATAACAAGATCTAACTGAAATATCATGGTGCATCCAATATGTGTACACCGACCAAAACGTTTTTGATCACATTAAAAATAATTAAATTCTATATCTTGATATTTCTTACGACACACGATCAAATAACGTTACCCGGTAACTATACTATATTCAAATTATGTTATTTAATTTTCTTTTATGCAAGCAGCATATTAATTAGCAAACGCAAATGTACTCAACAAGAAACAATCATATAGTATAGTTGCCGGTTTAAGCTTGCTGAAAACATTCATCAAAAGGCATATGTACTTATTTACGTAGAGATACTGCAATATCACTTGTATAGAATGGCTTCAGTGCGCAATAAATATATTACTTCAACTCCAGTTAAATCAATGCCACAATGACGCGCAGGTACACCATAATTTGTAAATGTATGATTGAATCAAGAGCTAAGGCACACCGAATGACTTTCCAGGAGTCTCACTTGCAATACAATACACTCATCAAGATAAAAAATCATCAAGCCTTTAGTAAAAAAATGAATACAAAATTCAAGACTAATTAAAATGCAGGGTAAAGCGAGCTTCTGAATAAACTTCCTTAGTATAGCCAGATGGTTAGTTATATGTACGCTTTCAAAAATTAGCAAATGCTGTATTCTTTAGGCGACATATGCAATCTAACTGTTACAAAGGCTTCTATTTAGAAGATGAATGTCTATTGGTGGATGCACTTGTAAATTACAAGGTAATTAAACGTAATCAAACTGGAATCATCGCGATGGAGCCTTAAATGGCATGCTTCTACTGCCCTTCGTTCTACGTCAACTCCAAAAGAACATCAAAGCAGCTTATATTAAGAACCTTTGTCAATGACCACTGCAACTCATCATATCCAATGGCCTCACATCAAGGTGCCATAAACCAAGTGTTAGTACACAATCAATATCCAAGTTTATTGACTCTTTTTCATTTCATTTGTATATAAAGGCATACTTTTATTGGTTGCTACAGCAGATTATCCACCACCATGTAACAGAATCAAGCAGCGTAAAGATCAAAATACAGCTGATCCTATGAATGATTGTTTACACAATACTATGCAAACCCAACCTTCCACTCTTGCATAAACCAATACGACCATCCAGCATGAACTTGGTAGAGTCTAGTGATGACTGAAAGCCGTACGGAATGCTGTGAAAAATGCCTCCAGTGTTGTTCGAGAAGCAACTATCAAAAGGCAAACAACATCTGACAAAATAATTCTCCAGATTCATAAGACTGCAAAAGAGCCTGTCAACATGCAGTCCGAATTAACTGCTTCAAGTAATGTTTAATGGAGTAGGCGGCCACCAATGATACCCAAAGAGAGCACACAATCAGAAAACTCTAGTACTTGCCCGCTGACAACCTATTATACGACTCATAAGCTCTGAATATTTGTCGAACAAATAGCAAACAGAAGTACTCATATAATAGCTAGTTTGTGTCGAAACCTTGAGTAAGGCTTACGAACCTACCTTCATTTATACCTTTAGAAAACTGCTCCTCGTCAAATAGAGTGGCATAGACCCCAGGAAACCTGAAAGGGATTTCTACTGCTCGATAAATCAAGCAACACAAAAAACAGTGAAAAAAAGATACCTTCAAACATTTATCATGCGCAATAAATAATGGCACATTTACTGCGCCTTATCGCTGCATTCGGAAACACTGCAATATATCTTTGTCTATTTCGATACACTGCTGCTCATTTCAAGTCTACGCTTGATGAAGATCCATAAGAAGCTAACGTTACTGTTGCGAACCATTTTCTCATTACAACCATCTTTTCTTATCCCTTTTCGTGCTCTGTTTGTTTGAGATAAAGAGAAGCTTGCTGCTTACAACATTTGGTCTCACCCTTCAAATGCACCCACTTTTAACAAATCATTTTTAATATACAGCATTACAAATTGGTTTCGTTTTTCCACATACAAATGGCCAGTGTACCTGAAATCATTCCAAAAAAATATGAACTCGTATATACTCCCTAATGGTTCGTTTCCAATAATGCATCTCTCAAGATTATAACACTTCAGGCCTTTTCATGCAAAAAAAAATAGGTTGCAGCTGTCCAAAATCGAACCTTTTGTTGCATACAAGCATGAATCCTAGACTACATTCACTTTTTCCTCAAGCCACTTTAACAGTGTAGCAACATAGATGAAGCTTGTCGTATCACTTCACATCTATGTTTACAAGTCCATTCAATTTTGTGTGCACGGATACCTCAACAACTACAATAGATTCAGTCTCCTCAATATCAGGACGTCGAATTTCACCTACGATATATGAAACATATCGACTTTGGTGATCTCTGAACTAGCTATACTAACAATAATCAATATGGCTTCAGTGACTTGATACTAATATACCATCTCAACGTAGTAGTCATCGACTAGGCTCTATCATATTAAAGTTAGCTAGATACTCCGTAATAACGAAGCTCTTTGCTATTTGTTTTTGATACAGTTGACAACTAGTTATTTTCATCGACCTTATTATTACGAATTCATCAACATGCTACTTTCAGAGCTCTAGCAGTAATATTTCAAGCTTAATTTCAAATGATCCAAACCTTCGAAACGAAAATGCCTTTGTACATCCAGAATCTTCGTTAAGAGATAGAAGCTAGCAAACCTTGAAACTAATACCACATGTTGGAAATAAATGTTAAAAGACACATGTTTGGCAAAGCATTGGGTACTGGGAGAATATTATACTGATGAGTGTACTACTGTACCTATACAATAACGTTCCTTACATAATATATCTAAAGGACATTCCTCACGTCGAACTATTATGCAATGGATGCTAGATCAAACGCTTGCACCTTAACGTACTCTTAAATAAAGAAAAAGACTTTAAATTATATCTATTTCGCTACCCTTTTATTACAAATATTAACTCAATAAAGATGAAAGCTCAATAGGAGATCAGCTAGCTGGAATCCTTCGGTCCCTGAACCTCTGAGCCAATCAAATCGCTTGAAAACTCCGCTGACCTAAAAAAAAATTGCGAGGGTTTCCCCCAGTTTTGATGTGAGGCAAAATTTTAAGCGCCGCTACAGTAGCAATATAGCCGCCGCTATCATCAAATCTCCCCCAGGTGCTAGAGCATGCCTTACTTACACCACCTAGCTTTAAATTCAGGCGTTGAGACCCTCAATCATCACTAAAGTAAGTAGTGATAACCAAGTGGAGGCAGCCTATCTACCTCTTAGCCTCGGATAAGTTCTTGTTGAGCTTCAGTGATAGGCACATCCACCACAACGTAAAAAAGTATGCTTCAAAGAAACATAAAAATAATAAAAGAAAGAAGAAAAGAACATATTACTATAGAAAGATAGTGATATGTAGGCAAAAGAGGGATACTCACACAAAGTGAGTCAAAGAAAAGTATAACAAATACAACATTAGAGACGTTTAGAACAGCTCGTTGTTATTGCAACAAAAATGCATACATGAGCAACATGCATGGTAATAGTCGGATGTAAAGCAATACAACCAACAAACGAAGAAGGAAAATGCAACAAAGAAAACATCATGAATGCATTATCATGAGAAAGGAAGCAATAATACAAACGTTCAAAGAAGTTTTATATCATTGCGACCAGAAGAAAGAAGATACTTACCACTTACCACTACCGTGGATAGACCAGAGAACGAGCATGCAGCACCAAACATAGTAGACCAGGAGGAAGGACCATAATATTAGCAGCAGCAGCAGCAGCAGCAACACCAGCAGCACGGATAAACCAAAGAACGAGCGACACCCAAGACCAGACAAAGACCAAAGAAGTAATTGCCAGACATGATTGACCAAATACGCAGATACCAGAGATACCAGAGAAGTAATGGTAGCAGCATTCATTCAAACAAGCAAGAAATCATTAAAACCTAATAAACAAACTCAATTATTAGTGTTAATTCTACGCCTTCTAGTGCTCGTTATCGAATGGTACCTAGTATATTCCACTTCAAAGAAGCAGTATCAAGTTCTTCCAACAGTACAAGACAGAGTTATCGGAAGCTAGAGTGTTATTATCAATCAAACAGTGCCCAAAACCACCATGGTTTGATACTAAAACACGTTTTGCAAAAAGGGTAAAAAACGGGGGCATGGAAAAATGAAAGGGCACCCTATCCGACGTCACGACTAATAGATTTAGTCCCAGTCTTGTACCGTAGCAGCCGTAATTGCGGCAGTTTAATCTGAAATTGTGCAGTGGTATTTTCGTGTTTAAACTTGACTTGGTCTCACATCCTTTAAATGTTTTTGCTAAACTTGATTATGAAAACTGTCATTGTCACACCCAACTTTCTAATACATCTCTAGAGAACTAAAGAAGCCGTGTTAAGCACAAAGAATAAAAGGATTATTATTTGTAGCTTATAAAAAATGTTCAATATTATAAAAACAAGAAAAGACTTATTTGAATAAGATCAGACACAAAAATTGTTATTTGGACCTGAAGAACAAAATAGGAAATGTTATTATGCTAGAATCTTCTTGAAGCTTTATTTCGAGCGAATTCAAAGAATATATAAAGACAATCAAAATCTAATCTATATCATTAATCGAGTTAAGCTCGGTCATTACCAGCTAATTTATTCACATTTCAACCATGTCTACACTCGAGGAACAAGTCTTAGCCCTCCAACAACAACTGGCCACACTTCAAGCCCAAATTCAAACAACTTCAGGCCCCACGCCAATGCAGTCAGCGGATGACACTGCAATGCCTACTCCGATGCAGCCAGGTGCAAGTGCTGCCGTACCTCACATTCACTCTGTCGAGACTCGCCCCCCACTACGATTGGTCTCCCTCCGATGCCTTAATGGAACTCATGGAGTTGGATACACCTATCCACAATGCCAAGCCTTTACCTGAATCTGAACGCAAGGCTATTATTGAAGCCTACCCTCCTAAGGCCCATCTTGATTATAAGGCCCCCAATACCATTCCTTCAGCTGAACGTCTGATGAATCGTGAACAGAAGTACCAGGATACTGCTATCAAACAACTCCAGTACCTCTTGTCGGCCGCTTTCCGTCCATTGGACATCCTTACTAACGAGATGTTTACATATGAAAGCGGCAATCCCAACTTGGAACGTTACAGTGTCATGCTACGGGACACTCGTCGTCTCCTCTTACATGTTTGCTCCATAATGACTCAACAGCGTACTAATATTGCCCTTCGTGCTCACAACCCCGCCTACCGTTTGAACAACACTTCTGAAGTCAATTATACTCCTCCCTTGAATGAGTTTCAGCAAACTCTTGTTCAACAACATGCTGCTATGAAGGCAACTCGTGAGGCTACTGTAACTCGTAGGCTACTGTAACTCGTAAGCCACGTCGCTTTGCGCGTAACCCTTCTAACTCTGGTTCTTCTTCTAATGGACTAGACCCATCGTTTTTTCGATCAGGTCCATCCTCGCAGCAGGGTGGTTTCAACAACAACACCAACAACCACAGCAACTTCAACAACAACAATGCCAACAACAACCACAACAGCAAGACCAGCAACAACAACAACAGTTTCCGACAAAACAAGAAAAACAACAACCCTTTTCGTCAGTAACAGCAACAACAGCAACACCATCCACAATCGACCCAGTAGGAGGTCGGCTCAGCAAGTACTTTCAACACTGGACCAATATCACCAAAAATTCATTCGTTTTAAACACTGTTCAACACGGTTACTACATCCCATTCCACACAACACCGCCAACAACTACCACACCAACATCCATCACTCCCTTTTCAGCAGAACAAGCAACCCTTATCGACCAAGCAATTCAAGATCTCCTAGCCAAATCAGCAATCGAACCGGTCTCACCCCAACAAGTGCAACAGCAACCAGGCTTCTACAGCTCCATGATCGTGATCCCAAAGAAGAATGGTGGTGTCCGCCCGGTCTTCAACCTCAAACGGCTCAACCAGTTTCTCGAGGCTCCTCACTTCAAAATGGAAACCATCAAGGAAGTATCGTTAATGATCAAACCGAACGATTACCTAGTTTCAATCGATCTGTCAGATGCATTTCTCGTATGTCTCCATCCAGAGTCCCGACGCTTCTTACGTCTCAAATGGAGAATTCAAGTCTACCAGTACTGTACGACCGCCTTTGGTTTGTCTTCCAGCCCCTTTGTGTTCACCAAAGTCTGCAGGTCCATCTTAGAACACTTGCGCTCTCGCGGCTTCAGGATCTCAACATACTTAGACGACTGGCTTTTGATTGCCAACTCAAGACAGCAGGCAGAGGCTCAGACTCGTCAGGTGGTATCTCTCTTAGAAGACCTTGGATGGCTCATCAACTACAAGAAGTCAGTTCTTACTCCTACACAACAACTCGAACACCTAGGCTTTGTCTTGAATACCCGGTGTTAAGCACAAAGAATAAAAGGATTATTATTTGTAGCTTATAAAAAATGTTCGATATTATAAAAACAAGAAAAGACTTATTTGAATAAGATCAGACACAAAAACTAAAGATTTATTGATGAAGACAAGAGTTATTCTATTTATACTAAGTTCTGAATGCCAAAGTAGCAATTTATCTTGTACAACGCTTATCACATCTGGTGAACCTCAATATTTAGATAGCTGAGATGAACTTCACTTATCATAGCTTGTCCATGTTGTTGCACAACACAGACATATCTACCCATCAAGAATACCTGAATCTCTATAGACAGTTGTAGCCCTTCTGACACAACACGCATAAAAGCACATATCACATAAAAACTAAGTTCCATACAATGCAGAACTTCAGCGACATCAGACAGAACTGTAATTTACTTATTTCTCCGGCAATACAACCTATTACGCCGCCGTTTTAGGTCGAATCCTGTTCAAATCTAGCGGTTTTCAAGCACGAATAACTCATGCCACATAACGTTTTGGACGCTTGAATAGCACTACACGCCTCCTCTTGGCCACGCTTTACTTCCTAGTGGTTTATCTTAATTTTTTTTGGGTCGCTGCAAATTCACAAAAATCATCGTTTTTCTATGAGTATTAGCAAGGGAAAATTCTTGAAAATCAAACGATCGCGTTTTTCACCTTAAAAATGAAAACTTTTTCTATGATACATATTAGATCAAATTGATTGTAACGATGAAATGCAACATTAAAAACTCTTTCTATGAGGCTTTTATATGCTAAATTTTGACATAATTACGGAAAACCTGTTTTCATATTTTTGAAAATTGCTCATTATTTTTGGTCTGGAAGCTGAACGTAATTAACACCATTTGATGCGGCTTCTTTAGTTCTCTAGAGATGTATTAGAAAGCTGGGTGCGACAATGACAGTTTTCATAATCAAGTTTAGCAAAAACATTTAAAGGATGTGAGACCAAGTCAAGTTTAAACACGAAAATACCACTGCACAATTTCAGATTAAACTGCCGCAATTACGGCTGCTACGGTACAAGACTGGGACTAAATCTATTAGTCGTGACGTCGGATAGGGTGCCCTTTCATTTTTCCATGCCCCCGTTTTTTACCCTTTTTGCAAAACGTGTTTTAGTATCAAACCATGGTGGTTTTGGGCACTGTTTGATTGATAATAACACTCTAGCTTCCGATAACTCTGTCTTGTACTGTTGGAAGAACTTGATACTGCTTCTTTGAAGTGGAATATACTAGGTACCATTCGATAACGAGCACTAGAAGGCGTAGAATTAACACTAATAATTGAGTTTGTTTATTAGGTTTTAATGATTTCTTGCTTGTTTGAATGAATGCTGCTACCATTACTTCTCTGGTATCTCTGGTATCTGCGTATTTGGTCAATCATGTCTGGCAATTACTTCTTTGGTCTTTGTCTGGTCTTGGGTGTCGCTCGTTCTTTGGTTTATCCGTGCTGCTGGTGTTGCTGCTGCTGCTGCTGCTGCTAATATTATGGTCCTTCCTCCTGGTCTACTATGTTTGGTGCTGCATGCTCGTTCTCTGGTCTATCCACGGTAGTGGTAAGTGGTAAGTATCTTCTTTCTTCTGGTCGCAATGATATAAAACTTCTTTGAACGTTTGTATTATTGCTTCCTTTCTCATGATAATGCATTCATGATGTTTTCTTTGTTGCATTTTCCTTCTTCGTTTGTTGGTTGTATTGCTTTACATCCGACTATTACCATGCATGTTGCTCATGTATGCATTTTTGTTGCAATAACAACGAGCTGTTCTAAACGTCTCTAATGTTGTATTTGTTATACTTTTCTTTGACTCACTTTGTGTGAGTATCCCTCTTTTGCCTACATATCACTATCTTTCTATAGTAATATGTTCTTTTCTTCTTTCTTTTATTATTTTTATGTTTCTTTGAAGCATACTTTTTTACGTTGTGGTGGATGTGCCTATCACTGAAGCTCAACAAGAACTTATCCGAGGCTAAGAGGTAGATAGGCTGCCTCCACTTGGTTATCACTACTTACTTTAGTGATGATTGAGGGTCTCAACGCCTGAATTTAAAGCTAGGTGGTGTAAGTAAGGCATGCTCTAGCACCTGGGGGAGATTTGATGATAGCGGCGGCTATATTGCTACTGTAGCGGCGCTTAAAATTTTGCCTCACATCAAAACTGGGGGAAACCCTCGCAATTTTTTTTAGGTCAGCGGAGTTTTCAAGCGATTTGATTGGCTCAGAGGTTCAGGGACCGAAGGATTCCAGCTAGCTGATCTCCTATTGAGCTTTCATCTTTATTGAGTTAATATTTGTAATAAAAGGGTAGCGAAATAGATATAATTTAAAGTCTTTTTCTTTATTTAAGAGTACGTTAAGGTGCAAGCGTTTGATCTAGCATCCATTGCATAATAGTTCGACGTGAGGAATGTCCTTTAAATATATTTATGCAAAGAAAATTATATAATAAATACTACTTCAACAATGTGTTTGCGTTGCTGCTATAACAGTATTATTCTGGACAACCCACCGCCAGACAACCTTTCTAATTGTTGAAAACTATAGTGCAACGTTGTATGCTTTAAGGAGTAGTAGTGTACCATTCCGTCAGCCATAAACGCATATAGGGCTTTTATAGATTTATTTGATTTCACAATTTCCTTTCAGAGAAATGGGTGATATGAGCCCAATGAATCTATTAGACAGTTACAGTAGTATCATTTGCGGCTTTGATGTTGGGATACTACCTACGATAGAAAGACACCCTAACAAAGTGGTTTCGATTTTGAGGTTATTGAGGCCATCCCAAAAAGAGTTTTAAAATATTGATGGTAGAGCTTTGAAAGTAGTAGCACAAGTAATAGATCAATAGAAGCAATGTATGCAATGTTGGGAAACACTGTTGTGTGGAATACATCACCTCTGATCTTCCTTCCGACAGTTCATCAAGTTATCAAATTTAGATATAAGCTACATGTGCACTTAATTGGATGTACGATACGGATTTATACTATAAGAAGATATGAACTTCCGATACGCTAGTGAAGTGAACTAGACTAGATTCCCATCATAAACAAAACCCAAAATAAATGTCATCTCAATCAAACCATGCTACCATCAGCAGATAGGCATGCATAATAATAGTATTAGCATGATGATAGCAAGGGTTAAATGCTCTAAAATAAGAGATGACAGATACTAAAGTAAATGTCAAGGGTATTGTAATGTGTTGTAACATAAATATACCTAAAAAGGATACAGGCTCAACAATAAAGAGCTATTCTTTACGCATGATTCAAAAACCATATATTGAAATACCAATCTTGATCCATCAGATCAACAACTAAATGACCCAACAAAAATATTTAAAGTAATGGAATCACTGGCAACTACTAAACTGCTGCCAGATAAGAGATATAAACCAAATAATACAAATAGAGACGTAGAATATACATTTTATTGCACATTATCCTAATTTCGAATAAAGAAGGATTTTAACAGTATTCTACCTGCTTTTTTAACCCCTTTTTACTGCAGCTAGTACTATAAGATTCATAGGTATACCATATAAGATATAGCATATAGGCTATAGATGGCACCACGGGCATGGATGGCGCTATAGACTTGTACTTGTATTTCGACATAGACTATGGATGTTTACCATATCTGGATAAGCGCCAAGATTAATGCAATATAAGCTTGTTGCTTCATATGTGCACCTTATGATCCAAGCTATAAGACACGCACACGCTCATATCCGTGATACTAGCTAGAGATACATTATGTACCGCAGACTTGCACTATATATTAGACATGCTATAGACATGCATACGATATGCTATAGACATGCCATATATCCAGATACATGCTAAAGATGTATACTCAGCAATATACACTCAAATATGTACTATTGATATAGACTAATAAGTAGACTGTACCTATCGGATACTTGCTACCAGTAGATCAATATTAACTATCCTTATAGAAAGGATAGATCAGGGTACTTCGTATAAGAGTCTAAATATTCATCCAGACAAACCTAAATTATGATTAGCTTGCTGGAGTTGTCTTTTAGCATGATCAGTCATTAGTTGATCTGAGTTGGCTTATTTGTCAATTTAGTTAATAGGACTTTTATCCATTGTTATAGTATATAAGAAGAATAATGATCTATCTGGCCAGTAGAGATACTTTATTTTACTTTACACCTGTCAGTTTGATAATAAACATACCTTTATCAAATTGACTTTACTGGCTCTTATTCTTTTTTTTTCTGTGAATTTGGGTCTTATAAAGCCTCAAATTCCACAGGTATAGTTTTTATAGATTAATTCTTGGACTTTTAAAAATCCTCTGCTTGTAGCTCATAAAATATAAGATTTTGAGCAAATTTATGAAGGGAGCGCACACCTGGTACTTAAAACTCTTACATTATAATAGATATAATGTAGAGCTATCGAAAGGTTTTTGTCTTGTGCAAATCCGGTGAGTATTTGTCGAGATATGGCCAAAAAAGGGTATCATGCAAAATCATGGATTTTTTACCGAAATCTGCCTGTGATGGCAAGGGAAAAATCTGGTGACGATTTTTTGGTCAGGACAAGGTCGTCTTTCATCGATCTATGGGAAACGCTTTTACATACTAATTCACTAGTGCTTTTTATGAAAAGATTGAGTCAAAAAGTGACGTTCCATCTGAATATGTTTGACAGTATTACGAAAAATTTAAAATTTGCTTGAGTACGTGTGGGAGACAAACAGGCGCTATAATATTGCCTCTGCCAAACTTGATTTTTTTTGTTCATGTTGGCACATTTGTTCTACTAAATATATTCAAAAAAATGCATCGATTGAACGCGGCTATCTATGTGCTTTTTTTTTCCATATTTTATTACGATGAAAACTTAAAAAAGAGCAGAAACAAAACCTTAATACGTCATGGACATTTGGATTCATCAAGCAATTCGACTCATTAGCTGATAATTATATGGTTCATTCTGACACTGCTCTTCTTTGAGGCGACTAGCCTTCAGTCAAATGGTACGAGTATTACCTCCAAACACTCAAACGTATGCAAAATACAGCGAAATCTGCATGTACTTGAGCCGTAATTTCTCATGTTAGAAGCCGTTTCAGGCCACCAAAAGAGCACCATACAACTGCTCTCATCTAGCAGTAACATTTTGACACCTTTGCTCAAATATTTTTGGGATCGTCAAAAATCGACTACAAGCCATGATAGGGTGGCCAAAGTTGTTTTTGGGCGTTTTTTCGACCAATTGGTTGCAAGAAAAAACGACCAAAACCTTAAATAATGCCCACCTCAAGAGTTGGGCGTTCTGCATAATTTTCTTCTTTTTTTGAAAAAACAGTTACAAGTCTAGTGTAATAAGAGTGCAATGATTCTGTAAAAAAAATACATATCTACTAGGGAAGGGTGGATTGGTGTTACAATTTGTATGTCTTTAAACTTGGGCAATATTTATTAAAAAACATGAAAAATGTTTTTGGGCGAGTAGTATTAGGATCAAGTGATGGATTTATTGTGATAAAAGTACTGTATATAATGAGTAGTAATGACAGATATTTTCACTACCGTTCAATGCTTGTCAAAAAGAAGACTATCTATATATATATATATGTGTGTGTGTGTTATACTAATATTTCAATCATGCGGATTGAAACGTATGTAATGTGGATCATTACATCTAGCTGTTTCTTCTGCCACTGATTGCTCCTTCAATTTCTCCTCTCATCTCTTGATATACTCACGCTTCTTTCAAGTTATAAGCAGATGGTGGCATAATAAATGTAATCAAAACAAGTTGTAGATTGATAAAAAGGAAAGGACATGATACCACATTGACAGCAGCAGATCAAGGGTGGCCAATGTTGTAGGGCATTCGGTTGGTGCTGTTTTTTAACCAGAAAACGCCCAAAAACAACTTTGGCCGCCCTATGAGGGATACCTCATGATTTTCGTCGAAAAATAGAACAATCTCATTTTTAACCCTAAAAACGAAAACTTTCACTAGGGCATGTATAAATCAAAATGTTCCTCTCGAATCAGAGCAGCAACTGAAATTACTTCTGTAAGGCTTTCATATGCGACATCTCGACATTTCTGCTAAAAGCCTCATTTCATGTTTTTTGAAATGGCTCAATAAGTTTGTTCAAAACACCTCTGTTATTTAGCTTCATTGGATACGTATAGAAAAGTACTCCTAGAAAGCTTAATGAAGAATTAACTAATTATCATATTTTATATAGTCAAAACTCTCAAAATAGTAGAATCAAGTCGTTTTTAAGCAGAATCTGACCAATCTAGAGCAGAAGTCCATCGAGAATTTATTCTGTTTTGGCTGACAGATATAATGCCTTCGTTTCCATGAACGCAACCGATGTTTATGAAGCTATTAAGAAGGCTTCGTTTGCAAATTGTGAGACACTATAGCTTAGCACATCTACTATTTACTGTGGCAGTTAAACATTACTATATTTGAAAGGTTAGATCGTTGTAACATGCTCCTCCAAATACGAATTTTACTGCGAAATGCAGCATTGTCTATCTTGTTCATTTATCCCTTGTCACCAAACGCATATGGCTCCAGATGATCCCATACTCATAATAGTAATTGAATGGCACATGAGGCATTCTGTTAAGAATGACAAGATTGATATTGAAATCTTTAACTTTTGGGATGCACTAACTCACATTGGTGGACATTTAGGTTCTGGTTATGTAATATGCGTAGTATGAATGCGTGTTTAACAAATTAACTTGAATAAATGGCAGACCAGAAGTCTTTTGATACATGGTCTAAAGAAGAGCGTGCAATTTAGAAAGTGTGCTCCCATTCGACTCCAAGCCTAAAGCACACCATGTACAGTATATAAGATTTTGCAATGGCCAATGAAATAGTTCCATAGTGGGGAATGTAGCAAGTGTACGTATCGTTACGTCTTTTGGTGTAATTACTTGTCTGTCTGCGATTTGTGGGGGCTGATATTTGTACTCGGAGATGCAATAGAACCATTCATAATCTAAAAACTAATTGAAGGACTCGCTTAGTAAACCACTGAATTAAGGGAATAACGGGGCACGCATTTCTTTTTGTTTCCATCTCTTTCTCCCTCTACTTTTTTTTTTCTTCTAGTTGAAAACTATGGACAACTCGTTTGTCAAAACACCTGAAGAGGTCTGTCGATACTTTGATGTTGACAGTAATTTAGGTTTGAAAGCGAATCAAGTCAAAGAACAGCAGAGAAAGTTTGGAAAAAATGGTAAGTCAAAGTGTCAATGGGTATAGTAATAGTAGCAACTAAACGCTCTTATGGTCCCATAGAACTTCCTGAAGAAGAATCCACTCCTCTTTACAAATTGATCCTGGAACAGTTTCAAGACCAACTTGTCTTGATCTTGCTAGGTGCTGCTATTGTGTCGTTTGTCCTCGCCATCTTTGAGGATCAAGATACAACAACAGCATTTGTTGAACCTGCCGTGATTCTCATCATTTTGATCGCCAATGCCACTGTCGGCGTGCTTCAAGAGTCCAGCGCTGAAAAGGCCATTGATGCTTTGCGTGAATATTCTCCTGACGAGGCCAAGGTGCTTCGTGATGGTGTTGTGCGTAAATTGCGCTCTGAAGAATTGGTGCCTGGCGATATTATTGATTTGGCTGTAGGTGATAAGATCCCAGCAGATGCTCGCGTGCTTGCTATCTACTCGAGTGTGTTCCGTGTGGATCAAGCCTTGTTGACCGGTGAATCTGTAAGTGTTGAAAAGCAAGTGGAATCTATCAAGGATGAAGGTGCTGTAAAGCAAGATCAGTGTAACATGTTGTTTTCGGGCACGACGTGTGTTATTGGTAAGGCAAGAGCTATTGTTGTCAAGACTGGTGTATCCACTGCGATTGGTGATATTCATACATCCATCTCGTCTCAAATCTCTGAAAAGACACCTTTGAAGCGTAAATTGGATGATTTTGGAGATATGCTTGCAAAGGTCATTACTGTCATTTGTATTTTGGTCTGGCTCGTCAATGTGCGTAACTTTAACCACCCCTCTCACAAGGGCTGGTTAGGTGGTGCTGTCTACTATTTTAAGATTGCTGTTGCCTTGGCTGTTGCTGCTATTCCTGAGGGTTTGGCTGCTGTGATTACAGCTTGTCTTGCTTTGGGTACAAAGAAGATGGCTAAGCGTGGTGCTATCGTGCGTAGTTTGCCTAGTGTCGAAACCCTTGGCTGCACGAGTGTCATTTGTTCTGACAAGACTGGTACTCTGACGACTAATCAAATGAGTGTTTCTCGTGTTGCATTGGTCTCTAATGGCTCTGGTGCTATCCATGAATTGGCTATCGACGGTACTAGTTATGAACCTACTGGCCTCGTCAAGTCTGTGTTAAACAACCAAGCTGTTACACCAACCAGCGACTCTGTTATGCACGATGTTGCGTTAGTCTGTTCTCTCTGTAACGATGCCCGTATTGTATACGATGCTTCTGCTGATAACTACACTGCCATTGGTGAGCCTACTGAAGCTGCTCTTCAGGTGCTTGTTGAAAAGATGGGCACCACTGATCATCAATTCAACGGCCAGCTGAGCTCTCTCTCCAAGGAACACCGTTCTACTGCTTGCAACGACTACTACAACAAGTTGGCCAAGCGCACTGCTACACTCGAATTCACCCGTGATCGCAAGTCCATGTCTGTCATTGTCAACGACAACACATTGCTCGTCAAAGGTGCTCCCGAATCCATCATTGATCGCTGTTCCTTTGTGCGTTTGTCTGAATCTTCTGGCCCTGTCCCTATGACCGCAGCTATTCGTGATGCATTGAACGCCAAGGTCCACGAATATGGTCAAGGTATGTCCCTTCGTTGTATTGGTTTAGCCAAGTTGGAGAACATCAATCCCAGTCAGTTCAATTTGCGTGATCAAACCAAGTTTGCTGACTACGAGAACAACATGACCTTTGTTGGTCTTGTCGGTATGTTGGATCCCCCTCGTCCTGAAGTTGCTGAGTCTATCCTCGAGTGCAAGACTGCTGGTATCCGTGTCATTGTCATTACTGGTGATAACAAGAACACTGCTGAATCGATCTGTAGACAAATTGGCGTGTTTGAGGCTGATGAGGACTTGACTGGAAAGAGTTATACTGGACGTGAGTTTGATGCGCTTTCTAAGAGCGAAAAGGTAGCTGCTATTAAGCGTGCTAGCTTGTTCACTCGTACGGAGCCTGCCCACAAGCAGCAGTTGGTGGACTTGTTAAAGGCAAACGGAGAGATTGTTGCTATGACTGGCGATGGTGTCAATGATGCGCCTGCATTGAAGAAGGCTGATATTGGCATTGCTATGGGCTCCGGCACTGATGTTGCTAAACTCGCTGCCGACATGGTTCTGGCTGATGACAATTTCGCTACCATTGAAAAGGCTGTTGAAGAAGGCCGCAGTATCTACAACAACACCAAGCAGTTTATCCGTTACTTGATCTCTTCCAACATTGGCGAGGTTGTCTCCATCTTCTTGACTGTGCTTTTGGGATTGCCTGAAGCTTTGATTCCTGTTCAGTTGCTCTGGGTCAACCTGGTCACTGACGGTCTCCCTGCTACTGCACTTGGCTTCAACCCCCCTGATCATGATATTATGCGTCGTCCTCCTCGTAGCTCCAAGGAGCCTCTTGTTGGCGGATGGCTGTTCTTCAGATACATGTTTGTCGGCACCTATGTTGGTATTGCTACTGTTTTTGGCTATGTTTGGTGGTTCATGTACTACACGGGTGGTCCTCAAATTTCTTACTATCAACTGTCTCACTTCCATCACTGCAGCGAGCTGTTCCCCGAGATTGGATGCGAGATGTTCACCAACACCTTCTCCATGAAGGCCACTACCATGAGTCTGTCCATCTTGGTGGTGATTGAAATGCTGAATGCTATGAACAGCTTGAGCGAAAACGAGTCTTTGCTCACTTTGCCCTTGTGGAATAACCCTTACCTTGTCCTCTCGATTGCCTTGTCCATGATCTTGCACTTTATGATTTTGTATGTTCCCTTCTTTACAAAGTTGTTTGTGATTATCCCTCTCAATTTCGATGAATGGATGGCAGTCTTATGGATTTCTCTTCCAGTTATAGTCATAGATGAAGTTTTGAAGTTCATCACTCGTACTTGGATCGCACCTCCAACCATCGTTCAGATCAAAAAAGCCAAGACTCAATAAATTGTATATATATAGATCTTTTTCATTTCAACTCAGGTTCCTCGTTTTGTATTTTTTTTTTTTTTTTCCCTCTTTGCTTTTTTTTTTTTTTTTTTTTTTTTTTTTTTTGCTGTAGCATATACACCATGAAAAAGTTCCACTTCAAACAAGGGCCCTTCAATGTAACAGGCCTCTGCTTGGCCATCATAGGTTTTGTACTGGTCATGCTTTGTCTAGTAGGTTGTCAAACACCAAGTGGTCGGGGACTTTACTTTGCAAAGGTAACAGATGCACAGACACCTGCAGATGGAAACTCTGTTTCTGTGTACTATGGTTGGCAAGGATATTGTATAGAAGATGTCAAGCTGGAGTGCTATAGTGATAGAAGCATCATGATCGTGCCCTTTGGTAAGTGACCTATTAATAGCACTGATAGAACAGCACTAACAAGCATCCATGTACAGACACAGCCATTGTCAGCCAGTTGAACAGTACTTATCCTCGCCTCTTTACGGACGAAATCCAACAAGATGCAGACCTGAATCCTGGAGCAGCACCTAATCCATCGCACGACCCCAAGATATTCCCAGCGGCAGTGCTCTGTCTGCTATGTTCATCAGCATGTCTTGTCTTCTGCTTCTACAGAGTACTGACACCGCACAAATACCAGGACGAGCACTACACACGAGGCTTTTTGGCTAGTGGATCAGCCATTTTAGCATTGCTGTTGACGATCTTATCCAATGTCATGTATCAAGACGCTGTGGAACAGCTCAACATGACATACCCACACTTGATCGCTTCGACTGGACCTTGCATGCCTATGATTGGATGTAGCTTTGCTGCCTTTTTTCTCGCCAGTTACTTCTTGTTACGAGGCTGCATGAGCATGGAATCATCCAGCACAGATGGATACAATCCCATTTAGTAGTGTACAATAGTTCAAAAGACGTTTTATTCAATACATTATTTATTCAAGTCGACATGTCGTTTATGAGTGATTGTCCTTTGATTCGTATTTCACCTTTTTCGCTAAATCAGCGCCATCCATGTCATTCAGCCTTTTGCGATCTTGTTGGGTCAGAATCAACGATTTCAGCAGTTTGTTCTGGCAATAGTATGAATATCGTGTCACACACCTAAACAACACGAACGGCTTACCTCGACTTGGAGATCGTGTATCTGCTGCTTGTCCGCACTGGCTTGACTCAACTCCTGCTTGAGCGCCATGTTCTCGCTTTCTAGTTGTTTGATTTGCTGCTGTAATAGGACGTGATCATTGATAGAGGGCAAAGTGCGTGTCAGTTGCGGTGAAGGAGGAGATGACACAGAGGAATTGGTGGGATATGACCAGGATCTGAACGGTGGCGGTGACGACGAGGAAGATGGATTGTCATTTAGTTTGTAATGTATCAGTGAGGGCGATGTACCGCCTGCCGATGACAGACTGTTGGATCTCAAGGGCGGCAATGACAGGTTGAGTTGTTGCTGTGATGATGGAAATGACGGAGCGTCAATAGAGGTAGGCGAGGATGTCAATGGAGGGGGCGAAGGAGGTTGTGTTGAGGGGCGAGCAATATTGATTTGTGGGATCAGTGGGCGTTGTGGCTGTGGCGGTGATGAGGTATTATTAGTATTAGCGTTGTTTCCTGCTTTTAGATGTAGTGCCACTACTTTTGCAATCGAGTTCCGGTTGTTATTACTATTACATGCTGTACCACCATAAGCGCTTTGATGTCTATTGAGAGCGTCTAATCTGGCAAACGAGCGACTGCAGCAGGCACAGACGTATGGTCTTTCTCCTGTATGTAGCTTTTGATGGCGCTTGAGATCATGTTGGCGTCGAAAGAAGTGATTGCAAATGTCACACTAATTTTCGGGTTAGGTTTCATTGACATGGCTCTATAGCATCATTTACATACCTGAAAGGGCTTCTCTGGTGAATGTGTGGCTAAGTGAGACTTTAGATTGTGAGAGCGACTGAATGATTGATCGCACTGATTGCAAACAAAAGGTTTATCAACCACAGGCTTGACGGCATCTTGGTCATTTGGCGACTTGGGGGTGGGGAGTTGGGTGGCTGTTTGCGGTTTATCGTTCAGTAGAGATGAGATTGAGGTTGAAGATGCACTGCTTGTTGTTCGTTCATCCGACTGTCTCCATGTCTCAGTAGGTTGATTTTGGTGTTGCACCGCCATGGCTATAAATATGATTTGATGTGGAGATTTCTTGTACGAGAAAGAGGAAGAGAGAGAGAGAGAGGAAAAGAGGGGGTCAGAAGGGGAGTTTCTTTTTTTATTCGAAAAAGACTAGGAGGAGAAGGGAGAGAAAGGCGAGAGACAGGAAAAGGATATTTATAGTAGGCGCGGGTTTGCCACATGTTCCTTTTATAATTTGGTCGATGGAGGTAGAGGTGGTTGCCTTTTCTGTCTGCTTCTCTAATGTTATTTCCTAGAGTTCGGTCCGGATACGTTCTATTTAAAGCCTCAAAAGCAATCGTACACTGGAAATGCGCCTCACAAGTGGTTCTGCTATTGTAATTTGCATGTCTAAAAATAAAACATGGATGTGGAGTTGTTTGAGCACTGGGAATGAGTCGTAGTCACATGATACATGTCAATCGAGATGTGATCGAACCAGCTACATCAATCGCATGTTGCTCTATTAATACACCAACATGTCCAGATGTTCCATGGTGTAGAGAGATCATCTGTGCAATGTCTACCTTCTGGGCAAATTGACAGCACATTTGATGCCAGTGCTCTTCATTTGAACAGCGTCCATGTGCTGGCCACTGATCTACATTACTTACTGAGCCTCTTGTCAGATGAAATGTCAGTAAAGCAAGCAAACATTGCTAAATTTAGCATTTAAAGAAAGTTTGACTTGGCATTTGTTCAATTAAAATAGAAATAGAAATATAAGCTACTGTGTACTACACATCGACTCTGCTATAGCTCAGTAGAAGCTCCCCATTATAAAATAAAAGTGTACTTGCATGATAATCTAGTGTTATTTATCAAGACTTATTACACTTTGAAACAACTTGAGAAATGTATCAGACAAGTGAACATTGTTCCAAATATCAACAGTTGCAGAAGTGATGGAACATTTGCTTTATTTGACAGGCCAGCGAATATACTACCTATACTTTGCCAAAATGGAGATCTCAAACTGCTGGTAATCCTTGGGGCTACGTAATAAATAACGTTGCTATCATAAAAAGTAAATCTGTAGAAGTTTCGTCAAGTCTAAAACGTGAAAATCTATAAATGCTACTTACCAATAAGTTGTATGGCTAGTATACATTTGATTTTAGCGTTTTCAATGAGCACTGTAAGCCTAGATGTATCCGTATATTTCAAGTTTGGTTGGTTTTGAGCAGCCGTTGAATTGATCTCGCAAAATCCCAGGGCGTATATATCGTTGAACTGCTCGTTCATGACTATACCCCCCGTCAAATCTTGTATGAATGCCTGCTCTGGTTGATTTTTCTTCTTCAGGTTCAGTCTATGATAAATACGGTGCGTTAAACATAAATGCATCATTACATATTAACTTTATGGTCCCTAGGCATTTTCAAAGCCTCAAAAAGGAAAGAAGCTAATCTAACAAGTATTTTGATAGGCTGGTTTTGCCAAATATAGAATTTAAGGAACATAGCAAGACTAGCAACAGTTTTATGTAATTTGTCACCTACTGTTCATATGCTTCAAAAGCATCTATTACTGTATTGCCTCCATGATGAAAAGGGCATTGAGTTTGCCTGCCAGCCCCACCAGCCAAACCCAATTCAAATTCCGACACATAGTCTACTCTAGATTGGCCAAATTCTGTTGCTTTATCGACTTCATTGAACTGTTTTACTAGATTCGACTATATAAATTGCAATAATTTTCCCAAACTCCCTTAAGCTTCCTAAGAGTACTTTTCGAGACGCATATAATGGTGCAAATTATAAAAGGCATTTTGAATAAACGTATTGAGCAATATCAGAAAATATGAAATGAGGTTTCTGGCAAAAACATCAAAAATTTACATGTAAAAGTTACACAAACAAAGCTTCAGGGATTGCTTTGGGTTGAGAGCAACATTTTGAGTCAATATATAACGTAGTAAAAGTCTTCATTTTCAAGGTGAAAAACACGATCGTTTAATTTCCGATGAAAACCATGAGGGGTACCTCATGCCTTTTGGTCGAATTTTGGCCATGTTTTTTTGATTCCCAAAAAGTTGAGCAAAGGTGTCAGAAAGTAACTCCCAGATAAGAGCAACTGTTTGGTGCTATTTTGACGGTATAAAACGGTTTCTATCGCGAGAAATTACGGCTTAAATATACCCAGGTTTTGCTTTATTAGGTACACGTTTGATTAGAAAGGGCTGATATCAGTATACTACTTGCTAGCATATGAAGTATTTCGTGTGTTTACGGATGCGGAACATCACATAAGAGTCAGATCTGCTGATAATATGAAGGGTTCTCATGTGTAAATTGAGGGTTAAAATGAAAGTAGCAGTATTTCAGTAAGATGAGCAAGGGCAATTGGTAGCGCGAGTTGCTGCTGCGTAGGTTGGCACTCACGGAAGCAAGGCAAAGGTAGAGAGCCATAAAAAGCAAAACACACTCGTACATTATAAAAGAAGCAATTTGCGTTGACCTGGTTGACGGTATAAGGGACCTATGGCTAGATCTGTATAGTTGGTCAAAAATTACATTTCACCAATCCTACTATCAGTGTTTATTTGTGTTAATCTGACGACATTTTCATCGATATATCTGATTAAATAAGAGCATGCCTCACTGCACATACTAGCTATGGGAGCTGTAATCTATCGATTTGTCTGACCGTACTTTGCGATACACGTTGCCTAGTTAAGATTTGCTTGTGCCTTGACTGGGTAACTTTGTTGACTGGAGCATGGTGGAAAAAAAAAAAGGACCAACCCTTCAGCTGATTAAACACATCTTTGCTCAAGTTGTGTTGTGTTGTGTTTGTTTGGTTCTTTCTGCTCTGATTTGTGACACCATTGGATTATTCACAGTATACATACCAGAACGCGTTGCAAGTCTTGAGATTTTGGCTATATTTTTGAGATAAGCAGCGTGTGCAAGTGCCAAAGTTTTCTGACACGGTTTATTCAATCAGTTATGTAGATTACCCGTCGTCAAAAGCATAATATAATGTCACAGCTGCATCGTGGTCCTGGTACGCACAAATTGATGCACTAGATTGGCTCAGTTGCAACATAGATGCATTGATTGTACTTTACTAAGAGAATCCGGAGCTAATATCTAAGATCTTCTCGAGTTGCTATTGCAGGAACTCAAGCGCTAGTGCCTTGCTCTGATCAATGATCTAAGCATTTGTATTTATTGATGCATAAACGAAACCGATTGGATCCGGTCGTCCACGGGCCGCCCTTTCTGAAGATTCAAGTAACACAAAATGCCTTTCGTGTTTACATTTTTATGCATTGATTTAGGATATTAGATCACAAAATATGCTCATGACTATACAGTGAGAGTCAACATGTAAATATGGTTGCAGTCAACTCTTCTGTTTGTTTAAAATACTATGAAGCCATAGACATTCTTGGAGTTCTAATCATGTAGAACATCGGAATAAAGGATTCATCGTGAGCATTCAGCAGGTAAATTATACCCAGATGAGAGCGACAAACAATAAAATGCTTAAATCCATCAAATGGGTTTCATATACGAAATTGAAGGGAGAACTTTAATTTGAAGTGATGGACGTATGTTTCTATCGACACCATATTCTTCGCAGTTAAAAGAGTGAATAGCGTCGTGAAACAAAATGAAAACAGTGCCATGCCACTATTCTTGCAATCAGCACACGAAGAAACTTTCAAAGATTGTGTTTCGTTGCTATTGACATGTTGAACCAAACCACACAAATAGCACTTCTGTAGGCTTGATTTCAGGCTTGTTTTCAGAGTGCAATTTACCTCCAGGCACTCACGATACCACATGCAGGAGATAGTCCAGGTTTACAATAAAGAAATGTTGGAAAAAAATCGTTCGATATCATATTCAAGTCTGTCATTGATACCGATGGTGACACGCTGTATGTATTTTACTATCCCGTCTTGACACAAGCTGTATTAGATCTCCGGATTAGTATAAAATCAGAGAATGGAGCAGCAGATATCCTTTCCACACTTTACTCTTATATTACTATCTATAATGGCAATTATCTCTACCCTTTTGTCAGGATTCTCTGTTGGCGAGTTTATTTATAAGGCCTTTATGGCTTTTGTGTTCTACTGGGGCTTCCATATTCTATCTCAATTGGTAAGTGAGCCAAATGCCCTTAATGCACAGACCTTTCCATGCTAACATTGTAGTAAACAGATCATTCCTAAAGATCCCAAGATGGTTCCTACTGTCTTCTCTTGGGTTCCCATCTTGGGTAATGCTATTGAATTTGGAAAGTAAGTACTAGTAGAGAAGGGACCTGTATATGTGTAAGAAAAGGGTATCTAACAGCCGTCCTCATCAGAGATCCCATCACCTTTCTTCAAAACTGTCAAAAGCAGTATGGCGATGTCTTTACTTTCCAACTTTTGAACAAGAAGGTCACTGCTTGTTTGGGCCCTGATGGCAACCAATTCGTATTCAATGCCAAACAAACTGTCGCCTCTGCTGCTGCTGCTTACAACCACATGACCAAGTATGTCTTTGGTGATGATATTGTATTCGATGCTCCTCACAGTGTCTTTATGGAACAAAAGAGATTCATCAAGGGCGGTTTGAACATTGAAACCTTCCGCAAGGACGTGCCTCTTATTCTTGATGAATGCCACAAGTTCTTTGACAAGTTTGAAAAGACTGGCGTCGTCGATTCTTACAAGATGTTTGGTTCTCTCATCATCAACACTGCCTCTCGCGCTCTTCTTGGCCCTGAAATCCGTAATGCTCTTGATGATGGTATTGCTCAGCTTTACTATGATTTGGATCAAGGTTTCCGTCCCATCAACTTTATGTTCCCCAACTTGCCTCTCCCTGCTTACCGTAGACGTGATGAAGCTCGTGAGAAGCTGGCTGTTCTCTATGAAAAGATTATTGAAAACAGACGTTCTGACAAAACTGGCACTCAACACAATGATCTTCTTCAAGCTCTCATGGATGCTCGTTACAAGGATGGCTCTGCTCTCCCTGATCATCAAATCTGTGGTATCTTGACCGCCGCTCTCTTTGGTGGACAACACACATCTTCTACTACCTCTGCATGGACTATCTTAGAGCTCGCTCATCGTCCTGACGTTGTCAAGGCTGTTCGTCAAGAGATGATTGAAAAGCTCGGCTCCCTCCAAGTTGAATTCACTTACGATAATTTGGAAGAACTCACCCTCTTGGAGGACGTTGTCAGAGAAACTCTTCGTCTTCATCCTCCCATTTTCAACATGATGCGTCGTGTTGTAGCTGACAAGATGATCTACGAAAAGTCAGGTCTCGAGATCCCCAAGGGCAACTTCCTCTGTGCTGCTCCTGGTGTCACTCAAATTGATCCCACTTATTTCCACAACCCTATGAAGTGGGAGCCCAAGCGTTGGTCTGAAAAGACTGATCCCGTTCATCAACTTGAAGTAGGCGATGATGCCAACATTGATTACGGTTTCGGTGCTGTCGGTATCTCTTCCCGTAGTCCCTTCCTTCCTTTCGGTGCTGGTCGCCATCGTTGTATTGGTGAAAAGTTTGGTTACTTGCAACTCAAGGCTATCATCGGTACATTCATCAAGAGATTCGATTTCGAAGGTTTGACTGAGAACGTCCCTAAGCCTGATTATACTTCCATGGTTGTTGTTCCTGAGGATAGCAGAATCCGTTTCACTCGTAGAGACTAGAGAAAAGCAACTATTCACCTTATAATTTCATTTCAATTCAATGCATTCATTTCCAACATTCTATACATTATTATATATAAAGATTTTTATTTATTCTTTTCTTGTTCAACTGTATGATTTTGTTGTTTCTTCAGATGTTGTAGTGCTACTGGATAGATACATGTGTGCAAAGTATACAGCAGCTCCAATCACTGCTAGAATCAGGCTGAATCGAACAAATCCATAAACCAAGCGATAGATCCATCGGAACATGCCCAAAATCAAGCAGTAAAAGGCGTACATTATGATCAATGACAGGAATATGCCCATAAAGTTGGACTCAATGGCCATTTGTGAGATCATGCCATACAGTTGTCGAATAAAGCTAGGTGAGTTTGATAGGATATATGAAACAGTTGTTCTTGTTGCTGATAGCACTTGCTCCGGTGCAGGTAATGGAATATTGGATTTCTGCAGATTCACATAGCAAAATGTGTATGCTTCCGAGATTAACTGAAATGCTTGCATGGTTACGTTCAAAGAGTTGTTAAAGTTGTCCATGTTGATGTAGAATAATGACAGAGGAAAAGAGCGCGTCAGTTGAAATCAAGTAACTTGCTTCCAATATACCAAATTTTTATGTGAGAGCGTGTGACACATTGCTGTAATAATGATTACATGCGTGGTGTAGTCCATTTTTCTTGGAGAATTAGCTAGGACATGGCATCCGTATCAAAGTGAAACCGATTAAACCTAAAGACGGTGATGGCAATCAATGTATGTTTCAAATAAATTTACTGTTCATTGTTGTCTCGACTCAAATAGCAATCATAAGGCTGTCTCCCTAACCGTTCAAACCGCTAGGCCCCGCTAGAATGATTCACTGCGAAACTTGCTTATATATATGGGACATAGTGAATTGGATACATAATGTGGTGTTACAGTGACCCCCCTCCTACAGCAATGTATAAGAAATGGTGCTTTTTTTTTTTTTTTTAGCAAGCGAGCCTATTGCCACACGATATGAATGAATAATGGAGTGTGGACAGGATGACCGTATCCAGATGTTGGATTTACATTGTATGAACAGGATCAGATGAACTGTCAGTGCATCAAATGTCTATGGGACATATATGAAATCTCTGGTCTCGACTGCTCGCCGAGTTTCATTCTATCGTTTGCCTCAGATCAATTGCAAGAAAGCTTACTGTTCACTATATACTAGGTCTCCTTGCTACATGCATGGTGAATGATTCTAAAGCGCATATAGCTGTCAAATGTCGAAATTCCAAAGCTAGAACAACAAGGTAGCTGAATCCTAAACAGATCGCTTGATAAACTTCAACCTTTAAACCGGTATTTCGCCAAATGCTACTCCTATCTACACTTGGCCAAATCTAACTTGATGTGGTTGCTCTTCCATGTCCAAGAATAACGTTAGTTAAAAGTCGTATAGTATTGATTGACATCGTTCTTGTCATCGGCAGTTTAATTATTTGACAAATGCCATTATGATTTCATCATCTAAGCGAGCTTCTAGGTCCATGCTTTCTGAATGTATCATGCGAATACGACACTAGGTGCCTGGGAGTATACTATTACACCTGTACGCCCTTTGTCATACCAGGGCTCTCCTCGCAACATGAAGAATACAACTTATTTTTCTTCTTCTTACCCCTGAGGGTTTCTATTCTGAGAATCTGATCAAATGAAAAGATAGGTTCCTGCATCTTTTGTAATCAAACCCGTTAGTGTGAGATGGTCATGTTTCTAAAAAGGGTTCAAGTGATCTCTCGTTCAGTCCATGTTTAGTTAAATATCTATGCAGACAAAGGAATGCAAAAAGATCTCATGAGCTACTTTTCTAACAATTCATGACGGAAAAAGAAGAAATCATCATTTCTACGAAAATCCACTCAAATTTATTTGCATTGTGTATGTTTATTGACACAAAAAAAAAAAAAGAAATTTCAGGAGTACATGAAATGAACGATAAGAGAGAGAGAGAGAGAAAAAAAAAACGGGTTTTCTTTACAGAATGAATTATTTAATAACTATGCAGAGACTTTGCGCTCAGTTGCGAGATTTGGGTAGATCTGATACTCCCTTCACCACCACTATCTTCTTCTTCCTGATTTAATTTACTATCTCTGTCCAGTTGAATAGATGCAAAGTCAAATTTAGCTTGTTGATGCTTATTGTCATTGGGTTCTGCAGCATCAAATGTGAGTTCAGCCGACATGTGGTCTGTGGTATAGATGGTCTTGTTCTTGCCATCGGCATCTTTACCGCCACCATTCTTGTTTGTTGTGACCTTGAGTATGAGAAGAGGCGTTAGCATGCCTTCACAACGTGTATTAGTAAATCTCTCATGAATACATTACCCAATACACCGTAACAGCATTGATCTATATTTGCCATGCAAACAAAACGAATTAGCTAACTTGATATGGTTGAAAAGAAAAACAAATAGCCTTACAGTTACATCCACAGTGCACATTGTGAGACAAACTAATCCTCTTTGATGCCCCTTTGTTACAACCACAAATAACACATTTGCAAAGGAGATGAGAAGAGATACGACGGATGCTACCAAAGTACGACGAGCAAGTCTGTATAAGCGAGACCGCTTCCAATTTGCCCTTGAGGTAAGACCAATGTTCATCAATGGCGCCATAAAGAGCCATGTAAGGTACAAATTAAGAATCTACACAATGTGGTTAGTGTAATGTGCTTGATCTTTGCTGACAATACCGCATACAAAATCATAGACAAGCAATGGAATACTAGCAATCAGTTGTAGGCCAATAGTGCATTTGCCATCAGCTTCCAAGTAAATGTTTCTGTAAATCAACTGTAGATGGTGTGTATGAGTTCATCGGGTCTTTGGAAGCAAGTGTGCACATACATACCATAAGAGCAAAAATGATGATATATGGACACAACATGGTAAGATGAATTCGATACGAATTTGTCTTGAGGCGGGATGTCTTTACTGCAGTAACCAAGTAGATACGCTCAATCAGCCATGCATAAATGATAATCTTACTGCCAGCATAAAAAATATCACAAGCAAGCATGCCCAATGTACAGGATGTCATATTGTCTGCACAAGATGTCAGTTTATATGCTAGACCGAGGTATCTGCTCAAATCTTACTATTATTGGTAGACACAACCACTGCGGATGTATAGGCGAATGCCCAAGACGTCAGATAGAGCATAATGACCATGAACCGACCGTAATTGATCGACCTCAAAGTCTCTCCGTATGTCTTTGAGCCGATAGCAGTAGCTAACACGGTAATGCAGAAAAGCGACACCAGTTCGGATATGATTTCAAGAATATCGGGACCTACAATGCCAAGTTCAATGCTGATTGCGTCTGAAGATTCAACCATGGTAAATGAGAGAAAGAAAGATAAAAAATACACAACAATACACAGATGGCATTCTACTTTTATATACGCCTTTGGAGGGCATGTAAAAAAAAAAAAAAAAAAAAAAAAAAAAAAACTGGTCAACAAGAGTCAATATACCACTACTCCTTGAACGCACACATTCAAACAACAATTACTGTACAACGATACCATTCCAAAATACGGTTAGAGTTTAGGGAGAGACAAGTTGTATTTGCCCTCTCTGTTTTTATTTTACTTTCTCTTTGCTGCTGCTGATTTCTTCTCCATCTCTTCCATCTTTAGTAAATCCTCTTCAGCCTTCTTGGCTTCCCTTTCACGCTTTTCCTTTAACTTTTGTTCGTTCTCCTTGGCCTCCTTTGCATCTGCTTCGTCTTGCTTCTTTTTGCGTAGAGTTTCTTGTTCCAGCATGACCTTCATGTCTAATTGCATTTGCTTTTGTTTCTCGTGTTCCAACATTTGTGCTGCTGTGCTAAAGACGGTTTGTCCCCATCCTTCTTTGAATGTGTTGGCTTCCATTGCGATTTCTTGTAATTCAGCTGTAATCTCTTGTTCGGCAGCAGTGAACTCGCGCCAGAGGTCATCACCTATACTACCTGTCTTCATCAATTGCTGCAAAGCAGGCTTTTCCTGTTGCACTTGAACTAGGCGACGCACAGCTTCCATGGCACGGCGTAAAAGCGCAGCACGCAAATGATGCTCAGGAACAGAGGGCTCGCAGTTCAAAAGAGCAATGTATTCTTCTTTTTGAGTGTTGATGGGAAACCAAGCTTCCATGGATTGAAGCACTGCAAGAAGAGAAATTAGCCATCATTAACAACAGTTCCAGTCAAACACTTTACTGGTAGCTCTGCGGTACACGTATGAGAATGCGCTCATGGCAGCAATGCATCCTCCAAGATAGACGGTTGGTAGTAACAATGAACTCATGATAGATGATCTTTGTGAGAAGAATGAATATAAAAGTGAAAAAGAAAGGAGGAGGAGGAGGGGGGGGAATTACAATTTTATTCAATATGGACACAACGAACAAAAGTGATGTATTGATTCATGATTGGCTTAAATACAGCAATGTGTTAATATACCCTCTCTTTGGGTGACTCGTTCAAACTACACATGTGGTATTCAGTCTCCAAGAAGCCATTCCACCATAGCAACTTCCTCCTGTTCATCCCACTCAGAGTCTTGCAAAAACCATTCTTCATCGCCATCGACTTCGCCGTGCTCTTCATCATCGTCGTCACTGCTACTCACGCCATGCTTTCTGGTGGGGTCTGGCTTGACAAAATCAGTCTGTACCCCTTGATCTATGCCAATGGCTCGGTGAGGTGTGTGCTGAATAATGGGTTTCTTGGGTGACAGAATGGTGGATTTGCGTTCAATAGCAGAGGGATCCTGCTGCAAATACAGAAATCTCTCTCTTCTGGGCATATGAGACACTCTTTGGTGGTCGTCCAATGTAGATGCTCTTTCGAATTTAAGTACCTTGTCGAGCACTGCATTGTTGTTGTTTGGCGTGCTTCCGTCTGGATTTTGCTCACCGGCTTGCTGCTGTTGCTGTTGGCGCAACTGTCTTAGCACAGACCGACGATGAGCAGCAGGTGGAATCACATTCGTGCTAGTGGTTGTCTCTTCAGATTTGAGGATATCATCCCATTGCTTGATGGAGACACTAACAGATCCTACTGTGGATACTCTTTGTCGCAGCATAATGTCTTCGTGCATGGATCTTCGTCGATTGCTGCTGATCATCGAGGCACGCTTAGCGACCATACTAGAGGGTCTTTCGGGAGAGAGAGTGGCGGCCTTCTTTCGAGGAATGGCGCCGTTAGTGCTACCAGGTGCGTCCGTGGTAGGAGGCATCTCGGTAGGATTTGGAGCAGAAGTAGACGTGATGGCAGTAGGAACAGGATCCGTCGCCAAAGAGGCATCTTTATCCGCTGCTTTGCCAATGTCGTCTTCAGCGGATTGATTGTTATCAAAGCGAACTTGTCTCACGGTTGCTGATGTCGCTTCAGTGTCATCCGTATTGATTTGTTGAGGTTCTTCAGTCAAAGCTTGGGCATCAGCTTGAGTAGCACCATCGCCCAACTTGAGAACGGCGGTAGGCATGGGTTCATCCACTACCACTGCTGCCAACTCCTTTTGCAACTGCTCTTCTTTTAGCTTCCTCAAGTTTTCTCGGCTCTTTCGACTGCTCATACTGCTTCTGCGGATCACCATACCGTTCGTGTTGATTATATTAGTATTGCTTGTATTACTGTTGTTGTTACTATTAGATTTTGAAGGTCGAGGTAAGGGTGGTTCTTGAATGGATATGGTAGTTGTATGGGAAGTACTTTTGACAATAGGCGATGGCATGCTGGCTACGGAAGAGACAGTGGATGCAATTGAATCATTGCTACTGTTATTTACAAATGGTGTAGAAGCACTGACGGTGGCTGATCTGACGGAAGGAGATCGCTTCGATGATGATGGGGTGGTGGTGGTGGGAGGCGATGGTAGTTTACCAAGGGGCGTGATCACTGCTGGTTTTGGAGTGGCAGGGGATGCTAGGACGGGCAACTTGCTGCTGCTGTTACTGCTGGCAATGGGAGGCGGCGTATGGCTGAGTGTGGCAGCATTGAGCTTGGGCGATTTGATGCTACTAGGTGGATGGATCAACGGAGCAGCAATAGGGATCGTTCCAGGCAATGAATCAGAAGAGAGCGAAGGCGGAGGCTTGGGTGCATTTCTAGGATTCTCAAATCTACTGGCATCATTGATAGTGAAACTCTTTTTGCTGAGAGGCGAGGATGGTGTCTGAGGACGAGCATTGATCTTGGGTACTTCAATTGACATTTTGGGCTTGTGATAATCCATCTGGATGCCGTCTTGTTCGTTGTTGTTGTTGTTGTTGTTGTTGTTGTAGGACAGTGAGGACGACGAGGATGATGACAGCGACATGGATTGAGATGGAGGCAGCTTTTTGGTTGATGCTGAGCCATGCTGCTGCTGCTGAGATACCAGTGGCGACGATGGCCTGGATGGAAGAGAATGAACTGCAGACAACCTTGGCGAGGCAGAACTCGTTGAACGACGCTCCCATGTGGGCTGAGGTGGAGCCAATTCATCCTTGTGCTCAATGGATCTGAGCCTATTTGGTGTTAATGAGACTTTGACAGTTCCACCTGACTTTATCAGGTCATCAAAATTCATAGCATTGGGTGCGTCTGGGTCATAAACAGATGAAGCTGGTGAAGAAGCACGTGGTAGTACATCCCCACTAAAAGAATTTCGATTATTCTTAAACAAATGGAATGTTGATTTTCTATTAGCGTTGTATGTCGTGTTGAGGGCGTTTGTATTAGCCGTAATTGCGCTCGAATAAGACATGGCGGAATGAGGTCGCGCGATTTCAGGCACGCGGGAGGTGGTGGATACTGTGCTTTTGCGTGGATTGTCGTCAAAATAGTCCAAATCAAGATCGTCAAATGTAATATCCAAGAATGAACCAGTTTCATCTGTGTAACAGTAGTAATTAAATTTCATGAAATTCTGTTGGGTCGACACATAAAGACTTACTCTGATGGTCTATCGTGTAGCTTTTTCTATTGTTTGCTGGCGCTGGAGGATTTGGCAGGTAGGATGCCCTCGCTATATTGGCGTTCAAGAAACCAGCTCTTTTCTAGATGCCACATGTCTCTCAGTAAATCGCATTTGCTGTCTATACCGGCACACGCAGAAACACATCCCACTACATACCTCCATTTTATCCTTCAAATCCATTCTATGAAACACATCGCCCAGCTGAATATCGTCAATCAGAGCCAAGAATACTTCCTTTACTCTGACATAATCTGTGTCCTCGTGCTCTGCTGTCATTGCCACTGCTGTCAGCAAGTACTCTGCAATGTGCTCCATGACAGTCGTGACATAGATGGCCACAATGGGCGAGATAATCACCTTCATATTCGCCTCGTTGCGTTTGTGTCGAATGCTTTTCTGTAGATACAGTTGATCATCCTTGTCTGCTAGTGTACAAAACTCAAAGCATTTCTCTCTCAACAGCGGCACAGCCTCATTCAGTGGGAAATCCTTTTCAGACAAGTTGCGCATACGTTCATACAAATCATAGTCAATGCTCTCGGTCTCAGTGAAGGTTTTGACCTCGAGCTCTGCTTCCACAATAGCGTTTTTACCGAGTGTTGATGGCAGTAGACTGACGACGACGGATTTAATTTGAGACAGATCCAGGGAAAGTGAGCAAGTCAATAAAAGAACGATAAATTCATCCAGGAACTGATTTATAGCTTGCAAGGCGTCTGTAGATACTCTGAAGGGCCCAATTTCGGAGATGATGGCATTCGCAGCTCGTTGACAAATGTAATGCTCATCTGATTTCATGGTGTATCAAAGAGAAGAAGAAAAGAAAACGAAAAAAAGAGAAAAAAAAAAGAAGATTAGTATTCAAAGCCTTGTGTTGTATGCTATTTTAGGTACCTAATGTCATTCTATATTATTAGTTATATATATATATATATTAAAAGGGGGAGGGGAGAGAGAGTGGCGAGGGGGGTAGGAGAGGGATTCTAAAGCGGGGAATAAGTAGGCAAATCGTTATTATATAAAGAAGATTGAGATATTAAAGTATAATAAAATGGCAGTGGAATCAATGTCTTTTGCCCTTGAAAAAAGACATGAAAGATGGAGGACGAAAGACGAGGAAAAGAAAAAGAAGAAGAAAAAGAGCCTTTTCCTTTAGGTTACTGTAGCATCGTTTATCACTGAGTTACAAGTCGATAATATGATTTGTGTAACTTTTTTTTAGATGATTTAAACCATTTATCCTTTATTCAATTCACCATTTACTGAAATTATCAGTCCAGGAAACATCATTGCTTGATACCTTTCTGGCTCGCTGGTACTTTCCTAATGAGTGTTGGCAATGTTCCCATTCAAGATTCCGTTTCAAGCTTTCGGAAAGTGGATCTGATGTGGCGGTAGCTGGTGTGTTTGTTGCTGCAGCTGGATTGATGGATATGGGCGCCAACATTGGTGTTTGTCCATTGCTGGATCTTGTTGGATTGGATATGTTATTGCAGTGCTCTGCCTTGGTTGTTGCTGATGATGTAGACAGCAGATTGGTCAAGAGCGAACTAGTAGAGCATGGCTTGTTGGGCCTCTTCTTTTGAAAATCGCATTGATATGCGAATTCAAGCTCTTCGTCATAGTCATCTTCCATATCATCCTCTTCTGTTGTACATTCAGCATCGAGCAAGTCAACAATAACATGGCTGTCTTGCAATTTCTTGCTAACAGCTAGACCATTGGGTCTTTCTACACATTCTAATTCTGAGGGCATTCGTTCCAATGGATATAAAGTACGAGTATTGAAAACAAAATGTCAATTACATTGACGTGAGGCATTATATATATATATGCTTGATCCAAAGAGAAACAATGTCCTCGGAGGAACTTTGTTGGTAGTATCGGATGCATTTTTTTTTCTCCATTCTGCATAAAATTAAATAAAACTTTGATCTGCTTTCGCTTTTCTATAACCTTAATTTTTGGATGCGACACTTAAGCTAATCTACATCGATGCCAGCTTGGCGCGGTAATCATTGCTAGTAAATGACGATCAGCGAGGTGAGAAATAACGACATCTCTAATGAAACAGCTGTCAAACAGCAATGAATCGAGTAGAATAGCATTGTAATATAAGACTCTAATGAGATTACTTTCAGATGAGCGCTATACTACAATGTGAAAACTTTCCGTAGACATCCTGTAACTATGGATTTAGCTTTTCTACCATGCTCAGTGCCTGCACCATTGAAATCAAGTCATAATAGCAGGCAGCATTCTAACATTCCTTCTCGCTGCTCAAAAATATGCAAAACACAGTGAAATTTGGAGTATTTGAGCCGCGTTTTCTCGAGATAGAAGTCGTTTCAGATTACCAGGATAACACCAAGCAGTTGCTCTCATCTAGCACTTGCTTGCTGACACCATCGCTCAACTTTTTTGAGGTCGCCAAAATTCGACCAAAATTCGACCAAAATCCATGAGGGATGCCTCATAGTTTTCATCAAAAATCTAACGATCGCGTTTTTCGCCTCAAAAACGAACACTTTTACTATAGCATATATTTCGCCAAAATGTTTCTCTCAATCCAAAGCAACCCCTGAAACTACTTTTGCGAGAACTTCATATGTAAAATTGCAACATTTTGGCCAAAAACCTCTTTTCATATTTTTAAGTATTGCTAAATAAGTTTAGTCAAAACATCTATTATAACAAGTACCATTGGATGCGCCTTGAAAAATACAACAAAAATGTATTAGGAAGGATTTTTTTTTTTTTTTTTTGTAGGGGAGACGAGCTCCAGGTTTTATTTAAAGTCCTTTAAATGTCATACTGAGGGATAGAAAAGACTCTTGGTGGACCCAATGTCTGCAAAGAAGGGGAATAAGAAATTTTTTGAACTAAGTTGGGAAAGAAATCTACTACTAATAAGGTGCGAAACCTAGAGCCAATGCAATCTTGCGGAAATCGTCAAAAATAGATAATGGATAAGAATACAAAACACCAAACGAGGACATCAGTACTACGTCAAAAAATCAGACAACTTGCGTTCACCAGGATTTGAACCGGGGATCCTCCCGTTGGCATACGGGAGTTCTACCACTTCGCCCTACCACCAGGGACGTGTATTAGGAAGGATGGGATGAGCAACACAGTTTACATAGTCGAAAGTTGCAAAATAAATCAATTGAGTCGATTCTGATCAAAATCTGTCCAATGTAAAGCATATGTAAATCGGAGTATGAATTGGACCTTGTTTGGCAAAGTCAATATCTTCGTTTCTATTAAAGCAGTGGATGTTTTTGAGGCTATTCAAAAGGGAAATGCGGATTTGTATGCAAAATGTGTCATAATCCTCTTATTAAGGATAAAGTGATATACTGAGGCATACTTGAGAGGACAACACCTATTTAGCGCTTCTATTGTGAGTTTGTACTAAAGCATAGAGATAGTTCATCAGATCAATTGGCAGCCCTTCAAGCCCGCCGATAACATGCATCCGTTGCTATATTATTTCAAGCTGTGAAGAAGAAAAGAAGTATGTATACACATGTGAATAGTTTTAAACATCAACCGGTTTATGCAAATAATTTGGTTTAAGATGCCTCTAATCGTTGATAGATGTATTTAATCAGTCATGCTACTATAAATGTAGAGATCATTTGAAGCGACCGTTTCATGTCAGAAGCAAAATACAATCTCATCCTTCATCTGAACGGCTTGGGCTGACATTACATCACACCCTTGACACATATCTTGCTATTGAGATTCTCGAGCGTTTATGAAAATGCAAATAGTACCTACCCCTTGTAAAGCATCTCTTCCAATTTAAGCATCTTAGTTACGCATACAGGTCTGTTAGCTCATGATGCTTCCTATAGGAGAAATATATATATAGTTTTTGAACGTTTTGTAAATGTTTGCTGTACTCTCTCTCTCTCTCTCTCTGTGTGTGTGTGTGTGTGTGATCCTTGCGTCAACAATACACACCCACTTGAAACATATAACGAGTTTGTGTGTGTGTGTGTGTGTGTGTGTGTGTGTGTGTATACACATACAAGATTTAAGAACGCATAGATGTTTATTGATGTAGAGTGCGTAGTAGAGCACATACATTTGCCGAAATCATCACAAGAGCAATAATGCTTTTTATAGAATAAGAACATGTACATTTATACACACACACAAGTTTTAAAATACACATTACAGCATGATTCAACAGTTTGAATCAAATCTTGCAGTTACATTTCAAAATGTAAGTGTGTTATGTAACCATCATCGAGTAAATTTTAATGGCGCATGTAACGCAAGAAATATATAAATCATAGAGAGAGAGAGTGAGTGAGTGAGAGAATGAGAGAGCAGTGGTATGCTGTATCTATTCCCCTCATCATTTCTTTCTTTTCTTTTTCTTTTTTTTTTTTTTCTCTCTCCTCTCTTTTTTTTTTTTTTTTTTTCTTTCTTTTTCTCTTTGTTCATTTCTGTCCCTACCCCTTTTCTCTGCTCTTCACTTGATTCAATCAATTGAAACGAGAGAGGAAAGAAACACTTGAAAGAAAGGAAACAACAAAGAAAAGAGGCAGCCCTACGCTTACCTAGATATATAATATATATTTTTTAACTTGGTTCAGGTAAGTGGGCATCACATTTAGGATGTGGGATATGATGGATGATGTTAACATTTAGCAAAAGTTTTCTTTTTTTAAATATATTATATATCCAGCACCACCTTTATATGTAAGCAGCCAAGGGTGAATATCCATGAAATCGAGCGGTTACTAATAGGATGACCTTGTAGAACTGTCCTACACTACACAGCATACATTTATATTATCTCGAAATTAAAAAAGAAAAAAGAACCTTGTCGCTTAAACACAACAACAACAACCTTACATCGGAGATTCAGCAAACACGTTCGTTCATCATGGATTCAATTTATGAAATTAAAGTAACCGAATATCCAATTGTTGTAAAAGACACAAACGACAAATCATGGAAAACTGTACCTGTAAGTTAGTTCAGAAAAACGAGGTGAACATCGTGTAACTGACAGTGCCCTCTACAGGAGTTCAACATTACCGTAAAGACAAGTCAAGCTGATCTTTATGTAATCAGGTACATTCCTGATTTCTATAGTTTTGATCATTTGGTAAGGAGAGGACATGCTGCCAAGTTGTAAACCAAGATGCTTACTAAATGTATACTTCCAAGGTCAAGACGCACTACCAAAAGGTCAAGGTGCCCTTTCCCAGCTTATCCGAATCCATCTCCAAAGCAGAAAAGAGGAAAAGTATCCGAAACTTCTTTCACATGTCCATGAAATCCAATGCTGAAAAGGTCGAGAAATACTTGTATCGTTGCTCAATGGACCCAATTCTCAAGAATTCAACCCTTTTACGAGATTTCTTCTCTCCTCAGAGAGAAGGTGATTTGATAAAAGAGAAATCACATGTATCCACATCCCCCTCATCCCTCTCACATGATCCACACGACACACCCGCATCATATTCGCCACAACTCAATACTACGACACTGGATGATTCTATTGTCGATAGCAGAATTGACGTTGGCAAGGTCTGGGTACCCAGTCCGCATCCCTCGATTATTAGTTTACCCAACTCTATCAAAACGAATAGCCGAGACGATCAAGTAGATAGAGAGGAGGAAGAGGAGGACGGCCAAGACGATGACTTGATTGATATACTCTCCAGACACTCTGATCACCCTCAGCAGCACTACCAAGATACCTTCCCCCTTGACCATCTGGAAATGATCAAAGTCCTAGGAAAAGGCTGCATGGGAAAAGTAAGTTGCAATCCAACTGATATAAATAGCTTACTCAATTCAAATGACCACTGTATAGGTTGTATTGGTAAGATCTCAAATAACCAAGGAGTTGTACGCTTTAAAATCCATTGTCAAGGAGCATGTGATTGAGCAAAGAGAGATAACCCACACACTGGATGAAAGAAATATTCTGGCTAAACTTGCTGAAATTGATCATCCCTATCTCGCTAAGCTGCACACCTCGTTCCAAGACGAGCATCGATTGTATTTGCTGACCAACTACTACTGTGGCGGTGACCTTGCTACACACATGGCTAGACTCTACAATTTCACTCCAGAATGCGCACTCTTTTATGCAGCTGAAATCATCGATGGTATTGGTGAACTGCATCGCTTGGGTGTCCTCTACAGAGATTTGAAGCCCGAGAACATCCTGCTCAGCGGTGATGGCCATATCGTCCTGACAGATTTCGGCCTAAGCAAGTGGTTGACGGAAGAAGACGACTACACAACACAGACATTCTGCGGCACAGCGGAATACTTGGCTCCTGAAGTGCTTTTGGGAGAAGCTTATTCATTCCCCATTGACTACTGGAGTTTCGGTACCATTTTGTATGAAATGCTGGCTGGTATCACACCTTTCTGGGCCGACAACCACTCAGACATGTACCAGCGTGTGTTGACTGACGTCTTGGAGTTTCCAGCAGACGTTTTTGATTACGAAACAGCTGAATTTTTGTCTGATATACTGGATCGAGATCCCAGAACTCGTCTTGGAGCCCAAGGCGTCGAAGAAATCAAAGATCACGTTTATTTTGCGGATATTTCATGGGATGATATCAGAAATCGTAGACTGCAGCCTCCTTACCTTCCTCCTGTCACTGACGAGCTCGACTTTACCAATTTTGATCCTGATTTCCTGGCAATGTCTCCTGCTTTGACTCCCATTCCTTCCGAGATTGAATTCTCTGATGAAGTGCAAGACATTTTTGACGGCTATTCGTTCACAGACGAAAGATACTTTGAGTTGGAGCACCAGCAGCATGTGGAATATGATCGGTCTCACCAACATCAAGATGGATTTTATCACGATGTATCAGAGGAGGAAAAAGACTCGGAGGACGAGCCTCCTTTGTTCCAACCCGCCAGAAAGCGTGGCAGCATCAGCATGCTATCCAATGTGGACAGCTTTTGTTTAGATGATGATGTGCTTGTCAAGCCCAGCTTTGCAAAGAGCCCATTTTCGTCAGTGGACGGATTTTCATCTGAAGAACATGCGCGCTATGCCAAAAGACGAAACACAAGCGCTTCAGATAACCAACAGCTATCCGAACAGCAACCTGAACAACAAGCTACGCTGGTCGTAATGAGTTATCCCATTGTCAATGAAAAGCCTTCAGTCCATGATACCGTCTCATCGTTTGAGGATCTTGAATTCTCCAAACTGCCTGATCTTAAACTTTCATTCAACCTTCAACAAGATCAACAACACAAACAGCAACAGATTCCTGCTTCCACCAAATCCTCAAAAACGCACACCAGCAGCAAAACCCGGAGATTTTTCTCTCTTTTATTATAAACTACTTTAATTCTATGCCCATACCCTTCCTTTTATCACCACAGCATTCATTAATCTCCCTTCACTCTTATTATAACCCACAAAAAAAAATTGAAAAATCTTGATTCAGAAAACTCTACATACTCTATACACATACTATTACTAATCACCACACAATGATATCAAATAAAACGTATCTACATTTTGCAATGTACGTAGCAATTACCCTGCAAAATCAATGTTTGAGCTGTGCACCATTGATGGTACATATCACAGTGTAAGCCACAGTTTGTCAGACCCAACTCAATTGCATCATGCGTTTTTGCCTATACTACCTGTCATGTTGGATTGAAGATCAATGGAATGTGTCGCCTTTGGATGGCTACTAATCTGAGCGACTAAAGCAGATCATGGCAAATTGACTGTTTGATTTGTATTGAAGCACGATTGCACATCCCTTTCAGGTCTACAATTAGATTTTGACAGCTACTAAACGCTTCAAAAGGTGCTCTCCTCCTTGTCGTACTACTCTATTTCCACGTGCGGGAACCCAACTGTTGGGTGCAAATGAGGGGAATAAGCAATAGTTTACCGAGGCAACCCCTTGGAACCCAACAAATAGCTGAGGCTCAATTGCACCATTGCCACTATAAAATGGCCAACTAGACGAAGAAAAATGTAGGCCTTCTTCAACTATCTTTCACATGGTTCATTGTAATTCAATCACCTTATTTGCAGCCATTGGTGCCGCTTTTATCGGTTACAAGGTCTTGACTTTGTTAAAAACGCTTTTCGATACATTTGTTGCAAGTGGTATCCCTGTAAGTGTTGATTGTTTTTGGGTAACGCACGCGCGAGACCTTTAGTTTATTCATGATGACCATTTGTAGCTTAAAAAATTTGGTGCTGGCGATGGTGCATGGGCAGGTAACGATGCGTGATTGAGTGCTTGATATTTAGTATATAAGAGACTGAACATGCCGTATTCTCTAGTTGTTACTGGTGCGACTGATGGTATTGGAAAGGAATTTGCTTTGCAACTCGCAAAGAAAAAGTTCAATGTTTTGTTGATTTCACGTACTCAATCCAAGTTGGATACTGCTGCCAAGGAGATTTGTAAGTTGTGCTATGGCTGTGCGCTAAGAATCCTTGTCTGATGTAAAAGGAAATCTAGCCGAGCAATACGGTGTTGAGACAAAGACATTCGCCATGGATTTCACAAAGGGCGATGCTGAGGATTTCAAAAAGGTGGGAGATATCATCAATTCCATTCGTGTTGGCGTCTTGGTCAACAATGTCGGTGTGAATCACGATATTCCTACACCTTTTGCTGAAGAAGATGATGCTCTCATCAACAACATTATCGAAGTCAACGTCAAGGGCCTCATGAAGATGACAAAATTGGTACTTCCTCAAATGAAGCAAAAGTAAGTGCTTACAGGTTGGAGTATGCAAGGATTTAGGCTGACATGTGACACTATAGCAAGAAGGGTCTCATCTTCAATATGGGCTCTTTTGCTGGCTTGGTTCCTACCCCTTATTTGTCCGTCTACTCTGCTGGTAAGGCCTTTTTGTCTACTTGGTCTCAAGCTTTAGGTACAGAAGTCGCCAAAGATGGTATCGTTGTTGAGCATGTCAACACTTACTTTGTTGTCTCTGCCATGAGCAAAATCCGTAAGCCTTCTCTCTTGATCCCTACTGCCAAAAGCTATGTCGCTAGTGTCTTGAACAAGGTGGGTGTTCCTTGCGGTGCTAATGTGCCCTTTACATCTACACCCTATCCTATGCATGGTGTTGCCAATTGGGCCATCAATAATTTGTTGACCAACCAATTCTGGGTTACTCAAAACGACAGTAAGTGTAAAATGTGTGATTATGTGTGCAGTATCGAATATCTCATACATGTGTTGCGGTAGACATTCAAAAGGATATTCGTAAGAGAGCTTTACGTAAGCGTGAGCGTGAAGCTGCTGCTCGCAAGAATGAATAGAGAGAAAACAAGCAATAAACGGTGTCTATTTATTCTAAATTCTAAGTGTATCTAAACTATTCTTGAAGCCATGATTTCAACAAAGTGTATTGCTGATCTTGGACATCAATCATGTATTGAGGAGTAGTGCTATCGACACCAAGAAAATTCTACGAGTGAGGGTATTAGTCAAACGGCATGAAATAGGTATCAACAAAAGCAACTTACGGCACAATGGGTTGCCCTTGGAATGATGATTCCGTTTTGAACATTGCGATTAGCTTGTTGGCTGTGAACACTCAGCTCTCTCCAGCTATCCCACTCGCCATCGATCCAAATCGTCTTTTCCAACTCAATATCCCAGCCCTGATACTCCTTGTTGACTTGATTGACATCAGGCTGGCTTGGTACATTCGTGTTGGGGAAATTGAGCTGGCACACACGTTCAAAGAGATCCGTCGTCAATTTGCGAGACACAATGGTAGGTTCACCAGGAGGAGCAGCTACCTGGAAGTAACCAAATTGGAGACATGTTTGCCAGAGCCAGGAAACAGTCGATGGATCATTTTGCTTCTGTATCTGGATGTCAGTTTGATTGTGCGTGCCTACACAATTAGCCAGTGTGTCATAGCCAGGACAGAGACCTGTCTTTACATAAGATTTGATGAAGGAAGCAAAGAGGAGCAGATCTTGCTCGGCAGTGGTGTTGGTTGTCGAGTTGAATACGGTATTGCAGATAATGGCTTCGAAATTGTTCTCGCTGGGAGTAATACCATATTGCCAGTATTCAGCTAAGGGATTTGACAGGACTACATCATAAACAGGTTGATAAACGCACTCCAAGTTACGTAGTATCCTAGTACTTACGAGAAGCAAAATCATCGTCATACAAGTCTTCAGCATCAAACAGCTTCTTGAGAGCGGTTACTTGTTTGGTGTCTTTTCCAAACAAGATGCTGTCGATGTTAGAAATCACATTTCGAATGGTGTTGATACAAGGCTGAGGGGCATAACGCATGATGGGATCAAAGTATTGATAGAAATCAAATTGTGCCTGAACAGGAGCCGAAGAAGCAACAGAAGCAAAAACGATATCAGAGTACTTTTCCTTCATCCAAGCAGCTAAATTGCCACTGTAGCTGCAGCCATACACAATCACCTTTGTCTCAGGCACAGGTGGAACCTTCAAGTCTGCCGGGAACTACACAGACAATTTAGACATGTTATTCACTTTGTCTGACATTCTACAAATACCTTGATGTTCTTGATGAGATAGGCAATATCTGCAAGTGCTTGCTCTGCTGTCAGTTTATCCAATTCTTGCTCAAAATCCTATATATAAATGTGATCAGCAATCAGACGGTAAGTTCCCACATACGGAATTTATACTGCATACACTGGGTCCGGAAGCTCCATAAAATCTGTGTTCCATGTAAACAAAGATACCGCCTAATCTTTGAGCTAATTGAGCTACTGTAGAGTTGAACATGACATACGCAGCGTCAGTAACAGCTGCTTCACCAGCATTGGTTACTATAGAAACTGGCGTCAGTATCTGATGTACACATGGATAACGAATCCGACTTACAGAAGACAGGGCCATTTGGTTTGTAGTAGTCAGTGTTTACCCAGTATCTATTCTTGAAAGTCGTATTGCCACTCTTGAAATGATCCAGGGGCATATTGATGGTAAAGGGGCCATATTGCTGAGGAATATTTTCTGCATCTTTGCGATCGCTGAGTTTCAGAGACAAAAGGTTTCTCGACTTCATCGTAAGCGTTCTACCGCCACCGCTCAAACGAAGACCATGACAGCATTGAACCAGCATGCTGCCAACGATAGCAAGCACTGAAAAGAGAAGTAATCTGGAAGACATTGTATATAGACTGAAAGTGGCAATACAAAATGAAATTGATGAGTTTTTGACATTTGACAAAGGATGGATGCATATATATATCCTTTTTTCCAACACGTTACTTACAAAGGTACTGGATGGAATGATGATGAGTGCCACTAACTAGACGATGAGGCAAAGGTGCTAATTATATATTACAGTAGTACAGCAAAACTATGCCACTTGGTATCACTGTAATTATAAGATTTGTTTGTTCAATAAAGAAGAACGAGTAGAGAAAGAGGAGAAGAACACAAAATTGCATGGCATCGTAGCTTTATTTTTGACATGTCTTCTTTAATTGTGCGATTTAGGTGGATGTGAGAAAGCGAGGTGAATAAAACTGTTGATCCCGTTTTGAAATAAAAAGTTGGTTTGTAACAATTGATTATGTTAATTAATATCTTTTTTTTTTTCTATCTACGTATCTCTATATTAGACATTCGTTATCATCATCTTGATTGAATTTGTCATAAATCATATAGACAGCATATTTGATTTCGTATTGTATTAGATTATATGTGTTCCTTGCAATAAAAACCAAGTTTGTAATCAGACGTAATGTTAACAGGGCCAAATAAGCATTGACATTATTCAATTAAAGCCTTGTATTATCGTGAATGTTTAGCAGCCATGTATCCTCTGTGATTCCAATAAAGTATGAGGCTTGGGCATAAAGCACCTACATGCCAAGCACCATTGCCCATTGCACAAGCCAAGGACAGCCTGCAGTCAGATGTTGTTTTTATCCGCGGCTTTTCTCGAATTATTTGGTGTTGGCTTTTTGTTATTACAAATAAGCAAATACATGACACACTGAACTTACTAATAACTCGTCAAATATAAACATTTCAGCGATATCATATATTGCTAAATTCCCTTCATAACTCAAAAAAAAAGTTAAACATGTCTATCACTCTATGAGATTGTTATGTAATGCTTATTTATTTATGTAATATGTAGTTTTAATGCGCAAATTGGCCCTGCCAAATGCACTGGTATAAGGGGGACGGGTTATTTACACATATGGGCAGCACACATGCTTAATCTGCCAGCTTTGTTTGAAACAAATGAAAATGAATTGCCTGCTTTTTGATGTCATTCTTGATTCTGGTGAGCTCGAATCCCACAGGATGCTCTTGATTGAGATCATATGTCAAATCAATAGAGTCAATGCCGTCTGACGCTTGCTCGCTTGTATTGATGGCAGATATGAGTGTTACTTTGAGCTGAGTGGATGACACAAGTTCCACTTGAGAGGTATTAGTATCCATCCAAGAGAGGTATTTTCAAGACTTACAGTGAACTAGCATCGGCGCTTGAGGTTTTGGTTGAGCAATCTTTTCTGCTGGCATCATGCCTTGAGCTTCCTTGAACTCCTTCAGCCGTTTCTGTTTATCTTCACTGTACCTTGTCCATTCACCTGGAGTTTTGACGATTCTGAATGTCATGTAAAGCGTCAATGAACCCGTGTCCTTTTCGTCCATCCTCATGATATTCCTGTGCGTATATATTAGTTTTGTTTTTATATCGCCTCTATTGCAACGTACTGCTCAAACTTTTTTCCCCACAGAGCCATAAAATCTTTTCCCCACTTGGCCTCTTTCTGCATACGCATCGCAGCTACCTTGGATGGACCTTCAGTCAGCCTTCTCTTCTTTTGCATGAGATCGATCGACTTTAATCTTGTCATTTCTGGCTTGTTAATTTCCATCTGCTCGAAATCATCGACGTACGGGTTCTTCTTGAGACGTTCGGTGTCTTTTGGTTTATCATCGAACTCGAAATTGATTGTACTCGTTTCATCAATGTAAGGGTTTCTTCTCTTCGGCTTCGTCTTTTCAGTTGCCATGCTTCTCTTTGCCTTGTTTTCCTCGTCCCTCAAACTAGTATCTTTGGGCTTGTCATCAAACTTGAAATCGATCGCATTCGCTTCATCGATGTAGGGATTCCTACGCTGAGGTTTTGTCTTTTGCTCCTCCTTCAATCCAATGTCTGTGTCAAGGCATGATTTCTTGATTTTATGTCTAGAATCCACGCTGCTCTCTGTTATTTCCTCGTCTAGATCAATGACATTATATGTCGTACATTCACCGAGTTGTTTGAATTTTTTCAGTCGCTTGGTATTTTTTGCTTCATCGTTCTGATCGTTGGCAGGCCTTTTATTTATACTATTGCTACTTTTGTTGCCCCTGCTGTTGCTATTACTTTCCATGTGAATAAAATCGTCATCATTATCTGCTTTCTCTTTTGATATCATGAAATCGTCATCCGAGCCGTCTTCAAGTTTGAAGATATCCCAGTTCTTTTGCTTTGTCCTTGACGGTGGTACTGGAGGAGGTGAAGGTGGAGGTGTTTTAGGCGGCTGTCAGATATCAAGCAAGCCTTTGGTGAGCTTTCTTACTAAAGGAATACAACAATATGAATACATACCCTCTTTAGTCTGCTCACTAGCTTTTCAACCCAATTGTGCAAACAGTTTTCATTCTTTAGATCCCAATCCTCTGCTGGCAGTAAAACACTCTGCTCCTCAACATCAAACACTTCATTGATGATGACAGGTTTATCAAATATGATATCAGGAGGCGAATAGTAATTGGATGAATCAAACACTACTAGGCCTAAGGATGCGCTGTTAGAGTGATAGTATCATTGTCAATTTTTATTCGACTTACAGCGTATGTCTTTTGTCTTACGGCCCATTTCAATCCTGAAGCGATCGCGTACATAAGGTTCCTCTGTTCCGTAGTTGTAATGAGAGGTCAATTCCTTGGTGACATTGACATGCGGTAGTGCCTTCAGTCTGTTGATTGCACTCACAAGGTATTTGTTGACATCTTGATCGACATGAACCGTCGACATGTGTGTGTGTGTGTATGATTTATTTAAAGACAAAGGATGAGGGGACTGGAAGAGAAAGAGAGGTGGGAGTACAGACTACATGCTTTTTGATCGTGACACTGTTTCAAATAGTGTACTTTGCTCATAGATTGGATTCAAGCACCATGACGGTAAACATGCCCACAAATAGAAACAACACACAGAAAGAGGCCCATGTAATAACACCTCTACTAGCAGGAAAATTGCCGTGCTGCAATGCCCATTGCGCATGAAAATACCTAACGTTACCAAAATAAAGAAACAAAATGCTGGCCATCACAAAGATCAAGCCCAATGCTCTGCCTAGTCTTTTGTGATTTGCCGAGGACACATGATACACCTGTATAATGCCAATCCCCAGCGTAATCAGTGATAGGGATGTTCTAAACCAAGCAAGGTAGGTTCTTTCATTTGCTATATACGACCTACATTTGAGTATGTGTGCCAAATGTGTATATGCTGCTATGCAGTACATACCTAAATGATCTCTGGCTGTATTTCCCTTGTTCTCCAATACAATGGCAAATGAGTATTTAGAGTATAAATCGTCCAAGTACTCAAGCAAGGTCGAGATATAATTGTGGCCCCCCTTGTCTTTATCCTCTTCTTCGACTACTGTTCTATTATCATTCTCAAATGATACATGCTTCTTGTGATCAATCTCGCATGATTGGCTGATGTCATAAATGGTGTTTGTGTCTCTACAATAGTACGATGTAGCATCGCTCAATGATCTATGATGAATGTTGTAGTTGTGACGAGCTGCAATACGAATCATTTGCACAAAATGTAATATGAAAGAGAAAGAGCAAGGTACTGAGTATTCTTCTCCCTTTTTTTTTTGTCTCTTATCTAGCATACAATGATGATGATAATCCCCTTTCTTATGCATCTCCCCTTTTTTTCTAATTTCTGCCTCTTTTGCTTGCAAAAAAAGTGTGAATCCTTGAATGATCGCTTGATCCTTTTGCCGTGGATGGTATTGATGTGAGAAAAAAAAAAAAAAAGGGTTTTGCATGAATTTTTTCCTTGCTCAAAATGCCTCTTTGGATTTATTTTTTCTCATTTGTTTTCTTTTTCTTTTCCTATACCTATAGCAAACCAAAATGACAGAATCCAACCACTTTCATCCTGATATTGAACAAAACACAATGTATGAAGAGAGATTAAAGCAAAAGAACATTCGATCCATGCCAGTAGGAAACGAGCGATTAGCTGCTCTTCGAGATTTAGGCGTTACTTTTGATGAAGGACATCATAAAACAACCAAAATTGCAACACCTTCTGGCACTCCAAAGTTACCCACATTTGTAGATGCTAGTCAGATTGAGGTAAGTACCAAGGAGAGGGTGGTCTACGAGAGCAACACATCTTGACATGTTATATACTATACACAGTATTTACTTGAGCAAAAGAAAGCCTCACATCCAAGTCCTTTTTCCGCTTCAATGACTACCAATCGAGAAGAATTTGGTGGCATGATGTTCCGTGAATGGCGTTGATAATGTCATGTACTACAACTACGATTGGCCTTGTTTGTATTTCCCCACCCCACCTTAATTATATCTATTCCTCTTCTTTTTATCCCTCTTCCTCTGTTATGCGCTCTGTAAATATAAACATGTTGATGTAATTTCCTTGTCATTGTTGTTGTGTCGATGCTTTATAATGTGGTACAGTGTGGGGGGATCATATGCTAATTATTTGAAACGAGCATGTCAAGGTCAAAACGTGATTGACAGCATGGTAATTAGTTGGGGCAGGGTCATTGCTACTGTGAGAACAATAATGATGCCATGGATTTCTTCATTGAATTTATTTGTTTTCTACTGATAAAAACGACAAACAAACAACCTGGGCCCCCGTTTTTTTTTATCAAATAGTCGAGGCAAGACATGGCCTTATTAGCATCTCGGTTATCCTGACATATTTTACTTTACTGGCTCTTTTCTAGTAGGTATATTGCCGTATCATGGCAAAGTTAGCCATATTCAACATCTAGTTTCTCCTGCTGTGGGCCATTTCCAAGTGCCAAACTCACGCCAATCAAGTTGCCTAGCCTCCTACGTTACTCTCTGATCATTTTTCTCAAAAAATTTTGGAGCTATAAAATTCTTTCAATTTCCATGAGGTACCCCTCATGATTTTCATCGAAATTTTTACGACAAGAGTTGCATTATCAACCATTCGTACACAACAACAGCACTGAAGATGGTATCGACCTGAGACCATTTGCCGCATCACTTCGCTTCCAACAACTATCGATCCTTCAGCTCTCAAACAAAAACGTTCGTTTCATCATGCAGTCATTGGACACATTAGACGTTGGCCGCCACTTCAACAACAACATCTCCAAAAAGCAATGGACAGCCTTCTATAAAAACGACATGCACTACTCGGCTCGTAATCTGTGGTACCGGATGCTCCATCAGCAATCCCCTAATAAGCTCGCCCTCTTCCAAAGACACTTGCCCAATTTAGAGTCTGATCACTGCGATCTATGCAACGAAGTAGAAGATGCCAAACATCTTCTAATTAGCTGTGCTCACAAGATCGATGTATGGAACTCCACCTTCAATGAGTTCCTCAGCTATCCCAAAAATGCTGACCCTCGCCTCGTCTACAACAACATTATGCTCCTCAAACTAGAACGCTATCTCATATACAGCTACGATATGCAGTTCACTATATATGACTTCTTCGCCACTATTATGCGTATGATTTGGAGAAATCACTTCCAACAGCTCTACAATTATATACCTTTTGATCCCTCTGTAGTATGCCGCCAAATCCGCGCCGAATTGATAAGATTGTCAAATCTTAGGAAACTCTAAATAGCTTATATATGGCACGTCACTTTGTTTACATACACTTGTCCATCCCTTGATGCGTTTAATTTATTTCTAATAAATCAAATATCATCCAAAAAAAAAAAAAAAAAAAAAAATTTTTCATCGAAATTTATACGATCGCATTTTTCACCTTGAAAATAAAGGCTTTTACTATGGTATATATCAAATCAAAATGTTTCTCTCGATCCAAAGCAACTTCTGAAACCATTTTTATGAGGTCTTTATATGCAAAATTTTGACATTTTGGCCAAAAACCTTAATTTATATTCTATTAAATGGCTCGATAAGATCAGTCAAAACGCTTGTTACAGTTAGCATCATTGTAAACGCCTTGAAAAGTACTTCAAGAATGCATTAGGAAGCTTTTTTTTTGTAGTTAATATTTTATTTTATTCAAATATTTTTGAGGGACACATCGCGGAGTGGTGGACCTCGAACAACGAACTGACTCTCTAATAAACGATTATGAGTTGGTCGGAAGCAGTTTGTCAATAAGACAAACTGTCCTGGAAGGAAAGCGCTCAATTGAGGCAGCGGAGAGGGGTGAAGGATTTTGGCTGCCGTGAAGCCAGTAAAGATTCCACATCTGCCAGAAAATGGTAGAAATGACGGCAATATACTTGGATCGATCTTTGATAAAGTGAGGGAGATGCAAATAACGCACTGTGCCATAGATGATTTCAGATGTCAGAGGAAAGTTGGAGTAGTACTGAGACAGGACGGTTTGCCATAGTTGCCATTTGACAGGACAGTCGACAATAAAATGCCTCAATGTATCAATGCCTTGGGCACAAAAGGGACAGATGGGGGTTTCCACAGAGCCAATGGTGCGCAGATAGGTCTTATGTGGGATGCATCGCGACAGTGCCCGATAAAGAACCGTTCTGGCAGCAGGGTGGGCAGGGGAGGACCACAGTGCTTTGACCATGACATTGGTAAACCGATGTTCTGATGGGACCAGCTGTTGTTGCTGTTGGCGATATGTGCTGGGGTGGTACAGCTTCCACTTATCGGTGATGCCCAGAGTACCAAAGAAGTCAAAGTTTGTCCAGTCCAAGCTGGAGTGGGAGGGGAGGTGCAGGATGTGGGGCCAGACACCAGGAACCAGATGAACTGTTTTGAGTACTAGGATTTCTTGGTACAGGGAGGCACAAAGATGCCGGTAGACAGGATATTCAGACGCAACACGGAGACGTAACCGTTGTTGATGGCTATCGAAGAGCAGGAACTTGTTGGCGGGGAACTTGGGGTGACGTTTGAGCCAGTGATCATCGTTAAGCCCAGTGAGGAGTTTGTGCAGAGGCAATCGCATGATGGTCTGGAGTGGAATGACCTCAACCTGGCGAAGGTCAGGGAACTCGAAGTAATCTTACGATGCGAAGATGGAATGCCAAATGGAAAGATCCTTATGTAGCAGAGAGGACTTGCGGCATTCAGCATCGAGGAAAGCCATGTAGGGGAAGTCTGAGGACCCTGGGAGCAGTGACAGATGTGAAACCAAGAAAGGTAGCAGGAAAGACGGATACTTCTGCGGTTCGACGAGATAATTGAGCCAGCGTTTTTGGAGTATAAGCTGTTGGAGAGAAGGGTCGAGAACGGCAAGACCACCCCTAGATTTAGGCAGGAAGATGAGATCCTTGCGTATTAACGGCCGCTTCTTTTTCCAGACAAACTGGTAGACACACGATTTGACCTTCTCTAAGAACCTTTTGGTCGGCCTGAGCATTCGAAGGCTGTACCATATTTTGGATAGAATCAGACTGTTGACAATGGTAACGCGACCCATGATAGACAATTGGCGTTGAGTGTAGATGGCACATTGAGTTTGAACAGAGTTGAGCAGCATTTCTTCCGTTTGGGCCCGTTGCGCTTGGTTGTATGCAAAATACAGACCCAAGTACCGAAAAGCCGCAGTGGAGCCTTGGTGGTGGTAGGTGTGAACGTTGATTTCTTCGAAGGCCCTCACCCATGCCAGCGACCGACGACCAGACAGCGAAAAGGCCTCCGATTTGTCTTCGTTGAACTTGGCATTGGACACGGCGGCATAGTTGGCCATATGTTGCTGGAGACGATACAGATCTAATTCATCGCGAAGGAGGACACAGACATCATCCGCGTACGCAAGGCATTTGATCGCCGGCGACACACGAGGAGCCACCTCGGCAGATGTACCATTACTCACACGGAAGCCATGGAAGTAGGGATCCTGCAATATGGAAAAAAGGAATGGTTCAAGGGCCACATCAAAGAGCAGCGGTGACAGGGGATCACCCTGACGGATACCCCGTTCCTGTTTGACAGCGGGATTGAAGTACCCATTGATGTTGATGTACATATCATTGCCAAAGAACAAGAGTCTGACGCAGGACACGAAACTGGCTGGGAACCCAAGCCGGAGAAGAACAGCACACAGATAGTCAGCATTCACTCGATCGTAGGCTTTCTCTTGGTCCAACAGGATACCAGCACCAGTGTGGTTGAAGGCGCGAGCCTCTTCCAGGACCATCGATAAAGCCATGCCATTGTCACAGATGAAGCGTTGTTGAAGGAACCCAGATTGAAACGGATTGATAATACGACCAAGGATAGGAGCCATGCGGTGGGCAAGAAGTCTGGTAAAGACTTTGCCATCACATCCTAAAAGACAGATTGGGCGCCAATTTTTAAGGAGTGCAAGCAATCCTTTCTTTGGTAAAAGACGAATACGCAGATCATGCCAGGAGGAAGGAAAGATACCATTGAGAGCATCATTGTATACCTGCAATACAAGTTTTTCCAAACGGGCCATACTGAATAAAAGCGACAGAAAAGGATATGCCAGGCCATCACTACCAGGAGCGGTTGCCTTCATTGAGCGATTCGCTTGTTGCAGTAGCTCATCCATTGTAATATTATCTGTCAAGGATTGCTGTTCATCGGCGGTCAAAACTTTCTCAAAGGTTATTGAGTTTAAGTAGGCTTCAATGTGTTCAGGCGCCACAGGGTCAGCTTTGTATAAGTCTGCATAGTATTGCCATGCGAACGATTTCATGTCTTCAATTTGGCCTGAGATCCAGGGCCGCCATCCAGGAGAGCTGTTACCAGCCTGAGCAGCACCATCATGCGTGTCAGCAATGCATTAGGAAGCGTAGGGTGATCATCACAGTTTATATAGTCGAATATTATAAAATAGATTAAAGAGGTCGAAGAAAGGCAAAATCCGTCCAATCTTGAATAGAAAAAAATAAACTGATTTTCAATCGATTTTAGCGGGCGGCATTGCTGCTGGCTGACCTAAATGCCTTTCTGTTGATGGCAGTGATAATTGCGATGTTGATTAAATGGAGACCATGGAGTTGAAAGGACAATTGATTAGCTCAAATACTCTTTTTTGAATGAGTTTTACCTCATGAAGGCGTCTTTTGCAATGACAATATCACAAAAAGGTCGTTGTAGATCTTACACAAGCCCTGTATTTACTTACGACTCGCTTTATGTCGCCATCTTATTTAGAGCATCAGAAAATGGCGATCGTGATGTGCAAATGCTGCATAAAATTTGAATTGGCTAGTTTCAAATTATATACGCAAAACTAACAAGTGTATATGATAAGCTACTGCATGGTATATTTGGCGTCCCATTCAGCCTGTAGAAGCTTTTGGCTGGGGTCCATGCTATGAGTACTTGCTGTTAAATCATAACACACTTGTAATGCAAGAGAAGCATGCTAGTTGTTGCTTTAGATTTCCTGATTGGCACTATTCAGTTGAATCTGCTATTTGCCTACCATAAATTTGCATATACCTGATGCTGATTTAGATTGATAATGTTGGGCATTCGACTGATTTACATCGTAGGATGAAATAAGAAAAGTACTTGAATCAAATACCACAGAATACCTGAGTCTATTCAAGCTCTCGAGTGCTAATACATCCAATCCGAATTATTGATTTCCATAGCAGTAAACTTATACCCTTTGCATCTCATATCGACATTTATAATTTCCTGGGCAAGTACAAGATTTTATTGATATAAAATAAGCAATGTTTAATGTGTACTCATATCAGGCACACGCATTTAATGTGTATTGTATAGTTTTTCATTTTATTTATTGTAAAAAATAATGGTCTCTCTTGGTTGCTTTTACAAAAAGCTTACAGGTTGAACCACGAGAAGGTGGAGACCAATCTCAACCCAAAAATTGAAAGTAGGCATGGGGGAAGGGAAACACATGACAACACAGAAGACTTATTACAGAAGACTTATTACAGAAGACTTACTACAGAAGACTTATTACAGAAGACTTACTACAGAAAACTTATTACAGAAGACTTACTACAGAAGACTCATTCCAGAAGACTTACTAGAGAAACCCTCACACCAAAGACACGAAACTCTCAAAAGACAAAGTACCAAAGACTTGAAAACCTCAGAGTGTGCCCTTAAAAAATCCCCCATGCGAAAGAATACGACCAAATAAATATAAATATCTATATACTAGGACCAGAGAGAGCCAGAGAGAGCCAGAGAGAACCAGAGAGAACCAAAAGTATCCAAAGAGAACCAAAAGTATCCAAAGAGAACCAGAGAGAACCAGAGAGAACCAGAGAGAACCAAAAGTATCCAAAGAGAACCAAAAGTATCCAAAGAAAGCCATCAAGTAGAATAGAACCAGTCTTGAAATACCATAAGCCTTGTATTGTGAACCACCCTGATTCAGAGCATGTTACCATCCGTTATGTGCAGACAAGACAAATATACTTACATGATCACCAGTCTTCTAGTAGCGTCTATTGTTTTTGAGAGAAAAAAAAAAAAAAAGATGAAGAAAAAGATAAAGAAAGGACGTGAGATAAAGAGAGAAATCTTCTACCTTTTATACCTTGATTACAGTAGCAACAATTTAAGGAGACACGCAAAAAACACTTCAAACGCAATTCTGAACGCTACTGGCATCCAGAGACAATGCAACTAATACCATTGGAATCGCCTTCAACTGCCCTACAATATGATATGCATTATTACTACTGTATACACACAAGATATGATATAAACTCATATGGTTTATTTCGTTTATTGATTAAACACAGTCAGCTTGTTTACATTTACATCTTGTATTCGGTTGATAACGGAAAGTGAACAATTTGATTCGCTTTGGATTTGAAAAGTTCGAGCAAAATGTAAACAATAACGGGTTCTTTATCAGTATAGTTTTGCAGTGATTGCAGTATATAAATTACATGTATTCACTATTTTATATGTACAAGCAGAGCTGTCAAAGTTCTGGTGCTACTGTCACCAACAGGATATGCTCTTACTTCTTTGAAAAGAATGTAGGCAAGTTGCACGGAAAACAAACAAACAAAAAGTCATCGTTCAATTAGAGTGAGCATATTGGTAGTAGTGCAAGCAAACCCATTTGAAGCTATATTTTACAATGTGTATCCAAGTAAAAGGCAATCTTGATCCGCTGCTTTTGGGCCTGTAGAACACTTGGGTGACATGACGCCGCCTCAAAATACAGTATTTGCATGATTTTTAAAAAAGTGTGTATGTATAAACCAGTTGTCTGTCTTCGTTAGTGCTCAGTAGAAACCTCACATGTATTTCATAATTAGTATTGCCATCTATTTGCTAAAAATTCCTAGTAACAGGAGATGTGATGGCCCTTACACTTTAATAAAATGGACATTTGGCATTAGGTTCCCAAGCGTATATGGTATTATAGCATTGCCTTAGTGGCTGCTATAGTATAGCCTAGTAGTGGTATCTCAATGTACAGTACATCAAACCTCAAGTGCCATTTGCAATTTTGAATAGCAAGAAAGTTTGCGTTTCATATTAGGCCATTTATTTGAATATGTAATAAACAATGATTAATCCGAGTGTCAGAAACAAAATGTGCTTCAGAATCAGGCAAAAGTAGAGAGAATAAGCTACTATAATACTTTTTTTCAAATTGCAATCCTCTTTATATTAGCTTCAAGATCGTAGATTACATTGATATCAGAAGCACTCAAAATCAATTGAATTCTCGCTTAACGTCTATTCCAGATTGGACAGATTTTGATCCAAAAACGACTTGATTCATCTATTTTGCAGAATTGGACTATATTAGATGCGATGATCATCTTATACTTTCTAATGCATTTCTGGAGTGCTTTTCAAGGCGCATCGAATGATGGTGCTTATGGCAGATGTTTATAATAAACGCATCGAGCAATATCAAAAAATATGAAATGAGGTTTCTAGCAAAAATGTCAAAAACTTACATATAAAAGATACACAAACGACGTTTCAAGGGTTGCTTTGGATCGATAGCAACATTTTGATGTAATACATACCATAGTAAAAGTCATCATCTTCAAGGTAAAAAAAAAAAAATGCGATTGTTTGATTTTCGATGAAAACCATGAGGGATACCTCATGCTTTTTGGTCCCCAAAAAGTTGAGCAAGGGTGGCAGGAAGTTAGTGCTAGATGAAAGCAATGGTTTGATACTATTCTGACGGCCTAAAACGGCCTTTAACACAAGAAATCACGGCTCAAATGCATCTAAAATACGCTGTGTTTTGCGCACAATCGAGTAATAAAGGGTAATGCGTGTATCAGATCGTTGAAGGCCACTTCCATCCAAAGTAAAATGGAGTCAAGCGAGCCATGTAATCATTGTCTGACATATCAATATGCTCGCCGTCTCCATCCGTCCATGGTAACCAGGATTTTGTTGAAATGAAATATATGACAACGAAATATACAAAGATACAGCCATTTAGCCAGGTCATCCTTGGCTGTAGCATCATTCAGCGTACCAGAACAAGCCCAGCCAACATAGACGCAAAGACTCATGTTTGACATGAGGCAAAACTACAGCGTGCATAGTCCCCAACACCTACATATGCGAGCTTAGGCTTTGATGTACTTATATCTGCATGGCAAGATAAGCTGCCTCCTTCGGATCCAAAGAGCTTATCAAAAGCAACTCTCTTTTGGACATTGATAATGCCAGGAATGTAGACAAAACCGTGTTTCTCATTTGTAAGCACTAGCTCTATTTAAGAAATTCTGCGAGTACCAATACTTAAAATTGTCTAATATACTCATTCGAATCAAGCATGTGTGCTTGTCGATTTGGCTCTCGTGATTATAGTATAGCTCTAAAAAGGCAGAATGTTTGCCAACTGCACATGATTTCAACCCAAAAGATGGGTTACTAAAGGGATAGTGTGAAACTAATACACTTTGATAGGCTTTTTCATGATGATGAAAGAGGACATGGCATTATATAAGAGTGAAACAGTGGGCGGTATCTATGCTGCTGCATTTCACGTATGTCTGGCGAGAAGGTACCAGACAAAGCTAGGTGAGCTGATAGCTCAATATATATCATTCGACATTTAATAACTAGCCAGCTTAATCGCCAATAGTCAGTATAGTATACATTGGTAAGTCTAAACAGAGCATACTGATTTGCATAAATCCAACCTAATTGATATCGGGAATGCTTGTCATTGGGCTATAACTTGATATCTTCACCTCACCTCAAATGATATTTGTAAATTGTCATGATTGACTATATATAGATGGTTTTTCATACAGCAAAAATATGATCTACAACACATTTATAGACATATAAACCGCATTCATTAATAGAAATACTGCCTGGCAAACAGGAGGCATCCATTAGTGATCGACATGCAAACGCTTAAAAACACAGTTGTGCAAGGAAAAATATAGTAAAATAGAAGAGTATTCCATATACTGTACACATTCATGTAGTATCAAGCAGAATGAAACTCAATGTTTGAACATGAATCAAACCCCCATTATTATACAGCCATCTGTGCCCCCCCCCCACGGCACACCAGTACAGTATACACTGTTTTGGCATAAAGATCTCATGTCTTTCTGATTAGATCAGCTCAACAGCTGGTTTCAATTAACGAGATACAATATAGAAAGCATAACCACCACATACACAAGCCAAATGATATCATATATGTACGGGTAATAATTTAATCGTGAATCCTTAGGTGCTTCACTATAATTTAGGCAAATTCTTCGTTCGGGGTCGTAGGTAGAGAACAGAAAGTGTGCAATATGGAATAACCTAATTGATCCTCAGAATGATAATGAAACTGTTGTACCATATATTGGCTTTTAAAATAGAATTCGAACATAATGGTGAAATTCTTTCAAGAACGGGGGTTCACCTGAATTTGATATAACTCTGGTTACTTTTCTTCTTCTTGCTCTCTTACACCTTTCTTTCTTGTAAATAGCATTTTCCCTAAATGCAAGTGTGGCAATCAGTATCTAAACTGGACGGCAACATGGATGCAACAACACCAACATCGGCTTCTATCATCCACAATCGAAGAAGTTCACTCGCCATCTCAGCCTTATTGAACGATGTCTCTATTGAACCAATGCAGCACCCGTTAGCACCCAATACAGCCACGCAATTACCATGGCACCATGGTGTTAAATGCAGGCTGCCAAACAGTCTCCCCATGCCACCCCCCTCCCCCATGGACTACTCTCCCATTTCAAGTGGATCATCATCGCCCAGCGGCTCATTGGATAGCTTCAGTAGACAGCCATCTATCACAGAGCCTCCAGATCTCTGGAGTCATTCCAGGACTGGTATGCACCAAACAAACAATGGCATCATTGTCTCCTCATTAGCGAAAGCTAAAAGAAAGCGCATTTTGCCTCATCAATACAAGAGACTGATGGAAATATTTGAGAAAACCGATACCCCAAGCTCAGAAATCAGAAGTCAATTAGCTAATGAACTAGACATGACGAAACGAGAAGTTCAGGTAAATTACTTTACGATGATTGAGATTTGAGACAACATATATTAATACATTTTAAAGGTTTGGTTTCAAAACAGACGTGCTAAAATAAGCAGAAGCAGAGTAAATTCATTATCTACAACATCGCAGCAAGAGCATCACCAGCATCAACAAACAGTTCGACATCACAGCTTGACCCTGTCGTCTACAAACGCATCTACTCATAGTGCGTCACCGCGCAGACGTGCCTCTGAATACTCACATCCATACTCAAAACACATTGCACCGAAAAAATCAATGTCGACTGAACCTAATTATAATCATATTAACTCTAACACTAATCCTAATCATAATGATAACAGCACTAATCCACCAGAACAGCATGCTTCGACCTTGGTTCTCGAAGCACCATACCATCCCCCTCAGTCGCCCACCATCACATCAGCCATTGATATATTAGCTTCAGCTGCTGAAATGATGCGGTCGTAACTATTATATGAAATAAACGACAAGTATTTTACGCTCCATAACTCTTGTTCTTGTTGGTAATCGGAACGGGTATCTAAATTTAAGGTTCTTGTGTATAACACATACACATGGCGATGTTTGTGTAATACAGAATATCAAATGGCATAGCATCATTTCATATAAAGCAAAGGAATATTCCACGGATGGGTATAATTGCAGATATCCACAGTAATACTTGATGGATCATCGCAAAAGTTATTAAACTCACCCGCAAGTGACATGAATGCAAGTTAGGCTGAAACATGGATGCTACTATCTATTGTTTAACAAACACGCTGATCTTTGATGTTGCATGCTGTTCATGATAATGACCACCACCAAAAGGTATTTTTACATGGAAGCAGTTTCAGTTTTTTTTTTTGAATTAACGAATTGAATATGGAGTAAAATTGAAAGATCGTATTCTTGATCAGGGCATATTGTAAAAAAGGGGTGAGACACATCTGTTTTGGAGGGAAATCACCAGGAAAAATAGCTCACATCCCTAGCCTAATTGACATTTAGACACATGATATTCTGGGACATTTGGAGCATGTCTTATAGCAGTAAATCTGAAATTCAGCCAATCATAGCTACATTTGCATTGTAGTACAGTTGTCTCCAGAGAATGGCTCTCTCTGGACAGCAAATGCTTGCAATGCCTCCACTGTTGATAGCCTTAATATTGACCACAAAAGAACTGCTTAGTATACAATCTCTTTTGAGCGAGGTACCATGCAATTTGTACCGAACGAGGGATGAAATGAGTATGAAACATGAAACCTACTTTTGATTAGCCATCCAATGAATTATTTTTAAAGTTTTTATTACTTTTCGAACATCATCAGTTTTTTTTTTTTTTTTTTTTTTTTTTTTTTTTTTTTTTTTTTTTTTTTTTTTTGTTCAGGGAATACAGGTCTGAAACCTGAGGTAAATATATACACACTCTAGTCTATGATATGCTCTAGTCTTGATCTTTAATGGTATTGAATCTTCTAAATCGACAGGTATCGACATCATTCCGTCTCACTTCTTGGAGCCAAGTTCTGCATATGGTACGCCATGATGGCACCTAGCCATGTCAAATCGGTTAAAAGGAGTGTTTAGCTGAAATATACCAATTAATCAAAAGCACGTTAGGGCTATTTTGCGGAGAGAAAGGAGGAAGCAGGTACCCAAGTCTTCATCGATCTAGAAGACCCTAAACTGACAGAATCTGCATGTCTCCACTTCAACTCAAATTAGGGGTAGATGGTGATCAGTCGCACAAAATGCCGGTAAATTGACACATATAATAGAAGAGAGACTGACTTTATTCATAGTAGCATGGTACTGTACTCGATGACAATAATAGTAATTCTTAAAAATAACATAACGTAACAGACAGACTCATTTAGATGGTGTTATTGTCGGCACTGACGTTGTGCTTGGCAATATCGTCCTTTGAATGGATTTTAGCGGGTGGGTGGGATGAGCTGCTGCTGTTGTTGCTATTAGGCCATGGTTGCTCTTGGCCTGCTCGAGGGCCACTTGAGTAGAACAACTTTGGCTGATAGGCGATATCCTCACTCAACACTTGGGAATTCTGAAATTTCTTAATCAATGCCTGTTTACCTTGAATATTTGCATAGGATAAATCACATTTCTTGTCAGATTTGAATAGCTTCCTAGAGAAGAAGAGAAAAGATGTATTAGTCTGTTTGTCTATGCTTACAACTTTTATATACTCAATTCTAGTATTGGAAAAACACTTTGCCATTTCTTTCCTACACGATCGTGTGCAAACTCAATAACATCCCTATGATGAAAAGGTAAGTACTCTATCCTTAAGAACCCCCCCCCCCCCTTGGGCAGCAACTTACTTGGGATCAATGAAATTGATAAAAGCATATCCGACATTGCATTTGTTTTGAAAGTCAATACGCAAGTACAAAAAGTCGTATTTTCTTTCATGTGTCGTATTGACGTAATCAATCAACATTTGCTACACGATAAAAAGCCTGTTGTGAGCACTCTTTAAACCTAAATCATCTTGATATGCACGTACCTGAGTGTATTTGTTGGGAATGTTTCTAATCATAAAAGTAGTGCGTGTATCCTGTCCTGATCCAATTCTATCGAGATCTACAGAATTACTGGTAGCTTTTTTAGTGCTTGGTGGAGGTCGTTTTCTACGTGAGTTGTTACGAGATGAAGGTGTTGGCACTTTCTTCTCTAATTTTTTCTGTTGAGCAACTTTCTCAACAGAACGAGTAGATGAAGGCGATGGTATGGGGTTGGAGAGAGATGAATCAGGCGTGGTGCTGGTATTTGTAAAAAGAGGAGTGCTTTGAACAGCAGCTGCGTAGCTTACATTTTCATCTTGCTTACCAAGACAAGTGCCACATGCTGTATTGCTGGATGAAGAAGGTGAAGTCTCAATAACAGCAGCGGTGATCTTTGGATGAGCAGTGTCTTTATGTTGTAATGCCACAGGAGATGGTGGTAGGCTGGACACAGGATGGTACTGGGGTGCCGAATAAGGGTCCACAGCAAAATAAGACTCACCTTCAGCCACAGGGCTTGGTAAGGGGGTGGCGACCATGATCTTTTGTGCAGCAGTTAGCGGCGGTGGAGGAGGAGCGGCAGCATGGCTTATGGGCTTGTTGAAGTCAATGCTCAACGCGGGAGGACAAACCTTACCACAGGCAGTGATGCCTTGATAGGCACATGCTATTTCGTCATCGTATGTAGCACTGTAAACCATGATCTGTGCACCCTATTCGTGTTGTACATACAAATGTCAGTGACACGAACAAAAACATACTGACATGCGGATCTGCATCCCTTGGCTAACTTACCTCGATGAATGAGCAGTTCAAATTGGCCCTCAATGCCTCACCATGTCGTTCATCGTGGTATTCCAAATTGAGGAGAATACAAGAACGAGAGATGCGAGCTTCAGAGATGGAATAAATGGAGCCAAAGCGTAAAATATGCTTCTATGTGTATGCGTAAACATTTAGCATGTCTGTGTGATCTGCCAAATATTTGCATTGTACTATTGCTTACCATGTAATCGTAATCAAGTAAGTCTACACTACTATTAATGCTGCTAAAAACCACAAACATCTTCTCAGCGCTGTTAGAGTCAGTGCTGTTGTTGATGAAGGCAGGCTTGACGAAATAGACCTTGTAATAGGCACTCAACTTGTGCTTCAAGTCGTCGTAGCTGTGTTTGGCGTCCAAGATGTTGAAAAAAGAAATCACAGTTGCATTGTTAGTGCCTACATTGCAATGAACGGCCTTGACATCACCGTGGACCTTGTTTGTAGGTAGGGATTGATTAGCTCACTTGCACGCAGTAAAGAAAAAAAAAAAAAAAAAAAAAAAGTTCGTAGAAACTTACTCTTTCCAGTTCATGCTTCAAGTGCATCGTCTTACTATAAGCAATCTTGTTCTTTGGCTCAAAAGCAATGTGTCTGTAGGCGCGATCTAGTATTTTGAAGTGGAGAATTGTTAAAGCCAGTAACAGTGGAATATGATTGTAATAGATCAAGTTTCAAATGAAATGATCGTGTACCTGAAGTGTGATCCTGAAGACTAAGCGACTTTTCAAAAAGACTTGGTAATTGCCATGGTTTACAGATAACATTACTGTTATTGTCGTAGTTTGCGGGAGGCAGTGGAAGCTTTGAATAGTGTAAGAAGGACATTCTTTAGTTTGAATTCAAGCAAATGAATCGCAAATCAAACGAGAATAAAGTTGAAGAATTAGGAATGTAGATTTGGATGAAACAACAAGAGGAAAACTGCGGTTAGCACAGCTATACTCTTTTGACCAAATGGATTTGCTTAAGAAAGAGAAAGAGAAGAAGGAGAGAAGAAAGAACAACAAAAAATCAGTGTCAATTATACTGAAAAACGCCTTGTTGTTTTCGGGTGATGTCTACATTTATTCACGTGCCAATTGGTTGACTTTTATGCTGATTATGCGCGTCTTTGATCTTGTTGCTGTTGTAACCAAAGGTCGAATGATGATATACTGCCTCCTCCTGTTCTTGCGGACGATGAGAAAAAATTGCTTCTGCCTATGGTTTGCAAGGAGGATGGGTGTTCCGCAGCAGCAGCGGTAGGATAGTGGAATGGCTGTTTGTTCCATGATGATGATTCCGAGATCATGGCCATATCTGCGAGAGGCAATCTCCTTGTAAAGACTTCGTTCGCTGCGCTGGTGGTCGAGTTCCAGGGCGTGGCATTGCTGCTGACGGGTGATTCGAATGAACTGCTTGTGGTTCCAGCCTCATAGCCGCTGGATCCACCTGCTGACGCTAATTGGCTCTTTTGGACAGTGTCTATGACCTTCATGTGGATGGCGTACAAATCTTTGACCAAAAAGTACATTTTATCAGACATGGCCCAGTACACTTTCATGCCCTATATAGATGGATAAACAAACAAACAATTAATTAACGATAAAAGATTCTCTCTGTCTCGTACCTCGAAAAACTTGTAGTACTCTTGCAGCGCTGTATCGCATCTCTTGCACTCTTCGGGATCCACACTAAAGCTGTTATTGACCATCACCGTGGCTGTTGTATAAGCAAAATAGATGGTGGAAGGCGGTATAATGTCAAAATGAGACAGCAGGTCCTTGAGCATGATGGTGACATTGTCAGCCGCAGCCAGACACTTTTCTTTACTTTGATGGACTTTATCCTGCATGGCCTGTGTCACTTGGCCCAATTTCGGCATATCCGCTAAAATCAGTGAAGGTCGATTGAGCAATACGATCAAAGTGTTGTGCAGCATGTGGGCCAGCACAAACTGTCCAGAATGAAATGTGTGCACTTGACGGAAATAGTCGAGATTAGCGGGCGAGTTCTTGAGTTGGTGAGGTAAGCGTGTCTCCCAGCTGTCCAGGGCGCGATTCAGCTCATCAAATTCAACATTGTTCTCCAAGCAGATCAGGTCCTTGAACCGTCTGTTGACAAAGCGTGCTATTCTACCCAGTAACACGTACAGCTCGTTGGTGCGTGATTCCAGCCCCACTTGACTAAACAGATGCGCGTCGCTTTTTAGTGTTGAGAGAGGAATTGGTGTCATTTGCACGCCAGTAACAATGCCCATGGGGTCACGGTGCACATTGTAGCGTACCAATTTAGTGCCATCCAAATTCTGCTGGTAGAATTCACCAGTGGATTCTAGGTTCAGCGAGCTGTTGTAAATGGGTAGCAGCACATCACTGTCCAAATAATCCATCATCTGCGGCTTGCCTGTCATGGAACTGCTCAGCTTGTCCTGTAGAAATGTATCCCAATAGAGCTTGCGCCTGTTTTCATACCAGAACCACCTTTCCACCGGCAGGATGCAGCCTGGACTCTCTTCGAACATCAGCTCCTTCTCCAAATTCATTTCAAACGCCATACGGATCGCCATGCCAGAATACATCCAACATCGCATACTACGCGCACATCCAAACTCATGCAAATTCAGTATCAATAGACCTTGGACATGCTCCATGGACGGTGCTTCTATCACTTGATTCAGCATGGATCTTGCTATCTCTGCAAACTTTTCTCCCGCCATCCACAGTGGCTGCTGCGCTATATCAGGCCGCTTTGAGAATCTACAAGATACGTTGGTTATCCAGCATGGCAAATGCTGCAAGTTTGATTCGTTTTTTTTTTTTACCTTGCTGCTACGGATAAGATGGCATACAATAGAAATGTGTTGCATGTTTTGTTGAGTATGTTTGCCTTGAATCCCTTGACATCAGCGATAGGTGATAATGTCTCAAAATGCATGAAATAGATGTCCACCAAGTGTTGAACGACATCCATTGCTGGCCATTCACACTTGGCATCAGGCGTTGGTTTCGGCAATGCCAATGCAGGTTGAGTAAGTGTGGTGGTATTGGTGGTATAGGTAGACTGTAATGATGGCGACTCTGCTGTTGTGCGTGCGGATGAGGCGGGACGTGGCAATGCTGACTTGTTTATCGGCTCCTCTACCATGGGTAAGGATGAAGGTGAAGCTTCTAGGACAGAGCTGCCTGTTGTAATCAGCTCTTCCATCTTTCGTAATCTCTGTTCGAGTAAATCAATGTGTCCTTGTCTGGGTCCTCTCTTCTTGACGACGTCAGTGTATGTACATTCTTGATGAAAACGTTCGCATTTGCCACATGTAGGCTTGACTCCATCACACTTGATCTTGTAATAGTTGGCACCTTGTTAAATCTATACGTCCCATTCGCAAAAAAAAAAAAAAAAAAAAAAAAAAAGACCTGCGTACAACGAACCTTTTTGCGTCGACACACATTGCAAGCCAATGCTAATCTTTTGCGTTTAACGGATCCTTCTTGCTGTTGTTGATATTCGGGTGAATCTGACATGTAAGAGAGAGAGAGGAATTTACCGAATAAAAAAAGAAGGGCATATCCCAATGTGCACACTATAAACTACGTCTCTATTGTGTGTGTATTAGTAAGGCGCGCGCACGCAACAATGTACACACACCAGAGGGAGATTAAACTATTGTGGTGCATTTTCCATTTGGTCAAACAAATCAGTTATTTAATTGCTTTACTCCTTTTATATTTCTTTATTTCTTTTTTTCTCGAAGAAAGCAACTGGAAACTGTATGCTAGTGATAGTAGCGTTGAATCAGTACTAGTTCCTGTATCATACATCACTTACATTCTCCATTTTCTGAACCTTTTTTTCTCCTCCCTTCCTCATCTCGAGTCTCGTCTCTATAACAACAGCAGTTACTATAGCAGCAGCACAAGCAAAGCATGTCCAACGCACTCTTGCTACGTCTCTTTACATCCGAATTCTTCAACTCGTGGATTGCAGTGTCGTACCTGTTTAGATACTCTGATAATGTAGGCATCCAGCACTATCTCTGCAATGAATTAAAGGGCTTTCCGATATCAGAAATTGAGTTCTTTTTACCGCAATTAATGTAAGTCATTTCAAATCAAGTCTTTCATATAGAGTACTCACCTGTATTGGATAGCCATCTCTTAATTACAAGACCTTCGGAATCAGTGGCGCTGGAATGTTTCCTGATTGAAATGTGTGAAAAGTCAACCCACATTGCACTCATGGTAATGTGTATTTGAAGAGAGGGAGGGAGTATCGCAACAGGCTCTAATTTGATTTAGTCTCTATGGTATCTACAAGCTTACCTCGCTGATCTGTCAACGCATCCTGCTAGTCCATCGTTCAACCTATGCAAGCGTCTATTGAACAGATCTCAAGCCATTGTGTTCTCTGAAGACAGCGACGATGACGACGATGATGAAGAGGCTGATCCCTCCAGATACAACACTGAAAAAGTGCATGAACATGCCTTACCGGCTCTTGTAGGCATGGGTGCCATGTTGCTCGGTATAGGACAACCTCTTATGACTAAACCAGCAGGTAGAATTGCAATTGCTCAGGGGCGCAGAAACAGGACATTCAGTACTACATCTTCCTCCAACACGACTGCATTGACACGAAGAAACACTACCGAGGACTCCTCCTCTTCTGCCACGTCTTCCTTATCTGCTACTGCTGCCAATAGCAAAGATCAACTCAAAGTGCCACTGCCATCATCAACGCATTCCAGCTACATCTCCACCTCGCAACCAGATCTTCCACTGCCCCACCACAGCAAAAAGAAGTTCAACCCATTCACAAGCTCTCCATCGTTGGAAGATCTGCACCGTGGCAAGGCATTTTCTGTGGGCCGGTACATCAAGAACGCACACCATAAATTAAACCGAAAAATGATGATGAGCGAGGAGAGGAAATCCACATCTTCATCCACCTCTTTGTCGGTATTCGATCCCGCCCTGACTGCACTCGGACAATCTTCAGTGCCAACCAATACAGCACCCTTATCGCCCGCTTTGTCGCAATGCTCGGCGGACATGGATATGGTAGTTACTTTGGACGAACAAGATTCGGATCAGGAACAGCAGAAACAACAACAAAAGGAGGAGCAACGAAAGCAAAAGCGCAAAAGCCGTCAATCCCTGTTACGTAGCAACTACTTTAGATCAGAGATGCAGTTTGTATTGGCTCTGGTGGACATTGCGACTCGATTAGTGATGGTGCCCAAGGAAGCCCGTATGAGTGCACTGCATGCTGAACTGACGCTACTGAACCACAACCTACCAGCAGAGATTTGTCTGCCATTATGGTGCCCTGCTACAGCGGAAAAGCCTCACCATCATCGCGTCGTTCGTATCAGTCCATCCGACGCCGTTGTACTCAACTCTGCTGAACGTGCTCCCTACTTGCTGATGATTGAAGTCTTGGATGATGAGATGAACTTTGAAAACGACGATTACAATTCTGCACTGTATCGCGCAGCGCGACGTAAGCATGCCAATCGCCAATCCATCATGAGTACATCCTCCTCCACAACGACGACGAGCAGTGTTTCCATGGCAACCCAGAACGAAGACGATAAAAGATCCATCACATCGACCACTGCACCTGTCAAAGTGACAGTACTCAATACAAATGACAGTAGTAGCCGACGCAACTCTAGATCAGCTGATGACTATGCTGAGCGTATGCGTACAGCAGCTGTCATGCTGGCCCAGTTACAACCACCCAACGCAACTGCACCTTACAAGCAGAATACAGAGCAGATCAGGCAACGTATTATCAAGGAAATGATTGCTTTGGAGGAGCAACGTATGCAAAAGATGAAGACGGAAGGTGTCAGCAGTGGTGTCGGCGGAGGAGGCGGTGAAGGTGCTGGTGGAGACATGTTGGAAGATGAACAACGTATTGCTTGGGTAGTCAACAAGGAGGATCCAAGTGCTGCTGTGCTATCAGAGGATTGGGAGACAAAGAAGGCTCGTTTGCGTCAAGCCTCGCCCTACGGCCATTTGCCAAATTGGAGACTCATGTCCGTCATTGTAAAGCAAGGTGCTGATCTTCGCCAAGAGCAATTTGCCATCCAGTTGATTAGAGAAATGCAACGTATTTGGGAGGACACCAGTGTGGATGTGTGGGTAAAATAGTAAGTAGCCAGGCGGATTAGGAAAAAAGGTTAATGTGTATGTACTAATGAAAGCCGCGCCTAGTTTCCGAGTGTTGGTTACATCAGATTCGTCTGGATTGATTGAAACACTCAGAAACACAATCTCGATCCATTCGATCAAGAAAGATGCCTATACAAGAGGATGGAATGAACAGGGAGCAGTGTTTACTTTGTACGATTATTTTGAAAAGGTAAGATAAGTGGGTTTGAATAACGCATACGGACAAAATGGCTTACAATACAACATAGCTTTGGGGTCCTCCTGATTCAGATGATTTTATAAAGGCGCAGGACGCTTTCATGCGTAGTTTGGCAGGCTACTCTGTTGCTTGTTACGTGTTGCAGATCAAAGATAGACACAATGGCAATCTACTGATTGATGAAGCTGGTCATTTGATTCACATTGATTTTGGTTTTATGCTCTCCAATTCACCTGGTTCTGTCGGCTTTGAAATGGCACCCTTCAAACTACCACAAGAATACATTGACATCTTGGGCGGTGTACATGGAGAAAAGTTTGCTGAATACAAGGCCTTAATGAAGGCAGCGTTTTTGGCCGTACGCAAACACAGTGAAAACATTTTGTTGTTGACTGAAATGATGAGCAAGGATTCCAAGTTGCCTTGCTTCCAGAATGGTGATATGACTGTGCCTCAGTTACGGGACCGATTCCAGTTGCAATTAACAGAGCCTCAGGCAGAAGAGTTTGTGGACAAGTTGATTATGAGTAGCTGCTGTAACGTGTTTACACGACTGTATGATACGTTCCAGTACTATTCTCAAGTAAGTGCATAGCTGGCCTCTATGAATGACTTGCGTATTCACTAGAATTTGATACGTTTATAGGGAATTTTGTAGATTTTTTTGCTGCTTGTTATACGTTTGTTTAATTTATTACTGCAATACCCTTTCTCTTTTCAATAATATAATCATCCTTCCATTCCTCGCTATAAGTTATGTTTAATAGACATATACTAGACTTCCATTCAACATTCAATTGCCTTGTAAGAAAGAGCCACATTTGTTATGCATAATTGAAAAATGTCAATTGTGGGCTTTCTATCTATATAGCTTTTATACAATATCAGTAGGCAAAAAAAAAAAGCTTTTATTTACTACGGTCTAATAATGGATTGATTCACCGTGGTTTTATGCACCGATGTGTTGCTAACACTGAAAAGCCGTCTTTATTACTCTATCAATAGACTCCCAAAAATTGGTTATAACATAAATATATTTGTAAATTTTATTACTGAAAACCATCTTCATTTTATAGCATTGATCTTTATCATTCCGCTCAGTACATTCAAGCTCTCCGCCAATCAAATCGCTCTAAATCGCTTGAAAACTCCGCTGACCTAAAAAAAAATTTGCGAGGGTTTCCCCCTGTTTTGATGTGAGGCAAAATTTTAAGCGCCGCTATAATAGCAGTATAGCCGCTGCTATCATCAAACTTCCCCCAAGTACTAGAGCATGCCTTACTTACACCACCTAGCTTTAGATTCTGGCGTTGAGACTCTCAATCATCACTAAAGTAAGTAGCGATAACCAAGTGGAGGCAGCCTATCTACCTCCTAGCCTCGGATAAAGTCTTGTTGAGCTTCAGGGATAGGCACATCCACCACAACGAAAAAAAAGGTATGCTTCAAAGAAACATGATAATAATAAAAGAAAAGAACATACTACAATAGGAGTAGAGTAGTACGTAGGCAAAAAAGGGATACTCACACAAAGTGAATCAAAGAAAAGTATAAAAAAATACAACATCAGAGAAGTTCAGAACATCTCGTTGTTGTTGCAACAAAAATCAATGCATGAGCAACATGCATGGCAATAGTCGGATGTAAAGCAACACAACCAACAAAAGAAGAAGAAAAGCGTAACAAAGTAAACATCATGAATGCATTATCATGACAAAGGAAGCAATAATACAAGCGTTCAAAGAAGTTTTATATCATTGCGACCAGAAGAAAGAAGATACTTACCACTTACCACCACTACAGATAGACCAGAGGATACGCAATCACCGAATATAGACCAGAGAACTAGCATGAATCAAAGACAGTAGACCAGAAAAGACCAGATTAGCAGCAGCAACACCAGTACCATAGACAAACTAAAGGACAAACGCCATTAGCAGAGACCAGACAAAGGCCAAAGAAGATACTTACCACTTGTCACCTCCACAGATAGACCAGATACTACGCAATCACCAGGTATGAACCAGAGAACGAGCATGCACCAAATACAGTAGATCAGGAAAGACCAGATTAGTAGCAGCAGCAGCAACAGCAGCAGAAGCGCCATAGAAAAACCAAACAAACGACACCAGAGATCAGAGAAAGACCAACGAAGCAATCACCAGAGTTAAACCAGAGGACAATCATGCACCAAATACAGTAGACCAGAAAAGACCATGTTAGCAGCAAAAGCAGCAGCAGCAACACCAGCATCATAGAAAAACTAAAGAATGAACGCCATCAGCAGAGACCAGACAAAGACAAAAGAAGTTACTTACCTCTTATCACCACCACAGGTAGACCATAAGAGTATAGACAATCACCAGATATAAACCAAAGAATGAGTATGCAGCAAAGAGAATAGAGCAGGAAAGACCATATTAGCAGCAACGGCAGCAACACCAGCTCCATAGAAAAACCAGAGAACGAACGACACCAGAGACCAGACAAAGACCGGAGAAGCAACCACTAGTAGATATGATAAGCCAAAGACGCAGACAGCAGAGACAGCAGAAAAGGAATGGCAGCAGCACCCACGTCAGACAGGCAAAAAAAATTATCAAAACCTAATAAACAAACTCAATTAATGTTAATTCTACGCCTTCCAGTGCTCGTTATCGAATGGTATCTAATATATCCCATTTCAAAGAAGCAGTATTAAGTTCTTCCTACAGTACAAGGCAGAGTTGTCGGAAGATAGAGTGTTATTATCAAACAAACGGTGTCCAAAACAACCATGGTTTGATACTAAAACACGTTTTGCAAAAAAGGGTAAAAAAACGGGGTTACGGAAAAATGAGAGGGCACCCTATCCGACGTCACGACCAGCAGATTTGGTCTCAGTCGTCTTGTACCGTAGCAGCCGTAACTGCGGCAGTTTAATCTGAAATTGTGCAGTGGTATTTTCGTGTTCAAACTTGACTTGATCTCACATCCTTTAAACGTTTTTGCTAAATTCGACTATGAAAACTCTTGTTATTACACACAACTTTCTAATACAACTCTAGAGAACTAAAGAAGCGGCATCAAATGGTGCTAATTACTCTCAGCTTTCAGACCAAAAATAATGAGCAATTTCCAAAAACATTAAAACAAGTTTTCTGTGGATATGTCAAAATTTAGCATATGAAAGCCTCATAGAAAGAGTTTCCAATGTTGCATTTCATCTTTACGATTAATTTGACCTAATATGTATCATAGAAAAAGTCTTCACTTTTGACGTGAAAAACGCGATCGTTTGATTCTCAAGAATTTTCCCTTGCTAATACTCATGGAAAAACGATAATTTTCATGAATTTGCAATGTCCCAAAAAAAATTGAGATAAAGCATCAAGAAGTAAAGCGTGGTCAAGAGGAGATGTGTGGTGCTATTCCAAGCGCTCAAAAAGCTTTATGGCATGAGTTATTCGTGCTTGAAAATGACTAAGTTTGCACAGAATTCGAACTAAAACGACGGCGTAGTGGGTTGCGTTACCAGAAGAATAAGTTACACTTCTGTCTGATAACTCAGATGCTGTGTATTGTACATTATAAAAATCTCTAGTATCAACCCAAGGCGTGGAAAAGCTGTCCGCCCTTCGTGGTGAAGAGATGCCCATTATTATGGCTCAAAACCTTTGCCAAACAACCATAATGTTGCATACAAGCATGGCTTGATACTTGACGTTAATAGGTACTTGACATGATAAGGTTGCATAAAGCTTGGCATGACATAGTGATTACTAATAATGACTAATTGATTACTAATGATTATCAACTAGCACTCCTTGTGGAATTTGAGGCTTGATAGACTAAAATTCACGGAAAAAAAAGAATAAAAAAACAGTAATGTCAACTTGATAAAGGTATGTTTTATTATCAAACTGACAGGTGTAAAGTAAAACTGAAGTCTCTCTACTGGCCAGGTAGATGATCCTTCTTATATACTATAACAATGGATAAAAGTTCTATTAATTAGATTAAAAAATAAGTCAACTCAGATCAACTAATGTCTAATCATGCTAAAAGACAACTCCAGCAAGCTAATCATTATTCAGCTTTGCCTGGATGAATATTTAGACTGTTATCCGAAGTACCCTGATCTATCCTTTCTACAGTGCGCGAAAAAAAACGTTCCAGTGTTTTGCCAAATTGCACTTATAGCCAGTTTTCTCTGCAAATATCAAAGCTACTGGGGTTTGCTTAGTTTCGTAAATAGCCTAAGTAGTTGGCTATTAGATGATATATTATGCACTTTATTCACGTAATTAGAAAAAGAATGGTAGCCTCATGAAAAGTGAAAAGTCGAATTTATTAAATCTTATAAAAAAGCTCAATATTTAGTTGGACCACCTTTACTCTTGATAACCGCTTTGATTCGGCGTGGCATGCTGCCTATGTATTTAAGACAGTCTTCTTTTGTGAATTTATAACATTCCTGTTCAATTCTGTCTTCTAACTCAGAAATGCTGGCGGCCCTAGTAGGGTACTTGTTCAAACGACGTTTTAGTTGATGCCAGACATGTTCAATGGGGTTTAGGTCAGGGCTTTGGGGGGAGGCCAATAAAGAACATTTTGAACAGAGAATCCGTGATGCGTGAACTATTTTTTAATGGGACCAGAAGTATGTGGTCTTGCGTTATCTTGCTGGAATCTAAACGTTTTCTTGTCCAGCCCACAGTACTCGATAGTGTCTAGCAAAGATGAGTCCAGAATTTCAGCATAAACTTCTGAGTTAACAGTTTCTTCGGTAATGGTGGAACCATAGGTGGGTTCCTCCGCTGTTATCATGCCCCAGAAAACAACGCCACCACCATCTCCCTGAAATTGAGCCTCAGTTTGATGAGGCATCAACTCAGTGGGCCTGTCAGTCCAGTAGAAAGATTCGCCGTCAGATCCCCACATGTTGACCCTGGTTTCATCGGAAAATCCCCATTTACGCCAATCGTCCGCAGTCAAATGTCGATGTCTCTTGGCCCACACAAGACGTTTTTTCCGGTTCTCCGCAGACACGAAATTGGTCTTTACCTTTCTTTTAGCCTTGGACCCTTTGCGCTTGAGTATATACTGTATATTCCTCAAAGTCATCTGAACTCCCATATGAGCAAGGTAGCACTGCACACCCTTGGGGCCGTCTAAATTACCATTGCGGAGATCCCTCTCAATGTAGTTCATATTCTGCGTATTGATTTTGCTGCGTCTTCCGGGTTTGGCATGTTTTGAATGACCAAGAAACTTCTTCCTATAGCGAGAAAGTACACTGACGGACAAATTTGGGAAGATTTTTTGAATGGCACGGAGGGAACAACCTTGGTTGAAAAGAGCCTTGACAGATCCTTGAACCTCCTGAGGAATGGGACGTGTCATGTTAAAAAAAGTGATGAAGTAAAGATGATAAAATATAATGAGGGAAAAGACCAAAATCTCAGGCTTCTTTATACTTTTTTAAGCATTCCTCGGATAACTAACATTTTAAACATTATTGATATAAAAAATTACGGCTCTCAGATTATTTTGGTGGAATGTATAGAAACAATAAGGCCATCAAGCGATATTTCCAATTTTACAAAATCGAAATTTTTTACTTTACGTCAGTTGCACTTGCTTAATATCTACTGTATCAATTATTTTAGTAGCTCATTTTGTGGCTAAAAACTCAAGCTTTCGTAGTCTTACTTTAGTTTTAAAACTGGAAAAAATTGACAGCGCTGTAAGTGTAAAACTACGAATTGGCAAAACACTGGAACGTTTTTTTCGCGCACTGTATAAGGATAATTAATATCGATCTAGTAGCATGTATTCGATAAGTACAGTCTATTTTGTCTATATCAATAGTACATAATATCTGAGTGTATATCGCTGAGCATACATCTTTAGCATGTATCTGGATATATAGCATGTCTATAGCATATCTCATATATAGTACAAGTCTTTAGTATATAATGTATCTTGATGTATCTTTTCTAAACCGGATCTCCAAATGCGCAGAAACAATCAGTTCAAGCACCAATCACATCAGATCATAAACTTTGACATGAAACAGGATTCAGTTACGATCCTTATCATGGCATGTTCATGATAATAGATTGGATCTATTATCCTCTCACCCAAATCGACTTATCTAATACTTTATCCTCATATCAAATCCCTCAATTCGAATAGTATATAAACCCTCTTATTTCCAATGTAATAAACGATATTCTTTACCTGATTAATTTCATATTCTTTGTTATATCAAATGCTATAGCAAGGTCTCACACTAAAGGTTTTAGGCTATTCTTAGGTCCTTTGGTTAAATCATGCTAATCATGATTTACAAATCAATTGTTGGGTAGATAGTAAACCTATTTGTATTATAGTTTATCATCATGCTGTAAACCCTAGCATAATGAAAAAGTATATAAATGCATCCTTGGGACGCATTCTCAATAAAAGTGTAATTCTTTGGCAGATTCAATTTTACATTGTATTTTGACATAACACTTTTTTGAATCCTATAAATTTTTTACACTTGCTACTATGAATAACGCAAACCCTACTACAGTTTTTGCTGGAGCTGGTGTTGATTATCGCTCTGCATCGGGAGATGCAAGTTTTGGTTCTGGTTCATCTTTGTCGTCTCTACAAAATGAACATAGCAATGCATTGAGCAATGATGCTCTGCATAATGGTATTGATGCTTGTAGCGAAGACGCTCGCATTGATCAGGCATTGAGCGATGACGCTCTGTCAACTCTTGATAATGATACTATTATGAATGATAGTGGTGAGCTATTGGAATTTGATTTCGATAGTGAGATCCAACCCTTGGGAATGGATCATCAGGCTAGCATGACCAGGGACATCAAGATGTTGAGGAGAAGGCTTTTTGAGGCTACAAGGCTGTCTATCACTATGCCTGAGAATGGCACGCTTGCATCCAATGCTGGGGCCATGAAACGCCAATTGATGATGGCTAAGGAAAACTACGATTTGTTGTTTGATGATACTCCAATGCTCTCCCCATCTATGGCCTATTCCAATGCTGGTAATAGTGTAGTACCTCCAGATACGCCATATATTCAGTGGAAAGGGCACAAGTTTAACAACAAGTTTCTCTACCCTACCATGGATGCATGCCTTCAACAATTCCAGGATGTACTGGAGTCTCGTGGTGTGTCGATCGAAGCAAACTGGAAGAGAATTATTAAGCCGAAAATGTCCACGGGTATGTCTGCCTGGACAAGAGAAATCATACAAAAGTATCCCGAAATTACTTGGGGCCAGTTCAAGAGCAAGCTCAAGGTGAAATATAGCCCTTCGGAAGCAGAAGAAAGAAAAGCTGCACTCAATAAGCTAAAGACGCTTAAATTGGACAACTGTGACGATCTAGAAGACTTCATTGACAGGTTTAACTCCTTGAAGGACTTAGCGGGAGTCAAGGAAAATACGTCTCTTGTAGACTATCTGCTTCGTGGTCTGGATATCGACTTGTATGGACCGGTGTCTATGGGCATTTCACAAGCCCGTTCCAAGGGAAGCTGCAGTGAAATCAGGTTTAAATAGATTTCACAAAAAAAATAAAGCAATAGTAAAATACAATAGAAATCAACTGTATTTTATTTTGTGTATAAAATGAACTGAAGATCCTGGAATTGAGTAAAAAAAAAGAAGAGTATTTATACATTTGCCTCTAGCTTGTAGGATTATTAGTGATGATAGAGAGCAATAGGTGCTGCTATTGCGATATCTGGCAAATGTTGATGTTTGATTTAAAGTGGTAATCAATGCAAGAGCACTGGCCATAAGGGTCGATTTGAGTAACCTTGATGGGCTTGGGTGAGCTATCGTCATAGCATGATTTAATGTAACCTTGATGGTTTAAAGTGTGATGTTTGTTATTGAAGTATGGAATCCTTTATCTGGAATATTGTGCAACTATGGCAGCAGGGCATAGTTGTCATATTTGAATATGCTTGTTATTGATTTGATTTTATTTGGATAAAGATACCATCACTTATTAGGACCATCATGGGTGTGATTGAATACACTGTGATCAGGAGTGATTCATTCACACGATGTGCGATATAAGCATGCATCTTTACATTAGTATGTTTAAATGGTTGTTGATGTACATTTGAGCGATTTTATTAATAGATCCAAAGAGCATGAATTTAAATGAGTGCTATTTGATGAATTTTGGTTTTCAATTAAGTTGCGTTTGGGTGGCTATTTCATTACAGAGGCGACACTTTGAATTTTGCTATCTCACAGTTGCGCAGTGCCTACGATTTGTTGAGAAGAGATAATTATTATAGGCAGGAAAAGCAGAGAAAGGATGCTGAACTGAACAATAAGATCAAGGATACGATCAAGGCACATCAGCGTGCTGAGGGCTCTGCTTCGTTGAACAACAAGAAAACTCGTCGTGCTGGTCGCCACCATGACAAGCAATCAAGAATGAGGAATGATAGTCCTGGTGAAGTACTTAAATGTTATGATTGTGGTTTCACACCATTTACGTATGCGCATAAGGCATTATGCAAAAAGAACCCTAAAAATATCAAAAAGATAACAAAGAAGAAGAGCAAGTTGATTGTGCCAAGACCTGCTTCCAATGATGATACTGATTCGTCATCCTCTGATGATGAGGAAAGTGATCAAACTTTTGCTGTTGCCACAATTTCTACAAAGGACAAGCAAAAGGAGGAAGTCGTATCCATGGATACTGATAGTGAATGCAAGCATTTGAATAATGAATATTTCAAAAAGATGCCTAGTAATAACATGGACACTAATGGACTTCTTTATCTACCTGTGATATTAGAATCAAAGAGTGGTGTTAAGGTTAACACATGGTTTTTGTTGGACACTGGTTGTACATTTAATGCAATCTCGCCCAAGTTACTTGATTTCATGCAATTAAATGTTGTAAATAAAAATGGTACTATTAAGCTGGCTCAAAGTAACACTGTTGTTAATCGTAAAGGACAAACTGAAGAGGAACTAAAGATTAATTATGGTTCCAAATTTGTCTATTCCAAATTTGAAGTTTTTGACTTATTTGATGATGTCCATTGCGTGTTTGGCATGGATCTATTGTATAAAGTTGGTATTACATTGGGTGATATTGCCGCAGATTGGTCTGATCGAATTGGATATAAGATTCCTGATATTAAACCCAATCCATACAAACCAAATGAGGATCCTTATGGATGTAAGGAAGAGCGTCAATTGATGATGAATGAACTATGTTGTGCCAGAAGGGCTACAACTGTCTATAAAGATTAAGGTATTCTTGATGGGTAGATATGTCTGTGTTGTGCAACAACATGGACAAGCTATGATAAGTGAAGTGCATCTCAGCTATCTAAATACTGAGGTTCACCAGATGTGATAAGCGTTGTACAAGATAAATTGCTACTTTGGCATTCAGAACTTAGTATAAATAGAATAACTCTTGTCTTCATCAATAAATCATTAGTTTTTGTGTCTGATCTTATTCAAATAAGTCTTTTCTTGTTTTTATAATATCGAACATTTTTTATAAGCTACAAATAATAATCCTTTTATTCTTTGTGCTTAACATTTTTTAAGATCGTGTAAATCAGAATCTTCCAGATTTTAACCTACCTATCTAATTTAAACCGAAAATATGACTATGAATGATTCTACTGTGTCTCCTGCAGAACAGAACAAGAGTTCAGATGTTCAAGCTGTTGGAAGCGAGCTTTCATACGGAGGAGCTGTAGAGCGACTTCGTCAGGAGGTTCATGGGTTGATCGCTGAAGTTGCGAACAGTGGGGACAAGTCGGACGAAGAGGTCGACGCTTTGAAGGCTGCCCTGTCAAAGAAGTGCTCTAACTTGGAGGCTATAGAGAAAGCTCTCTCTATGGTCACACCTAACCAGAGTCCTTCCCAAGTAACAGTGGTTAGTCAAGGTGCGGCTAATAGTTCAACTGTACCTGATGATCTTCCTTTGTTTCAATGGTTTGGACGTGTCAAAGATGAAAAAAAGGAAGTTTTTGCCAACATTGAGGAGTGTTGTCGCCGGTTTTCCGATAAGTTGAGCAGTTGCACGCTTGATCTTGACGAACACTGGTATCGTTTGCTTCCTCCTTGTCTTCCCGGCGATCTTCGCAATTGGCTTGATGAGTTTGTGAAAGCATCTGGCTCCACTGTGTCTTGGGCTACCTTGAAGGGAGCTATCATCGGTCGTTTTGGTACACCAAAAGAACAGCTCAGATTCGAAAGAATTAGGGAGTTTCTTCGTTGTACTAAAGGAAACGAAGAATCCGTTGATGGTTTCGTAGAGCGGTTTAAGACGTTGAGAAATAGAGCTGACATCAGTGATAAGGGTGTCGTAGCGATGGTGTTTTTTGACGCTTTCCCCAAGGTTACCGCTAGGTTGCTAATGGTTGCTATGAGTCAGGCACCAGAATCGTCATTTTATGACATTGATTATGTGTCCTCTCTCGTGCGCAAGATGGATATGATGGCTATTGAGACGGGTCAAGAATCTTTGGGCTCTGTTTTTGATGGAAGAAAACGCGCTGCTGACATACCTGTTTCGAACGAAGCAAAGAAGTCTCGGTACGCACCTTCTTCTAGTGGAAACGCTTTTCAAAGTAGCTCTTCGTCGAGATCCAATGGTCCCTCGTCCAACTCTCCACGTTCTAGTGCTAATCGTTTTGGCAAAACATTTGCTGAACATGTTGCTGAAGGGACTTGCTCCAAATGTAACGGTCCTCGACCAAAGGGGCAGATGCATCACTGCAACACTGCTATTCGTACTGGTGGTGGTAACACCCATCAGGGCAATGGTGTTAAAAAAGTTTTGCGTGCCATGACTAAGAAACGTGGTGGCAAACATTCGATGGATGCTGCAATCCAAGCTGCTTTTCTCTCTGCTCGTGTCGATCGTGCGTTAGCTGAGAAAGGTGCTTCTTCCCCTGCTGTCTCCTCTGCTGAACAATCGGTGGATGATGTTGTCCTTGCTCCTTCTTCTGGTGGTAGTGACAATGTTGATGTTGACCAAGATGCTGTGATGAGTGAAGCTCATGGTATCTTTGAGGATACTGACCTGGTGAATCGTGCCCAGTCTATTCTTCTTGAAAAAGAGATGAGTAGCATGTCTGTGGACGACGATACGCTACAAAATATATTTGCTCAGCAATGTAAGTTCGATGCTAGATTTAGTGCTCCACCTACTATGACCACCAATGCTATTTGTGTTCCTATTGTGGTTCAAAATGTCATTTGCTTTGGCTTAGTGGATACGGGTGCTACGTTTTCGTGCGTCACTGACAAGTTCTTTCAATTCTTAGGAGGAACCTCTCTTGCTGGATTTGAGGCTAATGATGATGATGAGAGCTTTGTTCAAATGGCTCATGAAGTAACGACTGTGCCTAGAATAGGTGCGGTACGTTTGCACATTAGCTACAATAAATCAAATAAAAACCATTTGTTTGAAGTATTTCCATTCTATTCTGAGGAAAACGTACCTGTATTGCTTGGTATGGATATTTTGTCCAAGCTTGGCATTGGTCTTACGGGCTTGGTGAGTCAACATGGCTTTCAATCAGGTCCTCGTGTACCAGATCCTATTGATGATGGTATTACTCCAAACGCACATCCTTTTGGTAGTGAGGAAGAGAGACAACCGTTTCTACTTGCACTAAAGGGGTTATTAGAAGAGAATTCGCGCATTGATATGAAGAATACTCAGTGTAATCTGCCGGATTCGATTATTAAGCTTGATACTAAACCAGGTGCTGTCGCTTGGCGAGCTCAATATCCTTTGCCTGAAGCTTATCGTGATGCTGTTGCCAAACAAATTCAGATATGGCTTGATGAGGGTGTTGTTGAAAGATCTGCTAGTCATACACGTTTCAATCATCCATTGTTGGTTGTAAAGAAAAAGGACGCTGATGGTAATTACACAATGTCTAAGCCTAGAGTGGTGTGTGACGTTCGTAAGTTGAATGCTATCTTGGAAGTGGATGACAAACAACAGTTACCTTTGATCTCTCATATCCATCAGAGCATTGGTACGAAAATGATTCATACTTGTCTCGATATCCATGCTTGCTTTACTAGCTTTGGCTTGGATCCAGAGCAAGCTCATAAAGTTTCATTTACTTGTCCCTTCACGAATATCCAATACACCCATAAAAAGGCTGCTTATGGAATTCGCCATGTCGGATCGGTGGTTGTACGCACATTGCAAACACTGCTCTCTGATTTGAATACAAGCTCTAGTTCTACTTCGTTTCCTACTGATGGTGATCACTCGGTTTCCTGCTATGTGGATGACATCTTATGCAGTAGTAATGGGAGCCTACAAGATCACTATGCGTTGGTTGCTGAGGTAATTCGTCGTTTAACCGATGCTAATTTGGTGCTCAATCCTGAGAAAGTCGTCTTCGCTCAGCGTAGTATTTATCTCTTGGGATGGAGTGTTATTAATGGTAAATTACTGCCTGACGGTAGAAAACTTACCAACATTGCAGATTGGCCGGCTATTACCACTGGTCGTCAATTGGCATCTTTCTTGGGTTTAATGTCGTACTTTCGTGCTGCCATTCCATGTTATTCTCGTCTGACTCGAGATCTTGATAGCTTGAAACAGTACAAAGATCTAACAGATGTTTGGAATGAGTCTCATACAAAAGCGATTGCCGACTTGAAGGATGCACTTACGATGGCACTTGTGCTGTCACCTCCTGATTTTTCGATTCGATTTCACTTGGCTACTGATGCTAGTTTAACTGCTCTTGGCGCGGTTTTATATCAAGTGGTCAACGATGAAATTCGATATGTAGGTCTCGTATCTCGTAAATTGTCTGTTTCTGAGCGTAACTACAGTACTACGAAAAGGGAATTGCTAGGGATTTGCTATGCCTTGGTTAAGTTTCATCGTTTTCTGTATATGCGAGAGTTTACCTTACATACGGACCATAAGAGTCTGATCTACTTGAATACACAGGAAGTCCCCAATGCACTCATGCTTGGATGGTGGGAGACCATTTTTTCTTATACTTTCGATATTGTGCATTTGCCCGGTGTCCTTAACGTAATTCCTGATGCTTTATCTCGACTTTACGAAGATTCGGATGCTGATGCTTCAGCACGACATCTTCTGGGGGGCAGGTACTATGCTGATGGTGGTGAAAGTGTAAAAAGAAAGAAAAAGGGTTCCAAAAACAAACTCAAGGTTGTCACACCTTCGCCTCCAATGAAACGTACTTTGGTCAAGACAACTAAGGCGTTACGATCTAATTCTTTTAGCAACCATGCACGCACTGCGGTAAACGCTACTCTTATCAAAGATGGCACCACCACAGCTGTCTCGCAAAAGCAAAAGGAATTCATATTGCGTACGCTTAGGTTTGCTGACTATATCACTCCTCCTGCTAATGAAAGAGACAATATGATCATTGCTCAGCATCTGGTTGGACATTTTGGGATCAAACATGTTGAAACTGCAATTCATCATGAAGGGTTTCACTGGGTGAACATTCGGAAAGACATAGAAAGAATATTAGCTGATTGTGACGAGTGTAACAGGTACAATATCGCTAGAGAGGGATATCATCCTTTCCGTAGTGTCAATGCCGCCCAACCTTTGGATCATTGGTGCATGGATCTCGGTGATATGGGTGTTACTAGCTCTTTCGGCAGCAACTTTCTATTTGTCCTTACTGATTACTTTACGAGATTTACTGTGATAAGATGCATTCCAGACAAGAAGGCTACGACAATTGCCAGGGAAATGCTTCAAGTTTTCTCACTTTTTGGATGGCCAATCAAGTTGACTTCAGACAGAGGCCTGGAATGGATAAATGAGGTGGTCCGTGCTATGATGGACATCAGTGGGATAGACCATCGCCTGTCATTAGGGTACAATCCATTGGGTAACTCGGTTTCTGAGTCATTTATCAAAATATGTAAGTTAACGACTATCAAGTTGTTAAAAGGTAAGAGGGATCAATGGGAGCACTTCATTCCGTGGGTGAATTACTGCATCAATGTCAAGTATGCTCGGCTACATAAATCTCGTCCGTATACACTTTTGTTTAATCGTCAACCAAATGGTCTGGCTGATTACTCAAAGGTGGACTATTCCAAACGTTTGGAGAAAGCTGATAACAGACTCATTGACAAACGATACCGTTTTGTACAAGATGTTCTTATCCCGGCTATTTCTAAGCGTATTGTGGATACACAAAATGCTGATCATGCTAACTTTGCGAAGAAACATAAGGTCATTGCCGAACCCTATCCTATTGGTAGTAAAGTTATGATTAAAAATGTTCATCGTCAAAATAAGTTAGATGAACGGTATGAAGGACCTTATTTGATTCATAGTATAACCGATAAAGGTTCCTATGTGCTGGCTGACAAGACGGGTGCACTCCTTAGTCGAGATGTGCCTACCCATCATATCAAGTACCAAGTCGCTGCGAATCCTCAGCCAATCACAATTGATGAATTCTCTGCAGAGCATTACGAAATTCAAGCTGTGATTGATCATAGAGGATCTCCTGGTAACTATGAGTATAAGGTAAAATGGAAAGGGTTCGATGATCCTAGTGAAGATACTTGGGAGCCTGTGAAAAACTTTGATTCGGCCAAACACATTGAGCTGTATTGGGCTCGAAGAGAAGGTGCAAAGGCTGCTGGTAAACGTAGGTTAGCTCCTCAAACAGTTAACTGGCGAACTACTACTACTCGCGAAATTGGTCAGAGTGGTAGATCAAACAGGTCTTAAATGGCTACTAGCATGATGGGATCAAGTCTTTTCCTTACATTTTTGTCCTATGAAAGGTTTTTACACAAGGTTTTTACTGACTGATCTCGGATGCAGTGTCATTTGGTAATTATTTATTGGAAAGTGCTTTATGTGCTATATTGTCATGATGTTTTGTAATCTGGGATTACGAAATGTCCACAAGAAGTACCTGAATCTGGGGGGGCAATGTTGTGCCAGAAGGGCTACAACTGTCTATAAAGATTAAGGTATTCTTGATGGGTAGATATGTCTGTGTTGTGCAACAACATGGACAAGCTATGATAAGTGAAGTGCATCTCAGCTATCTAAATACTGAGGTTCACCAGATGTGATAAGCGTTGTACAAGATAAATTGCTACTTTGGCATTCAGAACTTAGTATAAATAGAATAACTCTTGTCTTCATCAATAAATCATTAGTTTTTGTGTCTGATCTTATTCAAATAAGTCTTTTCTTGTTTTTATAATATCGAACATTTTTTATAAGCTACAAATAATAATCCTTTTATTCTTTGTGCTTAACAAACTACAGCCATTCATTGATGCAAACACTAGTATCAGCCCTAAAGCAGATTGTAATTTGCCTGATAGCGAAATTAGATTGCCTGTAAAGAAGGATACTCCACTTTCGGACACATATCGAAGACAATTTCCAATTGCTGAAGCAATGCGACCTGTGATCCAAAAGCGAATTGAGAAATGGTGTGAAAATGGTGTGATCAAACGAGCTAAACCTAATACACCTCATAACTCTCCCATTTTCACTGTGCGCAAGAAGAACAGTGAGGGCGAATACACTGGTAAAGAGCACCGTGTAGTGATTGATTGTCGGTTGATTAATAATGCATTGGATCCAGAGAAGCTTGAACGTTTCCCATTGCCTTTGATAAGTGATTTACATCGTAAAATGTCGAAGCATTCCCTCTATACGGTAATCGACCTATCGCAATGTTTCCATGCATTTAAGGTAGCTAAGGCATCAAGACCTTATTTAACGTTTACCGACATGAATGGACTGACGTGGTCCTTCTCTCACTGCCCTTACGGATTAACTATGGTCTCATCTCATGCCCAGAAAATTCTTTCTAATTTGCTGGCTGATCTAAGTGATGTCTGTACACATTTCATCGACGATGTCACGATCCATACTGAAAACGACCTACAAAAGCATACAGAGGTTGTCAAAACAGTTATTGATCGTTTGACTAGAGCTAACTTACGTATCAACACGGAAAAGATGCATATTGCACAAAAGAGCATCTATATTTTGGGTTTCTGCCTATCTAGTAATGGACTAGCACTCGATCCACGAAAGGTTTCCAACGTATTGGATTGGGATCCTGTCGTAAAGAGTAGTCGTGAGCTGATGTCTCGCCTTGGATTGATCAATTTCTTTCGATCCAATTTACCTTGCTTGTCAAGATTGACAGCCCCATTAGATAAGCTTCGAAACGCACATGATATAACCAAAGTATGGAAGCCGGAACACACTGCATTGATGAAGCAATTGCAAGAATTGTTAGTCAGTTCAGCAGTGTTGAGTGTGCCCAACTTAAATTATCCCATATGTGTTGTAACGGATAGCTCTGCATATGCAATTGGTGCTGCAATGTATCAAGTAATCAATAATAAAGTCAAGTATCTTGGTTTCATTGCACGCAGTTTGGGACCGTCAGAGCAACGATGGGGAAGCTCCAAACGTGAATTAGCTGCTGTTGTGTACGCATTCAAAAAGTTCCATCAATGGTTGTATGGACGCCCATTTCATTTGTTTGTAGATAATCGTGGTATTTTGTTCTTACATACAAAACCTAAATTGGATAGAATGGTTGAGAACTACTATGATACTATCTTTGAAATGGATTTCGATATTACGTTTTGCAGTGGTATTAACAATATATTGGCGGATACATTGTCGCGTCTTTTCTGGCCATACAATACGCTGGTGGAGAGTGGTAATACACGTTCCATCAGGGATATCGACAGGGAGATATTGATTAAACAGGATATTGTTAAGCAAAAGGGTAATAATAAGAAGAGAAAGAATACTCATGATGATGAGGTAGTAGCAGCTACTAAGAACAAGAAGCAAAGAGTACTGAATGAAGAGGAAAAGGGGAAAAAAGATATCAAGGGAGCACAAGATAAGAACACAGTTTTATCATGTGAGTCTTCCGGCATCTCCAATTCCAGTAAAGTAATCATTCCAAATAAGACTTCTGATCTATTTAATAACTCTAAGTTGACAGCGTATGCGAATTCATTGAAAAGAAAGAATGAAGATTTTTACTTTTGCGTCAGTCATTTAGATGTTTATCAAACGCCTACAACTGACGAAGAGAAACAGAGCATATTAGAAAAATCTCATCTGCTAGGCCATTTCGGTATACATGCTATGGAGCAAGTAATACACCAAGATTTGAACATGCATTGGAAAGGGTTAAGGGAGGATATAAACCAGTACATCCGTAATTGCCATAAATACAGACAGTTCAATCTAGCAAAGCATGTATATCATCCTCCAAAGCAAGAAGCGCCTGAAGGCATTATGGATCATGTTGTGTTTGATCTAGGTGGTTTCGATTGTACAACGTCTAGAGGTAACAATTTTATCCTTGTGGTATTGGATCTATTTTCACGTTTTATTGTACTGCATGCTATTTCTGACAAGTCTGCTACGACTGTTGCAAAGGAATTAGTGTCCATATTTTCCCTGTTAGGCTACCCTAGGGTGGTAGGACATGATCGTGGAGCTGAATTTCACAATGTTCTGTTGGAAAAGATCCTGAAGCATGCAGGAGTGGAGAATAGAGCTAGTTTGGCCTTTACACCACAAGGCAACAGTTGCTGTGAAGCGGCAGTTAAGAATTGTAAGACAATCATCATGAAGATTTTGGAAGGTCGAAGTGAAGATTGGGATCTGTACTTGAATGGAACTGCCTTAAGCTTAAATGTTCACAGATCGAGATTACACGGAATGATGCCATTCGTAGTAATGTTCCACAGACTACCCAATGAGTTTAAGGATTATCGAGGAGATAAACCTGTTCTTCATGAGAAAGAAATTGATGTGAAAGCATTCAAAGAGAAGCTAGATCTTATTGATAGAATCATTGTACCAGCAATCAGAGATCAGATAATGAAGACGCAAGATAAGGATAGTAAATACTTTAGAAAGAGACACAGAATCTTGGAAAATCCTTATCCTGTTGGATCTACTGTGATGATAAAGAATATTGAGAACAAGAACAGAAAGACGGATCCAAATTATGAAGGTCCATTTTACGTTCATGGTCATACTAGAAATGGAAGCTATATTCTTACTGATAGAACAAACTCGTTCTTAGCTAGAGATGTACCTACGCAGCAAATCAAGTTGATTAGCACAAGTGATACTAGAGACAATCCTTCAAATGCGTATGTCGTCGAAGCTATTATCAATCACAAAGGTAGCGCACCCAATTACAAGTATTTGGTAAAATGGAAAGGTTATAGTGAAGATTGGAATTCATGGGAACCTCCATCTATGTTTGATTCTCCTGATGTGGTCAAGCAGTATTGGGCGCGAGTAAATGCTAATAATAGCAAGACATCTAAGGGCAAGGCACCGAAAGCTCTGAGTACCCGAGAGATTGCTACGCGAGAGACTAAATCAAGAAATAAGCGCGAAAGGTTATTAGCTAAAGATGATGTATAATTGTTTGGTGAAAGGCTATACCTTTTCCTGTTCACAGTTCCTTTTGTCCCATCGGGTTTTGGATGTGTATAGGTTTTTAACGGTTGCCCTAATAATTAATTATCTATACCAATAATCTATACATAAGTTATATATGCAATTCATGTTTACTATACATAAGATTAATCAAGCAGTAACATGCAACAGATTGTCATATATTAATGATGGTTTTCTTTTTTTTTCTTTTTTTTTTGTTATGTCGGCCTATTATATACTATATGAACTACTACAACTACAATCTACTACAACAATGGTTATGTCCAAGTTTCGCATGTGTCTTATGCTGGTGTGGGGTGGTGTTATATCAAATGTCATAGCAAGGTCTCACACTAAAGGTTTTAGGCTATTCTTAGGTCCTTTGGGTAAATCATGCTAATCATGATTTACAAATCAATTGTTGGGTAGATAGTAAACCTATTTGTATTATAGTTTATCATCATGCTGTAAACCCTAGCATAATGAAAAGTAAATAAATGCATCCTTGGGATGCATTCTCAATAAAAGTGTAATTCTTTGGCAGATTCAATTTTACATTGTATTTTGACATAACAACTTTTTCTCAGATACATATTAGGTCAAATTAATAATAAAGATGAAATGCAACATTGGAAACCCTTTCTATGGGGCTTTCATATGCTAAATTTTGACATATTCACAGAAAACCTGTTTTCATATTTTTGCAAATTGCTTACTATTTTCGGTCCGAAAGCTAAATGTGATTAGCACCATTCGATGCGTCTTTTTTAGCTCTCTAAAAATGTATTAGAAAGGTGGGTGTGACAACAAGAGTTTTCATGGTCAAATTTAGCAAAAACGTTTAAAAGATGTCGGATCAGGTCAAGTTTGAACACGGAAATACCACTGCACAATTTCAGATTAAACTGCCGCAATTACGGCTGCCACAGTACAAGACTGAGACTAAATCTACTGGTCGTGACGTCGGATAGGGTGCCCTCTCATTTTTCCGTAACCCCGTTTTTTACCCTTTTTGCAAAACGTGTTTTAGTATCAAACCATGGTTGTTTTGGACACCGTTTGTTTGATAATAACACTCTATCTTCCGACAACTCTGCCTTGTACTGTAGGAAGAACTTAATACTGCTTCTTTGAAATGGGATATATTAGATACCATTCGATAACGAGCACTGGAAGGCGTAGAATTAACATTAATTGAGTTTGTTTATTAGGTTTTGATAATTTTTTTTGCCTGTCTGACGTGGGTGCTGCTGCCATTCCTTTTCTGCTGTCTCTGCTGTCTGCGTCTTTGGCTTATCATATCTACTAGTGGTTGCTTCTCCGGTCTTTGTCTGGTCTCTGGTGTCGTTCGTTCTCTGGTTTTTCTATGGAGCTGGTGTTGCTGCCGTTGCTGCTAATATGGTCTTTCCTGCTCTATTCTCTTTGCTGCATACTCATTCTCTGGTTTATATCTGGTGATTGTCTATACTCTTATGGTCTACCTGTGGTGGTGATAAGAGGTAAGTAACTTCTTTTGTCTTTGTCTGGTCTCTGCTGATGGCGTTCATTCTTTAGTTTTTCTATGATGCTGGTGTTGCTGCTGCTGCTTTTGCTGCTAACATGGTCTTTTCTGGTCTACTGTATTTGGTGCATGATTGTCCTCTGGTTTAACTCTGGTGATTGCTTCGTTGGTCTTTCTCTGATTTCTGGTGTCGTTTGTTTGGTTTTTCTATGGCGCTTCTGCTGCTGTTGCTGCTGCTGCTACTAATCTGGTCTTTCCTGATCTACTGTATTTGGTGCATGCTCGTTCTCTGGTTCATACCTGGTGATTGCGTAGTATCTGGTCTATCTGTGGAGGTGACAAGTGGTAAGTATCTTCTTTCGCCTTTGTCTGGTCTCTGCTAATGGCGTTTGTCCTTTAGTTTGTCTATGGTACTGGTGTTGCTGCTGCTAATCTGGTCTTTTCTGGTCTACTGTCTTTGATTCATGCTAGTTCTCTGGTCTATATTCGGTGATTGCGTATCCTCTGGTCTATCTGTAGTGGTGGTAAGTGGTAAGTATCTTCTTTCTTCTGGTCGCAATGATATAAAACTTCTTTGAACGCTTGTATTATTGCTTCCTTTGTCATGATAATGCATTCATGATGTTTACTTTGTTACGCTTTTCTTCTTCTTTTGTTGGTTGTGTTGCTTTACATCCGACTATTGCCATGCATGTTGCTCATGCATTGATTTTTGTTGCAACAACAACGAGATGTTCTGAACTTCTCTGATGTTGTATTTTTTTATACTTTTCTTTGATTCACTTTGTGTGAGTATCCCTTTTTTGCCTACGTACTACTCTACTCCTATTGTAGTATGTTCTTTTCTTTTATTATTATCATGTTTCTTTGAAGCATACCTTTTTTTTCGTTGTGGTGGATGTGCCTATCCCTGAAGCTCAACAAGACTTTATCCGAGGCTAGGAGGTAGATAGGCTGCCTCCACTTGGTTATCGCTACTTACTTTAGTGATGATTGAGAGTCTCAACGCCAGAATCTAAAGCTAGGTGGTGTAAGTAAGGCATGCTCTAGTACTTGGGGGAAGTTTGATGATAGCAGCGGCTATACTGCTATTATAGCGGCGCTTAAAATTTTGCCTCACATCAAAACAGGGGGAAACCCTCGCAAATTTTTTTTTAGGTTAGCGGAGTTTTCAAGCGATCTGATTGGCTCAGAGGTTAAAGTAGCAAAGGGTTACAACTAGTTGATTTCTTATTGATCTGTCCTTTATAATAGTTTTGTGTTTTTAATAAAAGGGGTATCTAAATAGATATAATTTAAGTTCTTCTTTATTCAAACGTAAGACAAGATGCAATTGTTCGAACTGGCATCTATCACACAGCTTTACGCGAGGAATATTCTTTAATGAATTCACTACTATATGAGGAAAGTCATAAAGGTACAGCAGTGCACTGGATACCAGGTCCTCCCAATGCCATATGCCTTGCTAAACATACGTCGTGTATGATTGATTCCCAACATGCTTCGGTTTCATGGGTTGCTACCTTCTACCCATAATATTACATTTTGGATGTATAAAAGTGTTTCCAATTTCAGGGTTTGGATCATCCAAAATCAGACTTTGAAGTATTAATGCTTGAGCTCTGAAAGTAGCATAATCATATCGCAGAAATTTGCGAAGAATACGACAGTGTAGTTGAATTTCAGATTAGATGATGGTGGGCTGCTGTTTAGGAACGTATGATTTCCGAAATAAAATAATTCTGAGCAAAGACCCATCATGCATAAGACCTGTTGAAAGCTGTTAATTACGAGTGATTACGAGCGCTAGATCGATGGATTAGGCGTTGAGAAACGTTGTAGTAAAAACCTCTTAATTAAAATCCTTCTTCGTTATAGTTTAGCAAAGAGTCAAACGTATGCTACGCGTTATACTAAAAGAAGAGAATAACTTTTTCAAGCCCTAAGTTAATGCTAGAAGTTTCATTTCAGACCGATAATAAGCCCATTTTGACAAAGCTCGTCTGTCATTTCGAAGCTTGGCTCGAATCAAAAAATTAGACATTGACATGTACATCACAGCGATAAATAACGGTCTTTAATTTTACACAACTCTATATAGATGCACTTGCTTGATCTCCTCTAATTCATCATCATTCAGATCCTGGAACCATCCGCCATCATAATCCAACTTGATTTCCTTGACCCAACCGCGCATTAACTTGGAAGCAGACATGCCTGCTTCCTTCAATTGTTCTTGTAACGATGGCAATGTAACTAGCAATAATCCAGGCTTCTTCTTTGTTTCTGTGCGAACAAATTTCCAGATTTGCTGTTGTGTAGCTAGTTCATTGAAGAATTGAAATACATTGTTCATGATGACAACATCTGCTTCTTTAGACAGTAACTCAGGCATGCTTTGGATGTCTTTACACATGACTTGCACACGGTCATCCATCTTGTACTTTTTGATCATGTCTTGCTGTAATTTAGTGAACCATTCGTTGATTTCGACACCAATGAGTTTACTGGCACGAGTGAATAAGTGGCCCTACGCATAGATGAGCATTTTGCCCTTGACATGAATACCAGCATGAATCAACTTACAGAATACAAAACAGCACCCAATCTAGATCCGACATCTACAATCACCTTGTCCTTGACTTTATCAGCCAATGCTACTTGGTACAAAAATTGCAATTGCAAGACAGAGGCAGAATGGGAAATAAAGTCTAAACAAGTAGTGGGTCAACATCAAGGATATCCTCCTCAATCAGCCATAATATACTTACTTAGGGGAGCCACATTTCTGGATGCACAGTCCAAACAGTAATTACGAGACATCTTTCCTTCATCAACAAGATCATCGACGTCTTCTTCAGAAAACAAAAATCCATCTACATGAACTGTATTTTGCTCTGTGAATCCTTTAAACTGATATCTTACAATTAGCATTTCTTCAGATCAGGCAAAATGAGTGGTATTATGTAATTACTTCGGGTGTATCGGGTATGGTGGTCTTTTCACCAGGAGCTTCAGCAGAAATAGGAACACGAGTGCGAAGATCTTTAATCATTCTTCCCAAGCGCATCATTTTAGCGTCGCTCACAGGTTGAAATTTGCCGTCATGTTGCTCGGTTTCCATGTCTTCGTCATTATCGCCGTCTGCATGGTGATGCAATTGACCGTGATATTCGTCTACAGAGGACATGTCAAAAATGCAAACCGAAAAACCGCCTGATCCTGCTCTTACCAAGTGCTGATTGAACAAATTCTTGAAAACTATGAAACTGAGAATCGTTCAATTCTGAAATGAGATTGACAAATTTCTCTTTTGAAGTCTCGAGGATATCTAATTGTGGTGTCTCTGTGTTCATGTTGTTTATGATTTGGAGAAAAAGAAAAGAAAGTTGAAAAAATATTCAGTGGCTTTCACATTTTACTACAAAAAGAGTGAAACTGGGTTCGGAATGAGATGATGTTGTAAAGCAATAAGTTTATTAGTAGAGAAAAAGACGGTATAATGATGATTAAAGTATATATACAAAAAAAAAGAAAAAGGTAAACGACATGATCTGGCAAGGCCTACTTCTCCTTGAGGGCTTCTCGTAACACTGTCTTGATGTATTCCAATTCTCTTTCTTTTTCATCAATTCTGCGTTGAGCTTCTCGACATTTAGACTCCAGATGATGAATCTTGTCTTGCGCTTCAGCTTTGATCGTGCTAGCCATCTCTTCAAAATGCTTGCTCTTTTCTTCAATTGCCTTCTTCTTTTCTATAGCAGCGTTCAAATCAAACAAGATCTTGTTGACGGTATCTTCCAGTTGCTCAATCTTGAGCGCTCTTTCTTCGATTTGACTCTCTTGATACTCCATCAACTTGGTTTCTTCTTGCAACTTGGCATTTTGCTCAGTCAAGTCATGCACCAACTCTCTCTCATGCTCAAACTTGTATTGTATCTCGCTGAGATCTCGTGTCTTTCTGCTGACGTCCACACGAGCCTCCTTCAGTTCTCGCTCACACCGGGACAAGGCCGCTTCAAGCTCGGATTGTGCTTCCTCCAACTTTGAGTTTTCCAATGCACTTTCTTCCAATCTCTTCTCTGTTGTTGTCAGCTTGTTGCGCAGGTTTTGAATACGAGTTTGCAATTGCTCCAGTTTTTGATTTTCTTGGTGCTCTAATCGCTTCAATTCTTCATCTTTTTCGTCAAATATGGCCTGTGCTTCTTGCTTCCAAATGGCCAGCTGGCTCTCTTTTGTTTTCACGACAGACTCCAACTCTTGTGCATAATCCGCTGCTGCTGCAAGCTCCTTGGACAGGTCCTCAAACAAAGAATTCTTTTGCTGCAAATCAGATTCAAGTTGATCAATCTTTTGTTCTAACTGAGCATGTTGAGCAAGAGCGTCGTGTAAGCGAGAGCGGGTATCAGCTCGCACAGATTCCAAGCGGGCAATCTCGACATCCCTCTCAGCAGCTTCTTTTGCCACTTGGTTCAGATTGGCAGCAGTTTCCTCTAAACGTTGCGTCAATTTCGACTTGGTTTGTACTATACTTTCTTCATTCATCTTGGAGTGTTGCAATTGGGAACGAGCATCCTCGAGATCAGAAGAAACGCGGTCTAAACGAGCTGTCTTGTCCATCAGCGTTTGAGTCAAATCTTCGATACGTAGCTTAGCCTTCTTGAGCTGGTCTGTTTGACGATGCATATCAGCTTGATTGGTCTTGAGCTCTTGCATAAGCTCCTCTTCACGCTCATGTCGAGATGCTTTCAATGTATCCAGTTCGTGCGTGACATCCAACAATTTGCGCTTCAATTCATTTCTCTCGGCTGTCAGTTGCACTTGACTTTCAGAGTGCTGACGCGTGCCTTGCATCAAATTATCCAGCTGTCTCTGCAAATTGTCTTTCTCGTTGTTGACGACTTGGCATTGATGTTGTAACGCTTGCACTTGGTGTTCTGCTTCTTGCAATTTGGATACCAGTTGACTTTGTGCACTCTGTTCAGTTGACAACTCGTGTTCAAGTTCGTCAATGCGTCTCTGCAGGTCATTCTTTTCTTTGATAGATGCCTCCAGTTTCCAATGCAGTTGCTTTGATTCATTGACCACATTTCGAACCTCGACGGAATACTCGTTTGCTGTAGCTGCTTGCTCTGCCAAATCTTTGGATAGCTGTTCATTCTTACGGCACTCCCTTTCGTAAGCACTTTGCAGCTGACCTGCTGAATCCAATCTTCTCTGCAAATTAGACTTTTCTTCTGTCAACCCATTGATTTTGTCATTTAATGTAATCACATTGCTCTGCTCCTGAGCGAGGTCCGACTTGAGTTTCTGATTCTTGGTACGTTCCTTGTCAAGTGTCAATTGCAGTTGATCTCTTTCATTCTGTAATGCTTCGCGCAGGTCGCTGATCTCTTCCAGATGAGCATTCATCTCTTTGATTTTGGCTTTCAGTTCATCACGTTCAGCTGTGGCTCTGGATATGCTGTCAGATTGTTGCGATGTAGCAAACGCTAATTCTCTTTCCACTTGTTGCTTTTCTCTCGCTAGATCATCCATTCTGCGCTTCAAATCACGAAGTTCCATTTCAGCAGCACTGCTGGTGTCTCTGTGTTCTTTGATGGTGGATTGGTGCTCCAGTTGAAGTGCTGCTAGTTGTGAGCGTTCTGCCATCAAATCTTCATTCAGCCGTTTCTTTTCAGCGCGTTCAAACTCGAGGGACTCTCTTAGTTGTTTGGCATGAGCACGTTCTGCATCCAGGTTAATTTGCAATTGTTGATTTTGGCTTGCAATTTCATTGTTTTGTGTACTGATTTGCGATAATCTGCCTGTAAAGTCGCCCTCTTTCTCGCTCAATGTAGATTGCAGTCGTGCGGCTTCAGCTGTGCTATCCTGCAACTGTCTCTCCAATGAACTGATACGATGTTGGGCTCGATCAAGCTCATCTACCTTTGCTTGATTGTCTTTGGTGAGATGCTGGTTATGTTGAGTGGCAGCTTGAAGTTTGATTTCGAGTTGTTTCAAGTTGGTTTGCTCTTTGGTCAAGGCATCTATCCTGTTTGAATACTCTTCCAACTGTTCCTTGTAATCGTTCAAATCAAATTTCAATTGCTGATTGAGGTTAAGATGCTCTTTCAGCGACTCCTTGATGGTTTTCAATTCGTGTTGTAAACTTTCGTTAGCTGCCTTTTCACTGCTCAAATCTTTCTTGCATGTCTCCAATTCTTGCAGTTCGGAATCAAGTGCATTGTTCAAATTTTCAGTTTCGTCCTTTGATTTAGCCAATTCAGCTTCAGTGTTTAGTAATTTCTCCTCGGTATTGATCAGTTGCGCCGAAAGATCGTCAATTTTGCTTTGAAGATCTCTCTGAAGCTCTTGTTGACTTTTGGTTAGGCGAAGTTTCTCCAACTCGAGCTTTGATATCTTTTGTGCGTCTTCACGTGCTCGCTCGTTTGCACTTGAATCCAATGGACCATCGTCTACATCATCCAACTCTTGATTTTCATATCGTTTGAGCTGCTTCTTTGATTTTTCCAATTCATCAACAAGGGTTCTGATTTGGCGCCTGTGCGCTTCAGCCATGCTTTCCATCTTGTTTTCCAACTCGCGAAGGTGTGTTTGTGCATTTGAAGCCTGCCCCTTCCAATTTTCGCTCTCTTTAAAGACTTCCACAACTCTGGCCTGTGCTTCTTTCATCAAATCTTCAGATGTCATGTCTTCGTCTGTCACTTGGTTGATTTGTTGTTTGAGCAAGCTGATGCGCTCTTTACACCGCTTGTTTAGCTCTTTGATGTCTCCTCTTTTCGCATTATGGCTCGATTGCAGTTGATCTTTAAAGAAGGATTCAAGATCATCAAGGGATTTGGCAAGCACTTGCAAGCGATTCGAGGATCCATGAGTGTCGTCAATAGACAATGATGATAAGCGACGATTGTAATCAGCAACACCAGGACTCATGGTTTGTCGTGTACCTTTTGTATTGTGGAGTGGACTATAGTTGTTTCTGCTGTAGGTAAACGTGGATGTCCTTGATAAAATAGATTCACGAGTTGATATTCTAGTCCTTGAGGGCGATACAGCTGCTGTGTTTGCAAAGGGGTTGCTATGGCTATTATCTTCCAATCTGTAGCGCTTCCCATTTGGATTTACATCTCTTTGCGGTGTTGGCTTTTCTTCTATACATGGTGATTAGGGCTTTCTTTTACATATACAAATGATACATGTAGACATACGAGGACTAGCAAACGAGTTTCTCATTGCAGTCGGTGAGTTTTGCATAGAATTTCGCTCAGTATATGAAAATTAAACCCTTTTGAGGTTGAACAAGGAATCTAAAAGGTACCAAGCAGGGTTTTTCTGAGTGGATAAAGAAAAATTCGCGTTGATGCACGCTTTCGTGACCTGTTGTTATACGCTCCATCAAGAGAAACAATAGATATGCTCTCACACAATGAGAATAGGTATTCAAGACCATGGATGTTAGACACCAAGTGAAGCTCTCAAATAATTTTGGAAGGCATAAAACCAAGAACCTAATCATGTCATTTGAGTATGATGGAAATTTATTATAAGCAATCCTCTCAAATTCTTTTCCTCGTGAGATATTGCTGAATCAATGGCAACATGAACTCTATGCCCTCAACAACGAATATTTCCTTGGCAACCAGGGGCAGATAGTATGTACCATAGCAAACAGGAACCACTTCCAGAAAAAAAAAAAAAGTTTATTTACATTGCAACCAGTGAGTCAAATGTTACATTTAATGATCACAACTGCATTCTTTAATCCATTTTGCCGTGCATTGGGTATAATATAAGAAGAATTCCAGTTAAACGACGACATACAAGTGCGAAAAAGCTAAAATAAGAAATTGAAAATGGCACTATTCCATGGTTCTGTCAGTTTGTTACACTATATGGATTTTTAAATAGCTTTTCATGTATGAAATTGTGCTCTAATCTCTACCGGATAATGCTTGCTGTAGGATACCAATACAGAACATTGTCGGGAAATGACGATTTGTCAACGCCAGGCACCAAAATGGTAAAATGGTAAACCTTTATCTTTATCTGGTTTCTATTTTGTTTTTGGGGAGAAAAACAGTGAAAACGTAACATTCTACAAAAAGAAACAAAGTGATCCCCCATTGATCTTTTTGATTTTGTGTAATCTCAAAGAATATAAAGAGAAATTTTGGTCTCTTTTGATATTTATCCATCAAATGGTTTTTTTTTTTTTCTGTTTTTCCAAGTTGAAAGCAGGTTTTACATTTTGAATTGAAACCGAATATATGGAGCTATTTAGTGTAATTAAAATGTTGGAGATACATACAAAGGTTTCATCCCAGTCTCTTATTTTGAAAAAGAAATGCTAGAATAATATAACATTTGGTTTAGATAATATGTGATTTGGGGGGGGAGGAGAAAGCATCCTCCTATTGATTACATTATACGAGTCCATTGTAGAACGTCTTCTCACACCAAAGCAGCTAATACACTTAAAGAACCCACACATGATGTTAATCTGTGTGTGTAAAAAAGAGACATAGTTCATCTACCATCCATCTCCCCCTTCTCCGTCCAATTAACCCACTTTTATATGGAATTACGCTTTTTAGCCATGTACCTTTTGATGCCCAGAGATCTATCTGGAGTTTCAAACTAGATGTATAAGCTTTTGCTTGGTCTCTATTCCACGCTATCAATTAGATGGAAAAAGCAGCTCATTTTGTAGATTCATTAGGTCGCCGCTGTCGTCGTTGTGATATGTGCGAGCCTGTATGGAATAAACCAAATAAAGATGGTTCGCATGGAAAGCAGTAGCTTAGTCTGTGTGTGCCCTCAGTTTTAAGGGACCACTGCACACACTGACACAAGATCTCCCCCACTCCTATAAAAGAAACTTGATTTCTACATCTCATGTCCTTTTTTTTTTCTCTCTCTCTCTTTTCTCTTTATCTTTATTTTAATTTATATCAGAAATGGATCAGAAACCTGAACTTGCTCTGGATCAGAGTCGACCATCAACATCACCATCCGCATTTTGCATCTTTAAGAATACCGTCTTAAAGTATGAGGCAGGTACGTACCAAATCTCCCCTCAACGCTTGGCTAGATCATAAAATAAATTGATGCTCCTGTTGTAGAACTGTCTGGCTCTGTTGTGCTATCCGTTATTTTCTATCATCTACTCGGAAACCCTCTTGCTAGTCAATTCTTGTTTGTCTCTCATGAAGTAGGCCCCAATCAATACGATAAAGGTGTTGGCGACGTCTATTTTGTCTTTTTCTGGACCATCATGTTCACCTTTTTGCGTGCTGCTTTCATCAAATACATTTACCTTCCAGCATCAAGCTATTTCAACATTGGAGAGGCCTCCAAAAGACAAAGAGTAGCAGAGCAAAGCTATATTCTCGCCTATTACGTTGTCTTTGGTTCTGCTGGCATGGTTTGTGTGATCCGCTTTGCATGACAACATTTAGCTGGCGAAACTAACCAATGCCTTTTCATGTAGTACATCATGTACCATGGCCCTCATTGGTTCAATACGTCTCAATACTGGATTGACTATCCTCATGTGTTGATCTCGAGAGACATGAAGAATTACTATCTGATGCAACTAGCATTTTGGATTCAGCAAATCTACGGTCTTCACATTGAGAAGCGTAGAAAGGACCATGTCGCCATGCTGTCGCATCACATCATCACCATCTTGTTGGTAGGCTCCAGTTACATCTCTAATCTTACTCGTGTTGGAAATGCTGTTCTCTGCTGTATGGATCTCTGTGATATCTTCTTGTCGGTAAGTGTACCCGAAACTTCTCTGTCTCTATGGAGCGCCATTTTTAATCCCACATCAATGATAATAGCTTGCCAAGATTTTGAAGTATCTGGGATTCACCAATGTCTGCAATATCGCATTTGGTTTGTTTGCCATCTCTTGGCCCATCACTCGCCATGTCTTTTTCTCGATCGTTACATGGAGTGTTGCAGGTAGGATTGAAGCAATCAAACAAGAAAGTTTATTATTAACGTCTCTTTAAAATGCAGTTGAGCCCGCACGTTATTTTGATATGGAATGGGATCCTTCTCGAGGAAAGTACTTTACATTGACAACCCAAAAGATATTCGTTGGACTCTTGATGGCACTGAATGTCATTATGTTTTACTGGTTCCTCATGATTGCTAAAGTCATTGCAAGGCTCTTTACTGGCAATGAGATTGATGACACCCGTAGCGACGATGAAGACGAGAGTGATGTGGATAGTGACGAATTTCAGAGAAATCCTGAAGTATGGTAAGTTGTAAAACCTTGTTTTTTTCCCAGCTTTTTCCCTTTAATCACTAATGTGTCATCTTATTACAGCCCGGATCAAGAAAAGAAACCTGTATACAGCAATAAGGATTAGACATCTGATCCGCTCTTGCCATCTCTATGCATCTACCAGCATCTCATTTTATCAACTGCCATATACCTTTTCTCCCTTTCTTTTGTTCCATGTATTTTTATTCAACCAAATAAGCAAATAAACATCCAAGATTACACAACTATACTAGCAATTCCTTAAACCCCTCCAAGAAATCCTTCGGTAACTCCTTCACAGGTCTTCTAGTAACAGGATCTACAAAAACATGGGTGAAACCACCTACTACACAAGCCATTGGATTCTCCTGCTCAAAGATGCCCACGCGATACGTAACGCTGGATTTTCCAATCTTGGAAATGCTTAGGCCAGCATGAATCATACTGGGGTAAGAGGCTGAAGCATAAAAGTTGGCTTGGCTGGCCACCACCAATCCAATGGGTTTGGTCTTGTTGTCGCTGCTTGTATCTAAACCACATTTCTTGATCAAGTACTCATTGATGACGGTATCAAAGTAGTGATAATAGACACTGTTGTTAATATGAGCATACATGTCGCAATCACTGAATCTAGAGATGTATATTAGATGCTGCTATGAAACAAATCATTCAGCATGTGTACCTCGTCTGAATGGGCAAATAGTGTTTGTAATCTTGTCGGTTACGAAATGTTTCTTTCAACGGTTGTTTTGTTGAGGCGGTAGTGGCAGCTGCATTGGTGGTCATGCCGCGGCTACTGTTCAAGTGGTTTGCAAGCAATGAAAGTCGTCTTTGGCTACCTGACATGGTGTGGTTTGGTGGAAGAAGAGGAGGTGTAAATATGATTAGTCAACTTGTAGCCGTGGGGTAATTTTCTAATGCTGCTCTGTGTGTGACATTGACTGTTCTAATGCAGCCATCCATGGGTTGGTGTAGAAACATTGACCAGTGCTCAATTCAGCTATCAAGAAAGCCAGACAGTTGGCCAGTCTTACTCTTGAAAAAGCCTGCATCTAGCGGCCTTGTTCCTATATTAATAATGAGAAAAAGATAATTCAGGGGTAAGGTCATGCCCTAATGTACATGTACGCACGACCATAATCACTGTGAACAAGTGTCAAATATAACCAACAGTGATGAATGCATCAATCTATATGAACAGCATCCGCTTGATCTCAGCAGCACCACCGCCAGAATATGATTTGTATAACAAGCCTCTTCTTGTGTGTACGACGCAACTCTTGAGTTGGTTTACAGTGATAACTGCTTGAAATAGTAAAGGGCAATTTAAGCTTTTCTTCTGAAAGATGAATAGTGCGTTACACATCTCGCGTTAATACCAAACGGGATCACCAGTTTTTGGAGTCATCATTACGATTACATGTTCATCGATATCGTCAGCTTAGTGCCAATGCATTCAAACAGAAGAAAATGGTGTGAGAAAACTGGTACAGATTCGTACAATGTTTTTATTTAGTTTCTCCAGCAACCCCAAATCTACTTTGATTCAGAGGTATATACCTTTACACAGCCATCTAGAACATGTGTATGTGAATGAGTACGCCAATGATGCCTTTACGTTGTACTGTATACATTACCATCACCACAAGAGAATATCAGCGGTCGATATGGATGGAAAATAACATCCCGTACTTCCATGTCTTGATGCCCTTTGATGATCGCAGTAACTTGGCCCGACTTGATATTGAAAACAAAGATTTGTCCATATACAGTTGGTGCTAATAAATAGCGGCCATTGCAAGTGATTTTGACTAGCCAAGAATTGGCGTGGTAGCTAGACGAAATGCATAGAAAAAGAGTGAATCAGGCTGAATACACTGTATAAGAAGCACACTGTACTCTTGGTGTTGATAAGTCTTGTGTTGTTCCAATATAAACCCTTCTTGCGCGTTGGTAGGATAGATCAGCTTATGCAATGTACATGTATTGGGTTTTGATGCTATAATTATACCGTGTTCAATAGAATATCTCTTTCCTACGTGCTTGTATTATACTAGACAACTTACAGACTCCCTCACTTTGGTCACACAGTTCAGCACCTCGACTGATGAGCCATGCATATTGACTATGGCTACTAGATGTATCATCATCCAGCCAATTAACAAATTTAGCGCAATCACAATAGGAAGAGTACATGCTCGGAAATGTCTGAATTAACGCTGCTTGTTCGAAATCATACAGTCGTAAATGTTCGTCTGTAGCTGCTATAAAGTACTTGTTGCCTGTGTTTGGTAGAAAAGAAACAGTGAATGCCATGCAAGTAACATCGTCTTTCATCTTGGTAGATGCTATCAGCGTTTGCCAATCCTCAGCCATTTGCCATTTACGAATGGAACCATCCTGGCTTGTCGAAATCAAGTAGTTTTGCTCCATAAAAACCACTTTTTTGATGCTCAGGATCTCCTCTTCGTGTCCCTCTAGTCTCGCCACTAATTTGTTCTCACACACATTGAATATCTTTATAGCGCAAGGTAAAATATGGTTATCCGCATCGTTGGCAGACCATCGATATCGGTCTTTTGACTTGCCTCCAACAGCAAGTAGTCCGTTGGGTGTCAGTGTACCGCAATAGAATTCATCAATGTGTTTTTCGTCCGTGTCTCTTAGTTTGCGGACCAGTCGAAAGTCATCCTGGATGTCGTATAGTTTGACAGCGCCTGTGTTGGAGTAGGTTACAAGAAGAGAACCATCGTCGGACAGCGTCATACTTGTAATGGGGCCTTGATCTGTCATGGTGCACGGAATACTAACCAGTGGAGATTGCGAGTTTATGGTTTTAATCATATGGCTCTCAGGGACGTTGGCATGGAATTTCCAATAGGTATCTGGGTATTTCTTGGCGAGCTCTTTTGTGCGCTCCTCATCCCATGTACCATGGACTGTGGCATCTGTGTTGGTGGTGGGTGGTAACTGCGATGCGATTAGCTAGGCGAGTGATATTGAGCTTATTTCTTGATTACCGTGGGTTGCTTCCTTTTTGATTTGGTGGTCTTTGCTTTCGGTCTGCTTTTTGGTTTGTACTCTCCTTGATCATCTTCATTTTCTACGTCGCTATCGAAATCAGATACAAAATCATCGGCTTGCTTATACGAGATGCGTTCTCTCTTGTTTCGTTTTGACATGCTATAGAGAATGGATGGGGGGATGAGAACCAAAAAAACAAGGACAAAACGAAAGAGAGGTAACACATTTGTGTCGTGACTCGAGGCATGTAATACAACTATGCTTAAAACGAAAGCGGATGCGCGCACGAAGAGGTCCGTTAATATAGAGTTTGCTCTCTTTATTGACATTTTAATTACTACTTTACACAATATTAATCATTCATTGGTTTTTGCACTAAAAACGCATACAAGCCCATGAACGATCTTGACTGAATCAACGCCTGTCTGGTTCTGTTCATCAGCATGTCATAGTTTTCATGATCCGTGATGCCCAACGACTGCTTCAACCAAGGCGACAGTCCATCCAGTGTGCCTTGAAAAAGCTGTATATAGGCATCACCAATGGGGCCACCCCATCCAAGTGGCACCTCTCGATATTCGCTCTGTAGTATCTTCATGCCTCCGCCTTCTGTTAACATTAAATCTAGTTTTGCCCCTGCTGAGGCATCTAAACCATAAGAAGCGCAGAATGATTCAACTAAGTGGACACCAGTGTGGTTAGCAAACAGCTTTCCTACATGGACAAGAGCCATCTACTTTACATGCTTCCGTGTATGTTCTTGCAATAGGGTCTGTCGTAATGATCTACAGAAAGAATCAGTTTAGTGTTTTTGGATACATTATGATCCAACGGTGCAGGCATTTACTCGCATGTCCAATTCCACACACTGAAAGCATCCACCGTCTTTGAGCACTCGCTTGATTTCTGATATAATAAAAGGCCATTCGTTTGTCCTAAAAGCTAAAACAACGAATCTGCGAATTGCGGTTAAACCTATGATGGACCCTTGACGTTGCCAAACCACATACCTCATCTGAATGAAATCTATGAGCAGCGTTTGAGTAACAAAGAAACATCAGTGTGTTTGATAATCACAAGCATGTACAAACCAAAAGTTTTATCGGGATACGGTATTCCTTGTAGTACATTTGCCTCTGTAAACGTAAGGTTTACAGGTCGAATCACCTGGGGCCATAGACTACACATATCAATGCCAGTAAAACGACAATTGGGGTATTCTAAACTGGTTTCGCATAGCCAAGTTGCAGGTCCGCAGCATACATCAAGCACCTCGAGTCCTCCATTTTGGAAATCCAACGATTTCAATGCTTCAACCATAATGTTACTAGAAAAAAGATTCATCAACTCCCTAATTCTCTTTGGAATTCATGCAAAACCGTAAAAAAAAAAAAAATGGCGCTTACAATCCCAACAGCTCTTTTGTCACAAAATGTTCTTCATGCAAGCGATCAATTTCTTTGTCGTCTTTGGGTAGCATGTATGAACTCGATTCGATGGCATGATACGTTCTGCCATATATAATGCGCTTATCTGATTTGATGGGCGCCTTTTTCTCCTCATTGACCGAATTGGATTTGCTGTTTCTCAACGTAGACGATTTAGACTTTCTTGCCTTGATGGATGTTGGAGAACTGCTACTATTGTGTCTGTGATGATGGTGATGATGATGATGTGGATGAACATGAGCATTCGGTGGATCGCGTGAAATATTACCGCCCATGGTATATAATGAAGACAAAAGAAAAGAAGAGGTAAAAGAGAAAAGAGTACATGTAGTATATATATATATATATACATCACATTTCGTTGTTGTTGCACTAAAAGCTTTTGTATATAAAGGGTAACTCCTGAATGATTGGGGAATCATCGGAGAGAGACAAGTGTGCGTGCTCTGTAGCTTCCATGGTACACTCTACAAGCGCAATGTTACCTTTTTGCTATTTGTTTACAACACACATGTACACAATCATACAAAATCAAACGCCATGTATTCATTGTCATCTGGAATACAAGGCTCTATAGCACAAGAAATCATATCTTGTTCAAACTGGACCCTCGATTTTAACCCTTTTTCACAAAAAAAAAAAAAAATTACATGATGAGATAATAATATGCTCCCTACCATGTAGCATCTTCTATTCTTCTATGCTTATTGTGCTTGTCTAACACACTGCAATCAATGTCAATAGCATAATATGAAATATAGCCCCTCGTCTCCTCACACTTGTTTTTTCTGGTTGTGGTCTACTTCTCCTCTTGTCCTCCTATAAATGGTATTAATGGGGAATAATTTTCATCTTTTAAAATATATGCATTGGGATAAAATCATTACTTTCACTTTACTGTGTGCCAAACAGAACAAGGGGGGGGGGAAGGTGTATAGTTTCACTGATTGTATTTGTAAAATCCAAGATGGGATCAATAAAGCAAATTTAAGGAGTCTACAAGGAGCATCAAACAGTATAGACAATAACGAAATTGTCTCTTTGGTCATGGAGCGTTGCGTATATTTCGTTAAAAGAGTGTATGTGTTTATTCATCATCATCATCATCATCATCATTAGGGTAAATATACTCTTCATCGTCACCAAATCCCAATTCCAATGTCTTTTGATAGAGAGCATAAGCAGTTAGACCTTGGAGAGCACAGAACTCGAGAACTTCTAGAGGCACCTTTGGACGTTCCCAGCAAGAACCACCAAACTTTTTGTTGCTCATGTGTATCCAACTGTCATATTGTTGCTTGCATTCAAAGTACTTTATCACATCAGGCCAGTCTTTCAGGTACTTTTCAACAGCTAAAGCAAAAGACATCGCAGTGTCATTTTCCATCACCTTAAAACCTAGATCCACAGTGGGCCCCATTTCAAAGCCCAAGATTTCCACAAAGGATTCCATGATAAAGTCAGGGCACCAGCTGATACGCTTGATAGAGGGGTCAGACAGCAAGCGGCCAAACACAGTAGACTTGAATTTAGATCGATTTTGGATTGTACACGCCTTCTCCAGGACGCATGTGTACGATTCGCCCGTGCTGAGGTAGAGTTGCAGCGCCTTGAACACGAATTGCTTGGACTTGGATTCAACCGTATGAAAACAGACAGTGACAGTAAAAGGTTGATCAGGCACAATTATCATATCCAATTGCTCCAACGACTCCAATGTGAGCATCGCCAGCTCTTGATCCTGACCGAAACTGTTTGGGTAAATGGCATCCACAAATGTCTCCAATGCATCCACTGCTCTATGATGTCTTGCCACTTCAGGTTCCGATGGCAGCTTCATCTTGAGTCCAACACGATCAATAATAGCATCCTTTTCAGAAAGGCGTCTTGAACCACCAGCACCAAAGAATTCATAAGGATTTTCATCATCATCATCATCATCATCATCATCGTCATCAGAATCACTGTCTGCAATGTCTGGTCCCATGACACGAGGTCCACTGAAATGTTTCCGAATGGGTATTTGGCCCATCTTCATCTCCATAGTGTCAGGCCGTTCTTCCTCCTTTGACCAGTTATCAACGCCATCTTCATCCACAGGTTCCTGGGCACGATGACCAGCGATTACACTAGCCGTTGTGTTGAACTTGATGGCTTCCTTTTTGACTGGGCTTATGGATCCCGCTGCTGCTGCTGCTTTTCTCTTGGCTTCTTCCCTCTCGAGATCCGTCAATTCACTATCAATGCCACTCTTCCATTTTTCACCAGTCGTATTTGCAAATATGGTCCATGAAGCAGCTCCAACACCACCTGCTGCATCTTGACTCCATGTAAATGACCCGCCTTGATCTCCTGCAGCAACGCGACTTTGAAATTCAGAGGCATACTTTTCTTTACTAGGTTTACTACCAAATCCAGCCACAGTAGTATTAGTATTAGTATTAGTATTAGTATTGGTGGTAGTGGTAGTGGTAGTGGTAGTGGCAGTGGCAGTGGCAGGTAGTTTACCAGAAGAAGAAGTAGATTTTGTAGGTGTAACCACAGGTGGTGCCGAATGACTTGGAGCAGGTGCTTGTGAGGAACGAGCAACATTGGTGAATGGTTTACGATGTGAGCGTGTTGCATCAAAGTTGTTGCGAGGAGAATAAGGCACAGGTTTCGGTAAATGGTGGGCCTGCTGTTGCTGTGGTGGTGGCTGCTGTTGGTATTGATTCGAATGATATGGTTGAGCAGGAGAAGGCGTTGCTTGGTATGAATGCGACTTGCTCTGGTATACGTTTTGCGTAGGAGGTCGACTAAACTGATGCTGAAGTGATTTGTGTGTCTTTTGTTGGTTGAAATTTGGAGTTGCAACTGTAGGTGGTGGCATGGGTTGTCTCACAGGCACTGGTGCAGATATAGCAGGAGGCACAGAAGCAGTGGCAGCAGAAGATGGCTTGGGTTCTGGCACAGACGCTTTCACATCGGGTGGACCATAATCAGAGTTAGTTGATTCAGTAACAGCACCAGCGTTAGAGACATTAGGATTTGCAAACGGTTGACCTCCAAAGAAAGGCTGAGATGTAGGATCAAAGTCTCCCCAGCTTTTATAGTTTACTTCTTCAGCAATGGATGTCTTGGTGGTAGTGGTGTTCCCGGAGAACCTCCAGTTATTATTCAGACGATCATCATCATCCACAATCACATTGTCTTCTTGTTGCTGGCCACTAAAAGAAGCACCAGACGCACTCGACTCGCCACCGTAAGACTGATACTCTTTTCTTGCGGATTCCTTAACAGAGAGTATGATTGCCTTTTGTATGTCCTTTTGATATCTTGTATCATTGTCGTCATATCCATCATCCGTCTTGGGTTGAGATGACAAGCAAGCGAGATATTCCTCCTCTTTGCTGTCTTCACGACGCTTATTGCTATAACGTTGACGATATGTAGGTGAAGTGGACTTGTAATTGGTGTTCCAATGTGTCTTGGGAGTAGCAGGGGTTTTGCCATTTCTTGGAGAGGATAAATTGGCAGGAGAAGCAATACCTTGCGCTCTTTGCTGATGGAACCTATAGAGTGCTTTCTCTGATTGCTTGGCTAATGTGTATGGCCAATAAAACTTCTCTTCACTAGGATACTGCTTGGTATATTGATGTAATGCATGCACACTCAATACATCAAAAATAGAATACACCAATGCTTTTGGTGGCAGAGGAATTTTTGTCCAGATACAATCATCATTATTGTAAAAGAACCCATCACTGTAGTGCTTTGCCTTTTTAAACGCTTCTAAACCATCCCATTGATCAGCAAATTTCACCATGGCAGCTTCCAAATTCATCGTTTCTACGGCAATTGGCATGAGCTTTGCTTGAAGATCCAACACAGGTGCTTGCTCTATCGACTTGAAATAAGACTCAATCGCCATGGCGTCAGGACGATATGACCATCCAACAATATTCACTTCATCATCCTCCAATATAGGTTTCAGTTTTGCTGATAAAACATCAAATCCCACAGAATCCACTTGAATAGCGAATCCCTTTGTACTGGAAACACCAATCTGCAATAGCTTGAGTTCAGGCAGTGATTTCTTGATAGATTGGAATTCGCAATCAATGGCAATGTACTCTGCGTTTCTGATTTCCTGGATGGCTTCATCGAGTTGTTCTTCATTGGATACAAGCATGCAAATAGCGGCCTTGTGGTTGCTTAATGGCACTTCAATATGATAAGCGCTCATTTGTTGCCAATCATCCTCCATGTCGTAATTTGAGTAATTATACCATGGTCGCTTTCCTGCTTGATGTGATTGTTGCTGCTGCTGTTGCTGTTGCTGTTGTTGTCGGGGCGATGGTGGAGATGGTGGTGATGCTATATGCTGTGGTGGTGCTTGCGTTCTTTCCTTTAGCTTGTCAAAATCGTCGCCACCAGCTACAATGCCACGAAGAGACTCAACTGCTTTATCGACCCCTTTAACGCTTCTCTTTTCAAAGACTGAGAGCAGACTTAACAAAGCTTCGGCTGATTTGTATGCAGACTTCCAGTATTCATGTTCTGATATCTCCATTTGTGTTATGTTGCTGTATTCGTTGGTGCTTAACATGAACTACTTGGTTATCATGTAAAGCTTTTCTTTGGTAATGAAAGAAGGAACAAAGAGAAAAAAAAAAGCAGCCGCGTCAATCATCACCTTAACTATGACAAACAAAAGCACACATCCTCATTTGGGTTCCTATTGTAAAGCCGCCAAAACAAATCACACAGGCTTCAAATGTATACAAACAATACGGCGCGCACAACCAGAAAGTTCGCTTTGTGCATATAAATAACAACGCTTCGTCTTTACTCTGCCACGGCTTCTCTCTCTCTCTCTCTCAAATAATGTTGAAACTGATGGATTTTGATAATAAATTACTGTATATGATTTAGGAAATTTAAGGGGCTGCTATATTAAATCAAAATTAAGAGTCTCTCTGACACTTTGCATAAAGCGCATTTCACATCTCTAACATATATACTAGAAAACTTGAACACAAAAGCGTCGTCGTAGCCAATCAAGGATTAAAAACTCCTCTCTCAAGAACATAACGCATCTAATTCAAGCGATTTCTTGCCTGCTACTTGGCTGTGGATTGAATGGTTTGTAGTTTCAAGGCAACATTTGGTAACATTGACCTTAAGAGGGTTTTACCGTAGCGAAGCAAACGTGCAAAACCCATAGTAAGCAAGCAGTAAATTTAGCTTTTCAAGATTGACAAGCTTACCAGCAATATATCGCATCAAAATTTGCATGAATTAGCATTACCAAAATTAATTTGCCTCCTATTCGGATTAGAAGTTGCACAGGCTGCAGAACTACCCTTCCAGCAAATTACAGCTACCAAAGACGTGATTTATGCCGTATAAATACACTCTATAAAGCAAAACATGACCAAATTCGACAGCTTTTAAGCATTCATAACTTGACATGTAGACCTTTCTGAGCCACCGTAATGACGCCAAACAAGTGTACTCAAGTAGCAGTACCTTCCTGACACCTTTGCTCACCTTTTTGAGAACCAAAAAAAAAAATGGCCAAAAATCGACCAAAAAGCATGAGGGATACCTCATGATTTTCATTGAAATTCAAACGATCGCATTTTTTACCTTGAAAATGAAGACTTTTAATATGGCATACATTGAATCAAAATGTTTCTCTCGATCTAAAGCAACTTCTGAAACCACTTTTTTGAGGTTTTCATATGCTAAATATGGCTATTTTCGCTAAAAACCACATTTCATATTTTACCAAATTGCTCAACGAGTTCATTAAAAACATCTATTTTACTTTGCACCATTAAAAGCGCCTTGAAAAGTACGTCAAGGATGTATTAGGAAGCATAGGGTGATCACCACAGTTCATATAGTCGAATATCAAGAAACAGATTAAAAAAGTCGAAAAAAGACAGTAGTTGTCCAATCTTGAATAGAAAAGTCAAGCTGAGTTTGAATCAAATTTGGCGGCGGCGGCGTCGGGCGGTGCTGCTACTGGCTAACTCAAATGTCTTTCTGATGAGGACAATGATGATTGCGATGCTGATTAAATGGGACTTATGCAATTAAAAGGACAATTTATTAACCCGAATACTTTTTTATGGGACTTTCTCCCTATAAAAGTGTCTTTTGCAATGATAATATCTCAAAAAAAAAAGTCGCTGTAGGTCTTACACAAGTCCTGTATTTTACACATGGCCAGCTTAATGTTGCCATCTCAAGAGCAACATCAGCGAAGGGATACCTCCCCCTCCTAACTCTGATACTATTAATTGATTGTTTAAAATTTACTTGATATCTCTGGCCTGAAATGTCTTCGGCGAGAGCCCGCACGGCGACGCCGTTATTGAGCGTAGCGAGATTGATCGGCTAGTTTATATATATACCAGAATTGCCATTGTTTAGCCTCCCTTTATCATTTAGGAACCCCCATAAACGGCTTATCACTGTGGATCTGATTCCTCTATGATGCTTCATGTGTATCAAAGGGATTCACTCATATACGAGCAGACAGTACACTTCTACGGTCTCTGATTACTCCAAAAATGCGCAAATTACAGCGAAATTGAAGTGCATTTGAGTCATTTTTTCTCGTGTTTGAGTACATTCTAGAGTACTAGAATAGCACCAAACAATGGCTTTCATCTTGCACTTGCTTACTGACACCTTTTCTTGACTTTATGGAGACCTGAAAAACATGGCCAAAGATTGACTCAAAACCATGAGGGGTACCTCATGGTTTTTATCAAAAATCAAACGACCGCATTTTTCATCTTGAAAATGAAGACTTTTACTATGGCATACGAGCCTTTCAGCACTTCGGGTGGGTTCCTGACCTACGCTTCGCTTCGGTGGGAACCAACCTACGTTCAAATGGCTCGCGCTGCCGCGGGCCTTTGGCTAATATCCCAAAATTAATATAGCTAAAATGTTAGAAGAAGAACCCTGATTGTTGACTGATATATAATCACTAATCATATGAGTGTTTATGCTTCAGATTGTTCTCTACCTTCGCTTCGTTTCGGTGAGAATCAACCTGCACAGCGACAGCTCGAGCTACCGGTTGCTCTTGCGTATCTTATCATAATACTACTACGTTCAAGCTGACCCTCTACTTGCATATGAAAACCCTTCATATTATGTGTGGATCTAATTTTTATGTGATGCTTTACATCCATATACACCTAGCTACTTCATATACGGGCAAGCAGCATACTGGTATTCCCACTTTTTAGTCCTTAGTGTCCCTAATACAGCAAAATATGAGTGTATTTGAGCTGTTTTTTCTCGCGTCCAAAGGCGTTTTAGATTGTCAGAATAGCACCAAATAGTTGCTCTCATCTAAGAATTACTTTCTGACACCTTTGCTCAACTTTTTGGGGACCAAAAAAACATGGCCAAAAATTGACCAAAAAGCATGAGATACCCCTCATGGTTTTCATCGAAAATCAAACGATCGCATTTTTGACCTTGATAATGAAGACTTTTACTATGGTATATCTAGAATCAAAACGTTTCTATCGATCCAAAGTAACCTCTGAAATCCTCTTTGTGGGACTTTGATATATAAAATTTCGACATTTTGGCCAGAAACCTCTTTTCATATTTTCATAAATCATTTGATAAGTTTATTCAAATCATCTATTTTACTTAGTACCATTGGATGCACCTTGAAAAGTACTCCAGGAAAGCTTAAGGAAGCATTTTTTTTTTTTTTTTTGTAAGGGAGTCGAGCTCCAGGTTTTATTTAAAGTCCTTTAAATGTCATACTGAGGGATAGAAAAGACTGTTGGTGGACCCAATGTCTGCAATGAAGGGGAATAAGATATTTTTGAACTAAGTTGGGAAAGAAATCTACTACTAATAAGGTGCGACACCTAGAGCCAATACAGTCTTGCGGAAATTGTCAAAATATAGATAATGGATAGAGTACAAAACACCAAACGAGGACATCAGTACTACCTCAAAAAATCAAACAACTTGCGTTCACCAGGATTTGAACCGGGGATCCTCCCGTTGGCATACGGGAGTTCTACCACTTCGCCCTACCACCAGGGACAGCTTAAGGAAGCATGGGAAGATCATCGTAATTTATATAGTCGATTCTCACAAAATAGTTCGATCAAGTCGAGAAAAAGACGAAATCTGACCAATCTTGAGCAGAAAAGAATATTTTGAGTTTGAATTGGTTTTGGCCGGTGGCGCTGCTGCTGGCTGACCCAGATGCCTTTCTGATGATAACAATGATGATTGCGATTTTAATTAAACAAGAATCATGAATTTGAAAGAACAATCGCTTAGCTTGGATACTTTTTTTTTGCTTTTGTTGGGAGTTTTTTCCTATAAAGATGTCTTTTGCAATGACAATCTCTCAAAAAAATGTTGCTGTAGATCTTATACAAGTCCTGTATTACTATACATCGCAACATTTAACGATCGTGGTTATTAACTTAATTTTTTGAGTAGAACGTTAATCTGAACTTGCATACAAACTTTCCAATGTATAAATACATTATACTAGCCAACCGATCTAGCTAATCTCGATGACAGCGTCGTCCTGAGGGCTCTCGCTTTAGACATTTCAAATCATCAGAGATAATAAAAATTTGTTGGTATATCAAGTAGACTCTTAATAATCAATCAATAGCAAGAGAAAGGCTATATCAAAGTTAGGAGGATTGGGGTAGGGTGGGAGGCTTCCCCTTGCAACCCCTCGTTTGCTTATACACAATATCTTCATTTTTCCGTTCGTGCCACATTTTCTGGTGGCAAAATTGTCAAATTATTTGCTGATGATGTTGCTGTTGAGATGGCAACATAAAGCTGACCATGCGTAGAGCCATTAAGTGAATTGTGATTTGGCTTGATTTAAGAAAAGTCTAAGAGAAGATTTGTCCATAAAGTATATCAAAAAATTGTGAGGTGTCTCTGTGGATCTGTAGAAACATCAAAAGTATATAGATTTTTATCAGATCTATTAAAATAATAAATCAATAATCAATAACGAGATCTAGTGTTTAGGAACAAGCGGAAAACCAGTTGGAATACTGCTGGCAATGCAAAGATGTTTAGTATATATTAACACAAAGCAGTTTCCTTTACAAAATGTTGCTCTCTCGACATCTCGACATACTTTAGATATACAAGTTTTCGGTGTGTCCAAAAAAGGAAATTTTAGCAATTTTTTTGAATTGAGCTATATTAATAGCTGTAAAAAAAAATTGGAAATCCAGGCCGATGTGTAGGAGTGGTTAACTTTCGTGATTCGGATTCACGAGATCCCGGGTTCAAATCCCGGTGTCGGCCCATTTTTTGGTAGACGTTTCTCAATTTAAGTTTGAAAGCAAAGGCTTTTGGTGAAAATTCATTTTTGATGAATGTATCCCTTTTTTTGATTTAATTTTAAGCGATCGCTAAGGTTTTGTCGAAAGGTTTACCCTCGCAAAGGAAGGTTTGATGCCTTTGATTCTGACGCTCATTTTTTTTTTTTTTGCATAGAAATAACGCCAATGTTGGTTCAGTCAACATTGGAAATATTCCATTTCTTCATGTATGAACAGATCCTCGAGTTTTTGAGAACCCAATGTCTTATTCTTGCAAGAGATTGCATATCTGAAGCAACTGCCTGAACAATATCATTGGTGGTATTTTTAAGATGGACATTTGAAGTTTATGCAGACAGCGTTCCTGGATGCTTCGTCCCTGAACATTACACATTCTGCTGTATTATAGAGTTTAGGTCCGAATATGTACAAGCTCTCGAAAAGAATGAACTGCAGAAAGGGGTTAAGCAAGGAGGATCAAAGACAGATCAAGGCTAACTTTTAATAGGCTCTTCCATCATTCAGCTCAATACTGGCTGCTCCAGTTTGATAAGTTCCTTGAGGTATTGCAATAGCAATGTGATGGTGGTAGATCTACGGCTGCAATTTCAATGCTACATCGTTTTCTTGATCTGAACTCTCCCTTTTTCATTTGGACAAAGGCATAAATCTTCGTCTAGACTCACTGTAAGCTATAAATCGCCATAGACCTAATAGTATCTAAAATGGGAATCTCATCAATACCAAGAAATTGGAAGACGTCCCTTGATTTAGATCAAATTAGTAAGCTATCATGGTAATGTGAGAACGCTATTATACAAAAGCTATCTGTAAATGTGGTTCATCTGGGACCACATGGTTTCCACAACATTTCAAGGGTAAAAACGTTGATTCAACATGCTTTCACAAAAGGGACCCACCACTCATTCTGGAAGACCTTATATTTTGAAGAGAGAGGAGAGCAAGTAGAGGAGTATACACAAAGAAACAAAGAAAATAAGACAAAGAATTATTGCCAAAAAAGGAGGGGATGTTAGAAATATGAAAGAGAGAGAGAGACAGAGAGGAGGACAATAAAGGAGAAGTAGGAGGGAAACACAAATTATCCAGATAACTAAACAGTGTAGAAAAAAGCAATAGGGTCTTTTTATTCACGACGAATGTAAAATGCCTATTCCGATCTATGGCTTGCTCATATTATGCTTCTCCCCTCTTAAAATAGTGTACCATAACCTTTGATGTGGCAATGACTACTGGGGGCTTTGCTGCGATAGCATCATCGCCCTGTCATATCTGTGTTCTTGCTAGATACCCACGCACACTGTCAAAAAGAGAAGTGTATCCCATCCATATACCTCGCTGGCTATAAACACACAAGATCTCGACATATTTGATTCATACACACACAAACACGCAAACACATACATTTCTTATTTATAAGCAAAAAGAAGAATCTAGATTTCCCCTGATAAAATAATAGACGCAGATAAAATAGATCAAAAAAGCACCGAGGAATACACAACAGATGTCATGGATACACTGTAGGCGGATCATTGAAATCAGCTTGGTACAGTTTAATAAGTATATACAATAAAAATGCTATCGTTACTTTCCCCATATGTGTTTGATAGTGTAGACAAAATGTGAGCGTACCATCTCGCCCATAAATAGATGCGCAAAACATTTATTTCAGGGGCTTGCATCATAACCAAAGGGACAGAATTATGCATCAAATTCATTCTGTAAGCAACTTGTTATGACTTTGGTGAATAGTATGCAACGTTTGTACTATGCTCAAAGGCAGCTTGTAATAAAACCAACACCATGATGGATTGATAGAGCATCCCCTCTGACGGAAACCGCTGTGAATAGACACTCGCAGCCAAATTCGCTCCTTTCCAAACTAAAATAATCCCCTTTTATAACATCAAAATTGTTAGATACGACTCCCCTAAGCATACATAAATACACACATAAGCTATTTACAAGAAACGAGCCCCTATACACCTCTTTCTCTTTGTAATTTTGAAAACCAACCAAGCAAAGCAAAACAAAAGAAAGCCAAAAATAATCATTGATCAAAACCTCTCTTCCTTCTTTTCTTCTGCTTTTGCTTTTTCTTCTATCCTCTCCTTTTATTCATTCACTCTTTTCTTAGCAACATCTTAGTATTACAAAACAACGTTAAAAAAAAACAACCACAAAAAGGTAAGGTGAAGCTGTGTTTTGCTCGGATTCAAGAGAGATGATACTTAAAGCGTTTACAACAGACCTTACAAAATGCCTAGACAAAATCCATTTCTACGACGTGCATCATCTCCTGGAGATATAAATACAGAAATCAACCATGGCAGTAACAACTTACTATCTGTTCCACCACCACCTTTACCACAACAACATCCAGCAAAGCTGACTCAGGCATCACTTTCTGATTCTGCATTAAAAGTGCCTGTGCGACCGTCTACGTTCAGGAACACACAGTCTCGTATGATGAGTATTCGACCTTCTCGATTCATCAAGGCATCTACACCAACATCGTCTACTTCATCCCCTATTATTTTAAATGATACCAGCGTACACTGCTCTTCTCAATCATCTGAAATGACTTCATTTATTCGACTGTTTGAAGCATTTACTCAAAAGCTGTATATTGAGGGATACGTGATGCGACACAATAACACCACCATGGAGGAAGGCAGCAAACCACGCACCAAAATGTTTATGGAATTGTCAGGTTCTACCTTAACCCTATGGGATACTGAAGTACCGGGCTCCATTGTCATGCCAACTTACTTTCAGATTGTAGATACAACCATTGTCTACTCCAACCCTATCGTCAGCGCAGACAGCAAAAAGAAGAAGCATGTATTCAGTGTACAGAACAAAAAGACAGCCATGACATTTGAAACGTCAGATGAACCTTCCATGATGCGCTGGGTTAGTGCCATCAGATTGTCCAGCTTTGAAAAGCAGAAGTTGCACCAGCTGTTCACTCTTAGACTACTCGGTAATAATGCAACCAACAACAGTACCATCAGCAACATTTCATCGGCTTCATTGTCGTCCAGTGGCAGCAACAACGTGGCAGATGACGTTCCTACAAAAAGCACCTGGCTCCAAGTAAGAGTGCCAGGCACGTCGATTTGGCAAAAGTATTGGGTCGTGTTGGTGAATAGAAAGAGCAAAGAAGATCAACATTATCGCAACAAGCGGTTTGGTAAAAAGACATCTGTGAACAATGTAGAGGAGCACATCTTGCTGTACGAGACAAAAAAGTCAAAATCGCCCACATGGACACTCTCTCGCTTGACGCATGCTTATGCCGTGTACCCTGAGTCACCTCAGTTGATTGAAAAGGGCTCCATGATTCGTATTGAATGCAAATTGAATGGTGGTGGTGTCCAGCAAAAGACATTGGAGAACCTGGACAACAAAGACAATGTCTGCTTCTGCTGGTTTATGGCGGATCACAGTCAGCTGACAATCCAATGGCTATTGACAGTGTATGATACATTTCGTCTGTATGGTAGACCTGAGCAACTGCTCGCAGATCCAAGTAACCAGAAGGCCCTCAACTTTGGTGAGCCAGTACAAGATGTTGGTAAAGTTGTTCATCCCAAGTTGTTTCTGGAGACGGATGAAGTTGTCAGTGCCATGAACGTGCTATCCATTCCTCGTCAGGAGATTGATGCTATTTTTACCAACGTTATTCTCAAGAAGCAAGCAGAGACATCGATTGTTAATGTCGCACGAAGACCCACAGGCACGAGAGCAAACAGCCTTCCCCTGATTACGGTGATATCTGCCACTGAAGACGCACATGGAGATGACAAGATCAAATCAGCGCTAGGAGAGACCACAGTGAAATCAGTTGATGTAGAAGACCAAGCAGCGCCTTTCAAATTTGCTCGACAAATAGCTGATTCAAGTGATGAGAGTGACGATGATGAGGAGGAGGACGATGGTGAGGAAGACGAAGAGGATGTAGATAGTGACGATGAACCCATTTGCAAGAAATCAGCCCATTCATTGCCCAGCAGTGCTACGCTCGAAGAGTCAGAAGAGTCTACCACCAAGAAAGTATTCGCTGATAGTTTGATTCCTGATTTCGATTTTGGAAATGGATTTGATGTGCCCAAGAATGTCACAGCAGCAGCCGTTGCAGCAGCCGTTAATGCCTCGGGTTTGTCACAGACGCTTCCTACCAGAGGCAAAAATAAGGGTGCTCGTCATAGCAATTCAATGACCATGTTTATGGATTCGTCTTCTTCGATATCGCCTTTGGATGGTAGTCGGCAAGACGATGATGTAGGCTTCTCGTTACATACCCGCAAAGTTTCCATGCCAGCTACCTCCGGCCATCACCACCACCATCATGGACAGCGATCGTCTTCTTCAGCAGGCTATCACTCTACCAATTCCAGGTCAACGCCATCCCCATCACAGCCTCCTGATTCGTCTTCTTCAGCTTTATTTGGCGACTTTAGTTTAACAACGGATTTCAGGAAATTCTTGGACGAGCCCCTGGATCAACGAAAATATTCCTTACCAGCCAATGTGAAGTTATCATCCATGGAGTCCAGTCGATCGACCTTGTCCAGTAATAACAATAACAACAACCATCGATGGGTAGATCATGAATGGGAAGAAGCGACAGACCACTACGGTGAAAATGAAGACTATGACGATGAAGAGCAGCCCACGCAACATCCCTACGACGACGACAATCAATCCTACGACTCAGATTTTGATGGTCCACTCATCCCCTCATTAGGCGATCATTTTGCACCCCAAAATAGTCTCTTGGATACCTACTTAGGAGAGCAATTGAGCGCAAAGGAACAAATAGAGTATGCAAAAGCCACCGGACAGCCATTGATACAGGTTTCAACCAAGAAACAAGGAGCTCCTCGAGGAGGTTTAGTGGGCATGATTTCGCAGAGAGAGAAGGATAGAAAAGAAGGCAATGGTCTAAGAGTAGCAGAACGAGTGAATCAGCATCATGCTCAGCTCGGTCAAGACCGATTTGAAAGAGAAAAGGAAAGAAGAATATTTGAGCAGAGACAGCATCAGTTCTTAAAGCATCAGGTAAAACATACTGCACATAGTGATTGAATAGCGTTGTACTGATTGACTGCCTATATAGATGATGCTCTATGCAAACGGCTATGGTATGCCTCCTCTGCCCATGATGCACCCTCATTCATTCATGAGCCCCATGCCTCCAATGGGACCTATGAGCCCTATGCCGATGAGCCCAATGGGTCCAATGTCACTTATGGCTCCCATGAGTCCTATGGGCCCCATGCCGCCAATGAACATGGCCATGATGCAGCAACAGCAGCAGCAGCAGCAGCACCAACAATACAGCCAGGCTTCTTCTTCGCCCACACCTCCACCACTTTTATCATTACCTCAACAGCATCTCCATTCACCCCTGAGCAGTGCACCACCTAGTCCACATACGCCCAGCTATGGAAATCACATTCGACCCATCTATGGCCCACCACCACCTGCATCGCCCATGGGATTTTACCAACAACAGCAGCAACAGCAATATCAACAAGGTAGACAAAGCCCAAGTTTATCAGCTCCTTTGATCGCGCATAGCAATAGGCGTGTATCGAGGCCTTTATTAGACGATGTAGACGAACTGAATGGCAGTAGTGGTGGCAATAATAGTAGAATCATGTCGCCTGTACTCAGAAAGAGCCCCATTGTATCGACTTCTTCGGGAACAAGCAGTGTTCGCATGTAAATCCCTTATTTTTTTTCTATAGAGTATCATGATCAAAACTGTCTTTTCTAAATAAATTATACACGATACTTGTTTTCATACAACTTGGTTGACCAAAGTAAATGTTTATTTTAACTATCTCACAATAAAGTACTAGAGTGATTGAAGAGAGAGAATGTTGTGTATGTATAAATTACTGCTGATATAGACTTGGTTGGATTGCTTGGGTGGAGAGGTAATTGTGTGCATAAAAATATAGAGAAATGAAATAAAACAAACGGGCGAAAAAGAAAAAGAGACAGATATACATTATTACTCACTATACAACATAAAAATGAGTCCACGATTACCATACAATCCCACTAGGTACTTACGTGAAAATAAACAGGTTATTAGTTGCTGCAACAGCAATTGTGTTTTCCTTTGGATGCCAAGAAGAATGTAAAATCTTCTTGCTGTAGTCCATGTAATCCGTGTCCTCACGCATTCTTCTACCCGCAGCACTATTAGCAGCTCGATTACCTTGGCTCATTGTAATCTTGTTCTTTGCAGATCCCAGTTTCTTTGCCTTGAATGCACTCTTGTCTGCTTGCAAAGTCGCCTCCTCATCACCCTCCTCTCGTCCGTAAATGTGGATATCATTACTGTAAGATCCTGTCATCATATGACTTCCATCGCCACTAAATGTACATTCAAACTTGTCAAAGATACAGTCATTTTCATAAAGGTCACAGAGCTTGGATCTGAGGTTGTCGTGGATGTTGATGGTGCGAAGTGGTTTCTTTTCCATATTGATGTCCCAAATCTTTAGTGTCAGGTAATCGCGGGACAAGATGTAGCGGCCATCTTGACTGAATTTGACATCAGAAATAGAGGAAATGATTTCGGAAAAGAAGGATCTGTTGGATAGGTCCTCGGGTTCCTCAAAAACTAAATATAGGTACATCAGCATCTCAATCCACAGCCTCATCTAGCCCACTTACCCTTCGCATTTTGATCACACAAGGCAGCTTCTCTCATATCAGCCAATTTGATAGTACCCTTACTACTACTGTACATGAACAAGTTGCACTGATCTGGGTGGAACTCAGCAGCAGTGATGACTTCAGTCAATTCCTCCATGTTGGCAGGTTTGATGTCGACAATGTCTAATCATAAAAGCATCAACATGCCATGTCCGTTTGATAAGCACAAGAGTACTTACTGAAGCTCTGATCCGAGATATCCAAGTTCCACAAATTGATACGAAGATCGTCAGCAGAGATATACGTCTCACTATCCGAATTGATGGAAATCGAGTTGATGTGATATGCATGAGCTTGAAATTAAAAAGGTGATTTAGAGTTGGGATTTTCATGCATTTGCAATATTTAGTTCTCCGCTTACCATTTGAATAAATACGTCTTGGGACAGCAGCTACAATGGTGTCTTGATGATTGATCTTTGGCATACTCAAAGTAGGATGAATAGGTGCCCCAAAGTTTCCAGGAACAGATGTTGGCATTTGATCTGACATCATAGAAACTTCACTCACAGTCTTTAAGCTACGTTCATACACTTTCCAGAGCTTGATGGTTTTATCTGCATTGTACATGTTGAGTTTTTTTTTTTTTTTTTTCAAATGCACTTTTGCTTGAGCAGATAAACTTACCGTTAGTAGAAAGTAAAAAGAGTGCTGAATTCTGTCTCTTGCACCATTTGATCTGATTGATTTTCTCTTCAATTTCTAAACTCTTTAAATAGTCGAATTCTGGTTCATGGGATTGAAACTCTGTGTGGAAACGATATTCGCAAGATTTTTTCTACAGATACAACAATGATGAGTCATGGGTGCTGGTTTACACTCTTAGCAACGCTCTAGTTACACTCTCATTGCGTTCAAACAACACCACTCTGCCACCTTTGTCACCCGTTGCCAAGTAATCGCCAGTGTGATCAAACTCAACGGCCGAAATGATATCAGCTTTTCATACAAATGTTGAGTAAAGTTTCCGATCATGAGCGACTGGGGCAGACTTACCTTCTGTTATATCGTCAGACTCGCCTTTATCACCAAAACATTGAGCAAACTTCCATTTGCTTTCATTATCCGTTGCTGATGCTTGCATTATTTCTAGTCAAAAACGTTTTAGAGCTCTGATGGGGCTTACGCGTTCTCGTCGAAATGGCAAACAAAAGTGAACGTGGACACCAGGGTCGTTATAGCAATCTTACATGCTTGGATAACACTCACCTCGTTGTTACTATGCAGAGTAAATCTCCAGTTGGAAAAGAGAGAAAAGATGGGAAGAAAACGCTGGATGCTCACGCATTTCACACAACATCTCACTCACACTTGCCCGCCTACAACGTCACATTTAGGATGAATGATGATGGATTGTCCTCATGGAACTTCTTTATCCAACGCACACACCGGAGATCTAACGGATTTTTTAGTTGTTTCGAAACTTTTTCAGCAGGCAAACCTCACTTGTAGTTTCATCTCACTGTTTTCCTTTTTCTTTTCATCACCATATACACATATATATATATATATATAGAGCAACATGTCAGGCTATAACATTGTTTGGGTATTCTTTGGTGTCGCCATCGTATCTGCTTTGGCCTATGTGTTTACTCCCAAGGGAAATGATCAAACGTAAGTCTCTTATTGTCTGATGAGTTGGAAGTGTAGCTCAATGCCATACTTGTATATAGTGTCATCAGAACTGTTATCATCATGTCACTCATCTGCTGCTACTTGATGTAAGTTGTCGTCTAGCGACAAAAAAAAACACGTTTAGAATATTCACATGTTGTCTGTAGGTGGGCTGTTACTTACCTTGCTCAGTTGCATCCTCTCATCTTCCCCAAGAAGGTTGGACTTCGACCTCCTCATCACGAATAATCAACATCAAATCAACATGTTTCGCGTCATTATCTTGTCTTTTTTTTTTATACAACCGAGGCTAAAGAGATGATTGCTCTGTATACTCTTTTCTTTTTCTACACTTGTAAAGGATAGGCCAACCAATATTCAGTCTCTCCTGATCCTTCCTTTGCTGACACACGCCGCTCACCTCCTATTTACCTCTCTTTCTTTCTACTCTATTAAAATACCCTCTTGGAATCAAATGGTTGTATAGACTATATTATGTGTATGTTGGATGCCTTTTTTTTTTAAGGGGAATTTGAAACTGTTTCAGGAGAGGTCTGATAAAGTGTATAATAGAGATCTCACATCGCCTGTCAAATTATGTACATGTCTTTTATTAGAGGTTTTCTTCAGCATGGACCAGTTGGTTATGAAGTCTAAAGTAAGTCGATTGGTTGTTCATCAATTCATCATGGGTGCCTACAAAGTGATGTGAGATGTTGGTTACTCATCAGACGGGAGGCATGGCATAACACACCTTTCTCTAAAATGTTGCCTGGTGTTCTACCCATCACAACAATCATGTCTGCTTTTCTGATAGTAGATAATCTATGTGCAATCACAAGCACAGTTCTACCGTGCATCAACTTGTCCAAGGCATCTTGCACCATTCTTTCGCTTTGAGCTAAAAAGACAAAACAGTGAGTGAAAAGAGAGCACATGAACTACTATGGTGATACTTTACTGTCCAGAGCAGAGGTAGCCTATTCTTATATTAGAACATGCATTTTTCATAGCCACTCTAGAAACTTACCTCATCCAAGATCAGAATCTTGGGATCCTTAAGGATAGCACGAGCAATGGCGACTCTTTGCTTTTGTCCGCCTGACAGGGCAGCACCGCGCTCACCTACAATAGTGTCATAGCCATCAGGGAATCCCTCAATGAATACCTCAGCATTGGCTTGGCGAGCAGCCTCTCTCACTTCTTCCATGGTGGCATCAGGACGACCATAGCGAATGTTCTCCAAAATGCTGGTGGCAAATAAGACTGGTTCCTGATTGATAAAACCGATATTTTGTCTCAACCATGAAGGATCCAATGTCTTTAGATCTTGCCCATCCAGAGTGATCTCACCCTCCAAAGGCTCATAAAAGCGTTCCAACAGGGAAGCAATAGTGGACTTGCCAGAACCAGAAGGACCACAGAGGGCTACTGTAGTGCCTTGAGGTACTGTCAACGTAAACTTGTCCAACACCTTTTGATCTGGACGAGTAGGGTAGCTAAAATCAATATCGTGGAATACAACATCGCCTTGCACATGGTCCAACTTATAACCACCCTTCAAAGGCATATTGGGATGTAAATGGATAAACTCAAAGACACGAGTGGCAGAAGCAGCCGCTTTGATGGACTGACCAAACAAGACACCGAGCGAAACCAAAGAGTGCTGTGCTGTTTGTGTAGACAGCATGTAGGACATGAGATCACCGCTCGTCAACTTGTTTTCAACCACCAAAGAGCCACCATAGTACAAAACAGTCAATACCATACAGCCCACAGAGATGTTGGTCAAGCCTTGAAAGAGGCCAATATGAAGGCCCATGTGTTGATTGGACTGTGCCATCTTTTGACATGCCTCTCCGTAATGCTCCATTTCACGATCCTCTGATGCAAATGCTCTTACAGTTCTCATGTTGGTAATCACTTCACCTGCAACACCACCTGAATATCCGTCTAATTGCTTGTTTTGCTTACTGAGCTTTCTCAAATAAGCGCCATACATGTTGAGCAAAACATACAAAACAGGCATTGTACCCAGCATAGTCAGTGTCAGTGATGTCGAGATGCGGAATAGCTGAATAGAGGAGCCAATGGTTTGAGTGACAGACTTGAGACCTTGAGTGACCAACTGCTTGAAGGTGCTCTGCGGATAAAGGTGTCAGTGCACCAACATCCATGTGGCATTTCCATATAGTTACCTTGAAATCAGAGACATCAGCTGTCAAACGACTCACAAGTTCACCACTACGATGACAATCGAAAAACGAGATATCCTGTCTGATGATAGCCGAGAACAACTTTGCACGCAATCGTTTCGCTACATTCTCACCAAATGCAGATACCAACGAAATATGAGCAAATGTCAAAAATCCTTGTGCCGTTAAAAGTCCAAACAATTTCAAAGCAGGTGCATTCAAATCACGAATCGTCAATGCACCCAACCCGTCTGCTGCTGCTTGCACACTACTCGACAAGACGTTGATCAATTGACCGGTCACCAATGGTGTTTGCAGTTGAACAATAGCAGCACCTACAGCGGTCAGTACAATCAATCCCAATAAAACTAAATCCGGCTTCACTAAATCCCAAATATCCTGTGCAATGCTGACTTTCTCTGCTGGTGGTGGTAAGATGTGATCAAGCACTTTGGCTTTAGTGACAGCCTCGGTAATCAGGACAGGCTGCTGTTGTTTGTAAGCAAATGTGGCATCACAATAAACGACTTTGGATGGTTGTGCTAATCGAAGTCCAACTGCAAGTGAAACGAGAGGGACAGAGTGTGATTTGAGTAATGTTAGGTTGGATTTCACACTGGCCAGTTTGGCAAATGGACTGCTGCTATAATATAAGATGCACCTTATCAGTTTCAGCGCTATGCCCAAGGACAGCTCCACACTACCTCCAATTCGAGGTGGATAATCTTGGTTGTTGTTGTTGTTGTTGTTGAGAAAAGTGCCTCTTCAAGTTGCTTTTTATACTTGATTGAAATAGACCGAGGGCCTAATGATAAGGTGTTAGCACCATGATAGACAGAAGAGATGAATGTGTCTCTTTTCATACCGGTTTCGAACACGGTCTAAGCGCAAACCTGGCTACCAACAACGGCATGTTGATATTTTGCAAGTGTGTATAGAAACAGAGAACGGAGCGTTTTGAATTGAGCGGGGAGAGAGGGGCGTCTTTATTTCTAGATGCTCTAAATGTCCACAACATGATTGGGCTTGTGATTGAATTCATTTGTGCTTGATATTTTCACATGCTTTCCATAGTCGTTGATTTTGGCATGTCTGGATGGCCCTGGAGTGAGCTGTAAAAAAAACTGAAAAGGCAAGGTACACATTATAAGGAGGCATTTGCTTTGTGATGAATATAATGACATTAGCACAAGCTTGAGATACACTTGCTCAGAGCAAATATCACAACATTGTAAATGTGCGAGTAATCCAGTTCAACTAGTTCAAAAACTGTTACGATTATAGCTCATTTACGTGGACAGCTGTTCTTATACAGACTATTTCAAAGCATTCTGCTAGGGTCCATAGCCAAAGTGTCGCGCGCAGTGTTGAATAAGATGGCAGTTCTGCAGTTTGCGTTAAACGTTGCAGTTGGAAGAGGAATTTGTAGCAATTGAATTGACCAGAAAAAAAAAATGCAACCAGAACAGTAAAAGTTAGGCAGCCCAAAATATAGTTCTCTTTGTTTAGCATTCACTTGCTTGTTAGCTTTACAAACATCAATTGCCTACATTATTTGACAGCTTGCCAGCCAAAACTCGCTTAAAATCTCGATCAAAATTTTCGCTTTAACATTGGACAGATTTGAGTAATACCTAAAAAAAAAAAAAAAAAAGATTTGAGTAATTTCGACTCGATTATACTTATTTTTTAAGATTCGACTATGAAAAGTGTCAAAAACACAACATGCCTCTTAATACTTATAAAAAGGGCTTTTCGAGACGCATCTAATGGTGCCATTTATAAGAAACATTTTGACTGAACCTAATGGGCTTTTTTTTTTTTTTTTTTAGAAAGCACCAAATGAGGTTTTCGGCCAAAATGTCGAGATTTTACAGATCAAAGTCTTGCAAACAAGGTTTCAGGAGTTGCTTTGAATAGAGAGAAACCTTTTTGATTCAATATATGCTCTAGTAAAAGTCTTCATTTTCAAGATGAAAAATGCGATCGTTTGATTTTTGTAAAATACAGGACTTGTGTAAGACCTACAGCGACTTTTTTTTGAGATATTATCATTGCAAAAGACACTTTTATAGGGAGAAAGTCCCATAAAAAAGTATTCGGGTTAATAAATTGTCCTTTTAATTGCATAAGTCCCATTTAATCAGCATCGCAATCATCATTGTCCTCATCAGAAAGACATTTGAGTTAGCCAGTAGCAGCACCGCCCGACGCCGCCGCCGCCAAATTTGATTCAAACTCCGTTTGTCTTTTCTATTCAAGATTGGACAACTACTGTCTTTTTTCGACTTTTTTAATCTGTTTCTTGATATTCGACTATATGAACTGTGGTGATCACCCTATGCTTCCTAATACATCCTTGACGTACTTTTCAAGGCGCTTCCAATGGTGCAAAATAAAATGGATGTTTTTAATGAACTCGTTGAGCAATTTGGTAAAATATGAAATGTGGTTTCCAGCAAAAATAGCCATATTTAGCATATGAAAACCTCAAAAAAGTGGTTTCAGAAGTTGCTTTAGATCGAGAGAAACATTTTGATTCAATGTATGCCATAGTAAAAGTCTTCATTTTCAAGGTAAAAAATGCGATCGTTTGAATTTCAATGAAAATCATGAGGTATCCCTCATGCTTTTTGGTCGATTTTTGGCCATTTTTTTTTTTGGTTCTCAAAAAGGTGAGCAAAGGTGTCAGGAAGGTACTGCTACTTGAGTACACTTGTTTGGCGTCATTACGGTGGCTCAGAAAGGTCTACATGTCAAGTTATGAATGCTTAAAAGCTGTCGAATTTGGTCATGTATTGCTTTATAGAGTGTATTTATACGGCATAAATCACGTCTTTGGTAGCTGTAATTTGCTGGAAGGGTAGTTCTGCAGCCTGTGCAACTTCTAATCCGAATAGGAGGCAAATTAATTTTGGTAATGCTAATTCATGCAAATTTTGATGCGATATGTTGCTTGCTTACTATGGGTTTTGCACGTTTGCTTCGCGACGGTAAAGCTTTCTTATAGGTCAATGTTATCAAATGTTGGATTGGATTTGTTATATTCTTGTTATATAATATATTAGAGCTTTGAGTGTAGTAGGCTGCAGAACTATTTTCCCAGAAGAGTACTGAGATGCTTTCGCCCAGCGGCAATGGAGTATGGGAGTAGAATGTTTGACATTTCAAAAGAATAGGAGGCGCGTCTATGATCAAAACATACCAGAATTATCTGTTAATACATAATTATTTGTTGAGATACAACAAAAGTGAGTCTTTTGTTGTCAATTCAGGTTTATAGAAACAAAAGGATTTTATTACTGAAACAGCGTCGGTGGATGTTTTGTGAGACGTTGATATATATCTGTATGTGCATCCAAGATCTTTCCAGGAAACGCATATTAATGAGTGCTCGAGAAAGAGCACAAAAAAGACTGAAAGCATAACATGGTAAATATAATGCATGTCTTTAATTATGACAAAACTGTTTATAACGTCAAATTAACAACTTACAGCGTGCAATTAAACATCACTAGCTGTATTGACACACATACGAACAATGATTGCTTTTGTGGTTGATATAAGCTTCTTGAATAATACAAACTTTCGAATTATCTCAAGTAGCGAGCATCTAGAATATCCATAAATTCAGTAACGCTCAATTTCACAGTAATTATCGTAACAGCAAACATTTTTGTCGCGCTTTCTCCTGGATGTTTGGTGCTAACGCATTCCAGTTTCAAGAGACAGCGTTTGTAATTTAGTAGCGTGCTCTAAGTGCCCAGAGATGCTTTATAAGCCATGGTATTAGCATACTGCTTTTACTGAGATGCCATGCCATTGATATATGATGCATGCATCTTCTGGCTATGGGCTGCCAAAGCAACGAAAGAATGATGCTATATTACTCTCCCAGAGCAGCACGCTTTCTGAGCATTGCAGGCATTTTGAGTCTATTACTTTCATCCTGTATTAAAAGAAGCTAGAACTCTAGCGATGTAGCATCCCGGTGTGATAGAAACCACTTTTTCTCATCGGTAAAAGGTGGAAACTATCATAAATATAGCAAATTATGTTAGTAAGAAGGACAGAAAATGTCATTTGACTACTGTCAGTGACCTATGGGCTCTATAATGAGATTTGCAATATTAATTTAAAACAGCAAGACTTTGGTTGATAGTGTCGAATAGAATCAATGCAACTTTCTGATTGTCAAAAAGGCGTCGACGACTTTAAAATATCGCTGCTGGATTTAGCTGTTTTCTGAAAGCCATCAGTTGCAATTAGCAACAGCAGCACAGAAGATCTTGACATGGCACATTTACGCCCTTTGTTTATAACCATGGAGCTTATGCATTGTTCACTCAAAGATAAAATACGAACATACTTTGGGGTAAAAAACACAACAAACTCACTGATCTTTTTCTTGTTTTATTCACATGGACAAACGTGTTTGCTTTTCTATTCATGGGATGTTGCTTGTTACACACTGAACACTTCAATTTGTGAAATCCTAATTAAATGGGTTGTGCCTCAAAGTTTTTTTTTTTTTTTTTTTTTTTTTTTTTTCTGGTGCTGGACCTATTATTTATTTATTGTAATGCTAGTTGCATTTTCCCTTTCTCTCTCTTTCTCCTTTTCATCTGTTTAATCTTTCTTCTTAAAAATTGGTGAATGTCTCTTTCCTATGACTTCGTAGTATCCGAATTTAGACATTATGATTATAAGAACATCTTCAACAGCAAACAAACGGAGATGAGCACCTCGTCACCGCCCTCTTATTCTGCTGTATTAGCAGAGAAGTATCAACAGCAATGTGCAACATGGAGTAAAAAGGCAAGTAACACTCACTTAATCCGGGCCCTCTCTTTCGGTTTCTTACCTTTTAAAATGTGAATAGCTGAAAGAAATGGATCACTTGCTGCAGTCTATGAAAAGATCCATGAAAGATACGCAATTCATGCTGAAATCATACCAGCGATGTTGCCAGAGGTAGAGAGCATCATAAACAGCAGAGATACACAATGACTAATTGCAATACATAGGCTCGAATTGAAGAATCAAACTCTGTTATTGAGCCTGAAGAGTGAACTAAGTTTGTTATCCGACATGTAAGACTGATCAATGATGGCTGACTCCGCCCTTTATTCACTAACAATACCAACATCAATCATTCCAAAATGTAGTGATACAACATCATTCGATTTTACGTCAGCCCAATCGGATCAATCATATCAGGAACATACAAATGACAGCCTCAATCGCATGAATCAAGCTTTACAGCGCTTAATCATGGAAGCAGAAGCCAGTCTGAATACTCGCTTATCGTCTTTTGATGCACCTGCTGTAGATCACTCTCCCAAATCACTACGTAAAACGAAATCGTGTCCTAGATTGAATAAACAGCTACAGCAAAAAAAGAGGTATCTTTATAGTCAATGGAGATTAGCTACTACCATGAGACAGTTTATTGAAACTGTGCAAAATACGACGAGGGAAAAGAAACTTGAAGTCGGCATCGCGGAAAATGCGGTGGTCTATCATCACCACCATCATATTCATCACCACCATTATCATCATCACCACCACCATCATCATGATTATACCCAAATAACGGAAGCATCATTACCATCAGCGCCGTCAAATTCTCGACAATCCCCCTCGACTCCTTCTCTTCCTACTTCTCCAACTGTAGCAGATCCACCAAAAATGCTTCAAAGTGCCTCGTCCCTGACCTCGCTCTTTAAATATGCTATTGACACTGTTGGCGGCTTCATTCCACAATCACCCCCTTCCTCTATAAAAACAGACATACCACAAACCAAGCCTATCATAACAACAACCAAAACAGCATTTTCAAGTCTATCCAAACCTACATTGCACCGAGCCATGTTTATATCGACGATACTGATGATGCGCAAATTCAACTATTCCTCGCTGTGGTTCCGCCGAGGAAATCAAGTAGAGACCTATTGGAAATCTCGTCCACGCTATAGCAATCTTCTGAGAAACAGAGCACAATTGTTGTGGTATATCCTCCAGCTTTTCGTTTCAAAATCAACCATAAGCAGGACAACTAGAAACCCTTTTATTTTGTAAATAGATATACACACTCGCATTCGCTTCATCTGTACATCCACTTGTAAATATCAATAAATATACATACTGTAAATCTCGAGACCTTTGTCTAGAAAACACATTACTTTATCGAGACCTCGGTAACCGTGGAAATAGCATATGGGGAGTACATTACTTTTGATTAACTTCTTTCGGATTAGACGCATTGCCATCCGAAGCCGACTCGTATGCTTGTATTATACCTGTTGGCTAAACTTGAAGAGATGTTCTGAATATAGCGCCTGTAAAGCCTCAAGTAGGTATTGTGACCAAAATCCATCGAAAAGCAGCATGAGCAAAAGAAAACTGCTAATAGGGTCTTTTCAGCTTTCTCCAAACGTTATAGAGCACTTTTTGTGTGTCAACAGCAGTGTAACAATAACAAATGGCACACTTTACATCGATGATTATTCTACTGTGTATCTTGGGCTACTGTCCGTCAAATGACACACACAGTTTATTGAAGCAAAAGACGGTTTGGGGCCAAATCGCAATCTAATTTCATGTTTGAGGGTGTTGAAATGTGGTTAGTCTCTTGTTGAACCTGATCATAGATTCATACCACATACAACGAGCTATCCATCAACTGAGCAGCCCAATGTTATCCTAGCTCCTGTTAGACCTGTCAACTGTATTTAGTCATCCAAAGATATTCTCATTACGAAGAGACAGTATTTAGTGGTTTAAGATTTATAAACATCAAATTGAACGCTGCGTTCAATGCTCTATACCACAATGCTGATTACATCTATAAACTGCTTTCAAATAGCACTGGATCATAAATCCAGCGTAAATGAGCATTCCAGGGTGTGTACATCTCAACACCAAAGCATTCTTGAATGCGGTAGGTAGTAACTCGCTCGATATTGCTTCTCAAATCCCAACAAGACCCAGATCAAACAGAAATATACGCCATTTCTTTGATAAAAGGCAGGATTTGGATACTATACCTCTACCAACGACCTGAATATACCGTACACTACCTTGCTATTTGGTTTGTTCAAGTGGCCTTTCAGGTGAGAAGCGTTATTTGCATTTGTAACATCCATATTGTCTGCCGTGCAACGCTCCGAGAACACACACACACACACACACACACACACACGGATACCCAAGGCATCCTCCGGCAAATGAAAATATAATGGGCATACATGTTAGTCACCAATGATAGGTCCTTCTTTTTCTTTTGCAAACAAATATATCAAAAAGCGAGCTTTTTTCGAACAGAAAAGGGTTCACGATACCACCGCAACAACACAATTTACGAGATATTTTACTTGGTCTTTCTCTTTTGGAAGGTCTTTATTGCTAGTCTAAAGTCTGTCTTTGGATACCATAAAACCTCCAGAAGAGAAATCAGAACAACCATTGTATTGGAATGGGAGAACAAGAAGTTACAATTGAACTTTAAAGAGTTCTCGAAAGGATTTGATCAAGCTACTGTGAGGGATTTGAAGGAGAAATGCAAATTGCTGACCAATGTGCCTATTGCAACTATGAAGCTTCAAGTGTCTGGTGGTAAGTGTGTATGCCATGTTGGAATGGAATGCCTCTTCTCATATACTGCATTTACAGCTAATTTGAAGGATGACAATGCCACATTATCGAGCGTTGGGGTTCATACCAACTCGGTCATCTCGTTGAACGGTGAATTAGTTGACGTAAGTGTGTGCTGTTGCGTGTGGGAGGAGCAATGAGTCTTATAGACATGGTAGGAATCCGTTGTCAAACAAACAGCGTCTGGTAATCCTGAAGAATACGGACTCATGGTTCGCATTGCCAAGATTGTGGACACCTTATCAGACGGCACTGTGGATCAAATCGAAGATTTTGAGGAAATGATTTCAGCATCCAGCGGCAAAAAGCTGAACGAGAACGACAAAAAGAAGTTACAGGACAAAGGCATTTATCTATCAGAAAAGATCATGCAAGGCCTTATCAGTTTAGACGGCGTGGAATGTCCCAGTAGCTTTGAAACTGCTAGACAACGCAGAAGAGACGGCGTGAAGCTATCTCAGCAACTACTAGAGCGCGTGGATAAATCAAGGGCTGTCGTTAGAGATTTATGTAAAAAGTAAATATAATAAAGCGTTTTTTTTTTTTTTTTGACATTTTGAGCGAAAAAGGGGAGCTGGCTGCGTACAACTCAGAAATCAGAAGGATTTTTTCTCGGGCTACTTTTCATTCTTCTTCTTCCCTCAATTGCATACAATGGCTTCATGGAGACTCAAATATGTCAGCTTGATTATAAAACGATACAACTCGACCGCAATTACATATGGTATGCTACGGCCATATCAGAAAGAATGCATAGAGACCACAGTAGACCAGTTCGACAAGGGTTGTATTAGACAGGTGGTGTCTCTGCCAGTTGGTAAATCCAGTCATTTAACACTCCTTTGCATGGTGGGTCATCTAACGCTTAGTAGGCAGTGGCAAGACTGTAAGCACATGAGCAACGAGAACATGGCAGAGTAGTGTATTCAAGTCTCTTTGCATGTAGGTCATCATGTCGAATCTGATACCACTGATACCCTCGCCAACGCCCGAAGCAACCAAAGTATTACTCCTGGCTCATAGGACAGAATTACTGGATCAGGCGCACAATCAGATCAAACGATACAACCCAGAACTAGTAAGCACATACAGACATGGAGTCAGCCCAGCGGTATTGACCATCGCATGTAGAATGTACAAGTGGAACAAGGCAAGCGAAAAGTGGATGTGGAGAAAGCAGATGTTGTCATTGCTTCTGTGCCGACACTAGGGAGACAGGATTCAGCCCGCATCAGCCAATACGACCCAAATCTATTCAAAGCAGTGCTGATTGACGAAGCCCATCATGCCACCGCAGACACTTACAAGCGCATACTCGAATATTTTAACTTTAGCGAGGAAGGATGCAAAAAGTTGCTATGGGGATGTACAGCTACGGTGAAACGACATGATGGAGAAGCGTTACGGCAGGTGTTTGACCGCATCACCTATCACAAAGGGTTTATGGAGATGATAGAAAACAAGTACCTCTGTCCCATGCGAGTAACCATCATCAATACTATGGTTGATTTGAGCGCTGTGCGGTCAACATCAGAGGATTTCGTTCAAAAGGACCTAGCAGAGGCCGTTAATACAAATCCGCGAAATCAAGTGATTGTGTCTAGTTGGATCAAGTATGCACACCAAAAGGGAAGGAAAGCGACATTAGTGTTTGCTGTTGATATCAACCATACAATTGAACTATGCAATGCTTTTATTGATGCTGGTATCAATGCAAAGTTCATCACAAGCAAGTCCAATGCCGTTGAGAGATTGCAAGTCTTGGAAGATTTTAGGCAGGGTAAAATTCCTGTGCTTGTGAATTGCGGTAGGTTTGTCGTGGATGGATGACAGCTGCCATGTGTACTCATCACACTGTGCAAGTAGCCATCTTGACGGAAGGAACCGATATACCCATTGTGGATTGCATTCTATTGACTAGACCAACACAGTCTACCACTCTGTTCCAGCAAATGTTTGGCCGAGGATTACGATTGTTTCCAGGCAAGGAAGATTGCCTGGTGATTGATTTCGAAGACAATTTCACAGACAAAGGAAGGCATAGCCTCATCACTATACCTACCTTGCTAGGCCTGAATGTAGCTTCCGTAGTTGAGAATCAGGATATCTTGAAATTGGAAGAGCAAGCGATACAACATCAAAATGCCGTAGCACGAGAGGAGCAGCACGCCCTGAAAGAGCAAGGTAAGATGACTTGCAAGTAAAATGAACGCTGTTAAATCATCATGGACAGAAAAACGAGAGGCAGCAGCGTTGGCTCTGGATCCTAACCGTGTCAAGATTAAAGTGACGGAATACGATGATTTAAATGAACTGATAGCGGATCTAACAACTTCTGAGTCAACTTACAAGTCTTCACCTTACGGATGGGTCGATGTGGGGAATGACAAGTGCGTCTTGTATGTGCCGACCAAAGGCCATCTAATACTGGAGAGATCCAAAGGTAGGTTGTCAGCAATAGCATTAGAGAATCATCACTAATATATTTTGTGTGTATGTCACTAGACACACAATTGTGGGTTGGCTCATTCAGATACCAACTCGCTGGTAAATCAAAGTTTGCAAAACCAACGCCTATACATCTGGAAGCTGCTGCACACGCAGAGGCTATTCGAGGCGCCGATACATGGATCAGAAAGCAATTTCCAATGTTACCAAGATACATTCACCAGCAAATGTGGAAATCGGCTCCTTTTCGATACGCCAATGTCACTGATGCACAGCTGAAAGCTTTGAAGCAGTATAAAATCGAAATCCCATCCAAAATTACAAAGGGTCAAGCCATGGTACTGCTTACCAAACTCAAATTTGGACAGCTCGCCTTGTGGAAAAGTCAAATTGACCAAAATATCAAGATGAAGAAAGCAGAGAAACAGAAGCAAACCGTAGCTGTTCTTTCCAGAAAGCATAATCATATTGAAGACTTTCACAAACAGGATTAATAAAGCAAAGCGCTCTGTTTATTATTACATGACTTCCAACCATTGTTGCCTTTTTTCTACCCACATGGACTTGACACATTCTATAGTGTCATGTACAAGCTCTGTAAACCCAATCAAATCGTGATGAATGTTGTCGATCTCTTGCTTGAATTGCATCCATAATATCAAATCCTCTGTTTCTTTTGTCAGAATCCTTGTCGTGGCACACACAAACAAGACGCTTCTTATTATGAAATACACAGATCCAACGGCGATCACCAAGAGCCTCGTAACATTCGAGCCAATTCCAGTGAGTACGGTGATGCATAGACAGAGTGTAAACCAAATATACGTCTTCAATTGCGCTCCAAAGGCCTGCTGAGAGCTTTTCAAAGCTCCTTCCATGCGACGTTCTTCGTTAGCCACATCTGGCAACGCGGAAATGTTCAGTCTGCATTCGTCATTGATGCTGACAAGCAATTGCCAGCTGCTGATGACTCTATCGTATGCTGTAATGATATCAGTTGAGCATGAGGTGGGCATGATTTGCGCTATATGGTTCAAACTGTCTATGTATCTGTTGCAGCTCTTTTCAATTTCCTTGAGATGCTGATAGTACATTTGCTGATGCTCAAGCCCACTTTGCTCAAGAACCTGCTTTATATATTCCTTATTGATCTTGGTCCCAAGCAGCTGCTTGATTCTGTGTTTTCTTTTATGTATTTGACGCCATATGTGGTTGTAAATGACATTGGAAATTTCCGTGAGGCTGTTTTCATCCATGATGCTTGAGGAAATGCGAAAAAGAGCCAAGACAGAGTTGGTAGAATAGGTCTGTGGGTGTCATTATTCAGCTCATGCTATGGTATCAATCAAGCTTGATATATGCCAGCTTTTTTTCACGAGGAACTAATCACATGAGCTGCATTTTTTTTTTTTGATCTCTGATTTTCTTGCAAGCTTCATTATTATTGCAAAATGGGATCTTACCATCAAGACATTTGGATTGAGTATTACAATCTTTACTGGTAATAACCATCTTTAAAGGCTGTACATTTCAAAGCAAATGCCAGCTTCAACACTTGGATCCACTAGGCTGATCATCCATCACCAATTACCAAGTATAATCATCTCGATCCACTGCAGACAGAGTATCAGTCGGCTGACATGGACATTTAGAGCCATTTGTGATCCCTTTATTACAGATAAATGTATAATGCTCCTACGGCGTAGCAAAGCATTTAGCAAGCTCTGCTTGTTTAGTATATATATACCACTATATTCTGCACTTTTGATACTGGTTACTCTTCTTTTAATTCACATTCTACACGCAAAACCAAGCTGAAATGTGCCATGTATGATCTAAGCCATTTAGTTCCAGATACAAGTTCAGCAGTGCAAATGGCCAGAAAAAATATTTTCCTTTTCTTTCACTTTTCCACACATATCAAGCCCATTTGTGTTGACTACAATGAAGAAAAAGTACAAAACAAAGTTCCCTGTGGTAAGTTTTTTGATGCTATTACATCCAGAGCAAGAAAACATGTGTTGAAAGTCTTTCGATATTGCTGCATCTAGGCGCGTATCAAGAAGATTATGCAGTTGGATGAAGATGTTGGCAAGGTTGCTCAAGCTACTCCAATCTTGATTTGTGAGTATCATCATCAGCTAGTTGTATTGTTTCCCACATTAACCTCGTCTTAACATTGCAGCTAAAGCACTGGAACTGTTCATGCAATCGTTGATAGATCAAGCATGCCAGGAATCTCGCGAAAGAAGTGCCAAGCGATTAACAGTGGCCCACCTGTAAGAGAGCACCGAATGGACCATTTGGATTTCCTCACTCATCATTTGACCTGTAGGAAGAAGACCATTGAAACTGTTGATCAATTCGATTTTTTGAAGGATATCGTATCCAGTATTCCAGATCCTTTAGAATCACAACAATCCGATACTGTGAACAAACCAATACGTGCCAGCAGAAAATCAAGAGTCAAAGAAGAATAATGCAATCCAGCAACAGAATCGGTAGTTATTTCGCCTTTATTTTCAAACTGTATATACAAAGATTCGAAATCATTACCATTTTATTCACAACATGCAGCTCTACAATCTCATTTGCAATCTCATCCTCTTTCTCTTTCACACACACACACACACACACACACACTTTATCTCGTCTAGTGATACCTAATAAAAGATTAAAAAAGGCACACTTGTGGTGAATTAAAAAAGAACCGAGATATTCTGCATATCTGCTATACGACTCAACAGCCAAATCTCCCCGCTTTTTTCATAATCTTACTTTGCAAAGGGCATCCATGATCCTTTGAAACTCCCTCAATTTCGATTCAAGATCTCGATTGCATGCAAACTTGGATTGATTATTAAAATATTTCTCCTTTTTCTCTACTACATTAACTTACATTATCATCTCGAAAATGACGGCTCCTTTGGTAGATGAGGAAACGCCTCTTGTTCAGCAACGACAACAGCAACCACAACCACAGATGAACAAACAAGATGTGTATGCTAAATGGAGCATTATTGCCGGTCTTGCCCTGTTTGTCTCACTTGTTATCTCTGTTCTGGTCCGTATACCTTTCAATGTCTTTACATATCACCCTCTGTTCATGACCACATTCATTGTTCTGGTTACCGAAGGCATCTCGTTATTGCAACCAACCTCAACAGAGATTGAAAAGAAGCGAGGATTGAGACATCATGCCATCATCCAAACTACCAGTTACCTGTCTGCTATCTGTGGATTTTCATTCATTTTCTACAACAAGGTTATTTCAGGAAAGCATCATTTTGAATCGTATGTAAAATTAATCATCATGTAAAAAATATCTGACTAAAGTCTGTGTATTGGCTGATTAGATTCCATGGCAAGATGGGGTTATTTGTATTCATCTATCTCTTTGTTCAGTTGGTCTTTGGCGTGTCAATGGCTCTTTTACCCAAGCAAATATTTGGATCTGTAGACAAGGCCAAGAGTACCTGGAAATATCATCGTGTGTTTGGCTACATCTTGTTGCTTTTGGTATGGATCACTGCTCAATTCGGCGTACGTGCAGACTATATGTACAATAACTTGTATAGCCCTCATTTAATTTGGTTGCATTGGGTATCTTTGGCCCTTGTTTTTGGTGGCCTCTACAGTCGCATTCGTTTTGACAAGTGGGGAATTATCAGACAATAAACATTGAGTATGGCGAATTATCTCTTGTCACACAAACAAAAAGTTAATCTTGCTGTAATAATGGCTTAATCTTTTGACCATGATGCAATGGATAGACCAACTTTTGGTGCGTATCAAAAGTAAGTAAAGTGGTGAAAGCATATTGCTTTGTGCGAATAAAATACTGCAGATGTCTGTCAGATAAATTAGCAAATTGTTGCTGAAATTGCTGTTAAAGTTACCGGGCATGTTTATCAGATTAATGTACTGTATTTCGTTGACTAGCTATTAAGAAAAATGCACATATACGTATTGCTGAGCAGCTTGAGTCTATGTAAACTTCATACACCATGATTTGAAAGTTTAAAAAATGGTTACTCCTTTGTATTTAGAGACTACTATATAACGTCATACTACTTGACAGCAAGGTTTATTAATATGGCAAGCACCCATCGATACTCTGAAAGTGGTAACCTATTAAAGAAGCTTATGGCACGCTGAAAAATCAACATTGACCACAGATTTGGCTAAGATAATACCATTATAGGGCTGTCATTGAGTCAATCTAATAGGATCTGCGAGCTCCTGTTGGTTATAAAATAATGCCGAGACATTATTCTTGCATCTGTCAATCGCTCAAACGTATTGTTTTCATTAGCAACCATTGCTCTCAGTCAGTAATAAGCTTATACATAGCTAAAACACACAGCACATCTTTGGCCCTTTGCCACACCACAACTAGGGAAGATTTACCAGAGAGTTTTTACTACTAATAATTTTTCGAACACTTAATCCATCGATCTCGCACTACTCGTAATTAAAAGTTTTTAATAGCTTTTATACAAAAGTTTCTGCTCCAAATTATTTTATTTGAATAACCATCCGTTTCAAGACAACAACAACCTACCATCTAATCTAAAATTCCACTGCAGTAATATCCTTTCCTCGCAGAATTTTGCTATAGAAACATGCTCTTCTCAGAGCTCTAGCAGCATCTAAATTTCAAAATTTAATTTTGGATGGCCCAAACCTCGAAGTGTTGCATACAAGCATGCATCTTAGGTTACATTCACTTTCTCCTCAAGCCACCTTTTACAGTGTAGCAGCATAGATGATGTTTATCGTATCACATCACATCTATGTTTACAAGTCCAGTCAATTGTGTGTGCACAGGTACCTCAGGAACTACAATACATTCAATTTCCCCAATGTCAAGATATCGAGATCCACCTACACTACATGAAACATATCGACTTAGGTGGCCTCTCAACAAGCTATACCAACAATCCATAAGGCCCCAGTGGCCTGCTATTTATATACCATCTCAACGTAGTAGTCATTGACCAGGGATCTACCATATTTAAGCAAGCTAGATGCCTTGTAATAAAGAAGCTCTTTGCTTTCGTTTTAGATACAGTTGACAACTGATTATTATCATCGACTTATTATTACGAATTCATCACGAAGACGGAAATACTTTTGTACATCCAAAATCTTTGATATGAGGAAGAAATTGACAAACCCTGAAAATGATACAACATGTTGAAAATCAATGATAAAAGACACATGTTTGGCGAAGCATTGGGTATTACTGGGAGGATCTAGTACCGAGAGTGCTATTGTACCTATATAATAACTTTTTTCCTCACATAATAAATTCAATAAACATCCCTCACATAAAGCTGTGTAATCGGCGGCATATCAAATCATTGCACTTTATATTGTTTTGAATAAAGAAGCATTTATATTATAAGTATCTGGATACTCTTTTATTACAAACATAAAATAATGTTAAATGACAAATCAATAAGAAATCAACTAGCTGTAACTCTTCGCTGTTCCAACCTCTTAGCCAATCAAATCGCTTAAAAACTCCGCTGACCTAAAAAAAAATTTGCGAGGGTTTCCCCCTGTTTTGATGTGAGGCAAAATTTTAAGCTCCGCTATATATAGCAATATAGCTGTTACTATCATCAAATTTCCCTCAGGTGCTAGAGCATGCCTTACTTACACCACCTAGCTTTAAGTTCAGGCATTGAGACCCTCAATTATCACTAAAGTAAGTAGCGATAACCAAGTGGAGGCAGCCTATCTACCTCCTGGTGTCGGATAAAGTCTTGTTGAGCTTCAGTGATAGGCACATCCACACAACGTAAAAAAAGGTATGCTTCAAAGAAACATAAAAATAATAAAAGAAAGAAGAAAAGAACATACTACAATAGGAGTATAGTAGTACGTAGGCAAAAAAGGGATACTCACACAAAGTGAGTCAAAGAAAAGTATAACAAATACAACATCAGAGACGCTCAGAACAGCTCGTTGTTGTTGCAACAAAAACGCATACATGAGCAACATGCATGGCAATAGTCGGATGTAAAGCAACATAACCAACAAAAGAAGAAGAAAAGCGTAACAAAGTAAACATCATGAATGCATTATCATGACAAAGGAAGCAATAATACAAGCGTTCAAAGAAGTTTTATATCATTGCGACCAGAAGAAAGAAGATACTTACCACTTACCACCACTACAGATAGACCAGAGGATACGCAATCACCGAATATAGACCAGAGAACTAGCATGAATCAAAGACAGTAGACCAGAAAAGACCAGATTAGCAGCAGCAACACCAGTACCGTCGACAGACTAAAGGACAAACGCCATCAGCAGAGACCAGACAAAGGCCAAAGAAGTTACTTACCACTTGTCACCTCCACAGATAGACCAGATACTACGCAATCACCAGGTATGAACCAGAGAACGAGCATGCACCAAATACAGTAGATCAGGAAAGACCAGATTAGTAGCAGCAGCAGCAACAGCAGCAGAAGCGCCATAGAAAAACCGAAGAACAAACGACACCAGAAACCAGAGAAAGACCAACGAAGCAATCACCAGAGTTAAACCAGAGGACAATCATGCACCAAATACAGTAGACCAGAAAAGACCATGTTAGCAGCAAAAGCAGCAGCAGCAACACCAGCATCATAGAAAAATTAAAGAATGAACGCCATCAGCAGAGACCAGACAAAGACAAAAGAAGTTACTTACCTCTTATCACCACCACAGGTAGACCATAAGGGTATAGGCAATCACCAGATATAAACCAGAGAATGAGTATGCAGCAAAGAAAATAGAGCAGGAAAGACCATATTAGCAACAACGGCAGCAACACAAGCTCCATAGAAAAACCAGAGAATGAACGACACCAGAGACCAGACAAAGACCGGAGAAGCAACCACTAGTAGATATGATAAACCAAAGACGCAGACAGCAGAGACAGCAGAAAAGGAATGGCAGCAGCACCCACGTCAAACAGGCAAAAAAATTATCAAAACCTAATAAACAAACTCAATTAGTATTAATTTTATTACGCCTTCCAGTGCTCGTTATCGAATGGTATCTAATATATCCCGCTTCAAAGAAGCAGTATTAAGTTCTTCCAACAGTACAAGACAGAGTTATCGGAAGCTAGAGTGTTATTATCAATCAAACGGTGTCCAAAACAACCATGGTTTGATACTAAAACACGTTTTGCAAAAAGGGTAAAAAACGGGGTTACGGAAAAATGAGAGGGCACCCTATCCGACGTCACGGCCAGTAAATTTAGTCTCAGTCTTGTACCGTAGCAGCCGTAATTGCGGCAGTTTAATCTGAAATTGTGCAGTGGTATTTCCGTGTTCAAACTTGACCTGATCCGACATCTTTTAAACGTTTTTGCTAAATTCGACTATGAAAACTCTCGTTATTACACCCAACTTTCTAATACAACTCTAGAGAACTAAAGAAGCGGCATCAAATGGTGCTAATTACTCTCAGCTTTCAGACCAAAAATAATGAGCAATTTCCAAAAACATTAAAACAAGTTTTCTGTGGATATGTCAGAATTCAGCATATGAAAGCCTCATAGAAAGAGTGTCCAATGTTGCATTTCATCTTTACGATTAATTTGACCTAATATGTATCATAGAAAAAGTCTTCACTTTTGACGTGAAAAACGCGATCGTTTGATTCTCAAGAATTTTCCCTTGCTAATACTCATGGAAAAACGATAATTTTCATGAATTTGCAATGTCCCAAAAAAAAATTGAGATAAAGCATCAAGAAGTAAAGCGTGGTCAAGAGGAGATGTGTGGTGCTATTCCAAGCGCTCAAAAAGCTTTATGGCATGAGTTATTCGTGCTTGAAAATGACTAAGTTTGCACAGAATTCGAACTAAAACGACGGCGTAGTGGGTTGCGTTACCAGAAGAATAAGTTACACTTCTGTCTGATAACTCAGATGCTGTGTATTGTACATTATAAAAATCTCTAGTATCAACCCAAGGCGTGGAAAAGCTGTCCGCCCTTCGTGGTGAAGAGATGCCCATTATTATGGCTCAAAACCTTTGCCAAACAACCATAATGTTGCATACAAGCATGGCTTGATACTTGACGTTAATAGGTACTTGACATGATAAGGTTGCATAAAGCTTGGCATGACATAGTGACTACTAATTGTTGAGCACAAAGAATAAAAGGATTATTATTTGTAGCTTCTTATAAAAAATGTTCGATATTATAAAAACAAGAAAAGGCTTATTTGAATAAGATCAGACACAAAAACTAAAGATTTATTGATGAAGACAAGAGTTATTCTATTTATACTAAGTTCTGAATGCCAAAGTAGCAATTTATCTTGTACAACGCTTATCACATCTGGTGAACCTCAGTATTTAGATAGCTGAGATGCACTTCACTTATCGTAGCTTGTCCATGTTGTTGCACAACACAGACATATCTACCCATCAAGAATACCTTAATCTTTATAGACAGTTGTAGCCTTTCTGGCACAACAATACCCTTTTTTGACCATATCTCGACAAATACTCACTGGATTCGCACAAAACAAAGACCATTCGATAGCTCTACGCTATATCCATTATAATATAAAGGTCTTAAGTACCAGATGTACGTTCCTATCATAAATTTGCCCAAAATCATATATTTTATGAGCTACAAGCAGAGGATATTCAATTTTTTATTTATTTATCTATAATAACCATACCATCGTATAGAGAATTGAAAAAAAACAGAAGCTATTAAGCTTGAAGCTCTCGTTCACTTAGTAAAACCTAGCGGTATGGCCCATTGAAAATCAGTCATTAGGGACATTTTTCGTCATTACTCATCTACATCGCCCTTAATAACCCCACATCAAACATGCCCTAATAAAAAAAAAGCACCCTCTACAACGTTCACTACACATACACCCCACACTCATATAGTAATTTAAAAGTTTTGCTAGCAGCGTCCATTCAAAATGAACCATTTTCGAAAATCTTTTCTTTCTCAACAACCATGCTACCTACGCATATTTCAATTACACCATCGTCTGGAGGGCAAGAGCGGATTTTTAAATATGATGTTCTGCCAATCACAGCGAAGATGTAGATCTCGTCTCTACATATGGAATAAATGACCAAAAAAATGTACGCATATACAGTAAGTAGGTCTGGATTTTTGAATCTGATATCAATAACGCTGTATGTTGTCTAAGAAGGTCAATCGGTTGCTCTGAAAAGTTGTTAGATCTGATATATATATATATATTACATTTTATATGATTGATGGTCTCTACGCAATTAGCATTGGTGGTGGTTATAGCGTGGAAAGGATAGTGGGAAATACTTCGCGTATTTCAACATAATTCGCATAAATGTAACTATGTCTTCATCATGATATGTGTTTTAAAAGGAATCTTTTGGAGCCAATATTGCAATTGTTCCTTTCAGGAAAGAAGTATCTTCCTTCTTTTGAGATGTCAATATAGCAAAAATACATTCAACAAACATTATAGTCGTACCATTGTTGTAAATGCCAATATTAAGCAATGGGTTACCAAGCACATTTTCGCACACCATTGAGTCTATACGAAGTAAGATATTTTAATTTAGTTTCTTTCAAATGTTCTTCCCTCCTTGATTTAAAAAAAGTGGTCCAATGTTTTCAGCAATTATAATCATTGCGTTCTTGTTTTTGAACGACGTTATCAGAAATTCAACTGAAAGTAAGTAATCTCTTGATACGACACTATCAGTACATTCAGCTCATATATCGTAGATAGATCAGTAGGCAATGAAGTTAGCGGTCAAGTGGCAATTGCTTTCAAATCTGATTTGTGTCAGCAAGAGGGAAACAAGTTGCATGAGATGTTGACAGCATCTGGACTATCCAACACTACGCAATCACGAAACTTAGATCCAGATCAGATTACAAATACAGAGGGCAAAATCAAGGAGCACAGTATCATACATCAAGCTTTGAGTGCAAATAAATTGAAATTGACCAAAAATAGGCGTAAAGGTTGATGAAGAGCATGGAGCAGGCAAGCAATTAGAGGCTGACATCTAACATCAACGTAAGAATCCGAGGTCTTGAGGAAAAAGTCAACTGTTTGATGGTTCAGGAAGAGATAGACTTAATGAATTCAACCTTATGTTAGCAAGACTGGCAGCTACCTCTATAGCAAATCATATAAAACAGTGCCCAGCAGTCGATGCCTCTCATCAGAAGCTACTACATATCATAACAGAGCTGTCAAAAGCCATCAAGATAAGAGTTTGCATACAAAGTGTCCACGCGAATGCCAATGCTCTATGCTTAAAATCATGCGCCATAGTTGCCATGACACCAAATCACATCTTTGGTGTTAATACTCATAAAAAATCTCTCTTTATTTGATTGGTTTTTCAGAATTATCAACAATAAACAAAGCATACATCGTTAGTTGGATAATGAGCCATGAGATAATGAGCCATCAAGTCGAGAGCCTGTCTATCAACGGCCAATCAATTGCATATTGGTCTACATTTGCAATCAAGAAGAAAAAAAAAGTGACTGCAGCAGCAAAAGTGGTGAACATTGCGATACACATAGCGCGCGTAAACTTACTGTTTTACCTTGCTTTCATTTCTCTCTCTCCCGTTTTCAACCCATTATATATCTCCTTTATATATTTCTAACAGAAAACAACCCACACTGCTACTTGTGCTCATATCAGAACTAAAAAAAGCCCCAAGATGAGGTAAGATGAGAGACACATCATCGGTTGGTTTCAACCCCATATTAAAATTGATTTGTTTGTCATAGTAAAAAATCTTCAAGAGCAAAGAAGGGAGACGGCAACGTCCCCAATTTCGTATTTAAACTGGGTGGAGACGCACCCTCTTCTCCATCATTCAATTTCTCTGGAAGTCAACCTGGAAGTCCTGCCGCAACATCCACAGGCGCCTTCAACTTTTCATCGAGTAATCCAGCAAGTCCAGTTACGACAGGCAGTTTCAATTTTGGAGGAGGAGCTAGTTCGCCAGCCACTACATCAACTCAACCGTTTGTATTTGGCGATCCTGCAGCCTCTTCACCTACGGCAAACAGTGCATTCAATTTCAATTCACCCAATACTTCTGCATCAGCATTGCCCGGCTTTGGATCACAAGTACCAGGAACCGCATCTCCCACTATCAAAAGACATGTGTCAGAGATCAACTCATTGACTGCACCACCAGATCGTTCAAGTTCTCTTAGACGTTCTGCTTCAGAAATCACATTTGGAGCATCCAGTAATCCATCTACGCCACCTGCTGCTGGTAATTCAGCATTCAGTTTTAGCACACCTGCTGCTCCTCCATCGACAGGCACACCTGCTTTCAACTTCAATGCACCTGCTGGCAGTTCCTCCACCACGACACCTGCTTTGAATATTGCACCCCTCAATACTCAAAATTCTGCAAACTCATTTGGATCATCATTGAGTGCAACTAGTCAAACTTCATCTGCTTCCGCTGTTCCAACTGCTCCCACTGTAACATTTGGATCATTTGGATCTCCCAGCACCGCGCCAAATGTCAGTGCTGCTGCTGCTCCTGCCTCTCCAGCCTCTGCATTCAGTTTCAATGCACCAAAGTCTACTACCGGCACCGCCGCACCTGCTACATCCGCATTTTCATTTGGAGGTACGCCGGGTACTGCATTCTCAGCTGCTGCTGCTGCTCCATCTACCACTGCTACTAGTAGTACCTCATCTCCCTTCAGCTTCAATAAGCCTGCGGGATCTACAACTGCATCTACTGACAAACCAGCTGCTCCAGTTATCTCTTTTGGCGCACCAGCAACTTCCACCTCAGCCACGCCTCAGACCTCTGCACCTGCTGCACCTGCTAGCTCTGGTTTTGGTGGATTTTCTTTTAATAAACCTGCCGAGACTCCCAAAGTATCAGCGGCTACAACTTCGGTATCTACTGCCACACCTACATTTACATTCAGCACACCTGCTAAAGCATCTGATGATAAGGGAAAGTCGGCTACAACTACACCATCTTTGACATTTGGATCCAACAAGCCAGCTACATCAGCCGCTGCACCATCCAGCACAGCATCTACATTTAGTTTCAGCAAACCTACACCGGATGCTACTTCTTCCTCTTCAACAACCACCGCAGCCACCACATCTACTGTGCCCACGCTTTCATTCGGTAATGATAAAGATAAAAAGGAGGAGGGTAAATCCACAGTGACCAGTAGCCCATTCAGCTTTAGTGCTCCTGCTACAACATCTGGCAGTACCACTACCGCGCCAGCCATCACTGTAGATCCTAGCAAACCCAATCCTTTTGCTTTTGAAAAAGTGTTGGATGATTTGGCCAAGATTGCTGCTCAACCACCTAGTCAGATGTACGCATCATTAATAACACCAGCATTGGCCGCCACAATACAGTAAGTGATAAATGGAGAATGGATCTATTTACATGCTCATGTTACTTTTTTCTTCTCTCCACACTCTTTCTCTTTAAACACTTTTTAGGCAAAACCAAGTAGTCAATCACACCAGCTTTCGCATTGATAACATCATGTCTACCACACGTTTTACAGAGCTCCCAGAGCAAGCACAAAAGGAATTAGATGAATTAGAAAAGTATATCAAGATGGAGAGTCAACGATGCGAGTATATTGGAAAACAAAAGATGCCTCAGCATTTAGACGCTATGGATAATGCTAGAAAGAACACCGAAATATTGTCACAGGTAAGTTTATTTTATTCAAGTGATACACCAGCAAGGGCTTACACACACACACACACACACACACACACACACACTTACATATAGCAATTGGATGCGCTCTCGAGTACACTCAAAGTCCGTATGGCGAATGTGGAAACCTTATATGATGCCGTCAAGGAGCAACTACGACACGCTAATGATGGCTGTGCTGTGTTGGAAGCATGCAAACATCCTGGAAACAATGCAAGATGGCTGTTTGGTTATTCTGAAGATGATGAGTAAGTATTTTCCTTGAAAGGCGATGGACAATGTGGACTCATGCTAGGGCTGTAGTTACTTTTCTCAATTAGCAAGACAATTAAATGGTAGAGTTGAAGAGTACAAGAGATGTATTTGGGAGGTTGAACGCACTGCTGAATCATGGACACAAAACAAGGTTCAATCACCTCAAGGTAAGAGAGAGAGAGAGAGAGACATTTGGGTTGATGGAAGGACTTGTATACTAATGGCCGCCTTGTTAGATATTGCCGTTATCATGCGTAACCAGAACAAAGCCTTTTTGGCCTTGTCAAATAAGGTTGCCTCATTGCATGAAACTGTCAATGCTGAAAAGAATTATTATTACCAATACTTGAAAATGTATTCCTAAATGTTTACGCTAATAAACACAATATAACACTGAGTATAACCTGGATTAATTGGCATCGGTTTGTGGCATTTGTAGAATGATTGGCTTACCATTTGTAATGGAGGGTATCACACTTGAGCAATGAATTTCAAAAGGCATATATGTAGACTGTATGGATCCATATACAGTACGTCAATGTCCGTGCTGTAGATGGGAGTACCAGGCAGAGGAGCAGTAACGTGGAATGATGAAGTTGAAATTTGTTCTACCAAATATCACGTTCTTTAATTAAACGACATACATTGGAAATGAGATCCATTACAAGGCAAACAACTGAAAAAGTCTAGGTAGTTTGTTTTGCATTAAAGACATGATTTCATGTAGTTTATCGCTATGCAAAAACAGTGCTCTTCCCCTTTTTAATTTTTTTTTTTTTTTTTTTTTTTTTGCCCTGTTCTCTCTTTGCTCCCTTGAAATCCCATTGAACTGATGAATGAATGTAGGGTTACCATATTGAGTGAGAGAAAGGGAAGCTAGATAGATTCTCTGTGATACAAGCAACCAATGTTGAGCTGAGTCACATCATCAGCAATCCTTTTATAATGGCAAAGAACGAGCTCTTTCTTTGTCTCTTTCTCTCATAAACATTTGAACCCCCCCCCCACCCCTTAATTTGAATATATTTAATTTGGAGTAATCCAATTGTTACCGTTATTCCACCTTTTTTTCTTCTTTCCATCCCTTTCTTTTTTGTGGCTCTTTTATACTTCTTGTGGTTTATTGTATTTTAGCAAGAAATAATAAGAAAAACAAAGGATTAAGAGATATTTTTTTTTATTATATGAAAACAGTCAATTGATTGACCTGTACAAAAAAAAAAAAAGTAGCATTGCTTTTTTCTACATTTACAAGAAACCAACCCACTTATATCCACACGTTCCTTTCAATTTTTATAAGCCCACATACCCTACTTGTCATCAATAATACACAATGAGCTCGCCTCCCCCCAAACAATCATTATCGTCCCCAACATCCGGCAATACGCCTCAGCCGGTATTGCCAACACCTTCCTCTTCGACATCTGTCTCACTAAGACAATTGAACCACAACAAGCAATCCCAAATGCGAAGAGAGCTAGAGCAGCAGCTGATAGAGAAGCAGAAGCAACTGCAGGAATCAAACAGCGGGATTGGAAAAAATGTGCTTGCGAGACAAGTGAGCCAGCTTCAAGATCGTTTGAAAGAGATGGATAACAACATCAGTCATGAGGAACTACAGCCCACATCCTCTGTTGATAGATTGAGATCGTTAGAAAGAGACCTGTCGTCTTACAGATCACATCCTCTGTCACCTGGTATATCATCCATCCGTAACAAAGAGAAGGTATCTACGCAAATAAGGAGATGTGGAACTCTCTCTTTCTTATTACTCGCCTGAGATCTCCTAAATTCTTACTGACCACCGTTCTCTTCTTTTCTTACCCCCCTTTTTTGTGTATTCTATAGTTACTGAACCAACGCTCTCCAACACACACTACCACTTCAGTAAACTCTACCGGCTTAGATCCTTTACCCAGTCCTACAACATCCACTCTTTTACCGCCTGCACATGGCCATGATTCTACCTCCATGCTGCCATTACCACCACCTCCTACAGGATCCACACCTACAAAACGCAGATCCAAGATACCGAATACAGACCGCAGAAACACCGATATTGAATTCGCTACAGAAATTGGTCAGGGGCTACTGTTAGAGGTGAGAAAGATGCAAGCACTGCTACAGGAGAAAGAGGAAAAGCTTCGTACTTTAGAGAATCAAAAAGCTGATCTTGAACGAACTGCTGAAGCCATGGCAAAGCAGATGCGTCAAAGAGAAGAGAATGAAGGTACGTAGAGAGAGAGAGAGAGAGAGTAATGCGGTAAATGGTGTTAATGTTTAACTCTTCTGTGCACAGAAAAACTAAAGGAAGAGACTTGGAATCTGGAGCTGGCAAAGCAAGAGCTGGTAGTCAGTGTCACTGACCTTCAGACGAACCTGACCAAAGCCAACGCCGAGCAAAACAAGCTAGCCAAGCAAGTCAATGAGCTGCGAACTGAAATTGAGCAACTGCGTGATAGAGAGGAAAAGCTGACTACGACTATTGACAAAATGAAGCAGCGCCACGAACAAGACATGTCGTCTTTACGTCGGCATGCAGCAGGCATCCAGCGAGAGAAATCTGACCAGTCCAAACAGATCGAAGCATTGACATCCGAACTCGCAATTGCCAAAGCACAATCACGTATTGGTAAGCATGCATCGATGGAAGCGGACGCTCATCTGCGTCGCAGTGATAAAGAGCAGACAGACAGCGATCAAGCCAAGAGCACATTGGCCGTAAGGAATGATTCGTCACCCTCCACCTCGCCGCCTTCCTCACCCAAGCAATCACCCACACGCAACCAAGCGATGGAAGTAGAAACACTCAAGACATCACTCGCACATGCACATCGTATCATCTCTGGTTTGAGATCCAATCTCCACAAGGAAAAGACCGAGAAATTTGAGTTCAAGAAGCTCTTGGCAGAGTCTCAGGAAACCATTGAGCAACTACAAAACGACCCTCGCATGTGGGTGGATGCAGGCCCCACACGAGGTGCCGGTGGTTCATCGTCCAACATGAGTGCTCGAGTGGAAGATGGTCAGTTTGGAGGTCGCAGATCACACAAAGCATCCACTTCGTCCGCATCCAAACGCAGAGGAAAGAAGACGCTTGATCCCAGACGCAGTAATAGCAACAAGCTGAGCAAATCGAGAAACACTGGTGACAACGATTCAGTGTATTCGTACACGTCCATGTCAGACAACGAGGACAGTGAACTGGATAGCTTTGATGAGAGCGATGCGGATGCCTTTAACAGTAACAGTAACCACAAGAACGGCAAGTCAACAAGTAAGAAAGCAGCAGCCATTGGATTTACACCATTGTCCTCAGAACTTTCTCAGAGTCAAGCACAAAAACCTGTAGCTATGGATGCTCAAGTCAATACAGACGAACTGGACGTACTGCCGCCATTAGCTACTGTCATTGATACAGACACTTCAACAGCGCCTCGATCTCTCAGTGATGAATTAGGCATGGCCATGTCCCGAACTCCATCGACTGCTGCTGCTGCTGCTACCAAAGAGCCCAGCATCACAGACTCTCTCAAGAATGTCACAGGTGGTATTGCTGCTGCTATTGGTATGGGCGCTCTACTTGACAACGACAAGAAGACAGGCATTGAAATCTCTACACAAACGGACGAGGAGCCAGCCAAGGCGATAACTTGCGAGATATCTACGCAAACAGAACAAGCGACATTGCACGATGTAACTCAAGCTGCTTTCAGTCTGGAGCCTGAGGACCCTGCCATCGCTCAAGCTGCTCTTGCTGCTGCTATTACTGAATCTCGTAAAGCTGCTTTGGAAAATGCTGTAGATCAACAAACACAAAGCGAACCCGAGGACCCTTCGATTGCTGAAGCTGCTCTTGCCGCTGCTACTGCTGCTGCAGTCTTGGCCTCTCGCAAGCAAGCACTTGAATCTGCTGTTGATCAAGAAACACAAAGTAAAGTGGAGGATCCTGCAATTGCTGAAGCTGCAATTACTGCTGCCATTGCTGCCTCTCGTCAACTTGCTTTCGAGTCTGCCGTCAGTCAAGAGACTCAATGTGATCCTGCTATTCAAGAAGCAATGGTTGCTGATGCCCTTGCCAATGCTCGCAAGACTGCTCTGGATTCTGCCATTGATCATGAAACTCAAAGCGATCCTGAAGATCCCTCTATTGCTGAAGCTGCCCTTGCTGCAGCCACTGCTGCTGCTGTATTAAACTCTCGTAAGCAAGCACTAGAGTCTGCCGTTGATCAAGAAATTCAATGTGATCCAGAGGATCCCTTCATTGCTGAGGCTGCTACTGCCTCTGCTATTGTCGCATCTCGTCAACATGCTTTAGAGTCTGCTGTCAGCCAAGAAACTCAATGTGATCCAGAAGACCCCTCCATTCAAGACGCTCTCATTGCCAATGCTCTCGCTGCATCTCGCAAATCTGCTTTGGAGTCTGCTATTGACCAGGAGATTCAATGTGATCCTGAGGATCCTGCTATTGCTGAAGCCGCTCTTGCTGCTGCTACTGCTGCTGCTACTGCTGCTGCAGTATTAGCCTCTCGTCAAGAAGCCCTTGCTTCTGCAGTTCATCAAGAGACACAAAGCGAGACCGAAGATCCATCGATTGCCGAGGCTGCCTTGGCCGCATCCAACGCCGCTGCTATTGCTGCTTCTCGCAAGGCTGCTCTCGAGGCTGCTATCAGTCAAGAAACGCAATCCGAAGCTGTTCCTGTAGTGGATCATGAAATTCAATGCGACCCTGTGGTAGGCACAGATTGTGGCGTGCAGAGTCAAGTGGATTCTGTGGATGCTTCTATCCAGTCTGAATTGGTGGAAACCAAAGATTCTGATGTGCAATATGAATCTATTGATACTGCCGATGCTAGTGTGCAGCATGAAGAGACAGATGAGAGTCGCGAATTAGGTATGTATATGGTTAGATACCATTGTGTAGCATGTTGAGTAACATAAAACTTCGATAGCTGCTGCTGCCATTGCAGCCAGTGCTTTGGCCGCAAAAGAATTAGCTGTCCAGCACCACAGCATTGGTACTCAAAGCGAAGACGTGCCTACATCAGATGAATCAACACAATGCGAGGTTGCTGCAGTCTTGGACCATGAAACACAATATGACGTCCCTGCTGGTATTGATCATAGTACGCAATCAACATTGGCTGAAACACTTGAGTGTGGCGTTCAAAGCGAGGCACCTCTCACTGTCGATGCGGATGTCCCAGTTCAACATGATCTTGCCGACACTAAGGATGCTCAAGTTCAGTACGAGACGCCTGATGTCTCTTCCAGCAAGGCTATCCTTCCTGTGCCTCTCGTGTTGGGTGGCCATGGAGATCAAGACAAGGAGGCATTGACCGTCCCTGCAGCTAGTACAGAGGAGGAGGACGAAGAATTCTTTGATGCCTCTGCAGATTCAAAGCCTTCAAGTCACAATACTATCAAGAACGCTGCTGTTTTCAACAATGCTGTACCAGCATCTCGTGCTATTAAATCAGATCAACCTGATTCTATTGCTGATGGGCAAACTCATGAGGAGAAGGATAGTCATAGTCTTCCCTTCGCTGCCGCTGCTGCCGCTCCTGCTGCTATTGCTACTTCAAGGTCCATCAACACAACTGATGCTAGTCCAAACAAGGCACCTGATGCCTCATATGACACTGCTTCCGAGCCCCGGCATGAAATTGTTCCTGAAAAGGTATTCACTAAAGCTGAAACGGATGCGCTTGTTGCCTCTGCTGTCGCCATGGCACTTGCCAATGCTGCTGCTTCTCAAAAGAGGGAGGAGCCCACTACCAAGATTCTGAATGTGGATGACGTGGAAGAGGAGGATTCCAAGCGACACACCTGTGACATGAGCCACAACAACAATAACAGCAACACCATTGCACCTAATCATGATGCCGATTCAGCCGTTGTATCTCATTCATCTGGTATTGTGTCTAGAGATGATGAAGAACCTATCAGCGAAGAGGACTACGGCAATGTTGTTGTTCATTTACCACGTGAAGAGGATACAATCACTTCATCGCCTTACCAGGACAAGCGTCAACAACAACGTGAATTAGAGGAGTTGGCTATTCTCAATCGTCATGATCAAGCTCCTCGCAGTGTTGGAAACGAATTTGAACACCATGCCTCCAAACCTCGTTCATTGGAACTATCCATGGGCCCAGTAATGACTTACGGAAAGGAACCAGTGGATGTGGCGAATGATGCTGCCACAGGTGCTGTAGCTGGTGCTGTAGCTGGTGCAATTGCTACTGGTGCCACACTCCATCATCATCATCAACAACAACAGGAGACAGACGAAGAGGATATCATGGACATTCCTGTGAGACCTGCCAATCCACCTCCTGCTGCACTGCTGTCAAGAGCTGCTCTTTCACCCACCTTCAATGAACGATCCATGTCCCCCGTATCAGTACCCAGTTCCAAGGGCAAAGCACCATATGACTCTTACTCTGGTCTCTCATCGCCCACAACCAACGACGACAACCAGCCTTCTTCTTCTCGCTTGGATTTGAACAAGAGAGGATCGGTCAGTGTATCAAGCCTATCGACCACCAACACCAACGAGCAACTTCAGTCCATGGCTTCATCTCAATACGACGCCAGTGGCCGTGGTAGCACAGGTGCAGGCACCACAGATCCCAACATGATCAACCTCATTACACAGACCATGATTGGTGACTGGATGTACAAGTACACAAGAAAAGCAGTGGGTGGTGGTCTATCTGAGAACAGACATCAACGTTATTTCTGGATTCATCCTTACACCAACACGTTGTATTGGTCCACTGCTGGTCCTGGTGGAAATGGCAATGGACATGAAGCCAAAGCCAAGTGTGGTAAGTTGCCGTGTTGCGATACGTGTGTCTTTGTCTAACACATCTGTCTAGCATTAATTGAAAATATCACAGCTGTGCCTGATTATACCTCAAATGCCAACGGTCTACCGAATGTCAGCCTTTTGATCCAAACCAGTCAGCGCCAACTCAAATTGACAGCACCAACCATGGAGAAACATGAGCGCTGGTTAGAGGTAAAGTGGATGTAGACCATAATCAGCTTGAGCAGGTTACTAACTCTATGCATAGTCTATTCAATACTTGATTGCTCGCAATGCCAATGGTTCCAATGCTGGACTTACGCTGCTCAATGATGCCAGCCGAAGAGGACCTGAAAACTCCATGAACAATAGGTCAGTATCCAGTGGCACAACAGGCTCACTGCTCAACAGACCTAGCTTCCGCCGCATCCATGACATATTCCAACAACCCTCCGTGTCCACTTCAGCACCTTCCATGGCTACTTCCACAGGAGATGATCACACCGATTTAGACGATGAAGAAGATGAAGTACTTGAGGATGTGCGCATGTGTTGCAATGGCAAACATCATGTCTCCAAGCTGGAAAAAGACCACACACATCGACACCAATATCGCAAACGCAAGAACCACCACGATAAAACCAGAAATACCATTCCAACTGTGGGCTAATCATACCTTTCAGCTTCCAACAAAAATACAATACATATACAACAATTCACATTAATCAAATCACGAGTACTGCAGCCTTCCTTTATACAGTTTCCGTGCACTATCAATTTCTCCCAATTTATTAGATCTTTTTCATCAAATTATCCGTATATCAGCTTCAACCATAGTTTGCTTCCATTTCTCTGTAATAGCTTTTTAGTTCTCCATTCATTACATGTAATTACATAACTAATAAACATGATACTCTTTTAAAAGAATATGCATTGGTACTTTTCCGAGAATAAAGCCTTGTATTGCCTACAATGACAGCGGCACTCTGGATGGCATTAAAGCAATCAATACTTTGAGATAACCATAGCCCAATGCTGTGCATTCATCCCCAACTAAAACTTCGAAATTCAAGAGCATTTATATCGATGGCATGTATGGTGTTAGCTGTTTCGAGCGGCTTTCTGTTTATACAGTGGTTTTAATGGAGAGTATGAAAGGCAATGATGTAGTAGGCAATGCAAGACTTTATGTATTATTATTGTGTTTATGAATCTATACAAGAAACGATGATAATGTATGAGAGTTTGTTTATTTTTGAATAGATGATAGGCAACTTGAATAGAATTTGGATTGATTTGATAGAGAGATGATGAGTAACACTGTTTTACAAGCCGAAAATATCGAGTACGTACCTGCAAAGTTGACTGAATGTTGTCTTTATAGTTCGAGGTGAGCGCGACCATCTTTTGCATGAACCACAACGTAAGAGGACCATGAAATTATGAGGGCATTGTATGAGAGAAGTCAATAGATAGTAGAGCACTTGATTTAGATGACCTAATATAAAATGGAAACAGAGTCTAGGAGTCTTGAAGAGGCAGTTTGTTATAGAGCCAGTTTGTTTATAGAGCCAGTTTGGCTTTTTGTAGAGGTAAGATAAAGGAGATGAGGGAAAACTTGTTCAAAACGAGGTTTTATTATATCTTTTTTCATCTTTGCTACATATAATTTTATTTCTGTTACCTTTTCTCAATAATATGCTTATGTAGAAACGCAAAGGATAGTACCATTCTAACGTTTGACATTTGCTCTATTTGGTCCGCTTCATTCGATGCTTGCAACTGTTTTCTTTCTTGAGCTATATTCATTTTATTGCCAAAAGCTCTTTTTCCACTTTCATCTGAAACGGATTTCCCCATCTCTTGCTGATTGTAATTAACAGACAGAATTTCACAGGCTCATTCTCATCAAAATGTGAATATGCCATTTGACTCTGAAGCAAGTGTAACTGATTGCTTGTTTAGGTAATCTTTTCTCTGGCTCTCCTTATTTCCCTCTCTCTCAGCATACGGTTTTCGATCCATTTATCTTGCTGTTTGCATCCACCATGAGTTGTCTATCTAATTGGACAATACGAGGTGATAACATTGGCTTATTCATCATTTATATCACTGCGGAACCAGTGCAATGATTTTTGTACCACAGATCATGCATTCAACACAAGACAAAGGTCTACACCTCTTAGAACAAGGTATCAGTAAGACTATCAAATGAAAACTGCTGCAATATATTCCATGGAGCAGAGCAAAATGGATTGTTTTTTTTTAGCCATTGCAAGTAACTTTGGGTCAAATATTGTACTCGCTGTCAATAGTACTAGTCAAGTGCTTATATTATAATACTTGTAGTTACATAGTGAGTTGCTTAGTCTTGAATACTCTACCTGCAACTTGTTGGTGATTTCATGCCAAAAGCATCGATTTCTTTAAAAATAACATACTTCATACCATACTCTTAAGAATTGTTCTCATTTGGAAGGTTTTCGGATCTTGCAAGATCAGAACAATTCAGGCGAAATCAAACTAGGTAGTTGCATGATTTAAGTTGGTCTTTACTTAAAATCAATTCACCCTAGCAGCCTCTCTAGCACATGGTTGCCTAACATGGCCGATCTTCAAACAGAATTAGCTGATCATTGCTTTCTAAAAGAGCATATTTATTGATTTCAGGTTTTGCGTGGACTCACCTGTCATTAGTAAGCCTTTGCCTCCAACTCCTCTTTTCCTCTTAAATTCAAGATGGTTGAATCTAATATTTGATCTTCAAGATAGCTTCATAACTACATTTTGTGCGTTTAATTCAGTATATAATTAGTTAATGGGCAAGCCTGTATTAAAAACATGCAGCTTTCAGTTGTCGTGGAGAAAGGTGGTTTATCTTCTTGACTAATCGAGCAAAATGTAAGAGCCGCTATTTCCATCGTTCTACGCCATGGATTAAGTAAACAAACACAACTCCAGAAACGTTAGCATTGATGCATGGGTTAAAGTTGCTTTCAATAATTGTATATATATATATACAAAAACATATATGATATTCTCGAGGCTCAAACTCAAAGTATTCTGCATTTCGCATTATAACTTGATTCTGGGACAGCGAATAAATCTATCAAGTATAAAGATGAGCATCAAAAGCAACAGAAAAGTAGTCAGATTAATCTATAGTACTTTTCAGCTCTCAACTTTCTCTTATTAACTTTACAAATATTGATTGTTTTCGTGATATAGGCATCGTCAATCTGGGCAGCCGCCACCACCAAAACGGAATTAAACGTCCGCTTAATTATTGCGTTCCATATTGGCCGAATTTTACTCTTATTCGACTCGATCAGTCTATTTTGCCAGATCCGACTATACAAATATGATGATCATTCTATGCCTCTGTAAGCTTTCTTGGAGTGCTTTTCGAGGTGCATTCAATGGTGCCAAGTAAGATAGATGTTTTGAATAAGCGTATTGAGTAATTTACCAAAACATGAAAAGAGGTTTCTGGTCAGAATGTCGAAATTTTACATATCAAAGTCCCACAAAGATGCTTCCAGGGGTTACGTTAGATCGATAGCAACGTTTTAATGTAATACATACCATAGTAAAAGTTTTCGTTTTGGATGCCAAAAACGCGATTGTTTGATTTTCGATGAAAATTATGAGGGGTACCTCATGCTTTTCGGTCGATTTTTGGCCAGGGTTTTTTTTTTGGTCCCCAAAAAGTTGAGCAAAGGTGCCAGAAAGTAACTGCCAGATGAGAGCAATTGTTTGGTGCTAATCTGACAATCTAAAACGGCCTTGAACGCGGGAAAACGCAGCTCAAATGCACTTAGTTTTTGCTGTATCAGGGACACCAAGGACTAAAAAGGGAAAAATACCAGTATGCTGCTTGCCCGTATATAAAGTAGCTACGTGTATATGGATATAGAGCATCACATAAGAACCAGATCCACAATAATATGAAGGATTTTCATGTGTAAGTGGAGAGACAATATGAAAGTAGCAGTATTTTGACAAGATACGCAAGGGCAATTGGTAGCGCGAGCTGCCAATGCGCAGGTTGATTCTTACCGAAGCGTAAACAGTCGTATAATTTAAAGTAAAGACCTTCAAATTAAACCAGATACGAAAACTAAGGGTCTATTCATTGGATCCTTGGCCAATCATCCCGATGGTGATTTTTATCTTCTTCATGTCCTTACGACTTGTATTTTTATCCTTATCTCTCGTCTCTTTGCTCATGAATCCCAGTTTCTGTACATCTTGGATTTGAATCCATGCAAATGCGATGGAAGTATGGCAACTTCCAGAACGAGTGGTAGGGTTGAAGAAAGTGACATTCAATTGGTTTCCACCATCTACAAGTGAGTATTGAGTTTATAGTGGCGATCCCGTACTACCATTGCTATTGCTAGTGGTGCTATCAGTCTATCACTGTTTCTGAATAATATTTTTGATGTGCATTGTCTGATCTTGTTCAAATAGCCTCATCAGATTGGGGCTATACCTAATGATTGCAAATAAAATCACGCTTCTCCAGCGTTTCATCCAAAGGCTCGATGCAAATTTCATCTACTGACACATGCATACACATATATATACAGAGCGTCTATATTTCTACATCATCTAATTTGCCTATACCATGAGAATTTTACTTGCAATGCTGCTTGCTCAGTTGCACGAGAATACGGACATCCGCAGATAATATCAACGACATGAAACGCCAATGAATATGAGCTCTATCACCGCCCTTTTGTCACCAACAAGTCGCATCACTGTATCTGAGAGCTGACAGCTGATTCTGATTTAGCCCAACGTGTGTTCTGTTTGGTCTTTCGCGATGCAGACACATTGCTTTGACATTTGTCCAACACCATCATGATATGATGAAAGTGACTTGTTGATTTAAAAGCCTGATGGCCGTGGAAGAAGCATGTCAAATTATCCCACGGTCTGAAATTAAGAAGGGGGAGGAACTTTTTCGAGATGTAGCAATACACTTTCTTCATCTTTTACATCTTTTTGATTTATGACCATGACCTCTGACGCTCCTACGCTTGTGCCTGAAAACGCATTGACTACTGACCCCAAATGCCTTTGGACACCTTCTCATCCAGAGAACACACACATGGAGAAATTCCGCCAGCTCATGCAATCCAAGTATCAAGATGAGAAACTGGGTATGAATTGCACCGAGTCAAATCAAAAAGCATCCCAGCTCATGTTTTTCGCATAGATAACTACAATGCACTCTGGAAATGGTCCGTTGAATACCCAGAAGTGTTCTGGTCTGAAGTGTGGGATTATACAAATGTCATTTCCTCCAGCAAGGGAAACCATGTTATCGATAAAGCCGAGCACTTGGATGCCATTCCTGAATGGTTCAAAGAGGCAAGACTCAATTTTGCCGAGAACTTGCTGTGGTGTAGACGTTCTGATAAAACTGCCATCGTTGCTACTGGTAAGAGTGCGAGACAAAGGTCATTGGAAGGTTGCAGCGCGCTAACATCCATCTAGGTGAAGGCCATGGCAAGCGCTTCATTAGCTATGAAGAGTTATATAACGACGTTCTCAAATTTGCTGAGGCTTTGAAGTCATTGGGTGTCAAAAAAGGCGATCGTGTTGCTGCTTATATTCCCAATTGTGCAGAGGCTATTATTGCCATGCTTGCCACCACCAGTTTGGGCGCTCTTTGGAGGTATGTATTGTATTGGAAGGCGTGTGTCTGTCTGGGAAATTAACCTCGACATTGTGATGCTACAGCTCTACTTCGCCCGATTTTGGCACTACAGTAAGTTGGAATAGGCGTCTTGGTCAACATCGTGGGAAAATTAACACTTGTTTCTCATAGGGTGTGCTTGATCGTTTTAGTCAGATCCAGCCCAAGGTGCTGATCTCTGTCAATGCTGTCATCTACAATGGTAAAACACTGAACCACATCCCCAAGTTGAAGACTGTTGTTGAAGGTAAGTTACTTGCATGCCATCCAAAGAGCCTTTTACTAAAATTAAAAAAAAAAGGCCTCCCATGTCTCGAAAAGGTCGTCTTGATCCCATTCGTTGGTGAACTAGAGGAGCCTGAGAAATACGAGATTCCTTCCTTGGTTTCTTGGTCCAACTTTTTAAAGACTGTGCCTTCCGACAAGTTGCCCACTGACATCCAATTCGAACAGCTGCCATTCAACCATCCTGCCTTTGTATTGTTCAGTTCAGGCACCACTGGTCTCCCTAAATGTATCGTTCATTCGGGTGCTGGTCTCTTGCTTCAGTTGAAAAAGGAACACATCATCCACGGTGATATGAATCCTGAAGATGTGTTCTTTTACTATACTACTACTGGCTGGATGATGTGGAACTGGTTGGTCGCTGGCCTCAGTGTGGGTGCTACAATCGTCCTCTGGGATGGAAGCCCTTTCAAGCCCTCTCCCATCTGTTTGTGGGAACTGACAGATGAGTTGAAGGTGACTCATTTCGGTACCTCTGCCAAATACATTCAATCGCTCCAAGAGGCCAAGGTGTATCCTAGTAAGTTGTGAAATTACGTCTCGATTGCAGCCATATACTAACTCGTGGATTCAGTGGATCTCTGCAAGCTGGATACTCTCAAGGCTGTTTACTCGACTGGATCTCCCTTGAAGCCCGAGAGTTTCGATTTCGTGTACGAGCACATCAAAAAGGACATCATGTTGGGTAGTATCACTGGTGGTACTGATATCTGCTCCTTGTTTGCTGGTCATAACGCTGCTCTGCCTGTCTATCGCGGTGAAATCCAATGTATTTGTTTGGGTATGAACATCCAAGCTTGGTCTGATGAAAACAAGCCAGTGTATGCCAGTGCTGCTGATCTTGTCTGTGTCACTGCCTTCCCTTGTATGCCAGTTTGTATGTACGGTGATGGTCCTGAAAGAACTAAGTACAAGAGCGCTTATTTCGACGTGTATCCTCACATCTGGTATCACGGTGATTTCGTCTGGATCAACCCCAACACGGGTGGTGTTGTGATGCTCGGTCGTTCTGACGGTACACTGAACCCCAATGGCGTTCGTTTTGGCAGTGCTGAAATTTACAATGTGGTGGATAAGTTCAACGTGGATGGCGGCATTGAGGATTCTTTGTGTGTCGGTCAAAAAATCAAGGGCGAGGATGATGAGCGTGTTGTGTTGTTCTTAAAGATGAAGGATGGCAGTGAATCCATCTCGGATGAGCTGGTCAAGAAGCTCAAGGTCACCATTCGTAGTGAATTGAGTCCTCGTCATGTACCTGCCTTTATTCTTGCTATTAAGGACATTCCTGTAAGTTTCAACTGAATACCATATAATGAGAATCATCAGCTTACATCGCATGTAGTACACTATCAACGGAAAGAAGGTGGAGGTTGCTGTCAAGAAGATCCTTGGCGGTCAAAAAGTCACTGCCACTGGTACTTTGAGCAATCCTGAGAGCCTTGATCACTATTACAATATTCCAGAGTTGGTTCAATAGTGTGTATATTAGACGTGTTAATTCGATAGAATAAAATAAGCATAAACTTCTTTGATGATTTTTTCGGGTGTGTGTCTGTGTCTGTGTCTGTGTCTGTGTCTGTGTTACTGCCCACTGTAAAAGAGGAGCTGCGCACCATCAGTTTTGATTGACGCCTTTCTTTCCCCCTTTTTCACTTTACAGCATGTCTCAAAGTTCACCCATCGCCCAAGAGCTTCGTCGAGGAAAGAGGCCGAGATCCACCATCCATATAACATCCTCCTTCTTGAGTGACTCTGGAGAAAGCACATGTTCTGCCTGCGAAAGAGAAATTGGCATGAGGAACAGCGACTGCATGACGTTCGACTTGACACCTTCAGACTACTTTCGCTTGGCATTGACCATCACAGACCCTACAGCACAACACTTACTACAAGACGACAATGAAGATTATACCACCAAATACCTGATCCAGAATGCTCGTCGACTGGCCGTGGATCAAGAATTCGCTTTAAATGTCATTTTGATGTTGCACCCGCTGTTGGCCAACTATTCTAAAGAAGGCGTATCAAAATTGATTCCTGTTGTGAAAAAGACGAGATTGCATAAAGCAAGGGAACTCAGATTCGTACAGGCATGTCTTGCAAATGTCCAGGTAAGCAGAGTGTGCGTGTTATAAAAAAAAAAGGCTTTAGCTGATATTCTGCAGTCTACGACATTTGAGCTCGTGCGTGAGCAGTTTGTGCAATGTGTGCGAGAATCAGTGGATTTGGGGAAAATTATAATGTCTGATGTGCGGTTTGCCAGGCTGCTTCCTTTGCTATGCTTCTTGAGGGACGTCAGTGTAAGTTGTGCAGTGTTGTTATCTCAAGGACTATGCTAACCATCTGCAGACTGGAGAGGCAGACCAAGTGATTGAAATAAGCCAGGATGATTCGCAGAGCCAAATGTCTCAACAACGAGTAGATGCTGAGAATTACCATGTCATCAGCGATAGCGATTACGACCAACCTGAATCCAGTGGGTCCGTCATCGACATCACACAAGAATCATATGGCTTTGTCATTGCGCCCTCCGTGCCCGATTACTCTTCCTACTATTCACCATCTTTAAATGGAGGAGACCAAGACCTCAGCGTCACTTTTGATTCGCAAGGTAGAGCCGTCGACCCATTTGCCACTAGACACAGCTCGCAGACACCAGATCGCAACATGTCTTGGTCCACAACACTAAACATTCCATCGCCTGTATCAAAGGGCTCATCCACCGCATCATTATCCATCATAGATCCTTCCTCCGAGGTATCGCGTTCCTCCTCATCACAAGCAGTATCATCCCAGCTAGCCATGCCATCACCTCAGCGTCCTGTTAACTTGCCAGCATCACAGCAGCCGCATCTCACAGATTACGAGGAACTTTCCACTGCCGAATTGAAAGCTAAACTAAAATCCTTTGGATTCAAGACAAGCAACAGCAGACTACAAATGATTCAGGACCTCAAAAACATTCAAATGTCAATCGACAGCCAGAGAAATTCACAGCAAACATCCAGCCAAAGCACACCTTTATTGCAGCCGATGCCAGAGCTGAATGGTAATAGTCAGGCGAGCTCTGTTGAGTCCAACAAGAGAATGGAGATCATTCAGCATTTGAAATCAAGACCAGAAATTTGGAAAAAAATCGCCATGTATAATGTAGGATCTGCAGAGTTATAAGTCTGAAGGGCGCAACTAACGAGTATGCTTGGTTTATAGACTGTTTCTATCGATGAATGCATGATTGGCATACGTTGCAAACGAGGTGAAATGAAGATGGTGCTAGACGAGTTTGTAAGTAGAGTTGGAAGCGTTGGTTGTAGTAGGTATTAACATTGGTACTTGACAATAGGCAGCAGCAAAAGGCAAAAACAAGCGATATCTTTTTCAAAAGTGAAATGGTTAAAGCTATTTTTACTCTATACGCTACAAAAGAAAACTGATTGATGTCTTGCTGTTGCTCTATTAAATAAAGTAGCGGTTTTCACAAACATGGTCGGATTTATAGTATCGTTTCTTGTTATATGATAGCGCCAATGTTCTCAAGTTTTCTATGGATGATGGACAATACATAGAAACGTGGCTCGCATCATAAATTTCTTTGGCTACAGAGCTCCAGCTTTTACACACGAGCAACACATTCGTCGGCCAGTGTTCGCCATCTCTGACCGTGTTGAAATAGCGAGTAAACATCTCTATCAAGGATTCTCGAGAAAACTAATCACAGGATTTACGGTTTATATTGGTAAAAAGGGAAGCTGAAAGAGACAGCTCAAGCGAAATTTTATTTAATTCAGGCTTTGTCACAAATGCTGCTTTGACAGTAATTAAAGCCATCCCTTCTGATTCAGGCACAAGATAAACTCAAAACAGACAAATGTTCAGCCTAAATATGCAATGTATCTTTGAGGTGATCTACAGCCATGACATACTGGCAGTTATTAACCTGTTAGCTTAGATACAACCCATCTTTCTCAGTATCTAGTCGAACTGGCCAAACGAAGCCATTGATAGATGCTGAAACAAGCGTGTTGGTAGCTCAACACAAGCTGCCATCACTCGCGACGTCACATCCATCATCAAGAGACAAGTATACAGCAAGGAATTAACTGTTACTATCATGCTCTTGCTCTTTTTTTCTTTCTTTTTCTTTTACTCTAAATAACCCCAGTATGTCTACAGATCAAGTATTTGATGTCGACAACGATGATTCTGACTTTACATCCAAGTCCAATGCTGACAGTAATGATGATGATGATGATGATGATGACAACTCTACTATGGGTACAATGAGCGATAGTGAGCTAGTGACACTCTACAAGGATCAATTAATCAATGTGCATGAACTATTGGGTTCTTCTGATGATGATGACACGGATGATGATAGAGAGGAGCGAGTAGCAAAGAAAGAACTAGTTGATCTCTACAAAGATCAATCAGTACCTATTCAAGAACTAGCACCCGTTTCCAATGTTGAAGCGCCGTACAATAGCAATATTTACAGCATTGCTAGAAAAGTATCGTTGGGGCCATATTTTATCAAATTCTGTATGTTTGATTAGTCAAAGTGTACGCATTGTTAACCTCACTCTGTGATAGCTGTTCCTGTTGCTGCTGCATTGGCATACGTAGAGCCGATTTTTAGACAAAGGTGAGTTTTGGATCTTTACATACACATCTGCCATCCCTGTTCATTCAGCTTTTTGCTTCCCCAACAGCCGTGATAATGGTTCCTGCGTTTATTTGAATACAACTGCAGTACTGGTGATGAAAACCTTATGCCTTGGTAATGCGTAGCTTGTAGCACTTTTCCTATATACATTTCCTTACAATGGACATTGTGCAGTTTTCATTCTATGTGCTCCAGTTACGCTTATGAATTACAGATACACGCTCAAGATTAATGCGCTGATGCATGATATTATTGTTGAGCTACAGACCAAGGTTTGTATCAGTGTAGCATTGGTCTACGCGTACAACCACTGACTGTCAGAGGGCCACGCACAGAGAGAGCGTCATGTCAAATATCCTCACGTTTACCCTTCTGCTGCTGTTTCCGCTACACATATCAGATCTACCATTGTCAATCCAACCCAATTATCCACATTTGAGGATTGGCAGTGTGTCTTAGAAAGACTAGATGCGCACCCTCTGCTTAGAAAGTCGATGAAAGAAGAAAAAGGTGATTTCATTGAATATTGGGAGATATTGATTTAGATGATACCTTACAAATAAAGTCAAATTTCGATCTTGCACCCTGCATCATTATATGAAAAATCTTTTCAAAAGACCTGTAGTAGTTGCAAATCTGTCTCTTCCAAGATGCCCCACGTCTGTTTCAGTGGAAGCGGTTTATATATAAGGACGTACTGCACACTAGCAATGTTACCAGCTACTCAAAAGTATGCAAAATACAGCGAAACTTGGATTCATTTGAGTCGCGTTTTCTTACGTTAAAAGCCGTTTTAGACCACGAGAGTTACACCAAACAATTGCTCTCACCTAGCACTTGTTTACTGACACCTTTACTCAACTTTTTTGGGACCAAAAAAAAACATGGACAAAAATCGACCAAAAAGCATGAGGTACCCTTCATGGCTTTCATTGAAAATCAAACGATTGCGTTTTTGACCCCCAAAATGAAAACTTTTACTATGGTTCATATTAATTCAAAATGTTTCTCCTGATCCAAAGCAACCTCTAAAACCACTTTTATGAAGTGTTCATATGCAAAATATGGCTATTTTCGCTAAAAACCTCATTTCAGTTTTTATTAGATTGCTCAATAAGTTCAGTCAAAATATTTATTACAATTAGCACCATTGGAAGCGCCTTGAAAAGTACTTCAAGAATGTATTAGGAAGCATATGGTGATTATCACAGTTTATATAGTCGAATATAACAGAATAGATTAAAGAAGTCGAAAAAAGACGAAATCTGTCCAATTTTGAACCGAAGAAAATAAACTGAGTTTGAATCAATTTTGGCGGTGGCATTGCTGCTGGCTGACCTAACTGCCTCTCTGTTAATGACAATGATGATTGCGATGCTGATTAAATGGGGATTATGGAATTGAAAGGACAATCGCTTAGCTTGAATACTTTTCTGGGAAGCTTTGCCTCATGAAAGTGTCTTTTGCAATGACACTATCTCAAAAAAGTCGCTGTAGATCTTACACAAATCCTGCATTTACTTATGACCAGCTTTATGTCGCCATCTTATTAAGACCATCAGCAGCAGTGAATGATATGACAGTTTTATTATCAGAAAATGGGGATTGTGATGTACAAATGCTGCACAAAATTTGAATTTTCTTTCACATTATCCCAATAATAGGCTTTGTTTGATATCAGTGTAAGCAAAAGGGATGCTGAGGGAGATACCTCCTCTCCTCCACCCGGCTCTGATATAACCTTTATTTTACTAGCTAATAATTGGTTGTTTAATATCAACTTTATACCAAAATGTTATAATATCTGATTTAAAACGACTTTGGAGAGAGCCCACAAGGCAACGCGCCGACATTGAGCGTAGCGAGATAGATTGGCTAGTACTGTATGCTGTATTTTGCTTTTACCCCCCCACATTTGTGTATCTTACATAAAACTCGCCTGTGTAAACTGCACATCCAAAAGGCAAATTCTTGCGCGATACGCAACATTGACACCCTATTCAAATGGCATTCGGCACTTTGAGTGTAAAAGTAATAGGGGGATACCCTTTGATCTGTGAGCCAGATCTTTTTTTTTTTTTGCATGAACCTGGATGGAAACAAACATCCATGCTCAATCTTGTCAATGTTGTGAGCGCATCCTATTAAAGGTGATTTGTAGAGCGAGGTCACATGCCGTGGTACCCTGCAATTGAATACATCATGATAAAACGCAAACATTGTAGCTAAATTCAGTGAGCTGTACCCTTTTGGATCGGTAACTTTCCCTTTTCCCCTCCATTCCTGACCCCCAAGCGTCCATCATCGGCTTACATCCGCGAAATTCCTAAATATGGGTTGTCAACTTTTGAAAAAGGTAAATGCTACTTTTTCAAAGTTGCTGAATATAGATCATCTCATGTTACAATAGTAACAATAAAAGAGTGTCTTGTTTACATGTACACGTAGCAGCTAGCCATGTTCAGCCAAGCATCATCTATGGCATGAACGTCATAATGTAGTTGATAAGGCGCCCTACTTTTTATCCAAGTTTGGTCAAAGAAAACAAGGTGTTTTTACATGCTCTTCCATAGGATAACGCCGTTTGCAAATGTCTTTAGGTTCGAGATGGGCTGATATGGGTGTATGTGTGCCCTTACTGATGGATAAGCTTCCTTGTAGCACCCAAAGAAAAAAAAAATCGCTGTATCAATGTATAAATATGTGCCGTATTTGGAAGTATGTTTTCACCATTTCATTTTTGCCCTTAATACACAAAAAGTCAAAAACATCAATTCTTTCTCTTTTCCTCTGCTCTATCTATCTTTTTTTTCTAGCTATAAAACTATGTTTCAAGAGTATCAAACAGGTAACTTGAGTAATGGACGCATTGATGATCAATGCAATTAACAAAGGCGCATGAGAGTAGATACAGTGGAGGATTTGTACAATGAAATTGAACATCTTATTGGTAAGCAATGATCAAAATGCGAGTTGCGCATTGGCAACCAACATGAGATGACTAGATGTTCCCTTTGAAAAGTTCTCAAAAGATGTACAGCAATACCAGATAGCGGATGATACGCCAGCAGGGTTAGAGGATCTCAATCAGCATTACCAGCCATTACAGCAACATACACAGCACCAGGAACACCAAAGGCAGACTCAGAGCTCCTCAACCGACGCCAGCTTTGACAGGCCTATTCTCATTGAAAGTGATAGTGATGAAGTAGAAGAAGAGTAAAGAAGCTGGATACAAGCACACTTGACAAACACCAACTAACGTACATTTTGTGTATAGGTTGCTCACACCCGACCAACAATTTACATACATCACCTGCTACAAATGCAATAAAGTTTTGCCATTCGAGCCCAACAATGCGCTTGCAGTAAACAATGTTAATGTGTGCTTGGATTGTTCCACCAAAAAGAGAGGTCGATCAAGATCCTTCATCTCAGAAGTAGCGGATAAACTTAAGAACCTAGGTAGCAGCAGCAACAGTGTCAGCTTACTCTCACCCTCCACTGCCAACAACAGCAAGATGGATCGCAGAAAGAGCATGCCGTCCATGAACGATGCTTACACCTCCTCTTCATTAGCACCCAGTCCTACACCGTCAAGGCCCAGCAGTCGAGCCTCCTCTTTTATTGAAGATGTCAAACAATTCCTTGCACCTTTATCTCGAAAATCCAGCAGAAATTCCATGTTTCGAGATTATCAACAAAGCGACAATGCATCGCATCATCATCAGGGTCCAAGTCGAAAGGCCAGTCATAATTCGCTGCTGGATGCCATCAACATCTGTAAACCCAAGCAAAGGAGCCACACCAGTCCTTCCTATGAAAGACGTATCATTGATGAGAGCAGCTGGACTCAAGAAGATAACGAGGTCATGAACATCTTTCAGCAGCAACAGCAACATGCGCCATTCCAGAACACACAGGACTTGGATGTTGTACAGCATATTCCTGTTCGTAGAAAGCAGATCAAGCAGATCGAGTCTCGTCAAGACAGAATTGATATCTACAGTAAGTTTAGGTGCGATGGATGTGTAATTTTTTCTCAACTGTATGTACAGATAGTGCATATCTTGATTGCATGCAGGCTCCAACTGACCTGGTTCCATGGATCATCAAACAAACACAAAAGGGGCCACCCGATGATTGGTTTGGTTACACGCCACCAGCGACCAGAGAGCCCAAGAAGGTGATGGGTCTATTCAAAAGAAAGGCAAAATCAAGAGGCGATCTTCGTGCACAGCAGTTGCAGCTGGGCGATGAGCTGCTACATCGGTCCACACCGCTGTTGCAACATAGATACAGCAGCAGCAATCTATCCGTGTCTCCCAGTGCGAATTCAATGTACATGGACAATGCTGAAATGGCGCATTCTCCCTCTGAGATAACGCCACAAGACTATGATGATCATGGCCAGGAATACTTTGATGGCTCTCATGAGCACCCTACTGCTGCTGCATCGATATCGCCTAGCCAAAATGCATTATCACCCATGGAAGATCCGCTTACACCCCCTACACATCGATCTCAGTCTGCTCAGCCTGTCTCCATTTTGAAAAAGTCAAATTCAAACCGTCAGTTACAGCAACCCGATTACGCTTATGATCCGTATTATCAGGACACGGTCCCCTATGATGATATCGAGGATGACGACTATCACAATTACAATCAAGGCGCCATGTATAACAATGACTATGATTATGAGTACGGATATGAGCAGCCCTCCAGACACTATGCCGCAGCTCCAGTGCATGCACCTATCCGACAAAGAAGCTCATCCTCCTTGGTGGCTGATAGAAACAGACACAACAATAGTAGACAGCAGATGATGAACGAGCAAGATTACCATATCTCTATGGATCCTCCTCGAAGAAGAACAAGAAGAAGCAGTAGGAGCAGATCTCGCGATGAGGATTACTACTACAATGATGCGCCCGTGCCTGTTTACTATGATGATCCATCTTCGTCGTATTTTGATACTGCACCACCGGCACACCCAGCATCAACAAGACGAGCAAGAGACCGTTATCAGCCTCCATCGCATTCTGCTGCTGCTATGAGGTCCAGTAGTAACAGTAGCAGTAGACGGTCTTCACTGGCAGCTAACAGTAATAACAAGAAGCCGCAAGATTATTATGGCTTATCTGCTAAACTAACACCCTTCATGATGGAGGAATGGGAAATTACTCTGGATGAATTGTGCGATCTCTTCCCTAGGCTGGACAGACACTATATCAATGACTTTTTGAGATCTGCTCAGGGAGACTTCATCACAGCCAAAAATATGATCATGGAGATGATCATGGAGATAAGATGAGCATCTTGTCTTTATACCCCCGTCTATTTTGAATAAACCCTGTAATTTTATGTGCTCTTTTTCTCTAGAGCTTTTCACAGTTGTGTATCAAAGTCAAGGCACAGCTTGAGAGCCGAGCAGCAGCAAAGTGTGGGATTTCTGTGTGTAACTTTCAAAGACTATATTCAAGCCAATTCGCATTAATAAGATGAAATCATGTGAGAGAGAGAGAGAGAGACAGAGAGAAAGAGAAACGCAGTTCCCCACACACGCAGGTTGAAAGCATTATAAAAATCAACTTGTTCTTTTCTCTTTATCTTTGCACTTCATTACTCCAACAAGCCATTCAACCATGAGCGAACAAAACAAGGAACCCGAGGTCTTGTTTTCAGTAGAGAACCATGTTGCTACACTCACACTGAACCGACCACGCAAAGGAAACGCACTCACAGCTACCATGAATGCACTTTTGCTCCAGTATCTCGCTCAAATCGAAAAGGACTCAGATGTTCGTGTTGTTGTATTAACAGGCGCTGGGAAATTCTTTTGTACTGGCATGGATCTATCCATGGCAGCTACCAGCTCGTCATCAGCACAAGATGTCAAGGCTTCATTCACCAACGGACTGCAAGTATTTGAGACACTGTATCGTTTTCCCAAGCCAGTGATTGCACGTGTCAATGGTCCTTGTCTGGGTGGCGGTGTGGGTCTAGTGTTTACAACAGATATTCGTGTGGCGCATCAAGACGTCTACTTTGCATTAACAGAAGTCAAGCGTGGCATCATTCCTGCCATTATCTCTCAGTACATTGTGCCTGAATTGGGATCTCAAAAGACACGCGAGTACATGCTGACAGGCAGACGAGTCTCGGCCAAAGAAGCACACCCCTTCCTCAGCACTGTTGCCACTACACCCCAAGAGCTGGATCAGCAAGTGCTTTACTATGCCAACATGTTGCTGGAATCAGCCCCTGGTGCCATGACCAATATCAAGCGTTTGGTGGATATAGTGAGTTCAGGCGGAGAAGCACAGAGAGCAAGCCGCATCAGAGATGGCGTAGAAAAGGCCTATGTGGAGATGATGCAGTCTGAAGAAGCGGCTTATGGTATCATGGCATTTGTGACAAAACAAAAGGCAGATTGGTCTGCTTTTGTCAAGGACAATGCCAAATTATAAATAAATCAAGAGCCTTCATTTTGTCAACCGAAAATGGGGATAGTCACTGTTGTGGTTTTATTGAAAACAGTTGCTTTTCATATGGCGGTCTTTTTTTTTTTTTTTTCTCTCTCTCTCTCTCTCTCTCCCTCTCTTTCTCTTCTCTTTTACAATTGAAATGCATCCCTCAGATCAAAGAGCTTCTTCTTCTTCTTCTTCTTCTTCGTCTCAAGCAAGACACTCATTCGCATTCAACACAAGCACGCACGATCAATTCGATGGTATTGAATGTTGTACATTTTTCATGTGATGGCATTTGCATAAATTTAACACAAAACCATGATACATTTTAGCCAACAGATTAAGTACGTGGTATGAGGATTTGGAGGAGTATGAAGGAAACTTGGAGGAGATGGCAACCGCTACATTGGATCAGGTAAGGGGTTTGTGAGACAAAGCAGTAGCAGCCAAGAATGCCCCGAATCTCATAAACAACATGTCATAGACGTTTCAAGATGAAATGCAGCATGTCAATCAATGGTTTGGGTTCTTGTCAGATGCAGAAAAGACGGCTACGTTATACACTTTATTACAGCACAGCTCGCAAGTGCAAATCCGGTTCTTTATACATTTGCTGCAGGAAATGAGGAAGCCAAAGCCAAATCCATTGAATCGAGGTAAGTGCTGTGCAATTCCCGTGGTCATAGTGTACATCATTCACCTGGCACAAAAAAGGCTCCGAAAGAGCCTCTGCACTAGCCAATTTAAATCGAAGACAACCCTCCATCGTCGTTCAGCAGCAGCAACAGCAACAGCATGTAAATAGACACTCATTTGCCATGGGAGACACACAAAATTTAGGCAAATTATTCGGCACCATGGGCACAGACTGGTTTAGCAATGACGATCCATCGTCCACACAGTCGCATCAGCCACAACAACAGCAGCAGCATCCATTGCAGCAACCTCAGCCAAGAAGCATGTCAGGCAATAGAAGCCAACAACATCAATTGCGTCCCAAATCAGTCATGGAGCTCGGTGGCAGTGTTCTGGATCCAACATTTTCAACCACATGGCTGAAACAACGACAACCAAGTTTAAGCAGCAATGTCATTGAGCGACCACGATCTGCTGATATATCGTCATGGGCACTACCTACAGGCAGTAGTGGTGCAGGTGGTAATACCAGTGCTGCATCTTGGAAACCGCTGCAAAATCAGCATGATATCGATATCAATCTTTGGAAAGATCCCATCACTATGGACACTGCCACTGTAAATACAAGACGACCATCATCTGCCATTGCATCTGCCGCCTCCTCTGCTACAAACGCAACATCCAGCTTGAGAAAGGGCGGCAACTTTGCAGCTACCCATTACCTCAATACGCCATCCTCATCCACAGCAGCCGGTGGCACTGGCGGTGGAAAATCAGCTACATCTCGATCACCCTCTTTTGAAAGCGTGGTGGCAAACGATTTTGGATATGGTAGTGATCAAAGCGACGCATCCACCTCCTCCAGACGATTTCGACAATCGCATCAGCAGCAACCCACGCAAATGTCGACATACACCACACCCATCCTTGAGAATAAAGACGATCATGTGGACATGGATCTGATCCAAGGTAAGTGGTATAGATATCACAACTACATCAGGGGGGAGAGCTCAATGCCAGCGTGTATACCAGATGTGTCTGCATGGTTCAGAAGTATGCGACTGCACAAATACAACAGCATTTTTGAGCACATGCGATGGCAGGATATCATACAGCTAGACGATGCGGCATTACAAGAAAAGGGTGTAGCTGCACTCGGTGCACGAAGAAAGATGCTCAAAGTCTTTGAAAATGTGCGTGAGCATTGTCGACTCAATGTAAGTGTTGATCCCTCTTTGTTTTCGCATTTATAATATACACAATCTCAATCTATCTCCCAAAAAAAAAAAAAAAAAAAAAAAAAAAACCTCCTTTGATATAGAACATTGAGTACCAAAACCAACCAACTGAGTGAAAGAGTGAGCGAGTGAGTGAGTGAGTGTATGTATATATGCAGAAATCCAATTTTATTTAATAAAGTGTCTTCTTCTTCTTCTTTGTTTCGTCGTCGAGAATGAGAGCGATAGAGAGAAAAGAGAGAGAGAGGCTATTTTGATTGTGTAAAATAGATTTTGATTTAGGCCTTGCCAGCAGCGGCAGCGAGAGCCTTTTGGGTACCCTTCTTGGCGAAACGTTGGTTACGAAGGAACTTGGCATCCAACTAGTAAACACATGCAAAATCAATCACTTTGTTCCCGCTTTCAATCTCTAAATAACTTACACCCTTTTGAGAACCGTACTTGTGAGCAACAGGCTTCTTGAGACCGTTACGGTGAGCCTTCTTAATTTGGTTGTGGTTGGTATGGTTCTTAGACTTGGCCATTGCTAATTATTTGCTAATTGAGGCAATTAATACGGTTGTTGGTTGAAATTGTATGCAAATAGAACCAAAGAAGAAGAAGGAGGAGACTGGGATCGAGTGTCGAGATGTTGGAGCATTGGGCATGATTGTTTTCTAAATCCATCCATCACGTTACAATCTCACACTCATCGTTGTTGTCATATGGTTCATCCATCCATTGAATCCAATCCACACTGCGTTCTTCTCTGCTCCTTCTTCCCTCATCATTTGCATGTGGGTGCGTGTTATTTTACCTTATGTCAAAAGTAAAGAAAGATTATTCCTAATGTCGATGCAGTGTATTGATTTAGTAACGGGCCCTTGGGGGGGGGGATGCGGATTTACAAGACTTGTCGGACGTGTTTAGTACCGGACCCAAGCGTTTGAGTGAGAAAGCGGGAAGCTAAAATGCATCACTAGCACAAGATGTTAGATCTTCCATACAAAGCTTGCTGATGTAGAGCAGACACATCGGTGTGATGAACCTCATTTGAAAAAAGCAGAATGGAGACGCAGATTGTACGCCTACAAGAGTTTTTTTTTTTCAACAAAATGTACGGTTTCCCTGAGATAAAAGACGCTGTGTGCCTTGACAGCAATAATTCGTATCATGATCTCTGAGATTTCGTTGTGATAAACCAAACTATCAGCATAAAGGCACTAGTATGACACCTGGAGTGTGTTTGTATCTCTGCTGGCTTCATTTTTGATGTCGAAGCATGGCATGTCTTGATCTGCAGCTAGCCAATATTGATTGATCATTGATCAACGCCACTCAAAGCCTCCGACATGTGAATGCGCTGTATTGGCAACTCGCCCACATGGGCTGTCTATCAGGATACTGAACCTGAGTCGTAAAGCTACAATTAAGCAGCTATTAAAAGGTAATTCTCTCAAACCAATAACAGCTAGCTGGATGGCATTCATACATGAGCCCTATTATGCTCATGTGTATCTTAAAATAGACTGAAAAAGCATATGTATTATGTATGAATCAAGAGCAAGAGGTGATTTCAACTTGGCATACCTCATATGAGGTATTAACGCTAATTGTGAGTTATTTTAGGAGCGAAATGTCTCCCTAAATGACTCCATTGCCGTGGAATGGATGGGCCCATATGTATCAAAAGTATATACACTGTGTGTGTGTGTGAACCGAACTGCAAAATGACTCACTATTATCATGGAGATGTTCCTCGGAACGACACAATATGTGTAAAACAGAATCAAATATTTAGATGAACAAAACCACATTAGTAAATTAAAAACATGACTCCTTTTGTGTACATCTTGTTTACCAGACAAGTATACAGGTGTGGAGCAGACAAAGAATCTGATAAAATTAGCTGTAGTAGTAGATCTCTTTTTCAAAAATCTGGGGTAATATGAGCGAATACGAGAACCCTCGGATGAAATCGGATTCCCTTTACATGTGCTCTACACCAGCACATTCTCCTCCATGTACAGAATGTATATTATATGGACAAATAATACTTTATTGCTATTATTTCATGATTGTAAATGCATTAAACTATGGTTTTAAAGGATGTCATTGAATGAGATGGTATCATCATTGGTCTACAGAATGATGCTGCTTTTTGTTCATTGACTGTGGCTGCAACAAGCGAATTGTATGCAACTGCGGCCACAACGACAAGTGAAACTGCAATTTCCTCAGCTGAAGGCAATGCTGGTGAGCTCATCAGAGCAGGAGCCTCAGTGGGAGTATTGGCAGTAGTGGTAGGAGTCTTGGACTCTAATGGCTGGAATGCTTGATTTGATGTAGGCGTAATTGTTGATGCAGGTGTAGCAGGCTTTTCTTCTGCTTGTGGTTGAGGTTGTGGTTGGACTTGGATAGGTGCAGGTGGAGGAATATGAGTAGCAGGTGGACAGATGATCAAATCATCGTCAAATTCAGAGGCCAGCACTCTACGATTAGAACGAGGAGTACGTTTATTCAGCAAGTCTTCTGCCTTTGTCATTGTGTTTGATAACAAGAGTCTTTCGCGGACAGTGTAGTGTGGTCTGCGTCTTTTATCATCTCTATCCAGCTTCTTGATAGCAAGCGAATAGGCTTTGTTGGCTACTTGTCTTGGCGATAGGTTGCTTGCTGATGATGATGAAGCAGTGCTTGACTTTTTATTGATCCAGTGAGGGAAATTAGCCATAGTGATTAATTATTAATGAGAATTGGAGGATGAAATAATGAAGAAACAGTTGTAAATGATGTTGAATATGTTGTAACTATACTTCTCATTAGATGTCTGGAGAGAGAAGCTTTTACTGTATAGTTTTTTTTTTTTAAAAGGTGTTTCAATACGTGATAAAGTTGTTGGGAGATCAAGAAATGGAATCCCTCTATTTATACAAATTTTTTTTCAGTGTGTGAAGATGGCCTAGATCACAAAATCATGGCTAATATCGGAACAGAAGGCATATGAAATCTATTTTTACGGGGTCAAACACAAACCAATTCCCTTAAATAGGAGCAGAAAAACGAAAAAGAGGCTTTTTCATCAAATGGACACTCCTGTTGCTTACTGCTTGTTGCTGCTCCCTCCTCTTCATTCTCACAAGGCAAAGTTGAGTTGCTCGTGTGCGCTTGTGGGTTCCGAATAATCCCATTCTCTAATGCTTATTACGGAGCTGCGTCTTGCTTTTTGTTTCACAACCATGATAGAGAGTCTCGTTACAGAATCCGATAACACTAAATGCAGGTCCTTTGACGTCGTTGTAGTCAACTCAGATCAGCTAAGAAGGGGTCGTAATAGCACCATTCACTATAGCATCAAACAAAGTGCATAGATGGACTTTGATTGTATAGATTGCATCTCCTGAGCCGTAGTAGTACGCACATCTAGGTCCATCAACATTGGAAACAAAATATACCTATGCTCTATATGTAAAAGGCACATGACTCTTATGGACCTTGCTCTAGTTCTTTTATCATCCATTAACTTTTGCCATATATTCACATTATGCAGACATGCTGACAAGTACCGACAGATCTCTCTCTCACACAGCGGCACAGTATACGGTTGCAATTGTCTGTCACTATGGGGGTTTTCACATTACAAAGGAAGCATTGATGGATGCTTGAGCATATTATGTTTATTTGTTCATATTGACGGAATTTCTCACGATTTTGTAACATTTGTGTAAGGGTCAACAGCAAAAGGAAAAAAAGAAGAATGCGGACGGACACTCATCGTCTCTTGGAAGCAAGCAAAAACGCATCTGATTTCATACATTATTAGGCACTGTCCATATACGAATAGTCTAATATAGAATCAATTCAGAGTCCTCTCCTTCCTCATGTTCGAATCCCCAATCTAAGTTTTACAACCAAAGTGATCAACTGTTCAAACGCATGCTCATAATATAAAGTGGGTGATAAGGCATTTTCAAAACTAATCTGTTTAGTGTGGTAACTGCTATCAGTCCATTGATAAAGAGATACGCATAGCTTGAAACCTATTTCAGGGTGCTATCCCTCAATCGATCCACGAAATTGGCTCATGCAAATTGCGTTATTTAATAGCTGTAAATTGCTAAATATCGTATAGCTATATCTTCTCAAAATTGATCTATGACATCAATTAGATAATAAGAGGTATACCTTGCTAATGTTGCATTCGCTGCTCCACCCGCTGCGGTCCATCCTCTCTCATCTTTTTTAAAAATTGGAAGCAGGCCGAGTCATCCATCACACATCAATAAGAGGTGGCTGCCATCTGTATCTGTCTTTGAAGGTCTTGCTACTTCTGCAGCTTAAATAAAAATTTAATTATTTCAAAGCCACAATAATAGTTTGTATCGATTGCTTTGATCAATAAACCAGAGAACTGGAACCTCATAATCATTATTTTATACGAGTGTGTTTATACATCGGATGGCTCTCGACTTTCACTTCGCTTCAGTGAGAACTAACCTGCGCAGCGGCAGCTCGCGTTACCGATTGCCCTTGTGCATCTTATCAAAATACTGCTACTTCCATTTTGGCCATCCACTTACACATGAGAACACTACATATTATTTGTGGATCTGATTCTTATGTGATGTTTCACATGTGTATACTCGTAGATACTTTTATGTGAACAAGTAACATACAGATATTACCCCTTTCTAGTCAAGAGTGTACCTCATACAGCAAGATTTGAGTGCATTTGAGCTGCATTCTCTTGCGTTCAAGGCCGTTTTAGATTGTCAGAATAGCACCAAACAATTGCTCTAATCTGACAGTTACTTTCCCACAACTTTGTTCAACTTTTTGGAGATCAAAAAAAAAAAATGGCCAAAAATCGACCGAAAAGCATGAGGTATCCCTCATGGCTTTCATCGAAATTCAAACGATCGCATTTTTTACCTTGGTAATGAAGACTTTTACTATGATATACCTTGAATCACAACGCTTCTATCGATCTAACGTAACCCCTGAAATCACCTTTGTGGGACTTTGATATGTAAAATTTCAACTTTTTGGCCAGAAACCTCTTTTCATATTATTATAAATTGCTCAATAAGTTTATTCAAAACATTTTTCTTACTTGGCACCATTGAATGCGCCTTGAAAAACACTCCAAGAAAGCTTAAAGAAGCATTTTTTTTTATTTTATTTTTTTTGTAGGGGAGTCGAGCTCCATGTTTTATTTTAAGTCCTTTAAATGTCATTATGAGGGATAGAAAAGACTGGATATATAGATGGTAGGAACGGATGTAAAATAGAAAAAATGATGTAGAAAAGGAAATGGAAGAAGAGTAAAAAAAAAAAAACTAAATACTTACGAATCTAGAATTAACTCGGCGTCCAAGCGAGCAAGAGAGCGGTTAAGACGAAGTTGAACGTTTGAAGCTAGGAACGGGGTTTGGTCGAAGATCCAACGCCAATGCGCTTGCCATATTGTCAAGAGAGCGGTTGCAAAAAGTTAAGGAATAGATAAATCACTGAAAGGAAGAGTAGCATCACGATCAAGAGGGGGTGAGGAATCAAGTAAGATTTGTTGGAGGAGAGTAAGGAGATCCACATCAGAGATAGGTGAAGAGACAGAGAGGTAAGAGTGATAGATGTTACGCCAAACCTGAAGTTTAGGTGGGCAGGAGAACAGAGCATGAGTGATATCTTCCGTGGTTGAGGTAGAGCAAATGGTACAGTGAGGAGATGGATGTTTCTCTGGGAGTCGTAGATGTAGGAGGGCTCTTGTTGGCATTTTCTCATGGATCGCCCGATACCATACCGTGCGAGCAGCAAGAGGGATGGCCTCCGCCCAGAATGAGCGCCATTGGGAAGGCCGGAGGGGAGAAAGGGAGGAGGAAGAGGAAGAGGAAGAGGTTTGTCGTAATCGCTTGAAGAAACGGATACTGTTGAGGGGCAAACGACCACGCAGAGATGAGGAAAGAGGAGGGACGAGAATGCTACGACAAAGGGCACGCAACGAAGGAGATTGATGGGGATCTAAGGATGGACGAGGAGATACGAAGCGCTGTTGTGCAAGGAAAGGTTGGAGCAGTAATTGACTAGAAACGATGTGGTCATGAACGCGTTGGGAGGCAATAGGATGACGAGTGGATTGGAAGGGGGAACGAAGACGAAGCACCTGAAGGTCAGCATCAAACCGGAAAACATCGCTCACAAGAAGCTTTTTTGCAACATCGGAGCCTAATAAAAGTAGATTCGGTGGTATAAAGCTATAAGAATGAATGTTATTAGTAGAAGGTAAGGTATGTAGTAAAATTTCATATAAAGGAAGTGAGACACAAGATATGGCGTCGACATATAAGTTACTACGGGATATCACCTGGAAAAGGGACAAGCACGACTGAAGATTGAGGATGGGATTTAGGTAACTTAGTCGACGAGTAGGACTTTGAGGGAATCACGAACGATTACGAGCGTAAGGAAGCAAGAGATAGTAGAAGAAATGAGAAAATACGGTGGAGGAGTAACACCAAGAGAGAGTATAAGTTAGAACAGTAAGCGAGGGAGTGGTATACTTTGAAAGGGCAGGAGATCCAAGATATTGGAGCAAGAGAGGGCATAATACCCAGTACCATTGGAGAGCCAGTTGTTGAGAAAGAGGATCTAGAAGTCCCAAACCGCCGCTTGACCGAGTTAAGGAGAGAGTAGCAAAGGAAATTCTAGGGAAGATGTGAAAATTGATGAAAGAAGTACCCAGGCTTCGTAATGAGAGAAACTGGGCCTTGGTAAATGTTGTGAGACGTAGAACATGCCATAATTTGGAGTAAATGAGGGAGTTAAGGATGGTTGCCCTTCCACGGATGGAAATATTGCGTTGTGAGTGTATGGCAATAGCATTTCGGATGATGTCATATAGCTTTTGGAAGGCAACGTTGCGTTGAGTGATGCTGGAACAGATGGGATAACCCAGATAAATGAGAGGAGTGGCAGATGTGCGATCATGCCAGGCGGTAATACCATGGGATGTCATTAAGGCTTGCCAAGTTGCTGAAGGCTTACCTGAAAGAGAAGTAGCTATGGATTTGTGATAATTCAATAATGCGTTAGAAGCTTTCATATAAACTGAGATGGCAGACTGCAAGCGATGAAAATCGTGAGTATCGTGAAGGTACATCAAGGTATCATCCGCATAAGTTAGAATTTTGACCGCCAAAGGTGAAATGGTAAGCGCAGGCTGAGGAGCTGGGGTATCTCGGTCAAAGGAGGAGGCATCAGAATCAGAAAACAGATGCTGTATAGACTCTGATATGTCGTCAGAGAGAGTATCGGGTAGAGGAGAAGGAGCTTCAGCGGGTAGATTGAAACCAGTAAACTGAGGATCGTGTTGGATGGAGCGAAGGAATGGATCAAACGCAAGCTTAAAGAAGCATTTTTTTTTTTGTAGGGGAGACGAGCTCCAGGTTTTATTTAAAGTCCTTTAAATGTCGTGCTGAGGGATAGAAAAGACTGGATATAGAGACAAAGGATCGGATGGAAAATGGGTAGGAAAAAAAAAAGGTGACAGAAGAATGAACGAAAAGGCAAAACTGAATACTTACGAATCAAGATTTAACTCGGCATCCAAACGAGCAAGAGAGCGAGCAAGGCGAAGTTGAACGGTGTCAGCGATGAACGGGGTTCGGTCGAAGATCCAGCGCCAATGCGCTTGCCAAATTGTCAAAAGAGTAGTTGCGAATAGTTGAGGAATAGAGAGTTCATTGAACGAGAGAGAGGGATCACGATCAAGAAGAGGGGAAGAACAGAGTAAAGTTTGTTGTAAGAAATGAATCAGATCAACATCAGAGATTGATGGAGAAGCAGAAAGATAGGTGTGATACATGTATCGCCAGACCAGCAACTTGGGAGGGCAGGAGAACAGAGCATGTGTGATATCCTCCGTGGGAGAGGCAGGGCAGATTGTACAGCGGTGAGAAGGGTGATTGTCAGGAATGCGTAGATGTAGGAGGGCTCTGGTGGGGATTTTTTCATATATAGCCCGATACCAGACCGTGCGAGCAGCAAGGGGAATTGCGAGTGTCCAGAATGAGCGCCATTGAGGAGGTTGGAGAGGAGAAAGAGAGGAGGAGGAAGAGGGTAGGTTTTTGCGTAGTTTTTTAAAAAAGCGGATGCTGTTGAGTGGCAACCGACTACGCGAAGGCGAGGAAGAAGGAGGGACGAAAATGCTACGGCAAAACGCCCGCAGAGAGGGAGGTTGATGAGGGTCTAGGGCTGGACGGGGAGCAATGCTTAAAGAAGCATAGGATGTTTATCATATTTTATTTAGTCGAATCTGCTAAAATAGTTCAATCGAGTCGTATACTGTTGAGATTTGGCCAATCTAGAACAGACTATGAGTCTGAGTTGAAGTTAATTTTGGCGGCTGATGGGGCTGGCTGGTAAACTCAATGCCCTTTTAATCGTGAAGGCAATACTAATAAGTGCTTTGAAGCGTATGAAACGTAGGTGGCAAACTACATAGCAATAGCGTTAGCCATGCTGTCTTCTTGGTACTCTATATTTAAAAACGCCAGTTTATCAAAAACTTGTTAGATCAACTTCTTTCCTTTTTGAGGGTTTGGAAGTAGTATCTAGGGACCATAAATTTATTATTCTATAATACTAGAGCGCTTTACCGCAACGACGGGCTTCAGAACTTATTTTTGACCGATGTTTTGTTGTTGCGGTCAGATTGATCATATTATAGAACATTTACTCTTGTAATTATCATTGGCTTCATTGTCCGTGCATGTCTTCAGCTTGTCATGCGTTACCTCGTATATACGGCTGGGTGTGTCAGAGCATGGTGCATTTGTTCTAGCAACAAACGAAGATTGTTTATTTACTTTTGAATTATTGAATGCTGCTTAAAAATATGCACTCATATAAGTAAAGGAGTGTATTTTCGTATTTTTGGTCTTCACAACTACACTTGTTGTATGTTACGAGAACAAGAGTAAATGTAAAAATACTTGATCTAGGCCTTGCAATCTAACGCATCATTACGTAGAAGTCTGTACTATGGGTGTTGGTATGTCTGATAGCTTGTTCAGTGGGTTTCTTTTAAATTAAGTCGGTCTCCAAAACTATGTGATTTTAGAGACTGTGTTGCATACAAGCATGCATCTTAGGCTACATTCACTTTCTCCTCAAGCCACCTTTTACAGTGTAGCAGCATAGATGATGTTTATCGTATCACATCACATCTATGTTTACAAGTCCAGTCAATTGTGTGTGCACAGGTGCCTCAGGAACTACAATACATTCAATCTCCCCAATGTCAAGATATCGAGATCCACCTACACTACATGAAACATACCGACTTAGGTGGCCTCTCAACAAGCTATACCAACAATCCATAAGGCCCCAGTGGCCTGCTATTTATATACCATCTCAACGTAGTAGTCATTGACCAGGGATCTACCATATTTAAGCAAGCTAGATGCCCTGTAATAAAGAAGCTCTTTGCTTTCGTTTTAGATACAGTTGACAACTGATTATTATCATCGACTTATTATTACGAATTCATCAGACTGATGATAGACTTGGCAGGTATCATAATAAGCTACTTGTTGATCCATGCTTTTACGGTTATAGTGCTCATACCATTATATTCTGGCAGTCGAGTTCACACTGCTTATTTTGGAAACTCTGGCTTTGCTTATCAAGAAATAGGTCATATGCGTTTCTCTGTATTATGTTGGACGTTCATGATAAACAATGCCTGTTTGGTAGGACATCATCTAGTGCCAGGAGAACCAGGTATTCGGTATAATATGACTGTACCTGTTTAACTTTGCCCCCGTAATATCAAATTTAAAATACATTCCTCTTATGAAACGGTTCAATGGATACTAGATTAAATAAATGCACTGTATTTAGCCTTTGAATGAAGCAGGATTTAAATTGTATTCATTTGGTTACCCATTTAGGACAAACATAAAATAATGTTAAATGACAAATCGATAGGAAGTCAACTAGTTGTAACCCTTTGTTTTTTCAATCTCTTAACCAATCAGATTGCTTGAAAACTCCGCTGACCTAAAAAAAATTTGCGAGGGTTTCCCCCTGTTTTGATGTGAGGCAAAATTTTAAGCTCCGCTATATATAGCAATATAGCTGTTGCTATCATCAAATTTCCCTCAGGTACTAGAGCATGCCTTACTTACACCACCTAGCTTTAGATTCTGGCGTTGAGACTCTCAATCATCACTAAAGTAAGTAGCGATAACCAAGTGGAGGCAGCCTATCTACTTCCTAGCCTCGGATAGAGTCTTGTTGAGCTTCAGTGATAGGCACATCCACCACAACGTAAAAAAGGTATGCTTCAAAGAAACATAAAAATAATAAAAGAAAGAAGAAAAGAACATATTGCTATAGGAATATAGTAGTACGTAGGCAAAAAAAAGGGATACTCACACAAAGTGAGTCAAAGAAAAGCATATCACAAATATAACATCAAAGATGTTCAAAACAGCTCGTTGTTGTTGCAACAGAATTGCATACATGAGCAATGTGCTGCATGGTAATAGTCGAATGTAAAGTAACGCAAACACGCACAACTGCAAAAGCAACAGTGGTATAAGTTTGCACTACAACATAATGACTAATGTTGTCCCATGTGAAGCCACAGAGGCAACAAAACCCGCAAAAGAAGAAGAAACCGCAACAAAACAAACATCATGAATGCATTATCATGAGAAAGAAAGCAATAATATAAACGTTCAAAGAAGTTTTATATCATTGCGACCAGAAGAACGAAGATACTTACTATCACCAGAGATAGATCAGATAATGAGCATGCACCAAAGACAGTAGATCAGGAAAGACCAGTTTAGCAGAAGCCGCAGCAGCAACACCAGCACCATAGAGAAACCAAAGAACAAACGCCACCAGAAGAGACCAGACAAAGACCAAGCAAGTTCATTATAGCTTACCACCAAAACAGGTAGGCGAGATAACACGCAATCACTAGATATAGGCCAGATAACGAGCATGCACCAAAGACAGTAGACCAGGGAAGACCAGATTAACAGCAGCGGCAGCAGCAGCAACACCAGCACCGTAGAAAAACCAAAAAACGAACGACACCAGAGACCAGAAAAAAACCAAAGAAGTAACCGTCAGACATGGTAAACCAAAGAAGCAGACAGTAGAGATAGGATAGAAGTAATGGCAGCAGCACCCACTTCAAACAGACAAAAAAAATTATCAAAACCTAATAGACAAACTCAATTAATGTAAAATTCTACACCTTCCAATAATCGTAATCAAATGGTACTTACTATATTCCACTTCAAAGAAGCAGTAACAAGTACTTATAACAGTACATGGCCGTGTTATCAGAAGCTAAAGTGTTATTTTCAATCAAGAGGTTTCCAAAACCACCATGGTTTTGATACTAAACGCGTTTTGCAAAAAGGGTAAAAAAAAAGAGCGGGGGGAATGGAAAAAATGAAAGGGTGCCCTACCCGACGTCATGGCCAGCAGATTTGGCCTCAGCCTTCTGCCGTGGCAGCCGCAGCTGTAGCACTTTAATTTGAAATTGTGCAGTAGGTATTTTCGTGTTCAAATTTGACTTGATTTCATATTCTTTAAAAGTTTTTGCTATATTTGACTATGAAAACTGTCGTTGTTATACTTTACTTTCTAATGCACATATAAAGAGTCAATAAACGCGCATTGAATGATGCTGGTTACATTCAGCTTTCAGACCGAAAATAATGAGTAATTTGAGAAAATATGAAAACCGGTTTTCTGCGAATATGTCAAAATTTAACATATGAAAATCTCATAAAAAGAGCTTCCGGTGTTGCATTCTATTCTTACGGTCAATTTGGTCTGATATGTATCATAGAAAAAATTTTCATTTTTGGGGTGAAAAACGCGATCGTTTGATTTTCGAGAATTTTCCTTTGCTAATACTCATAAAAAAACAAGGATATTTGTGGGTTTGCAATAACCCAAAAATTTTGAGATAAGGCATCAGTTAGTAAGGCGTACCAAAGGAGAGCCATTTGGCGTTATTCCTAGCGCTCAGAACGCTTTGTGGCATGAGTTATTCGTGCTTGAAAAGGACTAGTTTGCACAGAATTTGGCCTAAGAATAACGCGTAATAGTTTGTTTTGTAAAGTAAGTAGCTTAACGTTCTGCAAGATGACCTTGATGCTCGTCAATGCAGAGTATTCAATTTTTAAATCATAATCGCTTTTATTCTAATACTAGTGGGGCTTAGGTTTTTGTTTTTTAAAGGCGCTATTTCAGTATTAGTGTTAGTACTTCAGCATCAATTACCGGTATGTTATTACTATCTAGCCGATCCATCTAGCTACGCTCGATGACGGCGTCGCCCTGCTGGCTCTCACCGAAGACGTTTTAAATCAGAAGAGATAGTAAAACTCTGCTATAAAAGTACATTTTAAATAATGACTATATTAGGCATGAAGCTTGATTTAAACATCAGAACTTTGGAGGTACAAATCAATATTTTTTATGGAGCATTTACGTTTTATTATTATAAGCCTTCTGGTTTACTACATCCTCCGTCCGAGTCGCATTTTCTGGCGGCAGAACTGTGATACCATTCGCGGATGCTGCTCTTGAGATGGCGACACAGAGCTGGCCATGCGTTAACACAGGACTTTTATGAGATCTACAGCGATTTTTTTTAGAGGTTATCATTGCAAAAGACACCTATATAGGGAAAAACTCGCAAAAAAACCAAATAAAAAAGGATTCAAGCTAAGTGATTGTTCTTTTAAATTCATAATCCCTAATTAATCTGCATCACAATCATCATTGCCATCAACAGAAAGGCATTTTGGTCAGCCAGCAGCAATGCCG